GTCTCTAACTGATGGGCGACAATACCTGATTGGGTTTTCATTTGATTAGGGGCCATTTCTATTTTGTTTTATTTTTGTGTCTTTGAGACATTGTGTGTAAGAGCCCATTTAATATTGGTTATTATTTTTTATTTCATCAATGTACGATGTAACATTTTGTTAATAAAGCTCGCATGTTGTACCTATTCAATTTAATTCTGCTTTATCAATTATTAACCAAACCAAACTATGACCTCGACCAAACCTTACCTTGTTAAATCCAAAATGACAAACCTTTATAATTCTACCCATTAAATCCAACGTCAAACCCTTAAATCATTCTAAAGAGAAACTAAGAGCAATTGTTGCAGTCCATCTCAAATAAAACAATCCTAAATAAAACAATTCTATGATCAAATAGGAGCGAACTTGGTAATAATTGGTCCTTATTGACTCGCCACTGCTAGTCTCGACCAAATTGATATTATAAGTAAATGAAAGCGAACTTAGAAATCATTGTCTATTCATACTTATTGACTTGCGACTGCAATCTCAATCAATTCTTTCCAAGCATCCTATTTAATTTATCGTATTTGAGTCTAAGGTAGAGTGATTGTCCCGGACAAAATGTGGTGTCTACACCATGGTTACAAGCAAATGTTGTGAACCCACTTGCTTAATTCTGCTCTTATGATGAAAGCAAGCTGGTTTTCAAACAACTGGGAGAGCTAGTTGCACCTGTTTGTGGTTCTAGTTTCTTGACCATAATTAAAATAGACATTAGTATAAGATTGATTGATCAGGTAGGTATATTGAAATGAAACAACAAGCTAGCAACCAGGGACGGCAATTTCGACCTGACCCGTTTTACCTGATCTGTTTGGCCTGTTTTGGGGCGGGTCCGACCCGCCCCGTAGGCGGGGCGGGCATGGGTACTCTCATCGACCCGACCAGCCCTGACCCGTCCCATTCTCGACCCGTTCTTGTCTAAATTACATATAAGTTTAGTCAAACTACTTAGGATTTTCCTTTTATTACATCATATTTTAGCTATAATAAAGTTGTAAATTAATCAAAATCTCAAATATCCAATAATTTATCTACATTTATCATAATATTGTTTGTTTCCTTAGTCTTATAATAAAAAGAACACATGTTTCTAATGTTTTTCATATAAATTGCACTAGCTTTTTACCCGGCCCGTTGGCCGGAGAATTTCATTTTATCGTCGACATTAATTCAATTTATCTATATGTTTAAACTATTTTAAACCTTCTAAATTTATTATATTTTGTATTGATAAGTGAGTATGTGGTGTGTCTATATATTGAAAATTCTCAATACTTGGCACATTCACTTATAATGTTTGAATTCTCTAATCATAAACCATGTAACAAATGTATACCACGTCCCATGTACAATTTTTTCTATCTTATATGAATCCACGTTGTTCAGATGAGGACATCTTAGTTAGAGTTTCTTTGTACATATACTTCATTATTGGATAAATTTCTTCATCCCAATTAAAAGTTGACACTTTGGATGTTCATGAAGTTTACTGTAAGATCTTATTTGTATTTAGTTTCTTATACAATATGTATCAATTGCTAATTTTTGAAATTTAATTTGGACTAACTGAGACTCATTGTTGTTGTTTATATATTATTTTAGAATCTCAATCCAAAATACTCACATACGGATTTTGATCTTAATATGGTGCGTTAGTGTATAATCTTACAACTTGTAGAACCTTCATTTTCTAAAATCATTTATGTTTGTTATTTGTTTAGAATTAAAATTTTCATTACTTATACTAATATATGCATTTTTCTGTATGGCCACATTTATTGTCAATATATAGCATATATATTAAAAAGAGTTTAATTATATTTAAGTGTAATTAATACTTGTTTTTTACCGGGATTTGTAAATGTTAAGAAAATAAGGGGAAATATGAATAATTGTAAAAGAAAATAAGGGATGGAAGTACACATTATAAGTGAGAGAAAAGTTATTCTTACTTATCATCTTCATTTATCCAATGAGGTGATCTATTCTTGCTCCATTGAATTTTTATCAAATTATTTTATTCCGTAAATATATTATTAGTTATGCATGTGTTTTATTGCAAAAAAATGCATGTGTTTGCTAAGAAAGATCATACCGATGATCAACTTCTCTAATCTTGCCTCATTTTCATGTGAATGTTCATGAAGTCTCCTAACGATCTTATGTAAACATATGTCTATCAAGAGACCCAAATTTAGTATATTATATAACAGAGTAAATACATTTTATTAACCAAATTTTTCAAAAAAATTCAAAATACAAAGTATTAGCCAAACGTTAACTCCCCGTTAGCATTTTTGTTAGTAATATTGACTCAACAACATGATGATGCGTTGGAAGAGACACGTGACGGTCTATAATCCAATTTAGTATTTTAATTAAAAAAGAGTTACAAAATTATTAATGATAACAAAAAAATGGTTAATATTTTGATGTGATACAAAATATTTGGCTAATCATTTGTAGTTCGAAAGGTTTGGCTAATAATTTAAAAAAACTGAAAGGTTTAGCTATTTAAATGTTATTTACTCTATGTATCAATTGCTAAGTTGTCTCCTCCCCCATTTTGTCACGACCGCTAATGAAGTTCTATACCAGATCTGCTCTGTCCAATCCTCACCTTTGTCCACTAATTCACGGCCCATATAGTAACATCGGCAGCTGAATTTTAAATTGTCCTCCTGCACCATTTCTCACATGCGCCACCAAATTGTTGACATAGTTAGTTTCGTCTACCCGGGTATCTCCACTCTCTATTGCATTTAACATCCATTATTTGGTTTACTTTCCTTCACTCAAAATTTCTTCTCCTAACGAAAAATCAAAAGGTAATGGCCTAACACCTACTTAGCATATGACGTAAACTGAAAATTTACTTAATAAGATTTATTCAAATATTTTATTTTAAACAATCGCGATACATGTCAGCCTCTAAACATTAGTATACTGCTGCTACACACATATACTACAAAAGGTACAAATGAATTATTAAATAAAAACAAAAGGAAACATTAAATGAAGATAGAGATAGCAACATAAATTGAACATTAACTTACTTTTGTGTTTGTAAAAAAGTGTCAACCATGATAATTTGTAAATTTTTCAAGTGCTTATGTGGCAACAAACTATTGTTGAATTGTCACAGATAGATAGATAGACAGATAGATAGATTTTAAACCTTTATTTGATTATCGCATAGGTCAGTGGTTGATGAACACATGATGTTTAACATACAGTTTAGCAAAGATTCATCTAACTTTCACATGTATCATTTTTTAATGTATCTCGTATCTCATCTTAAGACATGAAGTCAAGTTCATAAACAATCATACCGAAGTCATTTTGAAAATTTTGATTTATAATCCTTGAAAATTTATTACTTCAAGTTTGAAAATTAAATTTCTTAACATATGACGTAAAACTTCAGTAGAGTTTGCTCAATTAACACGATCTAGAGCAAAAATGTAAAATATTAGTAATTTGAACTTAGGATACATTGTAAATTATTGCACCTATGATTCATATGTCTTCACTTAATTAGAATGAATAAGGTTTTTGTTTAAGAAATAGATTGTATTGCTTGGTCAAGTTTCTATTCAAACGTTTCTTGTTTTCTCTCTTTAATTTCCATCTTTATTTTGTCGCGATAAAATGTTATTATGTATGTGTGTTTGTATAAATTGTTCATTAAAATGTAACATATTTGTAAATTATTGTAAAAGTGAGTTAAAAGTTTACTTAGTGAGCTTTAATAAGATATTTTTTTGGTTGAGAAAAAAGTTATATGTGTGACTCAAAGACATTAGTCTATTGTTGTGTACATCGATACAATGCAAAAGTAAAAAAAAAACATAAAGGAAGCATTGGAAAAGAAAAATAAATATTAACAAAGTTAGAGATAACAAATGTAATATATGTCACTTTTCATACATTATTTATTATTGTGTACATTGATATAATACAAAAAAAGGATAAAAGATCAATGAAATATTAAATGAAGAGAGAGATAGCTCCATAAATATACCAATAACTATTTTTCTTTTTGTAAAAATATTGTCCACTTTGGCAATTTGTGAACTCTCTAAGTGCTTAGGTGGCAAACAATTACTTTTGAATTACCATAATATTATGTGTAGATAGATAGATAGATAAAAAGATACCCATTGGGTCGACCTGCCCCGACCCGCGACCCATGATAAATTATCCGACCCGACCCGTCCCGGACCTACCCATTACCATTCCTACTAGCAAACTAGCTATAGATGATGAAAGCGAAATCTCAGCAGTAAGCTCTGAGACAGATCACCAAGGCATGTGGATCTTTCAGTTCACCATAAGGTTCAGCCAACATGCATTCATGATCGTTGATCCACCCCAGAAGTTGTCGATCTCGTAGTTAGGCACTTGGCCTGTAAAACTAGTTATACGAATTAAACAATTTCACACACACAGAGAGAGAGAGAGAGAGAGAGAGAGAGAGAGAGAGAGAGAGAGAGAGAGAGAGAGAGAGAGAGAGAGAGAGAGAGAGAGAGAGAGAGAGAGAGTATTATAAACTAAACTTACGTATTATAAACTAAACTTACGTAACCTGAAGGAAAGGAAGACTTAACAAGGATGTGGCAGGACCCAGGAATTTGCATCCTTTGGAATCCACTACGAGCCCTTTTTGGCCTTCAAACAGTTTCCCCATGTATGCGGCGAAACTAGGATTCCCCCCTCCACCTTTTTTTATTCTCTGTGCCTCTCCGGGGCACAGCTAGCTGGCTCCTGCTCCGAATTAACTTCTCTTCTTTTACAGTTTCGCATCCAATAGAATCATATTTGCCCCTTCATTAATAATTCATTAATCACAATCATTAAACATGAAAATTGGGAAATTAGAGATTAGCTAAAAATGTCAATGCCTGGCTAGCAATATAAATACATTCCCTCCTCCAGCCACTTCTCATCACCACCACCACCACATCCCACATTGAGTTGGAGAAAAACCCGAACTAAGCGCAAAGTAAAGCTAGCTAGTAATTAACTACTTCGATCATGGGGGATCCACGTTCAATGCCGGCCAACCGGCCAGACTTCGCCTTCTCGGTGGAAGCCGAGGACCCATCGGCGGCCAAGTTCGACCTGCCGGTTGACTCGGAGCACAAGGCGACGAAGTTCAAGCTCTTCTCCTTCGCCAACCCGCACATGCGTACGTTCCACCTGTCGTGGATCTCCTTCTTCACCTGCTTCGTCTCCACCTTCGCCGCCGCACCTCTCGTCCCCATCATCAGGGACAACCTCAACATCACCAAGAGCGACATCGGCAGCGCCGGCGTGGCCTCCGTCTCCGGCTCCATCTTCTCCCGCCTCGTCATGGGCGCCGTCTGCGACCTCCTGGGACCCAGGTACGGTTGCGCCTTCCTCGTCATGCTCTCCGCCCCGACCGTCTTCTGCATGTCCTTCGTCTCCGACGCCTCGGGCTACGTGGCGGTACGGTTCATGATCGGATTCTCCCTCGCCACCTTCGTCTCCTGCCAGTACTGGATGAGCACCATGTTCAACAGCAGCATCATCGGCCTCGTCAACGGCACCGCCGCCGGCTGGGGGAACATGGGTGGGGGCGCGACGCAGCTGATCATGCCCTTAGTCTACGAGATCATCCGACGTGGCGGGGCCTCACCCTTCACGGCCTGGAGGATCGCGTTCTTCATCCCCGGCTGGCTCCACGTCATCATGGGGATCATGGTGCTGACTCTGGGACAGGACCTGCCAGATGGCAACCTCGGGGCCCTACAGAAGAAGGGTGACGTGGCGAAGGACAAGTTCTCGAAAGTCCTCTGGGGCGCGCTCTCCAACTACCGGACGTGGATCTTCGCCCTTTTGTACGGTTACTCCATGGGTGTCGAGCTGTCCACCGACAACGTCGTGGCGGAGTACTTCTACGATAGGTTCGACCTCAAGCTCCACACCGCCGGGATTATCGCCGCGACTTTCGGGATGGCGAACCTCGTGGCGAGGCCGTTTGGAGGGTACGCGTCCGACGTGGCGGCGAAGTACTTTGGGATGAGGGGAAGGCTGTGGACGTTGTGGACGCTGCAAACCCTAGGCGGTGTTTTCTGCATTTGGTTGGGAAAAGCGAGTACGCTACCTCTAGCGATCTTGTCGATGATTTTGTTCTCCGTCGGAGCTCAGGCGGCGTGTGGGGCCACGTTCGGGATCATTCCCTTCGTGTCTCGGCGGTCGTTGGGGATCATATCGGGTCTGGCCGGTGCGGGTGGGAACTTCGGGTCGGGTTTGACCCAGCTGGTGTTCTTCTCGACGAACCGATACTCGACGGAGACGGGGCTGTTTCTGATGGGGATTATGATCGTGTGCTGCACGCTTCCGGTGACTTTGGTGCACTTCCCGCAGTGGGGAGGGATGTTCTTCCCGGCGTCGAGCGATCCGGTGAAGTCGACGGAGGAGTATTACTACGAGATGGAGTGGAGCGAGGAGGAGAAGCAGAAGGGATTGCACCACAACAGTCTCAAGTTCGCCGCCAACTGTCGGTCGGAGCGTGGGCCCCGCCGTGGGAGTAATGTTGCCTCCGTTGCCACTCCGCCCACTGCGACGCCGAATCATGTCTAGTAATGAATTGGATGGTGGCTAAGGGTGAGAATACCTAAGAGTGGCGAGGTGGCTTTTTTTCTCTATAATAATCAAGTCTGGAAAAAAAGAAAAACAGTTAATTTATATTATTTATGTGGAATTCATCGTGGAAGATGAATTTTTACTTAAATAATGCGAATGACTAACCCAAAAGGAAAGAGTGTGAGAGGCTCGAGATATCCACAAATTACTTAGATGCACCTTATGTAAGGAAGAGATGATATTATACTTTGTGTGAGTGTGTTTTACATATATACAATTGTTTTTCCAGCAAAACAAGATACAGCACTTCTGGGTTATTATATTGAGTTTCTCTGTGATTGAAGGTTTATTATATTGAGTTTGAAAAGTTTTGGACGGAAAAATTCTCTAACTCAGATTGCCACAAGTGACATAAAAGTAAGTCCATTCCATTTAGTAATCCGGAAATTGTGTTGATATAGTCATGAAATGCTATAATCATGGAAGTCCTATATTCATGTAGAAATTCACTATATCGCAATTGCAAAACGAAGGGGAGTTGAAGATGGTGGGTGGAGATCAGGATGAGACATCGGAGGGATTCAGGAGGGTAATCACTATCTTCTCGATCTCAAGCATTGAAATTCCTTTCTCTCTTGTCAATCTCAAATTTCCAATTTTCTCTCTCGCTCTCCTAGGCCGATTGTTGTATGTAGGAGCCTTCAGTATACAAAATCTGAAACTCTTTAAAGCTCGACTCAATCGTGCCCACCACTTAGCAATTTCCGGAAGATTCACTGTGGCGGCTCATACGAATGTGGTTCACAGAGGGCAGCTTTTGGAGTGGTTAATACCGACTCCGATGGAAAGATTTGTGATGGAAAGGCTGGAAGGATTATTTGTTCCTCCCCAATTGAGGCGGAAGCTAGAGCTATCCTTGAAGCATGTCAAGTTGCCGCTGACGACCGAGTTCCCTCAACGATCCATTCTGACTCTAAAGGTTTCTGGTGGAAGCTATTCACAATGATTCTGCATGCTGGCCATGGCGATGTTATGCAACCCTTGCCTCTATCACCAAGATTATGCGGTGCTCATATTGGATTCATATCCCTTTCACTAGCCATTAGAGTAATAAAGAAGTCGATTGGGTTGCTCGTAATTCTAGAATGAATCCCCCTACACCTGGATTGACTCATTGTACGTACTTGTTGTTATTTCTGACATGCCGTAACTTTCCTGCTTCAGTTGGGTTTGAATGAAAAAGTATTGTTATTAAAAAAAAAAAGAGTTCAAATTTTTGAAAACTTGAGATTGGAGAAGAGAGTTTCGGATGGAGAGAGTGAGTTTGCAAAGCTTGTGTGAGAATGATTTCGGCTTTCCTAAAATTCCCGCATATTATGTAGAAATTCACTATAACTATATAGCTTCAAAATTACGGGGAAGGTGAAGATGGTGAGTGGAGATGAGGATGAGACATCGGAGGGATTCATGAGGGGAGGAACGAGAACTTATTTTGGAGAACCGAAATCACTATATTCTCGTTCTCAAGCATCAAAATCTCAACCTCCCTCTTCTCTCAATCTCAAATTTCCAATCTTCGCTCTCGCTCTCTCTAGTCCGATTGTTGTCTGCGTAGAAACGTAACCTTCAGTCCAAAATCCAAAATGCTTTAAAGATCGTCTCGAGCTTGAGCTTAGGTATCTTTTATCGAGCTGTCCAAGGCTTGTTGTTTGAGATTGTCCTCGGTTGCCACAGTCCCGCCCACCACGTACATGTGAATCTAATGTGGTTTCTGTTGATATTTCATCTTCATCTAATCACACAAATTCAAATAAAAAAGTTCCCCACTAATTAAATGACAGAAGAATTAGTCAACTTACAATGTACAAACCCACTAATAATGCAGTTCCAAGAAGTAAACGGGATTACCATATTTAGATAAGATGATCCACCTACTATGCCTTCAATAATGGTGCAAATCAAATAGTAATCTTTAGCCACACTCCATCGTTGGACTGACGTGTTTCATTTTTTATTTAGTTCCAAGACCCTTGGACGGCATACGTATGCATAAAGCAATAATTCGAAATAACAATAATTTATATATATATGCAAAACAATACTAAGCTTGACTTGAAAAGATCATGTATACAAAATAGGTTATTAATGAGACGAGTTGAATAAAATTTTAATATGATTTGATAAAAATTTTAACCTCAAACTCGAGACGAATTTGAAAATACCGGGATGGGATACGGTAACAACCCCTAAGGGGTTGGGAGATTGACAACTAAGGGTATTTTAGGTATGACAAAAAAAAACGAATTTATTAATTAATTTTTTTATTAACTACAGATTGGGAATTAAAAATTCATATTAAATACATGTTTTTTTTTAATTTTGAATCCTACAATAAATACAACTCTCTCTTTCAATCTCTCTCTTACTTTTCAAGCAACCACTCCACTCCGACCAGCAGACTTTCTCCGGCAAGATCCTTGAATACGACTCGCTCCGGCCAGCTGTAAAAAATTAAAACTCTGTCAGTACGTTAGTGGTACTTATCACTACCATCTGGTACCGGGTAGTGGTAGTGTACCACTGCCTTCTGATACTTGGTAGTGGTAGCTTACCACTCCATATAGTACCACTACCAGTAAAAAACCAGTACCACTATCACTAGAAAATCAGTACCACTAGAAAAAAACCAGATCTGAAAATCCAAAAACCACTGATCTGAAAAACAAAGAGGAGGAGAGGAGAGGAGGCACAAAGAGGCAGAGGGACTCACACCGGAAGAGGTAAGGAGAGGAGGCTAGTGGCAGGGGGAATCGATGACCTCGCGGTAGAGACCTCGTGGCAGGGGCGGAGAGCGCCGCGAGACGGCAGCAGCATGGGTGGAGGCAACAGTGTGAAGAGCCAAGGGACAGCCGACAGGGGCGGAGGTGCTACGGGACTGTTGTGGATGCGACGACGGGAATATGTGTCGGTGGCCGGTGGGAGAAGGGTTGTAGGAGGAAGGCGGCGGCGGGAGAAAGGCGACGACGGCGGGAGGAGTTGACGAGATGGGAGGAAGAAGAAGAGGAGGAAGAAGAAGGAAGAATATGTTTTGGTGGCGGCCTCAGAGAGAGGGAGAAATTTCCTGTAAGGTAAGTTATTCTTTCACATTACAATTTAATCATGAGACACTATAAAATTTATGGAGGGATATATAGTTTTTACATCAGTTAAACAAACGTATGACATATGTCATTCGTAATGGTAAAAATTTCGTAGGCCTTATGAAGATATCGTACCCCAATAATTTTATGAATTATTTAATTTCAGCTTAATTATTAAATAAGTAAATGAACTCTTAAATATAATTGATTTCTTACCCCTGCGAAGCGCGGGCAAAAGACCAGTAGAAGATTAAAAAATGGTATTTTTAGTCTCCTGATGACACAATCTAGTATATTAATACCCATGATGTAATCATGATAAGTGCACGTTTGTAAGAATTTAATATTGCCTTCATCAGATAAATTATATCATTACTCATCAAAATAAAACTAAAGAAACACCCATATAAAATTCAACTTGAGAAAGAAAGATTAAATGTACATCCCACGGTTCCAATAATGGAATAGCATATATATGGATGTTGAAAATCAACCATTGGAATTTGCTTGTGTTGCTTGTGTTAGCACTTGAAATGTTTCATTGTTTTTACGATACTTAAAAACAAAATTGAATTCATGTATAATTGCTTAAAACACACTCGCAACAAGTATGTTACATGAGATGTATGTAACTTGGATACATCAAGTCTATCACACTCCGACTCGTCATTTCGATTATTCTATGTGAAATTCATTCCATGATGAATCACATAAAAATAACCAAGTTAGCGTCTCTTTTTTTCGTAGACTTGATTTTAAACGCTTATTACGGGACAATAAAGTAAGAAAAAAAAAACTCCCACACAGCATTCTAGCTTTAGCTCATCCCCCTTGTCCCTCTTCATTACTAGACATGATGATTCGGCGTCGCATTGGGCGGCGTAGCGACGGAGGCGATATTATTCCCACGGCGGGGCCCACGCTCCGACCGACAGTTGGCGGCGAACTTGAGACTGTTGTGGTGCAATCCCTTCTGCTTCTCCTCCTCGCTCCACTCCATCTCGTAGTAATACTCCTCCGTCGACTTCACCGGATCGCTGGACGCCGGGAAGAACATCCCTCCCCACTGCGGGAAGTGCACCAAAGTCACCGGAAGCGTGCAGCACACGATCATAATCCCCATCAGAAACAGTCCCGTCTCCGTGGAGTATCTGTTCGTCGAGAAAAAAACCAGCTGGGTCAAACCCGACCCGAAGTTCCCACCCGCACCGGCCAGACCCGATATGATCCCCAACGACCGTCGAGACACGAAGGGAATGATCCCAAACGTGGCCCCACACGCCGCCTGAGCTCCAACTGAAAACAAAATCATCGACAAGATCGCTAGAGGTAGCGTACTCGCTTTTCCCAACCAAATGCAGAAAACACCGCCTAGGGTTTGCAGCGTCCACAAAGTCCACAACCTTCCCCTCATCCCAAAGTACTTCGCCGCCACGTCGGACGCGTACCCTCCAAACGGCCTCGCCACGAGGTTCGCCATCCCGAAAGTCGCGGCGATTATCCCGGCGGTGTGGAGCTTGAGGTCGAACCTATCGTAGAAGTACTCCGCCACGACGTTGTCGGTGGACAGCTCGACACCCATGGAGTAACCGTACAAAAGGGCGAAGATCCACGTCCGGTAGTTGGAGAGCGCGCCCCAGAGGACTTTCGAGAACTTGTCCTTCGCCACGTCACCCTTCTTCTGTAGGGCCCCGAGGTTGCCATCTGGCAGGTCCTGTCCCAGAGTCAGCACCATGATCCCCATGATGACGTGGAGCCAACCGGGGATGAAGAACGCGATCCTCCAGGCCGTGAAGGGCGAGGCCCCGCCACGTCGGATGATCTCGTAGACCAAGGGCATGATCAGCTGCGTCGCGCCCCCACCCATGTTCCCCCAGCCGGCGGCGGTTCCGTTGACGAGGCCGATGATGCTGCTGTTGAACATGGTGCTCATCCAGTACTGGCAGGAGACGAAGGTGGCGAGGGAGAATCCGATCATGAACCGTACCGCCACGTAGCCCGAGGCGTCGGAGACGAAGGACATGCAGAAGACGGTGGGGGCGGAGAGCATGACGAGGAAGGCGCAACCGTACCTGGGTCCCAGGAGGTCGCAGACGGCGCCCATGACGAGGCGGGAGAAGATGGATCCGGAGACGGAGGCCACGCCGGCGCTGCCGATGTCGCTCTTGGTGATGTTGAGGTTGTCCCTGATGATGGGGACGAGCGGGGCGGCGGCGAAGGTGGAGACGAAGCAGGTGAAGAAGGAGATCCACGAAAGGTGGAACGTACGCATGTGCGGGTTGGCGAACGAGAAGAGCTTGAACTTCGTCGCCTTGTGCTCCGAGTCAACCGGCAGGTCGAACTTGGCCGCCGATGGGTCCTCGGCTTCCACCGAGAAGGCGAAGTCTGGCTGGTTGGCAGGCATGGCGTTGTTGTCCCGGCCCATGATGGTGGAAGTTTGTTACTCGCTAGCTTTACTGTTTAGTTTTGGGTTCGTTGTGGTGGTGGTGGTGAGAAGTGGATGGACGGGGGAGTGAATTTATATTGGTTGGGGATTTGAGGCATTGACATTTTGAGATGGGAGATCATGAGTTCATGTTGTTCAACTTTTTTTTTTTTGTGTTAGGTTAGTGTATTGTGGATTAATAAATTGTTAGTGAAGGGGCAAATAAGATTCAATTGGGTGGGGGAAAATGTAAACCCAGAATAATTAAGATTCAAGTAGTGTAGCTTAGCTGTGGCACGGAGAGGCAGACAGAATATACAGTAGAGGGAATCCCAGTTTCGCCGCATACATGGGAAACTATTTAGGGCAAAGAAAAAAAAAAAGGGGCTTGTGGTATATCCCAAGGGATGCAATTCATGGAGCCCAACTCTTTGTTTAATGAAAGTCTTCATTCCCTTGGGTAATTAAGCTTTGATCATCAACTCTCTAACTCTGATCTCCCTCCTGTTTAATTCTTATAATATTTTCAAAGTACGTTTAACTTAATCAAAATAGCGTTATATATGTTGACCAAAACGTTGTTATAACTTGTAGACAGATTATCTGTGTTGTGCTATATCCCTCTTCAACATTGATGCATTTGGAGGGTATGAAAAGCCAAAATAGTTGTACAGATACTTAACTATCATTGTAGAGAAGAGTAGAAGTTACTATGTGACTTTGAGCATTTTTTTTTTGTTTGTTTCTGCTCGTCAATTATTTCAGAACAATCCCATGTGATGTCCCATATCCAATTTCGCCTCCATAGTTAGGATATTAATTAAAGAGGAATGTTATCATCTTCGCATATCATTTATGCAAATCATTACAGCAAAATCATAATTGACTAAGCATTACCAATGCCCTAGATATATGTTGTCACTAAACGTCGTTTCTTACGACGGGAAAGTAGAGTGGTAATATAGGTTCTCATCAATCCTTTTGATTTAATTTGTTGTGGTTAGTTTGTCTTTGCAACATCTTTGTAAATAAATAATATTAATTTTAGTTTCAGATCTCTCTGTAAAACTTGAGTTATTGAGCTTAATTAATTAGTTGAGAAAATCTTTTACGAATAAGTCTCATGTTTGGGTTTCGTTAACCCCTTATGTTTGATTTGGTCCTAGTCTTTCCCTTATTCGAATTCACTTTCTTGTTTTTGTTTTGTGAAGTGAAAAAAACTGTTGATCTCTAGTCAGATGGCTTGCCTAGTCTAAACCATACCGCACATACACACTCTGGACCATATAACTTCGATATTTAGCCCCTAATTTGTGTTTCGGTCTCTTGATCTAGATCATAGACCATATATATGCTCATTTATCCACCCTAATTGATACGGCTCGGTGATAATTAACCAAAAATTTGGTACAAAGCAACTTGCCAAGTATAGGATAGGGACTAGCACAATAATCAAATCACAATAAGAGCTAAAAGTCCACCTATCATGCATCCATCATTCAACCATCCACAATCGATAATGTACTCAATCATTTGCTATATTTGCGGCAAAATTATTATTATTGCCTAATAAAGTATAACCTTAATTTTCCCAATATTGCTGAGGTCAAAGAGTACACATTCATACCTTTGATTAGCACGAAGTACTGAAATTTGTCGTCCTGCCCACTTGTTCCCATGTCCTGATCACATTACCCTTTCACAAACCCTAGAGGGTTTTTCATTTCCAAAAAAAAAAAAAATATTAATTCCAGGGGCTTAATTATTGCTATATTTTAGGTTCTTGTGTAGACTTTGGAGACTTGCGACTTTTTTTTTTGCTGATGCAATTTGAGATAAATGATAGATTACGAATTTCTTCTTTGGGTAATGAGATAGATCAGCTCGTTTCTTGATTTAATTAATAAAATGCCATGATGCAATCATGATAAGTGCACCGTGTATAAGAACTTGCCTTGATCAGATATTATTTTTGTGTAGATATTCCTCTCCTAAGTCATAAGATAAACTTGAGAAGAAAAAGTGAACATGTACGTACCACAATTCCAAAGATGGAATTAGAATACATGGATTTTTAAAATCAATCATTGGATGGCTAATGGAACCTCTGGCCGGCCACTTGCCGTACAATTTGAAGAGGGTCTAATCTCAAGTTGGGATATTTGACAAATTTAGCATTGAGATAGCATATATATTGGATTACGTCATTACAACCTCTCGAGTTTGAAGTAATATAATTATGAAAATGCCGTCTGATTAATTTTGTACCAGAAAAAGAAAAGTACTATTCAATTTGGGGGTAAGGAAAGACAAATTATATATGATGAGATGATATTAATAAAATTACGTGACGACTATAATTATTAACATCTCGTTTGTAAATTACATATTGTATAACGAAAATGATTTGAATAGTACTCGATCACAGAACGATTTATACGAGTTGGCTCATTGCTAATAATATCTGTTTGAGACCACTGAAAATTGTTGAGGCCTATGCCTTTCCTGCTTTCCATATGAACTCTGCCAAGAGATTAGCATCGAGGGCAACAGAGTGTCATTTTCAGGTTGGGACAGCAGTTTGTTCAAACGACGACAACGAAGAAGAAGAAGAAGAAGAAGAAGAAGAAGAAGAAGATGGACAAGGCCACAAGGAGGAATGGCATTCGGAAATAGTGTGGGCTTTTATGTTTCTGGACCATTATACCGAGAGAATGTGGGCTTGAAGATAAGCGTGCTCTCAGTGGATCCGAGTCTCTGGCCCAATGGTAAAGGAGGAGAGGGAGATCCCAAGTCCATTGTGTATATACTATATATGTACTAGTTTATATGAAATTATGAATGATTAGAACCCTCCATCAGTATTTGATCTAAATTTATATAAAGTCTATTTATATTTGAAAAAAAAAATATTAGGGGATTGTCTACATGGTGGATTGGAAAAATGAATTATCTGATAAATATATAAATTTTGGAAATGTAGAAATTTTCAAATATATTATTTGTTCAAAGAGCTTAAAGGTGGTTTGTATCATTTCTTACATCGTTACTAGTTTTCCCCTTGATAATTACCCAATTATTTTGTTCTTTACTTCATTAAATAGGAAGGCAAACTCATTATCCTCTACCAATTCTCATGCTCACCAACTAACAAACAAAAAATATCAACCCTAATTCAGATGAACTTTTACACCCACAATTGAACTTTTATACCCTTAAATCATAATAGTCGGTAAGATACAACGCCAATAAGTTATGATAAAATATATGCGTCTATATTTAATAATACGTTAATAATCGGAAAAAATATAAATATAAAGATAAAGGAGCATAACAAAAATATAAATAAAGGATGATAAATGATGTATACAATATTAAATTATTAAATAGAAAATGATATTAAACATGTTTATTTAAGTATTAAAAGACGCACATTTAAAAAGTTAAAATGTATGATGAATTTAAAAAAAAAAAAAATAGAGAACTATTAGTTCACGAGAACCTTCTAACGTGTAGACGTGTAGTGTAGTAGCCCCAATGATTTTATTTTTACCGTGTGTATGGTTTAATGGTTTGCCTTGGCTCGGGAGGGGTTACGGTGCTAATTGTACAATAGTTAGCACCGTTCTAACCAAGGGAAAAACTACTAGTAGTTTGAATTAGTAGTGATTTTATAATAATCCGTAGTGATTTCGTTATTTTTAGTAGCGTTTTTTGCTAGTTATCACGGTGCTAACCCCTATAAGGGTTAGCACCTAATCCCATCCCGCCTTGGCTCCTGGGTGGGTGGTTGGGGTAGGTTGAAACTTGAGACCGAACCAGCAGAGAAGCGATGGCTGGGCCCCAAAATCAAAGCGGGCAGACAAAAGGCCGACGGGGAAGCCCACTATCACGTGGGCATGGAGGAGCAGTCCGTACAACTTCCCCAGCGCGCCAATGGGGCCCAAGTTTTTGGGGCGAATCAGGCCTCCCACGTGAGCCCACGCTCCCTCCCACCCCCACCTTTCCCTTTCTCTTACGTCACCTTTTTTATTTTATTATTATTTTGCCATAACGCATTATTTTATTTAATAAAAAGAAAATGAAATCATACACTTGAGTTTCAGCCTTTTAGGTCATCACCTATATTAATGTACAGTATTATTATGGTGTTGGGGCGTACATGTTCAAGCTTTGAGGTAGCAAATTGTAATTTACTGTGAACTTTTTTCTCTCATATCACTAGCCAGTTGTTTACAAATAAGGATGACTTGATTAGGGTTACTGACCTCTAGTACTCTACCTGACTCTCTTCCATCCATAGATGTGGAAGTATACAGGGCTATATATCTCTCTTACCAAAAATATTTTGTTAATTACTGTGTTCTTTGCACTTTTCCACATCGTATTAGTAAATCATATGAGAGATTCATGTTCTACGATATTGACATGCACCTAATTAACCGAAGGAAGAGTTCACGAACCTCATGATTAAAGCCTAAAGTGGCCCCAACAATGATGCTTATGTTTGCACTTGCTTTCCTTCTCACCTTTTTTTTTCATTTTGCTTTTTATCAAATACATATAACGCGATCAATCCATAAACAATCAAACATTGTGGTTTGTCTTATAACATTTCTTTAAACCGATAACAAGCGTAAAACGAACATAATATATATCAAATCGAGGAGGTGCGCGCGAAGGGGCATGCTGCTAAAGCTAGGCAGAAGATCGATAATAAAGAAAGAATATCAGTTGGAACTTGGAGCGATCAGGTGAGCAAATGGCGCATGGCATGGAGGGGAATCAGATCAGGTGGGAATCTCAACTTAAAACTTGTAATATATAGTAATAATTAACAAATAATATTATTGCATATATATATAACCTGAAAGAAGCAAAAGAGTATCTGTCAGCTGGAGCCCTGCATGAAGCGGGAGAAAGGTGGAAGACAAAGAGAAAATAAAGTCGAACAGGTATTTCAGGAAAAAAGGCATTTTTTTCCAGATGGCAACTGGTGCAGTTATTCAGACTTTACAGAGAGAGAGAGAGAGAGAGAGAGAGGGAAAGAAAGAAAGAAAACGACGGAAAGGGAAAACGAGAACCCAAGTGGGCAACAGCAGCAGCAGAGAGAGAGAGAACAGAGAACAGAACTGATAGATACTGCTGCTGAGAACAACAAACCTCGAGGGACAGTAAAAACCAAATGAAAAGCCAGCGCCCAACTGAGCTGCATGCTGCAGCCTGCAGCCAGAGAAGGAAGATTGGTCTTTTTGGCTCAAGTATAAACGGAGAAGTTTGGGCTAGAGAGAGAGAGAGAGAGGGAGCACTTCACGATCGATCGAGATGAAATTGAAGGAATGAATCATTCATGGACCATGGCAAGGGTGGAGCCAGGATTTCGAAACCGGGGAACCCGAAAATAATTAAAACAAAATGTATGTAGTCAAGGAGAATCAAACCCGTGTACGTGCTTTAAAAGCACAAGTCAAGTCTGGCTACCATTAGACCACATGACTATTACACGCAGAATTTACGGACTAAGTTCTACTTATAAAATTTGTACTAAATATCCTTACGATCCTAGGGGCCGAGACCAATCCCGGGAGGGTCCGGGGCCCACCCTAGCTTGAGTGTAGCTCCGCTCCTAGTCACCATGGTTGATGGTCTATATGTATAGTGATAGTTGTTAGTTGTACATAACTTTTGTTTTGATGGATGTCCTGTGAGTAGAGGAAAGAAAGTTCGGAATTTGGCATCACAACGATCAGTTGATCAAATATGTGTCGACAATTTATGTTTGCTAAACTTATATGTTACTTGTAGAGCTTCGTATATTTGAACCACCCTTTCTAAAATGTGAACAAAATCACCACGCTCGAGTCAATTATAAGCTTGCAGCCCGACGATAACTTATAACAGAGTCACGACATTGAAGTGTTGAGTGGATTTTCTGGTTTTTGGTCCACTTCCCTTTTTGAAAAAATGTTACATTAATTGTCATTTTCATTGATCATATATATATACAACATTCTTTTCACAGTGTTTTGAGAATTCAAAATCGATAATATTATAAAGCGATTTAACTTCAAGTCTTTCTCCAAGAACAGGACATTCGGCTGACTTCAAACAGTTTCATATACTCCAGTAACACAATAATTCACTCAAAACACCAAAGAGACCATCACATTGTATATAGAAACCGTTCTTGCTAGCTCTCCTACATCGCAACTCTATTTCCCCAAAATTCTGGTTCACATGCTCACCTAATGGACGAATGATTAAAGGGGAAGACAAAGTGTTTAGCTTTCAATCTCTTTAATATATTAATAATTTTACCCCCCTCATCCCTCCTACTAATTAATCCAAAGTAAATGATTAACAATAATTAAGCTCTTGATCTTAAAGATACTCTTTCTTGTTGGACTCTACCTGGGAGGATATGGTTTAGGGTTATCATCTCTAGAGTCTAGATAATCAACTAACTTAGACTCACATATTCCCACCTTTATGAGGTTGACAACCTGCCATTAGGTAAACTAGTCCTTGATTTTCAAAACACATGATGATATTTCGTGTTTCTTTCTATCGTTTCATTTTAAAAACGAATTTCATGTTATTGGTACATGGAAATTCGTGTCATCATCATGATATCTTCACTGCTCATATAGTTCAAAAATTCTTTGCCACCCTCAACTCTGCAATACGTTTGGGTTACCCATAATATATTTGATCCATATTTCATGTCAAGTTTTGTTGGGCCTCTCATAGATATTCATACAAATTAACTATATATACAAATGTATTGTAATATCATATTTAGTTAACAAAATTTCATCCACCCTATTACATAAACTCTTAGAATATATGAATTCTACGTTATTACGTGCTTATTAGAACATCCGATAACCTCCAAGTGAGTTCCTTGAGACTGAAATAGTTAGCCTTCCTTTTTTCTTTTTGAAAAAAAAAAAATACTTAGAGAACCAATCAAATAGTACATAGTTAGGTGTTGTTTGTGGGGTTTACATGGGGATTTATGTATGCCAAAAGTACTATACATGTAATTTTTATTTTGTATTTCATTTTAAATAGATATCATAATATTGATACATGAAATTCTTCTCATCACCATAATATCTTCAATATCCATGTAACTCAAAAATTTCTCTGTCACCCTCATATTTTCAATACTATTGTATTTCATATTTAATTTCAAGTTTAGTTGATTTCCTCGCGTGATTTCATAAAAACTTTTCAAATTCATGAATTCTAAAACACCCGATAACCTTCGAGTGAGTTCGTTTGAAACTGAAACAACTAGCTAGCCTTTTTTTTAAATATTGGAAGGACCAATCAAATAGTACATAGTTAGGTGTTGTTTGTGGGATTTATATGGGGATTTCTATATCTATGGCAAAGGTACTATTACAGCTAAGCACCAACCAATAAAATTCCAAATTCAAAACATTTAAAAAATAAAAAAAATCATTGTCAGCCCAGCCCACCAAAGAAACAAAAACTAACAATTGATAAATAAATAAATAAATAAGAACAACACAAATACATAAATTTGTGGGAAGGTAATTAATAATAAGGCATGCAATTAGCTCTTCCTTCACTCCTCCACTACTGTATAAAAATACCCTCTACTCCTCCTCTACAGTACTACATATATGCAAGAAGAAAGCCCTCTCCTCTCCATGGCCATCATTACCCCATCTGTCCTCTCTTCAGCCTCTAATCAACCATCTCCACTCGTTTTTTTTTTTTTCTTCTTCTTCTTCTGAATCAAGTTCTTCATAGTCTCGTCGCTTCTTCTTCTTCTTCTTCTTCTTCTTCTTCTTCTTCTTCTTCTAAGCTCTCGATCGACAGGGTTTTTCTAGGGAGCTGGGGAGAGGCCGAGCCGTCGTTTGCTGATGTAGCATCATCAAGATTCACATGCAGAGATTCGATTCAATTTGGCAGCTGAGAATCTTGATGATGCTGCATCGGCCATCGACGGCTGTTTATATACATGTGTTTTACAGATCCATGAAAATGGAGATTCCGTCAATCAATCTATCCTCCACAGGTGAGCATGCATCTAATTTCAAGCTAGCTAGGGTTTCATTTTCCCTTCCCGCCCCTGACCGGAAAGTACTCTTAGGGAAGATAAACTCTAACCACCATGGTCACCGTTCAAATCATGGCCGGTGACTGCAAAGTTTTTAGATAGCATGATTTTAATTTGTTGCTATGTTTCGAAGATTTGTCATCAAATAAATCTGTATATATGTTACTTTTTCCTTACAAATTAGGTCGTGAATAAGGTGTTATCTTCATATTTATTACCTTCTCAATTAATCTCTGTACGTAATCTGTATTTTCTCAAAGTATAATACCGGAATCGATCATTTTTTCTCGTGGATCAGCTAACATATATATAAATCGTGTTATAGACGAAAATCTGTGTGTTCTCCACTAAATATGCATGCAGATCATTGATTGATTTAACAAAAGCTTCTTGATTATGGAGGGCGATGTTGAGTATACGGAGATATCAGAGGAGCAGCAGGAGTCGATCGGAGTTCGAGCAGGCTGCTGAAAGGTACGTATGATGATGATTCAACTTGTAGAGATCGAATATACTTCGAAACTAGCTGCTCTGTTAATATATAGATGGATAGATAGATAGATTGATGGGATCTTCCTCCATTTATATATAGTTTATTGGTGAGTAGTGATCTCAGCTAATAGAGCTTTTCGTGCCATGGGTTGGAGTTTGTGTGGATTCTGCCAATGACATGCATGATAGACTACAACTTCATTCATTCATTCACCTCAAAAATTACCTTAAAAATTTGGTCTCAAGTCACACACGCACACACACATGTGCCCATAACTTTTCATTTGTTTTAGTTTTGGCATCTTTCAAAACAAATTGGGAATCATTTCAGAGTTTATAGGGTGACATATGAATGTGCCAATCTAGATATATGAGTATTTTATACTAAGTTTAGAATGTGAGGTAGTTAAGTATGTCATGTCTTTCATTGTGGAAGTTTGTATTGAATTTTCTAGCTATATGTTGATTCTTTAAAATTGAAGGGGAATTTATCAGGTTGAGGTTTAAGATTGAACTTATATTCGGAATCTCTCGTTCTCTTTCGATTTCGCAACATCATCAATTTCTCAACAACTGAAATGATCAATGGTTTCTCAAACTCCACATCTGATTATTCAGTAAACATTCTTTCTCCCAAGTGGGTTTTCTTCTTCATGCTTTTCCTCTTTGGTGTCCTAGCTAGTAGGAATATTATATCATTGAAACTTGGAAAATGATGGTTGATCAAACCAACTAATCAAGTAGCTATATGAGTGAACAAATTGCATTGTGGAGATGTAAAAGTACTATTCACTTCTAATCAAGCTTCTTCTTGCTTATAGACAAACTCAGCAAACCCACTATGTAAATATGTAATCTGAATTATTATGTGTAACTTAGTGTTTGCAGATTTATGTCATGATGATGAGCTGCCTAGCTAGATAGGTAATTGGCTCAATCTCTGTTGTGAACTTTGGTGGACCAAGTTTTGATTTGGATCTTTTGTGAGTTTTCAAAAACACACTGCTGATCTCTCCCTCTCCCTCAGAAACCATCATTCAGTAGCCATCTCTCAGTCTGTCTCTCTGTTTCTTTTGGGCCACCCTATGTGTCTCACCTATTTCAATAATGGTACTATTGGAACTTGATCACTTGCTAGCCTTGTTGGCCCCAAAATATATGTGCATATATACCCCCTCAGTGAAAAATATAATTAGCTTGTTTATCTTTTCATTGATTAATATGTACAATGTTTTTGTATGTCTAATGCGGCTACATTTAGGGTTTGGAGGTGGGAAATCAGAAATGCCATATATATATATATATATATATATATATATATATATATATATATCGGTATGAGTATTGAGTCAAAGGCAAGATGAGGATCGATCGATGGAGGAGTTTTATCGAAGGCTGACCTAATCGAATTGAATAACATCTCGCGATATGATCATTCAATTAAGTCGTCTTCGTTAACTCATCCGATCCGCGGTACGTACTCCATTCCTTCGTTCATTCATTTCTTCGTTCAACTTGGATCTTCGTAACAAAGACAGCGACGATTCGTGTCGTTCTGGAGATCTGTGTGCCATCCTTGTAGCTTTATGATCACCATGGACCTCAAAAGCAATCGATCGATCTAGGTGGGTTCACATGTTGGATTGATCAATCTCATTCACTTAGCTCATATATCCACTCGTCCTCCCTAGCTAGCTAGCTTTTTGTAGTTCTTTCACAGTCGTGAAAATCCAAGGCCGGCCCACTGATCGATTTCAAATCTATCTTCAATGTATCGACGAGTTCCCTTTTGCTCGATCTCTTTCCCTTAATTTCCAATAATAGGTGGGCATGGAAGTTCCATTCTTGTGAGCCCTAATGGCTATCTCTTTTTCAAGATCGTGTCTGTACTATGTGTCTGTGGTGGCCTATCTAGCTAGTCGTTTAGTTACTGCTATGTACTTCGTAAATTTGATTAATCAGAGCCGATCACACTTTATTAAATTCTGTGTCTATCGCGCGGTACAACTTAAACCGATACTTGAAATGATACAAGAGCCTTTGATATCGAATCCTAATAACCTCATGACTGAGAAAGATATAACTAACATATTCTCAACATGATAAAGTGAAGCTTAACACTTTTGACTAATCATATTGATTACGATTTGTAGCTATCCTTCCTGTTGTACATGTGCTAACCTTAGTTACTTCTTAATTAGGATCTGACGTCTATATGCTTCCTCCACCACTGAAAGGATTTGTTTTTCTGCACTACTGGATTGCCAGAATCTCGTTTAACCTTTCTTAAACCAATTTCAATGTTGAGCTCAGCTAAAGATAATGAACTCATTAATTAACCCTAATTATCATATTGCCGCACTAAAACTAATGATGATCTGTTGACCCGTTGCAGTTTGGACAATAGGCAAGCACAAATATGAATTATAAATTATAATTTAATGAAGCATCTCTTTGATTTGAACATGTGTTGAGATTTCAGTTTTTCAAGGGAGTGGTTAAGTATTATATATGGACATCTTCCAATATTTCGGATTATGGGGACTAACTGGTTTATGACGTGATATTAGAGTTGATTTGTCTTTTGAGATCACGTGGTTATGTTCTCACGATCCCCCAATATAAATAGTTGTCTTAATATGAAATACATGGTATGGTGGGCATGTGCAAACTTCAAGCCTATGAATTGATTTTCAATTGAAAGAATGTATAAGAAAGTAATTAAATATCAAACATTAACATCTCTCAACAACTCGAGTTATTGGAGACCCATATGTTTACTAACAGTTCTTGTTTTTGTTGTCATCGTAGCCGACTTTCAAAAACACATATATTTAAGAATGTGATTGACCGACCTTGTGGAGAAAATGTCCTTTAACAAATCATCATATATATGTAAACAATTGTTCCATCTAAGTTTTTTCATTTTTTGGCGTTTTTGATGACTTTGATGTTCAAAATTTGTTGTTGGGTTAAGTAATTCTTGGGTTCTTGTTTGATTTACCTCTTGTCTTCTTGTTGCATCTCGTTTCCTGGGTCTTTTGTTTGTTTTGTTTGGTGTATTGCATATTTGCATATGCATATGCCTTGGGTTATGTTCTTTCTTCATCATCATCAAGCAAGTAAAAAAAATGGTCTGGTCATCATCAAATATTAATTGATTTGCCCTTGAGAAACGCAATTAATATTATTGCAAGCTCTGCATTATAAAATGCACATTACAGCAAGAATCATGTGCTTGGATTAAGGGACCTCCGTGTCTAAAAGTCGGTTGTTTTATTGTTAGACCATTTTCTCGTCAGTATATTTAGTACAGTGCCTTAAAATCGATGACAATTAAATCTTAATTTACGGTTCGTACTGATATGTGGTGTACGATAAATGAAAGCTTGTTAGAACGTCCATTATATATTCTTAGTATGAGAGGACTGAAAATTTGCCTGTCCCGTCCCTGTCCCTGTCTGACCCGTCCCTGAAGGGTCAAGATGTATAACCGTCCCGTCCCGTCCCTGTCTCCTTCTTGACCCTGTCTGACCCTCAAGGGTTGGGACGGGACGGGTTAGTGGGTCGACCCTAATCAACACACTACTTTTTTACAAATTACGTTTTGGTACCCAAAATTAGTTTTTCTTACAATTTAGTACCTAAATTTTATTTTATTTACAAATAAGTCCATAAATTTTGATGGTAAAATTATGTTTTGGTACCCAAATTTTTTTATTTTTACAAATTAGTACCTAAACTTTTAAAACTTTACAAAAAGGTCCAATGAAGTATGAGATATTTGTTGTTGCTAAGGGTCACAGGGTCAAAACGTAACCCGTCCCGACCCTTACAGGGTCAACAAATGACCCGTCCCTAATCTGTCCCTGTAGACAAACTGACACGTCCCGACCCGTGGTCGGGACGAGTCAGTGGGTCTTCCGGACAACCTTTCACCCCTAGTATGAGTGGCTTAGATCAAGATGGTACATGTAAATATACGGTGACTAGATGTTTATCAATATATATATGGTGACTAGATATCCGATGTGATAGGGCAAAGGGAATCGGTTAAAGGAGCAGTGGTATTGGGCCTATTGGTGGCCCAGCAACAGAGTGTAAATGTTTGATTCAGTCTTCCGTGGTCCTACACAACAAAAAGTGTTATGGATGGGCCTATACTCAATGCGGGCTTCACGTGGCAGTCATGCAATGCAACTCATGATTTGTGGGCCATGCCATTGATCCTCTTTGGATCCTCCTTCCTTCCTTCCTACCCCTCCTTTTTTATTCTAACAGTGGGGGAAAAAAAGAGAGTATATAATTAATTATATATGTCTCTTTTAGACTCTTATTATTAGTTGACTACATGTCTTAAAAAGTTGGAAGTTGGAACTAGGAAATTATAAGCTAGCCAAATTTTAGGTAGGGGTGGATGGAGTACCAAGTTGCACATATTCATGGCTGGGAGAGGATTAATATGATCAATAAACTTGTACGTACGTGTCAATCTTTAATAAAAAAATCCGACTCGTTTTCTAGATTTTGTTAATCACGAAAAGGAAAAAAAAAATACCCATTACCATGATGAATGTAAGGAGCACCATCGATCGAGACCCATTTTGGAGGGCCTCTCAAAGTAGGAGAGTATCATGACGCCTCCTTGTTTGCAAGTATCGACGACATTTGAGAGTCCACATGTCCACTGATATATAACATTTATTTCATGTAACAATCTATGAATTTGATCAATAGGTTAAGTTGTCAAAAAAATCTTCACAATGACATCTGACTCGAATATCTGTGTGACGACACTCCACTTGACCACTAGTGGATTTGTCACCAAAAGAGGCTTATAGTCTATAGAATTTGCTTCCCCTAGCCAAAGGCGTGCTGGTTTAGCGAAATGAGGTTAATCATGATCAACCAAAATTCATATTGAAGTACTGTTTTATTAGTTACTTGAAATTCTTGTGACTGATTTGTCAAATCGAAATTTTGGTGACTGATTTGTTAGACTAACTCCAACCCTTGCTTGCAAATTTGCATAAAGTGTGTTTTTTGCCTTTTTTCATCTCCAACCCATCACAAATTCAGCTTCCAAATTTGGAGATTGCAGTGTTGGGGTGGATAGGTAGCAGCTTGGAGGGGGAAAGGGGTCAAATATAGCAGCACAAAAGTGGACAACGCGGCAGGCGAGGCCCAACCGCGGGAGGCGCGCCTGGGCCGCACCTCCCGCGGTTGGGCCTCGCCTGCCGCGTGGTCCCCCTGCTGCTGTTTTTTTTTTTTTTTCAATTGTGGTATTTGTGTGGGTGTGTTTGGGTTTTAGTTTGAAAAAAATGGGTAATATAGTGACAATAAAACGGTTACATTGCAACGGACAAATTTTAACGGCCATAAAACGGTCATATTGCAACGGACAAATTTTAACGGCCATAAAACGGTCATATTTTTTTCTATATAATGAGTAACTTCTCATATTTTTTCTGCACTCATTCTCAAATCAATCTCTCTCGTTCTCATCTATTTATCATCTCTCAAAACAAAAACATGTCAAGTAAGAGAGGACCCAATTGGAAAGCTCATGAAGATGTAAACTTGTGCAAATCTTGGATATCAATATCTGAAGATGGAGCGGTTGACATCAATCAAAAGAGCACGAGATTATGGGAAAGGGTGGAGAGGGAATTTCGAAGAAGCGATCCTACAACAATTCGTACTACAGATTCAATGGAATCCCGACTGAGACTTATCAGTAACAAGTGTAAAGTTTGGAAGGGAGCTTTGCAGAGGGCGGAGAGGAGTCAAACGAGCGGTACCAACCAAGTTGATGTGGTATTGTTTTGGAAACTTTAATGAAGAATTGTAATTTATAAACACATATGATGCACAAAACGACAAAAAAACGGTCATAAAGTAACGGCTACAAAAAACGGTCATATTTGGATCGGTCCAAAAAAACGGTCATAAAGTAACGACTACAAAAAATGACTATTTTAGAAGAAAAAAAAATTATCTCGGAATTAAAAAAAAATTACATCGAAAAATTTGTTTTCACAAGTAATAACAAACTATAAAAAAATTAAAGTGAATTACAAGAATGATATTGTAAATAAGTATGGATTATGGAAATTAAATCAAAACAAGATGTGGGAAGCTAAATTTGGAAGCCTATAGGGTTGGAGCAAAAATGTGTTTTGGAGAGGCAAATATGCACATTTGAGAGCTTGGGAGGCTAAATATAGATGTTTGGGTTGGAGTTAGTCTTAGCCACTCCAAAGTTGAGGAATCATTTCTGTAACTAAGACATTAGGAGAATCCTTCGCGGATTGTGGACGAACGAAACTACCGAAGACTCCGTTACGATCTTCGCTGCAATTGGCGAGTGGCGATACGGAGTTTCACCGGCGACCGGCGGCGGAACGGCGACAGCAACTTCGCTACAATCCTAATTATAAATTGTAATGTCGATCCGAAGCTGTCTCAAAAACCTCAACACCGTCAAAAAACGTCTTCGTCTCCCACTCCTTCACCAAGAGCCGTACCGTGAACTCCCGCCGTCCATCGCCAAAACCTTGGACCCTTTATCTTCTTCCCCGCCTTCACCCGCCGCCGCTCTCTCTTATCTCAGCCCTTCGAAACTGCTACAGATTCTCGCGGACCCTGCCGTCAAGCCCACGGAGGGCTACCAATTCTTCAATTGGGTGCTCGAGAACCGGTCGTCGGTCTCCTTCATCCCCGATCCCCGGGCGCATTTGACGCTCGTCTGCAGGCTTCTGACGGTGAAAAGGTTTCCGGAGGCCGTGAATCTCTTCAAGAGCTTGATAATTGATCAAAAGGGAAGGTACCCATTTCCTCTACTGGCTTCTACTGTGAAGAACTGTTCTTTGAAACCCAGAGTAGAGACCAAATTGTTCAATGTGATGCTTAATGTGTATTCCGAAAATGTGTAAGTTTGAGCAAGTTGTGGAGGTCTTTGTTTACATGGGGGAAAGTGCAGTGGAGATTGATGAGAGAACTTGTACTCTGCATTTGCTTGTGCTCAAGAAGAATCGCGAGATGAAGTTGGTCTTGGAGTTCTTCCACCGAATGATCAAATCTGGCATTGAGATATCTCCTTACTCGCTTGCAGTTGTTGTTGGTGGGTTGTGCGAGAATGGAAAGATCAGAAGGTGCAGAGAGTTGGTAGAGGAAATGATCGGTTATGGGATCAAGCCGAACATCGTTACTTTTAACATAATGCTGAAGGCCTGTTTGAAAAGGTGGAATTTTGGACAGTTGGAGTTGATCTTAGCACTGATGAAGAATCAAGAGACACCCTGCGATGAAAGAACTTATAAAATACTGATCGATGGCTATGTAAGCTCCGGGAAGCTCGAGGAAGCTGAAACGATGGTTTTGGAGATGCATGATAAAGGTTTTGGAGGAGATTTCCACTTGTGGAACTTGGTTAGAACTCGGTACTGTTGCCTTGTCGACAGAGCAGCTTTACTGTTCGATAAAATGACTCTGAGAGATGTCACTTCGAGTGCTGCTACGTACTGTGCATTGATTAACACCACTGTGTGGGGAAGAGAAGATTGAGGCTGCCATGGTGTATGTGAGCAGGATGGTGAAGGATGGGATTGAGCTAGACCGGGTTGAGAGAAATGATGAAGAGGAAGAAGATGGTAATGGAAGTTGCAATTAAGCCTGTAAAAAAGTTTCAGAAGTAAATTTGAAAAGTCCGTCACCTGCACTTTGACAACCCAGGAAGTTACTTTGAAAAGAAAATGTTTATGCGTCTGCCGGGAGTCGAACCCGGGTCTATTGCTTGGAAGGCAATTATCCTAACCGTTGGACTACAAACGCTAGTTGTTTGGTCATTCTGAATTTTTGTATTCAAATAAACAAAACGCTATTAGTACACGCAAAGCAACAATTAATTCGACCAGTTAGTGAAGTACAACCACGTAGTTATACACCCATCACCCATGGTTATTAAACCGTAGTTAAGTTGCCAAATAATTTAGCAAAGTGGAGGATAAGCCAAAACAACAGGTGGTGGCTGAAATGTGAAATGTCATATTCCGAGTCATCGTCAAAAACCCCTATACAAAGATAACAGAGCTACTGAATATCCTACCTTGCTCCTCCAGGCCAAAAGAACACTGAGAAAAGAAACAACAAACACAACTTCACAAAGCACAAAATCTGTCCCACTACTACTAGCTCAGGGGAGTCCCAGACAAAATGGCGCCATTGACCGCCTCGGCCCCATGCTTCCCGAGGGCCGAAATGCTGAGAGAACGCCGTCTTCTTGGTTTCAGCACCTCTCTTCCGCTGCTGTTCTCTCCCATGAGGGAAGAGTAAGAGCACAATGGCTCGCCCAACCGCTCGCTCCTACTCTGGAGGAAGCGGTCCAGGTTCTGTCGGTACTTGTCTGCCTTTGGCCCGTCGATTGGCTCTACCTTATCCTCCCACTCTTCCTCGTCGTCTGTCCTGTACCCGTTCTCTTGCATGTCTTCCATTGCCAGGTCGTCGTACTCCTCGTCTGACTTTGTCGACTCTTCATCCACTGAACCAATCTGTTAACAAGGAGGGGAAGATGGCATGAATTAGTAAAGGCTTTGAGAAGCAGAGAGTTCTAGCTAGTAGGACACTGTAACCTACCTCTTCCTGATCAAGTTTGTCGCCGTCATCACTAAGGTCTTCATCACTATCGACTTCTGGAACATCATCGTCCACTTCTTCATCGCTGCCATGCACTGAATTCTCCTCCTTGAGCTGAAGGAACAATGATTGCAAATATGGTCATTCGAAAAAAGTTTTTAATCTGCGTTAGAACTGTGTTACAAAATGCACTCAGCTGGTTCAATGAAAATACCTCCTTGGCTGGTCCATCCGATGTCCTTGGCGAGCTGCAACACGAAGAATGGTATTTGCTTCCTGTGTCAGTCCCATCAGCCCTTAAATCATCCATACTACCTGCATGGCTCGTCCCACCATCACTGGGCCAAGCGCTGATCCCAAAGTGGCCAAACTGCAAGTTCACAGGTTCAGCCTTCCCAATTTGCAACGGACCATACATAGGGGTACCTATCCCGTTTTCAGCCCCGTTGCCTACAAGAGGCTTGCCGTTTTTATCCACTGGACCTACAGGCCAAGCCTTTGCTACTGACCCGTCGGTGTTAAGAAGCGCCATCAGATGTCTGGAAGAACCCTGCCTCTGAATAAGCTGAAACATTCCCTTCGAGCTCAGTGAGTTTGCAGCACATTGGTTCCTGTACTCCTCATCAATAACTGTAACCGTATTAGTAGATGGATCATATGGCTGTTCCCCTGCTTCGCGTCTTCTAAGGCATCCAAAAACTGTCGCATGGATTGCAGCCACACTCTTATCGACATTCGTGTTGTTTATTTTCGGGACGAGGTGTTTGTCAGCTCGCTTGGTGAGGTAATCCTGGATTGTCCTGATGTTTCTGATGTACTTTACATACTTGTTCTTAGCAGGGTCCAATGTCATGTACTTTGCACGAACGGCGAACCTCTCCAAGTGTTTATCTTCATTTGTGATGTATATCATGAACGGGATGATTGAAGGATGTTTCTTCATAAGCCCCATCTGAAGCACACAGCAAATGCAAGAGAAGCCTTCAGAAATTACTTCTGATGAAGGGAAATTTTATGACGAACAATGGACTGAGGAATCATTACCACAAAATTCAGGCTCAAGTGTACTCCCTCGACAACCACGGATTCCTTCCTGTCTTCCCATGAAGTTATCAAGCGATCGAGACTGTCAATCACCATTTCACTTTGTGCTTTGAAGCCTTCAATAGCCATTTGTTTTGGGCTAATCACCCCTTCTGGGACTTGACTAGTATCATGTTTTCCTGCAGTAGAACCATCAGCTAGTTCTTCCTTGGGACGTGCTTTTGCAATGCTAGCTAATTTTTTCTCTCTTCTCCTAGCCGTTGCTTCAGCAACAGCCTCAGGATCCAAATACTCTCCTGCATGATAAGTTGATGCCCAAAGAAGTGGATTTTCCTTTTCATCCACAAAACTCCTCATCATGTGACGAATTGAGTCTGTTGATACAACGGTGGTAATCCCCAATCTGCTACCCTGCACAGAACAAAGGTATGGAAATCAGCTCCCATAACTGTTATGTCTTCCCAGTTCAACGCCGGGGTGCACCTTTTCACAAGGAATCCCAGTAAGAGGGGTTACCAAACAGCAGTACCAGAAGCTAAAATCATAGATTCAGACAAGTGAAGCTGCAATACCAGCAATGCAGACAAGGTAGATTTGCCACATCCACTGGTGCCACACAACAGCACAGTTACAGACTCCTTCTTTTCTCGAATTCTGCATCAAAGTAGAGCATCTTATATAATCTAAGAATCAGGCTCGGAGCAGTGAAATAAACGGTAAGCAGGAAAGTTCAGTTCGGGTGAAGAGGGGCCAATAACACAATCAGAATTTCAGAACAGCCGATCAACGGCAACAAAAGACAAGTATGCAGACTGCAAATTAGTGTTAAACCGAGCAAACATAACACCGATCTGAGGAATGCATAACTACTATGATGTATGATCCACAATATTTGACTGTATAGACCTAGAACAACATTCAGCACTAGGAAGTCCTTGGTCATGCTTGCGTCATACGATCAAACAGAAGATCGACACTTTGTGAAGGAGTAAATAAGTTAGAATACAGTTCATGCACAAAATCACCAAGAAACAAACAAGAAATAATCTGTAAAGAAGTATTTGGTAGATTACCTGCACGCCAAAACCAGGTCTGCCCTCTGGTTAGGACCCACATACTTGTATTCAGCCAGAGCTTCACAAACAACATCTAAGAAAGTTTCTCTTCTAACAACCAAGGTTGTACGCCGCTTGTACAGTTCAAATGGCACGCTTCTACCTTTGCCATTTTTCTCAGAAGGAAAGGTCCCCAAACCATCGCTCTTCTCTAAATTTTGTTTCGAAGCATCAAGGCCTGCCTTGTCTTCTTTTAAGATTCCAGTATCAATTGAAGGTGCATTTCTTATAATTTCTACAACCCTTCTGCTTATCTACGAAAGAAGAAAGAGACAAGGATAGGCAGATCAACAACTTCTGGCTTCAATACATGTAAGAAAGCTAATACAACTTGCCACACCAAAGAACCGTAATATGAAGAAAAAACTATCAAAACAATCCGGAAAGCAGCATCACTGCGAACAGTGACGGCCTACATCCAACTCACAACCACACTGGCAACTACCCTTCATACCAAAATCGTCACACAATCATTGTACACTTACTGTGAATGAAAGCATAAATGTTAGCAGGAAATCATTCCTGGTATAACATGCACGTACAATAAAGAATATCGAGAGGGATCTCAAGGAAAACTGCTAGAAGAAAACAGAACTCGTCTCTTCGTTAAAGCTTGAGGTAGATTTCCTCACAAGTCACAAGCAGCTAAAAGGAAAATGGGTATCGGGCAGAAAGGGAATTGAGAGAAAATGCAGGAAAAATTAGGATAGGGAGAGGAGCAAACAGTATGAAAGTGACTCGACATTTTCCCAGTAGCTGTCTGATTAGGTGAGAATCAGCGCTGGTGGGACAAAGGCAAAATCGACCTGGCATGGCGTTACATCAATCAAAGCTGTTAAGATTCAAAGCATTAATACCCTTCACACTTCCCTTTCAGAAATTTAAACGCCAAGAACGTTTCCGAAAACAAGTTGCAGTCCGGATCTAAGAGTTCCTATTCACAGTCCTAACTCCAGAATCCAAAAGTAAACAGTAACGCCCCGGAGAATCCACATGCAAGGAGGCCGGTAAGCCATCGCCGGTGTCCTAACACCGCAACCGAATCTTGAATTTGGAAAGAAAACGGAAGAGGAAAAAATCCAAATCAGAGATGGGGAAAGGTCGGGAGTTTTAACCTTGAAAGCATGGCGAGCTTTACATCCCATGAGCTGCAGAGTGCTCTGCAGAACCGGACGCGTGTACCGAAACGAGCCTCTCCCCTTGTCTCTTCCCTCCTCCTCATCGACCACCACTATATACAGCACCTTCGCTATCTCCGCCATTGCTGCAACCACGAAGCACCAAAAGTCCAAAACCAAACAGAAAACAAACAATCAACCACATTGCATTATTCAATCAGTCAACAACCGCCCGAGGAAAAACAATTCGACACCGACATGCAACAAAACTCCGCTGAGAAAAGGACGAGCGCGTGGCGCGCCAAAAAAAAAAATCAGATCACACAAAAAAATTCCCGCTAGAGCGGCCAATGCTGGCCGATTCGAGAGAAGGGAATCACAACCTTGATCAGTCCCGGAACCTAGATCGGCGTTTCTCGTCGTCGTAAGAACAGATGGAGGTGGGGGAAATCACGGGTGAATTGGGGGCGAGAGAAGAGAGAGAGAGGGAGGGGAGGAAGAGGTTAGGGTTTATGGAGAAGGATCAGAGACATGGCGCTGGTGGGGCATATGAATAAGCCGAGGAAAGTGAGAGGAGAGAGGAAGGAGGAGGGGGAGGATCTCGCCATTTTTGTTGTCTCTCAGCTTGCAGAGGAGCTTCGTCTTCTTCTGTCACCTGTCCTCCACGCATCGCAACGACAGTGCTTCCACGAGTCTTTTTCCTTTCCCTCTGCCTCCTTTTATTTCTTTCTTTTCCCCCGCGCTTGTCTCTCAGATCGGTGAAATGACGCTATTGGGCTTTTCGTTCGCATTGATATTCGCCTACGGCCTGGACTTTGCAACTCCGAAGCGCGTGCCAACTCCTCAAGAAATGGGCTTATTTGGACCCCCCCCCCCCCCCCCCCCCCCCCCCCGCGGTGAAAATAATTAGATAACACGGTTAAGTTAAGTAGAATAGTAAATTGTTAAATTTTATACCAATACAAGAAAAAGTCTATAATTTAAATTTTGGGTCAATCAAATTTTATATTTTCAGTATTGACAGATGTATATTAAGGTTTAATTTTTGTTAACGGTGATTGTTAGAGGTCAACAATCCACATGTTAATTGACGATGTGTCATATGATGCGGATTCTTTTGTTAAAAAAAATACTTATTTACGATAAAGTAAAAGAAAAGATTGATCGTGTAAAAAATTCATAATTGCGACTTGATTTGCCTTATGTGCCTTATATTGACCAGTTTTATCCAAACTATACATTTTTCCTCGTCTAAATTATACATAATTTTACTTATTGTTTTTACCTTTATCACATCATAGTTTAGCTTGAATAAAAATTGAAATATAATTAATTGATAACCTTCATTTTGTGAATAATGTGACTTTATTTACCATGTCATAGTCTCTATATTTATATAGCACTGAGTGCAAGTATTTTTCTTTTGAAATATATGCCCGCATGAGCTCCAACCTAATTCCAATGGGAAATTCCCCACAATCTACGGTAGTTGTTCATCATCAACAGTCCAATGTTACGGTTTCCTTGTGAGTTATGCAACATCAAGAAGAAATTTGGGAGAGGAACAGGGGAAAGAAGATTTCTTTCCCACCCACATCAATGGACATTGTAGACCTTTTTAGTCTTTAGGCACGATTGATAGATCACCATAACTCGGAATGCACCACAATCTCAAGTTTATTGTTTTGTCATAGTACTATCAGTATCATATAGGGTTAATGAATGGTTATGTCGCTAATAGTTTAACTGATAACCATACCGCTTACCCGATTGTTAATGACTAAACCATAAACCGTTAAGAAGAATGTGGGTTCCTTAACAGAAGTTGAAAATTGCTTATCGAGTTACCAAGCCATAAACGGTTAATAACCAACGGTTAGCGGTTAATCGATAAGGATTATCAACCACCCCAAAAATAGGCAATAACGCAGGACATGATTCCCCCACCACTCCCGACACTCACCGAATCCAATCTTCTCGTCTTGTCGGCTCAAACGAAAAACGAAGATCAATCGACAGAGTTGTGACACGAAACACAACTTTGTCACTTCTGAAGGCCAAAATTTGGTTCTGTTCTGTCTACGGAAGAGCATCTTAGAGCCGTAGCTAGGCTCGAATCATTGCTATTTGCGGCTATGCAAACTACATAAACGCAATATTGCTAATCGTCAATGGTGGGTACAGCCACTGAAAGCATACATGTATTTCTAGTGTCTTTGATTCTGTTCTCAAAAAATGATTGCTAAAGAGGAACGACCATTCATCATCAGTTTCTGCTTAGCTGGGATTTCCCACTAGCAAGATTCATAATGACCTTAATCGGCGGCGACTTTTCTTTTGTAAAACACAAAAATGTATCGTACAGATCCCACTCTAGCATGATTGACTGATCACTTCTTTCAGCTGCTCTGCTTTTAGTTGGGCACACAGGCAGGGGATGCAAAAAAATACATATTCGTCTACTTAAAATGTCTAAGCATTAATTCTTCACTAATTAAAGCTGCGGTTTGTTTGTTTATTAGGGTCGGGGAAATAGCGTCCGTGATATAGGTGAGCTTTTGCAGAAGTCGTTTTTTACTTGAGTTTTTAGAGAAGTATTTAAAAAAAAAAAAAATAGTTGAGTGTTTGAATGAAAATCTATTGAAAGTGATTTTTAATATGAGAGGTTAGGTAAAATGACTATAAAGAACTTATATTATTAACTATGAATCGTCTCTGCTTACTAGTTGAGTGTGGTCTGTAGAGGAAGGATGAGACATGATTCACGATATCAGGGTTCATAATTTGGTCTCGTTTGGTTCCACGGTTTGAACTGGACCGATCAAGAGATCAAAAGAGCCATGTTGTATATAATGTACCAGACCAAACCGTTATGAACATTCTATGCTTTAGATCAAACTATGTGGTTCGATTTGATCCATAGGTTCTCAAACCATCCAGTCTATTTTTTCATCCCTAGTTTGTGTATCTGGAATGATATAAATGGAACTTCCTTCTAGGGGTGTGCAATGGTCCGGTCCGTACCGGACCACACCTGACCAAACCGTTGTTAAGACCGGACCAGACTGAGTAAAATGCGGTCCGGTCCTTGGTCCTCATGAATTTTATAATTACTGAAGAAATGGTGGACTGAGCTCATATTTGGACTGAACCGAACCGGACCAAATGGACCAAATGCAAGAATGGTCCGGTCCTTGATCCTGACATGTCTTTTACTAATGGACCGCAGTTCTCATGAGTTTGGTCCGGTCCGGACTGAACCGAACCGTTGCACACCCCTACTTCCTTCCTACCACTCGAGTTTTTTATATTAACTGATTTTTTATAGGGTATGAGAGTATGCAATAACATATTGGCAATTACTAAAGTACAATGAATAACAAATTCATACAAATTTCAAGCCAACACACATAAATCCACTTTCTTGCACTTTTCTTTTAAAAGGAAACATTCTGGTTATAGACTAATATCAATCCTTAATTACCGGGAAAATACTGATCCTTAAAAGTAATTTGATAGATTGACTCAAATTAAGGTTATCAAATGCTCCAATGAAACAACTATGGGAGTTTGGTGGATTTGAACTTTGTGACTCTAATTCAATGTCTTAACTATCTTGCCTAGATGGTTGTTGACAATGTAAGTGTGGTATCTTGAGGGATATGGTTGAATTGAAATATCCTACAATACCAAATCCAATGTGGTGTGCAGTCAAGATAGGCAGCTTCAGTCAACTTGTGGCTGTTCAAAATCCTTCTCCAACCTGCAATATTCTAATAATATTAATATGGGGTTTACCTGCTCCTACTACGCTGACTAGACACACACTTGTTGGGCTTCAGTGAAGGTCAGTCCAATAAGCCCAAAAGTAAAGTTTATGCCCAACCCAAGCCATGGAAAATACTGGGCCTGAGTCCATCTCCCCTTCCTTTCCCTCTCAGCCAGTCTTCTTGTTTCACCACTTGCAAACCCAGCTCCGCTGCCACTGCCGCTGTTACAGGCTTACAGCAGCAGCCGCCTTCTTGTCACCCATTCGCCGTCTTTGCTTTCGATGCTCGTCTCGCGAAACCAAAGCTCTCCCGTTAATTCGTCGGAAAATGGGGATTAAGTTGAGCATCAACGTCAACCGGAACGAGATCTTGGACTATCTCCAGCTCGTCCAGCTGTACGAGTACGTGGATCGCATCGTCAGTCGCCATGGTTCTTTCCTCGACCACCAGTTCGCTACGGACCAGGACTTCAGGAGGCGGGTTGTGGATCTAATGGCGCGAATTAAAGAAATTCGGAACAAGAAGCAGTACGCCCTAGAGCGTAAGCTGTTGCACGAATTGTGCGAAACATACGAGGACCGGGTCGGCGGAGCTCGTACCGACTACCAGTACAGGCTTTATCCGGCGGCCGGCACGGTCGCCATTGCGCTCAGCAAAACCTTCACCGCCCCGCTCGCCCGCCTCACCATTCTTTCCCAGGTTGCAGGGATGCATTACCAGAGTACGGCGCTGATGAAAGGCAGGATGTTGTGGGAGGCTCGTCGAATTGTTGGCGAGGAAGGGTTCAGAGCCCTCTGGAAGGGAAATTTGGCATCTGTTGTTCATCGAGTGCTCTTTGCTGGTGTCATTATGCTTGATTATGAGGATTACAGGAAGGTAGGAATATGGGCTCTCGATCTTTTGTTTGCTTTCTTAGTGTTCATTTCCCAAATCCAGTTTCCCTGGTTCTAATTGGCAGAATCTGGGGCGGGTGATTGGTGGTACTGATGCAAATTCAACTGGTTTGGTGAATCTAATTGCTGGAGGATTGACGGGAATTGAAGCTACTTGTATCACGTATTCTCTAGATATGGTCAGGACTAGGGTGGCAGCTCAGGTATCTACTTCTATAACCTTTTGTGAACTTCAGTCGCCTGAGATATCAAAATACCATATGATATATGATAACTTTCTGGGTTTGATTTTGAACTCTGAGGTTTGTTGTGGTGTAGAGGAACTCAATGTATGGGCTCAGGGGCACTTGGCATGCATTCTATGATGTACATTCTGCCAACGGGTTTTTACCTGATACCATGTTTAAAGGACTTGGAGCAACATTGCTGGTGGGTAGGTTTTTGTATTGTTTACTTGTTCTATTACATATTTTTTGAACAATTTCGATGACCATCTGATTTGTGGTTCGTTGTTTCAGGGAACTGTTCCATCTATGGCCATAAGCTTCTTTGTCTATGAATCCTTCAAGTCCTTTCTGAAAGCTCGAAGGTAGACCTGATCGAGCAATGTTGTTCCTTTTGGTCATATTTTCTCATGTCTATATGCTTAGTAACTTTGTCGGTCTGTTTGTTAGGCCCGGAGATGACTCTCCAATCACGGTTGGTCTTGCCTGTGGCAGCATTGCTGGTCTTGCAGCTTCCACAGGTGAACAAACACAGACAGAACTCTACTTGCTTTGAACACAAGTTATCTAGTGATCACTTGGCTCACAGAACTTGGAACTTTTGCAGCAACGTATCCTATTGATCTGGTGCGGAGAAGGATGCAGTTGGATGGAATCGGTGGTCGAGCACCTATTTACACAGGTGGAGTGCGCGAGACATTCAAGACCATCATCCGGAAAGAGGGATTCCGGGGTTTGTACAGAGGGATCTTTCCACAGTGCTTGAGAGTGGTACCGGGGCATGCAGTTGCGTTTATGAGCTTCGAGATGATGAAGATGTCCATCGCCACCTATGGGGTAATCAAGAGCCGGACTGTGTCCAGTTAATGAACATTGCAGGTAGATAGAGGGCCTGACCTAACTGTTTCACATTGACATGCATACGTGCAATTTAACCTACCAATCGAGATGTTTACCGATGCTAGTAGATTGTAGTCTTATAGGATGAATTGTAAAGGTCGAATAGTGGTGAAGGATCCATGTTGTGATGGACTCAGCAGAAATCTTTTGGTTAGATCTGCAATTGCAGTAATGAATTGCAAATTTGCAATGAGTATTGACGAGGTTGGATACTAGAATAGTATGTCCGGAATTGTGGAATCTGGGAATGAGCTATGTGAGTTGGCTCTAATCTCCGAATTCATCCACTGAATCAAACATGCTTTCAATTCGAATCGATAGAAGGCTGTCCAGCGGACCGATGAGATGGATCGCGTCCTCCATATCTACGGTTCTTTCCTCGGCAAACAGCTCGCTACGGACCCGGATTTCATGAAGCGGTGGGAAGAGATAAAGATGCGATACGCGGGCGGGAACAGCTGGCGCAGGCACGTTGCGAACTATTTGAGGACCGGGTTGGCATAGTTCGTCCCTACTACCAGTAGATGCTCTATCCGGTGGCCGGCTTCATCGCCATTGCTCTTAGCAAAACGCTCACCGCCCCTCTCTTCCGCCTCACCATTCTTTCCCAGGTTGGAGGGATGCATTACAGCAGCACGGCGTTGATGCAAGGCAGCATCATGTGGGAGGCCGTTCGAGTGGTTGCGGACGAAGGGTTCAAAGCCCTATGGAAGGGCAACACGATCTCTGTCATTCGTGGAGTGCATTTTGCGATTGTCAGTATGGGTAACTATGCGTTTCTCAGGAATGTAAGAAAGGGTTTCCATTCTTTGTTGCTTGGTTTGATTTGCTTGGATTGGTCACAATTTCCCCCTCCCCAATTTCGTGGGTTTGGGATTTCGTTTCATTGGTGAATTCAACTCGTATGGTGAATCTAATGGCTGGAGGGTTGGCGGGAATCGAAGCTACCATGTTATCGTATTCTCTGGATGTGGTGAGGACCAGGCTTGCAGCTCAGGTATGTAGTATCATTACACAAGCTGTCATGTTAGACTGATTTTGTGGGTTCAAATTTGATTTCTGAGCTTTGTTTTGGTACAGAGGAACTCGATGTATGTGGCCTAAAGGGCACTTGGCATGCATTCCGTGATCTACATTGTGGCTCAGAACTTCACTCTCCATTCTTACGTAAAGGATTTGGACTGGCATTGCTGGTGAGTAGAGTAAGTTTATTTCACTGGTGGTTGTGATTAGTTCTTCTTTCTATAACCATCTGGTTTCTGTTTCAGGGAACTGTTCCATATATGGCCATAAGCTTCTTCGTCTATGAATCCTTCAAGTCCTTTCTTAAAGCTCGAAGGTAGACTTGATCGAGTAGCGTGCTTCTCTTTGTCATAGTTTTCTCTTATGTTCTTATGCTCAGTAACTCTGTATGTTCTGTTAGGCCTGATGATGGTTCTCCAATCATGGACGGTCTCGCTTGTGGCAGCATTGCTGGTCTTGCAGCTTCAACAGGTAACCAAACACAGCCTGCAGTCCACTTGCTTCCAGTTCGATTTATGTAGTGATCAATGTACTCACAGAACTTGGGAAACATTGCAGCAACGTATCCTCTTGCTTTGGTGCGACGAAGAATGCAGTTGGATGGAATCTGTGGTCGAGTGCCTATTTACACAGGTGGACTGCTCGAGACATTCAGGACTATCATCCGGAAGGAGGGATTCCGAGGTTTGTACAGAGGGATTGGTCCACAGTGCTTGAGAGTGGTGCCGGGGCATGCAGTTGCGTTTATGAGCTTCGAGATGATGAAGATGTCCATCAGCGCCTACCAGGACTTCAAGCGCAAGGCTAAATCCAGTAAATGAACATTGCAGTCAGAAGGGGGTTCACCTAACTGTTCGCATTGATATGTGTATATGCGCAGTTTAACGTACTAATGCTGATGTTAACCAATGCTACTAGATTGTAGTTAGCTAGGATGGATTGTAGAAGTTGAATATTGGTGTAGGATCCATGTGATAGACTAAGGAGAAAATCTTTTGGCTGGCTCGTTAATTATAGCCAAGCATTGCAGTGAATTTTGGCGGTGATGGATTCAGAAATAGTATTTCTGGGAATTTTGGAAGGAGCTGCTCTAATCTTTAACGATACTGAACTCTCCAATCAACTTGGTTTCAACTTGAGTTAACCTGCATATTCGTATCTGGGTGAATTCAACATGTGGATTGACACAACCTGGAAACTGGGGAGTACTCATCACCGGATTTTGTGAACTTATTAATCTCCAATTCGATACACTAGAACCTTACAAACTGATTCCAGTTCTGAAATTTCTCTACGAGAAAGACGATCCTTTCTATCCCAGATGCTTCATCACAATCCTCACTACAAAAACACCCGCACTATTCGCTCTTCAGGTTCAGCGCCAGGAAAAGTACCCCAGACATCTTTTGATAAAATTCCTAACTAATGATACAACTTTCCTTCTAAAGTGAAATGGGCGGGGTTGTTTCTTTGACTAGACAGTCATTCCTTGCGGAGCAGCAGCAGCTGGTGATTTGGGTTTAGGCTTGTCCACAACGATGGCCTGGGTTGTCAGCACCATTCCAGCAACCGATGCCGAATTCTGCAGCGCACACCTTGTCACCTTAGCTGGGTCGATCACTCCAGCCTCCACCAGGTTCTCGTACGTATCGGTCATGGCATTGTAACCAACCTCCCATTCACTCTCCTTCACCTTCTCAACTACCACTTCCCCTTCAACTCCAGCGTTCTGAGCTATCAAAGATGCTGGAGCTACCAACGCCTGCACAAAACATAAACCACAAATCAGTCACTTACTAACTCAATCAATCACACTTCTCTTCCCTGAAACAGACCACCAGTAGAATCACCTTCTGTATGATGTCAGCACCAAGGCGCTCATCAGCATCTTCCAGCTTTTCCTTTATGGCAGGCACGAGAGTCGACAGGTGAACAAGTGCAGCTCCACCACCAGGGACAATGCCTTCTTCAATAGCCGCAAAAGTTGCATTCTTGGCATCCTCAATACGGAGTTTTCGGTCCTCGAGTTCAGTCTCTGTTGCAGCTCCTACTTTAATCACAGCAACTCCACCAGACAACTTGGCTATCCTCTCCGCAAGCTTCTCCGAGTCGTAGACAGAATCAGTCTCCGACAGTTCCTTCTTCAACTGTGCAACCCTGGAAGACAGCTCATCCTTGGAAGCCGCATCAGCAATTATGGTCGTCGAGTCCTTGCTTATGGTCACCTTCCTGGCCAAACCCAGCTGGTCGATGTCAGTTTGCTCCACTAGCAACCCAAGATCACTAGCTTGGAATTCAGCTCCTGGGAGAGAGACAAAACCATTGAGAATCAATAAGAGCAAAGTTCCACAATGTGTGCTTCCCTCAAGAATAAAACCTGAATGGCTCACTGATTCGAAGACATTAAAGAGAATAAGATGCTACCTGTCAAAATGGCAATATCTTGAAGCAAGGCCTTTCTCCTTTCACCAAATCCTGGTGCTTTAATGGCAGCGACATTGACGATACCTCGGAGCTTGTTAACAACTAAGGTTGCCAAAGCCTCCCCAGTAATATCCTCAGCAATGATAAGCAAAGGAGCTCTCAGCTGAGTCGTCTTCTCCAGTAAAGGAATTATGTCTTTGATTGCTGTTATCTTTTGGTCTGTAATCAATACCCTAGCATTCTCAAACTCACAGATAAGTTTCTCTGGGTTCGTCACAAACTGAGGGGAGATATAACCTCTGTCTATCTGCAATCACAATAAAGCAATGAAAATTTAACCCTGGAGAAGGTCCACATTCAAAGCAATGCCATAATGAGAGTAAGGAAATGCATACCTCCATTCCTTCTTCAACTTCTACAGTGGTCTCGAAAGAGGAGGATGACTCAATTGACAGGACACCATCAGGGCCAACCTTGTCAATAGCATCAGCAATCATTGTCCCAATGAGCTCATCATTTCCAGCAGAAATAGTAGCAACAGCTGCAAGAGTCGATGAGATTAATACTATAAGCACAGCCCTTTGGAGCAGTATCCAAGAAAGAAAAGAAGAATAAGAAGAAGAAACCAAGTACACAATACCTTTAATGTCATCACGACCTTTAACAGGCCTAGACTTCTTTTCAAGCTCTTCAATCAAACCCAGAACAGTTTTATCAATTCCCTTCTTTAGAGAAACTGGATTTGCACCAGATGTAACAGACAAGAGCCCAAGTTTAATGATCTCCCTAGCAAGAACAGATGCAGTTGTCGTTCCATCACCGGCTGAGTCGTTTGTTTTGCTAGCAACCTACATCAAGAGCATAACAAGTGAGTGAACAAAGGAAAAAATCCTTCCAGAATGTGATCACAACAAGGAAAAAAAAAAGGGGGGGTATATACAGCTGACAGAAAAGGAAAACTGCAAGTCAAGAAGCTACCTCTCTAATGAGAGCTGCTCCAGCATTCTCCATGGCATCAGGCAATTCAATTGCTCGTGCAATGGTTACACCATCATTGACAACCTTGGGGCTGCCATACTCGTCAAGGACAACATTCCTCCCTACAATAAGCAAGTTCATCGTTATACACATTACCATAGCAACAATCCCAATCTCATTTAACTCCAATGTTGCTTGGCATAAAAGACTAATAGCCTGAAGTCGGGCCAGCGGCCTTCCAACTACACTGGAGAAAGATCATCATCCAGGAAAGGAAAACACCTTATGAACTAGCTTAAAACACCCTGCATCAAGCTGATGGCAAAAAGGTAGCAATGGAAAGAGCAATTACCCCTGGGGCCGAGGGTGAGCCCAACAGCATCAGCAAGCTTATCAATGCCAGCCTGCAACGCCCTCCGCGAGTCTTGGTCAAATGCAATGTCTTTAGCATTTGCTCTGACAGATAACCTCCTGGTGGATTGCCCAAAGTTGAACCTTTGGTTCTGCCGCGGGGTCACTTTCCTCCTCAAAGTCGCCTAATCCACCAGAGCAACCACAGAAAAAAGACCCACTAGTCAGAATTGAAATCCTCAAGATTGAATGATCTCAATTCTCAAGTCGCCATCTTTAACTGCTCATTTCATTCAAGACCTCCAAGCATCTAAGCCACAGTCCCATTGACTTTCTTTCATCATCAAATCCCATCACTTATTAGCCGAACTCAGTCCGCAACACCTTATCCCCCCACAAAACAACCACCATTGAAGAAATGGAACGAAGCCCAGAGCAAAGGGTAGGGAGCAGCGGCAATACCTGCGAGGGAGAGCCGAAAACGGAGGCGGTGGTGATGGCACTGGAAGTTGCCATTCCTGTTGCTCGACGCTTCCTTGTAAATTGTGAGCGTTGAACGTTTCTCCTTCTGCAGGAGTTGGATGAGAGTGGGAAGAAGTAGATAAGGAAAGCTGGGAAAGAAGGCCGCTGGCGCTGGGACTGGTAGGAGTGAGGTTTGTTTAGGGTTTATTAGTTTTATCGCGATGCCTTGGGTTCGAGAATATTCGTTGAATCGCTAACAGAGAGGGCCACCGCCCACCATCTACACGAGCCGTTGGCGCCAGTGCTGGCTCGGCCATCCGAATTCATTTTTTGACAAAAAGTAAATTTCAGTTAAACTGTTCAATGGGCTATTGTGGCTCGGCTAGAAAGGTCAGGCCCAGAGAAAGAGGTAGCGAGGGAAATCAATTTGAAACGGGCCGAAAAGCCCATCAGATGTGACGATAATTCGATACGTATAAATCGGTTTCTCCCCTTTTCTTTTTTTTGGTAGAAAGAGTGACGCTAGTGCGTCTAATTCATTACTGTAATAACACGGTCCTGGGAAATCCCCATTACATCATGAAAGAGCCAGTGTCTAAGACCGACTTCGTACACATCGAATGAATGTGTACCAAAAGAATAACAGTGACCGACATTTGCAAGATAGTCAGCTGCACTATTCATTTCTCTAAAAACATGGGTAATCTTCACCTCCCACTCGAGGCTCAAAAGTTTGTTAATAGTTGCTGCAAGTAGTCCGTGTCTGTGATCATCATCAACAGAATTCTTGATGATTGCAATGGCAGTTTCCGAGTCAAGGTTCAACTCCACCTTCTTATGCCCCTCATCCCACGCAATCTTGAGACCCACTGCAGCCGCTTTCAGTTCAGCGCAAGTAATCGAACAGGTGCCCAAGTTGCACACAAATGCTTTACTGCATCTTCCAAGGTGATCACGAAGCAGGCCCCCTGCAGCAGCACTGCCCGTGGACGAGTAGAACGACCCGTCTGTTTGGAGCTGAATCCACCCTTCCCGTGGTGGTTTCCAGGACACATGTTTCTTACAGGTAGAGGGGCCGCCTGCAGTTGAAGTTTTCCTGACCAAAAGCTTAGCCTGCTTCACAATATTGAACCATGCCTGAATTCTGCAGGTAAGACTCTGCAGGTTGAAAGCCTTTCCTTCCATGGCATGCTCATTCCGCTGCTTCCAGATATTCCAGCACACAATTCCAAAATCTATCCCACTTTGCTCATCTGAGAGGTTCTTCATCATCCACTCTTTGAAGTCCATACCAGTTCTGTTGACCTTTAGCTTGTCTTTGAACTTTATCCATATAAGTTTTGCAGATGGACATTGCTGTAGAATATGCTCGATCGACTCCTCCACATCTTTGCATTGGCTGCAGTTTTGGTTGTCTGTGAGTTTTCTCTTCGCTCTCTCCTTGTTAGTCATTAAGCGATCGTGCATCACCAGCCACAAAAAATGCTTAACTCTGTTTGGTCCCTTCCATTTCCATAGTTTAGTCCAGCTTTGATCATCATCAGCCTCATCCAACCCTGCAGCAAGTGCATAGGCCGATTTGAGTCTAAACCTCCCATCACGTTCCATTGCCCATATGGTTTTGTCCTCGCCAAGCTGTGCATTCGGAACTTCCATGCCTGCAATCAGATTAAGAATGTCATCAGGGAGGAGTGGTTTGAGTCGGTTCCAGTCCCACTCACCTTCTTCAGTAGCCCATGCTGCCACTGGTGAGTTTCTTTTAGTGGGTGTCAGGTCGTCAAGGAGGAAATCTTCAAGTTTGAGATCACAGTCAATCCATGGATGAGACCAAAAACTTGTAGACTCCCCATTCCTGATGCTCCAGCAACAGCCGCTTTTCATCAGAGGCATTGCTTTGACAATCGCCTTCCACAAGTTTGAATGATTACTCTTCTTCATAGAGGTAATGACACCATCTTTATGCTTAAAATACTTCCCTTGTAGGACCTGCACCCAAAGCTCAGAATCGTTGTTAAGCATCTGCCAAGCCAACTTGATCATGTATGCCATGTTCAAGTTTCTGGCAGATCTGAGGCCCAGACCACCTTGGCTCTTAGGCTTACAAATAGTGTTCCAAGAGACCAGGTGGGTCTTTCTTTTACCCTCCTGCCCTCCCCAAACGAACCTCCTAATCTTTTTGTCAATTTCATCACAGACAGAGAGAGGAAGGGGGGAAGTTTGCATAGCAAAGTTAGGAATGGCATTCAGGACAGCCAAAGCTAGTGTAACTCTACCAGCAAGTGATAGCGTTTTGGCTTTCCATGCTGTAAGTTTGCCATCCAACTTTTCCAAAACAAACCTGTAAGTATTCCTGGTCATTCTGCCATGGATCACTGGCATCCCCAGGTATCTCCCAAGGTCATAGGTTTCCTGAATACCAAGTCTAGAGCACACCTCAATCCTAGTAGCTTTGGTAGTGTTCTTAGAGAAGAACACCCTGGATTTTTCCTTACTAATGAGTTCCCCAGAGGCCAAACAGAATCTTTCCATACACGACATAACCACATCAGCATGTTTACCATTAGCTTCAGCAAATAACACTAAGTCGTCAGCAAAAAAAAGATGGGAAAGGGCTGGACCAGCAACAGAAAGCTTAATAGGTTTCCAGTTCCCATTCTTTACCTCACTGATGATGCAGTGGCTGAGTCTCTCAATGCAGAGTGTGAACAGGTAGGGAGACAGGGGGCAGCCCTGTCTAAGTCCCCTTGTTGGCTTGAAACTCTCAGTCTCTTCACCATTCCAGAGGACCTGAAATCTGGTGGTGGTGACACATTCCATAACCAGCCGGATGCAGTCATCAGGAAGGTGAGCTTCCTTGAGGGTTTCTTCCAAAAAGTTCCAATCAATTCTATCGTAGGCTTTGGCTAGGTCCACCTTCAGGATCATGTTTCCTTTCCTACCTGATTTCTTTGACAAAGAGTGAACTGTTTCCTGCAAAATAATGATATTATCAGTAATGTGACGTTTAGGCACAAAGCTTGATTGGTTTGGATGGACAAGATCAGGCATCAGGGACTTTAATTTGTTTGCAACCCTCTTGGCCACCACCTTGTATCCCACGTTGCAAAGGCTAATTGGTCTGAACTGATTCATTGACCAAGGCCCTTCAACTTTAGGGATCAAAGCCAAAAGAGTTTCATTTACCAACTGGATTCTACTGGGATCCCTGAAACAAGATTGAACAAACAGTGAGAAGTCATTTCCAATATGGTTCCAACATTTCTGATAAAAGATAGCTTGATAGCCATCTTTCCCAGGTGCTTTGAGACCATTCATGTCCATAACAATACTCTTTATGTCATCTACACTGGGCATGGTACACAGGTTTCTCAGTCGAGAGGAATCAATCTGAGGGAAGTCAGCTGGCAGGGCAAGTGCCTCTGATCTGTCTTCTCTTGTGTAAATGTTGACAAAGTGGTCACGTGCCATCAACAACAAAGCTTCTGGGTCACTCAACCATTGCCCATTGTCGTCCTTGAGGCTGAGAATTCTGTTATGCTTCCTTCTGCTCAGGGTAGAATTGTGGAAATAATTGGTGTTGAGATCTCCATAAACCACCCAGTTAGCTCTAGATTTCTGGATCCAAAGAAGTTCCTCTTGCCAGAGTGTACTTTCCAGTTCCTCCCTTATCTCCTGTTCTTTGGCAATTGAGCTCCTAGTGGAATTCCTTCCGTTGTGCAGCTCCAATGACTGAAGACTGTTAACCAGTTCCCTTTTCCTTCTGAAGATGTTTCCAAAAACTTTATGATTCCACTCTTTGAGATCTTCAGTAAGACCCTGCAATGCAGAATTGAAATCAAATTCCTTCTTCCAAGCAAAGAGCAGGAAAGGAAAGAAATCATCATGTGTTAACCAAGGTGCAAGAAATTGGAATCTCCTCACCGGTTTTTTTCTTCCTGCATCCATGGAACTGCAGGTCAGAATAGGTCTGTGGTCAGACTTGATCTTGGGAAGATGGATCACATAAGAGGACTGGAACTCATTATGCCACTCAATGTTGCAGAGGCTTCTGTCAAGTCTCTCCTTAATTTGGGATTTACTTGTGAACCACGTAAATCTAGGTCCTGTGAACCCCAAGTCGAGTAGTCCACAATCCTCGATACAGTCCTTGAAAGCTCTTGTCTTGGCAATGTTAAAAACGGCGCCACCTTGCTTCTCGGAAGGCTTCAAGATTGAATTGAAGTCACCTGTTAAGAGCCAAGGCTTTGCAATTTGTTTCTCTATGCACCTGATTCCTTCCCATAACACCCCCCTTTCGTGTTCATTAGGGCTTGCATAGACGACAGTTATGAAGAACCTAATTATGTTTCCCATCACACACTTTAAGTGAATAAACTGTCTATGCTTAACAACCAGCTCAAGGTTCAAGTTCTTACTGTTCCACACAACCCAAATACCTCCACTAAACCCAACAGCATCAGACACCTCACAAGAGTCGTAGCCCATGGACTTGATGACATCTTTGGCATCATTCCCACTGATCCTAGGTTCTAGGATGCAAACTATATCAGGAGAATTAAGAGACTTATACAACGCAAAGGAAGACAGAAATTTGGGGTGTTTGGCACCCCTGCAGTTCCAGGAAAAGATTTTAACCATGAAGGAAGGCTTAAATCAGTTCCCAACAGCTCTGATTAAAAATCAGCATTTGTCGATGGCCATAGCCATCTCCTCACTCCCTTGATCACTTCCAAGAGTACCATTCTTGGATGAATCTGCAATATCTGGCATACAATTGGCACCTCCCAAGTCCTGATCAAACTCGATCTTTCTTGGTTGGCCCATCCCAATTTCCGGGGAACTGGTTTTCTTCTTAGCTTTTTCCTTGCTATCATGGTTGTTTGTGCCTGTCTTCATCTTCGGCTGGTGGCCTGCTCTAGCACCTGAGGCCTGTCCTCTTTCATTACCACTCTTGGGAGAGCCAGAATGGTTTGCAGACACTCCACTCTTCTGGTTCCCACTTTTAGATAATTGAGTTTGCTTGGCCTCAGGAACCTGTTTGGAGACCAAACCAGTTTTTGGAGCAGCAGAAGGTTGTGCCTCAACATAGCAGCCTGGTTGCTTGGATGAGACTGGTTCCTGTTTCTTCATGGGGGGTGTAGATGATGCAATTTTCTTCCCGGTTCCTTTCTTAGATTTTCCACTACCTTTGACTTCCTCTCCATACTGAGTTTCCTTTCCCTTGGTCTCCTGTTGATTTCCTAGCTTGGGAGTATCTTTCGTTTTTGTCTCTGCAGGTTTTTCAGTAGAGGCAACCTCCATTGTGGCAAGCATTTCCTCATCTCCATTATCAGCTCCTTCCACATCCTCCTCTCCAGTATCAACAGTTTCTTCCGCATTTTCAAGCACACTGAATCTGGATCCCTGCCCCCCTGCCACTCCAACATTCTTCTCCCCTGTTTCACTTTTGGTACTCTTTTGGTTTCCCTGTTGCCTTGGTTTCCTTTTCGCTCTTGTTGCGAGCATCCAAGGACCAAAATCCTCCACAATTTCTGGTCTGATTACCTGCTGTTGGCTTATCTCTTGGCTAGTCTTCATTCTTTCCTCCGGAGAAGCACTATGAGCACTAGCAATCGGACAAGCTTCTTCCAGATGTCCATAGCATCCGCATCCATAGCAGACAGTGTGTAAGCCTTCATATTCCACTCTCCTAACCCTCCTTTTAATTCTGTATTTGGATACGAGTCTTTTCCTCAAATCGATTTCCACACATATTCTGGCATAATTCCCCCTAGAGCCGTTTGCTGTGTTGTAGTCTATCTTCTCCACTCTTCCTATCCTATCTCCAATATCCTGCAGAATTTCATCATCGAAGTAGGCTAAGGGTAGTCTAGGAAGTCTTACCCACACAGATGCTTTGGTGATAGTATCAAAGCCGGATCGAAATCCAGCCTCCATGGTTCCGCCGCAATATAATGATCATCAATGGTCCATGGCCCTCCATAAAGTGCACGGTCATGGTCCAGTTGCGAGTCAAAAGTGGCCTGGAAAAATCCATTTCCAATATCCCCAATTCTGACTCCTCCTGTTCTTGCCCACATTTTCTGGATTCTGCGGTGGACAAAGGCAAAGGGGAAAGATTTCCCAAGAATTCGGAAAGTGATAGCCCGCCTCCATCGATTTCTAATTCGAGCATCAGTACTTTTTTTGATTCGGATGGTGGGACAATCCGGATCATCTTCTGTATTCTCATCTTCCGATTCGTCCGACATCAGTTCATCACCTTCGGGAATATCAATCGGCGGACCATTCCCTAGAAAGGAATCCTTGTAGGACATCTTGTTCTCGGCATTCTCCGGTGCGTTCCCCATGGCTTGGCCTCCATCGTTCTTCTCCTCCCGGGCTTCTTGCACGGCTTCATCGACATTCTGGTAATGAGCAGTAGCTATTGTGAAAACCATCTCCCCTTCACCTGTGAAACCTTCGCCAGTGCTGGCCTTGGCCTTCTTACTTGGTTGCGGCGGCGTAAGCGGCGGTGCTCCGTCCGGCGGTTTCAGGCAGTGATCTGCCCCCGCCTGCGGCGGTGGAGACCCAACGGTCATTTTCCCCAAAGCAGCGACAGCAACGTTCAAAAGCGAAGAGAGAGGAGAGAGCGTTTCTCTCGCCTTTTTTTGTCTATCTCATTTCTCCCCTTTTCTGTCACAGGTTTCGGCAGGCGTCTGCACCCAAGTTCCATCAGACATTCTCCCGGAAATTTTACTGATCGAGCGGTGGTCACATCAATTCTCTTCAGCGCTCAGCTTCCCTCGCTTGATCCATGAAGCATTGAAGCTGCTCGTGATCGCTGGATTCCGAGTAGTCGAATAGCGTCAGCTCGAAGTTGAATCGCTTTGTCCAGCAACGGGTGAGCTCCAATTTTGCTTGCTGTTTGTTAAAAATGTCTGACCGAGTAACCCCCGTCATTCTCCGGCTCCGCCGCTCGGAAGAAGGATCCTACGGGAAACCGCTGAATATATTCCGACGACGGTACGAAGACTCTTTTCTTCGCCGAAAGCTTTCATGTACCTAGGCGTTAACGGTGATTGTTCCTTTCTGGTTTTGCTTTGTCTTTCATTTGGAATTCGGAACTGCAAAAATTTCTCTACTCGAGTACGCCGGTTACGCTTCTCTGGAACTGTTCAATTGCAATTTAGTATTTACTTTTGTCTGAGCTTCGCGATTGATTGGTGCTCCACTTCACCTGTCATTGGATTGGAGTTGTTGAATAGTTGGGGGGGTGTGCCATTCAGCAGGGTAGAAATTGTTTTGGTTTTTGAATTTAGGGTTTTGCTGCCCTTTCAATAGGATTTGTAGATTACCAGGGTGTGGATTTTGTAAAAGATTATGGCTACTGTGTGGCTAGTTCGTTCATGATGCGACTTGAAAGTGATAGGGTGCTGTTTCCTGAATGACAACTCGTTGTTGTTATATTTTTTTAGCATTGTGCTATGGGATCGGTGATAATAACTGCTGATTCGTGAGAGCTTATGCCTTTCACAGGTAGCAAAGATGGTTAATGTGGAAACTTCATCTGCAGGAGGTAGAAATAAAGAGGGGGAAATTAGGGGGAAAAGGAAGAGAGACGTAGATGTGGAGGCTACATCTTCCGAGGTTGTGGCTTCTCGAGCAGAAGGTGTAGCTGAAGATGGGGAAAATAGACAGAAAAGGAAGAGAGTCAAGGATGATATTTCTGTTGAGGCTACAACTGGAACAGATGGTAACAAGGTATGGAGTGGAGCTGATTCTTTGAAAAAAATCGAGACCGAGAAGTCTGACTCTTCAAATGAAAGGAAGAAAAAGAAGAAAAGGAAGCATAGCAGTCTAAATGAACAACCTCCAATGCAGGAAGACATGGATGAGAAGTTAGGTGATCTGGGCGTCGTTGTAGGAGATGCAAATGCGGATGAGCGAAAGGGAAGACATGAGAAGAGTGTTGAGGAGGGAATTGAGACTAAGAACCCAGAGCAGTCTATTGACAGGAAGAAGGAGAAGAAGAAGAATAAAAAGAAGCACAGCATGGATGGACGAAAGGGTAGACATGAGAACAGTGTCAAGGAGGGAATTGAGACTCAGAACTCAGAGCAGTCTATTGACAGGAAGAAGGAGAAGAAGAAGAAAATGAAGAAGCATAGCATCGATGAGGAGCCTGTATCGCAGGAAGTCCCAGTTGGAGATAGTCACGCCGGTGGAAAAGCCATTAGACACACTTGGGATTCGCTTGATGAAATTGTGGCTGGAAAGTCCGAGGATCCAAATGACAGGAAGAAGGAGAAGAAGAAGAAGCAAAGAATCGAACAGGAGGCCGTATTGCAGGAAGCCTCAGCGGGAGATAATGAAGCTAACCCAGAGGAAGTTGACAAAACTAAAACTAAAAGCGCGGAGTCTTTGGAATACAGGAGGAAGAAAAAGAAGCAAAATGTTGAACCGGAGCCCATCTTGCAAGAAGCCCCAGTAGGAAATAGTGAAGCTAACACAAAAGAAGTTGACAAAGCTACAACTAAAAACTCCGAGTCTTCGAGAGATGGGAAGAAGAAGAAGAAGAAGAAGCAAAGAATTTCTGAGGGGCCCTTATCGCAAGAAGCTACAGTGGGAGATGTGGAAGCTAGCACAAAACAAGTAATTGATAAAGCTATAACTGAAAACTCTGAGTATTCTGAATGTAGGAAGAAGAAGAAGGAGAAGAAGAATCAAAGCATTGAACAGCCTGCAAGACCAAAGTCTGGGAGAAGTGGAGGCAAGATAGTTGAAAAAGATGCTTCTGATAGCTCCCCCCCAAAATCCACAACTAAGAGAGTTCGTTTTTCTGAAGTAGTGAAGGTGATCCCCATTTATAAAGATGACGACTCTGTGAGAGGGAAGCCCTTCTCACTGGAGGAAGACGAGCTCATCAAAGCTGCTGTGTTGGACTATATAAATTCACATGCTTTAGGCGATGAAGGTGTCAACATGGTTATGAACTGCCGTAAGCACAAAGAAACAAAGAACTGCTGGAATGAAATAACGTTGGCTTTACCTCGGCGCCCTCGTAAGAGTGTAATTTCCCGTGCGCACATAATCTTCGAAAGGAGCGAGGAGCGCAAATGGACGCCTGAGGAGTGCAATTTCGTGTTGAGTTATCATGAAAAACACGGTCCGGATTGGTCATCATGTGCCAAAGTCATGGGGAAAAACAGGATTCATGTGAAGGACGCCTTTCGAAGGCTGAATGTGAAAAATCGGAAATCCGGGCGTTGGACCCAGGACGAGTACCAGGGCTTGTTCGATTTGGTGAACACCGACATTCGCATGAAGGTCCACGAGGAGAGGAAGTCGAAGCATGGAATGCTGAGAGATAACATCAGCTGGGCAGCGATTAGCGAGAAGCTCGGTACTCGAGTCCAGGCACATTGTTCCAATAAGTGGTATAAGCAGCTGGCTTCGCCCATGGTTGCTGACGATAAATGGCGCGATGTGGATGACTACCAGCTGGTGATGGAGCTCTACAACTTGGATGCTTGTTGCATGGAAGATGTGGACTGGGACAACCTCTTGGAGCATAGGTCAGGAGAGCTGTGCCGAAAGAGATGGAATCAAATGGTGAAACACCTTGGGGACACTCGGGATAAATCATTCGGTGAACAAGTCGATGTCCTTTCTGAGAGATACTGCTTTGATGTGCTCGAAGCTAAAGAGGCTTACTATAGCAAACCTTTAGTAGATTGAGGATATCTTTCACTGTTTAGGAACCTCAGAAGTCAGAAATCAGAAGCATAAACCTGTTCTTGCTTTCGAGTTTGTAGAACAGTCTAAATACTAAATGCACCTGGTTGCTTTCGAGTTTGTTTTTAGCTGATTGGATTTCTGCGGGCGTGATAGGTTTGGGCCCAAAAAGAAGAGTGCCAATTAAGGTAGTCCTACTATTTCTCTATTGGGCCCAAGCCCATTATCGTCTCTTCTACCTTCCGTCTCTCTGGAATCTGGATCTTTGGTTTTTCTTTTTTTACCTTTTTCAATTTCATTTCTCCAGAACGAAAAAAATCGCCGGAACAAAGTATAGTCTCAGAACTCGATTCCTCCCCTTTTCTGTCAGGTCACGGCTGCACCCTAGTTCCACCAGACCTTCTCCCGGAGATTTTACTGATCAAGCGGTTGCCACATCAATCTGGTTAAGCACTCAATCTGCTGTTTCGTCCCCTTGATTCAGGAAGCTGCTCGAAGTTGAAACGTTTCGTCCTGCAATGGCGGAGATCCAAGTGCTTGCCGTCCGTTAATGAATCGGATGGAGTTGTAGGTATACGGGCGAATAAACCATAGGTGAGTTAAGCTAATTCAAGGGTTGTTTGTATAACTGGACTCTTTGAAATGTGATTATTGGGGAGTTGGAGGAATTAAGCGCGCGCATAGGCTTAGCCAATTGTGTTGTTGCTAATTCTCGTCTTTCTTGCGGCGAAAATGACAGAGTCTAGTATATAATAACAGGATGATGTGAAGGCATTTGAATCAGATTATTAGTCTACTGTTAATTTAGCAGTTCTTATTCATAGAAGATTTTACTTGTTGCAGGTGATCTGATGGCACCTGAGAGGCATAGAATATTGATGGTTTCTGATTTTTTCTATCCCAACTTTGGTGGCGTGGAAAATCACATATATTACCTCTCACAATGCCTGCTAGAGCTTGGCCACAAGGTGACGGGTTCTATCTTTTTTCCCCCCATGTTTCCGCTTTTCAAACCTGAACTAGGATCTGTAAGTCTGCCACTCTTAATTTGTTTCTAAGATAGTTTATCTTGCTGATTTTTCAGGTGGTAGTTATGACCCATGCTTATGGTAATCGCTCTGGTGTGAGATACATGACAGGAGGGCTGAAAGTTTATTACGTACCATGGCGGCCATTTGTGATGCAGAACACATTGCCTACCATTTATGGAACCCTTCCAATCGTAAGGACGATTCTTATCCGAGAACAGATATCGTTGGTTCATGGGCACCAGGCTTTCTCAACTCTTTGCCACGAAGCTCTGATGCATGCACGTACGATGGGTTACAAAGTTGTGTTTACTGATCATTCGCTTTATGGGTTTTCGGATGTTGGAAGCATCCACATGAACAAGGTGTTGCAGTTTACTTTAGCGGATGTCACGCAAGCCATCTGTGTTTCTCACACAAGCAAGGAAAACACGGTGCTTCGGTCAGGTATTCCACCAGAAAAGGTCTATATGATCCCAAATGCTGTGGATACTGCTATGTTCATGCCAGCAGAAGAGCGACCAGGTGGCAACGAAATTGTTATTGTTGTTATAAGTCGATTGGTTTACCGTAAGGGAGCAGATTTGCTTGTTGAAGTCATTCCGGAAGTCTGCCAGTTGTACCCCAATGTAAGTCATTTTGAGCACTCATTGCGGTTACTGGTTGATCTGATTTTCCCTTCTCAATTGGTATGCTACAACTGAGTCACTGCTCTTCAGGGTGTTAAGGTGGACAGGTCCTAAACACTGCTATATAGCTGGTTGATAACTTTAGGCAGCAAGTGTAGTGCACACCTTTACGGCCCTTCTTTTAAGTATAGTACACAGCTTAAAAGCCTTTCTTTTAAGCTGAATGAACTAGTCTAGAGTACAGTATGAACTGCATTTTCAATGTCAAAGAAAATCTTGTATAGTGCAACTTGTGTCACAGTAGTCAGATCTTTCTTCTGCCTCCGGTATTTAAGTTCTTTTTTTTACCTCCCCAAATTGGCTTTCTCAGGTTTGACTTCATTGACTTCATTCCATTGGCATGTAAAACCTTCTCCGGACCCTGATGCATCATCCGTCTGCACTAAGTTGTCTTCATTGCATACAAACTTCTTTCTCCCTGTATTGCCTACTCTCATTTGGGGAACCACTTTTCCAAGGTCCGTTTCATTGTTGGAGGTGATGGGCCCAAACGTGTGCGCCTTGAAGAGATGAGGGAAAAGCACTCCCTCCAAGATCGAGTTGACATGCTGGGTGCTGTTCCACATGCTTCTGTGCGATCTGTTTTGATCACTGGTCACATATTCTTGAACAGGTACACGGGTTGCACAAACTTAGTCTTTCCAGCCTGTGTTATGTCCTAGCACTTTTATTGAGTTGAGATATAATAGAAAGGGGTTTTTCATTTTTTCCTCCCAGTCCAAATTGGCTTATTATCAGGCTCTTTCAAGAGTTTTCACTCATTTTGGGACAGTTCTTTGACAGAAGCATTCTGCATAGCCATATTAGAAGCTGCAAGTTGTGGGTTACTGACAGTGAGCACTCGTGTTGGAGGTGTGCCAGAGGCATGTCTATAAGAAACAAACCTTTCCCTTTTCATTTCTCTGCTGAGTTGAAGTTCTTTGGGCTCAACAATCGACCCCCTGATTTCACTCTTTGTTATGGCAGGTTCTACCAGACGACATGATTGTACTTGCTGAGCCAGATCCTACCGATATGGTGCAATCGATCAAGAAGGCAATATCTCTGCTTCCTGGAATCGATCCTCAAGCTATGCATGAACGTGTATGTAAATTAACGGGTCACACTACTTCCTTTCAAATGTTTTTCTTGCCCCGTGTTTCCATCAGGAAATTTACATATACCTTCTCTGCAGATGAAGAAACTCTATGACTGGCATGATGTTGCAAAGAGGACGGAGATAGTATATGATCGTGCACTTAAATGCCCCAATCAACCTTTGCTAGGGAGATTATCCCGGTAATGATGAGCTGGTAACTTAATCCCATACTATGGACACGAAAATTGGATTGTGGGGTTCCTAACCTTGCTGCTAACTGTTTCTGTGCGTGTTCTAGGTACCTTTCTTGTGGATCGTGGGCTGGAAAACTTTTCTGCTTGGTCATGACTATTGATTTTCTGCTGTGGCACCTGCTGAAGTTATGGCAGGTACTACTTAAGTTACTAACTACCCTTTTCCTTTCCCACTAGAGATTGGGAATATGTAGTCCGCCAGCCGCCTCACTTTTGGAACTGTGTTTCTCCCTGTAATGGCAGCCGGAAGAAGACATTGATAAGGTGCCTGATTTTGTTATCCCCACGGGAGAGACTTCCTCTGCTTTTGATCAGGAGTTGGATGATCAATCTTCTTCCTGACTATTGTGCATGTGGTGTGATGTTTTTCACCCTTTACAAAGCTGTTGATTGATGTCCATTCCGGGATTTCTGTGCGTCTCTTTCTAGTGGTAGATAGCTTCGACCTCTGATGTCCAAGGTCGAAAAGTGTAACCTTGATCATGAAGAAATTAGAGAACAGAGTTGATTCGTTTGTTCTTGTAATAGAATTTAATTGCCTTGTAAGTTGTATCCCTTCTACCGTGAAATGAAGTGCATTGATTTTCAAGCCCAAGCATAAAACTTTAAAGTTACAGGGGCCAACCGAGAAGATAACAAAGTTGAGGAACTTCAGTAGCAATTTATTCTTTAGTTAAAGAGAGGTCCCCCACAGACAGCCGTCAAAAAAGTTGGTTCCTTTCGAAATTCACCAGAAACCCTAGCCTGCCGGCGCGGCCGACCGGTCCCCTTTTCCTTTCTCGGCGATGGTTTCTGAATCAGTCTCCGTTGCGGACCCACCACCTCCTCCGCCGCCTTCCCTTCTCCCTTACTCAAGTACTTCGACTACTCCCACTACTCAACAATTCCTGCTCCCGTCCGCCGCCGCCGCTCCGATTACCAACTACCACAACCAGCAGCAACAGCAGGTCCTATCTCTAGCCAAGAAGTCCCGCTCCCGCGACCGCCACAAGAAGGTTGACGGCCGAGGCACCCGGGTCCGGCTCCCGGCCCTCTGTGCCGCCCGAATCTTCCAACTGACACGGGAGCTCGGCCACCGCACCAATGGTCAGACGGTCGAATGGCTCCTCCATCACGTCCCTCATTCTCACTTCCCCACTCCTTCCTCCGCCTCTGATCAAAGCTCCGGTTCGATACCTTCGGAAGCGAACGGCCTAGGTGGTGACGTCGGAGGAGGAGGGGATGCGTATGGGTCGCCGTCTTCTGCTGCTAGGGCGAAGATAAGACCCAGGAAAAAGCGGGTTGTCCCTTCTTTGAATGCTCCGGCGAGTTGTGAGATTGATTTCGGCTCTGCTCCTTCCCCTTCTCCTCTGCCCAATGCTCTGCCGCTGTCGACTGTTATGCCAGGATCCAGCTCCACGATTATGCCGCCGGTTGCCACTGCAGCTGCCGTAGTTCCGCAGCCGCAGCCGCCGATGAAGAAAGAAGAGCCGTGGCCGTGTGAATTTGAGCTGTTTCCGCCGAATTTATCCTTTACTTCGTTGTTGATGCAGTGGGGAAAGGACTAGCAGGCGCGCGGGCTGCTATTGCTTTGGTTTAGTCATTAGTGTACAGCTTGGCCGCCTTCTTTTGCCTACCACCTGTTCGATGTTTTGCCTGTTTGAACGGAAGGTTACTAACGTAGGAATTTTCTGGGGTTCATGTAAGAGATCCCAGCTTTCCTCTTTCGCGTCTCTGCATTGTTCAACTCAGCCAGCCCTGTTGTACTGTACGGATCAGTTGAATGAAATAATTGAGATATTAGAGGATATTCTTAATTCTTGTCTATGGCTCTATGCCTCTGTGGCTCTGTTTGTCCCTTTGCTGTTATTCTATTTGGCTTGAATTGGAATTCCAGTGGTGAGTAACTAATAGCTGTATCTGCTCTGCAACCTGGTCAAGCTGCGAAATCTCATGGCAGTTTGGTTTTCAGTGATGAGAAGATTGGCAGCCTATTGAAGATAATTAAGAGAATCAATTGTTCATAGGATGATTTTTGAGTTGGAAGGAAAATCTTAGTCTCTAGTAGATCTCTTCATTAACAACCATACATCTCACCAGTAATCTCCACATGAACACACTCCGTTCACGAAGTGATGAAATCGAACTCTATCCCTCACAACTATGCTTCTATTGAATGCCTTGGATACAAACTTTGTAAATGAATGACAATCTTTACAAACCCTCAGGTTTTTAACTATGCGCAGGCTTGCACCTTCGGGAGTTCTTGCCAATCCGTAAGCAATCGCTAGCTTCTCGCTGTGGCATGAACTTGGAGTCTCTGAACACCCTCCTTCAGACCAAGATCCGGGAAGGTTCAGTATTACAGGCTCCTCCTTCACATACCCAGCCGACGTAGCTCGTTTCGTAACTTCCTCAAGTTTCTCATAGACTTGCATGCTATCAGGATGTAACTTGTCATCAACGACAAACTTGTGAACTTGGTTAGAGATCTCGATCCAGCTCCAACCAGGAGTGGTCTTCACCCCAAGGGTTTTGATCAGTTTCCTCATTTTGGCGAACCCAGAGAGGTAGTTTGCTCCAGCATATATGGTTGAAAGCAAGACACAATCCCCTGCGGTTACTGCCCCGAGTCTCATCAAATTCCTCAACGCTTTCTCTCCACTGGCCACATTCTTATGGATTTTACTGGAGCCCAGTAGGATTCGCCACAGGACTGGATCGTCCCGTGATGGGGAAGTTTCTATAGTCTCCAGTGCCTTATCAAGGTTACCAGCTCGGCCATATAAATCCACCAAGCAGCCATAATGTTTGATACCTGGTGTGAGATTGAATTTAGAGCTCATTTGGTGGAAGTAATCAACACCTTCTTGTACTAAACCTTGGTGGCTACAGCCGCACAGCAAGCCCAGGAAAGTGATCGAATTAGGGCGCATTCCAGCTGCCAACATCTGCTCAAAGAAAGAGATGGCATCATTACCAAGTCCATGGACTCCAAACCCATGAATCATGGAGTTCCAGGTAAAGACATCCCTCCTTCTCCTTCTAATCCCTGTGAAGACAGAAAGGGCATCATCCAAGCTACCACATTTGGCATACATATCAATCAGAGCGCTCCCCACAAACACGTTTCTAACCAACCCTGTATCACAAGCAATCCTGTGCAACTGAACTCCCAATCCTAGAGCCCCTACATGAGCGCAAGAAGAAAGCAACCCAACGATCGAGAACGCATCAAGACCCACATTCTCATTCCTCATTCTTTCATACATCTCCATCGCCTCTTCATGGCGGCCCGCCTGTGAGTAGCACGAGATCATTGCGTTCCAGGCAACCAAGTCTCTCTCAGGCATTTTATCAAACAGAAAGCGCGCATCTTCGAAACTCCCATTCTTTGCGTAACATCTAGTCAGAGCAGTGCAGACCACAGTATCACGTCCGTACCCAGTTGTGATAATGGACCCATGAATCTCCCTGCACTTGGGTAGAGCCTTGAGTTTCTCCACCGCCTTGAGAGCGAAGGTGAAGGTGAAAGTGTCGGGGCGAGCTAGAAGCGAGTCAGAGAGCAGGCGGTTGTAGTAAGCGAGAGCCAAAAGAGGGGAATGGCTCTGGGAAAAGCCTCTTACGATGGAATTCCAAGCCTGAGTAGGCGGGTCAGGCATTTTATCGAACAGGAGTTGTGCGTGAGCCAAGGAGCCCGTGACGGAGACGGCGCAGAATCTGAGAAGCTGGGTAGAAATGGAGGGATCGCAGTCGAGGCCGCAGACGATGACCTGCGCCTGGATTTTGCGTAGCCTCGTGAAGCTGTTGCATCCCTGCAACACTTTGAGAATCGCTTTGGCTTTTGCACCGTCGAGCATTCGATGAACTCAGGGGTAACTTTGGGGCGGGCCGGCGACCATTCAATAAAAACATAAAATGAAGATCAGAACTTACCCAAGTTGGATGACTAATATGACACATAAGGGTAAAATTGATGACCAAATTGGTGATTAACCATCCAAGTTCAATTCAGTAACTGAATCGCTATTCAGTAAACGGCACAAACCCTGACCTGGCTCTGGCTGGTTATAAATATAAACTAGTTTTGCAATCGGCAATTGCAGAACTGCAGATCCCTATTTCCAATTCCCGCCGCAATTTCTCTCTTCGTCCGAACATGGAAACGAATCGGGCTGAACAGCGGGAGGTGCGAAAGCCGACGAGAATCGACGTCGACAGGCTGAGCTCTTTACCGGACGAGATTCTTTCCGATATCCTCTCTTTGGTGTCAACCAAGGCCGCCGTGCGCACCACTGTTCTCAGCCGACGGTGGAAGCACCTCTGGACTAGGGTTTCCAATCTCGATCTCGACAATTCCCCCTTCAGTTACTTTTATGACCCGTCGTTGGCTCAATTGCGGTCATATCGGGAGAGCAAAGATTCCGAACGATGTAGGAAAGGGTTGGAATTCTGCCGCTTCGTCGACAAGGTTCTGAGCGAGCACACGAATCTCGATTCTCTGAGGCGTTTCCGATTACATGTCTGGGAATTTTACCTTAATGTGCGGCCAAATTTCTGGTTGAAGTTGGAATTGGGGCCTGGCTCTCTGCTTCAGGAAATTGATGTTAATCTTCATGGGAGCGTTCCTGGAACCCACTTTCCTATGCGTCGGCTCCCAGAGATTTTTTTCACTTTGCAGCATTTAAGAGTTCTGAAGCTTGCCGGTGTTATAATGGTAATTGGGTCGTCAGTGTTTCTTCCTAATGTGAAGATCTTGCAGCTTTTAGGAGTGAAAATAGTGGACGGTGAGTCATTTGGCAGGCTCATTTCGGGTTGCCCTGCTCTGGAGACTGCTCATCTGCAGTCTGGTTGTCGGGGGATTGACAAGCATCTTTACCAGAATGATATCTACAAACTCGTTGCTTCATCACCATGCTTGAAGAACTTAACGATTATGTTTTTCGACAGCTGTACGCTTTTGGAAATTGAAGCACCGAATCTTGAGCATCTACGTCTTGAGTATTTTTCTCCAGAGTTGCTATTTCTGGGCAGTAGTAAACCGCCATGCCTTCAGTCAGTAAGTCTTGCTTATGGTTACGAAATGAGCGAGGTCTGGGATGATTGCCTGTCTGGGTTCCTCTCCCAAATCTCCAATGCAAAGGAAATGAGCTTATCTTGGCAGTGGATTGTAATGTTACCCTTTTCCTAACTCCCTTCCTCAACTCCCAATCTAATTTTTGTCATTGATATAATCTGGTTGATGAAAGCTGCTATGTTTTCAGGCTGGTATCGAATTTCGCGAAGATTTCCAGCTGCCAGTCTTTCCCAATTTGACGCATTTGAAAATCGAAACTGATCCAATCAGTTGCATTCTGCTCCTGTTTCTCAACTCGACCTCCAGTTTACAATCTCTTGTCATTAGTATCGTGAGTATTCATTATGTTTATCTGTTACTCTTTCACCCACCGAAAGGTATTTTTTGTTGTAACAACGAACTTCTTCCAATGGTCAGGTACGGGATGTGGATTTGGATGAAGGGCGAGATGAAGCGTCAATTGTATGGGTGTCAGACCTTGCCTACAGAACACCTGAGCGCCCGTTGTCAAGCCTCGAGGAAATCGAGATCACGGACTACAAAGGAGGTGTACATGAATTCGAAATGTTGGCATATTTGCTCGAGATTGGAGTTGCAGTGAAGAAGTTTACTGTGAGCGTAGCTAATCATGATCTAAGAGCTTGCACCACGGCTAAAACTACTGCAACGGGGATCGAGTGCTTGTGAATTTCTTATTTTACGTCAGAAAAATCCTTGTCCATTATGACAGTGACTGAGGAGTTTGCCATTAATGATCACAACTGCAGAATAAGTGCAGAATAACGCATAGTCTTCTCGAAAGGCTAGAATGATGTAGCTAGAAGAGCATCAGTGAGACTGTGCCTCGAAGTAGTGATATCTGCAAACAAATAACCTTTGTGTACACCTTCTATCTGATTCCACTTCTTATATCGAACAATTGTCTGTGCTAAAATTTCTTGTAAGAGCTTACCACTGCAAAAAATTTGCATGCAGCCATGCACGATAACACCCTTTTTAGAGACACACAATGGTGAAAACTGAAAATTATTGGTACTAAAATGGAGATAAGATAAACAAGCAGCAGTGACACTATATAGTGGAGTTTTGTACTTACAAGAGTTAGGTGATCAAAATGACAAATAAAAATAAGTTTGATGACCAAATTGATGATAAACCTCTCGTTCCCCCGCTATAACGAGTTTTGCAATCGGTAATTTCTGAGTTCTTGCTTAGTCCGTGGATGGAGATGCCGATGGCGAGGGCAGATCAACGGGAGGCGCGAAAGCTTCGGGCGGGAATCGGCGATGACAGGTTGAGCTCTTTACCGGACGAGATCCTCTCCCATATCCTCTCGCTCCTGCCAACCAAGTACGCCGTGGGCACCGCTGTCCTCAGCCGACGGTGGAAGGATCTCTGGACTAGGGTTTCCAGTCTCGATCTCGACCTTAGCAGCGAGGTTCTCCGATCGATGGCATTTGACTTCTGCGGCTTCGTCGGGAGGGTTCTGAAGAAGCACAGGAATCTCAATTCTCTGAGGCGTTTCCGCTTACATTTTCTGCAAAGGCACCTTGACTCGACTGTGTGGCCGAATTTCTGGTTGAAGATGGAATTGGGGCCCGGCTCTCTGCTTGAGGTAATCGACGTTAAATTTGAGCCGAATGTTGCAATGGTAACTCACTGTGCAATGCGATGGCTTCCTGAGAGTTTCTACACTTTGAAGCATCTTCAAGTTTTGAAGGTTGAGCACGTTGTACTAGGGACTGCTGCACAAGGGTCTGTTCTCCTTCCTAGCCTGAAGGTCTTGCAGCTTTTGGGAGTGGTGTTTTTGGGCAGTCACTCGTTAAGCAGATTCATTTCTGGATGCCCTGTTCTGGAGACTGCTCATCTGGAAAATATCAACAGTGGGGAAGATATGGTCACTGCTTCGTTGCTATCCTTGAAGAAGCTAACAATTATCTCTGGTACGAAGTTTCCGATTGTTATTGAAGCACAGAGTCTTGAGCATCTCCATCTCCAATATATTTGTGGGGAGTTGCAATTTCTTGGCTGTAGTAAATTTCCGTGCCTTGATTCAGCAAGTGTTGATATGGTTGGGAGCGGCATTTCTGATCATGCTCTGATTGAGTTCCTGACCCAAATCTCCAATGCTAAGGAAATGAGCTTATCTTGGCACTCTATAGTAAGAAAGTTATTACATTTTCCTTTTCTCGCTCATTTACCGATCTTTTCTTTCATCGTTGATTTTCTTACTGACGATAGCTGTTGTGTTTCAGATGCCTCTGTCAATTCTCAATGATCTCCAGCTGCCTGTCTTCTCCAATTTGACGCATTTGACAATCGAAACTGTTGGCAGCAGCTGCATTTTGCATTCTTTGCTCAGCTCAGCCTCCATACTACGATCTCTTGTCATTCGCTTGGTGAGTATTTAATATGCTTACCCTGCCCCCTATCAAGGTTTATGCTTTAAATAGAAACCCCTTCCATATTTAGATCATAATGAATGTACATGAAGAATTTGGCTTGTGATGGATCAGGTAGAGGATGAGGTATCGGTAAAGTGGGAGTCAGAACCTGCCTGCACCAGTTGCTTGCTGTCAAGCCTCGAGGAAATTAAGATCATGAATTTTGAAGGAAGTCTACATGAGATGGGAATGGTGGCATACTTGCTGAAGGTTGGAGCTGTATTGAAGAAGGCGAGTGTGCACGTAAAGAGGACTGTGAATGTGCAACGCAGACTGCTTGCATCACTTCTAAAACTACCGAAAGGATCAAGCACTTGTAGACTTCGTGTCTTGCATCTCAACAATGAGATCCAATACAATGATATCCACGACGAGGCTGACATTGATGGTGGCTATATGTACGACGATGACAACTCTGACAACAATAATGATGATGGGGACAATGATGACGAGATGTGCAGTCTCAGCTTGATTTCCTTTTTGTATGGCGATGACGATAACGATGAGGTCGACTTGCAGCACAATTTTGGATAAGTTGTTCCTTTGGGAGTAGGATTCTGGTTTGGATGCAGATGATATCAAGATGGTCACTTCATGTTGAGGGATTAAGATATTATGTTTTTATGTTCTGAGCAAAGATTCTGGTTCGGATGCAGATGATATTGAGACGATCGGTTGCTGTTGAAGGAACCGGAATACGATATAGTTGTGTTTCATGAGAACCTTGATATTTATGACGTAGCAAGAGCATTCGTGAGACAGTGACCAGTTGGGTGATCCATGAACATGTTGAGGTAGTATTGTTTGAAGATATTAAGGAGTAATTTGAAGCTAGTGATGTTAAATGAGGAATTCTGTGAATTAGTTTATTCCTTTGAACCATCAATTTTTTGTTATGAAGTTTCACCCAATATATGCATTTATGTTTGGTTTTTGTGATATGGAATTAGTTACAACCCTTCATTTCAAATCTCAACAAAAAACCAATATGGCTGAGCTGTTCTGATATCGAACTTTAAATTTAGAGATCCTGATTTCAGCATCTGTAACACGATGATCAAGTGCTTGTGAAGTTCTTATTTTGTGTGAAAATGACTACTATTCATGAACAATTGGCAGTAATGATATTTGAAAACTACCATTCATGACCTCTATGTGCGTCCACCTGAACCGACGTATTATAGCAAACACTTGGCCAAGGGTTTCCGACAACAGTACGCACAACTGAAAATTTGACATTCACAGTAAAATGGAGAGCATAAAGGGGAAACATTGTTGCAAAAACAACGATTAGAAGGCCTAAGAAATGAGAGCGCGAAGAGACTACACAACATAACACTAACAGGTCGCAATGGTAAGTTCCACAACTCTGCATCTAGTCGAATATTTCATTCGAAGATTTCATTAAAGCTTTGGATACTATAGCGGAATACAAAAACATAGCATTGGCGAGAATGAGATCTCTTTGCCTCCTGAAGGCGTGAAAAAATTGCACTAATGTCGGGTCATGTGCAGAATGTCTATTGGAGTTCATCAGATGGCTCCAAGTTCTTGTTTCGGAACATCCGCCACTTCTTCTTCCTCCTGGTCCCGTATGCAGGGATGTCTGCAACAGGGAGCAACAAGTAACTTGCAGGGATGTCTGTCTGGTCTCATCTTCCATTGAATGAATACAAAAAGTGGTATGTTTTTCTTTCAATTGTTAAAGAGAACACTAATACCGTGAGGAAATATTGAGTTGTAATGCACCTCCGCCCAGAAGCTCAGTAGAATCACTGCACACACCAAATCATCAATTACCATATCAGAATACCCATAGAGCCTGTGAGGTCGAGACAGTATCATTGAAGATCAAGTGATGCAACAAAAGATGATTTGCTGCGTTGAAGATTGTGATACTGCAACTCTGTCCATACAATAGTAAATTGCTAGCATACCTCGTTCTGATCTTTGAAAATTCGGAAGAATCTCAATGTAGCAGGTGTCCTTGAAGGATGTAATGACAACTATCTTAACACCGTACTGCAACAATTACCAACAACACACAGAAAAACCCCACAAATTGAGTCACTTGAAAATCAGCAGCTTTATGTTAGCTGTAAGAATACAGAGATCCTCGTGAAGCATACCGAGTCTGCAGCAGCTTGTAAAGTGACATGATCGCCCCATTCACCACTCCTATTTCCATCCGCATTATGGTAAAAAATCAAGGTCAAGTTTTGACCCACATGAAAATGATCCAGTGAAGGAAAAGGATAAGAGATTTGTACTTGGACATCTTCTCCAAATAGTCATCGTAAGCCATAGGAACATATCCCTCGTAGCTCTCCGGAGAAGACTTCAGCTGAAACTCATTGCACCACAAAGAACATAAGAACTGTATATAACTGGAAAGAGGAATCAAACATATCTATCGTTGGAACAGAGAGACTAATAGTGTATCCAGAAATGGCTTACCTGCTTTACAACTTGTTGTCTCACGAATTCATGGTGCTCAGTAGTCCTATAAAACTGATCTGACAGAGCCCGAAACTGAAACAATTGCCGAAATTTAAGTGTCGTCAGCTATGCGTTCTGTGTGAAGCTTTTTTACTCAATAGTGGAAAGATAAGCAGCATATGTTCGCGTACTATCGTTTATGAACCCACTCAAATTCATAAATGCAACGGTGAAAAGAAATTGTTTGCCACTATCGTTCTCCAATGTGGCTTCTCTAACATAAGCACTACAACTTCCAAGATTCTGGAATCCATGGCCTGAGTGGATAAGGGCTAACCTGACAATTTCCATCTCCTTGCACTTTACGCTCAACTAAATCATACACCTGCAACCTAATAAAAACAAACAGATTCATGCACCAACAGTTTTGAAAACTAGAGAGTTATGGAAATGCTACACCTATTGCAAAACAGCTAAGCAAATAAAATCAGGGTAGAAAGATTATGGTCCATCGTTTGCTCTGAAACACATAGAGATTACCTGTCTAATAGCCTTTGGTGATCTAATGTTGCCTCATCAACTGATGGTATTTCTCCGTTGATTCTAGGAACATGCTGCACAAAGCAGAGACCAGAACTCAAAATGCAGAACTTTCACTATTCCAGATTGAAGAACGACAGAGCCAAAAAGATCAGAAACCAGCAGGAGTTCCACTATCTAGGAATGTATTTCAGTAGGGCTTGTAGGAAATCATTACAATCTTTGCAACTCTAAAATGGCTCCAAGACATTCATGAACGTCTACATCTTTGTTATTAAGTCAGCTGTAACTTTAATTCTTTTGAGTATAACATCTGAAATTTGGAGCAAGAGAAATGAGGGTCTTAGCAGTAAGTGCTGCTGTGAGCTGCTGCATGATTCAAAACACGAACTCACAGAAAACTTCAAGTGAATACTATCCACCAATGTCACACAAAGCTCATCAACTTACAGGAATTGGGACCATTTCGTTCAACCATTTCCCCACTTCACCATCAAAAGCATACACATCCGTCATGTCCCCTGAGTAAGACCAATCCTCCACAGAGTAAATGTTCTCCTGAGGGCTAGAGCACGAACTAGAAGGTTCCATACTCTCTGCCTCTTCTTGACCACCCTCCTGGCCTACACATTATATAAAGCCATTACAGCAAAGCCCAATGGATTGAAACCACAAAAGAAATGATTTTTCTTTTCATTTTTCCCCCCCTGATAAATGATCCTAACATGTACCGGTATATTCAACCAAGGGTTGAGCAAACCAATTAGGTGGTAGATCAGGGACTTGTGAATCTCCTCCGTCCTCTTCCTCTTCGTTTGGGGACTCAGCAGGTGGTTCAGCAACCGAAAGTTGAGATAACTCTTCCTGAAGAGAATGAGCAATAAGCTCATCCCTCTCCTCATTGCAACGGTCAGCATCATAATACCCTCCCTTGAAATACCTCCCGTCGTAGTAATCCAAATCTCTCTGCAATGGGGTTTGGCAGTACCCATAATTAGAGTATGGATCGCTCTCAAACAGCTGCAAACCCCACCGTACAACATCATCCTCCTCGTATGTAATCATCCCCGCTCTACAATAGAACAAACTCCAATCCCCTCCACAACCAAAAACCCAATATACAACGGAATCAACAGATGCAACCCAGTTCCTGTCTCATCTGGATGCTAACCGAGACAGCTTCTTCCTGGGCAAAGAAAAGAGAAAAAAAGGAACAAACTTTCAGTTGCTGCAAATCAAAGAAGAAAAGGGATGGCATTGAAAGCGTGGTATCTAGATATAGAAAGGCAGAGAGCACAGATCTAGCCATTGTACAAGCTACACATTGTCACCATTCTCCCATCAGTCGCTCAATCAAGCAGTTACAGCCAATCAAGGGCGGCTTTTCCCCATCTTTCCCTCAATAAAAAAAGGAATCTAGCAGCGGAAAAGAAGGGGGGGAAAAAAAGAAAGCATACCCAATAAAGAAGGGTAACCGAAGCATGCAAACGCCAATTACACTTTGCTGCTGTGAAATCTTAATCTTAGCTTCGTCGGCCCCTCCTCCGGCATTTTCTTTCTTCTCCAGCGACCAGCCGGCCGTACAATTGGGGGAAATAACTCCGCGAGCAATCACGCCATTAAAGAAAATGAAAGAAAGGACAAAGGAAAAGGCTGAAAAGAGGGTGGTGGCACTCGCAGCAGGGAGCAGCAGCACGGCGAAAAGGAATCTCTCCTCGTTCTCTCTCTCTCTCTCTCTCCCTCGCACACACTTTCGGCTCTTCGCTCACTCACTCAGTTACTCAGTGACTCACTGGTAAAAGGTGGGAAATTGGAAAGTGACATCTTTCTCCTCTCTTCATCGTCTTCTCTGCGATCCTTTCATTTCTTTTTCTTTTTTTTTTTACTTTTTGACCATGAATGAATGAAATCACCGCGGGGACATCGACAGTCATGATTCAGCGAGAGAGGAAAGTGACTGGAGTTGTGTAATAAACTATTTGATTTAACACTTCAATGGGGAATATTGGGGAAAATAAAATAAGGTGAGAAAGAATGAATTGATTGGGGCTGGAGACTCAGGAGATGCCAAGGAAACGGGCGGGACGGAGTCGAGACGCCACAGACACAGAGTGGACAATGGCTGAGGAAGATGCGGGGGAGAAGAGACGGACGGAGACGGCGTCATGAATGTGCTGTTTTTCTTTATTTCAGCTAGGAATGGGCTTTTTTTTTTGTCATTAGATCCAAACATACCGCCCGAAGTCCAAGATGCAATCGGCCCATTATCGGCCCAAATCACTATCGGCCCAAAGAAAAGGGGGAAAAAAGCATAGACCAGGAAACCGGATCGTACCGGCCGGTTCAACCGGAAATTGGACCAAAAGCGGTACGATGTGCTGATTTTACTGTGCCGGCCGGTTTTTTCGGTTTGACCGGTTGAACCGGCCGGTACGATCCGGTCTCCTGGTCTATGATTCAGCTTCATTTCTCCGTATTCTCGTCCAATATGTGGAAAATAATTAAAAAAGAATATTATTTTGCTATTTTTCTATGTTGAAAATGGGTCACCGTGGTTGTATAATGCTCTATTTGGTTCTTTTTTTTATAGATTATATATTTTATACTATCGCATTTCATTTCTCTATCAAATACCAGACAGGAATCCGGTATGATGTCCGGTACGGTTTCCTTTACCATGGAAAAAAGGGAGAAACTGAGAAAGGCAAGGAAATGAAGGAGAAAATGTATTGACGCCGGTCTAACGGTCTCCTCCTACTACTCCGCCAAGCCAACAGTTTGCTCCCCCGCCATTTCTTCCTCCCTCCAAAAAAAATCCTTCTCCCTCCATTTCTCCCATCCTTCTTTTCCAAAACTCTCTCTCTCTCTCTCTCTTCCTGTACTTCCGAGTTTCCATCCCGTAAAAAAAAAAAAAACAGACGGAAAAAAAAAAGTCCATTCCTGTTGTTCTTCGAATTCGTTTCTTATGTGACCCCGTCTCCGCCGCCGCCAGCTAAAGCAAAATCCCGTCCGGGCGACCACCACCGCCGCGCCAGCCGAGATATGAGCAGAGAGAAGGTCAATGTGCACCGTCGTTCTCCTACTCTCTCTGCGTTGTCCTCCTCTTCGCCGCCGTCTTTGAGCTCGCCACCGTCGTTGTTTCCGCCGCTGGCGAAGCTCCTCCTGCTGTTTCTGTTGTTATCGTTTTCGACACCGGTTTCCTGCCAAGACGACGATGGAGACATCCCCAAAAATCTACAGTCCGGCGGCGGCGGCAACAATCAAGTCGCCGAGCAGCTCGTGTCGCAGGCTATTTACAACAGTTTCGCCAATTTCACCGGCATCTTCAAGCAGGATATCAAGAAGCACTTCGGTTTCTGCATTACCGATGTGTATGTTAACATTTTTTCTCAAATCGATTTCGATTTGGTTTCGTGTTTGTTCAATTGTTCTTTTTTAATATCCACCCGCTTAGGAGAAGAATTTTGGTTCGCGGTGAATTGCAGGGATAAAGATTGGAATGACGCTTTCAATTTCTCAAAGAACACCCAATTCATGTCCAATTGCGCCAAGAGAACCAACGGTAAGAAGAAAAACAATTATGAACTCAATGCCGATTTGTAGCATTCCTGACGAGAAACAAGCATTCACTTATTATGATCTTCCTTCATGATACACTAGCCATATAAGTTCCTGATCTGTTGATGGCATGTTTGTGTTATGACTCTCTTTGGTGGATGAATCAGGCGACATTGGCCAGCGTATATGCACTGCAGCAGAGATAAAGTTCTACTTCAATAGTTTCTTCAGCAAGGGTTCAAAGAAATCTAATTATTTGCATCCAAACAAGAACTGCAACCTGAGCTCGTGGGTGTCTGGGTGCGAGCCAGGGTGGGCTTGTAGCGCGGGCAAGGGAGTCAAGGTCGACATGAAAAACTCCAAAGACATGCCTACCAGAGTTGTCGATTGTCAGAGTTGTTGTGAGGGGTTCTTCTGCCCGCATGGTCTCACTTGCATGATACGTAAGTGCGAATGGTAAAGTAGCTATCATCAGTACAATGACACAGCACTAAATTTGTTGCTATAACTTCACATTGCAAGTTTGATCAGTTAAACATATATGTATTATACTTCCCAGGAGGCAGCCTTCTTAGAACATGCGGCAATGCATATGCATTTCATATCAGATTGTGAGGTGTCAGATTTCATTACCCTTTTAGTTTAAATATCCTTTGTTTGTTAAGGATTGGTGCTGCTGGATCAAAAAAATTATTCATCTGATGTTGATTCATTAGGTTGATACTGTGATGGAGAACCTTACATTACTGCTTGTCGATAAAATTTGCTTGAACTGTGCTGCTTAACTGTGCAATTCGAGAGTTTCTTTCTGTTGAATGTGTGTGAATGAATTATGTCATCAAAGTTCTTGACTGAGATGCAGTTGTTTTTTTTCCCCCCTTCTTTCACCGATGTAGCTTGCCCGTTAGGTGCTTACTGCCCACTTTCAGTACTAAACAAGACTACAGGTGTATGTGACCCGTAAGTTGCAGTGCTGTCTTTTGTTTCTCAGTTCAAGCTTCTTATGCTTTGCCATGCGTCCATAACTATTAGCAGAAAACTCTTGCAGATACCATTACCAACTCCCTGCTGGGAAGCCAAACCATACCTGTGGGGGAGCTGATCTTTGGGCTGATATCGTGAGTACTAGTGAGATATTCTGTTCGGCAGGATCATACTGTCCGTCTACCATCCAAAAACTTCCTTGCACTAGGGGGTATTGTAAATTATCCCAAACCTTCCACCACTTACTATAACATCATATTTGCAGCTTGTTTTTCTGTTCATGGTGCTGCTCAGTTAAGAATTAGACAGATAATCCCTGTCTATATGCCGATTCATCACTGACATGAGCACTGTGGTTCTCTTTTTTGTTATTTCAGCCATTACTGCAGGACTGGTTCCACATCACAATCAGGTGGGTTCTTTTCCTCCATGGTATAAACCCTAAATAAATATGACCTTTGTGTTGTCGGTGCAGTTTCTGGCCTTGGTAAATGTTACCAGGGAATCAGTAGTACTGTAGTAGTGCCTTATATTTTGAAAGCAATGGTCTGTTGTGAACTTATGCTCCTTGTTGATTGTATAATGCTGAAGCAACTTGAAGCATCTTTTGTTCAGCAAATCTTTAGGTTTACCTCTCTTGATTGGTTTTAGCAGCATACTCACTTTGCCCCTGATCTTGCAGGGTGTTTTAAGTTGGCAACATGTGTACCAAAATCAGCAAACCAAAACATTACTGCATATGGGCTCTTGATTTTTGTGAGCATTCGTTAGCTTAACTCGATCGTATATTTCTGCTTATCATAATCACAATTAATGCAGCAAATCAAGTTTTAACTCTTGATTTCTTCATGCAGGCTGGCCTAGGCTTTCTGCTGATTATAATCTATAACTGTTCCGATCAAGTCCTCTCAACTCGAGAGAAAAGACAAGCAAAAACCAGAGAGCAAGCAGTTCAAAGCGTAAGAGAAACCCAGGCTCGTGAAAAATGGAAATCAGCAAAAGAAACAGCTAAGAAGCACGCAATAGATTTCCAAACCCAGTTCTCAAGAACATTTTCTCGTGTGAAGTCCAAAAGGGAAGACACCAACCCTTCAGCAAAAGGAAAGAAAAAGGAGAAAGGAAACCTCACAAAAATGATGCAGGAAATCGAGGCCAACCCTGAGGGACATGATGGCTTCCATGTCGAGATCGGAGACAAAAACATTAAGAAACATGCACCAAAGGGTAAGCAGTTACACACTCAGAGTCAAATGTTCAGGTATGCATATGGCCAGATCGAAAGGGAAAAGGCTATGCAAGAGCAGAACAAGAACTTGACCTTCTCTGGGGTAATCTCGATGGCTAGTGATGTTGAAATCAGGAAAAGACCCATTATAGAGGTTGCTTTCAAAGATCTAACCCTCACTTTGAAGGGCAAAAACAAACATCTATTGAGATGCGTGACTGGCAAGTTATCACCTGGACGAGTCTCCGCTGTCATGGGGCCATCTGGAGCTGGCAAAACAACATTCCTCTCTGCTTTGACTGGAAAAGCACCTGGCTGCCGTGTCACGGGCATGGTTCTTGTAAATGGTAAAGCCGAGCCGATCCAAGCTTACAAGAAAATCATTGGCTTTGTGCCTCAAGATGACATTGTGCACGGCAACTTGACTGTGGAAGAGAATCTTTGGTTCAGTGCAAGCTGTAGGCTCTCTGCTGATCTACCAAAACCAGATAAGATTCTGGTCGTTGAACGAGTCATTGAGTCCCTAGGGCTTCAGCCAGTGAGGGATTCTCTAGTCGGGACAGTGGAAAAGCGAGGAATCTCTGGAGGTCAAAGGAAACGAGTCAACGTGGGGCTGGAAATGGTGATGGAACCTTCACTTCTTATATTAGATGAGCCTACATCTGGTTTGGACAGCTCATCTTCTCAGCTACTCCTTAGAGCTCTTAGACGTGAAGCCCTTGAAGGAGTGAACATTTGCATGGTTGTCCATCAACCAAGGTACCAGAAAGACCTTCATTTGCTCTTTGGTTGATGTTTCTTTCACATTCGTATGATAATTCTCTTTTTTTTTTTTCTTTTGCTGCTTCAGCTATACGTTATTCAGGATGTTCGATGACTTGATACTTCTCGCCAAAGGCGGCTTGACAGCGTACCATGGACCAGTAAAGAAAGTTGAAGAATACTTTGCTGACATTGGAATCATTGTTCCAGATCGTGTAAACCCTCCAGATTACTTTATCGACATCTTGGAGGGTATACTTAAACCAGCCTCAGGGGTACACTATAAGCAACTTCCAGTGAGATGGATGCTTCATAATGCCTACCCAGTTCCCATGGACATGCTTCAGAGTACCGAAGGACTTGGAGGACCCGCAGGAGAAGGTTCCAACCATGATGGAATGCCTAGCGAAGCAGGATCTGAGACTCAGTCGTTCGCTGGAGAGTTTTGGCAGGATATGAAGTCTAACGTGGAGTTCAAGAAAGACAATATGCAGCATAATTTCTTGAACATGGTTGACCTGTCTGGAAGAACTACGCCTGGTATCCTTCGGCAGTACAAATACTTCCTTGGCAGGTGTTTCCCTCAAACAGAAATTTTCTTGTTCATGTTTGCTCCTCTGAGACGATTTACTGATATCATGTTGCCTTTTCGGAATCTTTGAATGCATCTTCTCAGGGTTGGTAAACAGAGATTACGAGAAGCAAGGACGCAAGCTGTAGATTATCTGATTTTATTGCTGGCTGGTATTTGTTTAGGAACGTTAGCTAAAGTGAGTGATGAAACCTTTGGTGCAGTTGGCTACACGTACACCGTCATTGCAGTTTGTAAGTAAATAGATATAATCTTCAAGTTCCTATGTTATACACAACTCGACTGTCCGGTCTAATCAACTATAATATCTCTGCTGTTTTCAGCTCTCTTGTGCAAGATTGCGGCATTGAGGTCATTTTCTTTGGATAAGTTACACTACTGGAGAGAAAGAGGTTCTGGGATGAGCAGCCTGGCATACTTTCTTTCCAAGGACACCATCGATCACTTCAACACCCTCATCAAGCCCATTGTGTATCTTTCCATGTTCTACTTCTTCAACAATCCGAGATCAAGCATCTACGACAACTACATCGTCTTGGTCTGCTTGGTTTACTGCGTCACTGGAATAGCTTACATATTGGCTATTGCCTTCGAAGCTGGTCCGGCACAACTGGTGAGAGCACTGTACTAGAATAGAACTTCTTCCCCACACCCCCTCCCCCTTCCTCCTCGCATCTCATCTATGTCCTGTTTCATACAGTGGTCAGTACTACTTCCAGTTGTTTTAACTCTAGTTGCAACCCGGAACGATGGTGGCTTGGCTGGAAAGCTATCTGACATCTGCTATACCAAGTGGGCATTGGAAGCATTCGTTATATCAAATGCCAAAAGGTTAGTGCGTAGTTGACTCTGTACTATCTGGACATCCTTGGTAGTGGTTTGTTAGCTTGAGTCTTGATTTGCTTACTCCTCTTTCTACTTTCAGATACAGAGGAGTGTGGCTGATAACACGATGTGGTTCGCTCTTGGAAAATGGGTATGATCTCAATCACTGGAACCGTTGCCTAATCCTTCTCGGTCTAACTGGCCTAGCTAGTCGTGTAGTTGCCTTCATCGTCTTGGTTACATGCCAAAGGAGGTGAAAAAATCTGTGTCAGCCTGTCCTTGTACATAAAAGAACAAACACATTGCCTGGATTCTTGATATCTCGGATTAAGAAACTTGTACAGCAACTGAAACACAGATACAGAAACCAAACAAAAAGAAAAACCTCGTACAGAGAGTGGGATGACTTGCAGTTGGGGCTACCGGGAATTTATCGCTTGTGGGAGCATGCTCGTACAGAGGCCAGTCGGTGCGTTATGTGCATAGTTATATTTGCATTGCAGTCCAGCCTATGAAAAATGTACTCTTAGGGTATAGAATGCTTCAGTGGAAGCAGTTATATTTTTGACAGCATTGACTTCTCTTCTGCATTTCTAAATACCGATTGGTATCATTTGTGAGTGTGCCGCAAAACAAGACGTAGATTGATTGCAGCAAGAGTTTTAGTTTAAGCAAATGTAGGATTAAGGCAATCTTGAGGGTTTGCCTTCTGTTGCTTAAGTAGGAGTTTATAAGTTAGTATAGATATGGTATATTTCATCTGGAGCTATTATTATTGTTTTCGACAGCAAATTTATTGATAACGTAAATTCTATCATTCCATCATTTTATCGTTAGTTATTTATCGTTTTATGCGATAATCATAGTGAGCGAATAATTATTATTGTTCGACGGTGAATACTCTTTGATAAAGTGAGCTCTATTGTTGTTACCTCTAGGGCTTGATTCAAACAAAGATGATTCCAGTTAAGCCAAAACAATGGAAACACTTTTGAGCAGAAGGTACAACCGCCAAAAACCACCACTAAATTATAAAGTGCAACCTACTCCAAGATAATACCAACTAAAACAATATCTTTTCCCTTCATTTCCTTAACCAATCATCTTAACTCATCGGTTATTTTCACTAGGGGTGGGCAACGGGACGGGATACCCGTCCCGTTTTAAAAGGGTACCCAGTCCCGTTTGGAGATCAAAGTCCATCCCATATCCCAAACCCATATGGGAAACGGGTACTCATTCTCCGTACGGGACGGATAACGGGTACCCATACTACCCATAAATACCCAAAGTTTAAACCACTAAAATGTTAACAAAAGTTAAACTTGTATTTGCTTAACAATCACAAGACACAAAATACATCCCAATCACAAATATTCGGTTTGCAAATAACACATTCATGAACAATCACAACACATAGAAATAAATCATTCCAAGCACCAAATTATCAAATAAGAAGTTTCATTCAACACAACAAAATGGGAGGCATGCTGCTACTTTTCTTGTGTTGTTGAATGCAGAAAGTGTCCAAATTTTTAGGTTCATGGGAAGCTAAAATCTATAGCAGAGAAGCTGAGTCTCACTGAAAGGGTAAGGCCCTGGGCCCAAATGGCAAATGGAATTGAAATTGCAAGGGTGAGGGCCGAAATGGCCAGGGTTCTGAATGGGGCTGGACTGCCTTTGTATTAAATGGGTATAACAGGTACCCATATTACCCAAACGGGTATTCGCGGGTAACCCGCGGGTACCCATATTAGGAATGTACAACCCCAAGTCCCATCCATTTATAATATTACGGGTAATATGGGTACCCGTAACCCTTAAAAAACGGGATGAGTACGAGTATACCCAAATACCCGTTTCCCGTTGCCCACCCCTAATTTTCCCTCCCCTGACAGCAGATTTTATAAGTTTCACTGTTTCAGGTGCTGAATTTGTAGAGTACAGCTATCAACAAATTTCATGCATGCAGAGTCATGCATCTTTCAATTACCAATTCATACATACAACTCTATTAGTACGATGATATCGATAAGGAGATGATAAGATCGTGTTGCTTATTTCGAATTCAATACGGGAACTTGCTTTGTTAAGGGATCCTTTTAGAAAACTTTGTAACATTTCTCTTCATTACTTTGATCTCCCATGTAATTACTCTTAGATAGACGTTACTTACATACCTTACCCTGTAACTAACTCTCTTTCTCTCTCTAGTCTCTCGCTCTACATCACCACCTTCCAACGTCTTCCATCTGTGATTTTATTCTCTGCATGAAAGCTGCTTTCCATCCGTTGATGAAAATCAATTCCTGAGACGCTTACCCTTTTCCTGTTTCCCTCCCAATCCCAACCAACAACCGCAACCTCTCCCTTTTACTTCCCTTTGGCTTTAAGCCAAACTCTCCCTTCTTTCTCTTTTTTACTTTCTTCTTTTCTCTAGCACCCAACCCTCCAACCGCAACTATATATGCAAACTTCATTTCCACATTATGGGTAGCCAGTGAATCATGATGAGGAAGCTTCCAATTATGATCCTTCTCTCTGTCTAGTGGTGTATTCAAAGAGGCAGAGGTGGTCTTGCCCAATTTGGTTCACATATGGCTAGTAATCATCATCATCATCCTCATCATCATCAAAGCAGCATATTGCCTTCAGATTCTGTAAGTTTGAGGTTTGAAGGTAATTGGGTTTTCTGAGTTATGATGGAATCAAGGCTTTCTTTTTGGTTGATCATCTTTCCTGGCCATTGTTTCATTTCATAGCAGAGGAGGCAGAAGATGACTGGGGAAGAGAAGAGAGAAGCACTTGAAAGAGAGGTAACTAGTAAGTGTATTATAGTACATGATCATATCCAAATGTTTGCATAGTTGAATAAGAGTATATAACAATACAATGTCATTGTTTTAAAGATTTGCCTATGAATTTGCATGTAAACCACAAAAAAGCTATTAAACCTTGCATCGGAACACCTGAAAACATACTCATATGTAACATTTACGAACGATCAGGAGATATATTATGTGCTTGAATCCATAATGTAACATTCATCGATACAAATTACGACGATGATGATGATATATACTAGCTAGCATGGTAGGATGTGACTCTGCAACATCATAGGCCTAAGTATCTTATATGCACTTGATCAATCGCCATCATCACTCATCAGCTTCTACCTAGATATATAGATTAATGTCATCATTTTGATGATGATGAAATTTATTTGTCATGCTAAAAATTAAGCAAACGTGTATGACATATTCCTCTAAAACAGAGGGTATATCTTTTGTTTGTTGCTTATTATGGTGGAAAAGGAGGAATGATAATGTGTAGAATCCAAGCTAAAAACCCCTCTCCTCTACCTGTCTCCCTTATTTCCCTAAACGTAATTAGTACTCAATTAAGATCTTATATAAACATATATGGCTGCTGTAAACCATACTGACCAAGAATCAAAACCATGTCTTATTGGCTGTGGCAGGTTGCTGTGCTGCAGCAAATGTTGCAGCAAGAAGAAAAGACACATGACTTTCTGGATAAGGTTCATGATCATCACAGCAACAACAACCACATCAATGGTGATCATAATGCTTCTTCTGGCAATATCCCCATCCCCAGCTTCCTCAACCCTAAGGTTCACATTGCTTTTCCCCTCTTCTCGTATGCTTCGTTTCGCTCGATTTTCTCAGAGTTTCAGATCAATAAAGGGAAGAAAATTGCTCACTGTAGGCAAAGGAACTGGTATCAGAGCTGGTTGCCGTGGAGAACGAGATAGGTCGACTCGAAGGCGAAATAAGCAGGCTCCAACACAACCTGAAGCAGGAACAACAACTCACCAAAGAGTCCACAAAACCATCATCAAGACAATGGCAGCAACACCACCATCAGCAGCAGCACCATCTCCCACCTCCAACTCCAATTCATCATTTCCTTCCCCACAAAACCTACAACAACAGCAACTATAACCCTCAAGACAAACTGGCATTTGACACCAAGGCACTTCACTTCATCAGCAAGGCAATCAAAGGCGACTACACTCTCGACCACCACGACTTCCCTCTCTCTGACAAAGCAAGGGACACTACCCCTAACCGTCACCAACGATTTCGAGAAGCTCTCCTCCCCGATAGAGCCGATCATCATCAACATCAGACCAATACTCACAGGGCTGCTCCTAAGAAGAGTGGGATGTTGTTCAACATGAAGTCACCTTCCCCTATGCGCGATTTCAGGAACCCTTCCCCATGGCCTAGAGACCGAAATGTGGAGAACCAAACAACCAAAGAGGCGACCACGCCCTTGCCAAAGGCACTGTCCAACTCGATCTTGGGCGAAGACAGTGCTACTGGCAATGTCCAGCATTTGCAGCCTAACAAGCTGTCCGAGAACATCATGAAGTGTCTCAACTTCATTTACGTCCGTCTGCTGAGGACATCGAGGGCGATGGAGCTCGAGAAATCAGGGCCGATCTCGAGGTCGTTGAATTCGTCCTTGGTATCGAGGAGCTTCAGGGCAGATACAGGGCTGCTGAACTCCAAAACGTCGAGCCTTTCCATGTACAAGGAGTCGAAGCAGCAGGACCCTTATGGCATTTTCGACGTGGAAGACTCGATTCCCAGGGACATTGGTCCTTACAAGAACTTGGTTGTCTTCACTTCGAGTTCCATGGACACCAAGTGCATTTCCACCTCCAGCTCCATGCCTCTGATCAAGAAGTTAAGGTAACACAAATTAATGTCGCTCATGTTTCGAAATCGAATCTATCATAGGAGTGTATAATGACTCTGTCCAAAAATGCAGGGTACTGATGAACAACCTACAGAATGTGGACTTGAGGTTTCTGACCCAACAACAGAAGCTTGCATTCTGGATCAACATGTACAATGCTTGTATCATGCATGTATTATTTCCTTTTTTTTTATAGTTTCCCTCTACAGTTTGATTTTTGCATTTCATGTTCTTTCCAATTCCTTATGAAATTTTTGGTGTTTTCTTCAATTTCAGGGATTTCTCCAATTTGGAGTGCCTCATAGTCCAGAGAAATTGTTGTCATTGATGAACCGGGTAATGCTCTAAACTTAACTCTTCAATTTCTCCGATGTGAGCTTTCTGATGAAAGTTCCATTATTGATAGACAGATGTTAGATCAAAAGGGTATTTGAATCTATCCGCTCTTAATTGATGCTCTACCAGAAACCTTGAATCGCGATTCGATTTAATTCAATCCAAATATTGATTCGTTCGACTTTGCAATTTGATTACAAATGCAGGCAACGGTAAACATTGGTGGCAACACAATCAATGCTCAGGCGATAGAGCATTACATTCTCAGAAAACCAACCACATCTTCCAACACCAAGGTACATAATCCTCCATCCAACTTCTTCATGTATCAATTGCCTAACTATGTCGACTCGATCGTATCGCTCTCGTAACAACGTAGTCGTTGGATCAACATAATTTGTAACACTATATTTAAACCAACAATTGAAAGCTATCAGATGTTGAATAGTACGAAAACAGGATAAAACAAAAACACCTACTATTTTAATTTTCCCTCCATATCTCCGCAGAATAAGGACGAAAGCAAGGAATCGGCCGTCCGGAAACTGTACGGCCTGGAGACGACGGACCCAAACGTGACGTTCGCCCTCTGCTGCGGCACCCGATCGTCCCCGGCGGTGAAGGTTTACACGGCGGAGGGAGTGACGGCGGAGCTGGAGAGGGCGAAGCTGGAGTACCTGCAGGCTTCCATGGTGGTCAGCGGCACGAAGAGGATATCGATGCCGGAGCTTCTGGTGCGGAACCTGGCCGACTTCGCCATGGACACGGACACGCTGGTGGAGTGGGTGTGCCACCAGCTCCCGACTTCTGGGTCGCTGAGGAAGTCGATCGTCGACTGCTTTCGCGGCCAGAATAGCGGGAAAATCCCCGCCGTCGCCGTCGACAAGATACCTTACGATTCGCAGTTCCAGTATCTCCTGGCCGTATGACAGCTTTTTGCGATATCATCACGTTCAGTTTGTGGAATCCGGAAGAAGGAAGAAAAGGTTCGTCCTGGCCGGATATAATTTTTACGGGATGGTTTTGTTTTGCTTGTTTACTTTGCGAATCAAGATTTGGTTGTAAGATTGGCCCAGATTTGATTGAATGGTGGTTGTGTCGGAATTTGAAGTTTTGAACTGAGAGATCATGATCTCAAGACCAGTAATGTCGAACCCTTCCTGCTCGTTTTTGCTCACCCTGTTAGAAACATCCATTGTGTGTACAGGACATTTAATAATATCCGGTTTTGGGGATTTGTATGTAAAATACTAATAAATTCAGAATCATCACATAAATTTTAGGCAAAATACACTTGTATAGCCATAAGTTTCACGATTTTGACAAATATAGCCAGAACTATTCGAAAACCCAAAATAGCCAATTCCGTCCATCATTTTAACGGTGTTACTTAACCATCTGACTAGACTGACGGAAATGCTGATATGGCGACATTTCGTCAGTTGAAGTCCACGTGGGTTAAACAAAAGCCAAAAAAACTAAAAAAATCAAAATGCGCATTTAGGTTCTTGGAGACCCCAAATTCGGGGCCAATTCTTCATCTCCTCACCAGTCGCCGCCGAAATTGGAAACGAATCGGAAGCAGCGATAAGCACAAAGAAGGATAAACTAATCGGAAGCCAGTGAAAAAGCACGACGAGATGGGGGAGAAGGTCAGGCAACCTGCTTGTTTCTTCTCGGCAGAAGTACTGTTGCGCTGAAGCCAGTCAAAAGCACGACGAGGGTGAGGGACGCAGAGATATATCACCACCCTCTCTGTTTTTCTCACCGATCAAAACAGAGGCAAAGAGCAGCAACCTGCTTGTTTCTTTCCCTCGACCTACCCACTCCAAATCCTCCATCCCCACTGCTCCCTCTTGCAGCTAATATTGTTTCCTCGAGATTCGCCCAATCAGTTCATCTACAGAGGGCTGGTCGGTGGTGAGAAACGAAACGGATTTCATCAAACCAGGACGAAAAACCCGATCTGGAACTGAGCCGAAATTGCAGGGATTGTCGCCGCTCTGGTGGCGAGAGGATCTCGATGAAGTGCGATTGGAAAAGAAGACGCCCTCTCGGTCCTCTTGATGGGGATGAGGTGCGATTCGAAGGGGGAAGGATCTGGAAGGTGGGGAGGTATTGTGGAGATGGGCATGGCAACAGGGGAAGCGATTCCAGAGAGGGGGAAGGTGAGATTGGAATTTGTAAGGAAGGGGAAGGAAATTTTTGGGTAGTGTTTATGGTGGCGACGAGGGAGATTCGTAGTGACGGTGACCACGGCGGCGGCCATGGATGGGAGGAAGGAACAGAGGTGGGAGGAAGGAGAAGGGGATGGTGGCGGTGAAGGGGAAGAGGAAGGAACAGAGGTGGGAGGAAGGAGAAGGGGATGGTGGCGGTGAAGGGGAAGTGAAGGGGAAGGGTTTTTTTGTTTCTTTCATGATTAAATATTATATGTATTTTTTATTCATATTATTTTTTTATTTTTATTATATATATCATATATAATCTACATGTCACTTTATGCTGATTTGTTGATGACGTGTGCGCTGATTTGGCGTCCTAATCAGCAAATCACTAACAAAATTGACGGCGTCACTAACACCGTTAATGTTTCTAACGGAAATGGCTAGATTTGTCACACTACCCTCCAATTTCCTGGCTATTTTGGGTTTTTGAATAGTTCTGGCTATATTTGTCAAAAACGTGAATCTTATGGCTATACAAGTGTATTTTGCCTAAATTTTATCTTCATTTCAGTTAGAACTTTGCTTAGTGACGTGGGTTGAACTTTAAGTAAAAATTACTTGAAGTAATTGATCGAATGAATATGGATCGTAGATCAACAAAAGGGCAGATTCTAGGTTTCACAGAATTAATCGTTTGATGCTTTGATCGACATCAGAGCCGTCCATGATATTTGGAGGCCCTGTTCGAAAATTTAACATGTGGCCCCTAATTTGTTTCTCAATAAATTTATTAAAAATAAAATTTATTAAATAATTATAAAGTACATAAGTTCAGAAAATTATTTCAAAATGAATAAATAATCTCACTTCCTGTTTGACCAAGAAACCAAAACCAAATTCTCACTCCTAGCAGGGAGGGAGAAAAGTAAATCTGGAGAGAACAGAAAATGGATATAGAGCAAAAATTGAATGGAGAAATGAAAATAATATAAATTGATCGAGAGGTGGGTGCAAGTATATCTAATGGATCGTGTAGGCCCTATTCCAAAATTGAGACATGATCCAAATTGACTTTTAACTATAATAAAACTAAAATGATTATAATACCATTATTTAAAATGTAATATCTTTCTTTATTGTTTAAATTAAAATTATCTATTATCTCTCTGATTTTCGTATTCTCCATGAAATCTTTTTCAATTGTTATTATAGCTAAAATTATCTATTAAATTCGTCATCATATTCATAATCTATCAATCATATACTAAAAAACAACCTGCAATGTTCAATTGGTAACTAACGAATCTAAGTAGAGGCCCCTAATATTCGGAGGCCCTATGCCGAAGGGCGGGCCGGCACACCCTCTTGACCGGCCCTGATCGACATTTATCAATAATATAAAAATATTTTTATATTTTTTGTTATTGTGGACATCTTCAATCAAATCGAAAAATGTATATGCCAGGTGTTTAACTCAAAGTAACTCATACCTAGAGTTTAACCCAAATCACCATTAGCATATCGGTCATGGTCTATTTAATTAAAAAAGATACCCATTAACTAATGATTTTTTTATTGGTGCAATCAACTAGTACAGCAATTAGCCAATTTGTTTATGCTGATTCCCTCCAAACCCCACATTATCATGCGAATGAATGTGTCCAACCTAGACAGAAATTTAGTAATAATATATGCACTCCCATCATTATCAATTAAATTAGTCGAAGCAAACAAGAATAGAATTAGCCGCCAATCCAATAATAAAAAAAAGAATTATATACCTCTTCCTAATGTTGGGCTTCCCCTTTGTCGGCCCAGCCCATCTCGATTGGTCGCCGGCGCCTCACCGGGGTGCCAATGAAACAGAAATTTGGTCAGTAGGCATGTTCATACTCTCGCTCCATTTCACCGAGTCAATATACAATCTGGATATCTTCCCCGCCACGCGTCCCATATCCGGCCGCTTATCTGCTTCCACGTGTACGCACTCCAGCGCTATCCGTACTAGCCTCTCCGCCACCTCCACCGGGAAAGAATCCCTCAGCCTCCCATCCATCCACTTCCTCACCCTCCCCTCCCTTCCCCCTCCTCCATCGCCGCCGTCGCCCAAAGCGGCTCTCGTCGCCGTCTCGATCAGCGTCGTCCGTATGTAACTGCCTTTCGCCTTGTCGTACCTGTACTTCATCGGCTCCTCCCCGGACAAGAGCTCCAGAATCACCACGCCGAAAGCGTACACGTCCGATTTCTGCGTCGCGACCCCCGTGGCTTGAAATTCCGGCGACATGTAGCCTCTCACGCCTTGGAATTGCATCTCTCCGCTGTCTGATCTCGTCAATTCGGGCCGTCTCGGAGAGGCGGTGGCGGAGGAGGTATCGTCTCCTCCCTCTTCCTCCTCGCTCGCTCCAGCGGTTTCCCCCTTCTCTCGCAGAGTCGTGATCTTCGAACTAGGTTTCCTCCCTCCGAATTCGCCTTCGCCGCCGCCTTCTCCGCAGAGCTGCGCGGCCCCGAAGTGGCAGATCTTCGCGTTCAGGGAAGGATCCGTGACGATGACGCTGCTGCTGGTGAAGTGATTGTGGACGAGAGTCATGTTCAGCCCCGTCTTGTTGTGGACGTAATCGAGCGCGTGTGCGAGGTCCGTCGCGATCCGGATTCTGGAAATCCAGGTGGAGAGCACCGTGAATTCGGGATTCCGCGAGTTCCTCAGGCAATCGGCGAGGTTCGCCCCCTTGACGAACTCGTAGACGAGGTAAATGTGGTCCCCGGAGGTGGACGCGCCGAGGAGCCTGACGACGCTGGTGTGGTTGCTGCGGCAGATGACGGAGAGGAGCTCCTTCAGCTGGTCGATCTCGATCTTGCGGCGGAACTTGCGCTGGAAGACGATGGTGTCGCTGCCGCGGAGCGTGCACCGCCAGCAGGAGGAGGAAGGGGAGTAGGGCTTGGCGAGGAAGCTGTTGGTGGCGCGGCGGATCTCGGAGATGTCGTAGATGTGAGGGTTTTGGGAGAGGGAGTCGCGGAGGCTGGAGAGGGAGGTACGGCTGGAGAGGGAGGAGGAGGAGGTGCCTCCTGTGTAGTTGGCGCCGGAGGAGAAGGAGGGATCTGAGTAGTAGTAAGAGGACGATGAAGAGGTGGAGGCGCCGGCGGTGAATGTCAGTCGCTGCCGGGGCGTTTGCGGAGTACGGGGAGACTGAGCGGGGCGAGATCGGGAGGTGGAGTCGGATTGGGACTGAGAGGCGGCGGTGGTGGAGGAAGAAGAGCGAGTGCGGGAGGTGGGAGCGGCGGCGTCGACGGCCATTTTCGTTTTGCACATGCGGGGAATCTCGGTGGGGGAAAATGGCAGCGCGTGGTGGGAGTGGAGGGAGGGAAGGTGAGAGGTTTTGTGGTGGAGGGGTTGGGGGTTGGACCTGGTGCGGGGTTAATGCGGGTTGGTTGAAGGGAGTGGAGAATAGAAAATGGGACGAATATGGTTGACCGTTTTTGTGTGGTCGGGCTAACGCGGCTTCGGAAAGCAACCGAACCGATAAACCAGACAGCAAGAAAATTTGGAATGCCTGGTTGGTCAAATTTGTTCTAATGATGGTGTGTTTAACAAGTAGGTGCGATTTCATATGGATGGGTGCCTCATTCCTGAAAAAAATAATGAATAACGTAAAGGACCACTAAGTGGAGAAGAATCTATACCAAATGTTTATGGCAATATGGATTTTGTAAGAATGGGTTTGGATTCTGTTTGAGTCTAACCGAGAGTAGGAGGGAGACTCGGGAAAAGAGGGGTGAGAAGAGTAAGCAATAGGATGATCCGGAAGGACGGAGAGAGTTATTTAGAGAGAGAAAGTTCTTTGATATAGAGTGAGAGAGTGAAAAATGTCCCCTTTCACCCACCGGAGTAAATGTCGTATTTATAGGCTACATTTCAGGCGTTTAGGTCATGCCTCTGCCTAGGACTGGACGATTTGTCCATGATTATACCTAGAACTATGATGTGACCACTCTTCGGGGCATACGATGTCGTTTTCTTGGTTTGGTCAGAGTCTGAGCAAAACGGCGTCGTTCGGCATCTGGGTTCTTTGTAGCGCGATCCGTCTCGCGGAACTTCGTCTCGCGATAGCGGCCTTCTCCGCGCCCGTGATCCTCCCGCGAGCTGTTCCGCGCGCCTTGGTCGTGATGGTGCTAACGCGCATGGCTTTCCTGGGGCGGTGTCGGGCTGCTTCCTTGGCGCGGCTAGACCCGAGCCCTACCCCCAACAGATTCTTATTCATTCGAGTGTCGTTTGTTTTTTTAGGGTGAGCGAATCTGTGAAAGAACGAGGTGCCCCTCCAATCTATCCTCCAAAATTAGCATTGGTTATCATTGTATGGAATATATGAAGGGCAAAGAAGGGGAGGGTGTAGAGAGATAAGTGGTATGTAAAAGGGAGAACATGAGAGGTACTTTTACTTAGGAAGTCTAAGAACTTATATATAAGAGTTTGAAGGTGTTCTATGGGCTCGGACACATATGTACACGGTGAATTGCAGTCGTGATTTGGCTCATTCACAGTGAAAAATATAATTATGGCTATCAGCACGCCAAAGTTGTCCTCCATGAACCAGCATCATTCAGAGTCCATGGATTTTATACCATCAACTTCATCCTTGTCACTCGATTAACTCGCAACATAATTCATCAACTTCATTATAATGTCATTGATAAAGGTCCAATATTAATGGATCTAATATCATCATCCATTCAAACTCAAAGGTACTAAAAGGCCTACTTTACCAAAAACTCTTCTTTCTAATTTCATATGTAAATCTTGTCTTTGGATTGATTTAAAGAAAATTAAGCACATGCTAACATGAAGATCAGAGCTGTAAATTGAGTGAGGTGACTCACAAGAGGACAATCATGGGTATGCTCAGCTTCTCCGTCAGCTCTACCGGCTACCATCACTATACTGTTCAAAGTCAACCTCTAATAGCTTTCTTGACGTTTCACTCCAATCCCAATCGAGAATTTGGGATGCTACCAGTTTCTGTAGGGCCACTGGTCGGCTCTCCGCCACTAGCCACCCACTCATTGAAGAGCATCAAGTTATCAACATCCATCCCAAATTCCCCACCCTTTTGGAGATTTGCGGGTTACGTGATCCATTTCTCATACCCGACCGATTTTGCTGTACTTAATTATGGACGAGGATCCTAAACCAAACCCCGAACCCGATTGCAGAATCAAACGTGGGGCAAAAAAGTACAGAGCTAATCCGAAAACAGAGCAAGGCTTTTGAAGTTGAATACAGCAGTTGAAGAAGAAAACCCCACCTTCCCGCTGACTTTGACTTCCCTCATGGATGCATTAAAAGGGAAGGTTTGAAGTTGAATCAGTTTTGGTGGGCGTTTCTTTCTAATAAATACATGTAGATAAGTGGGCTTTCGGCAAAGCAAGATGGCTGGCCAAACTACAAAAGTCGTCCTTGCATTCCCATGCTCTGCTCATGTCTCATTAAAGGGCGTAGGAATGGTAATTGGCGCAGGTACGGGGCGAGTATCTCGATATCCATATCCGTCCCATGGCAGGTCGAGTTCAGGGCGGGTAATTTACAATTGGGCGCGGGTCGGGGCAAGTCGACCCAATGGGTACGTAATTCATGCGACAAACATTATAAATATTCGTTATTTTCATTAAAAGACCAAGAAAGAAACCATAATATGATAAAATGTAGTTAAATTATTGGAGAAATTGAGGTTTTCACCTATTTACAACTTTGTTATAGCTAAAATATGATGTAATAAGAGGAAAATTCTAAGTAATTTGACTAAAATTACATGTAATTTAGGCGAGAATGGGGCCAGAATAGGGCGGGTCAGGGCGGGTCGGGTGATGAAAAGTACCCATGCCCACCCCGACCCGTCCCAAAACAGGGTAAATAGACTGAGTAAATCGGATCAGGTCGTAATTGTCATCCCTAAAAGGGCGTCATACTCCAATCCAAAAGAGCAAGTGAGACTTTTGACTTGTGAGGATTAGAGATAACCCTCCCTCTATGACACTCGTTGACTATCTATGAGAACGTGCTCAAGATCAATTGATGAATTAAGATTAAACATTTTACGGTTATAATTTTACACAAATCCATCTAACAATCACGGAGCGTTCGTTCAAGATACAATTTAACGGTTGTATGATCCTGTGAGCATGTTCTATGTATAGGCCTGTGAGCGTTTAAGCAGAAGAAGCTCCCAATGGGCCAGAAAGGAGGCTCTTGATGGGCCAGACTGGGTTAAGCGAGCAGGCTGTTTATGGTGTAGCCTCAATTTCTAGTCGGCTTCCAAGTTCTCGACTTGGCAGTTGGGCCAAATTCTCATCATCCATGTTCTCTTTTGTTGTATAATTATTCTGTTCTAAGTAGAGCTTCAATGGCCTCACTTGGATTAGAACCCGGGATTTACAACTCCCAAATCTTTATTGTCGTGGCAGTTTTACCGTGAGTCTATCATAACTTTGGTGATGCAAGTTAACTATTTGACCAGACGTGTGAGGACATGGTTGAGAGTTTCCGTTGTTCCTATTCTATTTAGGTGGAAGCATATATGCTATTATTATTAACACAGTTTTATTGGCAGCTCAAGAGTCGTGTCCAATGTGTAGTCTGATTGTCAAATATTGACTGTTGCTCTGATATTTGGCCAATGCAGTGTTGGGCTACTGTAGCTTGTGTCATATATTCATTCTCTACTCTTCTCTTCGATATCTTACTTTGTTAGCAGATTGGGTTCCTCGTAATACTCGCTTATATCTTTAGAGAGAATGAGTTGTTATTTGCTCATCTTTTATCTCCACAACTGTAAGAATAAATATTTCCAATGATTTTGATATGGAGTAAAATATATCTTCTTTTAAAAAACAAAACTCTTTGGATAAGATATGAATGATCTTTTATTCCAAAAGCGATTACAATTTCATATTGTTGTGAGGAAATACAATCGATTACTGAATTGCTCGTCTCGTTAGATTTATCATAGAATTCAATACTAAATAAATCGTGTCTGGTATTTTCTATAAAAAAATATTTAAATTATATATAGAAAACACCCACCAATAAAATGCCCGAGAACTGGAATGATACTTTCATCACCATCATCCCCAAAGTGGAAGCACCCGAACAAATCAATCAATTCAGACCGATCAGCTGTTGCAATTTCAGGTATAAAGTCATCACAAAAATCATGTCCAACAAATTACAACCTCTGCTGCCAGAATTGGTCAATGAACTCCAAGCAACATTAACAGGAGGGAGGCAAATACAAGATAACATCATTATTGTGCATGAGGTCCTCAACCATTTCAAAAAAAAAAAAAAAATCAGGAAATCGAAAGGAGATGATGATGAAGCTCGACATGAGGAAGGCTTATGATCTTGTTGAATGGGATCTCCTCATCACCCTTCTCAAGGCGTATGGCTTCAACGAAGTTTGGTGTGGATGGATTGTTGCCTGCATCTCCACAGTCTCCTTCAATGTGCTCATCAATGGGGAACCAACTGCCAACTTCAAACCATCTAGGGGTATCCGACAAGAGGATCCCCTGTCCCCCGTCCTCTTTATTTTGATGTCGAATGCACTGTCCTTCCTGGTTGAAAAGGCGGTTTTGAATAATGAGATCAAAGGCATTAAGCTTAACAGAACGTGCCCTACACTCTCCCACTGCTTATTCGCAGATGATACAGTGATCTATGGAGAGGCTTCGTGCGAGGAAGCGGGGAAGATTTTGGACATCCTTCAACAATATGGAGCGATCACCGGTCAATAAGTGAATAGGGACAAGTCATCTATAATCTTTGGCCACAATGTCACAGGTGAAGATCAAAGGTGGATCATCCAAGAGGCAGGTTTTGATCCTAGGAACAGCCATACCAGCTATCTGGGAGTTCCAACAGTTTGGGGCAGGTCGAAAAAAGAAACATTCAATTACCTCCTCCAACGCATGGAATCAAAAGGAGAGGCATGGAAGAGCCTCCTCCTCTCACTAGGGGGAAAAGAAGTTTTACTTAAAGAGGTTTTCCAAGCAGTTCCTACCTACATTATGAGCCTGTTCCTCCTTCCAAAGTGCACAACGAAGAAAATGGATTCTATGCTTAAAAGCTTCTTTTGGGGGGGCTCCTTGGTGAAACGAACTATTCATTGGAGGGCTGGACATGTTCTGTACGCACCAAAAGAAGAGGGAGGGCTTGGATTTCGACCCTTTCACACTTTCAACATGGCACTCTTGGCCAAACAGGCTTGGAGAATCCTCACTAACAAGGATGCCTTGTGGGTCAAGGTACTGAAAAGTATTTACTTCCCCAACTCGGATTTCCTGAATGGAAGAAAAGGCAGCAAAGCCTCGTGGATTTGGTTGAGCCTTTGTGAAGCAAAATCATGGATGAGACAAGGGCTGATTCGAGTTATTGGCAATGGTAAATCAACAAGAATCTTTCATGATCCATGGAGATTCGACAGATCAGGGCAACTCCTCCAATTCGAATGGGAATGAAAATGACATTGTCGACTCGTGGATTGATGAGGTGTCAAGGGAATGGAAGTTTGACATGCTGGCTAATTTCCTCAGTCAGCATGACATGAAACAGGTGGCAGCTATCCCTATTGGACCGGATTCACTTGATGACTTTTGGGCATGGAGGTTCACAGAGCAGGGAACATTCACGGTTAAATCAGCTTTCATCCATTTTCATAACAGCACCAGACAATCCCAAGTATAGGCCGAGGACATCTCTGAAATGAGCAAAAAAAGGTGGAAATGGCTTTGGAGCCTTTCGATCCCACCGAAACTGAAGTTCTTCATTTGGAAGGTGACCAGAGGGGCTTTGGCGTCCAAGGAAAACCTCTTTGCCAGGAAGTGCTCATCCTCGAAAAGCTGCCCGATTTGCGGCTGCTCGTTCGAATCGATATTCCATTGCATGTTCACCTGCCCCCATGCTGCCGAAGGGTGGAACCAAGAATGGCCCTCCTTGCCCAGGCCGACCCCTCAGTCCTGGTGTGGCTGGACTCTCTCCGCCAGATGTACCCGATCAGCTCAATCCAGAAGATCATCTTCCTTTTGTGGCAGACATGGAAAGCAAGGAATGAGAAGATCTTTCGGGGAACTCCTCCTTGGCCCCCAGCCACCATCACTAAGGCAGCATCGGATCACCTCCAATGGTCCACATGCCCTCGGATCCACCACAATGGGTCCCCATCAACTCAGCCCACTCCACCCCCTGAGCACTCTTCACCACCGCCATGTACTCATTACTTTGAAGTACACTGCGACGGATCGTTCTTCGACGATTCCCAGAAGGCGGCTTATGGCGTCATTGTCTCGAACAGCCATGGTCAAGTGTGTGATGGTAAAGCTGAGTCCTTGCATTGTTTCTCCCCTATTGAAGCAGAAGCCTTGGCCCTGCTGGAGGCCTCACGCGTGGCTGCCTCGCTCACAGCACCCTGCCTGGTGATGTCTGATTGCCTGAAGTTGGTTCTTGCTATCGAGCGACCCCCCAGGACATGGCCATGGCGAGCGCGGCAAGGCTGGGTCTGATCAAGCGTGTGTTGGACAACAACCCGCAGATCAAGATTAAGCACATTAGTCGAAAGTTTAACTCAAAAGCGGATTGGGTGGCCAGATCCTGCGCTAAAAACCAACTTCCCTCGCAATGGTTGCAAATTCTTGATTTGGTTGCACCTCTCCTGTAACGGTTGGATCTTGCTTCAATTAATGGAAATTCAATGTCCTTTGTAAAAAAAAAAAAAAAAAAATCTTGCCTTTCGCTTATTTTTGTCATATCCTGCGCCCACTGTTTGTCTACTTCTGATTAAAGGAGCCCTGAACGGTTTGTTAACCCACAAATTTAATCATTTTATCACCCAATTGGGCCTTGGCGGCAGCCAGAATTTTCGATTGACATATTTGAGGGCGACGCGGTCGCATTTCGCAAGCTCCGCCCGCTGCAGGTTGCAGGTGATCGATGCCTGCGGGCTGAAGTCTCTCCGATCATTGAATATATCTGATGGCGGACGAAAATGCTGCAATGCTACAATGCAATAGCAGAGCATGCAGTAAAAGTTAAAACCAATTGATGAGTTTGCTTCCCGCACGGTAGTCGGTACCCTTTTGTTTTTCTTTCTTTTTCCACTCTTCCTTCCTTATTTGTCCTATTGCCATTTCGAATTTGTACTAAAGCCAATTGATAGATTTGAAAACACACAGAAATCTATACTTTGTGGGTAGGACTGGACAGTCGGTTAGCGGTTAATCGATCGGTTACAATCGAAAACGGAAATTTATCCACTAATCGAAAACTGGTTGGTATTCGGAGGGATGGGCGAGATGCTTTTGATCTTGGGGGAAGCTCGATTAAACGAATATCGAGATAATCGAAACCTTAAGGCCTCTTTTCGGTCGGTGGTCGGCAGGTTTGGGAGGTGGTTCGGTTTAAATGATAACAGAAATTTTCGGTTTTTGGTTATAACCGAACCGACCGAACCCCACCCCTACTTGGTGTTTCGAATGAAATTTTATGTCATGAGGTCTTGTATTGATATAATTTGAACTTGTCGACTTGAAGTTATGGGGATTTTGTTGTAACCTTGTTCTGTACGAGATTGGAGTAGATTTAGACAGTATGGAGAAATACGGTATATACTTCTCGCTCTCTCTGTAATCTGTAATCTCCTCTAGTATAGTGAAACTAACACTGTCATGTCCGTGGACTAACTATAACACACATAGTGTTAGTGAACCACGTAAACCTAGTGTGTTCTTTACTTTCTTGCATTGTCGATTATCCCGATCTGTTTTTAACAGAAATTTCGAACCGATATTCAAAATCAAACCACATTCAAATACCATATCAAAAACTAAATAGGTCATAATAAATTTTGATGACGATGAATTTTCGAGTTACTTTTATGAGTCAATTATTATTAATGATCCGGCGTTTGATCCCATTCTTCCTTTTATCTCTGTCTCGTCTGTAATTAGAGATCATTGTACTTGGGTCTCAACTTCTCGTCATCTTCTTCCATCTTACTATATATAACATAATACTCACCAAACAACAAAGAGACTTGCATTTTCAAAACACATTACTATAATGGAAAACTCACTGGCAACGCTACTCCTCCTCGTCCTCTTCCTCTCCCCGTCCCTTCACGATCTCCCCCTCGCCGCCGACGCCATCTCCGGCTGCGGCGACCACTGCCGCGACTTGAACGACTGCGAGGGAAAACTGATCTGCATCCACGGCAAGTGCGGCGACGACCCCGACATCGGCTCCAACAAGTGCGGCGGCGGCGACGACGAGGGGGAACACAAAAGCAAGCACAAGCCCACCAAGAAGAAGAAACCCCACAAAAAGCGTAAGCACAACGGCGGCGGCGATGATGACGGTGGCGGCGGCGGCGGCGGCGGAACCTGCAAGCCCCACGCTACCATCATGGGATGCGGCGGCCACAAGACGTACTCGTGCTCCCCGCCGATCTCGGCCCATACCAAGGCCATATTGACGTACAACAACTTCGAGAAAGGCGGCGACGGCGGGGACCCGTCGGAGTGCGACGGGCATTACCACAGTGACCACGACTTGGTCGTTGCGCTGTCCACCGGATGGTACGTTTTCGTGTAGTTAGTTAGTTACTCTTCTATCTCATCTATGTTTTCCCGAACAGGAAAAATTAGTGGTTAATAGTTCTTCGGTTAATTATTATAGAATCGTTGATATAATTTATAACTATTTGTGTGTTATAATATCAAAAACATATGTAATACACTAGTGTAGGAATGAATTTATCACTGGTTATAAAGAGATTCTAGCTCATATCAACAATTAACAAGAGTTCTAACACATCATTCAAATTATCTCACAAAATTTTTTAATAAAATGTTGATTAAATTTAATTTAGTAATTAGGGTGGCAATCACTAATGGACCATGTAAAGTCGAGAAGGAGGGTTGGGAAATAAAGAAGAGCTAGGATTGACAAATAAAATTACTAAGTCGGATTAGATAACCTTAGGTTATCTTTAAAAATAGTGAATTAGTGGATCACTCGAATCAGAGTGGTTCATCTGGTTAATTACATGTCCAACCGCTAAAATTTGTTTTCAGTCCTTCCTTATCCGTCCAAGCATATAAACTGAATCATTAGTGTAACTAATTCGATGATTCTACTGATCATTCGACTGATCGTGTTTAGTTCTTATAACCATTAGAGCAGTAAAATTACTAAATTTGTAAGGCTATATATAAACTCAATCTATTCGGCGTATATAGTTTTTTGACACACAAAATTTTGCTCCTAAGTTTTCGATTTGGAAAAATTATCCTCTTTTTATTTATATACTCATTCTCCCTATGCTTATAATCTGACTCATAGGTACAATGGAGGGTCGAGGTGCAAGAAGAAGATAAGGATAATGCACAAAGGGAAGAGCGTGGAGGCGACGGTGGTGGACGAGTGCGACTCAATGCAAGGTTGTGATCACGCGCACGCCGGGCAGCCGCCGTGCAAGAACAACATCGTCGACGGGTCGCCGGCGGTATGGAAGGCATTGGGCCTGAAAATGGAGATCGGGGAGGTTCCAGTTACTTGGACCATGGCTGACTGAATCAGCTGATGGCCGGATGAGCTCCGATTTGTGGGACTGGGCCCGAATGGTTTTATCCATGGGCTTTTTATCGGTCCGCCAAAATACTTAGTTTTTTAGTTTCGTTTTGTAGTGGGTCCTGTCTCTGGTGTGTGCGGGGAAAGTGGTGTTTGAGAAGATACCAAAAGTACCCTTCCCCACAAATGTAAGGTTAAGGTTTAAGCCTAAGCCCTAATATATGAAAAGCAGGGTTTAGGTTTCAGCCGACAGATAGAATTTCCCATCGAATTATATGTAGGTTAATAAGAAAGATGTAGTTTTTTTCGGTTGGTGAGAACGAGATAAAAGTGAGATGTAATAAGTTATAATTAGAGTGAAACTTCCAACTATCTCGTATATCTTTGATGGTAAATGCACTATTTAAAATATGAGGTAATGAGATGGAGCTATCTTTGGAAAATGCTTGGAGTTTGGCTTCTCTCTTTAGTTGGGTTTCTATTTGTTTTGTTCCTCGTCGATTCAATAGGGTTGTCCATCATATGGCACAAAAGGCTCTCCCATCGGGAGTTCGACTATTGGTCGACTCCCGCACTTTTCTTATTTCCTTTGTATGGGGTTGTTTGGATGAGGAATTATAACGGATCAATTTGACACAATTGCCTCGTTTGCCAGCAAATATTTTGGATGGATCAATCTGCCTGAGGTATTTTGAATTGATCCGTTTTGAATCGATTTCAATTACCTGGGGTGGGGGCAGGTAATTCGAATTGACTCGTTTTAATTGCCTCGTTTATAAAACGAGACAGTTGATCAAATTGACTCATTTCTAGATTGATCCATCCAAACGACCCCTGAATCTATAACACTTGACTTTGAAAAAAAAATGAGGTAATGAGAAGTTATTTGTTCTAGAAGGTTATCTAAGTATCTTGTATTTTTTCTAGATGTTTGATGATCTCAAATAAAAAAAATTAGCCTCAAGAATCATACAAAATTCCACGTATCCCTCCAATATGTCTTCATTGGCTACTCTACAAAGATACTAGTAGATGGTAGTCATTCATAAAACTAAGGGGTCATTTGCTTGTAAGATTTTGCTCCAAAATCTCGCATCTATTAGATATGGCTTAAATCCATGTTTGGTGATCATATGAGATTAGCATGATGCTAGTAGGACCTAAATCTCTCCATTTTTAAAAATCTTACAAGCAAATCACCTCTCAATTACATACTTCTTGATCTTTGAGAACCTTGTTGTTTCTAGTGAAAGGTGCCGCCCTAATCGGTTTGTTAACCAACAAAACCAAAAGAAAGAAAACAACAAATCCTAATCCAATACTCCAAAGTACGTTTTAGTGTTTTACCATTTCATCATCCCTATTCCATAGCGGCACTAAGAATATTCACTAAAACATGAGATTCCAAAATTTGACGTCCAATAAAGAAACACCATAGTTATCATCCATAAGCTATTACTTCTATAATTGCGAATTTTTTAATCTATTTGTTCAAAATTATTTAAAATTCATGAATACTTGACGAACTCATAAAGTTAAATTAGACAATACAAATATATTAATATATTAATTGGACCATACAAATATATAAATTGGTTGCCGGTGTTTTATGAGTTCACCACCAACTCTAAACTTGGCCAACTCCCTAAAAGTAAACGAAATCTTTCTTTATCGGTTTCTGATTTGGTTTCTAAAGAAATAATATTTCGAGTTTTGATTCCATCATCTGACATTTCTAGATACACAAGTACGGGTCATTACTCTCTCTATATTATAATATCCAAATATTTGTCGGAAAATGCGCAAATGTTACAATGCAAATGGAAGGAATTAAAGCTCTAAACTAATGGAGTTTGGTTCCTACACGATCTTCTTTCCATAAACTATATACATATTTCTTAACATATAGAGAAATGTTGACTTCAATTTTAGGGCTCATCATGAGTTCGCTTCCCGCACGGTGCTTCTTCGTTATTCTTCTTCCCATCTTCCTTGCTTGTCTTGTACTCTTGTTTTCTTTCAAAACTTTCCTTCTTTTTCCGGCAAGGAATCAAATATAAGTTGGTGGGGATGTTAAACGTGGAGATCTAACAATTTATTTACAGGATTCAAATTTGTATCTACTCTAACATATCTTATACTTTAAATTAACTTATACATGATTCCTATAAATTCAAGCTTACAACACAATGTGTGTATTCACTTGTTTCTCCCTTCTTTGTCCTAGGGCTGGTTATTTGGTCCGGGCCAATTTTTTAATCTTATATTCCCGAAAAAATTAGACTGAAACCGAATCAATTCGGATCAATTTAACCGGATCGGACAGTTACATTTTTAATATATATATATATATATATATATATATATATATATATATATATATATATATATATATATATATATATATACTATACACATGGTGATATGGATACCAAATAATCAAGAGACTGGCTTCAAAAACACATCATCAACAATAACATTTCATGACGGGAAGCTCACTTCCAATTCTACTACTAACTCTACTCATTCCCATCTTCGTTTCCGTACCCCTTTTCTCCCTCACCGCCGATGCTATCTCCGGCAGCACCGACGACTGCAAGGGGAAGCCGATATGCATCGACGGGGGTGATGACGTTGACGATGATGATGATAACGGCGGCAGCTGTCGGGCCAACGGTACCAAAGACTGCGGCGACGGCAGCTACGAGACCTACACATGCTCCCCACCGGTCACGTCCGAGACCAGGGCCACGTTGACGGTAAACAGCTTCGAGGACGGCGGCGACGGTGGCGGTCCGTCGGAATGCGACGGGGTATACCATAGCGACCACGACAAGGTGGTCGCACTCTCCACGGGATGGTAATGTTTACGATGTAATATCTTACGATAATTTGTTTAGATTATGAATTAAATCGAGTTTGGATATTATATTATACACTAACTTTTTTGATAGATAGATCTCATGATTTCAATTCTCTCTAATCTAATTCGAAGATATATTTAATTAATGAGCACTTCTGCTATATTTTAAAGTACAAATTGAAATGGTACTTTTAACATTATTATTCTACACTCATTTGTATTAGTCCCTTATAGCACAAACTAAAGCGGTATCTTTATCATTATCTTATATTATAATATTTTGACCCTAAGGTACAAATTACATTTAATAGTAGGGGTGGCTATACGGTCCAGTTAAATTGAACCAAATTGATCCGGTCTCAGTTCGGTCTTTTCGGGAATATAAGGACCAAAGATTGGATTGAATACAGTCCGGTCTTGACCCGGTCCGGTCCCAATTCTATCTTGATTTTAGGTGTTGGGGGCCTCTTATCCGGTTTTTTACCTCAAATCTAAGCCCGAATATGAGATTGCATTGTTTGCTATTCGGTCCCAGTCCGGTCCCGGTCCGGGTTATACGATCCGATTTCGGGTAAAACCAAACAGTCCGGGACCTATTTAATAGTAATAATCGTAGCATTAATATTACTTATCTAAATACTTTGATTTTCTTATCCAACAGGTACGAAGGAGGGTCGAGGTGCGGGAAGATGATAAGGATAATGCACAACGGGAAGAGCGTGGAGGCGATGGTGGTGGACGAGTGCGACTCATTGCACGGTTGTGATCAAGAGCACGCCGGGCAGCCGCCGTGCAGGAACAACATCGTCGATGGCTCGCCGGCGGTATGGGAGGCTTTGGGCCTGGCCCAGGATGAAGGGGAAGTTTCAGTTACTTGGAACATGGCCTAGTCCGTGGAGTAGCTCCTAATTTTGGGACCTGAGCCCATATGGTTTTGTCCGTGAGCTTTTAGTAGTCCGCCAAAATGCTAATAATCTGATCCCTCAAAAGTCAAAATGACAGGTCAACAATAATAATATTGACCTGTCATTTTGTAGGAAAGCAAAAGAACAGTAAAGAAAGAACTCTTCTCCGTGTAAAAGTTAAAATTGAAAAGTCGACAACTATCAAATACAGATAAATTACAAATAGTAAATGAATACTATTTCGTAATTAACCTTCATCTAACGTAATAATTATTTTGAATAATACCACTTCACTCTAGGCCGATGTTCAACTGATAATCTCTCCTAAGATAATTATCTCAATCAAGCTAGCTAGATGGTTATTGGATACCGTTCATGAAGATATATCTCTGCAATAGTTATTACTCCATAAGTTAAAGTTTTTTTTTTTTTTTTGTCGACGAGTTATAAACATGAATAATTAATCACCCTAAATAAAATGTTTGCGAAACATAACTTATAGTACTTCTTTCATTAGAAATAACATCAAGCCACAATATAACAAACTTTTTTACTCAGGAAACGTATAAAAACAACATACAAATCCAATAGCAACGCACTTATGACTACCAGGCTCTAGTGGGATAATCCCAAGAGACCCTAGTAATTAACAAACACCGGTACAAAAGGGAAAAATCAAAGACAATTATGAAATAATTCTTTTCTTTCTTTTCCAGGCCCACAACCAAAGCCTTAACTCAGCGGCCCAACTCACTTAAGCCATGGTCCAAGTAACGGGAACGCGGCCCAAATCCTGATTCTGGCCCAGAGCCCTCCAGACAGCCGCCGAGCCGTCTACGATGTTGTTATCGCACGGCGGCAGGTTCGCGTGCTCCCTGTCGCAGCCGTTGACCGAGTCGCACTGGTCAACCACCGTCGCGAAAACGCTCCGACCGTTCTGGGCCGTGATCTTAATCTTCTTCCCGCACCTCGACCCTCCGTCGTACCACCCGGTCGACAGCGCCACCACCGCCTCGTTGTCGCTGTGGAACTTCTCGTCGCACTGCGACGGCGATCCTCCGCTGCCGCCTTCGGCGAATTCGTTCAGACTCAGAGTGGCCTTCGTGATCGAAGTCACCGGCGGCGAGCATGTGAACTGCTTGAAGGTCTTCCTCCCGCAGGATAGCGTGCCTGTCGCCTTGCAGGTCCCATCGCCGCTGCCGCCACCACTACGTGGCGCTGCATGGTTAAATATAAACACCTTATTCAAACAGTCAAACTATAATTCAAAGTTTACAAAACATGCCAAAAAAACCAAAAGATTATATGCGTATAAGTTCATATGTCGTGTACAAAACAAAACTCAGGGGTGGTTATACGGTCTGGTTCGGTTAAATTGGCCCAAATTGATCCGGTCCAGTCCGGTCTTTTTGAAAATATAAGGACCGAAGATTGGATTGGATACAGTCCGGTCTTGATCCGGTCCAGTTTTGATCCGGTCCGGTCCCAATTCGGTCTTGATTTTACATTGATATTGTGGGATTTGAGTGGCCTAAGGCCTTAAAGGGTGAGGAGTTGGTTAAGTTTTGTACTAAGTGCAAAGGTTTGTGACCGTTTATGCAAATTACCCTTAAGTTTTGGGTGTTGAGCTCTCTTATCCGGTCTTTATCCGTTTTTTTACCTCAAATCTAAGTCCAAAGATTGGATTGGATTGTTTACTATCCGGTCCCGGTCCGGTCTCGATCCGGGTTATACGGTCCGGTTTCCGATTTTTAATCCGGTCCCGGTCCAAATAGCCACCCCTACTCATAACTTTCCATCGACGACGCATAATCAAATTTCAAATAACAAAGAGAAAAATAGCTTCCTCTTTCACTTTCGTTCTTTTTCAGTAAATTGCTCTTATAATATTTACAAAATTAAACATGAAATTAACAAGCATTTATTTTTCCAAGGAAATGAGTGAAACAGTCGTGTACCGGGCTTTGGAGTGGACGGGGCCTTTTTTCCATCCCGCGGGCAAATGGTGGTGCCGACGTCTGGGTCGTCGGCGCACCTGCTGCCGATACAGGCGAGGTTGCCATCGCAGTCGTTCTCCGATCGGCATGCGGCATTGCAGGGGGCGGCGGTGGAAGGTGATGCAAGATAGACGACGATGAAGAAGAAGAAGAAGAAGAGGAAGGAAAAAAAGACTGATGATAGAAGCACTGGTTTCCCCATGTTGAATATGCAAAGAAATAATAAAGAATTATCTCTTACTATACGTAGCTAGCTATTTTTCTTCTTCTTTATGAATGCTTGTTTGATGAAGAATTATTGTGGTGATGAGGGGTATTTATAGTAAGGGATTTGATTCTTAGAAACTACGAAAGGCGATAATAATAATGGAAAATAGAAGGCGGTTGATGCCTAAGTTGAACAATTGGGAGTTAGCTGTAATTTATTCCGGTTGTGATGATGCCACAGGCGGCTAAGGCGACTGTGTGGTCGCCGCCGGCCGGCCGAATGTCGCCTACCTTCGTCGTTATAGAATACGTAGTTACGTAGCGAGCAGTCTTTTGTTCCTGATCACCATCGCACTACCGGACAAAGACTTACTACTTGTCTATACCTATATATGTTTAAGCAATCACCAGTTAGTTGCATAAGTACTCAATTAGTGCAAATTGAAGAATTTATTGTGGTCGGATAGGATATCAAATAATTCAAATTAGGGATGAGATATCGTGACAACTCCATTAGGGGTTGTAGAATCGGTTTTATAAAAACAATAATCGATAACTCTTATTCGTAAAAACAAATCAAAATGCGTTTAACGGTAAAATAACTAAAAGTACAGCATACTCAAAGAATATGCTAACCTTTACTCTATATTATTTATATCCCAATGATCAAAATATATTATTTATCAAAGTGGTAATTAGGCTTACAACCTTCAATCCTAAATGTACTCCAACTAATCATGAATTAATACGAGGTTGATTTCTGTTGTGCGAACCAAATACATGTTTTGGTTACTCGAACTAGGACGGGGAAATGGTGCGGTCTGGTCTGGATCAGAACATATATACGGTCTATGATCCTGACCGAGAGGCTGAAGTATAGATCATAGACCATATCATAGACTATACGGTTTGATCTAGATCACGCCTGTGCGGTCTGGTTCGGTCTGGTCCAGATAGACCACATTCAACGAAAAATGAACAATTTGTTTAGTCAACCACACAAAAAATTGAAGCAATAACCAAGAAAATAATTGTTATTTGCCTTAAAACATTAGTACTAACATGCATGAATAATTTTGATACCCTAAATCTTAGTACATAACAAAGATATAAAGTAAAAACATCCAATTTGCACCATAACGTGATAAACATTAACATAATGTCATATGGAGACACGATTATCTCTACCCTCTGGTTAAATGTGGTTGTGAATGAAGGAGAGACGAGATTCACAAAATTAAGGTAGAGAGTTGGGTGTCGTTGTGAGGAGAGTGGTCGAATGGGCTGTTAACACGTATTGACAAGTTGGTGGGGTCCACGGTTTGGTCCGATAAACAGCGGTCTAGGCCAGACCAGAACAAGATATCAAAACATAAAATAATACAGACCATGAACCACACCAGACCATACTTAACGTTGTACGGTCTGGACCAAACTGTGCGATACGATTTGGACCTCAGTTTTTCTAACGATCTCTCGGCCCTAACTCGAACTGTAATAACATGTCAAAAAGGAAAGAACGTTTTCATTTGGGTATTTGAAATGTTCCTCTAATTATATTAATCAACGGTTTACCAATTCCTGCGGACAGGCATATATATATATATATATATATCCATGAGCTAGTCCGTACTCAAAATCAATACACCCATATACTCGATCCCATGCAGAACTATACGTACAAGTAGGTTATCTGATAAAAAACAGTGCTCGCGAGATCTTTATCATTCATACACGTCATGTGCCACGTTTTCTCTCTAAATTAGCGTTGATCTGACGTAAAATATATGTTTGTGCTTACATTTATAGATGTACATTGTATATGTTGACGGAATCAAAATAGTAGGGTTTTTTTTTTTTAGTAACTGCTTTTGTAGTTTGAGTTTAGAGAATTTAGGTATATGTTTCATCCATTAAAGTTTCGGAATATATAATATCATGTCTCAAACTCTTATCAGTTCATGATCAAAATATCAAAACTCAATAGACATTAGATAAAATTAGTGTAAGCAAAACATACGCAAATCTGAAACATATATATACTAAGGCAAGTTAGCATACCCATAAGTTAGGTGAGCATACTGATCATGAAGCATATGGTAAGCTTGTGGTACTTTGGTATATTCAGAGTCCAGACCATGAATTAAATCGAATTTGGGACATGAATTATTGTATTCTAACATCTAACGGCAAAACCCAACCCTTACCATATAAACTCATGTTGTAGAATCAGTTTTATAAAAACAATAATCGATAACTCTTATTCGTAAAAATAAATCAAAATGCGTTTTAACAGTTAAATAACTAAAAGTACAGCATACTCAAAGAATATGCTAACCTTTAGTCTATACTATTTATATCCCAATGATCAAAATATTATTGATCAAAGTGGTAATTAGGCCTCTATAAAAAAATAAAATAAAAAGTGGTAATTAGGCCGTTTACAACCTTCAATCCTAAAGAGTTACAATGCGACCAACGCCGAAGGGAAAGATCCAACGTCGACAAGCGATTCCTCATCAGATCGTATGTGTGGTAACTGCCTTCAGGTTCCTGCCGTTCTTGTAGAAGTAGTCAAAGAAGGAATCGAAGTTCGGCGAAGGAAAAAGGTGATGGACGGCAATTTTTTGTATGTTAGCTACGATAATAAAGACGGTATGCTGCATGTACTTTTTTGTTCTATCACTATCCTAGCCTGCAATCTGTAAGTGTTGTAGTATATGATCCACGATTGAACCTCTCCCAACAACTCGAGTTATTGGGATCAACTGGTTCTTGATATGGTATCAGAGCCTTCTGTGACCGAGAGGTCTTGTGTTCAATTCCAGGTGACCCCCAGTTGTTAAGCACATGGTATTCTTGTTTTCAAACCTGTACAAACTTCAAGCCCTTGTGAGTGGCTTTCGTTTGAGGGGGCGTGTAAGTGTTGTGGTATATGATCCACGATTGAACCTCTCCCAACAACTCGAGTTATTGGGATCAACTGGTTCTTGACACAATCTGCATACACACTTGAATAAAAAAGGAAAGTTGTTGTTTAGCGGGATGGGTAGTTTGATATCCATACTTCATATTAGAAATGAATCGGGTCGGATAATACTCATGTAGACATGATTTTGTTGTAGGCGAACTTTAGTCTATAAGGGGTTACCTTACATGTTTGATGTTATACGTCTCGCTATATATGAGGTGGGGTTAATGAGTGTTACAATCATTCGACTTTTTCGATAGAAACCTGATGCCAAGGGAATGATAGGAATGCGAATTAAGACGGAATCGGGAGGGTCTCGAAGAATTAAGTATGATCGTGAAGTACTCTTACGTAGTTATGCGATTGGGCGGGTCTCGAAGAATTAAGTATTAGTTTGAGTGATCTGTTACTGCATGTCTTGTGATCCAGAATTCCAGATCGCCGCTAGATGTGCGGACTTTTCCTGCATGGGAATATGACGCATTTTTTTTTTCGAACGGAATATGACACAGTTGAATCAAACGGTATACATAAGGAAAGATCATTTGGAGCAGCCTAGTTATTCTGCTAACTAGAAGATTTGTTAGTATATACTAACTAATATCCAAAATGTATGAACTAATATCCAAGTCTGCTGAGTATCTAGATAGCACAGACTAGTATTCAAAACATCACAAACTAGTATCCAAATAGCATATACCAACTAATATCCACAAACAACTAACTAGTATTCAATATGGATACTTTTATATGTTATCTGGATACTCTTATGTGTTATCTGGATACTAATTATGTGCTATATGGATACTATTCTGTGTTGTCTGGATATTAGTTTGTGAATTTGAGATAATAGTTGATTCATTGTGGATATCAATTAGCAAACTTTGAATACTAGTCTGTGCTCTCTAGATACTTTAGTACCTTGATACTAGTTCATGTATTTTGAATATCAGTTAGTATCTGCTAACGAATATTCAAGTTAGTAGATTAACTTTTCCCCATTTGGAGGGTTTTGATTAATTGAGGGGAGGCAACGTAAAATTGGTAGCTAAATTTTTAGTTGGAACTTGTTTCTGAAGTTAACTTCACCTGTCACATCTCCAAGTTGTGAACAAATTTTCAAATATGAAATTAATAAAGAACTATTTCGTAATCGGGATGAGCAATACAAGGTTGTTCGATTGCAGCATCGAACAAATTTTGAGTTGTAAAATAAGCGACTGAAAACCTAATACCATCGCCGGTGTCGAATTTGGTTCGGTGGTGTTGATTTGATGTTTCGTGGTGGGAATTCTAGCGGTGTTGTTTTATCGAATGCACCGCTGATTGATGAAATCGAGACGACCGTCAAATATCCATTGGGCGGTGTTGATTTTGAACGGTGCAACTGACTTTTGAAAACGGTGACGATCGTCAAATATCCACCGATGTGCGATGTTGATTTGATCGATGCACCTCTGAATGGTGAAATCAACGCGACCGTCAAATATCCAACGTCGGGCGATGTTGATCTGATCGATGCACCTCTGACTTCTAACCAACGCGACCGTTACTACAGTTCGCACCTCTCCAAACTACGTTCGAACGAGGGTGTTTGAGTTTTTGAGGAATCTACGTTACGACTACTCCTATGGAGATTCCTGTGGAGAGCTCCGCGAAGGAGTTACAGAGAAAATGTAAAGTTTGAACAAATGTGTTTCTGTGTTGATTTTGGTTGTCCTCTCTCTCTCTCTCCTTGCTCCGGTGATTTTATCTGAAATCACTTGCGTAGTTTTCATGCCCCGTGGAACTGCTTCCTCAACCGCTCCGTCGTGAACTCCCACGTGTCTTCACTCTTCTCCACAGAGTCGTAGTCCTCAACCGCTTTGATCTTATCTTCACTCCCGAATCTCACGTGCAAGAAATAACTCCGTTATTTTCATGAGCTCGCGACGTCGTTTACGCCTCCAGCAACAAAGTTTCCATAACGACGTCGTTGAACCTATTCACGGCATTGCTCAGCTTGCAACACCGTCAAGCTCACTACGTCGTTGAGCTCCACGATTTTGTTTTGGCCTTGCGGCATCGTTGAATTTCTAGGCGTTGTCAAACTCGCAACACCGCTGGATTTGCGACCGCGAAATCGATTATGCTACATTATTGTTTAACTAACGACATTTTTAGCCTTACGACACCGCATTAATTTAATATTTCACGTACCGCAACATTGTCGGGTTTACTTGCAGTGTGGTTTGCTTCCCCAAATAGCTCTATTTGCTTTTTCACTCCACGACATTGTTTTATATTAAACACTGTCGTTTTCTAATCCACAGTGTTGTTTTCTCTCGCGGCGTCGTTTTTAGCCAAAGAACACCGTCTAAAATAATTATTAAACAGATTAATTAATTAAACCGGTTCATTCTTGTCACGTGGTCAAATTCTCATCCCTTGTCGCCGTTTAATCTTTCCGCGACATCGCTTTTCACTAATCGATGCTGACCTTGAACTGCTCCATCCCGGTCCCATCGAACAATGTCATTTTTCATTTCGCGACATTGTTCTCTACCAAACGGTAACGTTTTTCTCGTCTTGCGGTGTCGTTGAGCTTGTCGGGCCGCCCACGCCAAACTCCAACCCGCTGTGGTATAGTTTTTAACGAAACGACATCGCTTACCAAGACCTCTTGCGGTATCATTTTCTAATCCGCGGTGTCGTTGGGTTTACTCGCTGTGCCATTTTTAGCCAGCCGACACCGTTTCCAGTCTCGCGATGACGTTGAACTTTCAGGTTCGCGACACCGTTTTATCCCTCCTCCGACAAGGAACAAATAAAAACGCTCCCTTTTCCAACTCCAACAGCAACATCGCGAACACTAATGGATTTCTAGCCCTGGCTCACAACATTGTTTTCACTGAATTCTCAGCACCGCGGTACCGTCGAGCCTCTACGCGGTGTCGTTTCTCTCCTCTTCCGACAAAGAATAAACAAAAACATTCCTTTTCCAATAACAACACCAACATGCCGAGTGAATCCGACCTTGTTTTTCCCTAATCAAATGTCATTTTAAGTACCGCGGTATTGTTGAGCTTCCTTGCGGTGTCGTTTTAACTCTCCGCGACGCCGCTCAATTCCAAACGACACTATTTTTTGTCATGCGGCATCGAATTAAATGCCGAGACTAATTAATGCGGCATTTAATTGAATCAAAAATAATTTTAGGTGCAAACAATGGCCCACAACTTAGTTTATAAAAATCAATTCTTATGAACTAAAATCACATTATTGTCATCACATAATAACACATTCTATCAAACCAAAATCAACTCATAAGATGGTTGACCAGTGCAACTCGGTCAACGGCTGCCGCGACGGGGAGCATGCGGGCCTGCCCCGTGCGATAACAACATCGTGGACGGTTCGGCGGCTGTCTGGAGGGTTCTGGGCCTGAACCAGGATTTGGGCCTTGTTCCTGGTACTTGGACCATGGCCTAGATAAGTTGGGCCTCTGGGGGTTTGTTTGTGGTCAATATAGAGGCATTGTTGTGGGCCTTCTCAATATAATTGTCGTTGATTTCCCTTTTTCTAGTGGGAAGCATAATTAAAAAAAATGGTTACCAACTTACCATATGGAATGCATGAATTGCTTAAGACCGTTTGGTACCAAATAAATCGAGAATTCATTTCATTGTAAAATGAATTATCGTGCAGAATTCATTGTCTAAGGAAATCTTGTGTTTGATATGTCATATTCAAATCGTCAGAAATAAAATGAATTGCCATGTACAATTCATTGTCAAATAAATTCTTGTATTTGGTGTGTATATGTATAAGTAATTTAGTTAATAAAATAGGATAATTATGTCATTCTATTTAATTAGTAAATACTTTTTGAAATTCATTTAGAAATTCCATCTCAATTCCTCGGAATTGCAATAACCAGTTCCAATTCTATAGAATTTAAAATTTAGAAATTGGAAATGAATTCTTTTAAATACCAAACACAAACATGTTTCATTTCGAAATGAATTTCTCAAAACTTATGAAATTTATTTATACCAAACGATATGTAAGTGTGTTGCTATTGGATTTGTAAGTTGATTTTTTAAGTTTCCGAGTAAAAAAGTTTGGTTATAATTTTATGTCAATTTCCTGGCAACGTTTCACTTTGTATGAATGGTTTTAAATTATGTTGTTATTTCGAGACAAACAAAAATAACAATTTATCCAGTTACAGTTCAGTTCTTGATAATATTTAAAAATTGCATTTCACGACAAACAGTTCATGGTATTCCGTATTCCCCTCCATTATTGGTTTCTCAAATTTGGGACGACCCTTTTATTGTAAATACCATCTTTCTTTTCACATTTCCATGTAAGGTTTCCGATGTGATGCAGGAAGAGCAAGAGTCAAAAGAGTACCCTCCAAAACCAGACCTAATATATATCATAAATTTGGGCACATGAGAATGTTAAAAGGGACAGTGGGGTAGTACTCTCTTTCACGGTTCCATGTCCAACCTTTCTTTTCACATGAAAACCGAACCCCTTCGATAGCTAGGTTTGTTGTACATGTAATGTACATCTTTATGTTTTGTGGCACATGAATGGTCAAATTTGATTTTGCCTAACATCTTACCTACCCAAAATTTATGTGTGTCTGTGAATTCCCCATCACCAAGTGTGTCTTTTACCCACATGTTCTTTTCCTCTCTCTCTCTCTCTCTCATTTTTCAAAGTCTCATAAATAATAATCCATACCAAACCTGGCCCTTCATTGATCACAAGGCTAGGCAACTATGGATTTGCGGTTTTTGGATTGAGATTGGTTGGTGTTCGAAAGCTTGGTTTGTCCTTTCCGGATTGAGTTTGTATGCATGTGTTGCATAGACGAATATGGTATAATTGCTGAAATAGGGTGAGAGGTAGATCGATGGATGTTATGATATTCGATGTTTATTAATCTCTTCGTAGTAGATGAACACGATGAAATTCTCGAACATGAATTTGAGGCGAAAATTAGGAATTTTGAGATTTTCCGACACGTTATGAATTATGAAAATTACACGTACACACGAGCTAACAATTACTATAGAAGAAGTCGACAATGATGACAATTAAAGTAGCGACGACATATATAGATAATTCGATGGAGGATGAAGATCCCTTTCGTGAGTAAACCCCCCCCCCCAAGTACTTTGATCTCGTTGTAGACATGAAAACTCGAAAAGGGCGATCTCTATCAAACGCCTCATCAAAATGTTTTGCATCTCCTATATATGATGCAACTCTCCGTGTGCTTCCTTTAATTGCTAAAACTTGGTGGACCATTCCATAGGGCTCTTACAACATCGTCTGTGTAAGGACGTGCTCACAGCATCAAAACGGTCGCTCAATATCAAACGTTGAGCACCGTAAAACCGTGCAACAAACGATGAGCACCGTAATACATATGATACTACGCGTTTATCTTGTGATCAATGTCGTTTGATGTTCAATCAAGGCAAGTGTGCACGTCGTAAGCACGTCCTCACATGTGATGTTGTAACTTGTAAGCTTCTTAGCAAAATTCACTTGTGTTGTTGCTCAAATGATTATACAAGAAGGGGGGGCAGTCATGTAACTTGCTAGGGTGAGAGCAAGAGAGAAAGAAGGAAGGAGATGGATGTGACCCCCATAGTAGTAAATGAAAGAGGAAGAAGGAAACCCCAAAAGGACTTCAATGGGGATACAGTCTTACAGACACATCCTATAGCTATATGGGCAGGGAAGGGAACTACCCTAGAGACAGAAAGGGTGAGAGAGAGTGCTTTACAGTCTTATACACATTGGTCTAGCTAGACCAAACTAGGAGTTGGGGAAAAAAGCAAAAGAGATAGGGCTTCTGTGTAAAAGGTTGGGGGGAGAGTGACATCAAAATGCAAGGGCTGGCGTCACTCTGGAATTGTTCCTTTTGCACTCAGTGAGGAGGCAGCTCGAACTTTATTAGTGTAAAATGGATGGTCTCCCACAGCCCACGGCAAGCTGTCTTCTCTTCTTCTTCTTCACTTTTCTCTGTTCAACAATCACAAGGGCAATAGCCAATAGGGCATCATCATCATCCCATGCCATTCCCTCCCTCCACTGTCCCTTGGGAGGAGGGGCTGCATGCCTTCAAATTGGAGGATTAGCCTCATCCCCAAGAAGGTCTAATGGAGTGATGGATTTTGGAGTAATTGGACTAATGGTGTTCATTTTGATATATATATATATATATGGATCTCCTACAGTAACTTGGGTATAATTTCAAATTAGGTAACTTGTATAGATCTAAACCGTTAAAATTGATCAAACAAATTTTAAACCATTGATTAAAGAAATTAAAAAATAAAAAAATAAGTAAAATAAAAATTAAAAGCAACAGGTTGGCGGTCACCACCTTCACAATTTACCTTTCTTATATATTCTCTTTCCTTTTTCATATTTAGTCGAATTTCCTTATTTTATTTTTTCCTTATTTTAATTGTTATTGAATTAGAAGCGTTACGTAAGCCTTCCGTAATAACTTAGCTCTTTACGTAACACGACGTTAATACTCATTACGTAAAAATACCTTCCATTACGTAAGGCTTCCGTAATTACATTTTACAACTGTTACGTAAAATACACATTCATTACGTAAAGATTAAGGAATGATAGTTATTTCTTACGTAACAGTTAAATCGGAAGCGTTACGTAAGGCTTCCGTAATGACTTTGCACTTTACGTAACGCGAGGTTAATACTCATTACGTAAAAAGATATTCCGTTACGTAAAGGTTACGGAACGACAATTATTTCTTACGTAACAGTTAAATTAGTAGCGTTACATAAGGCTTTCGTAATGACTTAGCGTTTTACGTAACGCGAGGTTAATACTCATTACGTATAGGCACATTCTATTACGTAAGTATTACGTAATGATCTTTTACAACTGTTACGTAAGACTACCATAGGTTACGTAACCATTACGTAATGTTTGTTGTATTTTACGTAAGACCTGTGAAACCTGCTATAACAGGTAAGAAAACTCAAGTTACCTTACTTCAAGTTACCATAGGAAATCCCATATATATATTTTTTAAGATAGAGCTTTATGACCGGCCCTTACGGTAATAGGTGAGATAAAGACCGACATATAAATGTTAATGAAAAACAAACACAAAATTCTGTACAAAATTACAAGTTAAACAACGGAATTTTACGGGACGAATCTCAAATGATGAACGTTAAAACCGTGACAAATAAGCCTTTATGACATAATTAGAGGTACTTTGAGGCTCTTGCCCCTTCTTATTATGTTGCCCTAATGAATTTCATATACTAGTAAACCTTGTCCCTGCTAACTTTTTTCCAGGCAAATTTCAGCATCGTCCATCTAGATATTCACAAAGAAGAAAGTTCACGAAAAATCACTACTTTTTGTTTCTTTCATCGTGCATTCGTCAAACACAAACCAACTGGTTGCATATAGGTTTGTTTTCTACTGGAAAAAATCGTACAATTGATCAGTTACGTCTGAACTTTGAGGAGATCAACACAATATTTACTATGCAAGCTCTACACATCTTCAAACAACCACGGAACCATGATGTGTTTTAGGGAATTCCTACAATGCCTTGAAGTAAGGTAACTTGATTTTTTTTACCTGCTATAGCAGGTTTCACAGGTTGCATTACGTAAAACACAACATGTGTTACGTAATGATTACGTAACGTATGTGCATTTTCCGTAACAGTTGTAAAATCTCATAACGGAAGTCTTACGTAATGGAGGCTTCTTTTACGTAATGAATATTAACCTTGCGTTACGCAAAGTGTGAAGGTATTACGGAAGTCTTACGTAACACTTCTGATTTAACTGTTACGTAAGAAACAACTGTCATTACGGAAGCCTTACGTAATTGAGGCTTCTTTTACGTAATGAATATTAACCTTGCGTTACGTAAAGTGTGAAGGTATTACGGAAGCCTTACGTAACGCTTCTGATTTAACTGTTATGTGAGAAACAACTGTCATTACGGAAGCCTTACGTAATGGATATGTATTTTACGTAATAGTTCTAAAATGTCATTACGGAAGCCTTACGTAATTGGGGCTTCTTTTACGTAATGAATATTAACCTTGCGTTACGTAAAGTGTGAAGGTATTACGGAAGCCTTCCGTAACGCTTCTGATTTAACTGTTACGTAAGAAACAACTGTCATTACGGAAGCCTTACGTAATGGATATGTATTTTACGTAACAATTCTAAAATGTAATTACGGAAGCCTTACGTAATTGGGGCTTCTTTTACGTAATGGGTATTAACCTTGCGTTACGTAAAGTGTGAAGGTATTACGGAAGCCTTCCATAACGCTTATGATTTAACTGTTACGTAAGAAACAACTGTCATTACGGAAGCCTTATGTAATGGATGTGTATTTTACGTAACAATTCTAAAATGTCATTACGGAATCCTTACGTAATTGAGACTTCTTTTAGTAATGAATATTAGCATTGCTTAACGTTATTGAGGCTTCTGAAATTTTTTATAAATTAACTAGAGCTATAAAACAGTGCGTGCAGTTTAGCATCAATCTACTAATATAGGCTAGCGGATGAGTTGTAATGGTATTGGTAATTGGGCATGGTTCAATTCTCAATTGAATTCTCAATTGAAGCATATTTTACTCAATTTCATATTGATATATATATATATATATATATATTTTTTTTTTCAAATATTAGCTACTTAAAAGTACAGGTGGCTATATGGTCCGGGCCGATTAAATTGGCTCCTCAATTTCATATTGATATAATTTTTTATTTGTGGTTATATGGTCCGGGTCAATTAAATTGGCTCGAATTGATCCGGCCTGGTCTTGAACCGGTTCGGTTCCAATTCGGTCTCGATTTTAGATTGAGCTTGTGGAGATTTAAGTGGTCTAAGGCCTCTGTTGGTTAAGTTTTGGGTGTTGGTTACTCTTATCTGGTCTTTATCCGGTCTAAGTCCAAAAATAGGATTAGATTGTTTGCTATCTGGGTCCGATCCTGGTCCGGGTTATATGGTCCAGTTTCGGGTAAAATCCAAAAGCTCAGACCAAATAGTCAGCCCTACTTAAAAGGTCTTTATGGAAACATTATGTAATGGCCAGTTCATAACGTGTTTTGAATTTGAGTGATTGGTTATGTGTCACTAATTAATCGACTTTTTAGTTAGGCGGATTACAAGTAAACCACTGCAATGAATCAATTCAATTTCTCTGTTGTTTCTTTATTCGATTAATTGGTGATCTTTAATATTTAGTATGATTTAAGCAAGACATAATTTTATGAACAATATTAATCACTATATTCGATCTATTTTCAATATTATGAAATGTATATTTTTAGTGAAATTTTTATATGGGATATAGTATGATACCCTTTTTCTATTTAACTTTGTTGCTATGTATTGAAATATGATTTTCTGTCGTCGACTGGAAGTTACGCAAGTCTCGTTGACCGGTCAGCGAGTCGGGGTCCAAGGAAGATGCATCTGGTTTGGGGGCTCAACGTGGCCCCTGATCCAAGGTTATTTGGCCCAATCGATTTTGAGTTACAAATTGATCCAAGGTTATTTGGCCCAATCGATTTTGAGTTACAAATTCATCAGTTTGGTCAACCCACACAATCACAAATAAATTTAGTTGGTCATATAGTTCATGTTTTTTAGTGAAAGTTTTCCATGGAATGATAGTATGATATCCTTATTCCTATTTAACTTTGTTGCTATGTCTAAAAACAACATTTATTCCCGTCGACTGGAAGTTACGAGGTTTTTGCTGACTAATTTGAGTGCTTGGGGACGTAACGTGGCCCCTGATCCAATGGTGTATGGCGAAATCAATTCTGTGTTACGAGTTCATCAGTTTGCTCGACCCATCATGTCATAACTAGATTTAGGAGGTCATACCATTTAAGCTTGTTTGTGAATTTTTTATAGAGTTTTTTTATAAAAAATTTAATTGGAATGTTTTGAATTTATTATTCTTCTTCCATCATAGTTAGAAAATACTCCGGTAAATACACATATATGTAACCACTTAAAACTTTTGTATCCGTATTATTGTCAAACCATTTTAATTTTTCGTTCATTTGAAAGCTCCCGTATTAAGCACGTATAAACCCCATATAGCACATTTAATACCCGTATTTATATATTTATGTATTTTCAAAATAATTAGTTTTATATAATTATGACTATTAACAAACTATTAAACGTAAAATTGGCTTAGAAATGAAGTAAAATATCCATATGTATTTTATACGTAACTTTGTTGTACCGTATTTTACTAAGTATGTCTCTCATAATCATAATCTTCAGCAAAAAAAAAAAATAATTTGCATAAAAGAAATTGAAAAAAAAAGGAAAAATACGAGACAACAAAGTTAGAGGGTCGGGCTTCCTTTCCCCTTCCCATCTTTCTTCTTCGTCTTATGAGACAACAAAGTTAGAGGAAAAAAAGGAATGTATTTTATACGAGACAACAAATAGAAACGTCCATAAATTCTCAACGGGATTTGGAAGCGAAGTTACCGGATCTGTGTCAATTTCTTTGATTTTGAACTTCGTGCAAAGAGAAATTATTATAGTTATCAAGTTTTCAAATATAAACAAAAAAATAATTAAATGATTAAAACTCTAGTCGAACAATATCCAAGTTTATTGTACCTTATTCTCCCAATCATCATCTTTTTTTTTTTTTTTGATCGACCGCCTTTTTTAGTACCTTGCTGTTTAGGACCTTGTTGTCTACCCCGACCTCTTACCGCTGGTTTGGTGGCCACATAAGGAAACTGAAATTGTGGACCGGCTTTGAGTACGTCTTTCTTTCGAAGTCCCATGTTTGAATCCTCTCTTGATCGAATCTTTTGATTTACTCCAGCCATAAGTCTCTCAAATGAATCTGTTTCATCTTCCTCCTGCCACAATTGAAAACAAGATTACCACAAGAAATTAAAATAATTATAGAAGCTGGTCATATTAATCTCCACGAAACAATAATGTTATCCATCACCTAACCACAAGCACTAATAATTAGAGAATACATAGGGAATGAACACGCATACACTTACATGTTGATTTGCCTTTATTTTCTTTTCATTTTGAGATGGAATTGCATCAGTTGTCTTGTTTCCTTGCTTTCCCTTAAACCAACAAGTTCAATAAATCAACATATTTATAAAAAAATTCTAAACTAAATTTGCAGACTCAAAATGGTTTTAAAACTAAAAAAATTACCAGGTGGTTTCTCTTAGCTTTTGATAATTGTAGAGGTGAGCTTGCATCATCTGAAAGCTCTATATTATCTTCTTTTTTCGTTAAATCATGGACTATGTTATTCAACTTATCATAAAGATTAGTTGAATCTTCAATTGTAGTCAGATTGTCTCCGCTTTTCTTGTCTCCATTGATCGTACCATTCGCATCAATCCTAACTTCCTCTTGTTTTCTTGTAAAAACATGCACATTTGTCGGCTCATCCTCTATGATTATTTTTGGACCTCCACTTTGCAACTGACTTTGAATAGTGCCCAAAGTTGTGATTATTTGTGACATGGCATCAAACATCTCCTTTTTCAATTCACCTAATTGTGACTTCGTAGAATGCATATCTTTTTGGAACTCATTTCTCAATAGACCAATTTCTACTTTAATATCCTGTGTCAAACATGAATAAAATAAAAAATTAAATTATTCTATCAATAATGCATTACTTCATCAATTTAAGATATGAGATAGTATAAGATACACTCATAATAAATAAATAAAATCTATCTAACCTCAATTTTGAAACAACTACCAGCATCTCCGCCAAATCCCACCTGCATACAAAGAAATTGAATGATTAGTTTTAGTCACAGTTTATTATTTAACCAAAAATATTAATATTTACCTGTATGCAATCAACTCCGCCTAAACTGGAAACCTTGTTAACAATCTTCGAAATGGACTTCTCATCCCAATGTCGTATGCGTGGTAAGGAGTTTGAATGACGAGTCAAGTTATGCATATTCACGTGCTCTAGGTAAAATATCTACAAAATAAGAGAGTAATGTCCAATTTGATAGTCTGAAAATGTAAACATTACGATATTTTGACTAACAAAATTTACTTAAAAAAATAGAACTCACATACCTAAAGTAATAAAACACAACCAGTCACGTGTTGATCTCTTGATGCTCCATCCGATTTGTTTTGATAATCTTTTATACCCTCTAAAAGACCATCATAGACGAACTTCGCCCAATTCAAGTTCCCCGCAACGTTAACATTGGCCAATATTTTCAAATAATTGTTGGGAACATGAACGGCAGTTGATGGTCTCAATAGTCTACACATTAAATATAAAATAAATTTTCCCCTAAACTCTTCACCGATCGTGAGATCGTTTAACATATCTGTTTTCAATCTGGAACATTTTATTTGTCCAGTACCCAAATTAAACTTTACCCTCACTTCATCATCCTCGCCAAGTTGGGTTTCCACATTCATGCCCCCAGCATGTAAACCCAATATGGTGACAACATCATTAACACTTAGGGTAAGACGATTACCATGCACACTTAGTTGACTAGTAGTCACATTAAACCTCATCATAAGGTCCTCAAGAAGTTGCATCTTCAATTTATGCTTTTTCAGATGCAAGAGCCTTCCAAATCCCATATCTAGAATGACCTTTTTATCATCAGATAAACTTTCTACGAGTCCACAAAATTCTTGTACGCCACAACGACTGCTCAAATATACCTACATTATTTGAATTATGAAAAAGTGAATTGTTATTATATAGACAAATATATAGGGCATATCTCAACGTGTAGAACCAAAACTAAATACCTTTTTTGTTGAAGCATCCATAGCATCAATCTTATCATTGTCGGCTTCTTCATTTAAACGTGTAGACCCATCTTCTTGCTTCTCCTAAACATCGTGAATTTAAATTTATTACAACTTCATCTGGGACAAATGCATCATATAAACTCAATAAATAATTAACAAATTCATAAGCTTAATACCATTTTCTTTCTTGTTTGTTTTTCACCGTCAACCTGTGAAGAAATACCTTCACCCATCATACTCATTTGTAAGCTATATTGAGTAGAACGAATATCAATTAAAACATACTTTAAAGCTTAACGTAAAAAGAACATAACACTTAATGGACAACAGTCAACAAAGCTCTCTTCATCGAGAACTCCACGCTTGTTGTCTTTCTTTTCACTGGAATGATGCACCTAATGGATCACGAGAAGGTCAGCGAATACCTTATACAGTTGATGGAGACGGAAGGACTCAATGTTCAGTTATACCTACATAACTTCCTTTTATTTTCCACCATATCATAATTTGAATCTTAAGAGGAGTCTAAGCAAGCAAGGTGATCAAAAACTGAACCAAAGTAAAGATCAGCTTCCCAAACCACATTCTGTTCCAACTCCCACGCAAATGCCAACCATTAAAAGTGTGAAGAATCACACATAACAGAAAGCCACGACATTTTGTATCAAAGAATGGAAAGAGTCTTCCGTTCGCTGTGTCCGTGACCGTGAGTTCGGATATTTTGATAAGCAATCTACTACAACAGGTAACCCACAGCTATTTCCAGTGCTACCTGAAGCACACACTTAAACCGATCAAGGAAGTAACCTAAAAATGCAACCTTTAGAGCTGGGTCACAATGATTCTTCCTGTGCAATTTGTCTCTATGCGCATGAACTCATTCGTCAAAGATCATTCTGATGTAATGTCCGAGCTCATCATGCGAAAGCAATTTAAGTATTTAACGGTCAAAGTTCAATCCTTTATTAACGTTTTCCAAGTTCCAATATTCAAAGTCTCCAAAACACAGACCATCCAAGATAAAGAAAAAGACAGAAAGGACAAAAACCATTATATCAACTTCAAAGCCTTCAAACTAATCGCCACCTTCAGCTCGTCTCAACACAGCTCCACGAACACCCCTCCGCCGTCTATAGTCGCCGAAGTCTGTGATAGTCGCACGGGTTCCCCTGCCGCAGCGAGAAGTGTGAGGAGATCGTCGATTACAAAAAGCAATTGAAGGAGAAGGACAAACAACTGGGGAACTGAAGACTCAATTGATATCGAAGGAGCTTAGATCTGGAGTTGGCGAAGAGGGATCTGGAGAAGTACCGCAACTGGTGCTGCGATTTCAGATAGGAGTACCGCGACGCGATTTTAGCTTCCGAGGCGCCGGCGAAGACCCGGCAGAGGCGGGTGAAGGCTGCGAGGCCGAGTTCGTGTCCCTGTCTCCGCCGACGGTAGCGATCGGTTCCGTGCGGTGTCGGGTCCGTCGTTGAAGGAGGAGGCGGTGGGTGCTGCTGGCGGCTGACGGAACAGAGAGATCCCGCAAGTCGGCGGATAAGCAATATGAGGATTGGGAAAATCTAATTTTAATGCATAAACAATTTGACCGACTCCTAATTGGCATGGAAAACCTAGCTTTCAAACCGACGATCTCTTCCCTTAGAAATCCGGCTACATTTTCGGCGGCCAGGCGTAACCGGTACAACCGGTTTCCCATCTGCGCGTGTGTTTTTTTTTTTTAAGCATCAATGGTTGTAATGGCCTGTTGTCAATTTTAATGGCTCAGATTTGTGGAAAAACAAAAGCAAGTCACCTAACTTAAAAAAAGTACAAGGTACTGTAGGAGGTCCCTGTGTTTTATGTTCATGAAAATCTAACTACAACTAATTGCCCACTGCCAATGAAGGTTCATTCGTTTAAAGATCAGGCCACTGCACTTGTTGCAAATAGGGCTGTTATTGAGTCGAGCCGAGCCGAGCTTTGCCATAGTTCGGGCTCGGTTCGTTAATAAATTTTCAAGCTCGAGGTTGGATCATGTTCGTCACGAGCTTTAATATGAAAGTTCGAGCACGGCTCGTTTACGAAAATGGAAGTTCGAGCTCGGCTCGTCAAATAAGGTTAACGAGTCTAAAATCGAGTTTAGCTTATCAAATATTCATAATACGTCAAGATCGATCTAAAACTGGGCACAAAATTACATTCAAACCTCTAGCAAAATAAAACACAACATTTTCCCCAATTTCAATACATAAAATCCATGAATTCTAATTCCTTTCTTATGCCAAAACGTTAAACGAGCCTCTTCGCGAGCTTTCGAGCTGAACATGGTATGGCTCGAGTTCGGCTCGTTTAGTTAACGAGCTTGTTCGCGAGCCGGCTTAAATAAGACGAATCGAGTTTCGAACGAGTTCTTCTCGAGTCGGACGCCGAGCCGTTCATGAGCGGCTTGGTTCATTAACAGCCATAGTTTGCAAATGTCAAATAAATAGCAATTAGTTTCTCACCTCTAACCTCTCCAATGGAGGTTACTGACACTTGCACTTGTACGTTGGACTAATGGCTTCCACAACAAGAGGATAGATAGGTCGATAGATAGTAGCAGTAGAGTGGAGTAATGGTGAATCGGGAGTTGGGGGTTTGTCCGTACAGGAACAGCAGTGGGGATTTGGGCCTCGGTAATCGGTATAATAGGATTGTGTGAGTGAAAGAAAGAAAAGCAATCAATTTTAATTTGGGCCTCCGAAGCAAAGCAAGAGATTGATCTGGGCGGTGGACATTGATTCAGAGAGTAGTGGGCCCATGACCCAGGACTGGACTCCTGCAGGTGACGTTATCTCCAGTTTAGCATCCCTGACCTTACTTCAGCTTGCCTTCTGCAGTCTGCCCTGGTGTTCTATCCAATGTGGGAAAAAGCCTTTTGTTTTCTGCAGATGAAAATTTCAGAGACCACTGTAAAAAATTAAATTGAAAGACTTCGGTCTTCACTCCTCTCTCTCTCTCTAGGGATTTTTGGACTGTACGGGGTGAAATCATATTTTACTGAACAAGAGTATGCATGTTTATCGGCAAGCCCTACCCATTTTAGTGAGAGGTGCTTGCCCCAACCCCGTTGTGACTCGCGCTGCTAAGTTAGTCGGAGAATCTGATTAGGGTGCTTACAACACTATTTACAAAGATCGTTCTCCGCTCTTATAACAATGCTCACGATTGTCCGGCTGATTGTTGGGCGTGTGGTGAACGTTGGATGAACCCAATGACACATTTGCAAATAATAATGCCACACATTCACCCAGTAAAAATAGAACGTGCCTAAGACTTAATCGGACAGTTGAATAACTTAAGAACGTCTTTACAGATGGCGTTGTAAGTACCCGAATCACATGGGCTAATCTGGTATCACTTTCAATATTCAACCTGTTGTTTACATGGGATAGTTGATAGTACTATGCTAGCTTGCACTTCTCTTCAAAAGATTTAAAGCTTATCCTGGAGAAAATACTTATCCCCCCACTGTTTGAGAAAAAAAGAGTTCCAATTAAGTTGAGGGTTGGCCAGAAAAACAAGTAAAGGAAAGGGGCAAATGGACAAAATGGGTAAATGGGATTTGACAAGCATCTGATCTGATCTGATCTGTTCTATGCTATCAGCTATCACCTATTATTAATTGTATTAAAATAATTTTACAACAGTAATGGTAGTGGTGATGATCTGATGGGTAGCTACTAGTTTTCTCATGTGCTATCAGATTCAAAGGATTTACTCGATGTGATGTAGTGAGTGGACTTCTGTTGTGACAGGAATTTAACTTCATTTAGACACCCCAAAATAATTACATTTCTTCAGCAAACCATAAATAAATACATATATATTATAATTGGCGTACTTTCGTTTATGCTAGCAAAGAGTGAAGCATCTCACATTCTAGGTTAGTTTATCAAAGAGGAAAGAGCGTGAGAAGGCTGAAAAAGATAAACTGCAATCGCATTTCATCGATTGAATCTAGATATTGAGAGATGGATATATAACTATTAGTCGTCTTTCTATCACTTGTTCTTTTAATATCGCAATAAAAAACATTATAATTTTAGGAAAAAAGATGGAGAAAGCAGAAATGCCTCACAGTTACAAATTACCTAGAGCTCCACCTTTAATTAAAATTGATGCAATACAAAATAAGGTGTTGGTATTGTATTTAGTCATTTACTTTAGTGTACACGATATAGTAATAAGTAGGGGTAATTGATCAAAATGGTCACAGAGGTTTGATCAAGTAACAAAATGGTCACAAACGTTTGAAATGTAACAAAAAGGTCACGCAAGTATCATGTTCAAACAAAACAGTTATTCCATGTATTTTCATCCATAATTCCATCCAAAATGATCAGTTTGCTTGCTCTAAATAAGCGATAATTTCACATGTTGGTTAGGTGGTTGATAATTTGTTATCAATTTTTCATGGTCTCATCAAAATAATCGATTATTATGGATGAAAACATGGTGAAAAATAGATGAAATGACTATTTTGTTATATCATGATACGTATATGACCTTTTTGTTACCATTTTGTTACTGGTCCAAACCTATGTGGCCATTTTGATTAATTACCCATAATAAGTGCATGTAGTTTTCTTTTGTAGTTGATTGTAAAGAAGTAACGAAATGTATAGACAACATAAACTAATATTGTCAACCAGAAAAAAACTGCTTATCATTTTTTTCCCCCCAATACCAAAGACTAACTATTGTGAGTTGTGACAAAGGATACACAGACCGACATTGTCGCGCATGAATAGAGAATGTAAAATTTGGTGTCAGCAAATATTTTTGAGCAATCACAGTTATTATCTTAATTTCATGTCGCGATTCTACAAGTATTTTTTGACCTGATCTATAGCCAAGATGGGGTGAGAGTTTCTCCATACTCTATCTATTCCACTGTTTTTCAACATTCACCATTTGTGATTCAACTTCTTCTGCTATCGTTTTGAATATTCCTCATCATAAATGCAAATGAGGAAGTTTGACAAGGAAGGGAGAGAGAAGAAAGAAAGAAAAAAGTTTGGCAACCAGATTGGCAACCTAAGCTCTTAGTAAATGCCCTGATGATATCCTATCATATATCCTCCTTGCACGACAGCCACTAATTCACAACAAGGGGAATAGAATTCTCTCAATAAGCCCTTTTCCAAAAGGGGTTTTCCAATAAAGGACATTTGTGAAGAAAAGGGTCTCTAATAAAGGTTTAGTGGACTTAATTGAGTTACACTTGTCCCCCTTCAAGATGGATTAAGTGAAGTGTTTAGTGAATCAGCTGACACTCTCTTTGATCGTAATTAGGACCTTAATTAATTAACTTACATGTTCTATTCAGGCCAGGGTTGCCTTTATTCCTCTCAGGGACCCAAACCTTCGCTGCAGCCTGCTGCCGGGCCCCGGCCCCAGGCGACAATGTCCGCCAGTGCTTTTGGATGGAATGAGATCTCGCCGGAGAGCGAGCTTCAGAGTCTTTTTTTTTTATTTTTAATTTTTTTTTTATAAAAATGGTCGGGATGATTTGTCTGAGCCGTGGATGAACTCAAAAAAAGTGAAATAAAATATGTAAAATCTTTTTTGGAGAAACAAAAAAAAAAAAAAAACTACAAGTCCCACCACCGTTAGCTTTTAACGGTCGATACCGCGCATCGGAGAAAACATCCGAGACAGAGCGGAAAGAAAGAAAAGCTCAGCAGCAGAGGGCAAAAGAAAAGAGCGCGCGGTATTAGCGAGCGTTAAATCTAACGGCATTTTCATTCGCCAAGGTTTCATAAAAATTTAATAATTAATTTATATTATTATTATCATCATAATTCATAGGCATACGCAGTTGGCAATTATTACTATTCGGCATTTGCCTTGAACAGCTTGCTTGCTTGCACGGCCCACTTCCATCCAAACCTCTTTCTCTCAAACCCTCACAAGAGAGAAGAAGAAAGACAGACAGACTCCCACACATCATTGAAACAAGGAAGAAGAAAAAATAAATATAAAGCTGAAAAACATTAACGACCTGCATTCTCTCCCTTCCTCATCATCTCATATCGGACCGGAGTATCTCCCCCTTCGCTCTCTCATCCTCCGCCGGCGAAGCCACCGGTAAGCTCAAAAACTCTAACGTCTACATGTGGTGTTATTCCCTTTTCCCAATATTTCTTAGATTTGTGTAAACTATTTCCTTGGGAAGATCGACTTTCTTCGCTCGGATCCTTCCTTTCTTCCTCTCCGTCAATCCAAAGTTGTTTTTTTTTTTTTCAGTTTTTGGTTTTGGGTTCAAATGGTTTCATGACTTCCTGGAATAGTGGCCTTTTTCCCAGATAAATAGAACTCCCTGGCCGGCGACCGTATCTTCTGCATGATTTCTTAAACCGGCCGCCGGCCGGATCTACAAGTAGGGTTTCACTTTCACTACTGTAGTTCAAGCTGCGTCTCTTCATGACAACATTTTTTTTGAAGCTAATAATAGTTTACATAAAAGGAGAGAAAACAAACAAGAATTCTGAAGCTAGGTTAGCTGGTTTAAATACGAGGTTGGTTGTTTGGTTGGTTGGGTTTTTATTCGGTTGAGAGACTAGACTAGATCTCGAGCTTTCAAGGCCCCGGCATGGCTTGACTAATGACTAAGACCGAAACTTTTAGCTGCATGCGCCGGCCCGCCGGCGCGTGGGAAATAAACATAAACAATGCTCCTTCCTTAATTCTCTTTTCTTTTCTATCTAGCTTTTCTTTCTGTTGGCTTTTTTCTGTATCTTGTTTGTTTTCATGGGTTACCGTCTCTCTGGGTCTTCTCTTCTGTGTTCAACTGTGGCAAAGCAAAGCAATGGAATATGGATCTGTTCGTCTGATTTGATATTCGCTCCTGTTCACACGACTGCTGCTACTACAAATGTTTGAATGCACAGTGGAGAATATATGTGCTTATTCTATTATATCAACTCCCGATTTTTTGCTTTTCCAATTGCATGGCCAAAGTCTAATCTAGCCTCTGCTATACCTTTCTTATCAATCAGCCTCATAACAAGTTCATAGAGTACTGTTTTAGACAAAAAAAAAAAAAATGTAGCTCTCTAGCTAGCTAGAGATGTGTTCTCCTCGATCAATATTTCCTTCTCCAACTATGATTACACTGATAATGGTTCACTGCTAGCTTTTCACAGTCAAAACCCATGGAGGAGTCATCGTCGGTCCAATACTATCCTTCCTCCGGCGGCAGACGCGCCGCCGCGTTCGACACCGTCCCACCGTCCGAATTCTTCCATGACTCATCCCCTCATCATCAATACCAGACGTTCAACAATAACATGCCTCCTCCTTCCACTCTCCACAGCTACACACCTACCTTCGATTCGACGACACCCACGAATCACGCCTCATCGCCATCACTACACTACTCCAAGAATAATCCATACTCGTCGTCGTCGTCCGGTCTGATCAATGTCGCGGCGGGGGGCTATCAGGACCTCCCTCGTTACGGCATTCAAGAGAGTTGCGTGAGAGGGCTTCTCGGCGGCGAGATGGACTACGTTGGCAATGTTGGTGGTACAAATACAATGTACCACAACACGTTCCACGGTGGATACCATAATGTTGCAGCCACGGTGAGCCATCACGAGGGTTTGTCTCTGTCTCTGGCCTCGAATAACGATGTCAATGTGGCCGCACATCATTTTGGGGACGGGTACGAGCATTACTCGAGCCCGTACTTTCAATCGAAGGGTGGTAACGCGGTTGCGGCTAGTGATGACGATCGTGGGGTGAAAGTTGCTAGTGGTAGTAGAAGTTGTGACAACAAGTCCATTGTAGTTGGATGTGGTGGTGGTGGTGCTGGAGGAGGTGGAGGAGGTTCAGGGGCTGCTTCTTATGTTGTTAGGACGACAACAGCGAGCACGACCGTGGGGCCTCTTGGGCCTTTCACGGGCTACGCGACGATCTTGAAGAGCTCGAGGTTCTTGAAGCCGGCTCAGGAACTTTTGGAGGAATGGTGTGGGGTGGCGAGCTGTAGAATGGAGGTTGGTGATGTTGTCAGCAGTTTGGGTTCGGGTGGTTTGTCATCGTCTTCTACCGCGATTTGTGGCTCGAACGATGGTGGAGCTGGCAGTGCAGGTTCTCTGACGTACAGGCCGGAGTTCCATGAGGTGAAATCCAGGCTGCTTTACTTGCTTGAAGAGGTTGGTTGTTTCCAAATTTCTCTTTACATTTTGGATGCTTTAATTTGTATGCCTTGAAATGAATTCAATTCATTCCCTTTTACATTTGGAACTACAATAGAGGTCTCATTATTATTAGCATGAAACTGCACTGATCTTTACACTGTTGGTTCCATAAAGTATAGCACTACAACTAGGCTCAACTACGTAACTGGATAAACGTAAGTACGTGTTTACGACGAAACGCTAAATCAATTAAGCAACACAAAAGACTGAACTTCTTATATTTTTAGGGACTAGTCATGTCTGCACATTGAAATGAACCAATTTGGTGTTCTGGTTTCCCATTGGCTAGCCGACAAAGAAGTGGAAGCCCCCACTGTTTGCCACCTAGGTGTGGTAATGGAGATGGTCTTGTTGATAATGGAGCAATCAAATAATTTAATTGACAGACAGTGGGGTATGCAAAGGATGATAGGATCAATCTCTGGCTGTCAATTTTCCTTCACTGTCATAAGTTCCAATCCTATGAGCATCCTTTTTTTACATTGTAATGAGTCCATAATTGAGGTGAAAAGAATAGGTCCAAGTCTCTCAACTGTTCATTTCCCCCCAACTTCCAGCTACAATTGAACAGTGAAAGCTACTATTTCCCACCAAACTATATCTATTTGTAGATTATTATGGCAACACTGTTATTACTTGCCTAATTATTGCATTACCCAACAGTACTTGGATGGATGTCACTGTTCATTAATTGAATTGCTTTTTCTCTGCTGTTTCCCCCATTTGGATTTCCCAAAAAAGGTTTGCAAGAGGTACAAGCAGTACCACCAACAAATGCAGATGGTGGTTTCGTCGTTCGAGTCCGTGGCCGGCCTGAGCTCCTCGACGCCGTACGTCTCACTCGCCATCAAGACCATCACCAGGAACTTCAAGAGCATGAAGCATGTGATCTCAGACCAGCTGAAGCAGCATTCTGCAGCAACAGCAAGATCTGTGGTGGTAGGAGGAGAAGAAGAGCTGTTCAGCTCCAGCAGTACTAGCAGCACTTCAACCAGGCTGAGGGGTTACATGGGCCAAAGGCAGAGCTGTGGTGGTGGTGGTGGTGGGCCTAATTATCATCATGTGGGCTTCCATGAGCCCCAACAACACGTCTGGAGGACCCAAAGAGGCCTACCTGAGAGATCGGTGGCCATCCTTCGAGCTTGGCTCTTTGAGCATTTTCTTCACCCGTGAGTCCTTTTCTTCTTTCATTCACTTGTCCCTTCGATGAACAAACTCTGTTTCTCATGTCAGCTTTTTTTTTTTCTTCTTCTGCCTTCCCCTGTTTTGAAAGGTACCCTACTGATGCTGATAAGCACATGTTAGCCACTCAGACCGGCCTAACCCGAAATCAGGTTAAAAAGACCATCAATCAGTTTCGTTGTACACATAATTATTTGAACAATCATTAGAGATCTCCCTATGGTCAATCAATTCATGTTTTGATTGAATTGGCATATACAGTTATACTGTCTGCAGTCCAATCAGCATGATTGTGACATCGTTTTCGTTGTAATGCAGGTGTCGAATTGGTTCATCAACGCCCGGGTTCGTGTCTGGAAGCCCATGGTGGAGGAGATCCACATGCTTGAGAACAAAGGCCAAGCAGAAACCAGCCAAAGCAAGTGCAATAATGTCGATCCTGTGTCGAATTCTGCAGTAATGGGGCCGACGTCGAGTCAAGAACAAGGACATGGTCACCATCAGCAGCAGCAGAAGTTTCATAGGGAGCAATACTGGAAGCAGGAGAAGAGGTCCAGAGTGGATTTCCAAGTTCCAACAGCTGCAGCAGCCATGAATGGAAATGGTTCGCTAATGAACTTCCTTCCCTACCAGGGGAGTGAACATCAGATGGGCGGTGGGAATGGAGCCGTGTCGCTGACTTTGGGACTGAGGCATGAAGTTGTAGACAATGTGGCACACCAGCAGCAGCAGCAGTTGCAGCGACACGGAGATCAACTTAGGCGGCAGTTTGGTGGTGGTGGGATGATGCATGATTTCGTAGGCTAATTGATTGGTTCATGTGTTAATTAACTCGATTCTAATTTCGATCTGGGTTAGGAGATTGTTTGTGGGTTTTTAGTGTTTTGTGACGGACCAAATTGGATTAACAAAGGGGAAGTTTGTACATAGTTTTATTTGTGTTACCGTCGGAATCTTTTGGCCGTAGGTATATTTTCGGGTTGAATTGGTTGAATCCCATGTTGGTCTCCTAGCCATTGAAGCAACGTCCGGTTGGCGCTCAAGATGCAGGCCAAACTTTATTATTAGATTCTTTTCATTTTCCTGTTTCTCTGGTGTGAGTTTATCTTCATTTTTTAGAACAAGAATTAGAATGATAAACAAATTTCCATGCTCATCGTTGAAGAATATTTCGAAAGAAAAAAATCCTTGTTTTTTTCTCCCTTTTTATTGGATTTGTATGTTGAACTTATAATCAATGAAGATGGATGATGATTAAAAGATGCTTTGATGTTTTTGGAATAAAGTGTTTAGTTTAAGAGCTCACATGAATCACTAAAAAAAACGATGTCGATTGCACCTAAAAATTAAAAAGTTAATATCTTAATTTGTTTCGAACTTTACACAATAATTACTTCCAAATCCCTTGACACCACATCAACATGAAAAATAAAACATAAAATTTGATATAACTTATTTCTTATTATATTTTCCATGTGAAATAAAATTATTTAAGCTAGCGGGCCTTAAGGCCCCTTTACTGTCCGTCTCGCGATGGGCTTGCTCACAAATTGAATCATTATCATAGCCCATCCCAATACGGTCCTTATTTGTTCGTCCTGAATTCCTGATAAACCATACGTCAGCTTTGCTGGTAAATTTTATTTTACATGAAATTATTCGTCTGTTTCAGTTCTTTGTTACATATATGCTAAATAAGCCACCGTATAGATTAAGGTTGAGTCCAGTATACTCATCCCATACGTTTATTCTTAATATATGATACTACGACACATAATTACATATTATTAGACTATAATAATATAATAACAACATAAAAAGCACAATTACTACTACGTATATATATATATATGCACGACGACTACCACCATGCATAATGACTATACCATATTACGTACGCAGATGACGCTTGTAAAATCATGCAACGGCAGTTATTACTTAGTGAGCACCGCCATCTCCGCCGCTCTGGCCGAAGTCCTTCCTCGGTATATAGTGGTGGTTGCTCGCCGTCGTGGTGGCGACGCTGCCACCGGCCGAACTTGCTGCCTCATCCCGATTATCTTGAACTTTCCTGTCGGCGCCGCCGCCGTTGTAGTTGAGCTTGGGGTCGTCTTCAGCTGCGGAAGTGGTTCCCGCGGTTAGGATCATCCATGTCACCGCCGCCGCTACCAGAAGAAACCTAAGCTTGATCTTCACGTTCATTTTGGTGTCCATCTCTGCACACGCACAACATCAATAGACCAATGAATGAAAAATATGAGATTCAATCTTTAACTTATCGAGAGTTCTCTTGTTCGAATCCTCGGAATTCTCGACATACCAACCTTGGAAGTGAATGGATGATATGAAACTAGCAGGGAATAAGTGGATTGATTTGGTACACGAACTAAGGAGAACCTCTATGGGTGTGTATTTATAGAGAGAGAGATATTGCAATATTAGGGTGTATGGAAGTCTTAGAGATGATATATAGCAAGCTAGCTAGCTAGGGTTTATTTGGAAGGGCTAGGTTAGGTCATGGGTGAGTGAGGGGAATATGATCAAATTGGGCACCAAATGAGGCAAGATTGAGTGGTGGGGTGACAAATGTCAAAACCAAGTGATGATGGAGTACTTGAATGGAAATTAAGATCGATTTAGTGTTGATTGATTTTTTGCACTATAAATAGGGAAAATCCACATTGTGTACTAGTTGACTTTACTGTGAATATCTTTTGTCAAAAAAAAAAAAAGACTTTACTGTGAATATGCCAATCGACGAGACAGAAGGGATGGGGTGGGTGGGGGGGGGGGGGGGGGGCATTTTATGTATCCATGTCAGGTGTCGAATGCTCCTTTGTCGCAACTTTACTGAAAGTTCTGACTTCGGAGTAATAACTCGGAGAAATCATAAGGAAGTGATTAAGTACCATACATGGGTCTGTATAAGATCCAACATAACCTTCTCTCAACAACTCGAGTTATTGAGAGTTTGAGACTAACTGGTTTATGACATGGTATCAGAACTGGTTTGTCCGTGACGTCACGTGTTTCAGTCCTCACGACCTGCAATATTAACCGTTGTTTTTCAAGCACATGGTATGACGGGCCTGTGCAAACTTCAAGCCCATGAGTTGGCTTTCATTTGAGAGGTTGTATAAGGAAGTGATTAAGTACTATACATGGGTATGTATAAGATCCAACATAACAATCTTCTAACAATTCGAGTTATTGATAATAACTGGTTTGACATAATTGTATGAAGAAAAAAAAGATACAACATAGAGAGTTGACAAAAAAAAAAGGGACAATTGAAATCCGTTTCTTATTAATTATTACATCCATGGTTTAAGTTTCCTCTTCCATTTCTTGGTATCAATTATCAAAACATGTGTTCGGAGTCGGAGCTTGCGCTTCCACACGAGGGTTGCTTAATTGGGCCTTTGGCTGGGCAATGGGCCTTGCAGGGATTGAACTCTGAAAGGCCTTTATCGGCTTGGTTTGGTAGACTCAAGCTTGAAAACCTTGGGCTTCTTTCTGTGGATTCTGTACAAGAGTAGAAATCCAGCCCCAACTTATTCCATTCAGAGCAGAGGCCAGAGGGGGTGAAGTTGTACATATTTGGTTTGGAATTGGGATGAGGGATTCTGGTTAAATTTCTTTCTGTTGGATTTCACACAAAATCCTTCCTTTGTGAAGTGGACAAATAGGTAGAATTTGAACCCTGACGAATTTCGAAAACCTTCACGTGAAGTATTACAAAAATAATAATTGACACCCAACTATTTTGAAATCCACTATTTTTCTTCTTCTTTTCTTTCAAACTTTATCCTCTCACTGGATCAACACTTCTGTCTCCTCCCCGTCTTCATTATTCATAATCTCTCGTCTTCGACGACAGTAAAGAATGACTGGGACGGTAATTTATGGAATTGTTTTCGATCTTATTCTCAAACCCGGAACTCGAATCTACAAGTGTTGGATGATTTATGGGTTGGACGATTTTCAGTCGTCACCTTGCTTGGCTTCTCCTCTCAACATTTTACAATTTACAGGTTAGTGCGGGATTGACAACGAAGAGTGACGAAGGAGGCAAATCGAGGGGCATAGTCCCATTGAAGACAAGAAAGGGCAAAATTGAATTTAGGGTGTTTTTTATTGAAAACCTTGATCCATAAATATAGAAAGGGTTTGACTTCAATTTATCAGAGTTTTCAAACCTTTCATTTTTACATTCCGTCATCCAAACAATCTCGTGATATATTTAGGTTAAAATAGTATATATTCAAGTTTCAACTTACATAACCCAAAGCCTTGCAAAGTTCTTCTATAACCATAGCGGTGACAATCTAGATATATATAGTGATTGAATTAATCTCCAATTCATCTCCAACAATATATGTGGATCCATATTATATACGATACAAGTATTATATACAACTACTTATTATATGTGTAATATTACACATATATAAAGCCATACAAGAAGGCCATGCACACATACAGAGCATGGAAAGTTGGAAACATTAATTCCTTATTAGTACGCAAGTAGAATTAAGGCTAGCTCTTCCTTCAATAACTTATGGTAATTGATCGGTCATTCGGTCACAAACAAACAATTAACCACTTCCGCCGCCACCATCGCCGCCGTAGTTGTTGAAATCCTGCCGGGGTATGTAGTGGTGATTGTTCACCGTGCTTGGCCCACGGTTGGCAGCACCGCCACCGTTGTTGTGATTCGTATTATTATTGTTATCTTTATTACTGTAGTTCACATCACTCTTCCCGCCATTACTATTCCCCTGACGGTCATCATCAACCTGGAGCTGTTGTCTATGTATCAGCTCGTAGCTCTTCTCTCCACCGCCAGCAACCGCTAGACGTTCTTGCCCCGCTTCGAGCTTCCTATTGCCGACCAAGACTTTCCTCGACGCTTCCAAGCCGCTGCAGCTGATCGTCAGCATGAACAAAAGCAAAGCAACAGCCGCCAGATTTCGCATCATCATCATCGCTAGTTATATATGGATCAATCTCTCCCTGTTATAATATACAGTCGAAGTATATAAGCATGCATTTACGTAGAGCAAGTTTCAACAAAGAGCATATAACATAAGCATGCATGTATGAAACTAACATACCCAGCTGGTAGAAGGAAGAGTAGATGTGCTGTAATCTTTCCCCCCCCCCTGTGTTTAGATGTAAGAGAAGAGCTAAGTATATATAGAAAGCCGAAAGGCTGCAGGCTCCACATTGTTATACATTCTGATAAATATCAGAATATATTTATTTGATTTGAGAGGAATAGGATCTCCACCATAACACTCTATAATGGAGCATAAACATATGAATTAGTGGCTGGAATTAAGCTGGTCCGCCATAATTAACTCTTGTGGGCTAAGGCTACCAACTGGGGTGCATGTTTCAGATAGATATATTCATTACGATCACTGAGTAGTGAAACAAAAGTCAACCCTCCACGAAATGGAGAATTTCCACTATATATATATATATATGGTGGCTACTTCAGCGCACTCACTTTTTTGGGTGCACTCAGTGCACCCAACTCTAAAAGTGTCCATAATACATCAAATTTTGAACTTTAATTACTACTGTCAATCTAATATGATGATATGACATAGAATCATAACAAATCAATCTATTACCCTAACCCTTTAACCTTCAATTTTGAATCCCAACCCAAAATCCCAAATTGTAAACCTAAACCCTAACCCTAAATCCCCAAATTCTAAATCCTTCGAATTAAAGTAAATTTTGAATGATTTTTTTTCAAATTCATGTGCTTCTGGTTCATAAAATCATAAGCAACAATTGATACCGTTTTGACATGAATCGCATGCTCATAATGACGATTATGAGGCGGGTGCACTGAGTGCACCCAAAAAAATAGGTGCACCGAATACACCATCATATATATATATATATATATGTGTGTTGCCTTCTGATGTCAAAATGGCCCATAGTACATAGATAGATAGATAGAGGGGCAAAAGTGCTGGGGAGTTAATAAATGAAATTGTTTAGGAGTTGATAATAATCCGTTGTGTTGCTATATACTAGTGTGTAAGGTTGGTTGAGATTGTGGCCAAAAGTTATATACTAGTTATAGAAATCGATCTAAAGGATTTGGGTGCATGGCGGTGTACTATTTTAAACCATAAATGGAAGCAACTTATTATAGCAATATCTCAAAGTTGAATGTCAGAAGGAGAAATCGATAACGTAAGAAAATAAAAGACACATATTGTTCATTAATACGATGCGTACAATCAATCAACGGAAAGAAGATACCAGTTTCATTAAATTTGACGAGATACAAATTATTACAAAAGTTTAAAAAGTATGTATAACACATTTCCACATGTTCCAACCCTATTCGAATCTGGAAAGAAAATGTTATAGGCGAGCGATAACCGATAACTTCCGGTTGATCAGAACAGATAATCCGACTTCAAATCGTAGCAACACTGAATTTAAAGCGTGCAATCATCTATAGCATGTAGAGATCATTCCGTTGTGAAATTTTTTAATTATTCTGAAATTTATTTTATTTTTAGATGAATTTTTTAAAAATATTTAGATGGTGGAAATTAAATAAACAAACCATAGGTTTTGATACTATTTTTTTTAAAAATACTGTTTCAAATCATTTGAATTGTTGAAAGAGAAGTTACAATTGCATAAGTGACTTTAATAATCACAAAAAGAATGTTCAAGTGATTTAAAATGGAAGATAGGAAATAACACCGAAAGAGAAAGGCAGAGTTAGCTTGGCCGTCGGAATTTTGTCAAAAAAAAAAAAAAATCACTAAAATCAATCACACCCATCCTTTACCTCCCACCATCCGATGCTTGGGCTTAAGCTAGATGAGTGTTTCGGAGGCCCAATTACAATTATACGCTTCTTGGGCCTGATATCTTTTCGTAGTGTGTGCCAAAGGAGAAGTCCTTCATGTAGAAACAGTCCATTCTTGTAGAAAGCATTAACTGGAGTTTGAATTCCAGATTTTTTCGCAACTTCAAGTCTCCATTGTCGTGCTTTGAATTTCACTGCAAGCTCTGAAACAACCGTCTCATGCATGCATGTTCTACGTAAGAGGCTGCAACATAACTCTCGATGAGGATGAGGATGACGATATAGCTTTTACCACGAATTTAACGTTCCAACTTATTCAGAAAACGTACAGGTCACTATTTTAACGTTCAAAATCCAGAAATCTCACCGGAAGGCGCCATTTTTCTTCGACCCTGACGACGATGGTGAGGGTATAGCCGTACCAGTCACCTTCCAGAAAGGCTGCAAGCCAAATTGCCAATCACTGCCTATTCTTTTGTATATGTTCTACTTATACCAGGGGCGGATACATGGGCCTCTAGGGTTGTCCCGGTACACCTCTAAAATTTGGGGAAATGATTATCCAACCTCCGGTAGTAGTTTCGTATGGATATACAAAATATAATTGGTAATCCGGGACACCCTAACATTTGAAAAAATGATTATCCTACCCTCGATAATAGTTTGCTTATGATTAACAAAATATAAGTGGTAGTCCGTGTTATTCCAACCTAGGACACTACTATTATCAAACATATTTTAATTATGTTGCTACTCATTTGTTATTCTATTTTAAACATCATGCAACAGTAAAACGCTATTTCTTTATCCCCAACTATTTTCAATACCTAATAATTAAACTACGTACACACTACCCTTAATTTTGAATTAATTTTATGGTTATACGGCAAGTGTTGAAAGAGTCTTTTCTACTTTGAGCTACATTAAGAACAATGTTAGAAATTGAATATGTGATAAGTTCGTGAAGTATTGTCTAGTAGGATAAGTAGATTTTTTTAACAGTGCAGACACGGAGTTTATTTATATTATTTTTTCAAAATATGAATTTTAATTTATTATTTAATAAAAAATTTATACAAATTATACAAGTACGATATTTTTAATATACGAATTATTTAATTTATTATATAATTAAATTTAATTTTTGAAGAGGACACCCCTGTGAAAATTTTCTGAATCCGCCACTGACTTATACCACTTGCCACAAGTTTTCAGCAGTACTGCAAGTGTTACGCTCTGATTGGCAACGAGGGGCGCATATTTGAGGAGGGTGCAAATTGAGGTGCAAATGGTTGGGGAGCAAATTATAGGAGGGTGCAAATTGGAGCGTAAATTCATGTTTGGAAGAAAAAGTAAGGGGGTGTAAATAAGAATGTGGGATATATTATATTAATTATAATATTCTGTTAAAAATTAATTTTAATATTTTAAAAACTAAATTCATTTTCTTTATAATTTTCCTTTTCCCTCGCGTGGTTGCCAGCCCATCATACCTTCTCTCTCACTTTCTCTCCCCATATCCCACTTTCACCTTCATTCTCGATCTCCCCTTCCTCAAAACAAAAACTGCATTTCTTCCATCGATTTCCAGTTTTGAAAATCTCCGCCAATTTCCCATCGTCGATCTCTTTTCAAAAATGCAGAGAAGCGTGAAGCAGAGAAGGCCCCTTCATCTCTTCCATCGATTTCCAGTTCTGAAAATCGTCGCCGTTTTAAAAGCACAGTTAAGAATTTCCGCTGTCGTTCTGAACCCATGGGGCTCTCAGAGCTCAAATCGGAGATATGAAATCGCCGCCACCGTCGTTCTCAAACCTGAGGGCGTTCAGCGCTCAGAGCGTAGATCTAAAATCGACACCTTCGTCAAGGTCGGAGAAGCGACGGAGAACTAAGGCAGCGAGACTGAGCAGGGAGAACCTCCGGCGACTACTCGGCTGGAGGAAAAAGGGTTCTTGCATGTCTTCATCTGATTTTTTCTCTTAAATTGTGGGTAGATTAATTTTTTTAATTTTCAGTTCAAATCGACTGGGTAATTTGGATTCTTATCAAAGGTGGAAATCGAAAATGAGAACTAGGGTTATCGTCGGAGTGGCTATCGGGACGGCGGGATTGGGTTTCTTGTTGGAGATGGAAATCGGAGGGTCTTCTCGTTTGCTTGAAAAGAAGAAAATAAAAAGGAAAAAATGAGTTGCTCGTTACTTCTTGCACCCCGATTTGGGGTGAGTTGGAACAGTGCTTTTGCACCCAGTTTACAAACCTCTGCTTCTATTCAAAATCATCCAAACGGGTGCTTCTTCCTCGATAAAACCATTTGCACCCAAAATTTGCTCCCCAGCCTTTGCTCCTCTTCCCAAACGGAGCGTAAAAGAGCGTATCTTACATGCACAAATATAAAAACTAAGTGAAGAACAAACTTCAAAGTTAGATGAGTGGTGGAGTTATGCATGATTTCTTGATAGGATATGTTATGCGTGATATTTATACAATTGTAATAATTAATATATTGTTGATGTGATTTGAATCGGATTATTAGCCGCTAGGACTAGATTAGTCGGTGGTCTGTAACCGTTTTCTTTGCTAGATTGGATTAGGTTTAGACCCACATGGAGAAGTACTATAAATACTTCCCATACTTCTCTGTAAGCTGTAATCTTCTCGATATAGTGAAACTGGCTCTCTCTCGCTCGTGGACGTAGCTAACACACATGGTGTTAGAGAACCACGTAAATTGTGTGTCGTGTTTTCGATTCTTGCTTTCGTATTCTTGTTTTGTCGATTCCAGAGATTTCCCAATCCGTAGCAGCGCGTTTATAATATATATATATAATCCGGAACACATGTTATAGGTAATCGTAAGATATTATTTAAATGAATTCATCTGGTTGATTATTATTTTGTAAGTCGAATTCACCTTGGACGTCACGACATCCTGACCACACCAACATTCATTGATCGAAGAAGCATATGACACGTAAGCAATGGCACGCGCGAGTACCAAAAATACGTACATCACGAGATCTGTCGCGATCTATTTTTTTATGCTACTAGATACTTCCTTTTTCATTTTAGGCAAAATACACTTGTATAGTCAAAACTTTTGCGTTTTTGTCAATAATAGCCAAATTTGAAGAAATACCACTTATAGCCACTTCCGTTCAATACTTTAACAGTGTCATCTAACATGCTGACTGGACTAACGAAAATGCTAATTTGGCGACGTTTCATCACCAGCAATGCCATGTAGATTAATAAAAAAATAAATGAAAATAAAATTTAATGAAAATAAAAAATAAATTAATGAAAATGAAAATAATTAAAAGGAAACCAATTTAATAAAAAGACTCTCAATCCCTTGACCTACCCTCTCTGCCGTCCCCATTCTCCACTGCCCATCATCTTCCAAAACCTACCCAGACTCCCCAATCCCACCACCTACTCAGACTCTTCTTCTCTCTTTCAAATCCCTTCACCTACCCTCTCCGCAAGACCCTTCTTCTCACCCCACTGAGCATGGCGCCACCTCTAAATAAATCCCCACCGAAAACTCTCCACCTCGCAATTGCTCTCTATGTCGACGAGGCTCGAAGACCCATCAGAGGATTCCCCGCGCCGTGCGTCTCCCCTGCCATGAAGGGATTGAAGAAGACGCAAGAGGTGGAGAGGTTGAAGAATCCATGGAGGCACCGGAAAAGTGCATTTAACTTTGGGCGCCGAACGAGTAGACACAACTTCACCGCCGCAGATTGCTTCATGGCCAGCAAACGCAGATCTTGACTGTCTGCTCTCCAACTTCTCCTCTGTTGCCTTCCGGGTTGTTCATCGTCGAATCTCGTCAATTTGGGTCAAATCTCAAACCCAGAAGGAAGGATTTGGCCATAATAAGAATTCGCCTCATCTCGAATTGGAGCAAGCGCATCACCCGGGAAGAGGAATGATGGTTGGTTGCTGAGAAACTCATTTCGGGAGCAGATCTAAAATGGTGGATGTGAGCAGATCGGTGAGATAGAGAGAGCAATGTTTATGTATATTTTATCCTTTTTTTTCAATTAGTGGGAAATAAACGGTTGGAGAAATATGTGGGTGTGGAAAATAAATTAATTTTTTTATTAATTGATGATGTGCATATATTAAATAATTTTAATATATGGCGTGTCATTTTTGGCTTATTTGGCGCTGACATGTCCGTTGAGTTGGTGCCTAGTCAGCAAACTGTCAAAGAAGTTGACGGTGTTATTAACACCGTTAAATTATCTAACGGAAATGACTATATTTGTCCTACAAGAAGTTTAAAAGCTGGCTATAAATGATATTTCTCCAAATTTGACTATTATTGGCACAAGCGCGATAGTTTTGACTATATAAGTGTATTTTGCCTTCATTTTATGTATGTTTCCTAGAAACAATGAGGCAAAGACAAACTAATGGCTTGTCGATTTGAGTGATTACTCCAAAAATCATTATTAATTAAGAAGATTTGATTTCATGTTTATGGGTAGCCAGCCGACGTTCTAGACGATCCAAACGAAACGAAACTCATCAACTTCCACTTTGACTTGTGGGTTTTTCTCCATCAATCTTCAATATTTGAAAGGAGTCGGTCAGACTATGTATATTTTAATGATCATTTTGCGATCTTCTCAGGTCATCTGAAACCTTATAATGAAGCTCTGCTCAAATTTCCAATATTTCACCATTAAACAAAGTTGTAACTATATTCCACTTTATCAGCCATAACAATGGGAAATCACTTTGATGCACCCATATATAGAAGCACGAAAATTACTTTTCACAACTTGACCAGAAGAAAATGGAGCAGTTTCTTGAAGAGAAAGAGAAAAGAGATCGAAGATGGAAAGTTTGGTGGCCATACGTAATATTTTAAGCTTTAACAATTCCAGCAATAACGTCAAGATCGAGTTACATGATGGAAAATTAGGAAGAAATTAAGGTAACATGATAATTAGTCTCCCACCAAAGCTTATTCTAATAAGCTAAGCTATAGTTGGTAATTAATCTACCATTAATGGTAGAATTAGGTGAACTCGGACGCGTACGACCTAGCTAAGATCAAGAAATTTATCATCCCCATGATTCCAATTCTTTCTAGCTTGTCAATTAATCCTCGAGCACTTTAGAATTCGATCGTTCTTGTATTCGGGGTTGTCTAAATGACGTTTTTGCCTTATTTATTAAGTATTTGTCCGATTTTTGTATAAGTGTACTCAGGGGCGGACCCAGGGGGTTTTAGGGGTGTCCCCGGACACCCCTAAATATCGGGAAAATGATTATCCAACCCCCGGTGGTAATTTACGTATAGACAAAAAAATATAATTGATAGTGAGGGACACCCCTGAAATTTCAAAAATGATTATCCTACTGTCATTTGTGTATAAAAATATAAATGGTAGGTTGGGTAATTTAAATCTAGAACACTATTATTATTATTAATAAACTTAATTTCCGTTGAGCTACAACTCATTTGGTGTTCGATTTTGAACAATGTGTAATAGTAAAAAGTCATTCCCTATCTCTAATTATTTCAATCTAAACTAATTTCAATCTGCCCTTAATTTGTATTGATTTTATGATTGTACGGCAAGTGTTGAAATGTCTTTCAGCTTTGGGTTACATCAAGAACAAGTTTACAAATTGAATATGCGATAAGTTCCCGAATGATTGTCTAGTAGGGTGTATAGAGATTTTTTTTAACACTATAAACACCAAGTGTATTCTACAATTATTTTTGAATATGAAAACACACCATGGACTTTTTTAACATGTACGAGTAAGCTATTTTCATATTTACGATTTTATATTTATTAATTATAATTATTTATTTTTAATTTATTTTTTAAAAGAGGACACCCCTATGGAAAATTTCTGGGTCCGCCACTGAGTGTACTACAACACGTGGTCAGCGTGCCATGAATCAGCAATTCGCCTCGGTAACTCTAGTGTTTGATCGGAAGAGATCCTGGTATGGATCTCATATCATATTGCTTTACATGCTCCTTCCGAATGAAAGCCGGCCAACCCATAAATTTCGAAGTTTGTAAAGACACATCGTAGGTGTGAGAATTCATACATGACAACTCTCAACTAAAGTCTTTGAGTACATGTCATTAACAAATCAACTCGATACGATTACACCTAGCGTAATACGATTCAAGATTGTAGATGGATTTATGTGTACAAACGGCCAAGTCCAAGTTAAGGGGTTAGTTTGGGTTTGGTAGAAGAAATAGATGGATGAATGAATGAAGGAAAGAAAAGGAAGGAATACCAACTTGTTAAAAAAGAAACAGAAAACCGCATTTGTGTAATGAAAAGGATGGATGATACGTCAACCGGCGTACCATTAATTCAAAAAGTTGATCACCACCGAACACACACACACAATTAGTCCTAATTAATTATGGTATGAGCGATATTCTGCGAAATTGTCAAACTATAAATTTTCAACATTCGTTCTCCTAATCATGTAATGAGGCTGCCAGCCATGACTTAATTCCTCAATTATTCAAAGTAGTAATTATAACTCTGCCGAAACAATTTTACTAACCCCAATCTGGTGTAAGCCCGGTCAAACACAAAGAAAAGTGACAAAACGGCAATGAAAATCTGAGTTTAATTAATAGAAACTTTGCATTAATTACCACTTTGATTAGATTAGATTAGAGTGCAAGGCTAATTGTAGGCATTAGCTTGGAGGTTTCCTGTGTGAAAGACATTTGTCACGATGTGTTCGTTTCCATCGTTGTTACAAAGCTAATTCGTCAACTGCCCCCACTAAATCTTTGCATCAAACTCAACTAATTGTAACTTCAGATATTTAGCACGTCATTACAGACGTATGTGTTTCGGGTTAACTGAAGACTGAAGAGGAATTTTCAGGCTGTAGTACGATGATCGGATTCCGGCAACCAGAGGGTAAATTTGGGCGATTGGTCCCTGAGTACCACCGGTTATTTTAAAGGTATAAAATCTAAACAAAAAACCCCCTAATCAGTAGCAAAGAGTTATGAATCAATACTATTAAAACTCAATGTTAGAAATTGCAGAATTTATATACCATAAAGAGCTTGCCCGGATCATTAGAGAAGACATCATTGGAGTTAGCTTTCCCCGATGGGCTGTTAGGGAGGAGTAACTTTTGGCCTGCTGGCTCCGTCTTTTTTCGACGGTTGAGTTTGTTTTTTGTCTCCTGCTTGCGAGCGGATGTTGAGTTTTAGCTGGTAGCTGGGCGTTTGCCTGTTGTTTGCTCCTGGTAGAGCTGTTCCTTGGCTCTTACCTCCCTTTTATAAAAAAAAAAAAAAAATTTGAAAACGCATACCAGTTGTAATCAACAACAATAACTAACATTTTTTTTTTTATAATCAACAACGATGGATATCCAATGCAACAACAATTAATACTAGGAACTAATGAATGCATACCTGTAACAAGTTGATGTACAATAGAAATTTGAGCAATCATATATACTCGTAAAACATTAATACCATAAATCGTCCAATCCACCTTAGATATATTCTGACGAACAACCGAATGCCAATGACAAGGTAGTAGAAGCTCTTACAAGAAAAAGTTCTCAAATATATTCTACGTAAATCGTAGTCAAAATTGTATTTTAAAAATACCTTCAGGTCACCAAAACGCTTCCACGTAAAATTGCGTTTTTCACTTATAAGTGTAGTCAAAATCTACGTTTTAAAACCTAAAAGCTTACGTATTGGCCTTTTTACATATTCATCCACATTATATTTCTAACTACCGGCTTTCCAACGTGACACTTTCCTTATTATAATTTGCAACATGCTACATCTTATCATTATATATTTAGTTATCAACCGGCATTTGCAACACTTGCAAGTTGCAATTATATATATCGTTAGAGATTTAGAGTAATAAAACCCAACTTATTAATTTACATTTGTTTTATGTTCTCGTAAGTATCAAACATGAAATAGTATAGTATTGAAACCGAGGAAAGGAAAGGAACCCTCTTGTCTCTCTTCTCGCCCAGTCAACATTACGTACATTTCTTCCTTTCCCCGTTTCACATTCAAACTTTTCCCCACGTACGTCATTTTACATATATAATTCCCTGTCTCCATTCCCCTTCTCTATATAAACCATCCAATTAAGCTCCCCAGTCCCCAACCACCACCCATCAATATACGTTGATCTTCTTCAACAAGTCCAAATCAAACTTCAATTCAATTCAACTTTCTCTGTTTCTCTTTCAGAAGCTTTTCGATCATAGCTCTAGCTTCCTCCAGCATGGCCAGAAAGCTTCTTATGCTTCAACACTCCTTGATCGCCTTCTCCTTCCTGGCTCTCTTTCTGGCCGCCGTCCCGCTTGCCTCCGCAGCTACTGAAGTTGGTAAGCAAAGCCGCCGTCGGCCGACATTTAATTTATCTCATTGGCTGTCGGAGTATCAATAGGTTAGCCCATTTGGTGGCTAGAAAGACCCTTGCTTTGTACCCGACTGCATGTCGATTTTTTGATTTACAGGCCTGGCTGATTTCCGGGATTTAATATCTTTTTCTCCAATCAATATACCTGTTTACCTTATGTAAGAAAAAAAAATCCTTTACTTCTTTTGTTTTTGTAACTTTGGTTGCAATGTTCTTCAGAGGATGAGAGGGAGTTTACGTACATGCCGGACGGGGAGAACGGGCCGAACCGATGGGGTGAGATTCATCCAGACTGGCACAGTTGCAACAGCGGGAAGTTGCAGTCTCCCATTGATATGCTGGACGAGAGAGTTGACGTCGTCTCTCATTTGGGGAGGCTTAACAGAAGCTACAAGGCGGCCAATGCCACTCTCGTGAACAGAGGCCACGACATGATGGTAATTATTCGTACTTGACCTAAATTGATTTGAAAACGATATCGATCGGTACTGTTCATAATAAAAAAAAATCTATGGTGTCATATCGAAAATCAATTCAGGTCAGTACGTAGGTATATATACTCCGATCATTGGAAGAAAAAAAACTCGATTACATATCTAATTGTACTGTTCAAGATAATTAAATTCCTAAGTCAATATGTGAGTTGATGTGATTGATGAGAGTGAATAAATATGGTGCATCAATGTAGTCAAAATCGCGCTTTAAAACTTAAAAGCTTACGATTTTACGTTTCCAGTTCACTAAAATGCTTATACCCAAAAACTTAGTTTTTACAACTTACGTAGTTAAAAACTCCGCTTTAAAACTTAAAAAACTTACGATTTTACGCTTCTAGATCACCAAAACGTTTCTACGTAGAAACTCGCTTTTGACTACATTGGGTGCATGCAGATGAGGTGGGAAGGTGGAGCGGGAAGCATTCGAGTAAATGGAACTGAATACACTCTCGAGCAATGCCATTGGCACACTCCTTCCGAGCACACCATCAACGGCAAGAGATATGCCATGGAGGCTCACATGGTTCATGAAAGTGCCGATGGCAAAATTGTTGTCGTTGGCATTCTATACACAATAGGAAGGCCCGACTCATTCCTTCAATCGGTAACTCGCACTAAACCCTATTCATTAACTAAAGTTATTTTCCTTTCTTTAATTTCTTTCCAGCTTAATTTCATGTGAATTTCTCTGATATATTTGGGTTGAGCTTAAAATGATTGGATCAGATACAACATCATTTGGAGGATGTAGCCGGGACTAAGGAAGACGAGACGACGGTGGGGGTAGTGGATCCGAGAGACATCAAGATCGGCAGCAGAAAGTACTATCGATACATTGGCTCGCTTACTATCCCTCCTTGCACCGAAAACGTTACGTGGAGTATTGTTAAAAAGGTAATTACTTTGCGATAGTTAGGTAAAACATATTACATATATATGATTAATATTTAATGTTTTTTTTTCTGCACGAGGTATAACATTACATGTATTGTAATCCTTGACAGGTTAGAACCGTCTCTAGAGAACAATTGAGGTTGCTTCGCGTGGCTGTTCATGATGTGAGTTTCTTTGACCCTGCACAGGTTTTTTTTTTTTTTTTATCAAAATGATCTTTTACAAACAATCTGAATTTTTCAATTTTTGGGTATTGCAGGATTCAAACTCAAACGCTAGACCATTGCAGCCTAAGTTTGGAAGGAAAGTGAATCTCTTTAGACCAGAAGAGGGCAAAGATGACTAAATGGTTCACTAGCACAAGGATATGTCGTTAAATGGGGGTGTGTTAAGTATTCATTTTTTGAATTTTGATGATTAATTGAGGCATATTTTTACACTTTTTTTTATTATCAAGTTATCAGTATTGTATACCAGGCATGTTTTTAATATTTGTACTTTGTTACATAAAGAAATAAATCAAATAATGAACTATTCATTGTTGGAATAAAAGCAAATATTATAGAATAAAGCGATCTATGTTAGAGCCTTATAGGCATTTGTACTGATAACAAGCTCCTTTAATTATAATGTTATATCATAACGTGACCAAAAAAGTTACTCGCTAATCAATATTTTTACTTCAATACATTTTTAATTTATATATTTCACCAATTATATAATAATTAAGGAGAGATCGATAACTTAACATGATCATCAATTGATGGAATGGATGAGATTGCACGATTATATTAATAGTATACTTGAACATAAATAAGTGCACGTAACACATAAAAAGAATTATACGAATGAATTATAAAAATTATGGGTGGTTAGTTGGGCTTGGTCTAATCCCTCAACTTAAAATGCCATAATGGGCCGCGAGCCTGGACCCAAGATCCTCCACCCTATCAAATACGCACGAGTTGTTCCCGGCCCAAAATACCATCCCGGCCCACATCAAAGTTAGACGACAACCGTATTCATTCCCTCTTTTATTTTTTTTTTATTCTTTTCCCCCGCGAATATTTGATTAATCCGCCTCCCCGACGGAAACCGACTAGGGGTGGCAATGGGTCCGGTTGGGTTGGGTTTTGCCAAACCCAAACCCATGGGTTTATCCATGAAAAAAATCCGGGGTAAAACCCATTGGGTTTGAAAAACTCAAACGCAACCCAACCCGCTAGGTATCCGCGGGTTCATGGGTACCCACGGGTTTTTGTCGTAAAAAATTACAATAACAAGTTCCTATCAAAATTAAAATCAAATATCAATCTCTCAATACAAATTATTCATATATAAACACCATTCTAGAAATTCAAGCAAATCACAAATTAACTATACAAATTGTTCAACACCAATCTAGAAAACTCAAGAAAATTGAAGCAAATCATAAATTATCCATAAATAACATGATTAATTGAAAACTTCTTCCTTTCAATTAAGTTTCTTCACTCTCCACTCGATAACATCAACTTCGTTCTACACAATTAGAAAGAAAAACTAGACATGTCTACACAGACATAAATAATATTAGTTGTTTAGAATATTAAATATACCGAGAAAATTAATTATATGAGTGTGGACGGGTACCCATGGGTCGGGTTTACCTAAACCCAAACCCAACCCGATGAATAGTGAACGGATTTAAACCCAAACCCGACCCAAAACCCGTCAACACGGATTTTACCCGCGTTGATCGAATTGGGTTGGGTGGGTACCCGTGGGTTCGAATTTTGTTGTCATCCCTAAAACCGACCTCTCTCGGGATCTCCCTATCTAGTTTTCGATTTTCCTCATTCCATATCGTAAAATATATACATTATTCAATCATTACATAGCGAGAGTTGCTCTGAACTTTGGAAATTTCAGCGTAATAATTTTTACCAAAAAAGAGCAGAGGATGGGCGCAGGGTTTTCGTTCGGTCCCTTTTCCGACGAAGAGGAGGCCAAAAAATTTGTAGCTTGTTCGCAAGTGATTGCATCAGTAACAGGCAAGTACGGAGAGAACTTATTTGATACGGCGAGGAACACCAAGGAGTTGGGATGAAGCCTTCCAGCGATTCTCCAGGATTGCGAAGAAGAGGGACAACATTATCCGCGCCCAAAGGATGCTTCACGAGTTCATGGAACACCAGCTTCTCTTCAGGGGAATCAACTTCGATCCTGTCTTCACTGCTTTTGCTCTTTGTCCCGTCGCCGCCGCCGTCGCTATAGCCGTCGGCCAAACCTGCACCGCCCCGCTCTCCCGCATCGCTATTCTCTCTCAGGTAACCGTGATCAGTTTGCCTCGACTTGAAGAAAGATTATCTATAGTTTGACCGGAAGTCCCCGCATACACATCGTATTAGTAAACTATATGCTTTGGGATTGTCGATTTTTTTTAATCCGTGACATAATAATGTTTTGAATTTATAATTACCCTATAGGTCGAAGGAGGGAGGAGGAGGAGGAGAAGCATATCGGAGCAGGCTGCTCGGATTGTTGAAGAACAAGGTGGTGTTGGAGGGTACGAAGGGCTTTGGAGGGGGAATTGGGTCTCGATTGCTCATCAGCTCACTTTCTTCGGGATCAACTTGTTGGCCTATCAAAATTTCAGGACTCTACTCATGGTGATCCTTCTTCTTACTTATTATTACTTCCGTCGTGAACTAGTTGGTCTCAATAATTCCAGTTGTTGGAGAGAGGTTCAAATAAGTATATCTTATCATATACTTTAAGACAGTACGATTGATATTGAGGGTCGCGAAGATTTTAACATGTAACCTTATGAACAAATCAACCCTAGTATCATGTCATAAACCGACGTTAGGGTTCTAATTACACGAGAGCCTGATCAAAAGGTCTTCTACGAGAATGTTGATCACAATCTCATATTTAAAACTATGCAAATTTCAAAATTATACGAGCGACTGAGTTCAAGAGAGCATGCATGTATGTTAGTATGCGATATACGATCCAGACTGCGATTTAATTTTGCATGCATGCACGCAGACGCAGTCAAGTGTGCCAATGGGACTTGGCACAGTAGCTTTGGTGAGCGGGGGACTGGCTGCTGCAACAGCTACGGCTATTTCGCATCCTCTGGATACCTTGACAGCACGCATCGCAGTACAGGTATGTATATAACACTGCATGCCTCTGGACACGAAACGAGTTTCGTTTTATGGTGGCTGGTAGTAATATGCTTTACGAGTTAATTATTGGCGCTAATTATGTTTGTGGAATATGAATGCAGACGAGTAGGAATTAGGAGGGAGCATGGCGTACCTTCTGCAATATTTGCAAAGAAGATGGCGTTGGGTCAATTTATGCTGGAGTTTCAGCATCATTACTGGTCAGTAATATTATCTACACAAACACTACAACTAAGTTATCATTGGTCGACAATGAGCTAGCCGCTAGGCATACGTTGAGGCTCTGCCTTACTGTGTAGATCATCTAAGCGTTTAAAGTTAAAAATAGGAATTTTCTGTAGTTGACGATGCGAAATCGTTGCAATTCCTGAGTTATGAGTCTTTGTATTATTGACCTAGCTAGAATTGCAATTCCAAATTGAGAAAAGAGGAGTGAAAGATGTGTAAAATATAGGACAATGGAGATGACATTGTTTTGGGAAGATTAGCTACATTTTTTTTATTCTTGGTTTGTCAATGTGCTTAAGTGTGCCTTAATTCGATTAATCACGCATTACGCCAATAAATCATGTTCACTTTCACATTGGATTCGTCTATACGTAATGAAAGCATAACTGTCTGCCTAGCGCTAAACAAGACATTTTTGTTACTACCTAGTGCCTAAACGTACGCAGAATTACGCCTTTTTTGAACCCAGCCACACAGTCGAGCTCTTTAGATTATGTTAATTGATTGGGTTTTTTCTATCACGTTTCAGGGCATCGTTCCGTCCATGGCAATCAGTCTCGCTGTATATGACCGTCTCTCAATGAGTTTGAGCAAACTAAGGTATCACCTTCCAACAACAACGAACAAATTGTGCTTTTCCTTCTTTTCATGTCAGTGACTTGTATCGTATAATAAGTCCGCTGCTACCGGGCATTGAATTGGCCGAAGAAAGATAAAGTCATGCTTAGATTCACTCTGTATACGCTCCAAAGCCAAGCTTTACGAAAGATTCGGAATTGTCTTTCATTTCAAGGCATAGTTTAATCATGATCTTCATCTAATATTGCAGTGACTCTCCATTCACGATCGCCCTTGTTTGCGGTGGCATTGCTGGCCTTGCTGCCACAGCAGGTGAAAAGAAAGCTACTAATTCAGAATTCTTATCGTTATATACACATAAATCAATCAAACTAACTGCTTATTGTATTTTTCTTAACAGCAACATTTCCGATCAACGTTGTGCAAAGAAGAATGCAGACCGAAGGCCGCAAAGGCGCCGGTTGCAGGCGAGGAATGCGCCAGATGGTTAGCGAGATGGTCGAGAAGGAAGGCGTCGGTGGACTGTACAGAGGCATTCAGCCGCACTGTTTGAAGGCGGTTGTTGGCCACGCAACTGCCTTTGCGACGTTCGAGATGGTTAAGAATGGCTCCACCTTCTTGGGCAACCAAGCTTTTGGCCTACAACATCTTTGATTACAGAGATCGAGCTTCATTCCTCTGTTTTCTTCTGCCTCTTGCTTGCTGCTGCTCTGCTTCTGTCGTCCTCTGCTCGATTTTGATTGAAACGACTTGGGTTCTGGATCAGGCTTTGCTTTTCTCGTTATTCGGTTATATTCGTGTGGGCCGTGGAGTGTAGTGGTCTCGGTTATGGGCTAAGCCCGTTTACCTTTCCGTTTTAGAAATCGATCCCTAGGCCCGGTCCACGAAGCGAGTGTTTACCAAATCTGTTTTGTATATTCATCCCGACGAGCCAAACCAAGCAAACCTTCTGTTCTGTAATTCAAAACACACTTTTTTTTTTTTACTTCTATTTCCTGTTCCGCCTGTCCCCTTCTCCCTCCCAAAATCCCGTCCCTCCTCAGTCAATCCTCCGATTTCAGTGAGAAGGAGATGATGGCGCATTGAAATTGAACCTGACACTACCACGTCGCCCGCATGATTTCTCGCCGGAGGACATACATACGGCGTGCTCCCGGCCTATTCTCATGCAGGTAAGCAGGAAATTCAAATTCAGTCATTCGTTTGCATTTCGAGTGTACAATCCGCACCGGCTGGGGTTTCGAGAGTGAGAAATAGTGTTTTTGGTGCGTTACGCCATTGAATGACACTATGGGAATTCAGTTTTTGTCGTCTCTCTACATCCGCCCGGCGCTACAACTCTTCCAAACCTTTAAAACCGGCTTGGCTGCTGATATCCGGCGCTTCAACGTTCTCTCGCCGCTGCTTCGCCAGCTTCAGACCAGAATGGGCTTACCGCCTTGAGAAATCCCAGGCCTTCGAAGAATGCGACACCAAGCAGCAGCGTTCAGCTGAACTGGGACTATTTGCTGGGTTTCACATTGCTGGGTCTTTAACTGATCCTTACTTCATTAATAAAGCCGTCTCATTTTGTGCCAAATCTGCGTCTTTCTTAGCGGGCATTCAGTTACATTCGCCAATAGTGAAGCTGGGTTTTACATCAAACGTGTATGTGTATAGCGCAGTTGTCTACATGTATTCCAAATGTGGTGACATCCAGAGTGCGCAGAAAATATTCGACGAAATGCCAGAGAGAAACGTTGTCACGTGGAACTCGCTTATTTCTGGCTATTTGGATGCTAATTTCCCGAAAGTGGCTGTTCAATTATTTGTTGAGATGCTCCGACAGGAAAATTCAGTTACGCCATTCAGCCTTTCTAGTTGTCTGGTCAGCTGTTCACAATTGGAGCACAGGGACCTCGGAGAGCAGCTTCATGCAATAAGTTTGAAAGCGGGGTTTGGCAATCATGTTGTCGTGGGGACCGGTCTGATTGATATGTACTCAAAGTCTTGTAGCGTTGGCCTGTCAAAGTTGGTGTTCGACCGTATAGCGGATAAGAACCTGATTACTTGGACATCCATGGTTACTGCTTATTCACAGAATGAAGAACCTTGTGAAGCAATGGTGTTAGTCAGAGAGATGATTCAATTGGGTTTGAAATTGAATGGTGTGACGTTTAACAGTTTACTGAGTTCATTTTCTACTCCAGATCACTTAGAGTGCTGCAAGCAAGTTCATTGCTGTATAATTCGTCAAGGTTTAGAGTCTAATGAGTATATTACAGCAACACTTGTGACTGTCTATTCGAAATGTAGTCGTAGCCTGGAAGAATTCGTAAAGGCATGCTCTGGTGTTGCAATTTGGGACCAGGTATCTTGGAATGCCGTGATTGCTGGCTACTGCAATCTAGAATGTGAAAAGGAAGCTTTCAGATGTTTCTGTGAAATGAGGCAGACTGGGACTGATGGTGACTTCTATACATTTACTAGTTTGGTGGGAGTGATTGGGAGTAGTTCTTTCCTCGAAGAGGGAAGAGAGGTTCATGCTCTCATTTCCAAGACTAGGTATGCTTCAAGTTTGCATGTGCAGAATGGGCTTGTTTCCATGTATGCAAGATGTGGTGCTATTGACGAATCCAAAAGAATATTCTGGTCGATGCCAAAACATGATGTCGTGTCATGGAACTCGCTTCTAACAGCATGTGCACATCACGGATATGGTAAGGAGCCGTGGAATTATTCAAAGAAATGAGAAAAAGCAAGACAAAACCAGATGCTACCACTTTCCTTGCGGTGCTGTCTGCCTGTAGCCATGTTGGTTTTGTAGATCAGGGACTCGAGTACTTCGATTTGTTAAAAAGTGATGCTTCAGTTGGTCCCCCTACATTAGAGCATTATGCTAACGTTGTTGATGTTTTTGGTCGAGCTGGATACATAAAAGAAGCAGAAACTTTTGTCAGCAACATACCAATAAAACCTGGCCCCACAGTCTACAAGGCTCTGCTTAGTGCGTCTTTAGTACATGGTAATATGGAAGTTGCAGAGCGTTCTGCCAGAAAGCTTGTAGATCTGTGGCCAAATGATAGTGCAACATACATCATGCTATCAAATATGTTGAAAACAAGTGATAATTGGGATGATGCAGTAGTTGTGCGCAAACTGATCTGTGACAGAGGCATGAAGAAAATACCTGGTTGTAGTTGGAGTTGAGATTGAGATTGTTCATTGTGGACACTTGAACTGTATGGAGTCCCTTATGAAATTCCGATAGTGTCACTTCCGGGATTGCAGGTTGAAATCAAAATGGTGTACCTGAATTTGCTATGAAGTATCACCCTGTTGACAATTATGAGGTATAGAGACGGGTGGAACCGAGAAACGACAAAAGCTCATTCTCATAGTGGCATGCAATGGCGGAACCGACTGCACCGCTTTCGCCTTTGCTTCCCATCTGTTTGACCTCACTTTTTTACTGTTTGAGACCCAGAAAGAGTGAAAGACAAACAAGAGACATGTTCGTATTTACAAGCACAAATTGTAGACGATGCTAATTGCGGGGTAAAGAGTGAAAGACCTTCACTTGCCGTTTCTTCTGAACCTTAGAGAGGGAAAAGGAGGAAAAATGGTTGTTGGTGGGAATTAGCATTGAGTTCTTCGTACTGTAATTGTGAACTACCCATGAGCTCAAGCCCTCTTGACATTGCCTTTTTGTTTTAGAGTGTAGGGAATGGCTATCGAGACTCGAACTAGCCGTGGGTCTAAGGTCATTCGAAAAGGACTCCTACTGGCAAGTCCTCACCTAGTCCTGGTTGTGCAACACTTCTGGACTTAGAAGGTCAGAGAGATCATTGAAGAAAGATACAACACCGAGCCTTCCAACTAATGGGAAGTCTGGGAGACTTCAGAAGCAGTAAGAGAAAAATTGAGGCCACCATGAAGAAGATGATAGGTGTAAGAAACAATCCTCATCCAGTTTTTCTGTGTCAGAGAACTCAAATTCAAGTTTGAGCTCATTGACTATCCCCAAAAAAGAGAAGAGCATGGTAAGTTGACCCTCGATACCAAAGAGGTCCGCAGTTGTGAGGGGGAATTGTCAAAGCCGAGGCAGAGATTTAGCGCACGTGCGTACAAGCATTTTTCAAGAAGCAACACAAAGTTACTGCAGAAGGTAGTTACAAATGTTTTTGCTTCAGTAAATTGTTGTCTCTACGTTGCTTCTCCCATGTTGACCTCCACCCTGTTCAATTGCTTGCTTATGAGGGTAAATATATTGAGATTCTGTTTCATTTTGTTTCAGCTTTTCCTGTTCAGCTGTCTCCTGATTGATGTTTCTTTATTTTTTCAGTTGATTCTGAAATCCTTCCAACTTCAGATGCAACTGCTGAGCAGTTGAATGATATTTCCGGGAGATGTGAACATATGCATCCTGGAGATACTTTTTTGGATGGCACAATAACTGATGAAGACAACTCCTTGTCTAAACGGAAAATAAATGAAGCAAATCTAGATGCTGCAGATGCAATGGTTTCAAATGAAGATGCCATCATCTCTCTTTCCATTGCAGTTGCACTGCAAGATCACTCTCAAGAGAACTGCGTGTTGGATACTTGTGCCAGAGGCGTCAAGAGGCAGAGGTATTTATTTTCACATTTCTGTTGTTTCCATAAAGATCTGATAATGTGATTTGGCATCCTGCTATTGATGAGAAATGAGAAGCAACATTAGCAAAATTGGTCTTTTGCCTGAATCATTTGAATTAGCCTCTAGAAACACAGGTGTTCCAGCTACTCATATCAAACAGCTGTGGCTATGGCTATGTCTTTGAACTGAGAATAATCGCTTCTCATGTTACTTGTCTACTTTTGATGTTGCATGGGTGTGATACTCTTTGACAATGTGTTGTAAACTTGTCCCTCTTGCTTTAAGAAGAGACAAATCTCGCTCATTCTTGGTTTTCTTTGCAATGGTTACTACTTACTAGTGGAACTACGTTTGTTCTTGACGAAAAGGGCCCTTCAAGTATTTGTTTTTCTTGTTCTTGGAGAAGGATATGAAACTGTAGTTCCTTACCTTTTACTTTGCTTTTCAACTGGTGACATTGGAGCCTCGACTCCCGCTGACCTCTACTTCTTCCTTGTTTTATTGCCTCTTTGTTTTTCAACTTGAAGCCATCAATAGTATGCAGAAATAGCCTGCCAAGTCATCATCCACCAAGATCATTATCAAGCTCCATCAAGATAATTAGTAATCTCCATCTTCGTGGTTCTCATTTTATTAAATCTGGAATCCAATAAAAGATCTATATGTGTATTCTTTGATACTGAGCTTCATAAGGAACCTACAAAACATACATAGATAGCAGAACCGTGTTCAGGGTCTGAAATTTCCAGTAGTTTGAGAGTTATGACTTCTTTGAATCTTCTTGTATCAGCTACTTTCTTTGTGTATCTGTCCCTGTGTCGCATAGGATGTGTGAGGGACAGTGCTTGGTGTGCATTGTTGCTCAGAATTAATGTTCTACTTGGTGTGCATTGTTGCTCTCAGTGGGATTTGCTCAAGAGTATGGTAACTGGTAAGGCAGCATGTGAATTTACCCATACCTAATGTGCTGACAAATATTAATCATTACTGCCAGAAATTGGCTACTGCCGAAGGTTCACTGGCGAAAGTCTCATGCTTACCAGCTGGACTTGCCCCTGGTTTACACTATCATCATCTGGATGTCGTGAACAATCTGCGTGACTACTGGCATAAAGAACAAATGCTGTCATTCTTGATGAACAGGTAATCTTGATAAGTACTTTCTTTTATGTTGGCTTCTGGTTTCTATATTTTGTGGTGTCTAGCATTGATCTGTGGGGAAGCGTTTTCAGGCTACAATATCTATCTCCCCATTGCCGCTGCAATATATGTACAAATGGGAAAAACCAAAACTCATTTGAGAGCCCTCTGTCTATCCGAAGAAAAACTATACTAAGCAGAGAGAAGTACTAGAAACAGTCTAGCATTCAGCTGGAAAGGGATAATGATTTTTTTCAACCTAAAAACATAAAAATGGGAAATAGATGTAGCTATAGTATGTCCATGGTACAATCTTCACTGCAGCATTTTATAGATTGGGAAGCTCTGTTCTATCCTTAAAGTACACACTCATACATTCCTTGTCTTTCCTGAATATGTTGTTAGTAAGTTGAAACTGGATGCAAATCATAATAAGATCCTGATGAACAGGATCCTGGCAGAGGCTTTCAGGTCCAAGTGCATGGATATCAGGGCAAGTAATTCGCCTGGAGTTCTACAAGGTAGGTACTGATTGTTCTACTATGTCATCATTGCATTGGCTGTTTATCTTGTCAGTTTGCTTCTTATGAGTAGAATCATACATGGCATAATTAGGGGAATGCATGAAATAGGAAAACCGTGCCCAATATTGTTCATAGAGATTTCATTGATGTTCTGGCGACTTCTGTGAGATATAAATTCCTCTTGGAGTGAAGAACGTCTAAGAAAAGCTGTCTAGTTGACCCGTAAGCTTAGGTTGCTGTAGAAAGTGCGTGTTGTGAATTCAGGATTCTAGATAAGGTAATATAGTCTCTGGAAGTCAAGAGAAGCCGGAGAAACTTAAGCTAATTTGAAAGCTAGAATCAAAGATCACTTATGCTAGTCACTGGTTAAAAAAAAAAAAAAAACAGTAGCCAGTAGAGCTTGGAAAGGAGGATTACTCTTGCGGAACCTCTGAGAACACAATAGTCGCATAATGGGGAAGCAGTTCCATTTGTTAAATGTTCATTCAACAGTTTGTTTGGGAACCAATCTTGCTTAGGTAGGTTACTATACAATCCATCATACTGGAATCCTAACTACCCCTTGTTTCCCTCCCTCTGGCAGATGCTACGCAAGGATACTCAGGGCTCCGATCTTCTGCTGCGCTTTATCGCCCTTTGCCACCGCATGGGGCCCCAACTGGAGTTTTTCGGCACGCTGTTCTTCATCACTCCACACCACGACCTCTCTCAAGCTCTCAATTAAGGACACTGAATATAAACTCCATCTATTCCCCTGCCGCCACTGGCTCCAGCACCAATCATCTTCATATTGATGACCAGAATCGAGCGCCTCCTCCACACCTTAAGGTCTTAGACCTACAACAGCATCTATGGCAGCGGTGGCGGCACCAGTTCCCACTCCTAACATCTCAAGTGATGCAATTGCCAAGCCAACGTGTCTCCCACTGTCCTTTCCACTTTGACTGCCCTTCCCCAGCATCAGCCTCAGGCAGCTGCAAACTCTGTCCAGCAAAACAACGGAGTTTGTTGGTCCAACGATGATTGAATAGACGACGTTACATGACACCTTGTCTTTTTCATCTAACCTTAAGAGTCAAAAGCGGATGGGAAGACTTGATTGATTTTTTAACATTTGCAGGGAGTTCCTCAGCTGTACATCTTTCTTGTGAACAGTTCTGATGTAGCTACAATGTCATAGTTCCGGAATGTGTATATTCTTCTATTTCAGCTCCTTTCCAGCAACTCCACTCCATCTCACCCTTGTTGATTAGGTATCAAATTCGTCGTAAACTCGAGTTGAAAGGATCTCTTTTCTGTTAGATGGGTGTAAATGTATCCTATCCTTATGTGCGTGGATCGGATCAAAATGTGGGAAGTGTTATTTTTTCTTGTAAAAAATGTATTACATTGACTACTCTCTGGGATTTTTACACTGCAAAAAGTCACTATATTTGCAAACTAAACAACCAAATTATCGCAAAAAGCTCATAGTGCATTCAAGGCATGCATATTATTTTACATGATTTGTTCAATGTAGAAAAGTATGAGCCTGAAATATATGCGTGGGAGAGATTAAGCTTTAATTAATTAAATTGATCAATGCTTTAATCAGCGGTTACCACCAGCTAAGCGGACTCCCCCCCAATTAATTAACACGCGGGAAGGCGCCCGTCCGGTGGCAAAGATTGTAATAAACATAAAAACAGAAGGTCGAATCGGGCAAAGACGGAAATACTGACACTGGCAAAAAGCCGCAAAACTATAAAAGCCCCAACCCTTTGCCTTTTATTTCGTGCTTTATAATTTTTATTAGACACAGTTGGGATTGGGACGGAAATTTATTTTTCCAGAAATTAGATATTTCCATTTCTGCCCTCGTCTATCTCCTCTACGGCCTACTGAACAGCCTGTTTTCCTCTTCCGAGAAAAACCTACCAAACTTCTTCTTCTTCGTCTATCTGTTCTTTCTTACAGAAACCCACAAAACCATGGAGATGATTTCTGGTGTTGGTGTTGGATATACGAGAGCAGAGTCGTGTTAAAAGCGCTGGTTGAGTGAGCTTGAAAGTGAGAGTGGGCGTTTTGTTTTCCCTTTTTTGGGTTTTACCAATGGTGGATCTGAAGCAGCAGGTTGGAGGGAGCAGATGGCGGAAGGTGAAAATGGCATTAGGCTTTCCGAGCTGTTTCTACGCTCCTCAAACTAGAGAACGAGAAGAACAGGAAGAGGGCGAACGCCGCCGGCCACGGCAGCTGCATTCCTCATCATCACGTCGGTCTGGTAACATCTCCGGCGCTGCCGCTTCTTCATCGCCGTCTACCGGGCTGCCTCCACGGAGCTCCACCAATCAAACGCCGTTCACAAATCCCACGCCGTCGTCCTCTTCCGTCCGTCTGTCTAAATCCGGCCCTCTCTCTAAGTCTGGAAAGGTATATTACTGCAGAGCCCAACCAAATTAGTTATCTTTTTCTTTGTTTGTTGGGTTGCATAGAATCATAGGTGAATTGTTTTCCATGATCAATTTATTAGAATCTTGGTTGAGGTGGATTTTTTTGTGTGTGTCAGTGGCGGTGTAATTTGTCGGTCTTTAACTCTGAAAACGTATTTTGTAGGTTCAGAACTGAAATCGCTTAGATTAATCCGACCCTTATTAAACCCCTTCAAATTCACCATTTGTTTTCCTGTGTGAGTTTCAATGTGAAGCTTAAACTTTAGCCCTGCCATTTAGAATCCACAGAACGTGGCCACTCCTCCATCTTAAAACTGGTTGTCAAAGTGGGTGATGATGGTAGGTGGTGTGTATCTCTGAAGAGTTATTGATGGGGAGTGGGGAATAGTCGTCAACTTGCCATGTTACTCTCAGTTCCTCTTTTCAATTGTGTGCTCATTGTGAGGTTGATGATGAACAAGGATGGTGGAATTTGGGAGTGTGGTTAAAGTGGAGGAGTCCCTTTTGAGGACCAGTTTCCACTTTGGCTTATTTGGAAACCATTACTCTCTACACCAACTATTCTCTCTTTCTCTCTGTGCAACAGGCAGCATTTGCTAGTACTGTACCCTTCCCAATCTCTACCCTTTTTCTCACTTGATTGGAGAAAAGTGTGCTTTATCTGGTCAGCACTAACTTCACTCTTCAAACCCCACAATTATGAAACTGCATCCATCCAATGATCCATCCACACAGAACCCTGAGCTACACACTTTCTCTGTATCTCTCTGCTTTTCATGTAGCAGTTCAAAAAGCACTGTGGACCGTTGATTGGGAGCTTTTATATGCTAGATTCAGGAAAAGAGAAATGAACCAGGAGGAATAGAAGTGGATGGAGCAAACTGCAAAGTCCATTCTCTTGATTATGCTTTTCTTTCTGTGCTGTTTACCTGTCCCTTTTTCATTTTTTTCTGGATGCTTGCTTGTCCATTTTTCAGTCTTAAAAATCAGTGGTTTGCACATATACGTTGTTGTTATCCCTTTTGCTTTTGAAAAGTCTGTGCCTTGGTATAAAATAATAATCCGGCAGTAATCTGTCCTTTGCTAGATTTTTGACCGCCTGATATTTGACCTCTTTTTCGTTTCATTTGCTGACTTTTCTGCTTGTAATAGTCACTTTCGTGCTTAACTGGATAATTTGACTGGTTGTTATCTGCTTCTCGTCTTTGTGCATTTGTCCCTTTTCATTTTGTTTTCAGTAGTTTGGAATGATATTAGGAACGCTGAATTAAACCTCTTATTTGAAAGATTTATTTGTATCCATAATGTGAAAACCACTTCCAGATACGATACTTTCATTCTACTGGTTGACTTTACTGAATTTGGTGCTTATCATGCCGTCTACTCATTGACTTCCTTTTTTCCATTCATTGTAGAGGACATGTGCAATATGCCTAACCAGTATGAAGGCAGGACAAGGCCAGGCTATATTCACGGCAGAATGCTCCCATTCTTTCCACTTCCAGTGCATTACTTCTAACGTCAAGCACGGGAACCAAATTTGTCCAGTATGCCGAGCAAAATGGACAGAAGTTCCTTTCCAGTCCCCAAACTCCGATAATCTCCATGGAAGACCTAGAATCAACAGTTTGGGTCGGCCTAGGCAGCCGAATGATGACGCTTGGATGAATAATATAATAAGACGGGTGCCTCCACCTCGTGCAGATACCAACCACCACGTTTCAACACATCGTCCCCACACTCCTGAACCGGCTGCCTATGATGATGATGAGCCCGTACAAGTTCATGATAATCTCTCATCTAGCTTTGCTGAGAGATGTTTGGTGGCCAATGGTGATGTAAGTATTGGTGGAAGAAGATCAATGGAGATAAGAACATATCCTGAATTTCCAGCGGTTTCCAAACTTGCCTCTCATAAGGATTTTTCTGTGTTGATTCATCTCAAGGCTCCACCTATGTCGGAAATAGGGAGGAGAGATTCTATATTGGAAGAATCTCGTGCTCCGATTGATCTTGTTACAGTGCTCGACACAAGTGGAAGTATGGCTGGCACAAAGCTTGCATTGCTGAAACAAGCTATGGGGTTTGTGATTCAACATCTCGGGCCCACTGACCGGCTCTCTGTAATTGTATTCTCTTCATCTGCTCGTCGACTATTCCCTCTTCGTTGCATGACTGAGTCCGGAAAGCGGGAGGCATTACAAGCTATCAACTATTTGGTATCCAATGGTGGGACTGATATTGCTGAAGGGTTAAGGAAAGGGGCCAAGGTGCTCTTGGATCGCAAGTGGAAGAATCCAGTTTGCAGCATCATTCTACTCTCAGATGGCCAGGATACATATACTTTTGCCGGCCTTGGTAGAAAAAAGGTACGCCCAGATTACAAATCACTCCTTCCTAGCGTACGGATTCCGGTACACACATTTGGGTTTGGTGTGGATCATGATGCTGCTGCCATGCATTCGATTGCTGAGACATCAGGTGGAACCTTTTCCTTCATCGAGGCTGAAGCAATGATCCAAGATGCATTTGCTCAGTGCATCGGTGGATTGTTAAGTGTTGTGGCCCAGGAGTTGCTAGTCATAGTCAATTGTGTTGACCCAAGTTTGCAAATTGAGTCGATAAATGCAGGCAGCTACACAAGTAGCAAATCAGTTGATGCAAGAACAGGGTCAATTGAGGTGGGAGATCTCTATGCCGAAGAAGAAAGGGATATCTTGGTGACAATGGATATTCCAGCGGACAATGGATCTGGTAATGAGTTGTTGTCACTGCTAGATGTCAAGTGCATCTATAAGGATCCCATTACCAAGGAAATTGTGAATTTGGAAGGATCTGAGCCAGTGAAGATCCATAGGCCCGAAGCAGATGTCAGACAGCAGCAACAAGTGTCCATCGAAGTGGACAGGCAAAAGAACCGGGTACATGCGGCCAAAGCCATGTCTGAAGCTCAATCCGCAGCTGAGAATGGCGATTTGTCTCGAGCTGTTTCCGTGTTGGAGAGTTGTCGAAAGGAATTATCCGAGACTGCTTCTGTGAGGGCTGGTGACAGACCATGTGGGGCGTTGTGTTCTGAGTTGAGGGAGATGCAGGAAAGGATGGCCAACCGTCAAGTGTACGAGACGTCCGGAAGGGCTTATGTGTTGTCGGGGCTGAGCTCTCACTCATGGCAGCGAGCAACAGCAAGGGGGGATTCGACAGTCGGTACAAGCTTGGTGCAGTCTTACCAGACTCCTTCGATGGTGGATATGGTGACACGTTCTCAAACCATGATCCTAGGGAACCCACCAGCATCTTCGTCTTCGTCGTCTCAAAGAAGGCTACGGCCAACTCTTTCATTCCCAGCTACAACAGTGGAGCCGAGGTAACAAGCGAAGCTCTTCTAGCATGGGATGTTGGCAGAAGTGAAACCTTCATTATTCTTCTGATCTGGATACTTAACTTTATATAGATATGACCTGATGGCTTTTTTCAATTTGTTCTTTGGGGTTTATTTTTATTACTTCGAATTTTGTTGTTCTCTGTGGTTGGTGAATTGGGAACTCGGGGGATTGGTGGAAGGAGAGAAAGGGCTGGGATGTTACTACTCTGCTAAGTAGATTTTGCTTATGGGGTTGATTTTTTGCTTATTGGTATGAACTTGTAAATGAATAATAACACTGGAAGAAAGCAGGAAATGGGTTGGAGGTAGTTATGGTTGGGATGGAGAGGGGGTTTCTTAAGGTCTCGTTCATTGAGATGACAAATGATGTATATAAGAGGAGAACTACTGAATGTTTTTTAAGTGCAGGGGATAGCATATCAAAATGGTCAATATGCTGTGTTTTAGGTATACTCAGATCAATGACTTGGTTGTTTATTATTCCTTCCTTTGAAGGCTTTGTCGTTTGATTGCATGCTGCAACATTAATACTGCAGATTTTCTAGTAGATTGAGCAGCTGGTTAGATCTAGTGCAGAACAGCAGAAGTGCCATAAGAAATCCTACTCTCTGTAGGAGAAAACATATGTAGGTAATTTCTATGCCAGTGTCAACTAAGCAGTTGATCTACTAGATTTGCATTGTAACAGTTATACATGTTCTAGTTTTAGCACACCAACTAACCCATTGCATTGCATGGAACGTAGTTCACAAAAGGTAAGTTACTTGCTGCGGTTGTTGAGATTGGAATCTCACCAGAGCAATAATGATAAGCCGATGGATGCCGTTGTGCGTCAATGACCTCAACGCATATGATGCAGTTATCAAAGTGAAGATGAAGGAAACTACTAACGTGTCTGATTCCGTCACACGCTTCTCATCATCAATGATTCTAAACGGTTTCTTTCAGGTATCCAATTCCCGAAGTTCCTAAGTGACACCAGACACAAAAATCATCAATATTATGATGCCATCGTCTCTGTTCATTACTGCACATCATCTGTTTAAAGTCAATCAAGTACATAAGCCTAGCCTCCTCCAAAAGAAGAAACTACTTGTGTAACAAACCAAAGTGTCTACGTAACCCCCAAAAAAAAGTAAGGGGCAAAACGCAAAAGCCATCATCTTCGACTTTTTGTATTCTTAGATTTAGACTTGGGATGGGGCTAAGATCAGGTGACTAAGAGGGGGGCCTTAGTCACATGACTAAGTAAATCTCAGCCCTTCCACATCATTAAAATCCAATGGCTCAGATTAATCTAACTTAATGAAGGACAATATAGTAATTTCTTCTAAAATTTAATTTATTAATTAAAATCAAAAAAGCAAACCTGCTCGGCTGTTCCTCTCCCTTCCGCGCGCGGCGGGATTCTCCGCCGGTCCAACAAATTGCGTGGGGATTTTCTCCGGCGATGGCGAAACTTCCCTTACGGTGGTTGCCGGTCCCGCCGCCGTTTTCCTTGCGCCGGTCCGCCGCCTGGAACACCATTCTCCGCTAGGGAAATCCCCATCCATTGATTGATTTGTGGCTACAGGGAGAGGGGGTGGATTTTTATCCCCTCGTCCATTGATATGTGCGGCCAGAGAGAGAGAGAGAGCCATTTTCCTGGGGATTTTTCCCCAGCAGGAGAGTGAGTAATGTTTGTAATACAAGTTTGTATACTTTGTATTCATTTGTTTGTAATACAAGTTTGTAATGTTTGTAATGTTTGTTTGTAATGTTTGTTATTTTGTAATGTTTGTTGGTTTCTTTTGTAGTGTTTGTAATGTTTGTATGACTATTTTGTATATATTGTAATTTGTAACTTTTGTTATTCAAGTTTGTATACTTTTATGTTATGATTTGTATACTTTGTATTCATTTGTTTGTAATACAAGTTTACCAATCTGTATTGTAAGTAGTGATATTCTGTACGTGTTGTATGCTTTGTACTGTTTGTCGGTTTCTTTTGTAATGTTTGTAATGTTTGTTGGTTTCTTTTGTATTGTTTGTAATGTTTGTTATTTTGTAATGTTTGTTGGTTTCTTTTGTATTGTTTGTAATGTTTGTATGACTATTTTGTATATATTGTAATTTGTAACTTTTGTTATTCAAGTTTGTATACTTTTTATGTTATGATTTGTATACTTTGTATTCATTTGTTTGTAATACAAGTTTACCAATCTGTATTGTAAGTAGTGATATTCTGTACGTGTTGTATGCTTTGTACTGTTTGTCGGTTTCTTTTGTAATGTTTGTTGGTTTCTTTTGTATTGTTTGTAATGTTTGTTATTTTGTAATGTTTGTTGGTTTCTTTTGTATTGTTTGTAATGTTTGTATGACTATTTTGTATATATTGTAATTTGTAACTTTTGTTATTCAAGTTTGTATACTTTTATGTTATGATTTGTATACTTTGTATTCATTTGTTTGTAATACAAGTTTACCAATCTATATTGTAAGTAGTGATATTCTGTACGTGTAGTATGCTTTGTAATGTTTGTTTGTAATGTTTGTAATGTTTGTTTCCAATGTTTGTAATGTTTGTTATTTTGTAATGTTTGTAATGTTTGTAATGTTTGTTGGTTTCTTTTGTATTGTTTGTAATGTTTGTTATTTTTGTCCACATGTTTGTCATTTTTGTCAACCATGTTTGTAATGTTTTTTGAATCACAAATCAATACATATAAAGTATACAAATTATTAGTACTTACAATACAAAGCGACGTGATTTGCAGCACAAATCAATACATATAAAGTATACAAATTAATATTACAAAACATACAAACTATACAAACCATACTGACATTTTTTACAAAAATACTAACAACACAAACTAATGTTACAAAACATACAAACTATACAAATCACTGTTCTTCCTTCAGACGATGTCTCTCCACCGCCGCCACCGCCGCTGCCGCCGACTCTCTCTACAGCCGTCGTTACCTCTGTTTTCCCGACAACAGATCTACTTTCTCTCTCTTCCACCGCCTCCGTCGCGATCGTCTTTCCCTCTCTCCATCGTCGCCGACGCGGTTGAGATCTCCTCGCCATCGCCACCCTCTCTTCCACCGCCGACGTCCTTCTCTCCCCGCTGCTGCTTTTCTCTCTCTCTCCTATGGCCTGCAATGGCGACGCAGAAGAGGATGACTGGAGGAAAAATCGCGATCTCCTTTCCCTCTCTCCACCGTCGTCGGCGCCGTCGAGATCGTCGACTTTCTCTTTCTCTCTCTCATCCGCCGCCGTTGCGATCTGTTTCCTCCGCCATGGCTCTCTCTCTCTACATCACAAAAAAGGGAAAGTAAGGAGACGTGTTGCAGAGGAAAAAAGAATTCAATAATAAATAAAACAAAACTAAAAAATAGGAGTTAATAAATTATTGATAATACCAAAACTACCCTTCTTATTTAATAATAATTAATTGAGTTATCTGGACCATCAGATCAATCCAATGGCTGAGGGGGGCTTAGTCAAGTGACTAAGGACCCCCCTTAGTCACCAGATCCGGACTCCTTGGGATGGACTATTAAGAAGAAGACGGTTGACGAGCATTTAGTCAAAGTTCTGACGACAGTGCCGGCAGCTACATCATCCTCCACTCCACGGTGCCGACGAGATGAAGCATGAACTCATTGGAGCGGGGCCGTGTCGGGCCTCGATAGGCCCAAGAAAATGGCGAAGAACAACGAGAGTAGTGATGGCAATGGGGCGGGACGGGTACCTCAATTTTCATGCCCCGTCTCACGTTACTACGGGTCGGGGCGAGTAAAACCCACGCGGGTACGGGGCGGGGCGGGTCGACCCATTCTTACATGTTGTTCAAAAAAATACAAGTAAATTTTACTTTTTACAATAATAGTAGAGAAAAACACTTTAAGAATGAAAAATATTGATAATAGAAAGGATAATTGAGCCTAACAAGTTAAAAGATCGACTCTAACTAGTTGAAAAAAGTCAAAATAGGAGAAATATGTATAGATATTGTAAGAAATTGAGATAAATGAGTCTAGAACGGGGCGGGGCGGGGCGGGGCGAGTCGGAAGTAGATACCCATGTTCCACCCCACGCTACTGCGGGTCGGGTAATACCCGCCCCATCGCAGGTCAAGTCGGATAATACCCGCGGGGCGGGTTGAAATTGCTGTCACTAAATTACGAGAGGGAGGTTTTGATCCATTTGATTTGCATTTACATCCGTGATACATGTTCGTGAACTACCAAATCAAACCAATCGCATAAAATGGAATGCGGTGCACAAACATGTCAGTTTTTTTTTCTTTCTTTTTCTTGTTCACAATGTAATCACCGATGACCTGAGCTATAGTGATATTTGGCTGTATCGAGAGTTGGGAGGCAATGTGAGCTTTTGAGTCATTATTGAGCTTGATTGTGGATTTAATAATACCGTGACGTGGTTTGACTTCATCGTTCATATTTCAACACCTATGATACATCGATCAAAGTTGAAATGGAGAAGACTGCATCCAATAATTTCGCTTTCCTTCACAGTTCACTCGTTTCTTGTCGTCCGTAATCCTAAAAACTTCTTTCATATACCACCAATTCATGAAGTTCCTACTCCACCCACACAAAGTTATCAAATACATCTTTCGATATTGCATATCATGAGTTTGAAGTCAATTGTAACTTTTCCCAAAATGAAAATTAAACTACAAGATCACGTCTTTTGACTATTGTTATAATTTTCGAATATAATAGCTAATTAATATCAGGAATTAGGATTTGTTCCGAAGAATACGTCATTGTACATTTATTATTCCTTTTTCCGGCCTAAAGAATGAAAAGATTTGATTATCACCACTAAGGCAATATAGGGAAAGAAAAAGAAAACATAATACGTTGCGGGTTAAATTTGGTGGTTTCCATTTTATAGAAGCTTATGGCTGAATAAAGCAAGTCGGATGGTGTAATGTAATGTAATAATAGTTGGCGGGTCATTTTCTCTGTTGCTTTCTTCTGGATTGATGGTTGAGGGGATTTCTTTTGGTTTTCTGTTTACGAGTGGTATAATTAGTCTCCTTTAATCCTTGTTCATGATCTCCTATATCTTGGCCCGGAGGAAAAATGAGCCCGGCGACGGTGATAACCAGTCGATCGGAAAAGCTAGCTCAAGTCAAGCCATTTTGTATATCATTCCGACACACTACACTCGCCGGAGCTTCCACCGGAGGCTCCACCCAATTAATAAACAGTTGATTTAGAGGGTACATTTAGGGTTTATACTTTATAGGTATAATATATCCCTCTGACGTTTTATCAAACATACCCCTCTACTATTTTTTACATCAAATATGTCCCGTACTTTGAAAAACTTATCAATCATGCCCTTCTGTTAAAATTTTCATTGAAAAAATCGTCAATCATGGTTGAACCGAGATTTAGACGACCCGACATCGACAAATGGGAGGAAAAATGTAAGTTTTGTCCCCTGTTTTATTTCCCTGGATCTTTTCAAAGTGAAAATTATTTGAATGATCTGATTATACAAAAGAATAAAAAAAATTCTAAAATGAATTTATTAGGGATATTTTAGTCACTTTGGTCGCCCAAACTAAAGTTCGGCCTTGGTTAACGGTTTTTGGATGAAAATTTTAACAAAAGGACATGTTTGATCATTTTTACAAAGTACATGCGCATGTTTGATGTAAAAAATAGTAGAGGGACATGTTTGATAAAACGTCATAGTAGAGAGGCATATTATACCTATAAATATAATTCAAAAAAATGAGATCATCGTAAAATTTAATGATGGAGATACGTGTACTCCGAAAAAGACTACAACCTCTCCTGATATTAAGTGGTAAGATGAGAGCTACTAGTCACTCCCACCTCCAGTTCGATGATGGCAATTTATTATCTCGAGTCTCTCCTCACTCTGATTTATGACTTCGTTACTGATAAAATCGTTAGATTAAACTCTTAAATAATGAGAATCATTTTCTTTCTTGACAAAAGCCTCAAACAAAACACATTTCCATTTACTTTCACAAAATAAATATAGAGACGAACAATACAATATTGAAAAAATCAAGAAAAAATAAGTTTTTTTTTTCTTAGATCAAATTCATACAAACTCGATCATCCTCCAAGATTCTTGCGTATCCTCATCACATCCTGCCCAGTGATCTGAAAGGCCTTCTCCAGAACGACGTCGGGCAGCAAAGGCTTGGAAGTGAACGTAGCCAGGGAAGCAATCTGGGCCCCCGGGTTCTGGCTACTGAGCCCAGAAATCGCCAGGGCCTCACTCCCAGAATCCAAATTGTACAAGAAATGGATCAGCCCTTTCGGAAACACAAAGGAATCACCGGCCCGCAACTGCTGGGTGAACAGCTTGTTCGTAGTGTCCACAAAGCCCACCAGGAGGCTCCCCTTGAGACAGACGGTCACCTCCGAGGCCCGCGGATGTGCGTGAGGAGGAACAAGCCCATTCGGCCCGATGTCGACGCGGGCCATGGTCAGGCCCATTGTGTTCAGCCCGGGCAAGTTGGCAATGCTGGCTAGAGTCACGTTGAAACCGAAGGCGTTGGCCTTGGTGTTCCCCGGCTTGCCGAGTGCAGAAGTGGCGAAGTGGGATGGAACTACTAGTTTGGGGTTGATGCAGGCGGCTCCATTGATGAATACGGACTGGGCCTGGGGAGGTTTCTGGTCCGCCACGCAGTAGTCTTGGAGCGGGTCCGGGTCGGGCCTGGCTAGGCCCAAGAAGAGGGCGAAGAACAAGGAGAGGGAGGTTTTGATCACGAGAGTGGAGGGATGAAGTGATTTGGTTTTCCTCATTGTGAAGATGTGTTGTTTTGGGATCTTTCTGTTGTGTTATGGCTTTGTAAATTGAGAAAGAAAGGAGAATTCCGAGGTATTATATATATAGTAAGTGGATGAAATTGACCGGTTTTGATTGAGTAGCTTAAGAGCATAGGAGGAGGAAATGGGAAGGCAAGTTATAGCCCAAGGAGGAGCCCACGAGTCCCCTCTCTGTAGTTTGTGTTTTACTTGCTTCGGTTTTCTTCTTTTCGGACTAGTTTTTGTTAAGTTAATACGAGCAGTCTCTCTTTGGCATTGATGTTAGGATAGAAGGTTTTTGATTTATTAATCAAACCCCAGAGCGTTTTTATATACCAGTGAGCATCAATTTCATTACTTGAATTTTGAACAAGACTTTTCGACTCTTTACAAACAAAAATGAGAGTGCTCGATCCAAATCACAACTATAATCTACTAAGTAAAAAAGGGATCCGAGTTTACGAAATGCTTGCAAGATCCTACTAAATCCCAATACAGCAGCACGAGCATTTGCCTATACCTAAGCCACTAGACCTGAAACAAAACATAAAAGTAAAAAATCGAGAATATTTTTACATAGCACTGCTCTTTGTAGACGACCTCCAGCTGTTTGGCAATCCAACAATTATCTACAATCCCTCTTTTTGTTACGTACTCTGTAACACGAAGGCTTACCCACTCCTTCTCTCTTCATCTGTAGCTTCGTGTTCATGAATTCAATAGCACTAAATTTACCAAATCTTACCGATGCCACCTATTCCAAGTTAGGGATGCCCGTTAACAACATAAAATTTGTGGACTATTAACCAGACCCCACTTTTTACATATGCAATGATTCAAATAAGGTAAGTGAGGAGAATTAAATTGCCCCAAAATTGTATTAGTACCAAGGCATCCAATGTAGCCTTTGATGATTTATCGAAGAGAGACTAAAATTCCTGTATGGGTAAGCAAGGTGGAATGGGGAGAGACTCAACAGTAGGAATATTAGTATCACTTATTCATTGCAAATGTGTGACTTAACTCTGATTTAGGCTTCAGCCCAAACATGTGTTCAGGGATACATTAGGTTTTCATTTTGGAACTTTTAGCATGCATAGAGGGTGCCAAAGTTGGAGTTCTATATTGATATTGGTTTCGGTTTAAATGGAACCCAAATCGGTAAAGTCTATATCGGTTTCGAGTAATCTGTACCAAATTGGTTTCTATCTTTTAGATTAATACCGAAAATAAGGAATCAAAACCGAAAAACATTAGTTGAGGGTGTAGGGAATTTTGTTTTAATTGGGATATATGATTTCGATTTTCGAGAAACATAGTAGTTTGATTTATGGTTGTTAATTGTTCCGGTTCGATTAACCAAACCTACAACCCTATTCAATACTCTTGGCTAGTTTAGTTTGACTGAGGATGTACATTTAGCTTTGCTCATCAGTGTAGTTCTGGTTGATCGTACTAACATGTATGGAAATACTATGATACACTGAGGGCAAAATATTTAGAGGACAACAATATCATGTCACTCTAGGCTACACGATAACCATTTATATTTTTGTCTTTGGATTAATTTAAACAGTACACATTGTTAACGTAACTCATTGCATAAATGCTCTTTATATGAACTAATTGGTAATATAAAATTCGTCATCAAATGTCATGTCAATCCAAACAGCTTAACAATACAGCAGTTATTGAAATTACATTTGCAAGATACTATCTTCATGTATTACCTAACTATCCAACCATTGCATGGTTCACAAAAGGTAAGCTACTTGTTTGATGTTTCTGTTCTTGACTGTGTAATCACCAACTACTTGAGCATTAGTGATGATGAGTGGCTGGATTGAGAGTTTAGAGAAGAAAGAGGAGAGCTTTTGAGTCCTCGAGTTCATATTGTTGATCCGATAACGTATTACGATATAATTTGACATTGTTGTCGGTAATTTCAATGCGTATAGTATAACTATCAAATCAAAGATCAAGATAAACATCTATGTACGGACTAAACAAAGTCAGGATCGGTTCCGACGATAGCTTATAATATAGTCTTCATTTTCTCCTTATATATGTGATTTGAAGTTTGAACCTAAACTAGTTCGATTTGAATATGAACTAAACCAGTATTTATTACGATATCGGGTCGTTTGGATGCAGTATTTTGATGAGGTAATTTGGTCGAAATAACTCAGAATGGGGTATTTCAATCAAAATAACTCGTTTGGCAAAAATAAAGTAGAATGTGGTATTTTGTCCATGAGTCAATTGAAATAACTCATTGTGAGTTATTTGAAATACCTACCCACCCCCTAGTTATTTCAAATACCTCATCTCCCAACTTCCTTTTCCACTTCATCCCTTCTTTTAAGTGGTGAAATACCACAATATTTGAATGTTTTATCCAAACAAGACAATTACACCAATTACCACATTTCAAAATGAAATGCCACATAGCAAAATAATGCATCATTTGGATTCGAAATACCATAGAACCAAATTGAATTTAAATATTTAATCGTATGTAGTACCAAATGGGTAATTTACTAATTTTAATTTTTACCATCCAGCCTCAGCCTCAGTGGCGCGGAAAATTAAAATGAAAAAAGCAAAAGTGCCGTGAGAAATCTAAATAGGTAAAGGAAGCCAGTCGCAGCCCTAGAATACCGCGCCACGCCCCGAACTTCAAAAAACTAATTCCGACCGTACTATGCAGAAAATCAACGGCTCCTGATCGTATTAAAGCATGAAATCAACGGCCAGAGTTAGCGCCACCTGACCGCCACGTGACTCCCAGACACTGGGGACCACCGCTCTCTTCCCTCGCCCTAGTCTCCGCCTCGTCATCAGTGAAACGAGCTGCTCTCATTTTTCTTCTTCTTCTTCTTCTTCTTCCCCCAATTCTCACTTTGTTCTTTTGCTTCCCTCCATCCCAATTCGAAATCAGCAAAAATGTCGGATGCGATCTCTCTCTTTATAAACCCTGACATTCTCTCCAATCTTCCCTCTCGCTCGACGAGTACTGCATTGGTCTAGCTACACTCAATCAGCCAGCTATCGCCTTCCCGCTGCTGGCCGGAGCTGTCCGCCGTCTCCAATAGCCGGTCGGCGGCGCAAAGAAGAGTAAAGCTCGATCGGAGGAAGGAGTGACGCGGCGACGACGGAGGCAGCAACTTCATAACCATCTGGCGACTCTCGTAGCTACGAAGCTCCTCCAGCTGCTGCTGCTGCTGCTGAGGTTTGCTTCAACTTCTCTAATCTCTCACTGTTTCCATTTTCCTCCCTTTCGTTGAAGAATCCAAATCGACGTCCAACTCTGGATTCGCGATTTCTGATCCCCATCCTTATCCTCCTTCAGTTTTTCACTATCAATTATCAGCTGATTTTTAGGGTGAATTCTTTTTCGGGGGACTGAAAACTCGGAATTAGTCATTAATGGTTGATAATTGTCTAATTGATTCGTTTCCGATCCTGCCGGTGTCGGTATGGTATAGCGACTGTTGGGCCGGATCGGGGCGGCAAGTTCTGGGCCTTCGGCGGTTGTTGTATATGACCGAGACCCACCGTCTGTAGCCAGCCGACACCGGGATCCTGGGGCCCTTCTTTGTGGCGCGACGTTAGCATTAGCTATAGAAATACTAGCTTTACTACGTCGGTACGTCGCCTGTGACCTGTCTTTGAAGCCAAGTGTTCAGGCGAATTTAATTTTGGCGCAAGGCCTTCCTTTCCATTTTTTTAATTTCAACTTGTAGTTGGTAATTAGCGTTCCTCCAAGATGCTCGAGCTTTAAAAAAATGCCAAAGTTTGGAGTCGCCCAACCAAACCAATTATGAGATTGTGAAGCTCGGATCCAGTCAAGTTACAATTACTAGCTGTGTCTAGTAAGAAAATTTAGTCCATTTTGTGGTTTTATATGACTTGGAACGGATAAAAGTGGTAAAAAAAGAAATCTTTGGGTTATTGGGAGATGGTTATTGTCACCACACCAGGTGCATGAACAACAACACAACGGTTTTCCTCCCTGGACCAGAGCGAAAATCATTGGGAGATATGGTGGTTTGGTTTCCATTCTAGAGCATACAAGCTTGTGGCTGAATAGGGAAGTTTAATGGTATAAATGGGTGGCTGGTCATTTTCTGTGTTCGCAAATCTGTTGCTTTCTTCTGTAGGTGGTGGTTGATGGGGTTCTTTTTTGTTCTCGAGTGGTATTATTAGTCTTCTTTAATCCTTGTTAATCATAACCTCTATCTTGGCCTGATATGGCTCTATTTCAAAACGGCATCCACTTGTCTCTACCTACCATTGCTTGCAGCTCCCTGCTGTCAAAGTGGCATTTCCACCATCCCTTCTTTTCCCCCATTTCTAATTTTCTCATTTTTGGACTTTCTCTCAGCAAATGATTCTTAATGGTGTTGATTGTGATTGGTTTTGCCCGTTACAGAAAAAATATTCTTAGGTATGGGTTTCATGGGATTGTTTACTATCTTCCCTTAGGTTAGCTTTCAATTCAATCACACCACCACCTGAGTTTTGAGACTTCAGGGTCTCAGTTGGTGAAGTCAGTGAGAATCTCGTTGGTTCGTACTATCTTTTCAATGATATTTTGTCCAGCTCATGGAAGTCAATGTCTGATGCTCTTCCCTCATAAAATGGTCATTTTATACCCAAATGTTAGGACTCAGGGTTTTGCGGTACAAGAACGTTGCAGAAGCAGGTGGGTCTTTGAAGTTCCTGATACTCGACCTTTCTTCTGCAAGTTAGAGCTGTTCATCTAGGTGGGTCTCATTCATTTGCTTTTAATTAATCCCAGTGTCTTCATTCCAAATGGGTTGCTTTCCTTTCTCACCACGGGGTCTTAATGATTTTGATGTGCATAATCGATAACACAATTTCAATCTTTTGAATTAAATGGATGATAGGCCTACTCATCTTTGTTTCTTTCGTAACTTTTGCATTTATTCCCTGTAGTTAGGCCTCATTTTCTTTCTAGCTGTTACCTTCTTACAACTGTAGATGATAGCATTGTGCATACAACATTATTCGTGGCAATTCTGTCATGGTGGTGTTATATTTGAGCGCTATCTGGCACTGTAGAGTTTATTGCATTGGCCTGCCTAAACTAAAAGTTGCATCAAATGGAGGAACAAACTGAAAAGAAATTTATGATGTTGGTTGGCCTACTGTGAAGCTACACGTTTCTATTGTTTGGAGCTGCTTACTTAAGTAGAATTTTTGTAATTCCAAACCTTTTGGCTTTCAGTTTCTTACCAGTTCTGACCAAGTGTTGATTACCCTGATATAGGATATGGGTAAATTGGCATTCTACGTCTCTGGGTTGTGCTTTTCAAACCGTGCAAACTGTAGCATTCTTTTTTCTTTCTTTCTTCCCCTAACTTGATTGTCCCACCATTTTCAGCTGGAAAGGTTGCGACTTTCGTTCAGATCAGAGGTTTAAGAACGAGGGCGTTTGAGGACACAACTACTGCACCTAATGAAGGTATTTTTGTGGGTCCATCTGTTTTCTTGTTCTTACTTTTATTAGTTTCAGTATCTTAGTCTTTGGTGAAGTACTCTGTTTCTGTAGGAACTCCTTACCGTTCCCTTACTCTCTGTTAGTCCTTAATAGCAAACTATTGTATATTTCGTGGCAGTTTTGAAACAAATGAAGATCCCCTTAGAAGTTGTGTTTGTCTGTCTGATAGCCTTCATTTGGTTGCCCAGAGGTTATTGTGGTAAGTATTGGTCTTCGTTTCATTTCTTGGCTATCCGGGCTTTCATCTGAATATACAAACGTAATTTCCTCTGCTACCTGACTGGTATAGTTATAATCTTGGAGAAAGAAAGCATTATTATAGTTTAAGGTAATAATAGTACTCTAGATGTATTAGTCATCTACGGTGATAGCGAGGCTCGTAAAGTAAAGTTACTTCATGATGTATATATAACTAATCTCTTAGATAAGTAAGAGATTGTGCAATGTGGTACAATCACACATAATTTCAAGTGTTAAGAGGTCCTATATGTGGTGCAAAATGTCAGTTGTGCCATGTACACAAATGCGTGGAAGTTTGATTGGAGTTGATTGTTAATGCAGATCAACTTGCCCCAACATCAGGCACAAGAAATTGGACGTGTGATTGTTCTTTGCCATATCCAGGAAATCAGAGTTATATTAGCTCTAACTGCTCCAACTCCTGCGATTGCAATCAAGGTATGCTGGGGTAACAGAATAATCAAGGTAACGGATGGTTAGCATCACTCTAACACCTTATCTGAAACAAACTTCTTATCCAGATAGTGGAGGATCAAATGGGAAAATGTGGACTTGCATGTGTCCAGCGGATGGACTTCCGAGAATAGCTGATGTCAGTCATGAAGAAACCTGTTTTACGGCCTGTAATTGCACTATTGGTAATCTTGAAAATCCTTATGCTTTCCTGCAATAGATTACTCTGTTTTTAATCTTTCTCGAGATTATTGAGTTCGCTTGCTCAGGGCCATTTCTATTTTTTGTGTGTGGCAGGATCTCTGAATGGAGTTCAGACTCCAAGGAAACACATTTCTAGCAGAGTCCTCGTTATCATTCTACTACTATGTGTTGTACTTACAACTCTGGCATTTGTTGCTTCTGTGACATTTTATGTCTATAGAAGGGAGAAATCCCTTATCGAATCACCAACTTTCTCCTCAGACAGACTTGCAAGTTTTAATAGTAGATCTCATTTGATTAGTCAGAGAACCTGTTCTTCAGGATCAGAATCCAAGGCTAGCATTAACTGCTCAAGTAATTCTGTCTCAGGTAAGGATACTTTGAGAAACAATACCATCATTCCAGCTTGAATTGTTTCCAATTACCTTCTATTTTCCACTTTGCCAGGGTGTTTTGGAAAGGCTTCTTTCTTATGTGGGAACAAAAAAGACATCGTCTATGGAGTCATCAGCCGCTTTTCATACACTGAGCTGGAATATGGAACCGATAAGTTCTCAGATTCCAATCTCATAGGATGTGGAGTAAGCAGCTTCGTGTATCGTGGCCTGCTACGAGATGGTACAAGTGTGGCAATAAAAAGGCTCAAATCTCAGAAAGGACCTGATTTTGAGTCGGTCTTTTCAACAGAGGTATGTCTTGGTTTTGTTGTTATGGTGAAGAAGTTGCTGTTACAAATTATCATATTGTTTAGCAACCTTTTCTGCTCTTTGTTCAGGTTGAACTGTTGTCCAGACTCAATCACTGCCACGTTGTGCCTTTGCTTGGTTACTGCTCAGAGTTCCAAGGAAAACATTCTGAGAGGCTACTCGTATTCGAGTACATGCCCAACGGGAACCTTAGAGATTGCTTGGATGGAGCTATAGGTGAAAATATGAGCTGGGAGATCCGCGTTATGATCGCTATAGGAGCTGCAAGGGGTTTGGAATATCTCCACGCAGCAGCAGCCCCCAGAATCTTGCATAGAGATGTTAAGTCCACAAATATCCTGCTTGATGAAAGTTGGAGAGCGAAGGTAAAAGTCACAGTTTCTCTAATCCCTGCAACCTTTTCATTCTGTGGAAGGATGCAAACCTGAAAATTTGATCAAGGCGAAATAGGCAATAATGAAATGAAATGCGGAGTTGGATTTTAATTATTATCTGTCAGAGTGTGTGAGGCCGATTGTCACTATGTGTATACTTATGGGAACAACTCAATATACGCAGATTACGGATCTTGGGATGGCCAAATGTTTAAGAGGCGATGAAGCTCCAAGCACTTCCAATTCTCCAGCAAGAATGCAGGGCACTTTTGGCTATTTTGCTCCGGAGTATGCTATGATTGGAAGAGCCTCTCTTATGTCTGACGTGTTCAGTTTTGGAGTAGTTCTTCTTGAGCTCATCACCGGTCGACACCCAATCCATAAAACGCAGAACAAAGGAGAAGAAAGCCTTGTATTCTGGGTATGAGATCCTCTTCAATCTACTGTACTGCTTACCATTTGGTCCCCTGCCATATGAACGAAGCATTAACCAAATTACACTTTCAAAAACCTTCCTCTCAATTGATTGTCAATGTTTTATACACGGTGCAGGCAACCCCGCGGCTGTTAGATAGCAAGCGAGTGATATCAGAGTTGCCTGATCCACGTTTGAAGGGGAATTTCCCAGAAGAAGAGATGCATATAATGGCTTACCTAGCAAAAGAGTGCCTGCTATTGGATCCCGATGCTCGACCAACCATGAGCGAGGTTGTCCAAATCCTTTCTACCGTTGCACCTGATAAATCTAGTAGGAGAAATATCCCAATGAGTCTCTTTCAGGTAAGATACCTCTTGATTTAATTAGATTTCAGAATAATAGCTAATAGATGATAACATGCATGTTATTTGAGTGTCAAGTAAGTAACCTTAGTGCTTCTTCTTATGCAGATGCCTTCCATAGCCCATAGCTTCCAAAACGAAACATTCATCGACAAAACTGAACTTATAACTGAAGATCCTGCCAATTCAGAGGAGGATCCAATTGAGAATGAGTCAGCAAAACTCTCCTCGCCCCGAAAAGAGGACCACGTGGTTGAGAACAGAGAGCCCTGTACAGCAACTGATAACGAAAGAGGAGATGGCAGTACTGTTTCTGCTGAATATATGGACAGGCTCCTCCTCCTGACCTCACGTCAACCAAACGTGCGTGCCTCGGATGATGAAGTGGTAGATATAGCCGAGCCTCGATTCGAATCGTTCTGCATGGCAAACATGAAATCACCCTCAAGGTAAATACATAGCGCAAATGGATTCATTTTCACTACTTTTCCTCCCACTAAACAGGGCTCGGGGTTTCGGTTCCGTGTGTTTGCTCTTGGTTTGATGAACTGAGGAGAGGAAAGTTTGTTATGGTAGTAGAGATTCTCATTTTAGCAAGTGCAGAAAAACAGGGTATTGCTTTTCTCTCCGGTCTACTTTCATTTGTACATAATGTGTAAGCTTTTCTTTATACGACGTGATTGTGCAAGCAAAATTTCACCAAAAGGAAAAAATGAAAGCGGAACCCGAAGTAAAGAGGATGTACTTCCAACCCAAGACATGCTCTAGCTAGACATCAAATGCGCGATTTCTGGATTCAAAGTCCGACGCTACAACAAACCACTCGACCGATTTGTATCGGTTACGTTTTGAACAAGGTTGTCAACCCGCGGGTTGACCTAGACCTGGTGGAGCTAGTGGGTCAAGGGTTAATGGGTCACCCGATTTAGCCCAGTTTAGCCCGGAAAATATGGAAATAGTCATTATATTGTACTTATCCTGATAAATTATATTAAATCTCATCTAACATACGAGTTATAACATATAATATTCCACCAAAATAACATGTCGTACTTAGATCCAACATATATTGAAAATTTACACACACTTATATAACATATATATTCAAATGTTTAACTTAAGATTCCAAAGATAAAGTTAGGCGATCGTTAAAGGGGTACATGCAGTGGTGAAGACAGAAAATTCGAACGATGGTGGGCTGATTGAATTGTCTGTAATCGAGAGAGGGGCTGAAATCTTACCGATTATTATAATTGCTAAATTTGTGCAAATTTTACATATGATTTTACCCATTTTTCAAAATTGAGCGGGGCTACAGCCCTTCTAGCTCTACCACTGCGTAGAGCGTGTTCACTGAAATTATGTTTTCTTCCAAAATTGTGACGCAAAATATTTCGTGAAACATTCCGCGACGACAAACATTTGTTGCAAAATATTCTCAAACATGGATAGATATTCGTCGCGAAAAAGTGCAGTTTCTACAGCTAATTACTTGAGAGAGGATCACGATGCGGGAGAGCGGGGTAGTGCAGGTTTAGGCGACGGCGATGGCGGCGGCGGCGGCCACAGGGTAGAGGGCAAAAGTGCAGAAGAGAGGATCGAAGTTGATTCCCCCAAACAGAAGCTGCTGTTCCAAGAACTCGCGAGTCAAGCGGACAGTAAAGGAGGTGGACCGGCCACCGTTGGCTGCTCGTTCGCAATACCCTTCGAATGCCCAAAACTTGAAGGGGTTCCCTGCCGCCACCTGCTCCAGGTCATCTCTGCTATTTAAATAAATCACTTGCAACATCTCGAAACCGCCATAGAAATTTTCGTCGCTCATCGGACCATAAAACCCTCCACCCACGTCGATGGAGAAAGAAATTAGAGAGAGATTCCCAGCGGTAACAGTAATAAAACCCTAATCGGAGTTTTGATTTGCATATGGAGAATCTATTTTATGGAACTAGCGGTAACTTGGAGAAGGGATCATGAAACAGGCACACAATCGCCGAGGTTTACGGTGTAGATATCCTTGTCTTGCTCCCCAAGTTACCACCGATTGCATAGGAATTGTATCACGCATTCACGCTCAAGTGAAACGACGTCGCCTTCGAAAAACGCCTCACTTAAAATTTCCAATGAACCGAAGCTAGTCATGGGCCGGCTTAGATCCAAAAGAGACCATAACTAACGTGGGCCTTGTTTTAATGGCCTGAGTGGGCCACATTATCATTATGTGAGCCATGGCCATGAGCTGTTTACAACAAGTCCAGCCTATTATTTAATCACCATGGGAAGTGGGAACAACTTTACTATAATAATAAAAAATTAGTTATAGTAACAACCAATTGCATGAATGAATGTGAATCCATATATGAATATGATCAATGCTAACACAAGCTATGTCTCCTGTCCCTACCCTAAAACCCCAATATAAAAAAATCACCCTTCAGGACAGTGCCATGTTTGGCAATTACTTCTTTGCAATTAATGCAGCACCAACTAGTTGGATAAGCTAATTATTATTATAGTTAGTAGTATTTTAATTTAGTTAATTTTTATTGTGTAAAATTGTGGGGAAAAAAATGTATTTTAGTTCATGCTACCAGGAAGGAATCTAACATGCACTATGGAAGGAATCGGTATCTGATCGCTAGGGGTGACGATAATGTACAATTAATCAACAGGTTATACTGATTAATATAACTCATATATCAGTGATGAAGTTAGTAAGATTTGATTACGATATTTGAATAAATAACTGAGTATATATTAGACTATTCTACATATCGTAGTTTAAATAATTAGTCTCATCGATTTTGATCCCGTTTGATTACCATCAAATTTATATCATATAGATTATAGTGCCAAGCTAGTGATCAATCATTCCATTTCCACAGGCTAAAGCAAACAGACCGTACGTGCTTATTTCCTCTAAAACTTTCACCCCATTTTGGACTGCTAGCTGTTCCCCAAGACTTTCAATCCCAAAAAATTGTGGCATATCAAAATGGGCAATGACTCGTTCCTTTAGGACTAAGTCACTCGTGTTAATGTAGAAGCAATCAAATTTATATTCAATTCAACTAATAATTACAGTTGTTTTGTTGAATTGTCAACAAAGGGGAAAAAAAAAGTTTATCTCGTAGGAAGAAGAAAAAAAAAAAGTGGCTTTGTTGGTAGCACAGGTCAAATCTTACTTTGTAAACAAGGTATCAATAATCTCGTAGTGTTAATGTAACCCAAGTGGTTGTTAGAACAGATTTTAAATAAAATATCGTTTTCAAATCAGGATCGATCAATTTTCGATACAATACCAAGCAAAGCAGACAAAGCTCCCGTACGCATGACAATGGAGCTAGCGCATGTTCAAACTACTGGAAGTCGAACGATTTCCAATTTTCTATAACACTTGCTTATCGAATCGTTCTTAACAATTACTGCGGTCCCATCAACCGATGTATAGTGTGCTTATAATATTGTAATATTTGCTTAGCATATGCAAGGTTTCTGCAATCCCACTGACGGATATGCAATGTGCTTATATAATATATATATATAGGTGAGTTATTGCCGTAATATAAGTACGGTTGCTATATCAACTCAGCGGCCGACTGCATCAGTAAAATGGGCCGGCGATAATGGAAAAATACACATTAATAAATAAAAGTCACCTTATCGCCGGCCGGTCGGCAGGCCAATTGTCCAAAGCTAGAGAGAGAGAGAGAGAGAGAGAGAGTGACGATCCAGCAGCATCTAAGTAAGGAGGCCAGAGACAGAAGAGACATGCACACGTAGTACTATGGCCTATTCTGTGTTGTCAATACATAATAAATTAATAATATATCCAGTTTTCACAAAATAAAATATTATATTATATATCCAGTTCATCATCATATGATCAACTAGACAAACAAACAAACAATATCCATTATATTATTTCTCAATAATCGTACTACCAGAGCCAGACTGATAGTCAATTCTGAATATATATACAATAATGTATAGTTATTTAAAATAAAATAAAAATATTAGCGATCATAAGTATTTGTCACAACTACAAGAATACGAGTAAGAAAAATATCAATTTCGTCTGCATGACTTGAAATTAACTTGATCTTCTGAACGAGAATGATACGACCTTTTAGAAGTGAAAAAATGATAATGTATTCAGATAATCGAAATGATGATGACCCCATATAGAATCGACAAGTATATTCATATGTCAATTTTAACCTCACTTAATAAATCAAGAAACGAACATGATGTGGCAAATAACACATAACAATAACATAACATTCATACATCTACCATATCATTATACTAAGGGGTCGTTTGGAAGTTGCGATTGTTTTGTTGAGATTGTCATTATGCATGTATTGTTTACAATGTATCATTTTTTTTGTTTTTTTAGTATAAACAATACATGGATTGTTTCTATGATGTGACAGAAACTATCACTCATTTTGAGTGATTGTTATATCTCAACTTTTAGTTGTGATTGTTGAGATAGTTGAGTTGAGATTGTTTTGTCTCAGCTTTTAGCTGATGCGACATACACAATCACACATACCAAACGTTGTATTCTACAATGCATCAAATTCGACAATACATGTATAATATTATACGTGCATTCTCAACAATACATCTATTTAACAATCGCAACTTCCAAACGACTCCTAAATCTCTCCATTTCGATATTCATATAATATTAAAAGGAAGAAAAGTGGGAAAAAAATAATGGAACAAATTTTACAAGAAAAAAAAAAAGTTAAGAACACAAAACTTAAGTACCTTATACTTAAAAAAATAAAGTCTGGTGACTGATTTTAGGAGTGACCTTAAACTTAAGTCACCAATTAGTAATTAACCCTATATTTGAATTTCTTTCCATGAAGAGCGAATCGTTTACCTCCGACTGAACAAGACAACTCACACCCAACTCTGTATTTCTCAGTTTCTTTATTCCCCTTCTCCTTCTTCGATTCGAACTCTCCATTTTTATTTTGTGGGCGATTTCAGTGACAGCGCCCACACATCTCACTTACGCTTGCTTTCCCGTTGCCCTCTCACCACCTCCTTTCCAGTCATATTGAAGTATCAACTCTGAGCTTTCGAGTCAACCCAGAACGAGCAAAAAAATTCCCATTTTCTCCATCCTCTTCTCCCCTGTCTGGTTTGCGTTGAAAATGAGCAGGAAAATCGAGGTCAACGCGGGTACAAGATCAGGAATCGAAGTGGGTTTCATGTGAATAAACAAGTAAGTTTGTCTTTCTTCTTCTTCCTCCTTCCTGGTTTTGATCAAATTGGGAACCAATGAGTTGAAGCAGCCATGGAAATTTAGGTAGTTTTTGGAGTGGCTAAGGTGAATGGTTCAACACCCATGTGGGTTCTTTTGTCCGTTTTAGAAGTTGGAATTGATTCCTTGATTGTATGGTAAGGGAGGGTTTTTAACCTTTTCCACCATTTGTATCTCGTGCAACAGTTCGAAGGGGTAGAGTGTAATGGAAGGCAGTATGGCCTCTAAGATTTCTGGGGATGGAAACTATCTACGGTTGCAAAATTGTAGATGGTGGATTAGGGTTTTCCTTTTCCACATGTTTCCTGATTCAGATGGGTATGAGACGAAAGAGGGGAAAAGAAGGGATTTTTAATTTGTTTTGTTTAATGGGAAACTTGTATCACATGTTTGACTAGCCACTTTTCCTGCTTGAAAGGAGGGGGGATGGCCTCTTAGGTGCCAGCTGCTTTATTTTTGTGGGCAAGTTGAGTAATTACTTTAGATCCTTACTTTCAGTTCACATGATACCTTGTACACAAGAAGCCATTGATTGTGTGGTGTTTTCCCCTCTTTTGTCTCTTCTTGTGGCTTTCAGCTCATGCCTTGTACATTGTCACTCTCAAAAGTGGTCTTTTGGATTGCTTGGCTCTGAATATACTACAGGTAGTAGTAGTTGATCTTCCAAGCCTGTTATAACATGCAGAAATCTGCCCCTTGCTGTGTTTCTGCAGCATTTCTTTGATCCATTGAAGTTGCAGCCAGGCTTATGCTCTTGGAAGAAAACAGACACAATATGGCTTATTCAAATTCAAGATCTGTAAGGTTTGTAATTTGTCATGATCTTTTGTCTCTCATAGTGAGTTCTTGACTGTATATTTTGGCTTGTAACTAGGGGTAATGTTCTGTTATTTTTAACAGGTTTAGAGATGATCTTGAATTGACAAAGCACCAAACAATGAATGTAGATGGGACAGTCAAGCTCAAATTCAACATAAATGGGACTCATATGTCCGAGTCCAGTGCCAAGAGCTCTCAGAGAGATGTAAGGAATGGAAAATCACTGAAGGCCAAAGTTCTGTCTCGAGTTTTCTCGGAGGATTACGAGAGAGTGAAGAGGAACATATTAGACCCTCGAGGGCCAGCAGTTCGAAGATGGTCTAAGATCTTTCTAGTGGCATGCTTACTTTCTTTGTTTGTCGACCCTCTCTTCTTCTACTTGCCAAGAGTTAACAGGACTGCGTCGTGCATAGACATCGGGAGACCCCTTGAATTCACCCTCACAGTTCTTAGAACAGTAGCAGATATATTTTACATGGTCCATATTTTCATAATGTTTCGGACAGCATATGTTGCACCTTCTTCTCGAGTTTTTGGGAGAGGGGAGCTCGTTATTGATCCTGAAAAGATCGCCTCGAGGTACCTTAGATATAACTTCTGGCTTGACCTTATTGCAGCCCTCCCTCTTCCTCAGGTATCATTAATGAACCACACTAAAAAGCACTCAGTCCCTTTGCTCGAGTCCAAAAGGGTGTGTATGAACTTTTTACTTTTCTTTTTTGCAGGTACTAATTTGGTTAATCATACCAAACCTTGCTGGTTCAACCATGGCTAACACGAAAAACGTCCTCCGGTTCATCATCATTTTCCAGTACATTCCAAGACTTTACCTAATCTTCCCACTCTCTTCCCAAATCGTTAAAGCCACTGGGTTTGTGACAGAAACAGCTTGGGCTGGAGCTGCTTATAACTTGATGCTTTACATGCTGGCAAGCCATGTGAGATCCTAGTGACCCCAAAACAAACCATAAAACAGACAAACTTGCTTTATTACTTAAACTGTTTACAATTGTACTCCTGGAACAGGTTTTAGGAGCTTGCTGGTACCTTCTATCAATAGAAAGGCAAGAATCATGCTGGATAAGTGCATGTGACAAGGAGAAGCCATATTGCAACTTCAAGTTCTTTGATTGCCAGTCGGTTGGCAACTCTGTCAGGGACTTGTGGTTCAAGTCGAGCAACGCTTCGAGCCTGTGCAAGCCGGATAACGAGTTCTACCAGTTCGGGATCTATGGCGATGCATCAACTTTCGGTGTTTCATCCACATCATTCTTTGACAAGTACTTTTATTGCCTCTGGTGGGGCTTAAAGAACCTTAGGTATGTCATGCCCCTCAATACTTTAGTTTAGTTAGTGATTAGACTTACTAATAATGCCAAATCTCAAATCTGGTCCTGGCTGCTGCAGCTCGCTGGGGCAGAACCTTTCAACAAGCACTTATGTAGGGGAAATAGCTTTCGCCATCATTATTGCAACTCTTGGTCTGGTGCTCTTTGCTTTGCTCATTGGGAATATGCAGGTAAGGTTTCATTTTTAGAAGTGGAATTCATGAAAGACGACATCTTTTTTCCAGCTTTTCTCATTTCAGACCATTTCCTTTTCTGGGTTTTTTCCTTTTCTCACTCCCTTAACCAAAACTCTGTTTGCCTCCTGGTTTGCAGACATACCTGCAATCTACAACAGTTAGGCTAGAAGAGTGGAGGATCAAAAGAACCGATGCAGAGCAATGGATGCACCACAGACAGCTACCTCCTGAGCTCAGGAATTCTGTCAGGAAATATGATCAATACAAATGGCTTGCCACCCGTGGAGTTGATGAAGAAACCCTCCTCAAAGGCCTCCCATTGGACCTCCGTAGAGACATCAAACGCCACCTCTGCCTCGATCTCGTTCGTCGTGTAAGTCCCCCTCTTGCTATATGTACTTTCAGCACGTGCTAACATCGTCGAATTACACGTTCCCAGACGCTCTCAGCATGGCATTTCTTTTGTAAAATACGCTAACATTCACATTACAGGTTCCGCTGTTTGATCAAATGGACGAGAGAATGCTGGATGCAATATGCGAGCGGCTTAAACCGGCTTTATCTACGGAAGGCACGGTTCTGGTACGAGAAGGAGACCTGGTGGACGAAATGCTGTTCATAATTCGCGGCAATTTGGATTCCTACACCACCAACGGCGGCCGGACGGGGTTTTTCAACTCCTGCAAGATCGGTCCCGGCGAATTCTGCGGCGAGGAACTGCTGACGTGGGCGCTGGACCCGCGTCCGAGCGTCCTGCTCCCGTCTTCCACTCGCACAGTCAAGGCCATTTCTGAAGTGGAAGCTTTCGCTCTGCGAGCAGAGGATTTGAAATTCGTGGCATCCCAATTCAGGAGATTGCATAGTAAGCAGCTGAGACACAAGTTCAGGTTCTACTCGCACCAGTGGCGGACGTGGGCAGCGTGCTTTATCCAGGCGGCGTGGCGTCGGTACAAGAAGAGGAAGGAATTGGCGGAGCTGAGAGCTAGGGAGGAAGGGAGCTGCGATGATGATGATCGGCGGCGGGACGAGGCGGTGGAGGCGGTGAAGAAGGGTGGTTTCGCGGCGGTGTACACGGCGAAGATGGCGACGAGCACGAGAAAGGGAGTGACGATCATGAAGCATTCTTCTTCCTCTGGGTCGGGTTCCAGCGTCGTTAATGTGAATTCGTTGCAAAAGCCTTCCGAACCTGACTTTTCTGTGGTTGAGGATTAAGAACTAAAGTTTGTTTTTTTAATTCCTTTTTCGGTTGCTGCCGGCGCCGGAGATATGTGTGAGAAATGTGAATGCAATGGGTTTTGTAGAGAGGGTAAAAGGGGGAAAGTAATGTACATCGATCGACTCTGTGATTTGATTCCTATAGCAGAGACGTAGGAGGAAGAAGAAAGAAAATCAATCCTATTGATTTTTAGTTGCCTTTCTAGTTTCTACATATGCTTCAATCGAGTTGCTTGAGTTAATTCTATACAACTTGTGAGTTAATCGAGCTACAACAAATCAAACTAGATTCGCTGATCAATCAAGTACGAGATAATACGATTTCTTCAACTCGAATTACGAGCAAATAAAATGACGAATACAACAGTATGCTGCAACACTGCCTGCATTGTGTTTCAGGCATATTTTTGCTTTCATGTTAGGATCAATAGCGTACAGAACGTACAGCAGTCATGAACGAGGCGATTCTCGATGGATCCTTATTTATCCCATCTGAGCCGCAAATGCCACTGCTAACATCTATACCATGAGGCTTAAGGGTGGTCAAAGCTTCACAAACGTTTTCAGGGTTGATCCCTCCTGCTAAGAGCCAACCATGCTTGCTCCTGATTGGTGGTAACTTAAACTGAGCCCAGTTGAATCCCGTTCCACTGCAAACAGCATACAACAAGTTGCAAGGTTGTGGCTTTACATTAAGGTGATAGTTTGGTCACATTCACAGACATGTAAAACATTGATGCCCAGTTACCTGCCACCAGTTGCACTGTCAAAGAGAATCCAATCAACCAACGAACTTTCTTCATCCGAGACTTGATTCAGAAGCTCTCCGTCCTTGTTTGCATGAAGAACATAGACTATCTGGGTATCTTGTACTAATTGTTGGAGAGCCGCCCTTGAACCAGTCCCATGAAGCTGCAAAAAAACTAATGGATGAATGAAACAAGCTTGCACGCAACATATGAAGTAGGTAAAACCATAAAAGAGGTTCACACACAAACCTGTACAAATTCAAGATCAGCTACTTCTGCAGCTCGCCTTATAGTATCTGCATTATCATCAACGAATACACCGACAGGCTTCGCTCCATTTTCCCTAGCAGCTTTCGAAACTTCTTTTGCGACTGAAAGTGGAATGGAGCGCTTGGAGTTTGGCCATATGATCATCCCAATGAAATCAGCCCCAGCTTCTGCAGCAATGGCAGCATCTCTAGCCGATGTTATCCCACACATTTTCACCAACGGCAAACTCTTATCACCATGCTCCTCGCTGGTGGACGATGCTATCTCTGACAAGCAAGACCTGATCTTCACCGAGTTCAGTAGTCTTCCAAACTTTAGGCCTGCACATGTCCAAAGTCCCACTTTACCAAGTTCTTTTGCGGTGGAACATGAACATTATGAAATACTAAAAGAGGCAAAAATCTACCAGGAGCATTTAGCCTTTTCAAGTTGACGAAATTGGGCTGTAAGTAAGTTGTTGTATTCATCCCAACGACACAAGGAAATGGTGAATGTGCAGCCTCAATCCACGAACTAACTGGCTAGAAGGCTACATCAAACAAGAGAAAACAGGGAAACAATAAAGCAATTGCAGTATCCTTAAAGCAGGCCAAATACACTGTCACGCTTCTCAGGACACACCAAAGTCAATGTGCCACTCTAAACAGTTCATCAACATTAACTTTCTATTTACATGGAGCACAAGAAATCTCAAACTTGCATATGAAAGCTTCGATCTTTATCATGAATACAATAGTATCTAACAGAACGCGGGAAATGATAAACTGAAACGAGCTCAAGCTTCAAACTTTCTTTGACATGGAAATGGATGAAGTTAATTGGAACTGTGGGTCAAACACAGATTTTTTGCACTGTGCGAAGGCACGAATTGAGAACCAACAATACCATGGAGCAGTCGCACCGTTGAGTGAAAATTATGAATTTGAAACAACGAAAGCAAACTAAACAGCTGGGAATGGAGCACAGAATTCTTACATGCAAGCAGGGGTTTCTAGCAACTCGAGGAAACTGTTGGCCGGAGAGATCGGTGGTCGCGGTGGCGGCGGCGGCGGCGAGAGGTGGGGGAAGGAGTACTTACTACTTAGTGGAGTGGGGTGGGGTATGCGGATCATGTGACAATGTTTTGGGCTCTATTTGTTTGGGCCTTACGAGATTGACCCGCATGAGATTGGGCCAGCTCAGGTTGGACAGGACAAATCGGACTTCAAGAACCAGTTGATACCAATAACTCGAGTTGTTGGGAGATGTTCAATCGTGGATCATATACCACAAAACTAACACGCTCCCTCAAACGAAAGCCACTCACAAGGGCTTGAAGTTTGCACAAGTCTGAAGACAAGAATACCATGTGCTTAACAAATAGGGGTCACCGGGAATCGAACACAAGACCTCTCGGTCACAGAAGGCTCTGATACCATGTCAAGAACCCAGTTGATCCCAATAACTCGAGTTGTTGGGAGAGGTTCAATCGTGGATCATATATTACAACACTAACACCAATCACTGTTTTATTTAATTTCCAGGCTGATTATCAGCATGAGTAGAACATGGATGACACAAAAAAACAAGCTACATGCCACACAGTACTTTATTACATAAAAACAACAACCAGAGTAGGAGTATAACTGATTAACTGAACGACAGACATAATACTCAACAATTCTGACAGAACAAAAACTACTTGAACGTCACCAGGCACAGTAGTTGCTTATTAGGTGATTAAGGCCACGTAAACATGATTACGAGGGGTAGGTAATTAACTCATTAAGCACAGGCACCAGGGTTGGCCAGGAGGTAATCCTGCACAAGCTTGTAGACCGTCGTAGTCTGCTTCCCAATGGCATCAATCATTGCCTTGTCAGCAGCACCTCCCTTGGTATGATAATGATCGGTTGCTTTGACGACACATCCGTCACCGGCCGGCTCGATCTTTCTCTCGTTCACCACCGACTCGATGTTGTCGCTCAATGGACTGCCTTCAATCACCGTGTACTTGGCGTAGTAGTTGGCCGGATCCTGGGCCTCCACCTTGTGCTTCACAATCTTCACTTGGTTCCCTATACGAGTACATGTCCACCCATCTCATGATACAAACAATACTAATACATAAAAAAAAATGCACTTATGGTTTCAAAATACTCGTAAAACCGAGAATTCGAGTTATTGGGAACGGTGGGGGGTTTATGACATGGTATCACACAACAGGTCTGTCCTTGAGATCATTTGTTCAAATCTTAGTAGGTCGAGTTATAACATATGAGATCGGTGTATATGTTCATGCACGCACGTACGTACCTTCGTCGGGGAAGCAGGTCTCGAGGATGCTACCGACACCTCCGTCGCCCTGGACGACCTTGCTCTTGTATTGAGGCATGATCTTGGGGAAGAGGGTTGGGGAGTCCTCGAGCAGTGCCTTGTACATTCTAGGTGCTGGGATTGAGGACTTGAACTCGTGGGTAGCCGTGGTCACGCCCATGTTTGATGTTCAAAGAGTAGATTGGATAGGGAGCTAAGGTCTAGCTAGCAAGTGTAAGTAGGTTATTTTTGGTTGGGGTTTGAGTGTGGAGATGAAATGGCCTCTGGCCTTGGCAATTTATAGAGAGAGAGGAGAAGTGGATAACTGGATATTGATGCAGATGATCATGAGATCAGAGAGGAGTTGGGTTTTGTTGGGTAGCCCAAAAAAGTATCGATCTGTGGATCATGAGCTTCCAAACGCACTCCATCTTTGAATCCGCTCAGTCAGTCTTCTTCTTGCGTTCTATTCGGCGGGGTATGACCGAATGTGTCTGACTCACTGATCAGCTTTTTTGATGATGTAAATCAGTAAATGCCAAACTTATTTGCGTTATATTGCATGCATGCGTGCCACCAAGCACCTTGCCTCCATACCTTTTGCTCACTTTCTTCAAACACTTTTTTCAAGAAACTTATCACGTGATGGTTGGTTCTAATAATTCGATTTGTTGAGAGAGATTTAATTATGAAATTTTATATTATTTATAAATACGCCTCTTTCAAACAAAAAACTACTGATGTGTAGTGATGACAATTTATTTGTGAAGTATTTTATCTGCCTTGTAAACAGTGGCGGATCCAGGGGGTGGCCACCCCGAGCCCCGGCTCAGCCCTCCTATGGATCCATAATTGGCATAGGCTTTATTAATTTTTCGATTTTAGGTATTCGACCTAATATTATTTTATAATAAAATTGGATATAATTAGCAAATTGATTTAGATGAACATATTAAAATCACTACTCTAAATTTAGCCTAGAAATTCTAGCCTCAAAGATTTTTCGTCTAAAAAAAATGAAACCTAAAATTATAAAGCATAATAGACTAAAAAAAATATGAGGTTTGTTACCTTGAAAATTTATAAGACAACTGGTGGTATAACACATAATGCAAATTGATATTGATTTGTCTAGTGTTGACGCTGCTCGTTTTAACAACTACTACAGAGAGAACCTGAGAGAACCTTTTGAACAAAGAAACATGTAAAAACTAATTTGCACAATAAATGAGCGATGAATTTCTTTTCAATTGCTCAAGTATTTTATTTGGGACAATGTATACTATTGGTATGGATGTGGACTACATTATTGATGCATTTGCTAAATTAAGATACCGTCGTGTACAATTTACATTGTAAAAAAACTATAATAATTAATTATTTTAGGATTCTAATTTTTTAATAAAATACGACTCAGTGCTCTTCTGTGTTCTGGATCCGCCGATGCTTGTAAAATAGTTAAATATCAAAAAATTTCAAATGACATATAAAAATGAGTAAACTCGTGCTCTATCCCGTATCCGTGCGGGTATCACCCGCGACCTAACTCAGCACTTAGCACAAAGCGGGTATGGGTACGTACTGACCTACCTGTCCCGACCCGCCCATTGTCATCACTACTCATCTGGACAAACACATATTCTAGTACTATGTACATAACAAATAGAGATTGTCGAAATTCCATACTCACACCCATATCCACCCAAGAATCGTGTATAAAAATATTTTTGTTCCGCATCATATGGGTCATTCTGAAACCAAAACACACCCTACCCTAGCCATTCTAGTCGGAAGAATATATTATATGCCGTTTTCGGGTCGGACTGGGATTGTGTGTTCTCCTTCAATTTATATTTTAGTGTATAAATATATATATGCGGCAAAGTATTCATCAGCGAGAATAATCGACTAGTACAGACGATAACAACAACAACAACAACAACAACAATGGCGGCCAAAGAATTTATTTGCGCCATCGAGAGTCTGCAATTGGTCGCTTGCTTGAATCGGCACGAGGAATCCTTTGAGAAGCTGGTGAGACAGAACCCCAAGAAGTTCGTCGGTGTGATGAGGCGCAACGAGGCACGATTAAGGCAGGACTTCATAGACAATGCGGCGGACTGTATCCGCGTTTTCCGCGAGTTTCGCGAGTTCGTGGAGCAGCAGCTCCTTTTCGGGACAATCGGCTTCGACCCTCTCCTCTACAACTTTGCTCTCTATCCCCTCGCCGCCGTCGCCGCGCTCGCCCTGAGCGAGGCCTGCACCGTCCCGCTCTCCCGCATCACCATACTCTCCCAGGTTATTACCGATAATTCGAGTTGTTGGGAAAAGTGTATTGTTGGAGTTATTAACGTAACATATATCACCACTTGTACGGCTAAACCACATTAGGGTTTTTCGGTTTCAACGCGTATTATATATCTCTTATCGTAAACTATATATTGTCGTATTGAGGTTTGTCATAATGATTTGAAACCCATGACCTCTCGATTTTGAAGTCTCTCACAATATGTGAAACGATAAATCAACTTTAGTTCTCATCATTCGAGTTGTCGGGAAAGAGTTTGTATTGTATGAGTTTTTTTCATCACTTACATTACGTCTGCCCCCCAAATGAAAGTTAACTTCTGGGGATTTTTTTAGTTTGTACATGTTGAACATATATCATGCTGCTCTGTGCTAGATCGTTGTTTTATATTAGGGTTTGTCATAACGATTCGAAGCCACGATCTCTCGATCGAAGACTCACTTTGAACCATGTGAACCAACAAACCGCTTAGTCTTAATAACCCGCGAGTTGTTGATAAAAAGGTTTGTGTGAGTTTTTATCGATCTCTTACCCACCGACCAATTGGAATAATTGCAGGTGGAAGGAGGAGCACCGGCCGGCGACAGGAGGAGGATGAACATATTGCAGCAGGCTGTTCGGATCGTCGAAGAACAGGGTGGTAGTGATGTTGGGTGCAAAGGGCTTTGGAGGGGCAGCAAAGTTTTTGTTGCTCATCGGCTGGCTTTTTACGGAATCCACTTGTCCGCCTATACCAATTTCAAGGCTCTAATACAGGTAATCAATATGCATTACGACGTCATATGCTGTATAGTAAGTTGAATCCGATTGATGACGCGCATTGTAGTAAACGACATAATCAGATCTATAACTGAAATTTCACAACAACTTGAGTTATCGGAATAAATCAGTTCCGACACACATATGCTTGATTAGAATCTTAATGGCAGGGGAGTCTGCGGCTGAATCCAGTCGGGGTGGCTTTTATCGGCGGAGGATTGGCAGCACTAACTGCTTCCTCGGTTTTGTATCCATTGGATACTGTAAAAACACACATGGCCCTTCAGGTATGTTCATTCGTTCACATAAAGTACAGACTTTGCCCTAGTTTTGGTGGCTTGTAGCATATCCTGAGTAAATCTAGTAAGAAAACGATATCTAAATTTTGAATTATATTCGGATTTTGAGGCATTATACTATACTCTAATTCTTAATGAGTGATAAGTTCATTATGTAAATCACAAATTCCCAAATCCTCAGAAGATCGCATGCAGTTTGTTGCATGTATTTCGACGAATCATAACCGCTACTTGTAAATCAATTGATTTTAGCGTATAATTTTTAGAAAACTAACATCCATACTTAATCATTAGTGAGTTCGATGGGCTCATTATGTAAATCACAAATTCCCAAATCCTCAGAAGATCGCATGTAGTTTGTTGTATGTACTCCGACGAATCATAACCACTACTTGTAAATCAATTGATTTTAGCGTATATAAGGTTTAGAAAACTAACATCTATATTTTAATCATTAGTGATTAGAGTATAGTATCATAGTACTACTCGTTTCTTTCTGGGGTATGTAACGCATGTACGTAACCTAACGCGTAATTTGGTGGCCAATGACTATATCTAGACGAGCAAAGAGTACAGGGGAGCATGGGGTACTTATCGCAACATGATATGCAAAGATGGCGGCCACAGATCTCTCTATGCTGGACTGTCGGCATCATTATTGGTTAGTAGACAGTACTGCTTCGACCTAGCTAGCATTTTAGTAATATATTTTTTTTTTTTGAGTGTTCATATCATATCTCTAACGTTGCGTTTTTGTTCCAGCGCGTTGTCCCATCCATGGCAGTAAGCCTTTCAGTCTACGAACGTCTCTCAATGCTTTGGGATGATCTAAGGTACACATACAGATCGATATGGAACATTGTGCTCATTAATGAATAATGCATCCTATCTATCGTTAATTATAATTAGTAAATACTTCGTTTAATACGCGCGCATCTTTGACTTTCAGGCCAGGGGATTCTCTGTTCACGACCACACTCGTTTGCGGGAGCATCGCAGGCCTTGCCGCCTCACTAGGTAAGGAACAAAGACTGCATGCAAGACTGGGCTTTTCTGCTAATTGGTACACACGACTTGTTCACTAGTGGTGTCTGTCATCATCATCATCATCCAACTTATCGTCTCTATCTGTGACTGGTATTTGCAGCAACGTATCCGCTTGATGTTGTGCAAAGAAGATTGCAAACGGCTGCTGCTGGGTCGGGCGGTTCGGGTTTAGTCGCGGTAGGGCGGATGTTTGGAGAAATAGTCCGGGAGGAAGGCGTGGGAGGATTGTACAGAGGCGTCCAAGCTCATTGTTTGAAGACCGTTCTCGATCACGCGGTTGCCTATACGACTTACGAGATGGCTAAGGTGCCCAGCGCCTTTATGCGCCTTGTTAGGATAGGAGATTATTAGAGTGTGACATGGTCCACCTATTGGGTAAATTTTAGTATTTTAAGTTTACTTTTCTCAAAGTCGATCTTATAAGTAGGGATGACAACAAAACCCGAATCCACGGGTACCCTGTCCGGCCCAACCCGGTCAACGCGGGTGAAACTCGTGTTGACGGGTTTTGGGCCGAGTTCGGGTTTAAACCCGCTACACCATCTCTAGGTTGGGTTGGATTTAGGAAAACCTGATCCATGAGTGCGTACGTAGGTAGGTTTCCCAATTAACCACGTATACGCTTGGAAGGTTTCTCTGAACTTTGGTGGCATGCATGCAATAGCGAAGGTGTAAAATGAAAAAAAAATGGAGAGAGTTAGCCCGCTAGTATATACGTATACAAGAGCTTGTCCTTTCCACCAAAAATCAGCTGAGTCAAGACATTGCCACGTACCTGACTTCATCTTGAAGGGTTGACATTAACGCAATGTGAACCGAAAGAATGGCATTGTTGTAAACTCTGTCCAGATCGTCCAACTCGTCACACTAAATAATAATAACAACATTATATTGGGATCTAGATGCAAGAAGAAGATTGCGAGGATTCAAACATGGAGTGCGCTCACGGTCATAGACTTTTCTGGGCTACCAAACAAATGAAACCCATCTCATCTCATGATCATCTGCATCAATATCCACCTTTCCCTCTCCTATAAATTGCCAAGGCCAGAAGCCATTTATCTCCACCCCCAAGCAGAAACCTACTTACTAACATTTGCTAGAGCTAGCTTCCCTAATCCAACTACTCTTCTTCTCTCGTCAACATCAAACATGGGCGTGACCACGGCTACCCACGAGTTCAAGTCCTCAATCCCAGCACCTAGAATGTTCAAGGCACTGGTCCAGGACTCTGCAACTTTCTTCCCCAAGATCATGCCTCAATTCAAGAGCGAGGTTGTCCAGGGCGACGGAGGCGTCGGTAGCATCCTCAAGACCTGTTACCCTGAGGAAGGTACTTATGATTAGAGTATGAGACTTTACACTACGCGAGTATTGTTATATAATTTGACAGAATTGTGATATGCGTCGACATTGCACATATAGGGACCCAAGTGAAGACTGTGAAGCACAAGGTGGAGGCCAAGGATCCGGCCAGCTACTACGCCAAGTACACGGTGATCGAAGGAGGTCCGTTGAGCGATAACGTTGAGTCGGTGGTGAATGAGGTGAAGATCGAGCCGGCTGGTGATGGAAGCATCGTCAGGGCAACCAATCATTATCATACCAAGGGAGGTGCTGCTGACAAGGCAATGATTGATGCCATTGGGGAGAAGACTTTGTCTATGTACAAGCTTGTGCAGGACTACCTCCTCGCCAACCCTGGTGTCTGTGCTTGAGTTAATTACGTAGCCGCCACTAATCATGTGTACGCGATCTTAATAACACAATATTAAGCAATTACTTGTCTGTGAGGCATATAGTTTTTGTTCTGTATTAATTGTTGAGTACGGTGTCTTTCGTGAAGTTTTACTCTTGCTGTGGTTGTTGTTTTTATGTAATAATGTATTGGTGGCATGTACCTTATTTCATGTGTCTTCCATGTACTACTTATTATGTTATGCTTTGCAACAACAAAGTCCTCGATCTTTGTTGTTTCTTGAGTTGCCTTCAAAACCAATCTAGTTGATCAAATTAGTATATATAAAGCGCCTGTTTTACTTAAGGGGTCCAGTGGGCTACGGGTAGGTACACCGTAAGCAGCTGTGCACCCCTTTTGTTCCGTCCCGAGATCCCCTGCTTCCTACCCGTCACTTTCTTTCGCATTATCACCCTCAACAATTACCGATTCGTGGTCGACCAATTGGCGATTGGCCAAGTTGGATAGCCAATTTTCTACCATGATTCTTCCTCCCATCTTCTGATTGGAGGCTGGCTGAGTTGGACTATTACCTCTGCTTCTGGATTTGAGAAAAGAACCGTAAGCAAGCCCCCATCCAAATCGACAGCAACTCCATACACCGCGCCACAGTCCCCACCAAAATCCACGGCTGCCAAGCTAGAATCGGTCAAATGGAAAAACAGACATGCGCTAGCTTCATCCTCGATTGATCATAAAGCATAGGGGTTATGGTTATGAATGGACCATCCATCCTCCTATTCCAAAGCTATATTGCAAAAAAGTAACTAAGGTTGCAAAAACAGAGCCCCCTTTCCGATTGTCCCCCATCTGCTCCAAATTCTCACACGCAAAGATGAAAAGGTACACTTACCTCTTCAACAAAAAGTTTTGAAACATCCCTCCATTCTCACTTGCTAAACCACTTGAATGGGAAATACAAATCTTCGCGCTTCCATCCTCTTCTCCGTCTAGACTCCAAATGCGATGCAAGATGACATCTTTGAGATTATAAGCTTTAGTAAAAGTAATATAATCCAGCTCAATGTCATGAGTCTAAAATACGACTTCTCTTTCCTTCACAACTCTAAACTCGCCACCCAAACTTTTGTTGAAGCGTTTGCACCGAGGGAGAGAGGACGGGAAGTTGAAGAGGTAGAAGAAAGAAAACTTTAAAAAGTAAAGAGACAAAGGAAGTTATGGACTTGGTTAATCATGATGCATGCTTAGGGAAGGGACACTCTTCCATTGTCCACGTGTATATACTAATTACTAATTAGGGACTTGAAGAAGCTGCTAGAAAAAATAAATTGAAATATAAAATATAACAAACAACCTGTTAATATTTTGGATTTGTTGACTGCTCAATCTTTTGAAAGTTCATGAAATAAGAAAGGGTTATTGATATGTCGATGCATGTCTATTTACACCATTAGAATTTATGAAAGGTTTCATTTGATGAGAGAATTGCCGAAAGCCAACATTGAATTCAATTAAAAATATAAAGATGTCAATTTTTACTTTTTAGTCATTGATAGGAATTATACACCTTTGACATAATATTTATGTTTAGCCCGATTTTAGAATTGTTTTTCTATTCCAAAAGTTGAAATTGGACCAAACACTTCGGTTTTTTTGAAGAAAATTGAAAAGTGCTTTTTATAACATAATAACAGAGGATTCGATTTGGAGTTATAGGAAAAATCTGTTTGAAAGTACAAGATTATCTTTATTATATTAATTTTTTTTCCTGAGGACATAATTTTCCTTAATTTATCTTATTCTAAAAAAAATAAATTAAAAAATAATATTATTTAATATAAAAGAAATCAAACAAGACTTTTGACTACTTTTCATTTTTTTGCGTTTTTATCCATTTTACATGGACTCTTAAATTAAAAACAATTCATATAGTTTTTCAACTAAACACTAAACTGTGTTTTTAGTGCATTTTTAAAAGTTCGAGCCAAAAGCTGGTTTTGCAAAAGGTAAAGCATGGTCAAACTAGCCCAATGTTGTTTTAAAATTTAAAACTTGGATAATTATGCTATACTTAAATTATAAGAGACCATAAAAATATTTGAAGTTTTTAATATTTTCTTGGGTTTCCCTTCTATACATATAAAACTATTCATCCTGACTTATTTCAATTACCAACTGTGTATCAAACAAATTATATGCATGATAAATCATTTACGAAAGTCTTTTTTTATGGTAAACCTATGCTTTAATTTAAGAAAGTCTTGAAGCCCTCCCCAAATACAAAGTGGTATCTAATTTTAAGAAAACTAATAAAAAATTTGTCAATTTAAATATAATTGCAATCAATATATCAAATTTGTCAATTTCATCGTTACCCGTCGCGGAGCGCGGGCCAATTATCTAGTGTGAATTTATACTATCAATAACATCCAACTTAATCTTAAATCTTTTTGCAGTTCTTGCATAAGGTTAGATGTTCCACTTCAATTTAATTAGTAGTATATACATGTTGCAACTTTTTGTGCTAGAAAGTATTAGTATTATAGATTATCATTACATACAAACATTTTTACACAAAATACATGAAACTTACATAAAGATAAAGATAAACCATTTATGCACAAAATACATGTATGTTTATGAAACTTATCACAACCCCACACTTAGCATTTGCTTGTCCCTAAGCAAAAGAGAAATAATTGAAAGAAAAGCAAATAAACATACAACTAAGACTCCTAGTCCTAGGACTCAAATAAAAGACACACCACCCCTAAGACTCGACTACTAACATTGTTGCTTGAGTTTTTGCTAACACAAAATAGGACTCATCCCACTTTTTCATAATCGGCAACCGTTCTTCTTTTCTATCCTTAATAACACATCCCTCTCTCTCTTCCTACACCTTTGCTCTCTCACTAACTTTCTCTTTCTTTATGTGCAACTCTCTCTTGCTCAACTGTCTTCAGTTTTTTCTGCTGAGTTATCTCCAGTTCTCTCGCTACCTCGGGTAATTATTAGGAATTCAACTGATTAGGTAGATAGAACTTCTGAACTGTGTTGCTTGGGATAGTGCGTTAGGCTACAGAAATCCACAGATTCGACTAAGACTCGATACCTTAGATAATTATTAAGAACTCAACTGATTAGGTAGATAGTTTTTCTGACCTGTGTTGCTTGTAATAGTACGCGAGGGTAGAAAATTCAACGGATTAGACTAAGGCTCCTTGCTAACACATCCTCTCTCTCCAGCTATACAAATTGGCTAAGAATCTCCCTATTATGACTCCAAGCCCTTCGAGCCTTCTCCAGCCTCTAGATTTGGCTTCAAGTTGATCATTATAGACAAGAAGGTAGATAACAGAGCTATTTTCACAGGCCGTGGGAACCTTACTTACCGTGGTGAGATTATCGATGAGGTGGACTTCACCACCGAAAAGTTCCTTGGCCAATTTGCGGTCAGGGCAGTTGCCCTCATGGGAAAGCATCAGATTGTGGACTTCAAACACACGGGGGGCAACTTCATCGAATGGATTTTAGGGAGGAGCAGTAAGGACTGACATCTGCAGCAGAACCTGCCCAATTATGCTTGAGGAGAAGAGCCTGGGGATAAAGACATGATTTACTTTGTTGAGGGTTTCCAACTGACAGTTTGCATGAGTCATCACGGGTAGTTCCTAGATAAGCTGGTGAAATAACAAACAAATAAGGTGCAAACATACTTTTCTTATTCACTTTTTCTTACTCTCTCATACTCTTAAAAGGAAACAAGAATAGAACAAAGAAGTAAAAAGTAGTACAAAAAAATACAACTTATGAGCATGTATCTTCTGTCAAGAAACTTACTTCTATTTACTCTTCGTTTCTCTTTTGATTCGAACCGTTTCATACACTTAGGTCCATTTAAAAGGGAAACAACAAAGAAATCAAATATATTTAAGGATTGTATCTTAATTAACATTCATGGATATTTTGAGAGTTTAAAGAATTTTTCCCATATAACTCAAATAAATATATTCAATCAAGTGTTTCAACCATAGTTCTGAAGAAACGTGAAAGTTGTGTTGTTAATTTCCGTTAAGAAATGCTTTGAAGGTTTAATGAGATCCCAATGAAGTACGAATTTAGTTTCGTTTGTAAGAATGTATCTTTCATTTAACAAATGAGCACAAGTTACATGAGTTGTATATCAAATAAGAAATCTTATAAAGCAAATTACAAATTCTACGAAATATATCAGAAATCTCATAAATAGACCTCAAGTTCTCTGAATCGTACAAAAAATATGTGCAACCACACTAGAGCTCTCATGAAGCAGAACAGAAATACGAGAAACCACACTAGAAATGTCATGAAGCAAATCAAAAACTTTATAAAGGATGACAAGTAATAAAAAAATGTATGATGATGAAATATGTTTTTATAATATTAAAATATTTTTTACATGTAATTTGTTGGAAATTTATTTTGTGCAATGAGAAGTGGAGTGAGGGTGGAGAGGGCAGGAGGCGGAAAAAACGGGAGGAAGACATGAGGGGTAGCTACGATGTACAATAGTTAGCATACAATTCCTAATAATTATGTTATGTTCCAAATGATCAAATCCTAGAAGCTTGCATAAATTTTCTTTGACAGTTAACATATAGTCTGATGTCGAAACTAAGATATCCATCGAGGATGTCCAATAGGATGTTTATTGCGTCTCAATGATGTCCTTAATTGTTGGTGGAGATGGATCCAAAAGGTGTGTAGGGTAATATTAAGGAGAATATCAAAATTATACTTCAACACTACCTACTCAGATAAAAGGGTGAACAAGGATGAGACTATTGATGGCATAAGGGGGTTGATAGCAGTTATGTGTCTGATGATGATTAAGATTTTGAATGCTTTAAATTGACGAACGCATGTTTTGTTTGAGTTTCTCCTTATCGAAATGAGCATTATCTACAATAGTAAATTGGCTTATATTTCCAATGTTCCATATGTAACTTGAAACTCAGTAATTAGGAATGAATTGACATCCAAAAGATTCTCCTTAAGCATCTTTTACTTAATTAGTGATCTTAGATACAAGTCACTCTATTAGAGTTTGTAGTATATGTGGAGTGAGAGAATCTAAGTATCCGGTTGATACGAAATAGTGCAGACATTGTATGAAAAAACATATTAAGAAGCCATAGAATGTCACTTTTCTTACTAAAATTTTGAAAAAAAAAATTATGTAGCATTACATAATGATCCGAGAAATATTTTATTGCACATTTTGAGCGAGGGCAAAACATTTGATTTGTTTTTACTTATTTTAAGTTGTCTCTAGAGAAATTTTCTTCTTCTCACTCACAAGACTCAAATAATCGTTGTAATTTATCATATTAATCGATTGATATTGAAGATCTCATTAATGGGAGACATGAAAGTTCAAATGTGAGGACTTAAATTAACCCTAGCTAAATGAGCTTCTCGCTTTCATTGTTTTATGATTGTCCGTCCTTATAATTCAATCATTCATGATAGGAGAAAAAAAAACATATTCTTTTCTTACCTAGTGAGGGAACAAAGGGAGCAATATATACCTTATTATAATAGAGGATCACTAATTCCACTCAATAGTTACCAAAGGTAGTTGGAGAAACACTTCTCCCTCACTAGATTTTTTTTTAAATGGTGAAAGATGCATTAAGAAAAAAACCAGATAACGCCCAAGTCACAGTACAAAATAAGGAGCAAAAACAAAAAACAAGACAAACCAGAAAAAATAAACTCAAAATATTACAAACGAAACCCAGCCACGGATCATAGAAAGCAGCAACACGCATCCCTGCAACCTTGATCTTAACAAGAAAACCTGAACAACAAAGCTAAAACAACCACACTCCAGCTCCCCAACCAAAAAGGCCTCTGCCAACAACAACCAACCCTCTGGAACAATCAGCACCCTCTACCTATTATGTGCATTATTCACTCTTATCCACCGGTTTCCTTGATCTCTGCTGATCTTTCCAAACGCAACGAGCCACTCGACAACGCCATGAACAGCCTTCTTGTAAACAGAAGTGACCGGGAGTGTTAGACGAATGGGTTTTGGGTCTCTGGTTTGGCCTTTGTTTCGGCCCATGTTGTCTCGGCTGTCTTGTCTCTACTGTCCATTATGTAATTGGCCCATGCAAACTAGTATACACGTTGCTATTAGGGTTTGCTAGGGTTAGGATAGTATAAAGATAGCTGTGTAACCGAGTGGAAACGTTAAGCTGAATAAGAGATTCCTATTCCCCGTGGACTAGTCGGTATTGCTCTCTGCAATATCGGAAACCACGTAACTCTGTTTGTGTTTTCGTTTTCAGCTTGATAGGTTTTCTAACATGGTATCAGAGCTTTCGAGAATGGATACGGAGAAGATTTCCCTCCGTCTCAATCACAAGAACTATGCCTTGTGGGAATTCCAATTCCGTGTCTTCGTTAAGGGACATGGTCTACTTGGCATTCTCAATGGAACGACCCAGAAGCCGCTCGCCCCGGCTCCGGAACAAGAAATCGCCCGCTGGGGCCAGCAAGATGCACGGATACGATCCTGGATACTGGGCTCGGTTGACCCAACGATCGCGCTCGGACTTCGTCTGCACACCACGGCCTTCACGATGTGGTCGCATCTGGCCTCCACATACTCGTCTGTCAATCCCGCCCGCCAGTTCGAGATTGAGTGTGCTCTCGGACGGCTGGAACAAGGCAACAAGGATGTCACCGCTTACTTCAGTGATGCACAGGAGCTCTGGATTGAACAAGACTTGCTGACCGCTACCCTTCGCTCCAAGGAGGCCTCTGCCGAAGTTCTTGAAGACCGGCAGCGCTCCCGTCTGTGCCAATTCCTCATGAAATTGAGGCCTGAGTTCGAGGCCATTCGCTCCACACTGCTCAATCGGGAGGACCTCAAATTTGACGGCGTTCTCGGCCACCTCGTCCGCGAAGAAACGCGCCTACGTACCCAGGCACAACTTGATGTTCGTCCCGGTGAGGGCGAAACTGTGTTTGCTGCCGCTGCTGATCACTCCCAGTCCATTGCCGCTGCTGTTCAGAGGCCTCAGTTTCAACGTCGCGTCCCGGCGACCGAGCTCGAGTGCCATCACTGCCACGAGAGAGGCCATCTCCAAAAGCACTGTCGCCGCAAGAATTTTTGCGTGTATTGTAAACGCAATGGGCACATCGTTCTTGACTGCCGATCGGCCCAGCGAGCTGCTGCTCGTTCTGCTTCTGCCGGTACCTCCGCTGATCGTTCAGCCCATGCCCCGGCTGATCGCCCAGCCTATGCCGTCCAAGCTCCACTCCCCGCCCCGCCTGGACCTGCCGTTGATGTCGCTACGGTTGAACAGGTAGTGAACAGCGCACTCCAACGTTCTCTCCCGGGGGCGATCAGTAGCGCCTTCGCTGCCCTGCAAGCTACAGGTAAGCCTCGACCTTGGCTTCTGGACTCGGGATGTTTTAATCATATGACCAAAGATGCTCATCAATTATGTGATAAGTCTCCTGTTCATAACATGACCTTACGTGTGGCAAATGGCCAACAGTTAAATGTGCATGGAATTGGTCAGGTTCACACTACGAAAATTGCTTTGCCCAACACGTTGCATGTCCCTGCTCTTGTTCCGAATTTGGTTTCCGTAGGGCAGCTAACCGAGCAAGGTTGCTCTGTTTTATTTGAACCTTCTGGTTGTGTTATCCAGGATCTGAAGACCGGGAGGCAGATCGGACGAGGGAGTAAGCAAGGGCGAGTGTTTCATTTAGAGGAGCTCTCGAGTCGATCGGGGGCCACGCCACCAGCTAGTATTCGTCCCGTCAGTAGTCCGGTTTCTAGGCCTGTCAGTAGTCCTTCCTCGTTGGTGTCTAGTGTTGTTGATTCTGTTTCTCGTTCAAAAACAGCATGGGAACTATGGCATGCACGTTTAGGTCATCCAAATTCGGTTCGGCTTATGTCTATGTTTAAACAAAACTTGCTTGGTCCTAATAAAGGTGGTGTTTCCTCTGTTCATAAGTGCACTAGTTGTATTGATGCTAAGCTCAAGAGCATTTCCTTCTCCCCTAGTCAAACTGTGATTTCGGAACCGTTTCATATCGTGCATACCGATCTTTGGGGGCCTTCTCCCACTGTTTCTCGCCATGGTTTTCGCTACTTTGCTCTTTTCGTGGATCATGCTACTCGGTTCACGTGGGTCTATTTTCTTCGTCTTAAGTCTGATTTGTTGGCTGTTGCCTCCGAGTTTTTGAACATGGTTCGCACCCAGTTTAATCGTCCTGTCAAAATTGTTAGGTCCGACCCTGGCGGAGAATTTAGCTCCCATCCGTTACGTGATCTTTATCGTTCTCTTGGTACCTTATGTCAGAAGTCTTGTCCGGGTGTCTCACAGCAAAACGGCCTTGTTGAACGGAAAAATCGCCACGTGGTTGAGCTGACTCGAGCTCTCCTTCTCGACTCCCACGTTCCATCGATTTTTTGGCCTGAGGCCGTGGCCACTGCTGTTCGGCTCATTAACTATCAGATCACGCCTGTCCTTGATCACCGTAGTCCGTTTTTCACTCTGTTTTCTAAGCATCCGGACTATACTCGTCTTCGTGTCTTTGGTTGTACTTGCTTTGTTCTCACTCCTAAGAAAGAACGGAATAAGTTCTCTTCCAAGGCTGCCCGTTGTATGTTCTTAGGGTATAGCGATGTCCACAAAGGGTACCTATGTTATGATCCCGTCCTGTCACGTATTAGGATCGCCTGTACTGTTGTTTTTTTTGAGTCTCTGCCATTTCACTCCTCGTCCCCAGCTGCCTCACTTGATTTCCTCTCCCCTGTGCCCACTTTGCCCTCATTTGACGAGGACGATGGTGATGATGACTTGCTGCCCCCTCCTCCGCCCGATGACTCTGATCTGTCTCCCTCCCCCGCTGCGTCCCCAGCAAGCTCGACCTGTTCCTCCAGCGCCTCGTCCAGTTCGGCCTCATCTGGCAGTGAGCCTCCTGCCTCGCCTGCCAGCTCCATTTCCTCTGCGGCTGCTTCGCCGCAACCTGCCCCAGTGCTGCGTCGCTCCCTTCGTAGTACCAAGGGTCACCTCCCAGCTCGTTTTGCTGATTATCATGCTTATGGTATTTCTGCTGTGGCTGTTCCTACTCGTTTTAAACAGGCTGCAGGTGATCCGAATTGGGACAATGCGATGAAGGTGGAAATGGATGCACTTCATGCTCGTGGTACGTGGACTATGGTTGATCGCCCTCCTCCTCCTGTTCCTATTGTTGGCAGCCGCTGGGTGTACAACATTAAGGTCCATCCGGATGGGACCATTGAGCGGTTTAAGGCTCGGGTCGTTGCCCAGGGTTATACGCAGGTACAGGGCATTGATTATGACGAAACCTTTGCCCCGGTGGCAAAGATGACCACTGTCCGCACTCTCTTGGCTGTTGCTGCTCTCCGGGATTGGCCCCTATTGCAACTTGACGTTAAGAATGCGTTCTTGCACGGTGATCTTCAGGAGGTCGTTTACATGGAGCCTCCTCCCGGATACACGCTTGGCGCCCCTGGCCAGGTCTGTTTACTGCATCGGTCACTCTACGGGTTGAAACAGGCACCCCGTGCCTGGTTCGACAAATTTCAGTCCACGATCCTTACCCTAGGGTTCAGTCAGAGTCTTAACGATCCGTCTCTTTTTACCCGGGTGACGTCTACTGGTATCGTTGCTCTCCTCCTGTATGTCGATGATATGGTCGTTACCGGTGATGATGCTGCAGGTATTCAGTTGCTCAAAGAAGGCCTACAGGCCGCGTTTGACCTCAAGGACTTGGGAACCCTCACCTATTTCCTTGGACTTGAGGTCACTCGTAGTCCCCACGGGATACTCTTGAATCAGACGAAGTACATCACTGATTTGTTGGATGATCATCAGTTCGAGGATTGTACTCCTGTTCGTTCGCCGATGGAGCTTAACTTGAAGCTCCGCCGTGATTCTGGTGCCCCGTTGGTTGATAGTTCCAAGTACAGGAGCATTGTGGGTAGCTTAATCTACCTTGCCGCCACCCGTCCCGATATCTCCTATGCTGTCCAGATTGTGAGCCATTTCATGACTGCCCCCACTGTTGACCATCTCTCCGCTGTTCATCGCATCCTTCGTTATCTGCAGGGGACCAGGGAGGTTGGTTTGTTCTTTCCGTCTCAGGGCTCACTCTCCCTCCAGGCCTTTTCCGACTCTGACTTCGCCGGTTGTACTGACACTCGCCGCTCCACAACCGGGTGGTGTGTTCGGTTTGGTCATTCGTTCATCTCTTGGCGGTGCAAGAAGCAGGATCGTGTGGCCAAGTCCTCTACTGAGGCCGAGTACCGGTCCATGTCCGATGTTGCCTCGGAGGTTGTTTGGCTCACTCGGCTGTTAGTGGATCTCGGGGTTCGCTGTCCCCCGGCGGTTGATTTGTTCGTGGATAACACTAGTGCTATCCAGATTGCTCTTAATCCGGTGCTTCATGACCGCACGAAGCATATTGAGCTTCACATTCACTATGTTCGTGACCAGGTTCGCGATGGGTCTCTTCGGTTACACTACGTCGCTTCTGAGGATCAGATTGCCGATCTTCTCACCAAGGCCCTTCCCATTAGTCGTCACTGGTATCTGTCTGGCAAATTGATGCTTCGTGACCGGCATCAATTTGGGGGAGGATGTTAGACGAATGGGTTTTGGGTCTCTGGTTTGGCCTTTGTTTCGGCCCATGTTGTCTCGGCTGTCTTGTCTCTACTGTCCATTATGTAATTGGCCCATGCAAACTAGTATACACGTTGCTATTAGGGTTTGCTAGGGTTAGGATAGTATAAAGATAGCTGTGTAACCGAGTGGAAACGTTAAGCTGAATAAGAGATTCCTATTCCCCGTGGACTAGTCGGTATTGCTCTCTGCAATATCGGAAACCACGTAACTCTGTTTGTGTTTTCGTTTTCAGCTTGATAGGTTTTCTAACAGGGAGACATCTATCTAATCCCCCTTGTTGTTTATCCCTACCTAGGCGCACACAATGTAACAGTGGTTGTGTATGGGATTGATGCATGATCCTCACAAATTTGAGTATGACTATTGGTTGATCATGACGAGGTTTTGCGTAAATCCAAGTTAAGGTAAATTTTTATTGACTTCAAATGCACAAGTTGATTTCAAAGTCCATGTAAGAAAATAATCATAAAGATCCTTCATAAAAACAAGAGACCCGGGGTAATCTTGAGTTGTCAAGAAAAGTGCGCTCTTGGGTACGTTAGGTCATATAACTAATATCAAGAAATACAAGTACTATATTGGGTGATAGGGTGTTCATTAACCAATATGTCTTTCATTAGATAAATTCTCTTTTTATATTCAAATTAAATTTTATTTTTCTTGTTTTTTTTATTATCCGGGAACCTCAGCCCCACATGCCAGCTGGGCCTACTAGACTTGGGCGCCACCTGCAATCAATTTCGTTTATTTCCCTTGTTGCTTCTCATTTACTCATTTAATAGCATTATCTTTTAGTCTAACTCTCTCGTATACGACTTTCTTTCCCACTTTGTGATAATTCGCTTCGTTTTTGCGCCTTTGAACTTAAACGAATTGGACCCATCTTGAATGAATTTATGTTTTCGTCAATGACATAAAAACCTACAAATACCCAACAAAACGGAAGTATGAGATTGAGGCATAAAAACCTTATATCAATACCTATAATCCCCCCCCCCCCCCCCCCCCCCCCCCCCCATGTTATGTAAATTGATCAAGAACACCGTATCAACCCACATCCTTATTATCTTTCTTTGGGAACAAAGTATATACAAGACTCTAGTGCTCGCATAATTTGTCTCAAGGAAAAGTCTCACACAATGCCTGTAAAAAACCCTTTTGAGTGATGTATGGTGGCATTATAACTAGCCAGAGAACACCATGCATAATTATTGTTCTTTGGATGGTGAATGGAGCTAGCTACATCCCAATTTGTGTTTGTACATAAAAAGAGTGTTATCAAAGTGCAGGAGGGTTTGGTTGCCGCAATTTCATAGGTCACCTTCCCTGAAAAAAGCAGCTGGGGCTCCTCTTTGAGTTGGCCAGAGAGAGTACCACTAACAAAGCCCACTTATAACTGAGTAATGACTGCTCTTTCTCCTATAGTGTCCACCAAAAACCAGCCGCCCCCTCTCCTCCTAAATTGCACATGTTTATGTCCGCCTCTAACTGTTGGGCCAGACGTACGTGGCCACATAGGGAGACCTAGCCATCACTCTACTTTAACAACCACGCTCCCCAAGTAATTAGCTAGCTAGGGTTGCTTACAAAGTGGAATTGTAACGAATCAATGATACAATCGTTAATGTCAAACGTTGTGATCTATAATAGACTAAATTCATCAACACATATGCTAAAAACTACAATAGTAAACAAAATTTGAAAGACTTCGATTAGGGTGTAGAGTTGGCCTATTAAAAAACGGAGACAAGAACTGTAGCAGCAATATGGAGGCGCACGTATACCCACCCATTCTGCTCTTTAGCCATCTCCTCAACAACAAGGCATGCTTGTCCCCAAAACTAGAATCCAAGTTACAGCACATCTCGACAGGGAAGAGATGACCCAATTACTCTGTTTTCTGCAGTACAGAATTCATGATTCAACTCAAGAGGCTTACAGGTATTGTCACCCCATAATTTTCGTGTTTACTTGTTTGGATGACCCGCTCTCTACATCCAGAAATAGGGCCATGCATGCATGCACCATTTGGTCAGCCTCTGTCGTACAACAGGTATGGCAATCACTTCTCCTTGTAAGGATTCGGTCCGATCGTGTTTTCGGTAGTCTAACTCGTACCACTAATCGAGCAAGATTCAGAAATCCAAACAATTCTCTAAGTATAAGAAAAAAATCTTTGTAATTTTTATGTACAAAGATAATTGCTTTCACGATAAACATGAATACACTATACGAACATCTCATTTCAGTCACGACACGTGGGGATAACAAGAAAATTCCACTCAAAATCAGAAGACAACATGCGAGAGGATGGAAAAGATATAAGCCAATAGGAAAGTAATTTTAGGGGGATGGAGTGCACGAAAGGATACCAGAGAACAGAGTGGGGACGACAAGGTATAAATATTGTTTGGTTCCTGAGAAGATAAGGAGATGGAAAGTGAAAGAAAATGAAATGAGATGGAGGCAACCAGAAGTTTTATCTTCTCCTTTTTGGAATTTGGAATTCAACAATAGATAATCAATTGGAAAAGTGAAATATGAAATGAATGTTTCCTATGCAGATAACAAAGGCATGTCAAACATGACTATTTGTTTTTTTTATTTATTATCAAGAATATGATATCTTGCCTTTGTCTATGTGGGGCTAAATTATATGGAATTATGATTTTGGTTTGATTTGAAAACCCATATGTTATGGAGTCTTATTTATGTTGCACACTTGCACTACTTGCACTCCTTTGAAAAAAATGCAATGGTTCTTTCCTTTGCCATAGGTATTCTCCATAGGGTTGCTCGAAACCCCTTTAATATGTTCTTAGCATTAAACGAACTAGCACATGACGCTACGCTTTAATCCGACGAAACGGTCGACACCTGGTTAGGTTATAAAGTTAGTTGGAACTAGGTACAGTTGAAGATCTTGACATGTGTCCATATCCCCCCAAAACCATTTACAAAATTACAATACCTTCAATTGTCATGGTTATCCCTTCTACTTCTCTAATCTTAACTCAGTTCCCTCATAAATTCACGCAAAATTTGTAATCAGGACCCTTCACAAGAATACACAACTACTACATGACGATAAACAACCTCGTATATCCTACAAAACTAAACCACCCAACATACCAAGAGATCCCTAACCAGATAGGTCACCCAACATGCCATGCGAGTAACCAATCTAGCAGGCCGGTAAGGAACCTAGCACCCTAGACTCCATAATAGTTGTACTCTCGAATTATTTTCTCGGCGACGAGTTAGATGCAACTAAAGACGCTCCAAACTCTCTACAAGTTCTGAAAGCATTAGATAAACTCTTATTTGGACATCAATATGCCTGTCAGTTGAAACCTAATGTGAACTTAAATCAACTATTACTATTAATATGTTACTGTTTATTAGGGTGAGGTAAGAAAACAGAGTTCCCCCCACCTGAAAACGACAAGAAGGAGAAGTGAAGTGAGAAATCTTTTCTTCCTTTTCGTGCCCCGTTTTAATTGTTAATCTCTACGCGTGGGGATGTGATGTTGCTGCTGGAGGGGTTTTAACATCAGTAATTGCTAATCCAAGTGGCCCCTTCCTCTGCTTCGCTTCGCCGTTATATATTGGAAAGAAAGCCACTTCCACTTCCCACTCAAATCCATTCCATTCATTCTCCTCTGTTTGCTGCCTTGTGTGTGGCGAGTCACTTTTTGACGAGAGACAGAGAAAAGAAAAAACAGAGCAGGAGATAGATATTTCACTAACAAGAAAGAAAGCCAATTCATCATCAAAGTTTAGAGAGAAACAGAGAGAGATGGGGATGGAGATGGAAACAATGGAGTCGAAATTCAAGAGGGTTTGTGTTTTCTGCGGGAGTAGCCCTGGGAAGAAGAGCAGCTACAAAGATGCTGCCATCGAGCTCGGCCGAGAACTGGTAAGCAAAAACACTCTGTTTTTTCTCCCCCTCTGTTTTGCTCTCTGTTCCTGCGTAGTATTCCCTTCTCCCCCCTCAATTACCCAACATGTGGATCCAAAATTTCCACCCAAAATCTTCATTTTCAGTCTTTACAACCAGAAAAAAAGGGGACTTTGTAGTCAGACATGGTGCCATTTGAAAGGTTTAGGGCCAACATTTAAGATTTGCTCTGTTTTTTCCCCCTATTATCCTCTGTATAATAAGCTAAACCATGAGAGAGTTTTGGTGGTGGGTTTTTGAAGGTGTCGAGGAATATTGATCTGGTGTACGGAGGAGGGAGTATCGGCCTGATGGGTCTCATTTCTCAAGCCGTTTACGAAGGAGGCCGCCATGTCATCGGGTAAAAAAGCTTAATCACCATTGAACATAATACAGTTGCTGACCCCTACTCTGTTCATTCTTCTGTTTGCTCTGTTTAACTGATTATAGTGACTGTTTTCTCCAAGCAGGGTCATTCCCAAGACATTAATGCCCCAAGAGGTAAACCTCCTACTCTTCCCACTTACTCCTTTCTCTCGCTTACACATGGTTTAGTGTTTAGGTGAACTATAGTCAGAAATTAAGGACAAATGGTATGAAAAAGGATGATTTTCGTCTAATAAAGCTACTTACAACCTCGATGTTGGTTGTAGCCTGTAGGGCATGAATAATTACTACGTTTCGATTTGTTTTCTGTGAACATGATGATGCGCATGAAAGAGCATACAAATTGACGTGAATAATTACTACGTGTCGGATTATTTTTTTCGTGAACATGATGATTCACTTAAAAGAGCCTACAAATCGACAAGAATAATTACTACGTTTCGAGTAAGATAAAAATGGCAAAGAAGGAGAAAATGACATGAGGATCATTCTATCTAGCTATGTACTCTTTGTTTTTTTCTGTTAAATGGTCAATTTCATTGCCGTTTTTCTTTCTTTTTAAAGCTCGGTTGTTTTATAACAAAAAGAAAGAAGAAAAGGGTGTTGTGTGGTAGCTGCTTTGACATGAATTTCTACCTCTCCTTTGCTATCTTCTCAAAAAGAGACCAAAACGCGAATGGAAAGACTGTTCGTGGAGGAACTACCTTCACACTTTTACCAAAGAGCATCGCTTTAGGAAAAATATAGCCACCAGATGCCTGAATGTGACAACACACAGCCATTGTTTTCCCCCCCAATTTCATATGAATTATCTGCCACCTTTATGCAGCTTTCTCCCATAGTCCAACAAGTTTTTCCACATTACAGTGATTAAAACAGTCTTTTACCTTCTTTTTTTTTTTTCCAGATAACTGGAGTAACAGTGGGAGAAGTGAAAGCAGTTGCAGACATGCACCAAAGAAAGGCAGAGATGGCTCGCCACTCCGATGCCTTCATTGCTCTACCTGGTTCGTTACGTTCTCTCCTATTTTACTACCATGCCTATGTTAGTGTTATGGTATATGATCCACGATTGAACCTCTCCCAAAAACTCGAGTTATTGGGAACAACTGGTTTTTGACATGGTATCAAAGCCTTCTGTAACTGAAAGGTCTTATGTTCGAATCCCGGTAACCCCCATTTGTTAGCACATGGTGTCTGATGCCTGTGCAAACTTCAAGCCCATATATGGTGGCTTTCGTTTGAGGGAGTGTGTTGGTATGTGGTATATGATCCAGAATTGAACCTCTCCCAACAACTCGAGTTATTGGGATCAACTGGTTCTTGACAGCCTAATAGGTTAAGATTGGATGTGATTGCACCATGGTTTTTAAACCGAAAGCGACATTCGCGCGTATAAGAGTGTTCCACACGTATTTAACGGTTGAGATTGTAGGATCGTCGTGCTAACTCGATTTATGGGTATAAATTGACGTGACGAATGAGGATGGTCCAGTTTCTTCCCTTATCCCGAAAATCACAATCCTATCTTCTCTGCTGTGATCTGCCAGCAAAAACAGCAGGAATCAAGCAATTATGTGTGTGGTGAAGTTAAAGAGGGGCGGCGGTTTTGTTTTGGGAGAGTGTTACTTATTATTAGTGGTACCAAACAGAGCAGGGACCAAAAGAAAACAACAAAACACAGATGACCCAACAAAAGTAAAACAGAACAAAAAAGGTCCCGACATTTTTAGTTTTTACAAATTTGGTGACTCATCCCTGTGAAAAAAAAAAAAGTTGTAGGGTTCTTCCGGCTTTTTGTCCAGTCAAAGTCGACACACTCCTTCCTTTCCACATCATTTACTTTTCCATCTTTTTTGAAAGGGTTTTTTTACTGGTTCTATCATTTGAGAGGTTTAATGATGGTTTTCGGTTGGTGATTTTAATGATGGTTTTTCGGTTGGTGTTTGGTTGATTAACAGTCGGTGAAAATGCATGGTTTGCGGAATCCTATTAGAGGTAGTGGGAAAGAACCATCATGGTCCAACTTATGGGATATTTGTGGGTGTAATAATGTTGTTTAAATGAAATAATGATACCGTTTGATTTGGAAAAATGGAATGATATAAATTTTTTATAATACTTATATATTGTACCTACCTGTATAATGATAGGCGATTTCTGTGATTCGATAAACTAGTATATATGATAAAATTATCGACATAAAATCTTTATAAATCGTGAGTCATCTACTTGAGCTCATGGTGCTTAACTTGGAGTAATTGGGGTTGATAGGCTTAGTAGAATTTCATATGAGATCCCCCAATTGAAAACTATCGCTAGACCAAACCCTAATTCCAGATAATAAGAGATTATATATCCCTGAGCTGGAAATGTTCAAATTTCAGATTAGTAAATTGCGGAGGAAAAAAACAAAAGTCAATTTCTTACTTCTTAGTAAAAGAAGGAAGGCCCATCCCACATCTTTTAATGAAATTGGATTTGGGCTGCAGGTGGTTATGGGACACTGGAGGAGCTTCTTGAAGTCATAACTTGGGCCCAGCTAGGGATTCACGACAAGCCGGTAAATTATTTTAAAAATACCAAAAACTCAATCTTAAGTGTTCTTTCTTTTAACTTAGCTATAAAAAAAAAAACTGAAGTCGTTTGTTTGGTGGTTTTTGATTTGATGAATTTCATCAGGTGGGATTGTTGAACGTGGATGGTTACTATAATTCACTATTGTTATTCATCGACAAAGCTGTAGAGGAAGGCTTCATCAGCCCGAGTGCACGCCATATCATTGTTTCTGCACCCAATGCCAAAGATCTAGTCAAGAAAATGGAGGTAATCTATATGTACTATTAACTAACTATTCATGAGTTGTGCTCGTCATATCTTATTGATATACCGATAAAGATAAGCGTCAACACAGGCTAATACTGTTGATTCACGTAATCCATGTATGTTATCTGTTGGATGTGCATGTTCACGTTATAACTAAGTTTGGACACCCAACATATATATTATGGATTGTGATAATCCGACGGAGTCAATCCTCATCGTCACGCCAATCTCTGTTAGCACGCGTGCGAAATTTGTTGCTCACTATGTATAATTTTTGTTGTGGTTGTTGTTGTGGCGCAGGAATACTTGCCAAGACATGAGAAAGTTGCATCAAAGCTCAGCTGGGAGATTGAGCGCTTGGAGTTGGGTCATTCTACCAAATGCGAATTCTCTCGATGAAACCAACAACCATTAGAATTTGTAACGAGAAAAGAAAATGATGGCAAATAGTTTCCAGCAGCTTTTTTTTATGTTGGAAAATTGTAATATATATTTTGATTTGAGGTTGAGAGAAAAAAAAAATTAACCAAACAAGGTGAACCAGCTGAGAGGGAAGCTTTGGTTGCCCCATTTTAATGTTTCTACTTTCTAGTTCACTTTTCGGAGTTATATTGTTACTATATAGATATTAGTCTAATTTCTCTATTTGTATCATACATTATCGTAAAATGCACTTTACTTTTTCTTCCGTCTTTTGTTAGCTTAATGTTTCTTCTATTTCATCAAATGGATTGTTCAAAGCATTAGCTTATTAGTGCTTAGATGCGGTTTTATGATGTCATGTTGTTAATAATGCAGGTTTCTACCCATTTCAACCAATGTTCCCTACTTTGACATGAGATATATGAAACAAAAAAAATTATGGAAAGTGATCATACATGATACATACCCAGTGGCGGATCCAGAAATGTAATCAAGAGTATTCAACCATAGATCAAAATCATTAAGGGTTGTCAAATAATCTTACATTTTTTAATACTATAATCACAAAAATAAAATTTTACAGTGATTTTGGTTTCCCAAATTGGATCCAAGATTTGTCAATTGACAACCCTTTCACCCACTTGGGTCCGCCCATGTACATACCCAACTACAAAATAAAACCACTATCTCGGGATGGATTGAATCTTGTGAGAATCCATATTTGGATAGAATCAACTCATATCGTATATATATTTTGATTCAATTTTGATCCTTTGAATTACCTTATGAATATGAAATGAAAAGCAAGATGGAATCTGATTTGGATCGGACAAAATCAAAGCAAACGTATTTTTTTAAAATCCGATTTCAATACTCGCCTTTAATATATTATTTTCTGTTTGGTCCTATTCCTATTTAGGTTCCAGACTGAATCATGGATTGATCCTGTCATCCGACGTGCATTCTTATCCATATTCATTACCAACTTTCTTTGAATTCATAGAAATGGATGATTGAGTCATAATTGTTAACTTGAAATGCATGGAATGGAATTAGGTAGTAGTCCACTTAGAGTGACTAAAAAAGCACGATCGTTTAGACCAAAATCCCTTGAAATGTATACATTTCGCCAAACTTGATTAAACAAGTAATGGAGATCGATCGACCATTGGAGAGTGGAGACGGGAGAGAAGAACAAACAAGAGGGGGAAATCGTTAATGGCGCAGTCCACTATACTAACTCAGCGCACGTTCATGGACAATATGAATAGGCAAAAGAAGAAGAAGAAAAAATAATTTCTACAACCACTAGCACTAGGCCACTCTTGTAAACAATAAAAATACAAAAAGTCCTCACCAAACAAATTTTGGAAAGGATAAAACAAAATGTGAATGTTTCCTTAGTGGAGATCAAGCCTAGCAATTTGATTATTATCTTTTTGGTTTTGAAAATGAGATTATCATATAATTTGACTCCTAGGCGTAAATGTTACGAAATTTTTTTGAATGAAAAGTAACACAATAACGATATTCATTGAGACACTTATGTTGAACGTTGTTAGAATTTTGCGACCTAGCAGCACGACTAGTACCACCGAGTCTCGTTGAGAGAAGGTTTCCATCTACACTTTTCTAACTCTCGTGCAACTTTAATACTAATAAAATGTAAATAATAAATTGTACTCTTTCTTAAAAAATTTGAAATGTGTTATTACTTACCAAAGGATCGGATGGAACTAACATAAAAACTAGTGTATTTTTAGATAACGATTAATTTGTTTTTCTTGATTCGTCAATTAACCTCCTTATAGCAAACCCAATGCTAATTAGTAATTATATTGTTCGATGAGGTTCTTGAGCTTTATCAATATTAATTCATTTTTTTTAGAGAAAGCCCTTCATTCATTCATTAAAAGGAAACTGAAGTTCTTTTTTTCCCCTCGCTGGCTAGTTGGAAAAGTCAAAACTGCGACAAAGTGCACATTTATGGCATTACGCAGATCGATTAGATCATCGGAGGTTGACTTTTCTCTTTGGCCTTCTAAGTATATTTAACTAACTTTGCATGATCAGTCTTGCATGTGATTTGAGTTGACACCAATGCATCGGTAAAAATACATAGTAAAACAGGGAACAAATTAAATTAGAGTCACATAAATTAAGTCCCTAGCTAGCCTCTTGGTCATATATAATCTTGCTAGCTAGGATTAGATTCCTCTCAAAATAAAAAAGTTATTTTTCCATATGATAAGTTTGGATTGATAGAGTTATTTTAGTGAGTCAAAGTTAAACAAGTGGTAGTATGGTCAAGATTTAAGACGGTCGTCGATGTATGATTTTCGGTTGTAAGGTCATTGTATGTGTTTGTAGTTCCTTTGTACAAAAAATAACTTCGTTGCGTCTTGATCATATTTGATTACAAGCGAGTCATGAGTCAATCGGACTAGGAGTTGGCCCCCTTTTACGACCAACTGATATATACATGTATCTCAATTCGACAACAAGCAATCCAAACTCAAATCATAGGAAATGGAAATCATCTATGTTTTTTTTTACCGTGGTGTCAGTTTGATAAGCTCGGTCTAGATGGATGAATGGATGGTTACCCATAACTTACTAGGGTTGATTAATAAATAATATATATATATATGATGGCTACTTCGGTGCACTCACTTTTTTTGGGTGCACTGAGCGTCCATAATACATCAAATTTTGAACTTTAATTAGTACTCTCAATATAATATGATGATATGACATAGAATCATAACAAATCAATCCATTGCCCTAACCCCTTAACATTCAATTTTGAATCCCAACCCAAAATCTCAAATTGTAAACCTAAACCCTAACCCTAAATCCCTAAATCCTTCGAATTAAAGTAAATTTTGAATGATTTTTTTTTCAAATTCATGTGCTTCTTGTTCATAATATCATAAGCAACAATTGATATCGTTTTGACATGAATTGCATGGTCAGAATGACAATTATGAGGCGGGTGCACTGAGTGCACCCGAAAAAGTGGGTGCACCGAATACGGAACCATATATATTTTTTTTTTCTTAGAAAATATATTTTATTACCTTCATTAATAATAGCTAAAAATATCATTCGTATATTATTATTTCAATTTCCTGAATGGTCCGAGGATTTTACGGATTGGAAGAAAGAAATGCATGTTAAATGCACTTATAATGGAGTTCCATTATCCGAAAGGGAATTCCCAAAAAACTGGCTAACAGAGGGTATTCAAATAAAGATACTATTTCCATTTCGTCTGAAGCCTTGGCACAGATCAAAGGTCAAATTTTCTCATAAAAATCCAATAAAAAAAAAGGCGAAAGAAGGTTGAGTTAATTTGTTCATACATCATCACAAACTCATTATGCATATCCAGCCACAGAAACCTAATTTACACACCCGTCAACAACAACCAGTAAATCTTCGTCTATCTGTCAAATACTTTCAAGTATATGCCAGCAGAGAACTAAGTAAGCGATGACTAATTAATTGGCGCGAACAGCAGATGATTGGGTTTCATTTAGTTATATGTTTATAAGTTTGCATGCCTCTTTTAGTCTTTATCACGCGACAATCAACATGACCATGCACAACATCATCTAGAGTAACCATGTAGCTAGACGTGACATGTAACATCGAGGGCTATAGTATAGTATAGTAATTGCTATACAAAGCATAAGAATTAATAGCCATCCTTAATTATATTCATCGTTTACATTATTGGCACTACTCTACGTGTCCTAATTAATTATTATATGCCATGTCCACGGTTGAGATCGAAGTAGCTAGCCATCGACGATCGACGAACACACACATGCAACTTGGAAGAGCAGAGCATGTGAGTTTGATCGGACGTCGTCCATGCTTTGCATTAAACTACAAGCCAAAAATTTTCCGGCGAATATATCATCAATATATAACTGAGCAGAGGTCGGCTAAGCACAAGAACGAGTCTTCGCCGGAAACATGCAAGTAAGTGCAATTAATCCCCTCTTTATCTATCTATAGCTCTTTTTTTTCTCTTTTGCAAATTAGTCGATTCAATCCTCAGTCACCCTTTAATTTACTTTTGTTTCATTGTTGGGTGCATGTTTTTACTTCCTCTTTTTGCCCATGAACTCATCAACAGCTCTCGTGGTTACTTTTTAATGTACAAACTAATACAGCCAATGGAGTTAACTAAAAGTGAAAATGTATGAGAAAGATGGAATGGAACTTTCCATTGACTGATTTTTCCTTGTAACTACTTATTGGGTATTAGAAGTTAATTCTCATTATGGAATATAATTCCCTAATAGCTATCTCCATTGCCATTTATAAAGCAAGGAGAACTAGAATTACACCCCCACCACTTTTTTTTATTATTATCTCGTATATAGTATTTTCACTGTTATATCGGACTAATTTGAATATATGTAGATATGTATATGTGCTTGATTTAGGGCACTCTGCTTGAGCCACGAAAGAACATGTCAAGTGATCGACGGGATTTAAACGACCTATAAGACTGGTTGGTTTAAAATCTCTTTGGATTTACATAGTTTCATCAACCAGAATTCAACCCCTCACTCGTGTCCCTCGTTAAAGCTTTTTTTTTTATAAAATTTTACTGGGCTATCATACGATCAATTTTACCGATTCATATCAATATCTTTCTATTGCGTTGCTTCTTGATCAAGGCACAAACATGGAGCATGTAGCTTGTGTAGATTGATACATAATATTAATGTAGCTAGTTTTTAATTTGTCTTATTAGATGCAGTAGCTTGAATTTCTTGGAAAAGTAAACCACCACGGAGCTTGAGACCTAACACCCAAGCGTTCAAACTCTAAAATTTGAACACAATTCGGATCAAATTATTAGGAAAGAAGAATTTCTAATTGATATGGTACGTGGCTTTGGTGGGTACAGAATTTGATGTTACCTTAAACCATGGACTTAAGCGACTAATCTTGTGCGAGAATCAGTGATTAGTGGCAGTATTAAGTGTGGAGCTGGTTAATTTAATAACATCTCTCTTAAGCATGGCCCATTAATTGTGTCTCTTTCTACCAAAAAAAAAATTAATTGTGTCTCTAATAAAGGTCAATGTGATCCATGTTTTAGGTATAAAATGTCAATAACTTGAGGAGTTCAGAGTTGAGTCCTAATTAGCCGACTTGATATCAGTTTTGATAAAAAAGTAACCTTTATTTTAATCTGGCAGCAAAAAAAGGTAACCAGTGGTGATAGTATTATATAGGTAAGAAAGGTTAATTTAATATTTAAACTTTGTAAAACTGATCATTGGGATAGATGAACTATAAGTGGCTATATCTTTTAACATATGAATTCTTATTTTAAGTCATCCCCATATACGAACTAAGCCGTATTTATTTGATCCGTCGATAACCCTTGAGTTAGAATTTTCCGTGTCATATGCCATATGATATTTATGGCAAATGAATATTTTGAAATAGCTCGTTTTGTCACTAATTGGACAACTCAGTTGAAGTTACGACAAGCATGACACCGACAAAGAAGATGAAAAGAGTAGATGAAATTTCTCTAAAAGAGCTCCTGCCAAATAATGAGTGGTTTCTGTCGACATAACAATTGGATAGCCAGATGAGAATAAAAACAAACGGAAAAAAAAACAACAATCGAAAAATTATAGTTCATCACGGAGAAGAGCAAGTAACTCAGCAATTGAAGGATTTTAAGTATCATCATGCAATTACCAAAAGCAAATGAAATTGAATCCAACTAAAGTATGGAACCATAAGAAGAATACTGAAGTATCATGCATGAATATTCTCGTCAATACTTTCCATACATGATATCTTTTGAAAATGACGATGAAGTGAAGAAATCCATGATTTCTAATTTTCCAATTACAACATGATATCTAACGTGATATTTAATATATAAAATTTCCTTTACCAATATAATCAAGAATAAAATATATGTACCAAAATTTCGTTATATATGTACGAACCGAATAATCCTTGATGATATAAATCTCAAATGTGAAGACGTGGTGGGTGTTCATCTTAAAAAATTGACATACTACTAGCTACAGTCATCATGAACACTCACTCCAATGAAAGATATAATTTGATAGGGTTGATATATCATTACGTCAAAGAACAGGAGAGTTGTTAGCTAGCTAGCTAGCTGTTGAAGTTGACCTCATCAATGGAGATCCATGCAAATTAAATTAAACTACCCCTTTTTAATAAACTCCCTACAAAACACTTATTAAAAATAGGGTTGGTGAAACTTAATTACTATTTCGTTGAAGAACGATAGTATGTACAAAGCATCTTATATACGGCAAGAATGATAGCTATATATGTGTGTCTAAACGAGTATATTTACTTATTTAGTGTTATTGTTGGCTATAACTCGGGATATTGTATTGGCACGACGGTGTTGTACCGAGATTCTTTAAAAAAACAGTCTAAAAATTGGTTTTCAAACCAGACCTATTAACTGACCTTTATATTCAGGAGTCGTTTGGATGGAGTATTTGTATGAGTTATCTGTGAGTTATTTGGGTTCAAATAACTAGTTTGACATCGTTTTACTGAAATGAGTTATTTGGACAGTGGGTTATTTACAAATAACTCAAAACTAGTCATTTGAAATAACTCATACCCATGTGTTATTTTGAGAAATAACTCGTTTTACCATTCTGTTTTTACCAAATACCACATGTCAAATATCCCATTTGCATGGTTCAACCAAACGAGATACTTTAAATAACACTGAAATACCTCATGAATAATAAATGAGTAATTTGACTCTACAAATACCACATTGACAATTAACCTATCCAAACGAACCCTGTGTAGACTCGAACTAATAGACTATCCCATCAGATATCTTCCAGACTTACCAAACCCAATTTAATTACACACTTTGGTTTTCGTCTTCATGCACATACAAAAAACGAAATTTGTTTACCTACTACAGTCTCTAATCCTCTTAATTAAACAAAACCCACAAAAGAGCAATTAGTATAGCTCCCTTCTTCTTCCTCCTCTTCCTCTCCATCTCCATCTCCCTTCTTTCGGATACGTAAATATTTTACCATTCAGTCAACCGTACGAACATTTTTTCGAAGAGGAAGAATGACCTGATTTTCTGGCCAAGATTTAAGAAACCTTCAAGTAGGCGCAAAGTTTGGCGAAAAGCCATTCAGACGGAGGAAGAGAAATTGGTGATCAGCGTTGAGCCGTTGACTCTCCCTCCTCTTTTTGCTTTGTGTTTGCTTCCATGTTCATCTTCGGTCGATCAATGTACGTTCAACGAATATACGCGCCACCACCACGAAAGTCAACGCTCCCATGGTAACGTACTAATACCCAAAATTTTTAAATACCTTCTTCTTATAATAATTATAATTAACTTAATTTATCTGCAACTCGATCTATCTCTCTATGGGGCGGTTCTGTGCTGATTTCTGGTTTCTTCGATCGATCGGCTTTCATTAATTTGCTGAGGAAGAAAAGGGCTTCTTTTTTGCCCCTTTTTCCAAACTAAAAGATATATGATTGATTCCTTCTGTTGTTGTGAGATTGTTTGGAGTTCTTTCTTATTTTTATTGCGTTGGGTTGTTTGGTTTTGACTTAAGAGAATCAAAAACGAGCTAAGTGTGAGATAAGTTAGGGTGATAAGTGAGGTTTAAGAAATGTCTGGGGGTGATTAGGGAAGCCACAAAAAGTTGCATTCTAGACCTTGTACAGTCAATGAATACATGAAGTGTAAAAAAAAAAAAAAAAGAGTAGTGTTTGTTTCTATCCAGATCGTAAAACAAATGTATGTGTTGTCTTGTAATGTGAAACCTTCGATTCGACAAAAAAAAAAAAAAACGAGATCACAGAGCTTTTATGAGTTTGTTGTCATTTTTTTATTTTCATATATTATTGGTTTCGTTTTATATGTCCCATCTTTCTTTCCATTTTTGCTACATTTTTTTTTTGTATTGAAACCAAAATACGAATATGGCAAAATCTCTCTTAAAAAATAATGCTATATAAATCCCAAACATAAATCCCAAGACCTGATAATCAGACCTAGTAATCTTCATTTTATATATCCATTATATCAACATATGCATTCATTACAAAGATAACAATTTATTATACATAATTCTCAAAACGACTCTAAAAAAGAAACTCGTTCAAGTTAGATTCAAACCCAACACTTAAAAGTTATGACACTGTTGTAATAGTAGAAGCATTGGACTAGAATTAGTTGATTGACATTGGTAATTACTTCTTTAATTGCTCTAAAATGTTGGATGATCTTGGCTTAGCTAGGGAGATGTGTATTTGAAGTCTTGACGATGGCCAGTTGTGATCTAATTTACGTGTTGTTTTCTGTGTGGTGGAATCTTAATTTTACAATCATAGTTCTTCTTTCATATGCAAATGCAATCATTCTTCTGGAATCGGGATTTCATTTGAGTAATTAAATAATTAGCTTGTACTTAATGGCAGAGGAGATAGACTTGAGTGGTTAGTAGTACAAGTAGTAGCAATAGTAATAAATGGAGGCCGTGCTAGAAACGCAGGGTTAGCCATTTCCTCCGCCAACAAAACCGGCTTCCTTCATTTCTTTCCTAAAAAAAAAAACACTTAATGATATCTCAATCTGTATTATGAAAAAAAAACAACATTTGTATTACGAATAGAATGGTTATGGATGATACCCATTGGGAGGGGTTACGGTGCTAATTGTAGAATAGTTAGCACCGTCCTAATCAAGGGAAAAACTACTACTAGTTTGAATTAGTAGTGATTTAGGTTAGATGTTATATTGATTTTATAATAATCCGTAGTGATTTTTGCTAGTTATCACGGTGCTAACCCCTATAAGGGTTAGCACCTAATCCCATCCCATACCCATTATATCGTAGAAGATCATTGAATGGATATGTTCCAAGAGAATTGATGTGAGTCATACTAACTAAGAAATTCGGCTGTGAAATTACATTCTTTATAAACTTGTGAGATTCTAACATCCCAATAAAACTCCAAAATTTGACCAGTTTGTTGTGCCGAAATGTCACGTGTCTTCGATAATTTTCTTTACACATGATGCTTAGAGCAGTGACTGAGTTGATGCGCAACAATACATCATTGGTAATTAAAGCGTTGGACTGAGTTGAACGATCGAGATTTCATATTTAAATTCGGTAATATCGTCTATCAAAACTATTATTCAAACACCTAAAATTAGTTTAAGCAAAAAGGGCTTTATTAAAGCATCATAAATCAATTTTGCCTAGACACGTTCAACCCCCTCTGGTAGTATAACACTTCTTCTGATAGCGCTACCTAAAGAAGTGGCAATCTACCAAACGGGGTTGTCACCGGATCTCATCCCCGTTCTTTGTTACCAGACGGGGATGCCCGAAATCTGCACCAGAAGGCAGAAGTTCCCTTATGAGAACAAAATTTGTGTTTTAAGGTTTGTATACATGCTATTGAGGCAAAGAAATGGGTACGTTACATGAATCTGTAAGTTGTAAAGGCGACGCGTTTGACCAAAGGCAAAGAAAACAGAGAAAAATCTTGATCTATAATTAAATTAAACTAAATTAAATTAGACGTAGCAAAACCAAAAAACAATTCATTTCGTCTTCTTCTTCCTCTTCCTTTTTTCTGGTCTTTAACCATCTCAACGTTTAGCCCATGTGACCTTTCCTCCCTCGATGCACTTCTCATGGAGCAGCACTTAATGCTCTCTCCCCGCCCTTTCTTTATTCTTTTCGGGTCTCAAAGTAACTCAACTTTCCACCATTCTTTCTTCCTCTTATATAAACTCCATTGGCACAGGATCCACTGCAAAATAACCACCCACCTACACAACAACGTTTTTCCTCCCTTCTTCTTCTTCCTCCATCCACAAACCATCTTCACGTTTTCCTCCAATTGATCATTAACTTCCCCCCATTTCCATCCATTCATTGGCTTTGGTTAGTATCGACTCTCTGTTCCGTCCCTCATCTTCCCCAATGAGCTTTCTCGGGATTCAACAATGTCTAACAATGATTCTTTCTCCTTGTCATTCGTGAAACAGGGCACGGTGGTCGTCAGCAAAGATGGGCATGACGCGGACCTTCAAGAGCGGGGACTACCTGGAAGGAATGCTGAGCGATTACGTCGGAGGAGGAGGAGGTAAAGGCTCCAACAAGCATACAAAGACGGCACCGCCACAATCCAGAAGCTCGGCAGCAGCGAGTTCTGCTCGCCTCGTCACCACGTTAACCTGCCTCCAGTTCGCGTTCGCGGTCTACGCGACCTTCCTCCTCTACTACATGAGCCCGACCATCGACCTCCGGACCAAGCCGGACTTCGCGTGGGCCAGCCGCGTGGCCCACGCCTGGAAGCGGCACTTCTTCATCCCGCCCCACGTCGTGGGGCGGTACCAGGAGTCCGCGGCCTCGCTGGTCCGCGAACAACAGTACATTACTGCTGCGTCAGTGGTGCCATCACAGGTTTGCGAGCACGAAAAAATCGATTTCTTGCAGAAGAAGTCAACGGATTCCGCCATGATCAAGCTGAAGAGGGAGCTCTACGACGAGGTTTTGAACTTTCAGGGGACGGCAATCGGGACAGAGTCTCTGGTCCAGCTGATGGGGATGAAGTCGAGGTGGGACATTCGCAACCCGATTCGGCCCAAAGTGACAGTCATCCTCAACCATTTCAAGAGAAAAACGCTGTGTGCTCAGCTGGATTTGCTTCTCCACCAGACTCTCCCTTTCCACCATGTTTGGGTGCTGGCATTCGGCTCCCCCAACGAGGAGTCGCTCAAGCGGATCGTGGAGAGCTACAACGATACGCGGATTAGCTTCGTGAGCTCGAGCTACGATTTCAAGTACTACGGGAGGTTCCAGCTAGCATTGCAGACGGAGGCTGACCTGGTGTACATTGTGGATGATGACATGATTCCTGGGAGGAAGATGTTGCAGATTTTGTCACACGTGGCCGGGACAGAGAAGTATAAGAACTCTGTTTTGGGGAGTATTGGCAGGATTCTGCCTTTCAGGCAGAAGGATTTCACTTTCCCGAGTTACAGAAAGTTCAGGTCCAAGGAGGCAGGGATTTACTTGCCTGATCCTGCTTATGATATCACGGTGGATAAGATTGTGCAGGTTGATTTTCTCTCCAGCTCTTGGTTCTTGTCTGCTGAGCTTGTCAGGACTCTGTTCGTTGAAGCTCCTCTCACTTTCACGACTGGAGAAGATCTTCACCTCAGGTAATTTTTTTTAGTAATTTGATAGAAGTCGTCGTAACAACAATTGAGGTGGTTAAGACGATTGAACTCATTGGACCGTCACAGTTTCGGATTAGTCATTTGAAATGAACTAGTACTATGGGACCATGATTGAAAATGTTATGGAGTTGGTAGCCTATGTTCAAGTCAGTAGAAAACAGGGCAGCCAGTGATTAAGAAATTAAGCATTTGAAGCTACTGAAAGATCCCTTCTTTGCTTATAAATCATTTGGGTTCCTTTTGTTTAATGTAAAGATAGATACTTTAAAATCTCCTAGCTTAGAATAAAAATAAAATACTGAAGAATTGGAATTCTGCAGTTTCCACTAAGTAGTAATTACTCTGTTCCTGAAATTGTTTAATCATCCACAGTAAAATCTTGACTTATACTACTGGTTAATGATTAAGGAGTGAAAGTCTTAACATGTTTTGTTCTTCTTACTGCAGCTACCAGTTACAAAAGTACAGAAATGCAGGGTCGTTCGTGCTACCAGTGGATCCAAAGGACAAGGAGACATGGGGAGACAGTGAGCACAGGCTAGCCTACGTATCCGAGACCACGGTGATCTTCAAGGACGTGGTCCAAGTTCGGGATGATCAATGGTGGAGAGCGATGTCGAGTGGCTACGTGACGCAGTGGGCTAAGATGTACCCGCAGAAGATCGATGCACTCTTCTACGCGCACTCGATCGACGAGGTGAGAGTCCTGAGCCCGCTCCTCGAGAAGTTCAGGTCGACGGTGGGGAAGAAAGCGTACATTGCTGTCCCCGGTGGGACGTTCTGCCCTTGTGAGGATGCTGCAACTGCACTGAACTGGCCTAAGTTGGTGTGCAAGGAGAGGAGGTTCAAGATATTCGATCTCGGAGTAGGGGCACTGGCAGGAGTATCGAACTCCGAGGTGCCCGTGGTTCAATCGGTTTATGCCAGCATGAAAGGGCTGATCAAAATGCACAATCCGAGTGTTGTGATCACGGTGAATGATGTTGATTCTGATGTGAAGAAAGCTTTGAAGATGGCTGTTGAGAGTAATAATGGCACCACCACTTATGTGCTTCTCCCTAGGGCTTCTATTCCTAAGACCCTCTGGATGGCTGACCTAAGATCCACTGCCTTGCCAAGTAAGTAACACTCTTGACATATTTACCAAACTAGTAACTCTAAAAACTCGAAAATTGTATTTGACTGAAAGTTTTGTTATTTTATCGAAAATGCAGATTGGAACAAGATGAGAATTTCCGTCAATATCATCACTCAAAATCGTGTTTCATCGTTGACAAGGCTACTCAATTCGCTAAGCAATGCATACTACTTGGGAGATGAGGTACCAATCACATTCAACATGGACAGCAAAGTGGATGAAGCCACAATAAGGCTAGTGACCACTTTCAACTGGCCACATGGTCCTAAAACCCTAAGAAGAAGGATCATCCAAGGAGGCCTGATTCGAGCCGTGAGCGAGAGCTGGTACCCTGCTTCGGACGACGATTTTGGCCTCCTCCTCGAGGACGACATCGAGGTCTCCCCATACTACTACCTTTGGATCAAGTACGCGCTCCTGGCATACCACTACGACCCTCAAGTATCCCTCCCCGAGCTCTCCTCGATCTCGTTGTACACCCCGAAGCTCGTCGAAGTTGTGAAGGAGAGGCCCAAGTGGAATGCCACGGACTTCTTCAAGAGAATCCACCCAAACACACCTTACCTCCACCAGCTCCCCTGCAGTTGGGGAGCTGTCTTCTTCCCCAAGCAATGGAGGGAATTCTACGTCTACATGAACATGAGGTTCACCGAAGATGCCAAATCGAACCCGGTCCAGATCCCCAAATCTAGAACCAACGGGTGGCAGGCGTCGTGGAAGAAGTTCTTGATCGACATGATGTACTTGAGAGGGTACGTCAGCTTGTACCCGAACTTCCCGGGTCAGGCGAGCTTCTCGACGAACCACATGGAGCCCGGGGCTCACATTTCGGCCAAGGACAACGTGGTGAAGCACGACAAGACCGATTTCGAGGTGCCATTGATGAAGGATGACTTCAGGGGAATGTTGCCTGGTGCGAAGTTCCCGCCGGCTTCGAAGCTGCCCTCGTTGAACCTGTTCAATCAGCCTGTGTCGTTGAAGGGTCTGAAAGCTGCTGGTGCAAAGTTGGGGCAGGATGTGCTGAAGTGTGACAATGCCACTGAGATTGTTGCTGTTGATCACCAGACTGGGCTGCCACATCGATGTGTCAAGTTCTGATTCATCTGCACTCTGTTTCATTGTTGTTGATTATTACTATTCTTTGTTCATACGTATGTATTTTTAATTTGGAAGTGGCTGAGAGGAAGAAAAAGGGTTGCCAAAAGAGGTGAAGAGACCCCAGGAAAGAGGGGGAAAAATAGAGGAAATGGAAGCCAAAAGTGGCTTCTTTCTTGTTCGTGTTGTCTCTTTTGTCAAGTAATATAAATGGTTAGATCCAGAAAACAGGGGATTCATTGCAGAACCAATCTGGTTATGATATTGAGGTTGATTTTCTTTCTGTTTAAGCTATTTCCATCTCAAGTTTTAGGAAAAGGTTGGTTACATGCATATTGGCTACCTTATATATATGCATTGAGTATTTGGGGATGATTATGTAACTGATTTGATGTATATTTTCTATCAATTTGGCTGTGAGAGGACAATATTTGGTGTTATATATCACTCAGGATTGATAGGTTACTTAACATTTTTTATTTTCTAACTTTGGATTTGTATACTTGTTATACTTTTTGTTATATGGATCTGTATCAAATATCGTACGTGAAAAGCAACATTTTATAAAAGATGAGTGAGCCAACCTTGAAATGCGTCCAGATGCACTCAGTAAATTTTGAAATATTGCGAATTGGTTTATCGAGTAGGGTAAGTTATTCTCTTAAGGCAATGATGCATTGGAACTTGGGTGGGATGGGGGTGGGTTGTGCAGCAGCAAAATCACATAATACTCTGCCCATAAATACATTCTGCAATTGTGGTAGTAATCGATACTTGTCTGAATCCATAACTGATAATGATTCGACTATTTTGACGTGTCATTACCAATATCCTAATATCTCGGACCCAAACTAACAAGTCGTGATATGAAAACCAATTAATTTCTTATAGATTGCAGAATTATGCATTGATTTTTTTTTCTTTTTGATAATATTTCATTTTTCTTTCCATTTATTTCGCATTTCAAAATCTGTCCTATTTTATTTATTTTTCATAGTTATCATATAAGCCAAAAGTAAAACAGGCAAACAGCTTAACCTACCTGCGAGGACGCTAAACCTACCTTTTGGACCTTAATCGTCCCCTATTAGATGATAATTAAACTTTAATTCTTTATCCAAAAAGTTAATTAACACTTTAATTAATTATAAAATCATTGTCTATTTGTCTTCGTCGAATTTGTACAAATAAAGCATCGCTGTCTATATGCATCTTCCGACACGTAGCACACTGCTTCAATTTTTCGCTTTTCTGTTTTTAAAATTCTTGTATTTGTATTTTTCTCTTAATTTTGTTAATTTTCAATCTGCAAAGCAGGAGAGGAGGAAGCCGGTGGTGGCGTCACCTTCTCTCTGCAAATCTCTCTTCCACATCTTTACTGCACAGTACACACTGCTCCCTATATTTTTGTTCGTCTTCTCTTCACCGCGCCGCGGTCTCATCTGCTGCATCCCCGCTCTCGCAACACTGCATCTGCTCCGATCTCCGCCCGCTCGCCGGCGTAAGTCCTCTGATCCGACTTCCTTCAATCTGCTTTCATCCTTTTGAATTGAATCGGAGGAGATCTTCGTGCTCCGTCGGTGGAGGTTTTTTTGTTCTCTTCTGCGACTGCGAGTCTCTCTGCCGATTCGGTTTGGTTCCTCTCCTAGTTTGCAGTTCCGCCTTCCGCATTTGAAAATTTCCAAGTTTCTGCATCTGAATTCCGATTTCGGCTTCGCTTCCGCTCTCGATTCTCAATTGGCCGGGAAATGGATCGCTTACGCGTTTGTTCGCTTTGTTTCTTCTATTCTCTCGTTTCCGTTCTCTTGGTCAAACTTACACTGTATAGCAATAGCATAGATCAGGAGAGCGACTGCAGCAGTTCCGAATCTGTGATACTGAAATGAGTAGTTGACGGCCGAATTCGGCTTGTTCTGGAGGGTAATAGCTTGCTGGTTTGCTTCCTACAGTTGCTTAGAGCCGGAGGTGCGGCAACCATGGCGTTTCTTGTTTTTTTTTTCTCTTCCTTCGGAGTTGGTTGAGCGATCACGGTCTACACATCACCGACCAGACTTCAGCATGAAGCTAAAGCGATATAAAGCTGTTGGAGTTATTAACTTTAACCGTACGCGATGTAGGATTGTGCGACGGTTTAGCCTTTTGAGAGGGCATTGGAATTGTCGCCGGTTACTTTGGCCAATTGCAACGAGATTTGCGTTCATTTTGAAGTTTGTTTTCTAGTTACTTGCCGACTTTGGAAGGCTGAACTACTAATAATGAACTAGCAACTGGAGTCTTCAGAATAGCTTAGAATGTTTTGTTGGTGGATTCCTACTTGTTCAATTCTTGCTGTTCTGTAGTTAGGATATGAATATATGTTTAAACTTTGTCTTTGGTTGTGTTGTAGTGCTAAATTTTTTCGGTTGTTTGTGAAGGTCGAGGCATCAAAATCGTTGGGGCGAATGCTTGGGTCCCGCTCTAGTGTATCGTGCTGAAGTTAAAGAATGCAACAATTGATACAAAGTGCTCCAGCTGATGTGCTTGGTTTCTCCGAGTGAACCACCTAATTTGCTTGAATGTCTAAATCAAAAGGGACAACAATGGGGCTCACTCACCGAAGGTTCAGCTTATGTAATTTTGGTTTCATTTCATTTTAAATGCTGGAGGAACATCTGAATTTCAGATATCTTGCATCGTTTGTGAAATCTGCTGCAGTTTACTACATCTTTAAACAAGTGATTTTGAATAAGTTTGCTCACATGAGCTAGTTACCTTCCTTGCATTGCAGTGGATTTTCCAGAAGAACAAACGACACTACTAGGCTCATTATTACAGCACTTCTAGGAGTTATCTTTGGATTCTTTATTGGTGTCTCATTTCCATCTGATTCCCTTTCTAAGGTTTGTTGATGTTACTGCTTTGTGCATGTATTGACAGTAAGCAAAATTTCAAAATTTCAACATTTGAACTTTCGGTATTCACCATTTGCAGATTCACATCCCTTCTGGGATCAGAAATCGTTATGATTCGGCATCAATTGATGCCAGAAGATCTAAAACGGGCGAACCTGAAAATCGTGAGTCGTACAACATCCCTAAGGTACCTTTAGTGCTTATATTTTTTCTATACCTTGGTTTACATGGCATATCTCGACACAACCTGATCATTATGTGTTCCTGTTTTGGTCACTATCACAGATTTATGTTCCAACAAATCCCCGTGGTGCAGAGTCGTTACCCCCAGGAATCGTTGAGGCAGAAACTGACCTTTACTTGCGGCGATTATGGGGTGAACCTAGTGAGGTACATGTGTATATCTAACTGAAATCCGGCAACGATTGAATAAAACTCTTATCTGTTTGATTGTGAATGAGTCCCTGCCTTTGATTTCCTACCACATTCTCGTAATTGTTTAATTGTCATGGTTCAGTTGCAGTTGCAATTGTGGCGTTTTTATGTGATTGTGCAGCCCTGCATTGTACTCAAACCAGTCATTGGAAAAGCCTTGATACTATAACTTCTTTTTCATGTTATTTTAAGTTCAAAAGCAATCCACAAGCTGACCGGAAAGAAGTTATGAAGTCATCATTGTTAGTGATCTGTGCCATAGGTGATCTATACTTGAAGGTTTCTAAGTTTTATGAAGCAGTTGCACTGACAACACCTATTGGTTATACTAAAACAACCTAGTACTTGTTGGATGCTCTTCCAATAGCCATATTTCCCCTTTTTGCTTCAGTTCCTTCCTGACTTTGTAAGCTACTGTTCAACATGAAAATATGCATTTTCCTGAGAAGGCATATGATGTTTTCTATGAATTGTGAGGAAGACTGCCATATGCGAGTATTTGGCATCTGGCATAGTGTATTTAGCATCTCCACCCTCTGGTCAGGAGCTGGGGGTTTGCTTTTTGTTTTTCTTATCTGGAATTTATATTATACAAGAAAGGGGAGAATAGAAAATTGGAACTGGATTCTACTTGCTAGAATGTTGGTACCCTGCATGTTCCTTATCTCAATCTGACATGAGGGGTTTACTGAAGAGGATATTATTCTAGATTATGTCCTTGTTTTTCCAGAATACCTTATTTTGCAGTCTGAATAAATGAATACCTAATTGAAACTACATGACTTGGTGGTGCAGTTAATTGGTTAGTTTCCGATCAGCATAACTCTTAAAAGATGTTCTGACAATGCAGGATCTCAAGAAGAAGCCAAAGTACTTGGTGTCCTTCACAGTTGGCTGGGATCAGAGGCATAACATAGATGCAGCAGTTAGAAAGGTGTTAAAGCCATTCCATTCTGTGTTATCTTCTATTTTTCGTCTGGTTACAATTTGAGGGATTCTGAGATTTTTTTTTAATCATTGCTATAGTTTTCAGATGAGTTCACAATTGTTCTTTTCCACTATGATGGTCGGGCTACTGAATGGGATGTGTTTGAGTGGTCAAAAACTGCAATTCATATCAGTGTGAAAAGGCAAACAAAATGGTAATTTTGCATGTAGTCGGTTCCTCATACTGAAGCATTAAACTGCTCTGTCAATATGACTGACTGAGTGTCTGTATGTTATGTCTAGGTGGTATGCTAAAAGATTTTTGCACCCAGACGTTATTGCGCCATACGAATATATCTTCATTTGGGATGAAGATCTTGGAGTGGAACATTTTAATGCAGACAAGTGAGCTTATTCTTCGTTGTCATCCTCCCTTAGAAACTCTGGAGTTACTTGCTTGTCTAATCTATGCCTTCAACAGGTACATTCACTTGGTTAAAAAGCATGGGCTAGAGATCTCTCAACCAGGTCTTGAACCCAATAATGGTCTCACGTGGCAGATGACAAAACGGAGAGGTGACCGCGAAGTTCACAAGTACTCTCTCCCTCCCTCCCTCCCTCGTGTGTGTTTGTGCTTGCACATTTTTCTCTTTCTGTAAAAATAGCTGACCTGAGATACATTTCTCTCCATTTAATATTCATTCACCTCAATTCTGGCATGTATCCGCGAGCAGGAATACAGAGGAGAAACCAGGCTGGTGCAGTGACCCACATTTACCTCCATGTGCTGCGTAAGCACCTCTTTCTTCTTCTATTGCATTGTCTGTCAGTTTCTATGTATATATATGTGCATTTGGGTGTGCGCATGTGGCATATAAATGTCTGCTCTACTTTACAGCCACCATACTTAAAGGTGTATCCATTGTTGTGTGCATTAGCATGACTATGTGTCCTTATGCTTTTCAGCTTTGTGGAAATCATGGCGCCTGTGTTTTCTCGTAATGCATGGCGATGTGTGTGGCATATGATCCAGGTATGCTCCATTTCATAATAGTGTAATTTATATGTATCTTGATAAAATCAACAGCACCGAACGTAAGGTATTCTTTCGGGATTTTGCTTTCGGATATTGAAATGATTATGAATAAAAAAACTTAAATTTCCTAAAAAGGGGTGAAGTTCAACCTGTTTCTTTCGTCGCTACCTTGACATCTGCAGACCACAAGAGGATTTAGATTCAGCTTCTAGATTTTGTGAGATACTCTTTCTAACCATCACAGGTTCCATCACAGCTTCTAAATTGTACAAGATTCAGCTGTGTTCTACAATTTATAAATCTTGTATGGAGCATTTAGCTGTTTGCATGTGGTCTGTTTTCTTTTGTTTTTTATTTTCTGGGCAACCCTTAATGACATTTCATGATATTTTGTAGAACGATCTGGTCCATGGATGGGGATTGGATTTTGCTCTGAGAAGATGTGTAGAGGTTGGTATTTTTATCTGTTTTGTGTTTCATCGCAATCTTTCATATGATTCGCAATTTGTCTACCCAACCCCGGTTCTTCTGCTTGGAGAGTGGGTCCAAGTACTATTTGTGCTGTGACATACTAAATCTCATATGCTCCAATACCTCAAATTGGAGAAGATAAAAACAGCATATGCTTTTGTCTTGCATACCTCTATTTATATTCCAGAACCATGCAGGACAATTGCTTTCACCTTTTTCAGCTTTTAAATTCACATATGAACATACATGAACATTAATTATATAGCTAATTTGGTTTCGCAAGTCCTATTTTATCTTAAGCAAATAGCGGCAGGGGAGCCTCAATAAGCTTGTCCATTATGTAAAATATATCCGAATGCAGCTCGTGTTTCTCAGTTATCTTTCGTCAGACTTACAACTGCTTCTGGTCTTCGTTGACAGCCTGCACACGAGAAAATCGGTGTCGTTGATTCACAGTGGATCGTACATCAAGTAATTCCCTCTCTGGGGAGCCAGGTGAGTTTTCCGTTTCATCTCCATTTATGAATTACATCAGGAAACCGAGCAGCCCCGTTCTAAGGTTCTATATAGGTTGCGAAGTGGCTATTCCCACAATGTATTGATGAACATTTCGACTGGTCGCCTTACATCAATTTGACAGCATCTGTCTGTTTTCCTGTCTTTACTGTTTCAGGGCAAGTCTGAGAACGGAAAAGCGCCATGGGAAGGGGTGAGAGCAAGGTGTAAGAGCGAATGGGCCATGTTCCAGGAGCGCCTCCTCCGTGCTGATAAAGCATACTTCTTGAGCAGCACGAGCCGATCTGCAACTGCTGACAAGGGATACTTGGCTCGCTTGAAGGATGTCAAAAACTGAACCTCCAAATGTTAGTGTCGTCGTTTCTTGGGGAAGGAGTCAGTCTGCTAACTACTTCTGTAGCTACATTTCCCTGCGTCTGGCTCACCTCGGCCGCTGCCACACCATTTCTGTGGTGTAAAGGGGGGATCAGAGGAACATCATATTTTCCATCTCACCCTGCGTGAGATCCTGAGATGCTCTCTCGCCCTGCCCCTCGCGAGCCTGTATTTTGTACATTCTGATTTGTTTATTGTATACACCAAGTAGTAGGCTCATCTCGCTCGCGCGCTCTTGATGTAGTAGTCCACTTTTGGAAGAGAGATCGTCCATACTCCGGTTTCCATGCCATTCTCATGTTTGATACTCTTGGAACATACTTGGCGCTAGGAGCAGAAATTTTTTGTTGATAACTTGCTTTGCTGCTCCGCCAGTAGCCTCTCCATTGTTTAAAATTCAGGTTTGTAGTTCTTGAACTATCTTGCGTCGCAATCCCGCAACAACGCTGGAGAAGGATCTCAATAGTATATCTAAAAATCTCTTACTAAGGAGTCGTTGGGAGAGTGTGTTATTAGACAGTGATGTGCTGCTGCCTGCTGTTTTCGTAAGCAAACAGCAAAACAAAGCAACAGAGACGTTTTGAAAAGAAGGGGCTGCTTCCTACTTAATTTTTTAAGCACCCACGAGTTTCAGCAGCAGCAGCAGGTTTCTGCTGCATTTCTCTCTTCTCGCCTCTTGAATCTTGATACGTCGTGATATTGCAGTCTTTTCGTCGTAGCCATTCAAGATCGACTACTCGAGCATTTGAAGAGCGAAGCAGTAAGCTTTCAATTAAATTATTCACCAGAAAACGATCAAAGAGAAATGTTTTGTCGCTCATTTCTACCCCTTTTCTCATTTGATTCGTTCGGGGCGAGTTGTCCATTTCCCAAGTCAAAATCTCTAATGGAAATTGTTGTTATGGTTTGAGAACGTGGTACACCCACTAATGTGAATATTTCAATCCAAAACACAGCCATATTATGCAGGTCATGAGTGCCTTAGAATAATAACCTCTATGAGTCAATGGCAATATGAAATTTACAAACCCAGAGTGTCAATCTTACATTCTTACTCAATCCAACCAACCATGAGCCAACCCATGGTTGGTTTCTGGGGGGTTGGGTTGGACCACAGCCCTCCAAATTTAGGGTAGTTGTGACTTGTGAGGAATAACAGAGGATTCCCCTAAAATAGACCGTTCCTGGAGTGAAACTAAAGGCTTTTGCATCATTAGGGTAATTCCCTTTTCTTATATATTGCCACCTCCCACTCACCAAACATTTTGCAGCTTCAAGGTGGCGAACTTTTTTTGCTTGCGCTTGCAGATACCCTCTCCCTCCCTTACATACACAAGAAAACGTCCATCTCACCTTCCTAACTTGATGTCTAAGGCTCAAATGTAAGATACCAGGATTATAATAACCTCCTAATAATCAATTTGCTAGATTCAAATCACAATTTGAACTTTCTCTGCTGAATATTGGTTGTTTCCCGTGTTTCGTTCGTTTTTTCAGAAAGTGATTGTGAAAATTTGATACAAAGATTGTCTTAACCTTTACTATTATTCAAACAAGCTGGAGAGTTCCCGATGAGTCGTCATGAAGCAAGTAACGTGATCATGAATCCAACACGTAAAATACGGGGGGTAAATACCGAAATGAATGGAATCGATTCAATCCTCAGTCACCCTTTAATTTGAGAATACACACGTTGCAACTTATAAGTTTTTTTCTTCCCCCTAATGGTTACAAGTTACAAATTTCTTATTACAAAACTGTTTAGCCAAACAATGTTGTTGATTTGTTAATTGGGATTGCATAAATTATTAGCCTGAAACAAGAGAATAATGAATAGATTAGACAACCGTTCTAAAATAAACAAAAAATCTGCTGGGGAGAAATTGAAAAGCAATGTTGTTGTCAACTGACATGGAACCCTTACCATATTTTGACTTGAGAATTATTGAAGGGGAGGTTGGGTGATGGAATCATTAACATAATGATAAGCTTCTGGAAGTACCAGAACCCAGAACCACTGGCTGGTTAGTTCGTTGCTGAAAGAGAAGAGGAACCCATTTATAAAATGTTTAAAAAAACAGAGGATCAAACAGACAACACCTAATCCTCAACACCACCAACCCAAGTTTCTTCACCAATATTCCTCAAAAATATAAAGAGTCTTACATTCTTATACAAGCCAGACAAATCAACACAACACAAAGTCACAAACTACATTCTCCCTCCTCCTCTCTCTCTTGCTTGGCAGTTCTCTCAGGAGTCGGGAGGCAGAGTCCTTCAGTAAAGAGGAGAACTTTTTTCCTTTTTGGCAATCATTTTTCCATTTTTACCAGGTTAGTAAATGAATGCATTCACTTTGTTGCCTAAATTTTGTAGGTAATACATATGGTAGCTAGTTCATATGCATAAATTTTTCATTTACAAATGTACCTTATGAAAGATTTTTTTTGAATACCCAATTCTTCGGGTACTTCATTCTCTCTGTTTCTGGGTTTAAATGTTGGCAAAGTTCTGAACTTTTTCACAAATGGTATGAAAAAATCTCAAATACCATCGTTGTGCAATGTGCAGGGGAAGCTTGAAACGGGAAAAGAAGGGTAAGGAAGAGAAAAGCAGAAGGATGGGAGAAATGGCAGGGATCCAGTTGGGAGTTATTGGGGCTCTGTTCCTCTCCGTTGCCTCTTCAGTCTCCATTGTCATCTGCAACAAAGCTTTGATGAGCAATCTAGGCTTCCCTTTTGGTAAACATATATATACATTCACCCCTCTGCCAAAATTGTTGATCCGGTTTGGTAGCTGGGTAATTGTTCGTAAGCACGTGTTTAGACCATCTTTCCCCGTCCAATCATAAAATTGGACGGTTAAGATCGGTCTATCGTTTTTATACTATGGTTGACTCGGTTTGTTTGATTGGACTCCCTGCAGCTACGACACTCACGAGTTGGCACCTGGTGGTGACATTTTGCACACTCCATGTGGCTCATCGGTTCAACCTGTTCGAGTCGAAGTCGGTTGACATGAAAACCGTGATTCTTTTTGGGCTGCTCAATGGTATCTCAATTGGGTTCCTTAACCTCAGCTTGGGTTTCAACTCCATTGGCTTTTATCAGGTAAGAAAGACTACTCATCAATAATGATTTGTGTTTGGTACATTTGTTCAAGTTCTGTGATATGTAATACCAAAAATATTGCAGATGACAAAACTTGCAATCATCCCCTTCACTGTCTTATTGGAAACACTCTTCCTGAACAAAAACTTCAGGTATTTCCCTTAGCTCGAGTTATTACGATAAAATTCGACTTTAAATGTCATTTATGATGCGGGTTATTAATAGAATAGGAAGAATCATATTTGGATCTCACCAAATGTAGGTTAGAATCTTTAATTAGGTGGAATGGTTGTTGGAATTTCTTGTTTTATTAATGTAAATTCAATGTTACTTATTGTCATGTTGCAGCCAAAAGATAAAGTTTGCTCTCTTCCTGTTGCTTGTTGGAGTAGGGATTGCCTCTGTGACAGATATGCAGCTCAATGGCCTTGGCACCATTCTGTCCCTTCTTGCCATCCTAACAACCTGTGTTGGCCAAATTGTACGACCTCTTTTCTTTTGTCCGCATATTCGTTGGATCATGTCTCATGTGATCTCAGTTTTGGTCCGTTATACACTACAACTTTACAATCGTGTTGTGAAAACACATAACAAGATAACTGAGATCGCGTGTAGACATGATCCAACAGTGTCGAACGAATGCCACCCTTTTAAGCCTCCTTCGAATACTGTTAATGGTTTTGACATAAATTGCCACCTTTTCCAGCTGACAAACACAATCCAGAAGAGGCTGAATGTGTCATCAACCCAGCTGCTCTACCAATCAGCTCCATTCCAGGCTGCAGTTCTCTTCATCTCAGGACCTCTGGTTGACCAGTTCCTCACCAAGAAGAATGTGTTTGCATACAAATACAATCCCTTAGTAGTGGTAAAAATTCACTGCTGTTCAATTTTACCTTCTAATCTCTCAAAAGAAACTGACTTCTGACATCTCTTTGTGGTTCTGCAGACATTCATATTGCTGTCATGTGTGATAGCTGTAGCAGTGAACTTCAGCACATTCATGGTGATAGGAAAGACATCTCCTGTGACATACCAAGTTCTAGGGCACCTAAAGACATGCCTTGTCCTACTGCTGGGTTATACTTTGCTGCATGACCCTTTCTCCATGAGGAACATTGTAGGGATCCTTGTGGCCATGGGTGGGATGGTCTTGTACTCTTACTTCTGTACCCAAGAGAGCAAGAAGAAGCATTCAGATGACTTGCCATTGAAAGGGTCTCAGGTAATGAATGATCTTGTGTAACAAATTTCGGGTTTTCGAGTGCGAAAAGCGGGCTTTGGAGAAGTGGTGCTGATGTGTGTTTTGGTTTTTTTCTTGGCAGGTAAAGGAGAAGGAGGGTGTGCTTACACCATTGATGGGAGTGCAAGAGAAGGAAAATGCTGAGGCGAAGAAATTGGCAAAGGACTCTGTTGTTTAGAGATAAAGCTTAGAAACGTTTCTTTCCTTTCTTTCTTTGATTTGTTCTCTTTGTGTTTGTGATGTGCCCTAAGGTGATCAGCTATGGTTTTTGTGGGATGTGAAAAGTGATTTTGATTCTTTAAAATAAACCCTTTCTTCCTCAATGCATCTCTCCAACCAAAGAGAACACAAGGCATTTGTTGCAACATATACAGTGTACTTTCAGAAGGAAAATTTGTTCTTCAATGAATCAGTGGAAATGATGATGTCAAATTTGGTCATTTTCATTGTTCAAAATTCTTTAAGAAATCATCCATGATTCATTGATCAAGACTGTCTGCAATAGTATAGTGGGCGTTGGATTATTTTTCCTTAATTTTTTGCTAATGCTCGTCAACTGTGGCGTAGCCAGATTTGAACTTGACTGGGTTCCTAAGTGGTGGGTTACATAGAAACTAAGGTGAAGATACATGAGAAACTCTTAATATGTTGCACCATCGTCAACTCTTCCCGGGATCCTGGGTTTTTCGAGAAAAGGTCTCATCCTTCAAGATCATCAGTCCGGATTTTACCAATGTCAACATTCTCGCCAACGCCTATTGCATTTTGATGGAAAAGGGACCTGGTAATTCACTTATGACAGAAGGGCAATCATCTGCGCCAGTGTATAAAAAGACTTTTTCAATTTTTACAGTAGCGAGGAGGCGAAGTCTTCTCTCGAGGAGATCTTTATTCTCTCTTGTCCAGTCCGAGTAATCTCTTATTTTATCCAAGAAAAGGTATTTCTAGTTTGCATGGTCCAGTCCTAAGTCCAATTTACAGCAATTATCTAAGCATTTTTTGCTCGTAATTGTTCCCAAGTGAGGTCCTGGGACCCCATTCTCTTGGTTGTGGCTCCGCCACTGCTAGTTGTCAATCGTTTCTCACTTTATTAGTTGGATAAATATTAAGTTCGCCAAATTGTGCATAGAGACTTTATTAGTATCTAGGTGTCTTGTTACTGCTACCACCTAGGGATGTCAATCAAACTCATGACCACGGGTACTCGCCCACTCCCGACCCAGTCAATTCGGGGAATCTTCGTTTTGACCGGGAATGGGGCTGGTATTGGGTAAAATCCGCAAAATGTTTGATGGGTATGGGGCGGGTATGGTTTTAGCCTCCTCCACCCCATACTCATACTCATACCGGCCCCATTAGGATAATTTCTTCACATAAAAAAAAATACATTGATTAAATTGTAACCTGTCTATAATAGTAAGGGTAACTTAAGAATATATTTAGTAGAAATGTAATTGGGTGGCTACCCAAATCAAAATTTAATTATATTTCCTCTCAACTCTACCTTCACTCTTTTATTGTTTCGATTGTTAACAACAAGATTATGTTAGCTAGTTATTTCTTAGTAGATGTATTAGAATAAGAAAATAATGATTTGGATTGCATTGCATTCTATCTTATAGATTAACGGATGCTTTAGGATAAGATGATTTGAACCGTGTTAAGAATGATTGTCTCTTTGTTTGACTTCATGATATAGTAGGTGCATTTAATGTTATAATTGAAAAATTTAGATATAAAATTTTAGGTGTTATCATATTGGATGTCGGGACGGGTATTACTCATGGGTACCCGTAACTATGGGGATGGGTTTGGAAAACCCTCCCCGCATGGGTATGAATGAAGCGGGTATGGATTTGAATATTTGAAAACGGGATGTGGATGATTTAGAAGACCTACCTCAAACCCGCCTCATTGCCATTTCTACTAGCACCTGATTTCTCATCACCTTTGGAACATATACTACTAGGTATAAATGACGAGTAAGTGGTGTTCTTCAATATATCTTCAAATTACAATCACTAATTTGCCATCTTACTTACGAAAAACATGTTATATTTCACAATAAATTAATTTTTCGTCTAATTTTGGAAGCATTACATTGAGATTTTTTCAAACAAAAAAAAAACGTTTAATTCTAAGAATGTGGATATTTGAAAATTTTAACGCATTTAATTGTTGAATGAAAGGCCCATGCAAAAATGAGTTGGGCTAAGTGATATAAGCCCATTGGATCAAAACGGGAAGGCTGATGGAAATTAGTTTGCCAATCCAGATATTAATACGTGGGATCATGAAAACGATCCTCCAAAAACCAGATCACAAAACTGGATTAACAAACTGTGAAATTGTCTAAGCCAATTTCACAGTAAATTTGCAGCTTTGAAGATTTTATGTTTGAATTTTACGGTTGATTCCTCCTTCCTCCCGCACACCCTCTTTACTAGTATGTACAAAAATTTATTAAGAAATGACATACAAATTTAGATATATCGAAGTATCGTATTATTTAATGATGGAAGAAGATATAGAATCAAAATATCTAATAACTTCTTCAATTTGCACACAATACATAATTCATATGTGTACTAATTTTAAACTCGATGAATAAATCCGAATTCTTCAAATAAGTCATTTGGCAGATTTTAAAAACAATTAAATTAAACGATTGGCGATAAGATTGACTTAGTACGACGACCACACCTAGAATCTAACACAGGTGATGGAGAAGGAACGAACCATGTATAGCCCCCATAACTTGTCAATTTTGCATGTATCGTTTTCTATTTGATGTGAATTGGACTTACGTCTTAAGTCTTCATGGTTTGAAATGTCTGTCTTCTTACTATTCAACCCTCTCCCACAGCCAACCATTGTTATGGTTTTATCATATGTAGGACAAGTCAAGTGCATATGGCTAACACAACATAATCAAGCACTACTAAAAACCGCGACAAAGCACTCCACGGCCATTGAAAATTTTGGTTCTTCCACAAACTTATTTTTCGATCGATTCTTGCAAACTCGAGTTGTCAAAACAAGTGATACAGTACAGAGCAGAGCGATCTGAAATTCCAAATCGATCACCTTCATTCGTCACTGTGTCATGTGTTAACTACATGCATGGTTATAAAAAAAACAAAATTCATACGCTCAAAACAAAATAGTTGACGAGTTACGTTGATCCATGTAGTCAAGTTTACTCGCTAGCTGAACAAAAAATTTAGCTCAACTGTTGATAAATGAGTCGAACTTTCTTCTAATCGAACAATTTTTTTTTTCACGTCGAATTGCTCTGAACAGCTCCACTCATGGACAAAGCTCGCGGTAGAGATTGGATATTGGGCACTGTCATGGTGCCTGCTAGTAAGTCGACTATTTGGTCCGGCCTTTTTGGTTTTACCTGAAACCGAACCGTATAACTCGGACCGATATCGGATAACAAACAATTCAATCCAATCTTCGGGCCTAGATTTGAGGTAAAAACCCGTTTGGGACCGAAAACCGGACAAAGACCGGATAAGAGAGCCCAACACCCAAAATTTAACCTCATAACCATTTCAGACCTTAGGCCACTCAAATCCCCCCTCATGCCACTCAAATCGCCACAAACTCAGTCTAAAATCAAGACTGAATTGGGACCGAACCGGATCAAGACTGGACTGTGTCCAATGCAATCTTTGGTCCTTATGTTCTAAAAAAAACCGGGTCGGGATCAGATCAATTCGAAACAATTTAACCGGACCGGACCGGATCGTATAGCCACATGCCAGCTACTTGAACAAAACAAAGGCAAATTTGGCTGGTTCAAAACCCTTTAATATCTCCTGTCAATCATCATTAACAATTTGAATAAACATTTGGAGGGGAAAAAGCAGAGGATGCCTGGCCTGGTGGGGGAGGTAGGAGACAGGGACAAGCATTTGGGAATGGGCACTCTTCTTATTATAGACTTTCAAGAATGTTTGGTGCCACAGTTTGCCATTTGGTTGTTTGCTTGTGACAAAAGCAAAAGATGTTTAGGCGTTGAAGTTGATGATGATGACGATTAACTATAATTGGCTGGCGTGATTAACTGAGCTGATGATCTTCTTTATTATTAATCATTATCTCATCATCACTCTTTTGTTTTTCGTTCCCTTCTACGCAAATGGGTAGGCAAAAATAGGTAGCTGGGGCGACAATGATAGTTTCGTGACACATGAGATGTATCATGTCACACATGATGTTGTTCATTGTACAACCACAGTTAGATGTCGAGCAGGGGTGGCAGTTCGGTTATTTCGGTTATAACCGGTAATCGATTGGCTGGTTATCGATTAACCGAAATAATCACTCCCCCTATCGAAAAACGTCCGAAATAGGCTTCGGTGTCTCGATTATCTCGGTTATCGGTTAACCGAACCACTTTTAAGACCAAAAACCATTTTGTCCAACATCCGATAACCGACCGAATTTCGGTTAGTTTGGTTACCGGTTAGTGGATAACCGGTCGGTTATCGGTTTAATCGACTGGTTAACCGGTAACCGAACGACCACCCCTAAATTGTCGAGTCAGCTACTTATACCTAAATTGGCAAAGATTTTTATTTTTCCCCCGGTGTAATCGGTATGTGAGATATAATAATATCGTTCAGATAAACACATCCAGCTTGAATTAACAAGTACTTTTCGTCGTTTGTAGTTTACGTGCTTCGGCTTGATACTTAACTTCAATAGTCTTAATCATGAATTTATTTACGTGTTTTTTGTTAGATTTGGTATCTGTACGAGATGGATGATGCGAGAACGCAACTGATTGTATGACTATCGACTATCGTTGTTATAGGTCTACTAAAAAAAAAAAAAAAAGCTGGCATCAATCAGTGGCATATCAAAGTAAACTATAAATTAGGTAGGGTATATTGACAACATGAATGACGGTCCATGTTCATGCATGCATGTTGCTGCATTTTCACATATCACACTATGAACAGTATATATCTGGTTTATGTCCATTCAGTCCAACTAAACCATTTGTATTAAGTTAGATAAGTACATATATTAGCATATACTTTGATTCCATATAAGATGTCCCTACACCTTATGGATGTGAGATTGTGTTTTATAAGTGTCGTAACTCATATAAATTGTCTATGTTGTTTGTGTTCACCCAAATATTTATAACTTTGTTACGGATATCAATTGAAGTAACACGTATAAAGATCACAAATTCGAATATGACATCTAACAATTAGACTGGAACTTTCGAGTTTCGACCCATCTTGCGTGAAACAAATCGCATAGTAACCATATGTCATTTCATTGAACACTGATAATAACGACACAATCCTAAGGCTAGCATGACACCAAATCACAATACAACAAAAAATAGCACACTTGCATTTTGGCCTTTTCACACCTTTGGTAATTCTAATTTAGGGGTGGTTTGCTGGTCGAATTTTAAAAATAAGAGTTTGACAGGAAAATATTTGAATTTATGGTGTATTTGTTACATTATGAATTTAAAAAGTCTATACGATAGATTTGAATTGTATATTTTGATGAATTTGTTGGATATAGCATCTGTCGTTAAGGATTAAAAATCCCAACATAATATGTGAGATTTATAAGATCACTAGTTCCACGAATGGGTCCATTTTTTATTGATGGGTACAAATTTGAAATAAATCCATTAAATTTGGAATTTGTATCCAAATCCATGACCCTAAACCGCCCACTAATCGACCAAAGGGCAAAGTAGTAAATAGCAAGGAAGGGATGACGCTTTTCATAACACATTCCGCTGTCTGTCAATCTCTGTCTCATTATATTACGGGCACTTAATTACAATAAACAATAAATAAAATACTAATACCAATTTTAACAAATAAAAACTTCTTCTCTTTTTCCCAACACGGCAAAGTAGAGAGGGCAAAACGACAAAGCGAAATTTTAAAAGAAAATAAATATCAAAAGAAAATTCTTTTTAATTTTAAAGTAATTAAAGCTGAAACAAGAAAAAAACAATAAAGAGAAAATTCAATTCTTTTTCTTACCAGTTACCACCACCCCCACCAGCCAGAAAGCCACACAGCCAAGGCAAGGCAGTTTCATTTCGGTTCTGATTTCTGTTCCTATCTCCGGCATCGAATTCCGCCTCCATTGATCCTCCGATGCGGCCGACGTAGGGGGTGGAAGACGACGACGGATAGGGCCGGAGATCGTAGCTCCGGCGGCCGGCGAAGCTGCGAGGTATAATTAACGGTAAAAAGAGTGATACGACGACAGTTGAGAGAGAATAGTGCTATAGGTTGAGTGGAGAGAGAGAAGCGGAGGGCGAGAAAACCTTCATCGGATCTTGTACGGTTTCTGGTTCGGGGAACAAGCGATCGTTCTCGTCGGGAAACGGAGAGAGATGGAGGTGGTGCCGGTGGAGCAAGAGAAGAAGGAGGTAGTGGAAGGCTGGTTGTACGTTGTGCGGTCCAATCGAATTGGATTGCAGTACTCCAGTAAGCGCTACTTCCTTCTCCAAGATCACAATCTCAAGAGCTTCAAGTCCGTCCCTACTTCGAATGACCAGGTCTCCTCTCGTCTCTCTTTCTCTCGCCTTTATCATCACTTCTTTTTTCTTTCTGCCATTGTTTGGGAATTTTACAAGCTAATGCCGCCGCGGTTTCCAGTTCACCCTACTTGCTTATGGCTGCTGGTTCTCGGAAATCCTTTCTCGCTTGTTACATTTTTGGCTGGTTGTTAGCTAACTCGATCTAGAAATGCACTCGTGTTTGATTGTTTGTGTCCATCGAGAGAATCGCCATTAGCAAGGATTCATAGTTTGTTACTGGATTCTGATGTTTAGGGTTCAGGATGGTGCCTTTGCTGTTATTTACTTTTTGGTTCTGCCTTTTGAAGTTATGGTGGATTCTTTGATTACTGGTTGATTAATGATTTAAGCCTTTTGGTCTATGATAGGTAAGCTCTTAGGATTCCTTGTTTGGGTATCCCTTTTTGTTCATGTGGAAGGAGAAGGGACATGGTGGAACTGTTGCTTTATTTGGCAGGAAACTTGTGGTGTTAGTTTGCCTTTTGTGTTTGGCAAAAGAACCAAGCGTTACAGTTGAGGATACAGTTTTCTATTCTAGTGGGAGGGGCTAGTGAACGTGATGAGTCTTTGGACGCGTATCTCTCTTAACATTCTGAGCTCCCATAGGAACTATTGGGGATGGAGTCATATTCTGATTTCTATCTTAGGAAAACTTTGCTTAAAATGTAGAATCTGAGTTTGAGTAGACTGGATATGGAATTATCAGGGTGTTGAAAAGTACTTTGTAGTTTGTACCCACTTGCTTCATAGAGTTTAAGTTATGCAAGTGAAAGGTATTGATTTCTGATGTGTTAATGACCCAGCGTTGTGGTTTTCAGATTGAATAATGCGTCCTAGTATCTTAATTTATGTGTCTGCTTTTATCTTTTCAAAGTGTCAGCTCGGTTCTTTCTTGCTTCTGATTTACTCTCTGACCCGGTTTTGGTTTTCAGGATCCTCTTAGAAGTGCTATCATAGATTCGTGTATTCGAGTGACAGACAACGGAAGAGAGAATGTTAATAGAAGAGTATGAAAACGTCATCTAGTCTTGCGTTATTTGTGTGAAAGAAAGGGTGATTCAGATTCATATCAATACATCCTCTTTTACGGTAACTTTGTCAACTTGCAGGTTCTCTTCATATTTACGCTGTTCAACACTTCAAATCATAGCGATCAACTTAAGGTGAGGTGAACACCAAATACATAATGTTTTTGGCTTGTAAAATGATGATTTATGAGTTACAGAATCTGTATGTTGTAGTTGGGAGCCAGCAGTCCTGAGGAAGCAGCAAAATGGATTCACTCATTTCAAGGAGCTGCTGTGAAGGTTCTGATTGCAACTTATTGAAAAATATTGGATCTGTTCAACGATGATGACTAATTATTACATAAACATGCAGGGTGGTCATAATATTGTAGGTTGTTCTAGGAACACCTGGCAGTCCTTCAGGTAAGATGGTAGTGTTCACCTGTAGTATTTTTTTATAGTTGCCATGACCTTTAGCATCATAGCACAAACCGCTATTTGTTTCTTCATCTTCTGTTATCATATACCTCTTAAGTTTGGTAAAATACTCTAGCTGGAAATAGCATTTTGAGTTTATCAAACAATGGTTATGCGGAGTAATAGTTCATAACAAATGGTTCCAATCTATCAGTTAATGGAAACCAGTTCTTTCCTCTCAGTGTTAACTATATTAAGCTTCATGCTTTCAGATTGACTGATTCTCGAAGAGTACAGCAGTGTAGATCGATAGATTGGACTCTTTGTTCCACTTCAGCCACACATACTGATCCAGTAAATGATGTGATTGCACCTTCATCGTGGACAATTTTCGGATGTCAAAATGGCAAGAAATCTAGCTTTTTTCCGTTCTGATATCCAGCAATAAGTCCGAGGTTTGGTTTCTAATAACTCGTGCTCTTTATAGGTTTACGTCTCTTTAAAGAAACAAAAGACAGGGATTCTCATGGTAAGGTATGTGAAGTTCCAGAATTTGTGGGCTGTAATTCTTAGTGCATAGCTAACGGGGTTATTTCTTTTCAGTGGGATGATCATCCTGCAATAATGGCTGTCGGTGTGGTTGATGGAGCATCAGAATCCATATTCCAAACTCTCATGTCTCTTGGTCCCACAAGATCAGAGTAAGTTGTTGGAATGAAGCTTTAAATTGGAACCTTCATTATTAAGTTTGAATGGACTGATAAAGTAAAAAAGAAATGTAAACTCTTGGAACCTTGGACTGAAGACCTGTGTTAACTTTCAAATGATAATGAAAAGAAAACCTGTTTCCACAAAGGTTTAAAATTTACTTATTTCCTGGCAGATGGGACTTCTGTTTCCACAAAGGAAGTGTGGTTGAGCACCTTGATGGCCATACTGATATCATTCACAAGCAGTTGTACCGTGACTGGCTACCTTGGTACCGACCAAGATTCTTCAACTATAATATTGATTCAGTCAACTCAGTGTACAAAATCTTATGCTTGTTATACATTATCCATTTCAGGGGAATGAAAAGAAGAGATCTTCTGCTGCGGAGGTACTGGCGGAGGGAGGACGATGGAACATATGGTAGGATCTACTTTAAAATTAAATGTGTCTGCAAGTCATGTTTCCTGCATCAGATGAAAAATTTAACGCCCTCTAATGAATTGTTTGCAGTTATTCTCTACCACTCTGTATTTCACAAGAAGTGTCCCCTGCAGAAAGGCTATGTCCGTGCTTGCCTTAAAAGTAATGTATGCTTGATTTTGGGGTGTGAACTCAATTTCTTTATACTTTCAAGTATCTTGATGTTAGAGGGGACCATGCATTGTTTTATCTCTCTAATTTCTTGTCTGATGCAAGAATAACCGAACTTGACGATATCATAGATAATCGTGTATTCTCGATCATTGATACCAGGACCTCAGAGCCTTGGGGCCTGATATGGTTGATTATGAATTTGGTGTTGAGTGTGTCCTGTTCTTCAGTTCTAACATCTTGATGCTTTTTTAGGTGGTGGATATGTCATTTCTCCCCTGAACCAAGGAAAACGATCTGTGGTAAAACACATGCTTGCAATTGACTGGAAATTCTGGAGATCATACATAAAAACTTCTGCAGCCAGATCTATTACCATCAGAATGTTAGGAAGAATTGCTGGTATTGTTCAAGTATATTCAATGTTATCTTCAAGTTCTGTTGTTTTCACCAAAAAATAAATAAATGACTTAAAGGCGTACTGAAGTTTCTGGCTCTCCTGAACTATTCGTTTAAATCATCCGTGTTGTACTTGCAGCACTGAGGGAGTTGTTCAAGGCAAAACTAGGACCCTGTGCCCCAGAGTTTTCATCAGGAGAGTTGACAGGTAGCGGATTGAACCGGGCTGTCCTGGACGTAGGAACTGATGATACTGAAATGATAACCAATGATGACGTCAAGGCAAACAAGTGTCTGGGTGATGAAGCAGATAACGCTCCCTCGGGGCGTGCAAGCTTAGGAGGCCTTAATGATTCTGCTGCTGATGAATTTTTTGATGTTCCAGAACCCTCTGATAGTGAATGCTGGAGTTACGACTTTGGTTCAGAAGGGCACTCTCAGGTAGCTTTTTATCGTATTAGAACCTTGCTTCATTCTTCAAGCAAAACATGCATGTGAATTGTTAGATTAGGAATCTGCTTGATACTTCTTGTTTGGCCCAAGAAATTTGGATGCCTTTAGTTTATGTGGTAGGTTTGTTAGTAGTGATAAGTGTTGCAGAGACATCTGATAGTGTTGTATAAATCAGATAAAGAAGTTGTTGTTTTGGCTGATAACCTTAATCACTTTTGCTACTAGTGTTTCCCTTTCTTGCATTTATGTCTGCATATATCCATGTTTATTGTTTTATATTTATATGTCACTCTCTGATGATTAGTCGGACAAGTTATTGCCATATTTGACTCACTCAAGTCAAGCCTACTAATTCTGATTTTGCAGTAGTTGCATTAGTTAGTTATATATTTAATTTTAATGGTCTGTGCAGTCCGCTTCATCTAGTTCTTACTATTTAACATGGATGCATACTAAGGCTGTGTCTGTCAAACCTCCATAAAGACTTCTATCCGTTTCCCCACTTGGTGATTCTTTTCTCTGCTCAATTGAAGATTACTTTATCTGTCGCTTACTTGGCTTGACTCCCATAATTGCAGGATATGCGTCAACCTAAGATATCTACTGCAGCCGTTTTCGTGAGGAAATTGCATGATCTTGCAGGTGCTTGTGGTTTTTTTTATAACATTACCTAATGTCTTAACTATTTTAATCCAAATTGCCTCCCGAATAGATTTACCTTGAGATTAAAATCGTCTCTTGCCCCAAAATGGTAGCAGCATTGCTGGTTGGTCACTTGGTCTTGCAACCATCAAGTTGATGTTGTCAATTTGCCAAATTAATCATGTCATTGCTCGTGCTTCAGTTCAAAAGAGGGGATATGTGGACTTACAAGACTTGGTTAGAGAAGACAATCTATCCTACTGCTATGGGACCACTCTTCCTAAAGATCAAACATATACAATGCTCTCCAGCTGGGCAATGACTGATCCTTCAACCTTTTTGATCCGCGGAAAAAATTATCTCCAAGACCAGAAGAAGGTAGAGCCCATGTTTTAGTGACAAATTTACTTGTTAGGAAGCTGGCAGAAAATTGTAATCTCTTCCTTGATCGAGTCAATTTGAGTGAGAACATACTTATTTTGTATGATTGTGTGCTGACTTCTTTTATCGATATTATACCATTCATTTGCTGCAGCCTCGTTAGGTCTTCCTTTGTTGAACATTCATGTGCATAATTTTCATCTGAATTCATCTGGAAATGTTGTCTGCCGGAATGCTTTACAGACTATTATGAGTCTCCAGAAATCCACTAAGACTAGATCGCTGTCTATTGTATTGACAGCTTAAGGTTTCATATATAGCTGGTGGTTAATGTTTTATGCTGATTTTCCAGATCAAGGCAAGGGGTACTTTGATGGAGATGGTTGCTGCAGATTGGGTAAAATCTGACAAACGAGAAGATGATTTAGCTGGCCGTCCTGGGAGCATTGTTCAGGTTTTCCGTTGTCTCCAACCATTTCTATATCATTGTGCATATTATTCAGCTGCTGGCTGTGCCTGCATGTTAACTAGTCATGTCTTGCAGAAATATGCGGCACAAGGCGGGCCAGAGTTCTTCTTGATTATAAACATTCAAGTAAGTCTGGCCACCAGAAAATGTAGTTCAGAAGATGGCTTTGTCTCCTCTATGGCCACTGTTAGTTGGAACTTACGGAGTTCTTACCATGAAACAGGTGCCAGGTTCGACGACATACAGCCTTGCATTGTACTTCATGATGAACACGCCTTTGGAAGATTCGCCATTGCTACAGAGCTTTGTAAATGGGGATGATGCATTCAGGAACTCAAGATTTAAGCTTATTCCTTACATATCCAAGGTCAGTCAAAGCCCAGCATTGACAGCTGTCTGTTGCAAAACCATCAATACTTCATGTTCATCTCAATTCATTCCTAGTGTACTAATTTGTCATTGTTGCAGGGTTCCTGGATAGTGAAACAGAGTGTTGGAAAGAAAGCATGCCTAATTGGCCAAGCACTTGAAATGAACTATTTCCGGGGGAAGAACTACCTCGAGGTAACTTAGACTACACGTAACGAACACGCGTTCCTCACAAGTTTTACTATTCCAAGTTCCACGTCTTTCGTGGAACCACACCTTGAGTTTTTAACTAATGTTTGATGGATGTGGTGCAGCTTGGAGTGGACATAGGGTCATCAACCGTTGCAAGAGGCGTGGTCAGTCTTGTTCTGGGATACCTTAGCAATCTGGTCATCGAAATGGCTTTCCTTGTTCAGGTATATCACACAATCTACTAACCAGGTTTTCACTGGAAAACAACATAAAGGAACTTGGCTCATTTTCCCTCTTTCTCACCGGATCCTATCGTCCTCACAGGCTAACACGGAAGAGGAACTGCCGGAGTATCTGCTGGGGACGTGCCGGTTGAACCATCTGGACGCGTCGAAAGCTGTTTCGTTGAAACAATGACACAGACAAACAGTTCAGGAGCAAGCAACCCCCGTAGAGCAAGAATTTGGAAGCACAGTGAAAAAGTTGTGTGTCTTTTAGAGTAAACTCTGAATTCATTATAAAGGAAACCGTTGTGACTGATTCTTTCATTGAATCCCCCCGATTTGAGATTTGATATGCTTTGGGCTTTTGCTCAATTTGTGATTGTTTGTGTATATAGATAGATTCTCCATCATTATATAAGTATCATTTGAGCTTGATACCAAAAAAGATCCTTATTTTCTAGCTCCTCTTTCCTGAAAGCACGACAAGTGTTTGGCATGATCACAAAAAGAATCGATCACCACAACTCATACATGACCGAACCAATATCGATTCGCAAACTTTGTAATCTGTCCTAAAATTATGTAATCCTAAACGAACGATGAAATTTGTAATGTCTTCTCAAATACCTACTAATATAACACATTTCTATCTTTTTACAAGGGAAATCTGTTAGGAGAAAGATTTTAACAAATCGATACAAATAATTTTGATCAGTAAACACTAAACTAGGGCTGAGAAACGGTATGGTCTGGTCAAGACAGGACCATATATACGGTCTACGGTCCAGATCGAGAGGCTAAAGTATAGCTCACAGACTATACGGTCCAGACCAGACCATGCGTGTGCGATCTGGTCCGGTACGATCTGGTCCAGATAGATCACACTGAACGAAAAATGAACAATTTGATTAGTCAACCACACAAAAAATTGAACCACTAGCCAAGAAAAAAAAACTATTATTTTTTGCCTTAAAACATAAATTCCAATGTGCATGGATAATTTTGACACCATAAATCTCAGTAAATAATAAAGATACAAAGTCAAAGCGTCCCAACTTGCACGATAACGTCATAGACATTTACATAATGTCATATGGAGACACGATTTTCTCTCCTCCCTAGTGAAGTATGGTTGTGAATGAAGGAGGTGACGAGATTCTCAAAATTAAAATTGAGATTTGGGTATCGTTGTGGGAGTTGGGAGAGTGGTCGAGTGAGCTGCTAACACGTATTGAGAAGTCGGTTGGGTCCACAATTTGGTCCGGTAAACCACAATCTAGACCAGACCAAAAAGTCAAAACATCATATAATACAAATCATGGACCAGACCAAACAAATACTTAAGTCCGGTTTGAACCATAATCACCAGGGGAAAACATCATTATTTAAAATTTCTATAAGTTAATCGTTATTTTCGAGAAAACTCAGAATAATGCCGTATTATTAGGAAGCCATTTTCAAAGCTACCATTTGGAAAATCTCGTCGTTTGCCCTTATAAATTGTTTTTACCTTCCCGAGCGCGGGCCGGCCCCCAGAATTCCCCATTTTGGGTTTGGGGAACGAATGACTCAGTTAGTCAGTTTGTTAAGTCACAACTGATTCACCGTCGCCTTCAGTACCTCTGTTGATCGGACACAGATTACGCCGGCCGGGCAACGCCAAACCACCGCGCCGGAGAAGGAAGGATAATAAAACCCCGCCGATCAGCATTTTCGGGAGCTGGCGACTGCCTGGGGGGCCGAAATTGATTTTTACGTTGGGAAGGAACAGATTGTGTTGTTGTGTTGTGGAGACAAGTCCCAGCACAGGGATTTGAACAAAATTTATGAGCACGAGATCCCTCAACTCGATACAGGTTTAGCAGGACTCCACTATTCCCTGTTTCTTTGCTTTGCTTTTGTTTGTCTGTTTGTTTTCTCGCTGTTTTCCATTTGCTTATTTTATAGTGCGGATGATTGAAGGTAGTATTCCAACTCGCCTCCCGCTCCTCATTTAAGCTCCCTCGTGGTCCGCCTTAGGGTTTCTCTTGGCTGGCTTCCGTCTGTGAGTCTTTTATCTGGTGGAGTTTTGGTTCGGTTTACTGCTGGTAGTCTGGTAGGAGTAGGTAGCAGGCAAGTTATTTGCAGGCCCAGAACTTTAGAGACTTTAATTTGAGAATGGATTCTTTGTTTTGCTGCCACAATGGGGTTGCCGCAAATTTCATGATCGTTTATCCATGTTATACTGTTTGCTTCGCACATTTTCCGGCAAGTTGTTTATGATTCGATAATGACAATGCTGGGTGTTTGCCATTGCCAGGAGTTTGAGTAGGATCTCAGTGAATGGCTCTTGCTCTCAAACTAGTACCGATTTTGGTGCTTACCTACGTGTTGGGTGAGTTTTTGCAGGACTTGTTCTTATTTTCCTGATGCCTGAGAGCATGTTATTGTCGATTTGTAATAGTGGGCCGTGTTTCAGCACTATCCCTATTTTATGCTGGTTTACTGGATAGAGGAAACAGTTACTAAGTAGGAGTAGTTTCTCTGTGGTGAATTTACTTGTTTGTAAGGGAACCAGAGTTTTCAGTTGATAAATACCGGTTCTTCTTTCTGAATATTGCGTATGTTTTTCCAGCAGCGAACAGCTATGCTGTTGAAAATGGTTTCAGCCAGTGTGAAAATGTTGTCAAGAAGTGGAGCACCTCAGCTCTTGAACAAGAAGCTAAGGAGGACAAGCATACACTTCGAGATTTATTGTTTTTTCTTCATATCCCAAGAACTGGAGGGCGAACATACTTTCACTGGTAATCTTCAGAAGTATTTTAATTGCCCGAGATGATTAGGCTTTCGCCTGCCTGAGGAATCCTTAATTGTCTCCTCTCTTTTTCTTCCTTCTGTTCAGTTTCTTGAGAAAGTTGTACTCTGGCTCAGATGAATGTCCCCGTTCTTATGATAAGTTACGGTTTGACCCAAGGTACTATCTCTTCCTCAAATTTGCATACTGGTGATTTCTAGTGTTGCAGTTTTAGGTGAAAATTTGAGCCAAGCGGTGATTTTCATTTTGTGCAGCAAACAAAAGTGCAGGCTATTGGTTACTCATGATGACTATAGCATGATTTCTAAGCTTCCTAAGGAGAAAACTTCTATGGTGACCATACTCAGGAATCCAGTTGACCGGGTCTTTAGTGCTTATGAGTTTTCAGTTGAAGTAGCTGCCAGGTTTTTGGTGCATCCTAACCTAACGTCTGCAACTAAAATGTCTGGTCGCTTGCGGTCTAATTCCTCTGGAATTAGTACATTGGATATATGGCCCTGGAAATACTTGGTTCCATGGATGAGAGAGGACCTGTTTTCTAGGGTATGTAATTGTTCTGTATCCTACCTCATCAGTCTGACCTGATTGCCATTTATCTTATTGTAGAATGTAAATTATATGAAGTTACCTTGCTTATATTTCAGTGAACAGAGTGACAACTTTAAAGTAATAATCATTACTCCTCAAAATCACATGCTGCTGTTTGTGTCACCCTGTTTCTTATCTCTGCACCTGTATCCTTTCAGTATTTAGTAACATGATCTAGGGAAGCAATATTACAGAAACTACAATAATTTTGTGTCCAGTGTTTTCTTGATCATACAGTAATATTTTAAACGACTGTCATCTCATTCCTTGCTCTTTGTTGTTGCAAAATCTTATTTTTCGTGTGCAGAGGGATGCAAGAAGGCATAGAGGCTCAGATAGAGTTGAGAGCAATAACCCATATAGCATGCAGGAGATTGTGATGCCATTACTCCGTTATATAAATGACCCTATAGCTCGTGATATTGTTCACAATGGAGCAACTTTTCAGGTGCCTCCCTCGTTTAATCTCAATGGATATTTAACTCCAATTCTTTAGTACTTGTTTGATCATGCACTGCACCCAATCCGCATGTAATGTGAAGACCAGGCTCTTGCTAAAATGGTATGATTTTTTTTTTATTTCTCTGTAGCATCAGAGTGTGTAGTTGCTGTAGTAGGAAGTTTAGACCCAGAGATATAACAAGAGTTTGCTCCAATTTATTTCGAGTTTGGTTCTGGACAGTATTTGTGAAATAGTTGGTGTTACATTTTGAGTCACTTAAGTGATAAAAGTTTCGATGCCTAGGGTTCTATAACCTTACTGTTGCGGAAAATCTAGACAAACAGAGAATGGCATCTAAGGCAGATATGCACTGGTTTTGCATCATCCCAATTTGCATGGAACGGTTGCCTTCACGCTTTTGCATTGCATTTAAGAGAGCTTGACAGTTAGATTGTCTTTAAGAGGGTGATGGTTGAACTTAGGTGGTGGAGTTAATATTCTGCTTCTTCCTTATTCTGCTAGGCAACGCTTGTTGTTTTCTTTTCATACTTGGACCAACTTATATCGATCTTTACAATGGATTTCCTAACCATGCTTAGATCATGGGTTTGTCTGATTTTATGGTCATATAAACTATAAAGACTTGGAAGGTGGTAGGCAATCATGGGAGAAACCTGAAAATAATGTAACTGGGAACACCTAAAATCAACTGGTAACTTGGACTTCTTTCTGGGCTTCCTTGAATACAAATGAAAATTAGGATAGATCATTGCCAGTTCTAATTGCCATCACAATGACTATATTGGTCGGTATATATATATATATATAGAGAGAGAGAGGGAGATTCAATTTGCATTGATCTTGATGATGGATTTCCTAAACACGTTTAGATCATAGTTGTGTCCGGTTTGTGGGTAGGTTCAATTTTATTGAACGCATAATGATTATGCTCAGTGGTACATGACACCTGTAAACCTGATGATGTATGTTATCATGGCTCATGGGTAGAAACCTGAAGATGATAGTCAGGTGATAATATGAGCATCTTTCTGAAACTGATTGAATTTAACTGATAATTTCTAGGCCATAGCAAACTCTTAGTGGCTACCTTTGACTACATTGGACAGTAGAGAGGGAGTGAGAAAGTGAAAGCGAGTCAACTGATGCCTAGAAATGTTCTGTCACTGTGCAATTTGTTTTGTCTTGTAGTGGGGACTTGCTTGTTCCCATTTCTGAACAGTTAAATCATTTTACTGGCTTTTGAAAATTCATGAAAGATGCTGCACGGTCATATACTTTTAGCATCTGAATTCTTTATCAAGATTGTATGATGTACTTTTTTTGGCTGGTCACAGATTGCAGGAATAACTAACAACTCCTACTTTCCAGAAGCACATGAAGTGCGTCACTGTGTACAGAGATACAAGGTCCTTGGAGATTATGTTCTTCAAGTTGCAAAGGTAAAAACATGCAAGCACATGTCTTCTCTGGGTTTTGGACAAATGCTGCTATCGCAATAGTAGCTTCTATCTGATTGTTTCCCATGCATGGTGGTTTTGTTCATGGTATAGATAATTTTAAAATCTTGCAGAAGAGGCTGGATGATATGTTGTATGTTGGTCTCACCGAGGACCACAAAGAATCTGCTACCATGTTTGCAAATGTGGTTGGAGCACAGGTGATATCCCAGACATTATCATCATCATTAAATGCTTCCACCAAGTGGAAACCGGCTAATCACAAAACAGGTTACCTAAAGCCTTCTCCACCTCGTTTCTTATTTCAATATTTTAATGCTTCTGGAAAAATTTATCCTCCTCAACTGGTTTCAGGTCGTGGCTCTTTAATCTCAGTTCCAGAGGCTGACCACGAGGAGCATCAAGTGGGGCAGGCCAACACCACAGTTCATTCCACAGAGAATATAAGTGACAATAGAGAAAATGTAAGTGATCATTATACAGAAACTTCTGATGAAAGGGAACAATTCATCTTCCTTTTTCCTTTTTTTAAATAGAGCTTAAATCCTCGCTTTTCCTGCCATCTTCAGATGACGGTGAAGAAACTAATGGGGTCTTATGAAGACTGCATAAAGAGTTTAAGGAAGACACAGTCGCGCCGTCGAACTAGCTCTCTGAAGAGGATTGCTCCTGCAAACTTCTCCAAGGCGGTAAAACTCTTCTACTTTCTCTCAGCTATTTTTTGTCCCTTGAACCCCCTCCCCCTGATTCACATTATTGCGACCAATTAGATCCACAAATCCTAGATTGTTTGTTTAATTACCTAACTTCCAACACTCTGTAATGCAGGACCGACTGAAGGTTCCTGAGGTGGTGCTCGAGGAGATCAGATCTCTTAACCACCTAGATGTGGATCTTTATGAATATGCTCGCAGCATCTTCACTAACCAACACCAAAAGAGCCTGTTGCAACCATATGACACCACTGTAAGTATCTATCATTGCTGTCAAACAAACCAACCCAAAAGAAGAAGAAAAAAAAAACATTTGCTGAATGTGCTTCATGTGTGTTCTTTTGCTGGCACTCACATGTCACCAGACAGGGAACTTATAATAATATGTCTCTCACACACATCAGATTTGTTTCATCTTTCCAACATGTTAGTTGATGGGTTTGCTAGGAATCAGATCTTTGCCTGTTTGAGTCCTTTCTCGGCTGAGCTCGTTAAACTAATCTTTGCTTGCCGTTTCTGTACCGATTGCAGGAAGGCCTGGGAAGCATTTTCAGCAGCTATTCATCAGAGGAAGGAATAATGTCGTTGAGATTACTGTCATTGGGCATGTTTGTGGCCTTGTTCCTTCTGGTCATGCTTGTATGTGTAAACGCCAGAAGGAAAATATCCAAAGTTAAAATATAACTGAACAGGTAAAAAAAGCCATTACGTAAGATCAAAGGAGGGTGGTAGAGAGGAATACACAGTTTCCATACCTAAATTAGGATTTAACCTTTTTCAACTCCCTTTTTTCACCCTTTGGAACAACAGTATTGGGGTAAAGTTTGACGTGTTTTAACTGTTGCATATAGGATCATTTCACAGTTCACATGTTGAATGTTGATTTCCTATCAGCAAATGATCTGTAAAAATGATGATTGGGATGACTTGTATTCTTCCCATTGATTTCAGGAATGCATGGTTTCTAACAATACCATGCTTTTTTCTCGTTTCGAGTTGGGTACGAAATTTCGTGTATTTCAGTAATCCGTGTATTTCCACAGTACAATGTGAGCGTCATTTACTCATTTGTGCTCACCATTCTTTCGACTTAGGAACATTGCATTCATTCTAACAATACATGCATTTTCGTAGTATTGGCAAACCCAACTTCAATACTTAAAGCTTTTACTGTGGGTGGGATCAGCCTCCGGTTTTGTTGACATTTTATAATTCTGTGGGGAAGAGAGCTTTGATCATTTCCGTGTAGAGCTCCCCACCGACTTCAACTTGAACACGAAGGACCAAAAAAAGAAAAATAGAAAATTTGATGATGAGAAAGGAAAATATGTGATGTCGGGTACATCGTACATTGTACAAAAGTTTTTGTATATGCGAGTGAATTAATTATTGCAAATTGGTGGCACGGAAAAAAATCTCTTTCGAGCAGTGGTGGTGGGACAGTAGTGGTAACGTAACAATTAATCGATCCAACCCCCACCCTTTTAAATTTTTATGTGCCCAAAATTTTTTAAAATATGGAAGTTTGAAATTTGAAGGCTACCAAAATCGAGGGAAGTTTGATTTGATTAGATTAAGGCCTCCTAACAACGACTTATAAGCATGGTTTATGAAATCGTAGTGCCAATTTGTAACGGATAAGTCGACGATGAAATGGTATGCAACGCTGTAATCGTGATTCAACCGATAACATGTTAGTTATTACTTATTAGAACAATATACTGAAATAAGATTAATATATTTAAGTATTTGACCGGTAATGCATACGAGTAATAATGACCTGAATCGAAGGGAGAAAAAAACCCCACTTGTCAGAGAGTCCAAACTCGTTTAAAATCGTAACAGATGGGTAGTGACGGAGCCACTTTGATAGCAGTGGAGGCTATAACCTCTTTCGACTCTCCAAATAATGTAAAATCAGTAAATTGCATATAAATTTTGTAAAATAAATTTGAGAAATATATTAGTTTGTATGGGTTTAGGATTTAGCCATCCAATCCCGGTTCAAACTAGATGAGCATAGATTTCTTTTTATGAATAAATTATAAACCAACCTGAGAATCTAGGACTGGCTATTTGGTCCGATTTTTTTTGTTTTACCCGAAACCGGACCGTATAACCCGGATCGAGACTGAACCGGAATCGGATAGCAAACAATCCAATCTCATATTCGGCCTTAGATTTGAGGTGAAAAACCGTTCGGGACCGGATCGAAAACCGGATAAGAGAATCCAACACCCAAAATTTAACAAACTCCTCACCCTTTCAGGCCTTAGGCCACTCAAATCCCCACAAGGTCAATATAAAATCAAGACCGAAATTGCGACCGGACCGTATCAAGACCATACGGTATCTAATTCAATATTTGATCCTTATATTCTGACCGAAACAATTTGTACCAATTTAATCGGACCGGACCGTATAACCACCCTGCTAGAATCCCTAATTTTACGGAGAATTGAAAATTAGGGATCAATCTGAACGGAAAGAAATCTCGTCGTTACCGACGGAAAACCCTAAGAAGGAAGGAAACCAATCAATCAGTCATCGCATGGGATGGGAATTGGGATCTCGTCGGTCTATTACCTTCACGTTCGCATGTGATTCTCACATGCATTTTGGCCTCCCTTTGAATTTCTTTCCCATATTATTATTGTTTTTCTTTTTCCTTTGGTCATAACAATAATAATGATAATGATAATAATAATAATTAGCTTGCTTCTAAGAAAACAATAATAATTTTCCCCACCAAACACACACTACATCACATCACCTCTTCTTTCTCATGTCTCCCAATTTTCGTATTCCTCGAGTAGGCTAATACGAGGCAACAACGGTACAACCGAATTTTAAAAACGTAATACTCGTGAAAAATACAGGTGAACGATGGACATTTAGTTTTGACAAAAATGTCTGACGAGTAGTCAGAACAATGATATGATTGTGAAGGTATATGATCTTAATCACCTTAACGAATCAAAACTAAGTGTTGTCTCAAACCAAACTTCTACTCAGGAGGATAGATGGGGCGATTCGGGTGAGATCCAACGTAGATCCAACTTTCTATTCACTCGTGGGATTCGGGCGGTCCGGGAGAGACCACCACGACTCCTCTCCTCTCGAGAATCCATACATCCCTTATCAGTGTATGGACTGCTATCTGGAGTTGGTCTAATATGCAAACCACATTGGAAGTAAAATGTTAAGGGATAGGGTTTGAAAACCCTTTTTTTCTCTCCTCTTAATTCTTCTCTTACAGCAATTTTCGTACCATCATTTAAATTTTTTGTTGTATGGTTGTTTGGTGGGTACAAGGAAGATAGAAAAATGATGGCTTGCCCACCTCAACCGTCGGTGCTATCTCAAAATCATACGAGCAATAATAATTTTAATCACGAAATATCTATCTTACCCCAATTTTCCACTTCCATGTTACTATTGCTGTTTTGTCCATTCACTATGCTCCACTGCACCACGTTCCACTCTTGTTCTTGTGCACTCGGCTCCTCGTGGTCGTTGATATGCATCCATCACTCTGCCAAGGATTGAGTATCCTCGGTTCGAGAAGTAGTTTGTGACGTGATTTTTTGCTGACATTACACGTGGATGTATAATTCGCACATTGCATTGTTCCGTGACGAATCTCTATTATATAGTTTTGAAATTTTGCAAGAATATATACAAATCGATCATCAATGAATCTTGAAGGAAAATATCATTTGCACAAGTAGATTTACTCACTATGTAGTAAATACGCTATTGATAACAAAATAGAAAGGCCGACAAACATTGCATTTCATATGTAGACAATACTGTAGCGATAATTTCTAAATTTTAGTAGGAATACATCGACATTTTGTGAAACAAATTAATCATTTTACTATTTACTGTCATTTTGGTAACATCATAAACCTCGCAAATATTATTTCATAAATGCCCCATTTAAAATGGCAACATAATAATTAGAAAAATATGGCATTATGGCAACATAATAACAAATTCTACCACAGTATCTGTTTAAATTAAAATTAAAACAGGGGAATAAAATCAAGAAAAAAAACTGAAGATAATAACCAGTGTTATTAAGACCGGACCTAACCGACTGGCCGAACCGCTAAAACCGCCACCCGGGCGCAAAATTGGCTCGGGCCAGTCATTTAACCGCTACGGTTTTATGGAGCGGCCGGAGAGCGGCCGAGGAGGTTAACCGCTTGTACCAGTCGCTCGGTTTTCCCCATCCGGCCGTTCTGTTTAATAAAAAAATTGAAAAAAAGATTGAAAATGGAAAACGAAAGGCAAAATCGTGGAGAGGGGAAAGAAACCCTAACTCTAATTTAGTTTTCGTCTTCGACTCTTCGTGAACAAAGGGAGAAGAGCGGCGCCAAACCCTGTCACCGTCAACACTTCCCGTCCTGGCTTCCCGTCGGCATCGTTGCCATCCCCAGTCAGCGTAGCAGCTCCTAGCTCGCCATCGCCAGTCTACGTCCTCGTCCCCTCTTCCCGTAGCAACTCCTCCACTCCGTTGTCACTTCCCGCTCCGGCGCTTCCCGTCGCCATCCCCAGTCCCTATAGTCGCTCCTCGCTCTCATGTTTTGGAATTATTAAGAGTGTAATTTACTAATTTAGTCATGGTTTACCATAAGTGTCCACTATTTATACTGATTGTTTATTAGGTACCGATTTTCTAACGGTTTTTAAACGGTTTAATATCGATCGACATACCGATATTAAACCGTTTAATATCGATCGATATACCGATATTAAACCGTTTAAAAACCGAGTTGTTCACATTATCTGGTCATACTCCGATTCGCTTTTGACAACATTGATAATAAGTTAATAACTAATAAGCACGGTGGGATGCACGGGATTTCCCTGAGCCCGCCCCCAGCATAACGCGCCCCTCCGTATAGAAAACCTAAAAAAAATCCTAATCTCAGACATCGAGATTCAAAGGAGAGGCGGAATTGTGGAATCTCTCTCTCTCACTCACATTTCTTCATCACTCCCCACCGCCACCTCACCTCACCTCATCTCATCCCCTTCTTCTTCTTCTTCCTCCTCCCACCCGCTTTCTCCCTCCTCTCTCGCTCCTCCTCCTCCCGCCGCCGCCCCCAATGTCCGGCCACCGTCGCTGACCTCCCACCCTTCGCTCGCCGCTCGTTTCCTTCCCGCCGCCATAAAAAAAATGCCGACACTCCTCACTTCCTTCCTTCTCTAGACTCCTAGCTAGGGTTTCCCCATTCTCCTCTCCCGTTTAGCCACCCGAGCCAGGTTCTTCCATCTTCTTCACCTCTTGCTCTCTCTCGCGCGCGCGCGCTCAGTTGTACTGGTTAATTTCATTTTGGCTTTGTTATGCTTGTTATCCGTTCGGTTGCATGGAGGAGTTGGGAGTTTCGCTTCCCTTTTGTGTGGCGTGTCTGTTCTGCGAGAAAAATGCAGGAAGCGGGGTGGGAATTTTTTTTATATTAATTTTTATTTTTGGCGAAGAACGTTTTCGAGAGAGAGAGAGGGAGAGAGTTTCGGGTTTTCTGCTGCAGGTTTTTTTAGGGGTTCACTTAGTTTAGTAACGAGAACGCGTTGAAAGAGGGGGGAAAAGGAAGGGAAGGGGTAGAAGGAAGGAAGTAATTTACTTAGCGATGCTGTCTTCTAGGTGTTTGATTAAATGTCACAGACGCGAAGAAAACGATAGGGTATCCCCGTTTGAAAAGGACGCCTTTCCTGCCTTCGTTTTCTCAATTCCCTCGCACCTACTATTTTCCCCATCCTTCGTCCGGTATATTTGCTTTCTTTTTTACTGGATGTGAGTCATGACTTGGGAGAGAAACTCTCAATTGTGTGGGTGATTAGTAGTGTATACATCTCTTTAAGAGTAAAAAATAGGGTTTCGATTAGGGTTAATCAGTGATGTGGCGAGTAATTAGTGGGTGTGCCACGTAACTGTAGCCAATAGGAGTGCGACAGGCGGATCAGGAAGAAGATTAGAAGAGGAAGGGGTGAGAATGATCATGAAAGAAAATATATTAAGCCCACTAATCCCGTGTGGCACATTTTGAGTCAAAATGGATTTGCTATTTATGTGTTGGGGATATTGGAATGTGCGGGGTAATTAAGGGTAAAACGTATCTCGTCTTAGAATCTTAAAAGGACTTTCTTTTCATGGTCAGTTTTTTTTGCCCCCTGATTCTCATATATATAATTTGAAAACGTGTGCTGTTGAGAATTTGGCTGCATATTTGTCTTCTTGGATAAGTTTGGATACATGGAGTTTTGAGAGTGCGGATGATAAAGGATAATCGAATACTTAAGGGTTTGTCTTATCTTACTGTTCTTTCTCTGTGTGTCTATGTGATTTTCCGGCGGTTATATGCCCGCTTTGCTCAATTGGCTGCCTTCGTGAATGGCATTGGTGGGTTTTCGATTGTGATTGACGGGTTTGTTTTTCTGTGTTTGTGCTTGTCCCATTGTTGCAGGTTTTTAATATGAACGACTCCTGGTTTTTCGACAAAAATTTCAGTGGAGTAACGGACGATTTCTTCGATGAAACGTTGCTGTACTTTGATTTCCCTCTAGAGGATGTTGATCCTGCCGCTGTGGAAGAGGATTGGCAGACTAAATTTCAAGAACTTGAGCCTCCTTCAATCTTTTTGCCAAACTTTCCGTCAGATATCTGCTGTGCAAGTGGCAATGGCGCTGCCAAAGTAGAGGGAACTTCCTCCATTCTGGTAAGTTTTTGTAACCTACACTTGGAATTGTGTGGTTCTCCATTAGCCCTGGTCGGTTTGGTTTGGTGGGTCTTCATTGTTATTCCGCATCCAATGCAGCATTGGAAAATTTTGAAGAGTTGATAGCTTTCACGTTATGTGGAGTTACTTATTATGTTTCCCACTGGCTTCATTTCTCTCAAATTGTTAAGTGCGTGCACCCACTGCTGTGGCTCGTTGCATGCTTGCATTGCTAGTTTCCAGTGGCATATGCTACATGGTGAGGTCTTTTAGACAAGATAGCTGTTCTCTTTTCAATACCTGTTTTGTGGCTGCGGTATTGCCTTACTGATCTAGATGATAACTAGAATCGGAGTTGCAGTTTATGACTTATAACGTCAGTGTACAGTGAATGTCACTCATGTGAGAAATTATTTATTTTTCTTGTTATCCCAGGACACTGATAACACAGTATTTAATGAAAGGATAACCCTGAGAGTATCTACATATGCTGCTCCGAAGCTAGTATTATTGACTCATGGTAGTAGGAATCATTCAACTTGTTGCAGTGCTGAAAGAATCATTTAGGTGCATATTGAGACAAGAGGTTGAGCCTGATGTCCGTTACTATTAAGATAGTTTATATTTGATCCGCATCCACATGGAGTGTTGGACTCTAATCGATCCGTCAATAGCTCAACCATGCCTTAGTGAAGTCGTAGCCTTTCATGACACCCTTGATTACTCAAGGACAGATTTATGCAACTAAGTGAGAGTGTTTATACTTGACAAGGAACGTAGAATGTTCATAAGGGGCGACATACTAGCAATAATACTTGTATAAAAAAAATTCCCTGACACTTTTAGGATATCAATAAATGAAGGAAAAGGGATGTAGAATCTGAAAATATTAATTGACATCAACGACACAGTCCTCATGACAACCCAGAGAGTAGACATTCTCCAAGTCCTCTTAAACCAATCAACCACCGTGAGTTCCTAGTTCCTACTGAATAGATTAGTGTCAGGGATTCTTGTTGTGAGTTTTACTTCCATTTCGCCATTTTATGCTAATAGCACAGGTGTATAGCTCACTGGTCACTTACTAGCAGATTTTTCTTTCTCTTGTGTCAATCTGTGTTATTCATGTAACATGATTGTATCTCTGTAGCTTATGTCTTTGCCTGTGAATTGCAAACTCGAAAGCTGCATTGTAGTGCTCTTTTTTCCTGAATTTGCTGCTTATTTGGTGTTTCAGCAGGACAAATCATCGGAGTTCAAGCAATGTTCAACAATAAGCAGTAACAAGGCATCATCCAGCAGAAGCATCAGCATCCAGTGTGATTCTTCTTCTGATGCCAAATATCCTCAACAAAATTTCAGGACCTCAAGCCCAGTTTCTGTCCTCGAGAGCAGCAGCTCCTCTTGCTCGGCCGAGAACCCAACTAATTATCACTCAACAATAGCCGTCCCATCCAAACGTCCTCGGAGCAAAGGCCTGCGCTCCCAGCGTCGCACTTACGAGTTCTTCCACCGTTTATTCTCCTCGGGCAGAAAAACGCTTCATCCGCTGGCACATCTCGAGCCTGAATCCATGCCCCGTGTGGATGAGAAGATATCATCAGGCCTCGTGAAAGGTATTCAGAAGAAGAGAAAGCAGCAGCAGGGCACAAGTAGTGAAACTAGGAGGTGCTCCCATTGTGGGGTGTCGGAGACTCCGCAGTGGAGAGAAGGCCCATTGGGACCCAAAACGCTCTGCAACGCTTGTGGGGTTCGTCACAGGTCTGGCCGTCTGTTCCCAGAGTACCGCCCAGCTGCTAGTCCGACCTTCACCCCCGCGGTGCACTCGAACTCACACAGGAAGGTCTTGGAGCTAAGGAAGAAGACCTGCACTGGCGATGGCAGCGGCGAGGAGGAGGGAGCAGGATCCGCGACCACCACTTCGACTGCCTGAGAATCGCGGAAACAAATGCTGATTTTGACTGGTATTCGTTTGATTATTATATTTGTTTAGGAGTAGCTAGCGTGGGTTAGGAGGACGAAGACGACGAACGATTAGCAGCGTAAGTCTTGTAATCTCTCTCTGGTGATGATGCTGATACTGTTTATGGGGTTCAATTTGTTCTTTGATGTACATTATTACCTTGAGAATAAGAAGCGGTAGGGATGTCAGGTAGATGATGAAGGCAGGGATAGAAGAAGTTTAGCTTTGCAAGCGGAAGAAAGAAAAAGAGAGGAGTCTCAGAAGAAGAAGAAGGACCTTGAAGGCAGAGAGAGGCATTAGTTTATTATATATCTATGCTTTGTGTGATTGTGTAGATGTTGCCGAAAAGTTAAGTAGGTGTTAGCTTGTTCTTCCTTTCTTTTTCCCCTTCTCTAATGAATGCAGAACCCTTTTCTAGCTATTACTTTGGCTCTTAGTTCTTACACTTACTTTCTTTGGCTGTTTTCAAGTGTGGGAGTAACATCATACTCCCACGATGTTTTTTCATGTGAAATCGATCGTAAAATGTGCATCATTCTAACGATCTCCTTGATGGCGGAATGTGGAATCGCTAAACCGTATTCTCGCACAACCTTCTGCTATCGCCAAACTAATAATCAAATGTGTCGCACTGCTTCCATTGTCAAATGCATTCATCCAAACAACCTCTCAGTTAAGTTGCAAAGACACCTGAATGAACCACCCGTTTGACAACCTGCTGAAAGAGTGGAAAGCAAAAGAAGGCCCAAGGCAGCACTCCAGCATTGGAAGCCCAAGGCCCAATTAGTGGGTCGGCCCAAAACTCAATTCTGGCCCAGCCAGTACGAGCCTTTCCAAAAGCCCGGCGACAAAGAAACCAACTCCCTGCCGACAGCCGAGGATGGAACATATTTAAAAAAAAAAAAAAATCTTTTTAATATTTACTGTACGAGGCCATAAAGGAAGAGTTGAATAATAACGGAAAAAGAGATAAGGAAACACGGTCCCTGGGTCGGGTACCACAAACCCGGGCCGTAGCGTTACGTCCACGTCTTCCGCCGTCCCATCAATCGATTCAACCCGAGAGTCGCAGTCTCACAGAGATACAAAAACAAAAACAAAAAAAACACAAAGAAACAAAAATACTGAGATCCAAAGAACATGTCAAAGACAGAGGTCCAGTTGTTAAAAGACAACAGCAACGACAGGCCCATCACGTTAATGGAGACACATGGGGGCCCATCCCAGCTATAACCCCGCCCAAGCCCCAAGAGCCCACATCCCCTCCCCCTGTTGTCTTTAGCTGCCTGGCCACGTCGACGGTTCACGGGGCCCACAGAACGCCACCACCTCAAGCAAGCAATCAGGAAGCACAGAGAGAGAGATGGAGACACTCTTAGAGTAAGAAAATGTTGCTGTCAATTGTCATAAGTCGTGTTGACAGTTTGTATCTGTGTGGTACGAAGAACATCGTTTAAGTCAATGCTAGTATTAATGAATTTAGTCGGTATTCAACGTTTTATATTGGATTTTTGGTTATGAATTCACGACTTAGTTAAGAATCTGGTTAGGTAGTGTAAGGCTTTGGTTGATTCCTTGTCTCATGGAAAGATATTTTTGTTGCAGAAGGGAGGTCGACGCTTCTAGGTATTTGAAATGTGATACAACTACGAGTAGTATATGAGGAACGCACGTATGACGCGTATACGATATTTTGTTTTTTTTGCAAAGTTATAGTTTGTTTATATTGCGCATATGATGAGATTAGAAAAATGATTGGACGAGATGAAGGCTATTAGTTATATAGCCTGGTTCCCCTCATTCAAAATCTAGGTTTCATCATATGTAAAGAAGTTGTTCCAATTTCTTATTTTCAATCAGTTCTTAATCTGAATTTAAGTTATGCCGGTACATGATTTGAGCATTCAGTATGTCCGTTTACTAGATGTTTTAATTCTTAACTAGTGTCAGTGCCTCGCATGCATGGACATATGACAGTATATCGGTTTAGATACTGCAAGACAATCCGAATCACATGAATACCAGCCCTGTGCGCGCTTTACAACCTGAATCATATCCTTTTTTTTCACACTCATGTAGGATCATTAGCAACTAACAAAACCCAAGATATTTGAGAAGATGTCATTAATAAGAACCAATTCTAAAAGCCTAGAAAAGGGACGTGGGAGGGAAGGGAGGGAAAGGGCATTAGGAGTTGTCTTTCACTAATCAAGGTTAGGTTTGGTGGGGGATGTCCCATTAGGCTAACCATATTGCTCTTCATGTTTTGCCAAAATTAGGGGCTAATCTCATTGGGTTAGGCCTTAGATGTTCGTTCTGCCTATTGCCAAAGAAGAAATTAAAGCAAGTAGTGGGGGTTGTAGAAAGAAAGCAAGCATTATGTGTAATTATTAGGACCCAAAGAACGTGTTGTGTTTGTGCCCTCCACAAATTATCACTAAATATGTGGACCGGTTTAAGGACCACATTATAAATAGATATATAGATGGCCCTATTAAGTGTTATCACAAGAAAAAAATAATGAAACAACAATGGAACATAAGTACATCACACCACCATTTGTGGTAAATTTGTTATCCACCTCCCATTGTTTCTTGCAACCATCTCTAAATTGAGTGGTAACTACCATGTTTTCTAGATCCCTTTTCAATTTTTTACCCTCTTAGTCCTAATCGATTAACTAGCTTTCTTAAACGCTATCAAGAACTCGCGATTCTTAGAGTATGTATAAAAAAAAGATCGAGAATTTGTTGTATGATTGTTGATTAATCTTTTAAAAAAATGAATTTCACTTAAGAAATACCAATCTTATCCTTGTCATACCAATTTTTTTTTTAATTAGCATGTTATTGAATTACAATCCTCATCTTCAATTTCCTCTTTTAGGATTTTATATCTCTATGAAAATCACATAAGATTCATACTCAAACATCTTTCAATACAACTAATCGTTGAGACGAACTGTACTTGGGGCATGGTCTTGGAATCCTCGACCGAGACGTCCTTTGTTCGAATGCTCGTAGCTACACAAAATATATATATCGATAGGTCCTCCGATGTAAGTATCAAGTCCACTAGTTGTCTCTCTTTCGTCATAAAATATGTATTATATTGAATTGGTATGATATCGATACCGAGCTACTTTCATTTCAAAGCCACTCGAAATGAAATCAGGTCGAAGAACGGGGTACCCCACTTTGTCACCACAACATTATCAGCCCCAGTAACAGTTCACTAGTTGGATTAACGACGAGTAGTAATTAATGTCATTTGGCTTCTCATTAGCGCTTTCATACAAACAACCCAAGTGGGGCGTTAACATCAATTCCAATTCCCTCTTTTGACTTGGTGAACGCTACACTACTTCTGCTTAATGCTATGAAGAGGAAGGCCGGAAGGTAATTAACTGATCGATCGATTAACAGGTCGGCATTCCGGCCTTATTCAATGGTATCATATGGAACTAGAAGTGGTCAAAAAATTTAACCTTTTGGGATATGAAAAAGACGAGGTAGGGAAAAGGGTTAATTAATTAGGCCCACTAATCTCCAGCAAGCCAAACAAAACCTCAGACCACAAAAACAAAACCACGTTAACGTTGTGATTAAGGATTATGATGTGTGTGGGTTTGGATTGGTTATGCTGTCCTTGGCCGGCTTCTGATCGCCGGCGACCGCAAGAGACGGCAGAAAATGTCGACGGACGTACATTGTTATACCCTACTTTTTATATGTACGTTGGTGTGCATGCATGTCCTACATGGATCCACCGTCAGTTGGAGAAGGTACAAATTGGATGTGGACTAAAAGGGTTCTTAGTTTACACCGTCGACAATCATGTTTTTTCGTGGTTTGATTTGGTAAAATATATATGGTGAAGGACATTAGATGAAACAAACGATTTGTCTTTTTACCAAAAAAAAATTCAATTCAGTGCGCGCTACAAAGTTCTTGACTCAATACGAGAATGAATCGAAGTTTTTCGTGGTTTGATTCGAGCTAGGCACACAAATCGATTAACTAGTAGCCTCTCGTACATATAGGAGGTGTTTCCACACAATGTGTCATTGACGAAAATAAAATTTGAATCAGAAATCGAAGGTGTATTCGTAAGGGAGATTCTTTGATGAACTTCTCCCAACAACTCGAGTTGTTGAAACAAGTTGGTTTTGGAGACAAATTAATTGATGCATTTCTCGCTGGATCTTATTGCAAGTTGTGGACACTTTTAGATCCGATGAGAATCATGCAAGATTATTATCGAAAGTGTCACTAATATGAAAACGAGATTGTAAAATCAAACCATCCGAACCTAATATATAATCCACCACCACTTACATGAAACTAAGGGTTGCATAAAAAAATAATGGGTTTCTTTGTGAAATAGATTTATTGGGTGAGTCCAATATATCGCCACCAAAGATTGTTGAACCGTCACCCCCATGAATCCAAATAAATAAATAAATAAATTTCTCATCCAACAAATATCGGTTTTTTTCCGTTTAATTTGTTTTGGTTCAAAAATTTTATTTATTTATCAAATATATGAAGTCGCTCTCATCTTCCTGACAACATAATCGATGGAATTGGTTGGGTGTCGGTATACATGTCCATTCTTCACCAACCAAACCACATACCTTTGCCTTGTTTGAGATGATGTGAAACTCTTTTCATTTTCTGATTTCTGTCCCCATGAAATGAAATTTCATTCTAAAATATTCACTTTACATCTCCTATCATATCTAATCGTTTAATTGGTTGTTCAATTGAGATATGGAATTCGAAATACAATCATTCTTATATTGTAAGTGTTGGATTAATCCCAACTTTAGGAAGACTTGATAATTTTTCATATTCATCAATATAGTTAACTCTTTAGACTAATATTCATGTGCGTTTAATGGAAAGAAAAAAAAAAAAAGAGTTTCGTTCATGATTCACAAGTGTTAATTGAGGTATGATGGTTCGTGGCTCAAACGAGCATATGTTAAGTCGATGTCATGGTGTCCTCCTCATCCCTTTTCGGTTCCCTTTGGTGCAGAGCTTCTTGTAGAACTGTCTATTTTTTGTTTGTTTGTTTGTTTGTTTGATGATGTATTAAGCATGCGTGTACACATAACATATGTATTTTAACAAATTATAGTTCAATAATTTAGTAATTAAATATATTTTATATCATTTTAAATTATAAAATTAAAAAAAATTTATTACTTGCATCAAAATTTTAGACATACTTTTAAATAAATAATAGCATTCAGATGAAATACATAAAAAATACCATATAACGTATTAATACGGTATCGTATACCCGTATCGCTTTGCCGGAGTCCACACGGTTACTGCGATTCCCAAACTTCTCCCTCCGATTTGATTGCCCTTTTTTTTCACTGTCCGCCCCAATCTCGCGATACAACGTTGACGATCCAACCAAAATACCGCCACACGACAACAAAGACGAGAACAACAAAAAAAAAGAATTTACCCGCCTGTTGTTACCTTACCACAGTAAATAAGTCAGTCTCATACATAAATTCCTTATTATTTATTTATTCATTATATTTAAGGATTAGGTTAGAAATAGAATAGCGCTTATTTAGTATATTGTTTTGTTTGTTTGTTTGTTCTTCCCGTTTGGAGAGAGAGAGAGAAAGAGAAGAAGAAGGAAGAGATAAAAAGGGGTGGACCTGTGAAGCCAGAGCAGAGGGGAGAAGAAGAAGAAGAAAGAGAGCAAAATCCAGAAGAAAAACATCTCTCCCTCCCTGCAAACAGACACACAGAGAAAAGTGGCGGAGACATAGAGATTCACAGAGAGAGAGACACTGTGGAATCGCGAATTCAGCAGTGGAAGAAGAAGAAGAAGGGTTAGTGAATCAAATGGCTTTTTGGAGCATCTTTACAGTGGCTGACTGTTGAGAACTGAGAAGAAAGAGAGAGAGAGAGGGGAGTGTGGAGGTATTGATGCTGCCTGCCTGGTAAAATTGTAAAGCGTTCAGTCAGTGGAGAAGTTGCAGCAGTGCTTCTTCTTCCTTCTATTTTTTTTCCTTTCCCCTGTTTTTTCCCCCTCTTTTTCCCTTTCTTCTGCCACTGTCCGATCGCTCCCCCGATTAAACAAGTGTTGTCTCTAGTGCTGTCTTTACTGTGACTACTGCATGAAATCGAAATCCCCCACTCTCCATTTCTTCATCACCACTTATCTCTCCACCTTTTGGTTTAATTAATTGGGAGAGGCAAACAAAAAGCTCCTCCTCTCTGTAGCACAACTGTACTCTTTCTTCTTCCCCTATCCTTTTCTGTTCAGTTTCGCTCCTTGTCTGATTCAGCCCCATTTTGGGTTAATGTGCAGAAATTTTGCAACCAAACTTCTTCTTTAGCGCTTTTGGGTTGTGGGGTTTTTGTAGAAATGTTTGGGATTTTGTTCCTTTACCCCCAAAGGAGCAATCTTTTCTAGTCTAGGCCTTCCCTCTCTTCTTCTGCAACTCTTCCAACTTCTGGTAATTGCTGTGATTTTCGGTTTCCCCAATCTGGGTTCTTTCCATTTGTTCTGGGTTTCTGATTTTTGTTTCATTCCCCCAATTTGCAGAGCAGAGAAATCGGCGGGTAACTGGAGAGGAGATTTTTAACTATTGTGTTTTTGGGAGCAAATGAAAGAGTTGTTGGAGAAGAGCTTGGATCCACAGCTATGGCACGCTTGTGCTGGAAGCATGGTTCAAATCCCACCTATCAACACTAGAGTCTTCTATTTCCCACAAGGCCATGCCGAGCACTGCCAATCCCCCGTCGATTTCCCCTTCTCCGCGGCCGCTACCAAAATCCCGGCCTCCATCCTCTGCCGCGTCGCCGCCGTGAGGTTCCTCGCCGACCCGGAAACCGACGAGGTGTACACCAAGATGAGCCTCGCTCCCCTCCCCCAAGACGAAGCAGAGCTCGAATTCGACGACGAAATCGGTCTCGGCAGCGGCAATGGCAGCAGCGGAATCCAAGAGAAACCGGCTTCCTTCGCCAAGACTCTCACCCAATCGGACGCCAACAACGGCGGGGGATTCTCCGTGCCGCGTTACTGCGCCGAGACAATCTTCCCCAGGCTGGATTACACGGCGGATCCTCCCGTTCAGACGGTGATAGCTAAAGACGTCCATGGCGAGGTGTGGAAGTTCAGGCACATCTACAGGGGAACTCCCAGGAGGCATCTGCTGACTACAGGGTGGAGCACGTTTGTGAACCAGAAGAAATTGGTTGCCGGAGATTCAATCGTGTTTCTCAGAGCTGAGAATGGAGATCTCTGCGTCGGTATTCGCCGCGCGAAGCGAGGGTTTGGCGGCAGCGGGCCAGGTTGGTCCTCATCTTCCTTTCCCCAATCTGGTTGGGGCATTAACGCAAACACCAACGGGGCAACAACTGGGATGGCGAACCCGTACAGCAGCTTCTCGCTGTTTCTTAAGGAAGATGAAAACAAGGCCGTGAGAAATGGTGGGAAGGGATCGACCGCGGCGTCGGGGGCGGCGACGAAGGTGAAACCGGAGGAGGTTTTGGAGGCGGCGAGATTGGCTGCGAGTGGGCGGCCGTTTGATGTGTACTATTACCCGCGAGCTAGTACTCCGGAGTTCTGTGTCAAGGCTGCTTCGGCTAGAGCTGCGATGAGAATTAATTGGTGCCCTGGGATGAGGTTCAAGATGCCATTTGAGACTGAAGATTCCTCCAGGATTAGCTGGTTCATGGCTACTGTAGCTTCTGTTCAGGTTGCTGATCCCATTCGCTGGCCGAATTCGCCATGGCGCCTTCTTCAGGTTCGTATTCGAATACTTGCTTTGCTATTGTTTTTCCTTAAAAGTTCAGAACTTTGATTCTTGCTTTGCTATAGTTTTAGTAAATCATGGAAGTCATCTATGTGAAGTTAGTCCAACGAATATGATAAAGCATGCTACTTTTTTCTTAGATCATTCTCTCAAGTCAAGTCTCAACATTGATTCTCACTTTCCTGCCAGCATACTCATATGCTATAAAACTTAACATTACTGGTTCATTACTTTCGACATCTTTCTATATGAACATCTCTCCATTAGAGTTGTGATTGCTCCAATGTGAATGACAGTTGGGGGGGTTCGGTTTTGGTCTTTTTTCATGTGCAGGTGACATGGGACGAGCCAGAGCTGCTGCAAAATGTGAAACGAGTCAGCCCATGGTTGGTTGAACCGGTTACAAACATACCAATGATCCAGCCATCAGCTTTCTCCTCACCACCAAGAAAGAAGTTTCGGTTCCCAGGAGGACCATTTGACTTCCCACTAGACGGCCAGTTTCAATTGCCGTCGTTTTCAGGCAACAACAACCCCCTCTCGTCCAGCAGCAGCCCATTGTGTTATCTTGCGGATAACAGTGCACCTGCAGGCATACAGGGAGCCAGGCATGCTCATATCGGGGTATCTTTATCCGATCTCCACCACCTTAATCACAACAAACTCCCGCATCCATCATCCGGGGGACTATTCCTACCCAATCTCCAACACTACAATCCACCACCACCACCACCACCACCTCTACAATTTTCTAGAATCTCCGAGAGCAGCAATGAGACGGTATCTTGCTTGCTAACTATTGGCCATGGCAACTCCAGTTCTTCTTCAAGCCTCGAGAAACCATCTGCTTCACAAGAGAAGAAGCCGTTCTTCCTCTTTGGTCAAGCGATACTCACTGAACAGCAAATCTCCCACAACCATTCCAGTGATTCCATCTCGAGGAGTTCGTGCGACGAGATGCAAATCTCGTCATTGGAGAAGTCCTCTAGTGCTATATCCGATGGCGGCGGACATAATTGCAAGGTGTTCATAGAATCTGAAGATGCAGGGCGGACAATCGACCTCACGGCCTTCGCTTCATACGAGGAGCTGTACAGTAGGCTGGCACACATGCTTGGAATGGAAAGGGCCGTGATACTGAACCACGTTCTCTATCGAGATACAACTGGTGCTGTCAAACGAACCGGTGATGAACCATTCAGGTAATTCCTTTCGACCCTATGATGAACCTGTGGTTTGCAGTTTGCGGGTTAATTGTGATCGACCTTTAACTGTGTTGATGATGATAATGGCAGTGTGTTCTCGAGGACTGCAAGTAGATTGACCATACTGATAAACCCTGCTGGGAATGACAGTGCTTCCAGGTATTCTAATGAACTGTTTAAGTGATTGACAGACGCGCGATTGTATCAGTTTTTCCATGCCTGGGTTAGTTAAACCTGTGTGTTCTTATGCTATGTGCAGGACATGGATGACGCGGAGCGCTGAGAGTGGGTTGGAGGCTTCAAACAAGAGAGGGCCACTGAGTATATTCGCCTAGATGATGAAGAAACAGAAGAAGAAGAAGAAGAATAAGAATCCTTTGGATCTTAGGAAGGAGCTGTTATTATTATAATGAATGTGTGAATGTTATGTAGTTATGAAGCCAGAGGTTGACTGTCCTTTGCTGTGGTTGTGGAACATGTTCTTGTCTTGTTGACTTTCTTAAGCAGAAAGCTGTAATGTACTGGAATTCTGAAACTTGCTTTAAGGTTTAATGAATGCTGTGTCTTCTTTTGTTTATCATTATGAGCAGAGATTGCAAATCGCAGTGAGATTCAGAGTGTGCCAAACTGTGGGTCGCTTTTTAATTATTTTTATTATTATTATGATCATTCATTTTTGACGTAAACCGCGGTCTAGACCAGATCAGACCAAGAGATAAAAAAATAAAATAATACAGATCATGAACCAGATCAGACCATACTTAACGGTCTACGGTCCAGACCAAACTGTACAGTACGGTTTGGACCACGATTTTTGTAACAATCTGGTTTATTTTCCCCGCCCTACAGCTAGCAATGTTTATTAATGCTTGGGAAGTGATTTATGAATTTCTTTTTATTTAGGAATTTTTAATTGTTAATTTGGAAGTGTAATTAATTATTTGCGTGGGAATGGGGAAAGAAAGGGGAGGATCCAAATGTGGGATGGAAGGCATGGGGATTGGAGCGAACCCTGAAAACATGCTCCGCCCGGGTCGGGCCTGTTGACTAATGGCTTTTAACTGGCTCCCCGCTCCCATTACCCAACCAATTTTTTGACCCGGTCTGGGTTCCTGTCCGGACGGGTCCGTTGTAGGTCCGGCTGGCCTTCTCTATTAAGTACGAAAAATGTACAAGCCCACCAACATTTGCCTTTCATTTCAATATTTGGTCATTTATCTGTTTACAATATCGAACGTTAAAGTCAGACTTAAAAATTCGTCTTCCGTAAACTAATTTTAGTCGTTAATCATCAAAACGAAGTAGACGGCATTTATTAAGTCGATATGGTACATGATACTACTTGATTGACAAACTTTCGATGTACGGATCGGTTTGACCGGTATGATTCCGGACTGCATTGTTTTCCTGAAGAAAAAAAAATTAGTTATAATAATAATGCAATAATTATGGCAATGAAGTGAACACGTGGGAAAGGGAGCCAGGACCAACTCGGAAAACATGAGGCACGTGGGGGGGTTTCCAACTCTAACGCCGTTTTGGTGGCCGGGCCTGCCCGTGTGCCGTTGCTGGCCCTTTTCTTCCGGTCGGTTTTCTGGGCTTTTTAGGATTTTAACGACGACACCCTTAGATTAAATTTAAAACACACTCCTTAATCCCAATTTTATCAGTTATTACGTGTAATAGCATTGATGAATATTATTTGTGGATTTAGAAATGAAAGTCGGATTAGGAAAAGGAGAGTAGAGGACCGGCGGCCAAGGGCTAAGGTGAAAGAATTCAGTGGTGTTACTTGTACAAAAATATGTACATAAAAAATTAGATTCGAACGCGCACCATTATCTCTGAAGTTCGTCTATTTTATACAGGCAAACACTCGACCACCACAATGTCTGCTGATGTAAATCTATTGTTCGGTTGTTCCTCAACTTCTCTAGAAATACAATGTTGCTATTTAGGGATTGGGCATATAATCTGATTTTGATCGTATGATCTCTCTTAAAAAAAACCTAAGGAAGAAGCTGAACCGATTGAGATAATGAACACCTGAACTCAATTGAAATTAATGTAATACATGTTTAATCGACGTTGGTGTTTCGTCTATCTTCTACTTTTGTTCAATTCATTTTTAGAATTGATTCGATTCTGAACCAGACCAAAATATATCCACCCTGAAATGATATGAAGGGTTGGGTCCATCCAATGATTTTTTCCCCCCCACTTGGTTGGCCCATGTAGCCACCAAATATAGTTGAATGAATCAATAAAATACAATAAATTGCACATCCAACAAATACTGGGTTTCCGTTTTGTTTTGGTTAATTACTTAAAACTTTTTTTTGTGTAAAGTCGCTCTCTTGCTGACAACAAAATAGATGGAATTGGTTGGGTGTCGGTATACATGTCCCAATTCTTCACCAACCAATCCGATTCCTTTGCTTTGTTTAGATGATGTGAAACTCCTCCATTTGTGTCCCACATAATTATTATTATTATTATACACCTCAATTTCCTTCTTTTCCTTAAATTAGGAAATGGAAATATCTTAATTGCTTATTGTAATTTCAAATCGAACCAGGACCCTAATCGAACCGGTTTAAGATTGAAAACTCGTTTAAATTTTTGAAACCCCGCAAATTTTTCTTTTTGGGTGATTACAAAATACTATAAACTAGCAACTACAATTGTGTGTAGGTAACGAAGATCTATAGTATTCTTGTCGTTGTCTAAATGGAGATGAATAGGTGATGGATATTTGAACAAATTCTCGTCTAAACTCTCTATTAGGATGTTCTGCTTCGTCAAAAAGTACTGGACGTCGCTCCTTCCAAATCATACCCATAATCAGGTAACAATGAACAACATAGAACATATAATATAGGTTCGTATTAACTCACGGACCTAAGTGGAGGCCTCGTAACAATCAAGGCTCTATGCCAAAAGGCCTCTCGGAACATTCTCTTAGATGCCCTGATACCAACGGGAAAAAAATATAAAACAGACGCTAGATGTAGCCACCTGCATCTTGTGGTCGAGCAGAAACACATATTGTGTTAAGAGAAGATCTCCGAACTCGTTTCTGACTATTTTATCTTTAATTACTTAATTAAAGTTAGAAGATGAAGAAGCAAAGAGAATTTAATTATGATACAAAACATGGTAGGGTCTAAAGTATCCGCAAGATAAGATTACACTGCTTAATTTGTTTTGTTACACTACTTAATTTGTGGTTGAAGTTAGAGTTAATTGTCCGATTAATTGTCTGCACATTGCCTGTCGGTTGTCCAACGTTGTTTAAGCTTCCGGCTACCTTTGGCATTTTCGTGGGTTATAACAATGTTCATGTCCTTAATATACATTAATTAATTAGTTAATTACACCCTCCCCTCTCTCTCCTATCCCAGTCATAATTTGTAAACTAAACAATAGTGCTACAAATAAAAGAAAAGGCTAACTCGCGATATAATCTGAACACAAAAACCAAAATATCGGCACACGACAATAAAGACGGAAACAGCGACGGATGGAATTATTCTAAGCTCAATACATTTTCCCTTTGATAATTTATAATTTATTTATGGCATTATTAGTCGCCCTAAAATTCATTATTTGTCACCCTAAACTAAGTTAAATTTACTCTAATGTCCTTAGTTTATTTATTTATTTTTCAAATACTTAAACGCAAATCAAATTAATATACTACACCAAATAACAAAATACAAGAAAAAGGAAAACAAACAATCCATACCATAGTCCACTTCATCGGAGGCCTAATCGTCATCGTCATCACCATCGCCGAAATCCGACCACTTCAACCCGTCCGGCGCCTACAAATAGAAATTAGAAAAATCCGGCGTACGCCTCTGGTCGAGTGCTTCTTCCTTCTTCCTGCTCGACGCCAACAGAAGGAGCAGTCGTGGCCTTTTCTTCGTTCTTCTTCTGCCTGCTTGGCAGGATATATACAGAAATTAGGATTCCTAATTACATAGTGGGGATGAACGCGTAAGGCCTTTAGGTAACAAAATAGCAACCTCCAAGTGAGGCTGTGTATGCGGAATAATAAAAGAGAAGAATTAAAAATAAATTTTCTTTTACTTCTCTAATAGGCAGCGCCGGAGATAAGAATCTGGCAACGGCAGCAGCGGTCATGGGACGGAGGAGCGCTGGGCAGGGGCTACAGGGTTTTTTGTTTTCAGGTTTAGGTTGAAATTGGGACTATGGGTAAGAGTGTCAATTTGATGCATTTTAGGGCGACAAATAGCAATTCAGTTTATTTAAGGCAAAATACACTTTCATAGCCATAACTATTCGCGTTGTGACAAATATAGTCACTTTTTAAAAAAAACACAGATATAGCCATTTTTTCAAACTTGTTTGACAATTTTAGCCATTTCCGTTACAAACTTTAACGTCGTCACTAACACCTTCAATAACATCTACGTGTCGCTGAGGTGGATGCCACCTGAACGACACGTCGTCGCCAATTGGACATCTTTATGCAACGTCATACTAAAAGTAATTTTTAACATGAAATAATTAATTTTTACCAAAAACCAAAATAAAAGATTTTCAATGAGGATTTGATGGTGAAAATGGTGGCAGGTGCCCCCAATTAGGGTTTTTCAGTTTCTGGATCTGAAATTTTTCAAGGAGTAAGTTCAGTGGCGATTAGGGTTCTTCAATTTTTCGATCTGGGATTTTCGCCGACAAGATGTGAGAGGAAAGGGGAGGCCATATCTATCAAGACGAGGAGATAAGCGGAGGAACGGCCGTCAGTCCTGTTAGCCACCGTCGCCGCTTTGTAATTCTCACAAAGTCCACAACGACTTTCGTAATGGGATAAATCGATCCAATGGAGAAGTCGGAAGGAACTGAATAAATCGCGGAGCTTCGCGACAGTGGCAGCGTCGGAGGAGATTGTTGGAGTTGGCGACCTTGACTCCTTGGCTGCTGGTGACTCCTTGGCCTCCTCCTAGCTCCAAGGAAAACTTCCTCGGCAGCGAGATCTGGATGGTCGACGTCCACGGATCGACGACCTTCTTCAGCTCCAGACCACCACCGCCACCGCTCTTCATTCTAAGTCAACAGTTTCTCAATCTCGTCCCTTTTCTCCTCCACAACGGAGCTCCGCAATCTCGTAGGCATTCAAGTTGCTCTGCATAGCAAGCAATTGCGCATCGTACCTACTGTAGGGTCCAGCGGCAGAGATGAGCCCCGCTCCCCGCCGCCATTATTGGAGGAATTAGAATCATAATCAGGGGAAGAAGCTTTGAGAGATCTCTACCGTGGGAGATGATCTGGGTCGTGGATGTATGGACGATGGGGAAGAGAATCGGGATGGGTCTGCTTGGTTGGGTAAAGAAGACGATGAAGGACGATTTTCAATTTTTATTTATTTTTACTTTTTAGTGTAATTATAATAATAATAAGAAGAAAGGAAACTTTCCATCTAGGATTGGTTTAAACAAAAAAATTGCCACATCATCAGAAAACGTTAGTACAGTCAGCATTTAAGATGTTGTCATTAAAGTTATGGACGGAATGGCTATACGAGTGTATTTTTTAAAAAGTGGCTATATTTATCACAACGCGAATAGTTATGGCTATGAAAGTGTATTTTGCCTTTATTTAAAATCGCTCCTAAGTTACTTTTTTATATATATAAATGGATGAGAAACATCCTAATGTCCATTCAAAACCAATTGAGATTCAACAATTTTCTAATTGTCATACAAACGCCAATACATCGTAGCAGGATCAGAGACGAAATAAAAAGAAAACCAAGCTCAGGCAAATAGCCTCTTGCAGCAAGAAAATAAGTGCACTTATTACCCTCACTATAAACATGGGAGATAGTGACTTCCTCGTTTTTCCTCAGCAACATTTGCAGTCGTACAATGATCGCAGCGTGCAGCTGGTCATTGATTGTCGAGCTCTAGTTAAGCTGAATCGCAAAATGGGTATCCATCTCCATGTAGACACGTTGAAATCCCATGTCCCAAGCAAGCTGAAGTCATTCAACAACACATCTCAACTCCGCCTGAGTAATAGACTAAATACCTAGGTTTAAAGCAAACGCAGCGACGCAAACGTCCAACGTGATCTCTGATCAAGTCACCTACAGAAGCATGACTAGTATCATGACATGAACTACATAGACGTTTTAGTTGAGAATGATATGCTCAAGAGGAGGCGGCTTCCACGAGATCAACTCCTCTATTCTTGTGGGCGAAGCAGTATGTTGGATGATATTGTCCTTGTTCATGAGAGTACTCACGAGTCACGACAGTTATACACGCAAGGATCAAATGAGAACCTTGATCCAATAGTGAAAGAGATTTTAGGATTAAGGACCGTATCAACAATGCATGTGATTCGGTTTGGTCCTATTTGGTCCAAATATCACTCTCGTCTATTTTTCTTTAGTATTTCATGGGATAAAATGACCAAATCACAATATATTCGATTTGGTTTGGTGTCATGGGGTCTGATATAGACCAACCCACTGCACATCCCTAATCTTATTAATGCTTTTTTAAAAATAAATTGATTTTATAAATAGTAAGGAAGTAAATATTTATAATTCCTTGTTAACGATACATATGTGGATCAAAGGGAATTAAAGCTAGTAAATTAGGTTGCTGCAACCTTTGATTAATATATTTCTCATGTTCCCGTAAAAAAAAAAACTAGTAAATTAGGTTGGAAATAGAATAGGCGCTAATTCAGTATATTGTTTTATTTGTTTGTTTCGTTTCGGTTTGACGGAACGCTTGCGGAGAGAGAGAAAAGTGATAAAAGAAAATGGCGGGTGACCGGTGAGGCGAGACAAAGGGAAGAAAGACCAAACCAGAAGGAAAAACATTTCACAGCAAACAGACACACAGAGAAGAGTGGGAAACGATAGAGATGGAAAGAGAGAGACTGACTGAGAGATGAGATAAAAAGAGCGTCAGTATTGAGTCTCTGTGGATCGGCCTCCCCGATTAAACAAGAATTGTCTCTAATGCTGTCTTTACTACGACTGCATGAAATCAAAACCTTCCATTTCGCCATCACCACTCATCTCCCCACCACTCTCTGCCTTTTGCTTTAAGTAATCGGGACGGCCAAAAAATCTTAGAACCAAAATTTCACTCTTCCCTGTCTCTGTTCTTTTCCCCCCTTTTCTTTCCAGTTCCTCTCCTTGCCGGATTCAGCCCTATTTTGGGTTATTGTGCAGAGATTTTGTTGCCAAACGTCTTCTTTAACCCTTTTGGATTGTGGGTTTTCGTAGAAATGTTTGAGGCTCTGTTTTTTTTTAACATAAAGGAGCAATCTTTCCACTCTAAACGTGGACTCTGTTGAAATTGCTCTGTTCTTCTGCAAATTCCAACTTCTGGTAATCTCTTCGCCAGGGGAGTCTGATTGTTGAAATTGCTCAGATTTTCGTTTTCTGGGCTATTCATTTCCTTTCGGTTCCCAATTCCGGAGTTTTTTTTCTCCCTTTGAGAGAGAAAATGAAAGAGTTGTTAGAGAAAAGCTTGGATCCACAGCTATGGCACGCCTGTGCTGGGAGCATGGTTCAAATCCCACCTCTCAACTCGAAAGTCTTCTACTTCCCACAAGGCCACGCGGAGCACTGCCAGTCCCCTGTCGATTTCCCCTTCTCCTCCCCAGCCTCCAAAATCCCGGCCTCCATACTCTGCCGCGTCACCGCCGTGAGGTTCCTCGCCGACCGGGAAACCGACGAGGTGTACACCAAGATCAGCCTCATCCCTCTCCCACCAGACGACGAGCTCGATTTCGGCGACGAAATTGGGCTCGGCGGCAGCAACACCAACAAAATCCAAGAGAATCCGGCATCCTTCGCCAAAACCCTGACTCAATCGGATGCCAACAACGGCGGGGGATTCTCCGTGCCGCGATACTGCGCCGAGACGATTTTCCCCAGGCTGGATTACACGGCGGATCCTCCCGTCCAGACGGTGTTGGCTAAAGACGTCCACGGCGAGGTTTGGAAGTTCAGGCACATCTACAGGGGAACTCCGAGGAGGCATCTGTTGACTACAGGGTGGAGCACGTTCGTCAACCAGAAGAAATTGGTCGCCGGAGATTCAATCGTGTTTCTCAGGGCGGAGAACGGCGATCTCTGCGTCGGTATCCGCCGCGCCAAGCGAGGGTTTGGTGGCGGACCTGCAGGTTCTTCTTTCCCCCAATCTGGTTGGGGCATTAACACAAACACCTACGGGGCACCTGGGATAGCGAACCCGTACAACAACTTTTCTCTGTTTCTGAAGGAGGATGAGAGCAAGGACATGAGAAACGGTGGAAAGGGATCGGCGGCGGCGGCGAAGGTGAAACCGGAGGAGGTTTTGGAGGCGGCGAGATTGGCTGCGAGTGGGCGGCCTTTTGATGTGTACTATTACCCGAGAGCTAGTACTCCAGAGTTCTGTGTCAAGGCTTCTGCTGCTAGAGCTGCAATGAGGATCAATTGGTGCCCTGGGATGAGGTTCAAGATGCCGTTCGAGACTGAAGATTCCTCCAGGATCAGCTGGTTCATGGCTACTGTAGCTTCTGTTCAGGTTGCTGATCCCATTCGCTGGCCGAATTCGCCATGGCGCCTTCTGCAGGTTCGTACCCTACACTTTGCTTTGTCATTGTTTTCCTTTAAAAGTGTCAAAATTTGATCTTTTTTAATTGTGTACTTAGTATTTCAGTCATGAATGGAGAGCTTGATTTGATTCTGCCATAATTGGTTATAAATCAGTATGCAGAGACACTGATGAATTCTGCAGCTCATTCGCTGTTTTGTTATTCCAATGAAACTGATAAAAGCATTTTTTCTGAGTGGCCAGCTCATGCCAAGCTAAGAAGAACTCCTGATTAACATTATTATCCGTACAAATTCTGTGTTCGGGGATTCCAATGTTATGATCTTTGTTTTCTGTCTGGCATTGTGTAAGGGTTGTTTCTATATGGAACAACATTTCTCCATTGGAGTTGTGATCGATCGACCCAATGTAGAATGACAGTTGATGTTGGTTTGGCTTCTTGGCTTCTGGTCTTTGTTGGTATTGCAGGTGACTTGGGACGAGCCAGAGATGCTGCAAAATGTGAAGCGAGTCAACCCGTGGCTGGTCGAACCTGTTATGAACGTACCGATGATCCAGCCCTCGGGTTTCTCCTCGCCACCAAGGAAGAAGTTCTGTTTCCCAACTGGACCGCTCGATGGTCGGTTCCAATTGCCTTCGTTTTCGGGCAACAACAACAACCCCCTCTCGTCCAGCAGCAACCCATTGTATTACAGTGCGCCTGCAGGCATCCAGGGAGCCAGGCATGCTCATATCGGGGTATCTTTATCCGATCTCCACCACCTTAATCACAACAAACTCCCCCACTCACCACCATCCGGCGGGCCTTTCCTTCGCAGTCTCAAGCAGTTCAATCCACCACCATCAAATCATTCTAGATTCTTGGGAAGCGACGACAACGAGAGCAGCATATCCTGCTTGCTAACTATTGGGAACGGCAACTCTAGCTCTTCTCCAAGCCCTGAAAAGCCCTCGTCTTCTACTTCATCCTCTCAAGAGAAGAAGAAGAAGAAGAAGAAGCAGTTCTTCCTCTTTGGTCAGCCGATACTCACCGAGCAGCAAATCTCCCACCATCGTTCTAGCGAATCCATCTCGAGGAATTCTCAGGATGAGAAGCAAATCTCATCGTCAGAGGAGGAGAAATCCTCCAGTGCTGGCGGTGGGTATTCATCACGAAACCAGAGTTGTTTATCAGATGGTGGGGGCCAAATTTGCAAGATTTTCTTAGAATCAGAGAATGACAATGTTGCAAGGTAATTGACTAATTTCAGTGACTGTTTGGTGATCGACGATGTGGTTTTTCGTCAATCTTTTCGTACTCGGTGAGTTAACTCGGATTCGATGTGCAGGAAAAGGATGATTCGGAGCTCTGAAAGTGGATTGGAGGCCTCAAACAAGATAGGACCCTTGAGTATATCCGCGTAGAAGAAGCAGCTGCAGAGGAATAAGAATCCAATCCTTCGTGTTTTGAAGGAGTTGGTCATAGTATGAAAATTGAAATGTGAATCTGATGTAGAGCTGTGAAGAGAGAAAAAAAAAAATACACTTTGACTATAATTTCCTATGTGTTTGGAACATGTTCTTCTGTCTTGTTGACTTTGTTATAGCAGAAAGCTGCTGTAATGTACTGGAACTGGGGTTTTTCTTCAGAAAAAGACTATTTTACTGGATATTGATTGAACTAAGTCCACTACAATCCAATAAAAAATGAACATATATCCTGTTTATGACATTATTCAATGACATTATTCATCTATTCAATTGCTCTGTATCTGTAGACATGAGATTTGTTACTTCATAAGAATCTCGATGTAATTGTGAAATTTGATGGTGGCGGAACTATGAATAATCGTTACAAGATGTTATAATGTTGGATGTATATTTTGATTTGGGAGGAGTATTTTTTTTTATATATAATATAATTTTGGAGGTAATCTGGAAGATTCTGAATTAAGTGATTGCGTGGGGATGAGGAAAGAAAGACAGAGACAACTGGGCATGGGGATTGGAGCGAACCCTGAAAACATGCTCCGGTCGGGTCGGGTGTGTTTGACTAAATCACAGTGAACCAACCAAGAAAAGCAAGTGGCTCCTCCCTCAATTAAACCAATCTTTACCGGAGATGCGGTAATAATATCCGTAATCGTGGATTTCTGTTTGAAATCGATCTAGTCGGGATAGGCGTAAAAGCTGAGTCTGAATATTGTGGGCAATGGGTGGATATGATTTTCTCACTATCCAACCCGAACCCGCCCCGATTATATATATGCGTATGTATTTTGTTTAGAAATATCATTATTTTTTCTTTGACATATTTATATTTAGCAATATAAATATAATATTTTCATGAAACTGTGTTGTTTTAATTAATTTTCTTCATTCTAGTGATTTATTGTTGTACTTTCTCTCTTATATAATGTGAGTATACATGTGAATGTTAACATCTGGTTTGAGTTATAAAGAGAAATTATTACGAATGTATAACCGTAGAATAGATACCCGAAACCTGAACGGGTATGAACATGATTTTGATTTTTTTACCCGGTTCATATATTAGTACGGGGATGGGTAAAACCCAGACTAATTTGAATAGGGTAACGGATATGCACTATCCGCCCCACCCCGACTCATTGTCATCCCAGCACAGATAAGGAGTCGGGTCGGAGTCGGGTCGGATCGGGTCGTGACTTTTCTCGAATCTATTTATTTTTGGAATAGTGAAATGATTCATGTGATTATGGAATTCATATGCAATGTTTTTACATTGTCGTCTTCCTTTGGATTTGCATCTCCATTTCTTCCTTGGACGCAAACGGCTTTTTGTATTTCGTTGTGTGGGGAAGGGAGCCGAGTCCAACTCGGGAAACACATGAGGCACGTGAGGGTTCTCCAACTCTAACGCCGTTTCGATGGCCGGGCCTGCCCCGGTTTCCTTGCCGAGCCAGCCCGCTTCGTCCGGTCCATTTTTCTGGGCCTTTCGGTTTCTTTTTTACTCCACCCAACCCTACCCTTAAACCACTTTCCCAATTTTCTTTTGTTTTTATAGATTTGATGATTCCTTTTCCAAACATTCCTTGTCCGTTGCATCTTCTTTGGAGAGGACATAAATTAGGAGGGCCGAAAGTTGAAAATTATAATATTTTCAAAATGATATGTAAGGTGTTGTGCAGCGATAATATAACACACTATTCAACGTACATAATGATACTTTCATGGAACAATATATGAGTAATAAGACAGGTGCATGCATGATGCAACTCCGACTTAAAACATCTTTGTAAAAAAGAAAATAATCACAAATACTTCTATCAGAAGCATCTTCTAAGTCGGCATTGACACCGAATCATTTTTTTTTAAATGAACGCAGTGCGTTCTAACAACACCAAATCATTTAATTAACCATTGGGTTTTGTTAATTCATGATCCCCAACCCCAAGGACAACAAAAGTTGATTCAGGTTTTGAAATAACCTTTTGGAATGTGATTAATTACTCATTAACATTGTATTTTGAAGACAGGAGTGGTGAGTTAAGCACAAAAGAGCTCCATCTTCAATGGCCGGGCTCGGCTATTGAAGCAAACCGGTCAACAATGGATGGACATGCATGGAAACATTAAAAACAAAAGAAAAAAGGGGGGGGGGGGGGGGGGGGGGGGGGGTGGGACAATTGGCAAAGACAAAAGCATGAGAATCTTCAATTCCACAAATTTCTTCACCCTTTAAATTTCATGGTTTTCAGTTCCAAAAACCCTTAGATTCAGGGATGTGCTTTGTTTTCGTTTGGTGCCTTGCTTGCCTGGTTGGTAAAAAAAAACACAGACAGAGAGTTGTTTGATGGGATTGTGAGAATCTCCAGACCGGGTGACTTCAAAGATTTCTGTGGTGGCCACACATAGAATGCTGAATCCCATGCATCAACCCACTAAATGCATTCTTATTAGATGTGTAGTTAAGAATTCATCCATTATAAATTGTGTCTAGTTATGTGCAGAAAGATAATTATGACGGGATTGGTTTTGTAACTAGTTATTTTGTTAGATTTTGTTATTTCGTAATGAACGAAATGAGCATAATATTTGAAAAATAGTGAAATTGTTTGCTATTTGCTAAGCAGGGATCAACCACGTTCGCAAAATTACCAATGAAATTGGACATTGCAACTATATAAGTATTTTCATATTGGTATGTAGATTTACACTAGAAATGTCGTACTCTGTCATACTCACTTGGTGTGAGAGTTCGAAAATAAAACGTGTACTTGGTCATACTCGAACTCTAATGTCATTTCTTTCTTTGAATGTTACGAGAATCAAGCCATCGTAACTATTGGGCCTCGATCTGGGCTTGGATATTTTATTGTTTAGTATTTTATTTATTAATTATATTTATTAGTAGTTTCCTTGTCTAAGTAGGATTTGGGTATTGTTAGTTATTTTCTTATAAGAGTAGGAGTCATGTTCTAGATAGGAGAAGGTAGAGGCTTTCTATGTCTATAAATATGCAGCCTAGTTATTCTGCTAACTGCATAAGTTGTTAGTATATACTAACTAATATCCAAAATATATGAACAAGTATCCAAGTCTGCTGATTTCACTAAAATATATAGATAGCACAGACCAATGGCGGACCCAGAAACTTTATTAACTGTATTCAATGATAGACCAAAATCACTAAGGGTTGTCAAATAGTATAATATCTCAATACTATCACCACTAAAACAAAATTTTACCAAGGTTTTTTGTCCCAAATTTGGATCCAAGGGTTGTCAATTGACAACCCTTAGACTAACATGGGTCCGCCCCTGGCACAGACTAGTATTCAAAACATCACAAACTAGTATCCAGATAGCAGATACCAACTAATATCCACAATCAACCAACTAGTATTCAATATGGATACTCTTATGTGTTATCTGGATACTTTTATGTGCTATCTGGATACTAATTATGTGTTGTATGGATACTATTCTGTGTTGTCTAGATATTAGTTTGTGAATTTGGGATAATAGTTGATTCATGGTGGATATCAGTTAGCAAACCTTGAATACTAGTCTGTGATCTCTAGATACTTTAGTACTTAGATACTAGTTCATGTATTTTGGATATCAGTTAGTATCTGCTAACGAATCTTCAAGTTAGCATATTAACTTTCCCCATAAACATGTACTCTCTCTTTCGTTTAATGGCATGTTGAAGATTGGAATCCAATAGTAGTTGAAGTTATCTTCGTTCCTCTGAATATTCTCTTCGTTCTAACTCTCTTTCTTGCGAATATCTTTCAACATCGACGACGAACGTTACGTGAAGGTTCTCACCGGAAAAATACACGTAACATTGAATAGATAGAGTTATTATTCATCTTGATCATCATGATGATAAAGCTTGCTCCAGTTTTAAGAGTAAATTTTTTCCATGTTTTCAAAGAACACCGAAAGTCAAATTGAAATACGTTGTGATTATTTCATTTGGGCCTATACAACTACAATATATATTTTTTTTTTGTGTGTGTTGGTGTTAGTGTATTTTTCCTTTTTAACCTCCGCTCTTTGGGGATCGTTGGTCTTTTAAGCTATTTTTTCCCACACGAGATCCAAGATTCCTCGTGTGCAAAACAGTTGACCCGCTAGCTAGCCCACAACCCGGCATTAACTAACATCCACATGTTTGGATTTAAACTTTAATTACCCACAACCGTTTTATACTCATATTTATTTATCTATTATCTTACCAAATCTTGACAATTAGCTCCGGATTTTGTTTTCTTTAATCAAAAGACGGATTGAAACCTGTTTTAGTATACAAATCATTGCTCTTTTTTTGGTGAACAAATATTGACTCCGTGGCTTAGATGTAGAATTGGTTGGATTCGATGGTTCTAATTTAGTTTCTACCGTTGGGTTAAATTACTGAAATCATATCTAAATCTTGGAGGCTACTGTTGGGGTTAAATTATCGGGAAAAGATCTTATGCAAAACCCTTACATATGTAAAACTTACAAAATTCTTTGTCTTATCTCTTAGTAAGAATTTTATCAGGAATGATAAAAATAAAGTTTTGTAAAATTTGTGGGAGTTTTGCGATGATACCGATGTTTATTTACTCTTTTTTGGTATGATATATATGACCACATGACAACTTTTAAAAAGATCGTATGCGGTAAATAATTGCATACCGTTTTTAAAATAAATTTACATGTGTTCTTATATATCATATCGTTATTGTACTATCTTAGTTGAACATAAAGTGATCAAGTGAATCGTAGTACTCATTGTGAGATGTGACGTTATCTAGATCATAACGAATCGAAATTTGATTTATGGTACTATATCACATTCTCTGACTACTAATACGCTAGCTTTTGTCATATTTATATTCTTCATTGAGTAATTTTTTTTAAAAAAAATTTACAAGTTCTAGATGGAAAATATAATTTTTGGGGGGTAAAAAACAGCATAAGGGAAGTGGAGAGTTTGACAAGCAAAAGCAAACATAATTAAACGACAGAGATCTGGTGAGGTGGCTTCTAACACTCGTTCGTGCGGCGGGCCCCACAGCCCACATGTTGATGTCCTTTTTGACGTGGTGGGGACGGAGGTCCAGCCCAGGCCCACTACCATTTAATTCTTTTTGGGCTGATGTTCTACGGCGGAGATTCATCCTTCTAGGTTTGCTTTCAACGGATGAGATTCGCCTCTCCTTTTTTTTTTTTTTTTTACCGCCACCACCTCAAGATTTCGAGGAAAAACTCGGCTCCGGCATCTCAATCGCACTCGATATTTTCCCAAATTCTCGCACGAGATATACTAACTGCCCCTTGCTCCCAGCTTTCTACTAACTCGGCTCCGGCATGCTAGTAATATTTGTGTATTTTACTAGCATGTTAAGCGATATTTGTTGTTGGACCGACCATACGGTAAGATTATCCCACCTTATCCTAAACTTGATGTCTAATTACATATTAATTAATTTAGAACGACTCGTAGTTATTAAAAAAAATTTGTTCGAAAAGATTAGAGCACTACTTGTTATTCACATAATACTATCCATTTTAATATATTTTTAAAGTTTTTTTTTTTCTTCCAAGCTCTCATGACATGCCTATAATCGAGCATACTACGATGATATGAATTTACTTCCTAATGAATCTTGTATTATTATTAACCAGTTGATCTCAATAACTCGAGCTGTTGCGAGAATGTTAATTATAGATCTTATATCAACCTCTAACCCGTCCCCTCAAACGTAAGCTAAATCACGGTCTTGGAGTCTTCACAAACCCATCTTCCCTTGTGCATAGATTGTTAATATTATGGGTCGTACAGTCTACCGATTCTGATATTATATCATAAACCAGTCGATCTAAATGACTCTGAATGGTTGGAAAAAGTGGTTTGCTACCCAACTTTTTCACGGGCAAAAGCTGCCTTGCCAACATGATACGATGGAAAGTGCGACGTGAGTAATTTACTTGTCGGCAAAACAGTAAACCATCACTCTCCCCAGCAATTAACTCTGATGCTTACAGTTCTTCATTCATTCATGTCATAGTTCTCATCGCCATCATCGAACCATCAGATTCAATTCTAGCTATCAGTATGTATGGTTTGGTGATTTGTCTCTGTCGATGTCTCAGCTCTCTCTGTTCTGTCACGTACCTCTGTTTTCAAGGCATTATGGTTCGGTTTTGTTGCTTAAACAAACTCTTAATTTTTCTCTCTAACTAATGATCCAACTGCATGTCCCACCACTTCAACAAGATTCCACCTGATCCTCTCTCTCTCTCTCTCTCTCAGTTTTCTCTTTCCCGCCTTTTTCTTTTGGGCAGTGACGTCACCACCAACTAACCAAAGAACACGAATGGAGGGAATTGCTCATAGTCAAACTACAGCATGATCATGGGCCATCAACAGACAGCCTGCCGAGTTGCATCACGATGAGCTATCATGATGGATGAACATTACCATCAATCATTTCATAGCATCATTTATGTACCCATTATATATATGTGTGTGTCCGATAGGCCACCTATCTACAAGAGGAAAAGCCACATTCATTGATTTGAAGCTTGCGCAAAATTTTCGTTTTAGTAGGTCTAATCGGTTGTATATCATTATCTATGTTTGATAAATTGACGGGGGAGGGTTTGCGAATTCTGTTGGAGGTGTACATTGGGTGAAAATTGTAAGAGGTGTAAATTCAAGCGTAAGTTCTCTTGATTGCTTAATTCTCGCATCACTTCTTAGTGGCCGAGCTACAAAACTATTGGAGTCACTTATTTTCAGTGTCCTCTTTAATCTAAATCTAGAACTTTGCCACTATCTAATATATATCATGTCGAAAGATGAACTTTACATACCTAATTAATCGCGCATCAACCGGTGGATGTCATAGGTCATTAATTATGTGAATGAAATGGGCATCAAAGACTTTGAATTGATACCTCCTTTATTATCTCATTCATTCATTCATTCTAAACAATATATAACAATGAGTGTGATTGAAGACCTATAAGTTCCCCTTTAGGTGTTTAATTGTTGGGCCAGGGATTGAGTTCCTCCTCTCTAGCCAAGACATATGGTTTCATTAAATTGACGGGGAAGGTGGTTGGCAGATTACAAAGTGAAAGTGAAGTCGTAGTGCAGAAATATATCACAATAGTGTCATTTAAATGATATGGACCAAAGGGAATCCGCAAAGGATAAGGATTGAAGTTATTGAACACATACTGCAGTCACGAGGAGATGGAACAAGACAATGAATTCTGTGTTGTATGAAGACTTTCTCTTCCCCTAACCCTATTTGTAGCTAGCACTTGTTGTGTATTTCAGCAAAAACAATGTTATCAATGAACCCAAAGAAAGATGGATTGTTTGCAGCTATCCATGATCTCATTTGAGAAATAGAATTCTAAGTTGGCTGGATTAAAAAAACTAGGCCTACTAGCTCAAATTATCTTATCTGTTTTCCTGTACACTTTCTCAGGGAAGCCAGAAGATATGGGTTGGGTTGGGCTGTACATGCTGACATGGAGCTCAGGAGCTGGGCCAGGCCATTCTGCTATGTCATCGCAAGACCTGAATGCCTGATGTCAGTGTTAAAGCTAAACCATTAATGCTGCTGATATCCAGTACACACACAGTATATCCTTTCCCCACTTTTGGATTCTAACTCAGTTTCGTCCTTTTCAGCCCGCAGGGTGGAATGGAAACAGAAATTTCAGGCAGTACAAGGAAAAGGAAGGACCACTTCAAAGAAGCAGCTTTCTATCTTTCTTTCTTTCTTTACATGGAGCAAGTTCCAGATCCATCCATGTGACAAAGAGACACAGGCACCAAATTTGGGCAATGTGATCCAATCACATGTACAAAGACAAAATGAATTGAAATTGATGGAGGAAAACTGTGTGCTGCTAAAATGACTGCCTTCACTCATTCTGTCAGTCAAATGGAGATGACATCAGAGCAACAACAAAAACAAAAAAACTTGTGCACTGCCCACAAGTACTGCTCTACAATGTACTCCAACAGCATCAACAGACTGCTGGTTAGTAAAAATAAAATAGGGGTAATGCTGAATTTCATCACTGTAGTGGTCCTGATCTCCTGAATGTACCAGCAGAGCTCTGCAATGAAGATAATTTCATTGTTCATATATCCCAGAATTCATATGTACCAGAGAGCTGCAAAATTCATACCCCCTACTGTCATCCTATGAAGTTCAGAACACACAATCATACATATATAACAAGGGGTAGCTGATTCGGGCTCTAACATTACCATTTGGTGTTCATGTTTTGTAACAGCATGGATTATAAAGGGCTACCCATTCCCTTTCTTAGTTCATGCTAATCAAAATCACGTGTCAGAAACGAAAAATCACTGTTCATCACAACAGAGATTTCCAAGTATAACGCTTATTTTTCATTCCGAAACAGCAATTAAACACAAGAGGGAAAGATCACTGCATTGCAACAAGGTTTCAACAACAGGCAGAACCATCCAATTCAGTTGTTCGTCAGGTCGCCGCCATGGATTGGCGATGACAGAGACCTCAATTACTACGCCCACACAATCAAATAACCAGGGGAAGAGAAGAAAGAGAGAGAGAGAAGGAAACGAACAATGCGTACTTTAGTTGTAGTAGAGCTCGAGACCCATGCCGTCGTGGATCTCGTAGTCCTGGAGGGTGATGTGATCCTTGTAGACGGTGTACCACTTCTGGATCCGGATCTTGTCCGGCCGGGTCCCCGTCTGTGCCGCCACCAGCTTCTTCAGGTCGCCGATCGTGTCGTCCTCGTTGCATTTCACCCGAACCTTCTTCCCCAGCCGGTCGTTCAGCACCACCTCGATCATCTTCCCGCCGACGAACCGAAGAACGAATCACCCCTTCTTTCTCACCCTTTTCAGCTTCTGGATTGTTCCTTTCGCTGCGCGAAATCTCCTTCCCCTTTTGTTTGCGCTTCTTTATAGCCCGCCGGGCCAATCTCTAGAACATTCGTCCACCTAGCTTTCCCCACGGCCCATGGACGCGGCCCACTTACGGTTCCTTTTGCGCGGCCCATGAGAATGAAGGCCCGTAGTCATGATGCAAAACATCAGTTCTGTTAAAGTAACAAAATAACTGCTAATGACAGATACTAATCAGAGATTAAAGGTGTCACTAAACACATCTCCCACTATCCAAAAATTACACTGTACATAAAATCAGCTAACTCTTAAAAGACACCCTGCAGGGTTCTGGAGCATCATCATCATCATCCCCACTGTAGTTCTACCACTTTCAATTTCCATACGTTCTGCAGTTTACAAAGACACTGTAAAGAAGAAGAAAAAGAAAAACAACACCAACCCGTCGTCGTCCATCACTCGAGAACGGAAACCTCTTGATCAACCCTCCAGTAGTTGGCGTCGTTGAACTCCTTACCGTCGTCGGGGTTCTCCTTCTCTACCGTTTGAGGGGGAGTGATGTTCCTCTTCAGCGGTCCAGCTTCGCCGACGATCCCTTCCTTGAGAGCCTGATCCATCGCCTTCTCGGTCCCTTCAGGTTCCACCCCTACGAACTCCACGTCCTCCTCGAACAGTGAGGGCACTGCGGTAGCTGCTCTCAGACTTGTGTCGCTTTTTGCCGAACCATCGCTGCCGGACTCCCTGGTTGGTGATGAACCATTGGGCAGTGCAGGTTCTACAGAACCAGCATCGGAAGTTGCCACGTCAGCCTGACTGGAGAGAATGGCATCATCAGGGGTTTCGTGATCGAGGAACGGATTCAGACTGGAGCCACCGCCAATTGGTAGGTCAGACGATCCCCATGCTACCCATTCAGGCAATGGCCTTTCCCCAAACAAGTCATCCTCGGTCTCTGGAGTCTCGAACTTGAAGAAGCCAGCGGCCTCATCATTGGTCTGTGGACTTTGTCCATTAGTTGGGAAGCTGTTGAGGTGGTCGTTGGCATCAGAAGTGGATGCACCACCACCAGCAGAAACTGAATCATCTTTGCTTTCGGTGGTCAACTCATCATCCTCTCCCACCACCACCTCGTCATCGCTACTGCTGTTACCACCACCGCCATTTGCATTATTCCCATTCAAGTTGATCTCTTCCATCACTTCCATAGGTGAAGAAGTGCTGACAGGTCCACCGCCAATTCGCTCATCATTGAACACAAACCAATTCGAGTTTGTGAACAGATTGCTGCATTGAAAGCACGAGAAGAAGAGGTTTGTAGACTGTAGATGAAACCAACTTGTTGCTGGTACAGATAAAAGAATTTGTTAAAAAACACTCACCTTTGCTCATCACCAAGCCTGAGTGATGATATAACTACTTCAGCAGAGTCATCATCAAAGTAGACATCCTGCATATTAAATATACGAAGCCAGTCCGATTTCAGAAGGTAAAAGACAAACTGTCACTCATTTTCATCTCCTCTATTACAGTTTTCCCTAACGTAATGAATGTATGAAGCCATTCCTGACAAAATGATAAAAAGATAGTAAGACTAACCTCATCGTCTCTATCAAGGCCACCATTTTCCTGCTAAAAAGAAAAAAGAAGTTGAGAAGCCGAATGATATCGACCTAAAACATTTAAGCGCAAATATTAGGGTGAAAAGCAGAAAGACATAGCAAAGATATGAAAGAGCACATTACCTCTTCAGCATCGTCATTCCCATAAATTTTATACCTAAATGACTGATTTAAGTTGTTTGCTAGAGCTCCTACATCATAATCTCTCTCGTGAAGTTCATCCTCATCACTGTCCCTAGTTCTATCTTGCAATGCTGTTGGACGGCTGCAACAAACAAAACCATAGTTTTTCTAAAACAAGAGGACACAAACAAAAGGTAGGTACAAGCAATGGCTATTGAGAGCCACAAAATACTCTTATAAGCAACCTATTCATATGTTTTTCTTCTCCTTTTTAAACGTACAGGCACATGGAACCCCGTAACTTTAAAGGAACGCCTCAGACTAAGCCTTTTCTTGTCAGATTATTCTGATTCTCTCCCACGTCAAACAGGCACAAAAGCACCCAAACTTACATCCAAAAAAAACCCACAATACTAGTTTAAAGTCATGACCGACCATACCAACAGTTAAAAGCATACTAAAGGTTGCATTAACCACTATCAGCCAATTGCCAGTGCCACCGCCAATCCAAAGCAAAAAAATATAAACTTATCAACGAGTCATTCAACACCTCACAGACTAGGAATTTTTTACAGCAAGACTGGAAAAAAGGAGATCCTGGATGGTAAGTGTAATCAGATCCAAAATGTTGAAAAGCCGTACAAATATTTTTGGTATTTCAATAAAGATGGTAAAAGATATCTACAAGCAACTCATGAATCAATGCACACAGATTGCTACCATATGCATCAGCAATTTTGAGCATTAGCCAGCAGAGCAGTTCAGAAATAACATAGTTTCTATCAATTGGAAATCTCTGTAAGTTTTCCCCTTCTCCCATCTAGTAGCACCCCCCCTTGTAACAGGTTGAAATAAAAAAAAAAACAAAAATAACCTCTATAATAGATGGATATCATTGTTTCATTTGTCATATGTGCATCATACACTAGATGAGGTGTTAACTTACCCACAATTCCACCGATAGACATTTTCAACATTGTTCCGCTCCTGTAACACACTGGTTTGCCAATCCTTCCATTCACTATTTTCCTACACATGACAAACACGTGTAGACTGCATTAGACCCAAAGACAACCCCATGGTGTTTCATATCCGAACAATAGTAGCTAAAAGCGAAGAGAAACTTCCGAACATTTCACAGAAATGTTCATTTCCATTAGACATTGGGTAACTTTCAACAGAATAAATTAACCTTATATGTCAAGCTCACTACCAACCTGTAAATATGTATGAATGCAGCTGTTGCTGTTTCCCAGCTGAACAAGCTTGTTAGAAATTCTAGTAATATGTCCAAGATTTCCTGACCTTGGCAGCCGTTTCCCAGTAGCAGGTAAAGTTGGCTGCATTAAAGAATAGATTTTTAGTAGAACCCACAGAGCAATTCAAGGAAAATAATGACTCGTGTCAGCTTTTAACCCCTCAGAACAAAAGACCATTTTCCCTACTTCAGGAAAAAACATCATTAGAGAAGAAGTGTCATCTGCAGGTCTGTATTTCTTTGAAATCCGTCATATTTGCCTCACTGAAGCAGTAATGGTTGTACAGGCAGAAGCTTTGCACCGCTTCTCTAGAAAATTTATCCTAATTAATTCAATAGTCTATTATATATCTCCACCTGATTTTGATCACCAGAGATGACAGGGTTCCTATCGGTCTGAAGAAGCTTGCCTACTAAGTCACAGTCACGAAGCAGATGATCAATCATAGATTCGCTCTCGGTCTCCAAGCATGAAAATATAATGCTTTCCACATGATGGTGCAAGGCGTTATTGAATGGGTACCTGCAAGAAAGTTAAATAGCAACGATATGTGGTTAGTTCAAAAAACAGAAGCGAGTTATTTTAAGAAGCAAGTAACCAGTTTTGTGTAGATTTAATAAATTCAGAATGAATGAAGAGGTAGATGATTACTCAAAGAAGAGATCCAGTACTCTCTTAACAGTTCCTGAGCTGACCAACTCCTTCTCTGTAGCTTCATTGCCAGTTTTCAACAAGACTGCAATGAACTCAACGATCTAGAAAACAGAAAACAGTTAATGCCATGAGTTTAACATCAATAACACCTAAGTGGTTAGCACACTACCATTACCAAATGAGAACTTTTGACAACTATAAGTTCAGCACCAAAACCTACCTTTAGACGATGCTTCCCCAAGGGAGGCTTCAGTTGTCCGTATGTTGTGGGCAAAATCTTCTCATCAGATGATATATTTAAAAGCTGGAGCAAATCACCTATAATATATACGATTAAAGTGTAAGTTATGGAATTATTGTTACATTCTGCGAAACTGATAATAATAATAATAATAATATAAAACCAACATCCCTAATAAAATCATAATAACCAGAAAGCTTAAAAACGGAACATAAGGCACGATATGTGAAAAGTGAATCATCAACCAAGAAACATGAGATGTCAATAAGCACAGAACCAGCACCACAAAGGCACTCACCTAGTCGAGGCAACATTGCATCTATGGTCTCTGGATTTACAGGAATAGGAGCCTCGTACATATGCTGGCTTCGGAAAGAATGCATCATCAGCGATGCATTTGTAAATCTTTTCGGATCCAGTAAAGAGATGCAGACAGATAGTGAATGAATAAGACCAGATTTAGAATGTGAATCCTCCAATGCATGACCGAATATCCTTGCAACAAAACTGAAAAAAACGCGTGCCAGAACCAAGTAAGAAAACAGAATGTCTATGTTAAATACATAGGTTAACCAGAAGAATTATCAACATCGTCGAGAACCATACGAACTTTGGACTAGAGAGTTTTGTTGCCAAGGCGGATCCAGTATTCCTAGTAATTGCACATAGTGTTTCTGCGGCATTAGCGTGAACTTCTGGAGGGCACTGTCTCACAAGTTACAGAAAAAACAGTCACTTAAAATGCCACAAGTACCACTATATATGAGACAGAAGACTAACATAGTCATTCCGTACTGGTAGTAAAGACTTCTTTCACAAAGACTTTTATTTCCAAACTTAGGCCTCCATCTCTTAATATCGAATACAACCTGATCATTGGAGTTTGAGGGCTTCCCTGAAACTATGATGGCAAGCACATCCTTATATAAACCCATGCAAATAAAGAAAACTGAGCTGCTAGTTCTAGTTTTGACTGAGAACATATCACCACTGACTTTCCCACAATTATAAGAGTATGGCTAAGAAATAATTTAAAACTGCTAAAGGAACCAAGAATAATATGCATGCGATCAGGTTGGCCAATTAAACACAATATACTAAACACAAAAGGACATGCACACATAGAACAGACAACCAAAAAAAAAACAAGCTACATCCGCTTATTAGTAAATGCAGAACACTTACAGATGGGCTCAACTTGTCCACGACCATTTCTAGCAAATTACTATCTGCCAGCCATTGCATCACATCGACAAAATTGGGATACACATGGTCATCAGCACCCACTAGCCGAACCAGAACCTGCATCATGCTCCTTAATATCAAAACCTTGCCAACAATGATATACAAATACAAAAACTTTGCAAAATGCTACAATCATGCAGTCGCTATTCTTTTGTTCTTTTTTGCAGCCCTGATAAAAGCCCAATATTAACTGGCAGTAGCATAAGCAAGCTAGTTACCTCCATGATGGAAGTAATGCCAATTAAGTCAACCAATTTGCGAAAAACATCCTGATGAGCCTGCATTGGACCATTGAGAATTAATCATGGGAGCTTTAAATATTACTTACAGAACATGTAGCATTAGTGCAGGAGAACAGTGGCTAAACTAATATGCATAAAAAACAGAAGCTCGCAACACAGGATATTTGAATTTTTGAACAAAAAGATAAAGGCCAAGACGATGCATGCAAACATACAATACTTCAGAAATTTAGAAGCGGATATTTACCTGAACATAGTTCATGAGGGGAACTGTCTTCCGTAACATCAAGCAAACAACAACCTGGGAAGGTTACATACATTAAGATAAGACACCTAGTTCAATTAAATCAGAGAAAAAGAGAAGAAGTTTCTGAATAGTAATATACTAAATGAAGAAAGAGAGTAATACCCACCTTGCTAAAGTAGCCAGCCAACAAGGCACTATGAAGACGTTCTGGTTCCAGGAAGGAGAACAGAAGGTCCATTAACTGGATGGCATAAAGTCGGCAACAAATTGTTAGGTAAACAATCATATGCAGCACACTTGCACAGGTGAAACAAGTAAGGCAGAACATAAAACAAACCTCCTCTTCCTCCACCAAAGTTTTGAGGATAACGTCAATTTCACAGATGAAAATCTCACAGGCTATGAACGGAAACCTACATGGAAAACACTTACATCAGTTCGCTGATAAGAAATTAACTTGCCAAACAATACTGCAAAACTAATGAGAGTACTAAGAGAAGTGCAACATACTTGAAAGCTCGTTTACTTTCTGAGTCTTCTTGAGGTTCATCAATTATGTAACGAAGTAGCTGCTCCACTTGGGCTCTGTCACGCAAACTGCATAGTAAAACCCACAATCAGTATCCACTACCGAAATTCAATAGGCGGGACAGGGGGGAAAGTGATTACAAGTTAATTAGACGGCTATTTAACGCTTTGCATTCTTGGATTATCTCTTCTTCGTCGAGAAGCTCTTCTAATGTGAAATTCTCCTTGTCTAGTATCGCCTCCACCTAAAAAGAAGCAAACGATTGCTGAGATAGAGAAAGGCCAGTGCGCGGGGAAGCAAGTGAAAGTACAGCACTCAATTTCAAAGCATAAACCAACTCCCTCCAAACAGAACCCAAAAACCAAATTACTACAATCTCCATTTCCCATCACACTCAGAGCACGATCATCAAGTACAGTTTCAAAAACCAATCCAATCAATATTCTGAAAGCAAAATCCAACAAGGGATCCATTAAACAATACAAAAGGCTCCGCAGCTACGCCACAAATGCAATGCATACAACGTTTCAGCCACACTTGAACTATAAACGAGGCACTCTGGCACCTACCACATTACCCTTAAGTCCTTAACATGAAAAGCCCCGGGCAGACCATTCATAAATTGAATAGTAAAACAGCAAATAATCAAACACCACAAATCCGTCCATCCAAACCAACCAGACCACTAAACATGCACTTGACCAGTCCAAAACTCATCCCAAACAAACACCATCAACAAGGCCGCCGCATAGCCCCAATTAACCCTCAGCAGAACTCAAGAAATGAAAGCTCCCCGGACTTCAAACAACCAATCACACCACCCCAACGGTACCAACAATCGGGGAATCAAGGTACGGAGACCCCGGAGAAACCCGCAAGACTTGGCTGGATAAACAAATTCCACTTACAGGAGAGGAAGCAGAGAGGATAGGCAGCTTCCAAAACATGACTGACTACGATTCAGGACCACAGAGATAAATCCAGCAAGCAGAAGCTTGAAGCGCAGAGAGCCGTGCAGATCTGTAAACCCTAGGAGAAATCTTTGAAGGTGAGAGCTCCAGATTCAAGAAGGTGGGAGGGGGCTGAAGCTGGGGAAGTAGACTGGCTGAGTGACGCCTTTCAGCTATGGGTGGGAAACCCTAATTTTTTGCCGCACGGAGGGGGAGGACGGAAAGAGGAGGAAAAGGCGAGAGATCGAAAAAAGACCAGACCGCGAAGATCGAGAGGTAGAAGAAGGAATTTGGGCCGAAAGAGGTGCAGAAGGGTGAAAAAAGCACAAGGCAAAGGCAGCTGCCAAATAGCAGCCAGCCAGCCAGCCAGGAGGTTAATTGTTTTTCGTCTCTCTTTTAATTTTCTTTTTCCCTGTTCATTTTTAACTCTTAGCTCTCTACTTTGTTTATCCTTTCCTTCATTTTCATATCGAAGAACGGGGAGATAAAGTACAAAAGATGTACTCCGGAATTCCCAACCAACCCCAAATTCTATGAGGGAAGTATATGCCGTTGGTCGGCGATGGTTCGGTTCGGTTTGAACTTGATGTAGGATCCGATAAGTCGAAAGAAGAGAACGGAATGAGTCGAGAAGGATTGTAGGTGTGTTCAGTTTAGTAGGAGGGTTGCTGATTCGATTAAAGTCTAGAATGATGATGGTTTGGATCGCTAAAATTAGAAGTATATTTTGGCGGTTGTTGTCAGTAACTAGCCGTTAGGAAAAGCCAAAATGAGTGGTGTGCTGATTTTGCTAAATCGTGTTTGTGATATTATTTGGAAGAATCGTGAAAGTGTAGTCTGCAACTGGTTTAAGTGTTGTAATTGTACCACTTAAATAAGAAGTATATTTTGGCGGCAATGTTAGTTTATGCCCATTACAAACCGCCAAAAGAATGTCCCTTGGTTCGGTAAACCGTTGTTTCCTTGATAGTCAGTTACAAAATGGCTAAGCAAAAGTGATTCACAATCCTTGATTCTCCTGAAGGTGTGTAAGGAAAGTTAATTTAAGGGTCAAGATCGACGAACAATACTTTTATGATTTAGTCACTTAAATTGACGAACTCATTGCGCGCTCTTCTCTCTCCTATTTCATTGTTTACTTTGCCCCCTTTAATTTTTTACATCCTTACATATTTGATTATTTTTTTGTTTTTACCCAAGAAACTAATAATAAAAATTTCATTTTATTGTCCTCCTCCCTCGCTTCTCCATGTCATCCTCATTTCCTTTTCACGACGCTCCACAACAGTGTCGAAGGTTCTGGGTTCTCTTCGTCCTCCTCCATCATCTATTCTCTAAACTTCTTTTTTTCTCGAGATATAACAACTGAGAAAAGTTAGAAAAAACCTCTACCTATACCCTCTCCCCCCAGGCAACATTTTAGTGAAACCATCCTATAAAAACGAAGGAAGAAAACTTACTATAAAGAGAACAACAACAGGCCCTTACGTGCCACTCTACGGGCACAAAAATGGATAAGAATACACTAATTGAATACTCTCCCGAAGCGCAGAGGACCTCCAAGTGAATCCATAACCACACCTTAGATAAGTTGACGGATCACTACTTCAAAATCACCCTCCGCATATGATATGACGAGGCAAATCTTCTCCCAGACACCAACTGAAAAAACATATCTAGCAGCAAAGCCATTATGCAAAGAAAGTGTCATACACCCCTCGATGCAGAAACCCCATATCCAACAATACATGTCCGTCTGAAGCCACGTACAACAAGACCCAAAATACATCCCGAAAGGTTGTCAAACCGGTTTATACCGTTGTGTCAGTGTGTGTGACAAGTGGAATGGTACGACCATTGGCAATAACCGGTGGTATATACGTAAGTCGATCATACCAGTAGTGTCACGCCAATTTCATAACCAGTACAGGTTGAACCTGATTCAACCGGTCGCATCACAACCATTATTCCCGAGTCTTTGAACAACCATCTCCAAAACTGTTTGAGCCTAGAATGCACTAGGCGGTTCTGAGGCTCTGATCCGGACTCCCTCGTCTGATCTCCTCGAGAGTGGAAGAACCTGTGAGGCGGGGGGCGGCCCCCGGGATCTACGCTCCGACGCCCAAATTAGTACGATATAGGAAGCAGTTTATGGTATGTAGAGAGAGAGAGAGAGAGTTTAGAGAGAGACCTTACGGTTAGAGTCTGGGAAGGGAAGAGAGGATCTTTGGCTTGAAGGCTTTGGCCTCCTTATATAGAGCTTGGGCCTCCATGAGTGGGCTTGGACCCGGGACGCCTTGCAATGAGTTTGGGCCTGTTTATAATCGTGTAGGCATATTAATCCATATCCAAAAAATATTATAATCAATCCCTACATATTGTCATCACGACCACTTATCTTCGTTTTCTCATCACTTCACTACCCTAGTCGGAGACTAAAAATATGCTCTCGCCGAATAACCCTTACCCTCTCTAACTTTTAACCTCACTTATTATTGAATATAATTCTTATCACATTCCATCACCAACCCCTCTTAATTGCCTTCTTTCACCCTCTAATGTAACCACAGCCACATCTTCTTTTCCTTCCCAAGAAGGAAAAATTGTGGCCGTGAATTGGAAAACCGAGCAGCATATGAACACATGTCATATAGTTTTGGAGTTCATTTTCTTTAAGAAATTTAATGATCCCAAAATGACGACTAAACGTCCATGAATAATGGAACAAAGATGATGGTTAGCTGGTGAGAGGGAGGTTTTGGGGAACGTGGACTGCTTTGGAAGCTTTCGTTTGTGATAATTACTAGCTAGATTTTGTGGGTCGCCATCCGTTTGCATTACTATAGGGTTTTCCTATGTAATGGTCAATGGGGTTGATGGAATCTGTTTGCTTATAAATTTTGTTAAAGGTGGTTGGTTGTTGGTGTTTTAATTGTTTTGGGTTTTTTTTCCCTCTTTAAAGATTAATCACATAGTAATTGCATGGTGTTTGACCAATAATCTTAATGTTAAAGATGAATGATGGTATGTATGAACTTACTTAATTATTTGGAATATCTACAACATTAATCTTATAATGTTTGCCATTGACATGCATATACAAGCAACAAAATTTTTTGTCGGAGTGACAACTTCATTGTAGTGCAACTCGCACGCCTTCAAAATGATCGTTTTGTGAATGGCTACTGGATGCGAAACCAATAACACTCGAGAATCGAGATCAAGATGAATGGCATTAAGTGTCTTGAAACTAATACAGTAATACTTCCCAGAATTGTGGGACTTTTTAGATTTAAGTCCATTTGAAGTAGAGACATGCGTGTGCACTCAAATACGTTATTACGCAGCGAGCAACTGACACATGGACCATGTGATATCACCAACTTGAAAGAAAGAAACAGTGTAAACAACCAAGAAACGCGGGGTGACTGTTTTCGTGCGAACGAAACTGTTGTCTAGTGATCTTATCGTTAGTTTTCAGGTGAAATTCTCATGTTCGAATCCCATGAACGAGGTTAGTTTCCTCCTTCCCCCACCCATATAATAGCACTCTTTTAATATGTTTCTAGAAGAAAAAAAAACTTTCTATTTTTTTCAATGTTCTTCCGTCTCATCCATCGAATTTTGTATTGAGATCAAAGGAGGAGAACTCAACTAATACACCTCATGAGAACCCATATGGGCCTACAATAACCTTGTTCTTTTGCACAAGAACCGCCAGCCCAATACCCACTAGCAGCTGGGCTCAGAAAAACCAATCCCTCATTTGTCTGGGCTTATTTATCCCATTTCCAAAAAAGAAAACAACACGAATGAATTATATTGTTGTATATTTTCTGAATAAAATAATATCCTAATTATGAAAGAAAACAAAACGTAGCGCGGACGTTAATTCATAACCCCACTGCCCGTCAAGAACCAAAATTGCCGACCGCGGAAAGGTCTTCCTTCCAACTTCCCACCAACGCTACGCCGTGCCCGCCCCGGCGGAGAGAAATTGCTTTAGGCGTCGCGTGTCGTGCACACTCCATACCGGCGGCGCGTGGCGGATCTCACCATCTCATTTTGACTACACCCTTGGAGCTGGAGCTAGCTCATTCGACGAAGCCGGCCCTCTTTTTTTTGATAAAGTTCACCTTCCCACTGAGACTACTCCTTATTCTAGCTCGATCGCCGATCTCGGCGCCGCCGTCCTCTCTCCGCCTCCGAAATTAGGTGCGTAAACTCTTTTCCTTCACCTTCCGTTTCTCGCTGCTTTTCAATTGAAAAGTCCCTTCTGGAATTGGCGCTGCTCCGTCGATTGTGCGCAGATCTTATCCCTGCTCCCCGTCGAGAAAGCAATTGAAGTTACCTGGAGGAAAACGAGAGAGAGGTTTTTGTCGCTGAAATGTCTTGTGGCTCAGATTGCTAGCTTCAATCCCGAGGAGTTTGTGTAAAGAAGAAGCATATTGGAAGCTGAGTAGGTGCGTGCTTGCTTGCTTGTCGGTTTTCTCCCTTTCGTTTTCGTCTGTTGGTGGGGGTTTTCGGGAGCCAAACGGGTGAAAGTGTAGAGGTTATGAATCTGGTGGCTAGTCTAACGGCAGCATCTGAATCGGGATGATACAGGTGGAGGGGAAATCTGAGCTGAGGTGGTGGTGGTGGTGGCGGCGGCGGTGATGATTTGAAGAGAAATTGAGAGAAGAGATGAGTGTGAGCCATGCGTCGGTTCACCCGGTGGAAGATCCGCCCACGACGGACGGCGGGAACAATAACAACAACAATGCTCCGGCGAGAGTTCGGATGAAGGATTTGCAAGGGATGCCAGGGACCAAAGGTGGGCTGGCGCTGCGGGTGGCTCAGTTCTTCTTTGCTACCGCGGCTCTTCTTGTCATGGCTACCACCAGCGACTTCCCTTCCGTCACCGCCTTCTGGTACGAATCGCTTAGCCACTGGTTCATATTGGAATGTGCTTCCCTTAGATATACAAGAATCTTATTAGAACTGTTGCTAGGACACTGGGATCTTCTATAATGAAGAGAAATGGGATTATTGTTATAGCACGAATACGGCTTGGATGTAACTCGAGTGTAGACTACTCCAGAATTCCAATTGGTGCCTTCCGTCGGATAGATGAATTGATTTGATGCCTTTGTCTAAATGTCAATCCATTCTTTCGATCTCCAGTCTTCTATCAGCTTTCTCGTTCTTGGATCTTTGAGGTTTAAGGTAAATAGAAATTCGCAATTCGTCGTCCTGATTTTTTCGCTAGGCAAGATTTGACAGTTTGAACTCGAATCATTTATATGGATGAACTGCAAACCCTACAGAAATTACTCCAACCTGTTACTTGTTCATGTTGAGTTTTAATCACCATGTGTTGGCTTCATGAAGACATGAAACTATGAAACTTTTTTGGCAGAGGGATGAGTTATAAATGTATCGTCCTTCTTGTAAATGGTCCCATCTATCTTTCCTGTTCTCTTCCATTTCTAGACATTTTTGTTCTGATTTTGCTGAGTTTAGTTCCCATAACGCGTATCATAATGAATTTTGGATCTCTGATATCTTCCTATGCATCAGCTACCTTGTTGCAGCAGCTGGCTTGCAGTGTCTGTGGAGCCTTTCTCTAGCAATCGTAGACGTATATGCCATCCTAGTGATGCGCTCCTTGCAGAATCATCGAGTCGTCTGCCTGTTCACAATTGGCGATGGGGTAAGATCACAAACACTATATACTAGCTGTAACCTTGAATTGGTCAAGAACATAAAGGACCTTTCATACTACTGCCATATGGTGCCTCAAGAGCATCCTCCTCTGAATTACTTTGGCCCTTAGTCGCTAGTTGATATTTTGTCATCTATGATGCATGGTGTCGGGATCATGCCAATTCGTCTCCCCATCGAAGTGTACAAATTTCCACTCAAGCTACTCATCATGTTAATGTTCCTTTCCCTTGGTGCCCTTTCGTTCCAGGTCACCTCCACGCTGACATTCGCAGCAGCGTGTGCATCGGCGGGGATCACAGTACTCATAGACAACGACCTCGGTAGCTGCGGGCAGAACCACTGCGTACAGTTCGAAACAGCCACGGCGATGGCATTCATCAGCTGGTTTACAGCATTGCCCTCATTTCTTCTCAACTTTTGGTCGCTGGCCTCGAGATAGCACCCGAGTAGTACAAATCACCGTCGTCGTTGCTGCCCTAATTTCAAGCGAGAGATCGTCCTGTGTGTGTAATCTTCTTAATTTTTGTTTGTAAATGAGAACACAGCGCAAGTAGTTGATAAATTGGAAGGTGGGGTTTACCCCCGGAAACAACTCCTTCCACCGTTGTGCTCTGAATTCCATTTCGTTGTGTGCGACCAGCCAACTTGTTCTACGCTGGAAATGGACTGTGAAAAGGGAAAAGACAGAAAGGAGCATTGCATCTGTTGTCAATGTCGTCTTTGATGGTGTTAATGTTGTTGTGTAGGGCGGCAAAGTCAAAGGAAACGACCGAGAATTTAAGAAGCTTTGGAGGGTTCTATCAAATGCATTGAGATATGGCGGAAATAACTATGCCCACAGCCATTCAACCAGCCGAGGAACGATTGAAATGGTAAAGGAAAAAGCTAATCCAATCGGTGTGGATATGATTTTTGGTGTGCACTACGAAATTTATACACAAACAAATGTATACTGAGTATGGGTCTAATATGATTGAGATGGTAATGAATATCCACTATCCCGATTCATGGCAATTGCTGGTGATATCTTGTCATTTTCGCGTGAAACCTTAAACTAAGTAAGCAACCTCTCCCGACCTCGAAAGTCCCTGTGACATCTGCTCGAATTTTCAATACTCTTAATATTAATTGTTAATTAACGCGCTCGCGGTATGATGGATTCTCACAGCTCACAAGTGGTAACTATGTAGAAAACCACTTGAAGCCTTCATAACTCCAGCCATTGACGCCAGAGAGGAACCTTTTTTAGCTGTGCATGTATTAGTTACTCCCTTTTTAAACGGTTTTTCTGCAGCTGCAATGATCCAACTCATTTCTGTTATGGCGATTTTGTTTTGATAAGGCCAGTTCTCTTCTCCGGCTGTAAGAGCAAAAGGACTCCAGCAGGGATGAGCTACTTATGACCACTAAAAGGAGAAGAAGAAGAAGAAGAAAAAAAAAAAAAAATAAATTAAATTGACTAGAGATATATAACATTGCAAACCCTTAAATATTACATACAAAACTCCCCTCCCCTTCTACTTTCCTGTGTTGCTTTCTTTGGTTTCTCTCAATTTTCCCACAGAACTCAATTTTCCCACATGAAAGGCTTACCAGAAAGACAAGGCTGTTCTTGACTTGAGGATTTCTTGCATCAAAAGTAACCTACTACCATCCTACATTCACTCACACAAAAGACCAGTTAACAAACGAGAAGGCCAGGCAATGCACATTGCTCTCTTCCCCGGCAGCATGCACTTTCCACGCAACTGCTTGCTCGAACGACACATGTCGCCCCATCGTCGACATGCAGATCCCGCCCGCCAAGTAAGCAAGCCCCTGGTCAGCAGGCGACATGATCGATCATATGAGAAGTCTAATTTCATCATCGAAGTCTAATGTCAATGAGATTTTGGTATAATGATGTTCAAGAAAGGAGATTGTTTTATTATGGGCATTTAGTATTTATACCTCTTGCATCAACTTTGCGAAGTCTCCACACAATGCCTTTCGCCCAGATTCATCAAATATCTTATCCAATGTGATGTCTTGCAGAGCTACCAGAGTTGTTTCCAGCATGTCGAGCCCTGCTTGATTCGCAAAGATGAACACGGGCAAGGACTGCAAAGGAAATAGATTTCAACGACAATTCTCTCTCGGTGTTCAATGCATCATCGTAACTTGACCGGAATGTTGATTAAGAAGGGCTTATAATGTCACCTTCAATGAACAGCACAAAATGGCATCCTGATGATGCCACAAACTTTTCAACACTGCTTCTCCTCCACTAGAGGTATCATCAGAACTCAGCAACTCTCCTCCTATATAATAGCTAGGGAAGAAAGGAACAAACAAAGATCAGACAACTGTTTCAGGGCTCTTTAAAGAAACCAAATTTGAATTTGGAACCTACCTGTACGATTGGCAGATCCATTGAGCAAGGGTAAGAGCTTCAGGAGAGCCTGGAGATAGCTTGGGGCCCAAGGAAGGGCTCAACCCAGATGGGGATATGGCCATGGCAACCCTCTGAACCGATGATATCACACTTCTCACGTATTGCCTTGCCATGGTGGCAACATTTTCCTGCAGGTTGCTCTCAAATGGAAACTGGAAGGCGATGGTCAATACTGATCGCAAATTTTGACCAGATGATGAAGCATCTGGAGCAGAAGGATTAGTTGCAGGACCGACTTCGAGACTCGAAGTGAGATCTAGGGTCCGGTTTGTATTCAAGGCATCATGTGTATCCTTCTGCACAGAGTAACCGTATCATACCTTAAACAATGAATTGTAAAAATGAAAGTGTAAAGGGAGGATTTTAAGGCTACCCAAGAACTTACTGCTTTCGAATCCAATGGGATGACACGGAAACCAGAAGGGAGTAATGGGGCATCATCAGGGAACATTTCATCAATTGGAGCAAAAACAAGTTCTGAACAAGATCCAACTGCATTTTCATCAATTCCACTGCAAATCTGCACAAGGAAAATTGTTACTCTCTAATAAGTAAAGAACATGTAAAACACTTAAAACCAAACTAGTAAAGTCAAAAGATTTGTCTCACTTTAAAATGTCTGAACAAAAAAATTGCAGACATAATACCTGTAGGAGATGAATGTCTCTTGAAACGAATGCATCTTCTTGCACTAGAGAATGACCTTCAAGTCGGATGACTTCAAGCATCTGGGAAAAATTAAGTTAGCACTGACAATCAGGTGGGATTAAAGGGGATAACTCCCATTCCTATGCTATCCAGCAAATTCAGAAAGTTAGCTATTGAAGAGATTAGATACCTCTTCATTCTCTATTGTGTGGCCAAGTGGCATGATTATTTGGCTCCCTGTAAACCTTGTAGGCCTCATTCCTGGATATGCATACGAACCAGCCTTTAACGAGGCAGCGGAATATGCATCAACATTGAAATCGGCCCATTCTGAGCGGTGCTCCCTCAGGAAGCGAACCAAAACAGCAGGAGGCACATTCTGCCAAAAAGAAAAGATGGCATACCAATGGTCAGGCCAAAGACACAGAATTTTATCAATTAAACATAACTGCCATCAAATCAACTGTGACGAACTTACTTGCAACAGCATGGAAGCCTTGGCACAAAGGATCCCACCAAGGAAGGCAAAGGAGTTGGCGGGATTAGAAGTGCTGGTCAAATTCTTGGTCGAATTAACAGAAATTATGACATCTTCAGCCCCATCGCTCGCCATCATAGACCACCCATCATCATTAAACCCATTGACAGCATCATTAAACCCTCTGGAAAGTGGAAACATTATAATAAAAAATGGTCATACAGAAATCTAGGGAAATGCTGAAGTGTTACAGACTGCATGATCGATATTCTTTCCAAGTTACCTGTTCAATCTTTGACTAAAGGTTCTCAGAACAGCTGGCTGCCTGCCCAGACCGTACACGACCTCACCACTGGTCTCTTGGGCTATTTGCCTTACATACCTTAGTGCCTTCATAAAAGCCATCAATCAGAAACTTCAACAGATAGTAATATGACTGGAAGATATAGAATCTAGCATATAATGCTTACCGCAATTGTAATTTTCTGGGCAACAACTTTTGATGATTCATACAGAGGTCGAAGCACCTCGGGAACACTCCAAGCCTGCATGAATTAGGGAAATTTTGAGTACATCCTAGGAACAAACTGCCTAAAGAAATGAAGATTAAAGTTTATATACCTCAAGGTTCAGGTGATCAACGATGTGTATGATTGACCCTCCCCCCTCACAAGGCCGTATCAGATAGCCACTCGGAAGCATTTCAGCTCTGACAAACTGAGAAGCTGCAGTTGCACTTGGACCAGCACCAGATCCCGAAAGAGACCTCTCACAGATCTTGAATAAAAAGCCAAACAAAGAAAACACAAGACCAAAAATCTCTTTAGCAAGCTGGAACTATAAAATAAAACTGAAACACACTGAATAACTCATAGACCAGCATGCATACCACAAGACTGCCATTCTCTAAGGTTTTAGTATATCTGAGTGTCCAGAAATCCCTAGCAGGAGCCAGGGTTGTAGGAGCATAAGTCTGAAACAAACGTTGATTAGGCCCATTGCAAAGGGAGAAACACAAAAGAAATCAGGAAAACATAAGGAATCAAGGCATTCACCTGACTGTAAACAAGTTCAATAGTTCCACCATTTCCAGCTGGAAACATGGTGAAAACTTCAGTGCTCCGACAATCACGGTACCAAGATGGACGATCCTTAAGGATCTCCGCTATCTGTGAGGAAGCAGGGTATTCCATGTCATTTCTTTAGTTGCTTAAGGCCTCAAATACATATATAACACAGAGCTACTGAATAGCAACATTGTGATGAGTATACCTTCATTGGTTCTAAGCTCACGAGACCGCAGGCTCGAGCTGCCACTCCACTACAACTTTGTGAAATGGCAAAGATCCCAACCGAATCCGGACCAGGCTGAATCATTAATACAAGAAATAACTCAACATCATGATGAGCATAATTCAACAATAAAATTGAGTCGAGTCTGAGTCGAACAAGTCTAATCACCTTCATCCCAGGCATCTGGACCCAATCGACAGCAGTTCCTGTAGCCTTTGATAGGAACTCTGCCAAGGTCTCCTCCGCAATGGAAAGGAGTCTGAAAATGTAGAGAAGATTACTTTCAGATTAGGCACAGCTGCAAAATTGCAACCAGAGCAGGAATGGAAAGACAAGAAAAAGAACATTTTCACTTGACAGGGCCCTTGATTACCCAGCAGGGTTATTGGCATCTCTGAGTGAATGCTGAGGAGTGGTTACCACGGAGTCACAACTTCCATCAGTTGCTGCCGATGCCTGCAGAAGCATACAGATCATAATCAGACAACAAAGTAAGTAAACACAAGCAAAAGGAAAGCAGGCATTTTCCTCCTTATGGCCAGTCAGAGAGACAATCAAAGGTGGAAGAATCCATTTCAGCCGAACTAGACACTTTCCCTGCCAAATTCCCGTATTGGAAAGAAAAGCAACAACATAACAAAAGTAGAAACAGAATAAAGACTGAAAAAAAGAAAAGAAAAAGGAACAATAGTGGATAGAACACTCATTCAAACTGCCTGCACTACAACAAAGAAAATTCTACAACAATCAGACTAGCTAGAGCCTAGAACATCACAACTAAGCCTTCGAGAGTACATCTACACTCATAGCACATTCGGACCCACAACCACTTCTCTTCTTGCTCATGTACAAACCTCCAACATATGCATCAAATATGTGCAGAGAATGATAGGAATATTCGCAGCATCAAAGTAAATCAGTACAGAAAGCATTATAGAATACCAACATTTCCAGATCCCAATCAATAAAAAAGGGCATTATACAAAGAAGGAGAACGTACATTGATAGTCTGCAGTTGTTGCCGCATGTAGGCATTTTCACATACAAGCTGCGATACCTGTTTCTGCAACCGATCATTCTCCTCCATCAGCAGCTTATTCATCGCCGTCAATTTCCGGTTCACAGTCTGTAGCCTCGAAGCCTCTTTACGCTGCTTCTCTCGACACCTGCCCAAACACAGCCCCGAAACCACCAACCCCATTTCACAAACTGTGATCTAGTAACACAATTTTGCACGGAAACAAGAAAAGATTCAAACTTTGAGCTGCCAATTATACAAATGATAGTAACCAATCCTAAACCCGCTTGCAAAAGATCATGGCTTTGCTCACAGAAGTTATGATCTAGCTCTAGCTAGCCCGCAATTGGGGTACCCAAAAGAGATGCCAAGTTTGAGCAGCTGATGATACCAATTGCAAAATGTAAAGTGAACCTCGTGACCAACCTGCGATTTTGGAACCAGACTTTGATCTGCTTGGGCTCGATGTTGCAGAGAATGGGACATTCCCTAATGAGCTGCTGTCTCCTTAAGGAGCTCGGTTTGGGGCACTCGGCGTAGACTCTTTCAAGGGCTTCAACTTGCTCCGTCGTGTACCTCACATACTTGCCGCTGTCAGTCAAGTGCTTGCTTATGCTCCCACTGCTGCTCTCTCGGTGCGGCGCCACCGCCATCATCGCCATTTTTTCACCACCAGAAACCAACAATGCAACAAGTGAGACAGAGAGACAGAAACAGAGGAGGGGGGAGAAAAGACTGGATTTTTCTGGATTTGTGTTCTTGGTTTTTCCCCGTTCTAGGGATGAGGGCTTGTAGGTTAAGATTCTCTGGGTCTTTAGTAAAGTTCCGTCCTTCGATTGATACAAAGAGAGAGAGAGAGAGAGAGAGAGAGAGAGAGAGAGAGGGGAGAAAAGGAGGGCAGTGAGGTTTCGAGGTGAAGTAAGAAAGAATCTTGAAGCTGAAAAAAAGAGAGAGCGAGAGAGACAGAGAGAAAGAAATGAAAACAGAGCAACCAACTAGTTTCAGAAGAAAACCCTTCAAATGGAACTATCTGAGAAAATTTTGTAGCTTTCAGACCTCGACGAAATGGTTAGCCAACAGGAACGAAACAGGGGAAACCCCAACTCAGGAAGACACAAAAGAGGAAAAACCCCAAAGGAACGAAACGGAAAATTTTTCAACAAAAATCCAACCTCGACTCCCTGTTTCAGCCTCCACACTCCCAATTTCCCTTTTTTTTTCCCCCCAAAACCAGCAAAGCCTACGGTGGGTTCTTCCCCGTGAGTGTGAATCAGCTAAAGAAGAGGGCTCTCTCCCTCAAAGGAGCAACAGAGCCGAGCAGCAGCGGCTGCGGGTGTGGCATTACTGAAGAACCTCCCTCTCTCTCCCAATTCTCCTCTCCAATCACACATCCAAGAAGAAAAAACCAAGGAAGAAAGCCTGCAGCTGATAAAGACGACGACGACGAAGAAGAAGAAGAAGGTGTTGAGGGGTAGTGGGGGGAAATATGGGCAGCAGTGAGAGCTGAACAAACAGAGTCAGAGTGCTCTGTTCATCTCCTCTCCTTCTCTCTCTCACTTTCCTTCTGAGAAGAAAAAAAAAAAGGGTTTTGATTTCGAGCAGTCCAACTCTGTTGTGTGGTGGTAATGTAAGAAACTCTACTCTAGAGAGAGAATGTAGGAAGAGAGAGAGAGCAGTTTCATTTCAATTGCACGCATGCCGACAAACTTACCGATGTCGTAATTTGATTTTTTTCCCACCTCTTTTTCCCTCTTTTAATTATTTTATTGTATTTCCCGTAGCGCGCGACGATAAAAATAAAAAAAAGAGAACGGAAAATAGTTTAATCAATTTTCCGGCGGTAGATTTACTGATTTGTCCCTATTGGTTCGTCGAAATGACAGGACAAGACGGGGTCGTTTAGGCTCAGAGGAAGTGGGCGCTGTAAGCCGTCCGGCCCACGGCGGCCCACCGGAAAGAAGGCCACAATCCCAAAGCCCTTTTTTTTTGCTCCACTTTGCATATTGCTTAGTGCTTACACTTGCTTTTCACAGTTGCACCGGTAAAAAGGGGTGGTCGTCGTGATGGTCGTCGTATCTTTATCGCAATCTCTGTTCTTCTGCTCTCTACATTGTGCATTGGTCAAACCCACTAACTATCTATCTATCTACCAACCCAACGTCTATGTATGTGCATATTCATACTCGGATGTTGATTGGGGGTTGTTTGGGTATGTTTAAAGGGAGAATACACATCTATAGCTATGGTAGCTAGGTGGGTATAGAAGTGGAGCAATGTGAATGTGAAAGGTGAATGTTTCGATCGAATTATCGAGAAAAATTGGAACGTGGGTTTAGGTTTGTTAGTTTTGTTTGCCCGTTTTTAATCTAAATATTGAAGGGTTGAGCCATAGGATGGATTTTCTCTTTCCAACACAAATTTTTTCTAGTATCGCGTGTAAAAAAACGTGAAGATATGAGTGGATGTCAAAACGGGTATATATGAGTGTATAATCGTGGGAATCGTGAAGTGGAGATACTGGCATGGGACTTTCATCCACATCTAACTAATGTTTGCCTCAGACTATATATCTTTTTGACAATGACTACACTAGACACAATCGGCTAGTAAACATGGTTATGCTTCCTTTCACCCTCTCGCACTTTCACCATATCATCAGAAGTCAAAACAATACCATGCCCACAGAATTGACGCTTGTTTTCAGCTTGTAACGATCTATCAAGTATCAACAATGAAGTCTTACACAGTATGTTGTTGTTGGACCATGATACATGATTCTTTGTGTTGGCGTTGTAGGTGATTTTTTTTCCACCATCGTTGCTCACGATGAATCGGTATAATTGAATTTCAATAATCTTTCTCGCAAAATAAAGAAATCGAGGAACTTAGAAGACTTCGATGGCTACTTGACCATCTACTTCCACAAGCATGTTGAGTATACATGAACTCCTTGCATGTTATCTTCCCACTTTAATTTTTGTAGAAGACTATTTTATTATGTTCTTAAAAAAGGTGACTGTTAACCTTTGGTTGGAATCAAATGGAGGTTCACTTCCTATACAAAATTGGTATTTAGAAGAGCGGCATCACATGACACTAGTCAGTGGCTGCATTGTGTTACAAGCAACAATAAACCAGAGATGTGGAGATTTTCATTTAATTATTGCTATGCAAAACCAGATGAAATTTCTCTTTTTGCCTCAATCATTACCCATTTTCTTACAACTTGTAAAAATACTAAAAAGATATAGTGCAAGATATATTAAAATATTTGGTGGGATTCCTTTTTATTCTTGAGATATTCATGTGTGTAGGGGAAAAAGGCACAAGTTTTCTAGGGAAAAAGAGGGGGAACGAAGGAATGAATTGAATAATAAAAGTATATGTCTACAAGAAGTGAATTGTGACTAGGAAAAAAGTTTTGGTGGAGGATATTTAATAAATTTTTATATTAATCAAACACCTTAATTTTTTCTTTTAGATTATTGGTGGTCTTTCATGTACAAACATAAAGTTTGGTGAATCTTATGTTGTCATGTTATCATTAGTTCACCTTATTGTGATTACAATTAGTATAAAACGACTTGAACTAAGTGTTAATAATCTCTTGCATGGATGGACTACTTATTTTTTGGTTTGCACATGTCAGCTTAAGATTTTCTTCTTGTAAAGATTGTAATGAGCTACAACATATGCATTTGCATGAGACCCTTGACCTACATGATAACCCTATCCATAACTGGGGCGAAACTATATGTCTCTTAGCCACTTGTGTTTGTCATTGTTTCTCGAAAACTCATGTGCAAGTGGGCAATTGGATTTCATAATTCTTCATATGTTTGGTACAGTTATTTCTAGACACCATAAACTTTAACTGACGTGAAAAAGACCTAGAAATTGCACTTATACCAGTATAGGTATAAACCATGATCTACGAGCCTTCACTCATGTATAATTAAGCATTCCAAAGATTCAGCGACTTGTACACTGTCATATTCGAAAGGATTAAACCCTTCTCAGTTGATTTGAAAAGTTACATAACATTTTAGGGAGAGAGTAAAGAGTAAATGAGGTGCAAGAACAAGACCGCAAAAAGGTTGTCCAATAAAAGAACTAATCTATGCAACATGCTTCAATCCTCACACACATTAGTAGTACAATCAAGTGTGTATGATGAGGCTTATATAACAAAGTCAAATGCCTCTCTCCCTCCCATCTTTTGGTTTCTTCTCTATAAGCTTTTTTTTTTAGAGGTGATGGGAATTAACAACATTCCCTCCACTTTGTCCCTCTTTTTTCTTTGGCAATTAGTGTTGTCCTTTCCTTTCCATTAATCAATTTTCAATCAATAAACCCAAATTTCCCCCCTTTTGTTGGGGTAATTGGGAGAAACAAAATTAAAAAAAAGGTAAAAAAAAAACCCACTCCCTTTTGTCAAGGAGAGGCCATGCTTGCTTTTCTCACAGGGAAGGAATATAATGCCAGAAGAGAGTGCTTGCTTCCTTAACCCCTTTTGGGCCCCACTTCTTCGGTCCAATCACGTGGGCCCCGTTCCGTCTGGGCCCACGGGCCGTTCCCCCTTCCCACTCTCAAAAAAAAAAAAAGGAAAAGAGTGGAATTTGTTGCGTGAATCAATAGAATGGTGACGTGGCGGTGGCTTTTAGAGCGGGACGGGATGGGAGGTTGTTGTTGTTTGTTGTCGTTGAAGTGGAGGCTTGGGCCCACCTTTTCCCGATCCAAGCCCAACTTTGCTTCAATGGCACACTTGTTTTTTCAATTTTTTTTTGGTCCAGCCCAGAGATGACAATGTGATTGGCTTCTTTAATTAGAGGTGGCTATACGGTACGGTCCGGTTAAATTGGACCAAACTGATCCGGTCCTAGTCCAGTCTTTTCGGGAATATAAGAACCAAAGATTGGATTGGATACAGTCCGGTTTTGATCTGGTCCGGTCCCAATTTTATCTTGATTTTAGGTGTTGGGGGTCTCTTATCCAGTATTTACCGGTTTTTTACCTCAAATCTAAGCCCGAATATGAGATCGCATTGTTTGCTATCCGGTCCCAGTCCGGTCCCGGTCCGGGTTATACGATCCGGTTTCGGGTAAAACCAAACAGTCCGGGACCAAATAGCCAGCCCTACCTTTAATAGTCTTTTTATAATTTCCACCATGACCATCCCATTTGGTTAAATAATTTATTTTTATTTTTACCCTTTTCATTATTGTTTAATTTTTAATTGCTAAAGAAGGCACGATAGATGGATAGTGATAATGGGTAAGTTCAATGCGTTGTTGGTTCTGTTGTTTTCACGGTGGGGCAGAAGAAGAAAGGGTTAAACCCACAAATGGATAGGGATGCTCTCTGCAACTCTCATGGTGGTTTGGTTCTTTGTCCACCCCAAACCTGGCAAAGTTTTTTTTTTGGTCCCCCAAGCAAGCAAAGAGATCGACTAAGAGAGGCAAAAACCCTAAAAGATGAACAAAATGACGTATTGAGGTGGTGTGTGGAAGGGCTCATGAAATATGGGTGGTGAATGATGTCAAGGAGTTGATTATCGGGGTGTTTCGAATGATGTATTGTTGGAAAAATAGTTTATCGAGAAGAACGTATCGGTTTTGAGATAGAGATGAGTTTTGAAACGGATAGTTCATCGAGATGTATTGTTTAGAGAAAAAACTATTTTTTTGTTGCGATTGGAATGCAAGGTGGTGATCGAGTATATCGATATATCTATGAATATGTTGCTGACTCGCAACAATGGCACCAAAAGTTTCCATCAAGTATTGTTGCATGATGTGTGCAGCACACGTACCTAATACCCTCCCAAAAGATGGATAATCCAAACCACCATCCATATGTACGTTCAAAATGTGTTGAGGTGTTTGCATTGTCTCTTAAAAACAATTTACCTCACAATAATTCAAATTGTAGTGTCAAAAGATTTGATAGTAGAGCACTTGCACAATAACATAGTCCCCTTTGCAACTAATTTTCTGAAACAATCTTGTTGATTGGATTGTCTAATGATGATTAATTAGCATGGAATTTGCCACCCAAATGTTGCGGTATAAATTGCCATCAACATTGCTTTCACGCGGTTACTTTTATGGTTTTACTTCTACACTAAACTTGGAAATCATATATTTGATTTCCTTTTCGTGTTTGAACGATTACATCGGTCTGAAATTAATCTGCTCGTATTATTGCTTTGTTTTGATCGAAAGAGGGAATGTTACATAATTGTTCTTGCCAGTAATTTTCATATATATTATCACAAAGATTATAAACCATTTATGTGAAAATAGTTAAAATATATGTCCACACTTTATTAGGAGTTTAGGAGCATCTATCAAGCTAATTTGTCTTCTCCATTAATTACCCATCACCAAACTCCAGCTACGATTATGAACATCCACCTTCATTCATTTCGACCGATATTCTCTAAAAAACTATTCATTCATCCCTGACTTTTTTTCTTTATGCGTATCACCTTTTGAAATAAAAATCTCTAGATTCAAATCTAACGCTCAATCACCATTCAACCAGACAATTGTATTAACATTCTCCCAACAACTTGCGATGGACAGACACTACATTTACCTCATTTGTCCTCATCATTAAACAGAATTAACTATCTGGCCATATGATGATATGATAGCCATCCAATGAGCAAGAGGGACGTACTCTTCTTGTTGCGAAGAAGTTGACAAACATGAAGGAGGGGTGAATTTGGATTGCCATCATTCCTTCAAACATGCAACTCTCTTGCATTTAAGTATACCAAATTTCCTGGTGAAAACAATGTGTAGTGTGAGCCAAATGATAGCCAGAGAAGGTGAAAGAAAGTGGGTGTTAGATTAATGAATTTGAGTAGGGCAAAGAGAGAGTGAGAGGACCCCTCAAACCCAATAACTAATGTATATATGGCAGCATCAATTAAAATCTGTGACCTGACCAATACCTAAGATATGTGCATTGTCTATCACATTAATTGTTTATAATTATAAATTGGTCCACCAAGGTCAAGTCCATGTAAAATTTGGTAAATGATTCATAATTGTAATGATAATTAACCATGTCAAGAAAGTTTGTAAGAGTCTACAACAACCAATATGAGATATGGTAACTCTGAATTCTAACAGTTATTTAAAGCGCGCGAATATGCGTAAAATTCGAGAATTAACGACGTCTTCTATAAAGTTCGGGATTTGTGCTTAATGTTTTATTGTGTGTTTAGCACTCAGTGTTACTTCCTTGTAACGACATCTCCCATTAAACCCTCCATTTTAGAGTAGGAATTATTTATCTCATGGTGAGAGCTTTAGGTTGACAACATTTCATCAGTTTCAAAACATTAATATAATGAACACGTTACTACGTTCGGTTTTCTCAATCTCAACCTTCTCGGAATCATCCATCCGACATTTGTTTTTTTTTTCAGTTTCCCAAAAATAACATGGTATCAAGTGTTTACATGTAGATATATGTTGCCATGCAAATGCAATTATGATCAAACAAAAGGACATAATAATTATCATAAGGCCTATCTATCTGCATGTACGATATGGTTGGGGCCGTTGGTGGAAAGAGATATCCCAAGGGAAACAAAGCAACTCGTACACCTTCGTCCATGGCTTTTCCATTCCCATGAAACCAAACAAAACCCTAATAAAACAACACAAACCCAAATGAGCTTCTCCACTCTATACCATATTCGAGTTCTGTGATTCACTGGCTGGCTGTACCCAGAAGAGAGAAGAGATTATGGATCCATGAAAGCTAGCTATAAGGACAAATTAAAATGGGTATTTGGAGAGAGGAGGAAAGGAACAATTCTTTCTTAGTTCATGATATTTATGAATGAATGAATGAATGAATGATAAGGAGAGGATAACGAGTTAAGCATTTAACTTCCACGATGGTTCATTCACCCTTTGCTTCTTGTGTTGCTCCCATTTAGGGAAATCCCACATGCAAGAGAACGACATAATAAGGCTAAGCTATCATTATTGGACCTCTCTTGTAACATCCCTCTCTCTCTCTCTCTCTCTCTCTCTCTCTCTCTCTCTCTCTCTCTAGTTCTAAACCGTATCATACGGCTTGCCAGACCGTAAAAATCGTCTGCCATCGTTCAATTCGGGTCGGTATGTATAATGCGAATAATACCAATTTTTAGCGATATCAACACGATATAATGCTAATCGAATACTATATTCCCAATTCTGACCGCCTCTGTCTCATTTGGAAAGACGGATGTATGGCGAAGACGTTCAAAACACCGACTCCAGTTGGACTCGATTGAATCGGCCGACTAGATATACCCGGTTCGAAAACTTTGCTTAAAGTAAAATACTTACTATTCAAATATGAGTACAAGTGATCAAGTGTTTAGATTTTGTCATGATAAGTAGAAGAATGGGCTCATGATCAGTGTCATCACTAACCTTTTGTTTTGTCCCTAAACCAGTAGCAGAAGGCGGTAATGGTTGCGGTGATGTCAGTGCGATGTCACGATGCATATTGTGAATTTGACTTTGTGCTGTGATAATGGTGACACTATTGAGCCGATGAAATCTAGAAAAGACAGACGACAGAATCAGATCACTGGTAATCTGGAACCCAATTAATTAAAGCAAGTTGGTTGCCAGCCAACCCATCTTTGATTGATTGATTGATGGATGGATTTTGAGTTACTGCTGCTAAGTTTAATTTCAGGAGAGGAGACTATCCTAAACAGTTGCCCCAGTGACCAATGGCCTGAATAGGAACAGGTTTCAGCCTCTTAGTTGTTGTAACGTTCACATCCTCCAAAACCGGGAAAACTATGGTTTCCAATGAATTCTGGGTTCGAAATGTGGAGCTTTCAAGTTTCATTTTCCCCCATTTCAGATAGCTGTCGTTGTCCATACACACATTGGGAACTCCAAAATTTGACCATCTCCTGCAACGATTCTTCAATGGATATTCAATGTTGCAACAGAAGACAACGACACAAGTTTGGGTTCAGGAAGACAGGCCAGCTTGAGAGATCACAACACCACCATAGCAGATTAATCAGGTTCCGTATAAGAAGAAGGGCTCTGGCTTCATCTTTTCCAAACCTGCCACTTTCCACAACTCATAAGATCAAAAGGGTACTAGAAATTTTACAGATACAACTTCAGAGAATTGCAAAGATATATGTATGGATGATGACATTTTCTGATGCTAATAGGAACTAATTCGAAACCCGACAACAGCTCTAACAGTTTTTACATACTACTTACTACAACAAGACGGGTAACATAAGATAACAACACTCAATACAACATTTGTTCAAGGGAAGATAATCGACATATCATTGGCAAAACTAGAGAAAGGTTTGGTTTGTGTCTCTCCTCTGATCTTCGTCCATCTTCCCGTTCAAATGCTGAGATTCTTCAGTTCATCCAAGCTCTGACCTACATTTGACTCTTCCGCCACTTGGGCATTGTCTACTGCAGTCTTCTTACATGTTTCCTTCATATGATCAGCTACGGTGCTAGGCGGTGCTGGGATGACAGCGGTAGGGGGAACCTTATCCTCCTCTTTCTTGACTTCGACACAAGACTCTTTCTTAGCTTCCTCGCAGCAATCTTTCTCTGATTCAGCAGGATCCTCCTTGGGCTCGATCGGGACACTTGGAGGAGTAAGTTCTTTCTTAACTGCTGCAGGGGAAGGAGCAGCAGCGAACACCGGGATGGCCTGCCTTATGGTTACAGGGATGACATTCCTTCCCATGGGTGGTGCATGAACTGCCTGATGAGTGGGAACCATAGAAGGCTGCTGATGGCGTGGGGGTGGTGCAGCATAACATGGTACTGCATGTCTTATTGTCACAGGTTGAACAGAGAATGGCTGCTGCATATGGATATACGGATTGTTGGCTCCCGTTGCTGCTGCTGTATGGAGCTTCTGATGAGCCCAAAGATCTAGCGCATTTGGCGGCTGTCTGAGCCCTGGTACACGCCTATCATTTGTTGAGGTAGGTCTAGGAGGAGGGGCGAATCTGTCACTTGCTGTTGTTGCGGTGGCTCTACAGTGCTGAGAGGTTCTCTCGTTTGATGTGCTTACCATCATAGATCTATTTCTAGTTGTCTTGGGATAAATGAGGGGTAGGATTCTTGATGTTGTTACTGGAGCAGGTTGAGGACTGGTTGGCCTTGGGCTTTGAGGTGCAAACTTCTTTTGAAATGGAATTGGGACTTTAGAAGAGGAACTGTGTGCTAGTGTCATCATTTCCTTCATTCGGTAGTTTTGCAATGCACGTGCTATCGTTATCTGCTCCAGCTCATCGCTGCTCTCCGGTTCGGGTGATGAACTGGACTCTTCCTTAGCCACTGAATTGGGGGGCAATAAGCATTCAACTCTTAGCACTTATCTCTCAGCAGATCATTGTATCAGATTGTGAGAGCTATTGAAGCTACTGAAGAAACGGAAGAAGATAAATAGAGACTAACATTGTTTAAGGGATGACCAAGCTGCCATTGCAGCATTTTTCTCGGCTTGCTTTTTGTTCTTTGCAGGATCTCCTGTGAAAGTAATTCCAGCCAATTCAACTATCCCCGTAAAGACAGGTTGGTGGCCTAGACCGGACCTATATGTTGTGTACTGTGGCAATGGAGCACTGACTCTCTGGGCGATCTCCTGCAAGAGGTTCTTGTACACCCCCGTTTCATCCTGATGAGAGGATTAAATATCAGACAACAACCTCGACAGCAGTAAAGAACGAGGCATTCAAGTATGGACCTAAAATGGTGGAGAACTTGCTAGCATATAAATAAATGTGTTGGGATTTTAATATTAGGAGCAGAAGCATGCTTGAGAGCCATTGAACTCAGTTGTCAGTTCAACAAGTATTTAGGAGAACAACAGTCTATTCAGAAAGCAGAGTAGGTATATTGATCCCAACAGACAAAACTTGGAAGCTTGAAACAAAAACATAGCCAAGACAGTGATGAAAAAAAAAGGAATATTCACCCACTTACAGGGAGAGTAGTAAGTGGGTATGAACTGAAGACTTTATCATCTACATTTGAGATTCCAGCAATTTTTTCCCCACAATAGAATATTGCAGTGCTCTCACTAAAGTCATCATGTCAATATTCAACACTAATTTTTAAGATGAGCTGGCAAATGTACAGTTACTACTCTACTCACCGGCATTTGATAATCAAATGGGTAGAAAAAGACTCAACACGCTTTGTTAACACACCAAATTTCTCTCAACTTAACCTCCAAGTAGAGCAGCAAAACTTCAACCATTATCTGGTCAACTGAGAAGAAAAGTCTATGAGAGGACAAATATCCAGGCTCCATTTCAACTAGAACACCCAAGTCACAACTTAATTTCGGTTCATTGGGTCACAGTCACAAAGCCAGCTTGTTGCAAGCTTGAACCGAATGACAAGGTTCCACAGGAGCAAGGTCAAACTGAGATATTTCTCTCTTAGGAAAATTTCCAAAACATATAGCTTCTACACCACAAACACCATGCAGAAGCTTTTCTGGATTAATGACCTTCTGTTTCTGAGCAATCAATCATGGAAAGTGAAAAATCACTAATCTGGATGGAAAGCTCGGACATTTCCCGTGACACTAATAACCTCAAACAAAGAAACCAAGTACTCAAGCATCTTTACAAAAGCAGAGCAACAAAGCAAACACCAGATTCCGTCCTTGGTTATGGCCACTAAACTACCATGAACCATGTCCACACATAGAACAAACGAAAACAAAGAAACGGGAATGAATAAAGGAAACGAGCCCACAGATTCCATTTTTAATGCTCTGGTCAACTAAAGTTCAGGAAAGCAAGTCGATTGCAGTCTAAATTGAAATCAACGGCATGGCAACAGTTGCAAAGGAGGGGCGTTTCAGTCCATTCATCCAACCCACCCACCCACCTACCCGCAATTATATCCCGCCGGCGGCAGCCGGGATTCAGACGATAACCCCGATCACCAACGGAAGACGGAAAGTAAAAATCAAACCCGGCGAACATCAGAGCAAGAGAAAGTCAAACGCACGAACCTATGACCGGGAAGTTCAGCAACAAACAGAAACTTCACCACCGACAAAGAAGTACGGAAACTTGAAAAGGGATAAACAAAACCGAGAGAAAGCAAGGGGGTACCAGAATGCGGGCGGCGAGGGAGTGGGAAGGCCCGCGGTGGGAGAGGGAGCCGAGCGCGACCTCGGCGGCGGAGTGCTCGGCCTGGCGGAGCGTGGAGCAGTAGGACGGGCTCTCGAAGATCTCGCCGTTGAAGTTGACCGTGGCCTTGAAGCGCGGCGCGTGGTCGGGACCTTCCCTGATGCAAGTGTAGGAGGGAAGGTTGAAGCAGCTCCTCTGCGCCAGCTCCTGCAGCTGGTTCTTGTACATTTCTTCCCCCCACCCTGAAATCAACTCTGCTTCTGCTCACCACAAAAAAAAAAAAAAAAAAAAGTCCTTCTCGTCCTCTCTTGATACTACTCTTGCCCGCCGCTACCCTTCCAGTTCATCAGCTCAACCGGCGAAAGGAGAATGGAAGAAGCGGGATCGGAACCAAGAAATGGCCCGGTGGAAGATCGAGCTCGCTCTACTGTTTTTTTTTTTTAGGGTTTTGATGTCGTTGCCGATAGATTAAAAAAAAAAAGGATGAGAGAGAGAGAGGGAGGGAGACAAATGGGGGTGGAAGCAGTAATGAGTAAATCAGATAGTGCGGACCGGAGGAGGGGAAGAAAATTGGTTTTTTAAAATAATTAATTCGATTTCTTTATTTCATTTTCTATTATCATAACAATGTTTAGTTTATTTATTAATTAAGCGCGTATTTATGATCACCGGTTTGGGGTGGGTTAGTCAACTTAACGTTAGTCTTTTTTGCATGGGATTTTGATCTCTTTTATTCTTTCCTTTAGATCTGCCTCCTTTTGTGCTTTAAGTTGATTCTATTTGCAACGGATTACAAAAAGGAGTAATGTTTGTCACATGTCATTGCATGCATTTGATTCGTTCGATTAGCGCGTGCTTACACAAAGTATTCGTAAAATCACGCTGATTGTGAAATCCAATAGAATTGGATCGCGCGGCGTGACAAACCCACAAGCATCACCATACAAGAATGGAGTTACACGGCGAGCAGAGCTGCAGCTATTTTTCCAGCATTATTTGTAAACATTCATCGCCGTCGGTCGTCGTCGGTCTCACCGGTCAGAGAGGACTTGTCTGTCTACATAGTACCACCATAGATTTGGGGAATCTCAAGTGGGCGGAAGTACCAAAATGCTCAACGCCAACAAACTGAATCAAGATGTAGAGAGAGAGAGAGAGAGAGAGGCTAGTGGAGTTGGTTCATGATGTCCATTTACACGATGAGCCAAATTGGGGTCACAACGGTCGGACTTTCATCATCGTGAGCAAAAAGGTGAGTGAGTGGGGAATAATTAGCAAGGAATTTCCTTCCCTCCTCTCACTCGCTTTACAGCTTTCCCATTTGACGAAGATTGACCCACAGACGAGTAGAATTGAATACGTTGTTTGACATTGTTGGAAAGCAAAGTCCACAAATTGGCGTTGGCCTAATTTTAACTAGCATTTAAACATAATAATACGATCGACAAAGGAAAAAACATACATAGACATGAGGATAGCGCCAGCCGAGCCTGAGTTTCACCCGAGTCGGGGAACGATAACTCTATCAACGTGTGCTCGATCCGAAGTTCCGAACTCTGTGGCCAACAATCATCTAAAAATAAACCACGTCCCGTCGCAACTCGCAAATGCACGGCAAACTAAAACTACTGTGCCATTACGAGGAGGGGCTCATAGATTGGCAAGAAGAAGAAAAAAACAGCCAGGGAGTGCTAAAGCTACTAAATTTATTCAGCTGACTACTGGGCAGGAAAGAGGGGAAAAGAGCAGTAGTGGTAGTGTACAGATGTGTAAAGAATGTCAGAATGATAGCAGATTACTTGGGGAAATGGATGGGATGTCACCAGGAGAAGGGGCTTGCTCCCAGCAGAAAGATCTCGTTCTCTACATCTTTCACCCACTGGCACACCTTGTTGCATGTCTTTATCGCCAGCGCCTGCAAATTTTCGGTTTCCCGGAGACAAAAAAAGAAGCAGAAGCTTGTGAGGCAGAGACATGAGGGGAGTAAGCCAGTTTGACGACAGACGATGAAGGCAGAGAGAGAGGTATCAAACCTTGTCTGCGAGTGGATCGAATGCGGCGTATAGTTCAAAATCGGGGGTGACCCAACAGAGTAATACTGCAAAGGGAGAGAGGAGCAGAGTTGATTCCTCACTACAATAACTTCTAGTCATACAAGCTTAATAACTGATGGCGACTCAGGGTAAACGTGGTGAAACAGGTTACCGTAGTTCTCATCTCTTCTGAACTGAGTTTTGTGTGGTCCGACTCCTTTGTTATGCATGGAAACGTAAAGCTTCTGGTAAGCTCTGTACAATCTGCCACCACAAACCATCCATGTCATGCACACAACTAGTTCGAATAGGAGGATTACGTGATGAAGGAAGTTTTGCATAAACTTACCTTTTCTGCTGTCGATGGGTACTAATCGGCGAGGAAAACTCAGAAGACACATACTGATCAAGATATACACTGCGATACAAGAAATGCCAAAGTCCAGCTGGACCACCAAGGCCAACAAGTGCTGATTCCCTTGTTCGTTCAAGTGCCTTATCATCTGCACGAGAAGTAGATCCAGTATGTTGCGGTAGATCAACAGATAAATCTTCAACTCGCATCCCACCATCTACCATGGATCTCTGAACTTCGCTTAGTACATTTGACTTCAGAAGTACCGTTTCAAGACGAATCCTATAAAATAATTGCCCGAACTTTCTTAACATACTGTCATTTTTAGAAGGTATCATCACATGTGTTGATTCATTTTTAGGTAAAATGTGAGAACTTTGACAAAAGAAATAAGGAAGAAGAGCAAATAATAGAAATTCTACTACAAGGGTATATCTTTTATAATGAGTAGGAACTCAGGGAAGAGGAAGACTCACCGGCAATCTTTAAGATGGTAGAAAGCATCTGGACGGGTTGTTAACAATATCAGGTACGTGTCAGCCTGCAGGAAGCGTTTTTAAATGACAGGAGTCAGCATCGAGCAGTCGTCACAGGCATTATATACGAAATTGAAAATAAGTATTCCATAAGAAATAATAAGTTGGCCACCATCCTAACAGTGTTCAAAAAGCCATTGTATGATAAATTGGAAATCTAGTCTTACATCAAAATAATGGACATAAGCATGCAAAAATGCCATAGGATTGTATCTTGGTAAGCAGATTGGTGAGAAAGATTCAGATGTCCTGCACAAGCCCAGTCACTAAGTAAGCTACAATATAGATACCCTCAACAGCAGTCATCATAAATTCCACCACAGATGCTGAGGAAAGAATCCTGCCCTCCTTTGTAACTATGATTGAACTGTTAAAAAGACAACCATAACACAGAATATATTTGTATTACTCATGTTGACTCGATCGGCTTAGTAGTGAGAAGATGAAGGCAGCCTTCTTCGAGTCAAGTGCACTTGCCTAAAGGACTCAGATGACATTACAAAATTTCCAAGTAGCAGCATGTCATCGGGATGAAGAGAAGCTTTCTGGGCACCAACAAGACTGACAACCTGAAATTTAGCTTCAAGTCAGAAAGTACTCTCCGAAATATAGGAAATCTAATACCAAGAAACAACTGCAACTTCAACAACGGTACCTACTCTATGTTTACACATTAATATCGCAAAGAGGACACCAGAATCAGCAACATCTTGCAATACAGCAGCAACAGCTTGCCTTGTCGCATAAGGAAGAGGAAGACAAGTGTATGCATGAAGAAATGCAGCTGGATTCCTGGTTCAAGAAAGAGTCCCAAAGTTCATTTACTATCAATCTCCAAAGGACACAAAAAGAGATGCACAAACCTAAAATTGTCACTATTCAATTACATAAAGTTCCCTTGAGTTGAGGAAAGGCAGGAAATGCAAGGATTGGTACAAGCACTAAAAAATCTGAGAAATGAAATGGGATATGTGCATTTCACTACGAGAAAGTTATCTTCTAATTTATGCCGTGTTAATTGAAATACTTAAATACACTTGTCATTTTCTCAGCATATAGCAGGTGATCCTCGGTTTACCAATTTACAGTTATCCAACTAGTCTATATGCACCTGCAAGTGATTGAAATCTTTAATTACCAATTACACATCCACGGTACTATCACTTACATGCTTGGCCAAGTTCCCCTCAATTAATAATAACTCCCAACAAAAGGAGTTGGGAATAGAGATTCAAAGTTTTCTATCCAAACTAAGGGAAGAGGAACAAACCAACTAAACGAGTGGATTAGGGCAGAGAAGACAACATCTGTTCCTCCAAGCAAGGGTGTCATGTCAAACTTCGGGTTTTTCTCGAAACATCTATTCAGTGATTTGGTCAAAATGAGAATCATCTGCACCCATATAATAGCTAATTCATGAAAGTTCTATGATGATTCCAGCTAATAAATCCTTCCTCGTGAAAAGCACCAGGAAAATTGCACTAAGAAATAAAAAAGGTGGAGAAGCTTCAATTACCTGACCGTATAGAAGCTCCAAATGTCCAACCAGAGACTCGTACGGTTCTTCTATACAGCTTATGCAAACAAGGTAGATTGGTCCTTTGACAAGAAAAACCACCTGGAGGAGGAATCAAAGGATAACAGTAACAATAAATCCAATCTATCTATTGTCTCTAGACCGAGAAAATATCGTTGCAACATGATACGGGAGTGATTGTAGACTATTTTTTTCCGTCAGAATATAATACACAGGATAGAGAACAAATTAAGCACCCCAAATGCAACTATAACCAGAGTCTTAAACAACATATCAACTCACAGATAGTCATCTCCAATGTCAAGAACTTCTCAAGGAGAACACATAAGAGTTTGGAGGAATCAGACAGAGATTCTACTACTCGACTTGGTTCAACAAAGAGCTTAAATTAAATGCGAAAACTGTAACAGAAAGACGACAAACCTGGTGCATGCCTGCCTTAACATACTTGACCCGGTCTCCCCTGAAAACCAAAATAATTAAGGCAACTATTACAGCTCCATGAGTAGCAGGTGTAACTACAAATCTCTCCACCAGAACAAAATTAACAATAAATTATAGATCGTCATTGTGTTATCCAAATTCCAAAATACCCATTCTCTACAAAAGATATGATTGCTTGAAGAGTTGCTGAGAATCCTGCCAGCTTGTGTTCATCCCCATATCTAGAAGTTGAGAATTAAAATCAAGTAAGCAGTTGTGAGGGTGAAAAAGGGAACCAGGATCGCTATACAGGCTGAATAATATAAACTACAACTTCACAGTTGAGGAAATCAGTCACAAGCATTTGAGACAAACCTTGAATAAATGGGTTTTCCAGAATTACTCAATATAAAGAAATGTTTCTTCCTCTTTCTCCATGACATGGAAGCATCATCCTGCACTTCATTCGTACAAAGACAACATTACAATAGTACATTTCATAACCTACCTTTCTCTACAACTTGAGGAAATGAGTTAATGGATTACATTACGACATAAAGTCTGACTACGATCTTGAGATCTTTCGTTACAGTCCCAACAGTTCACCCCTGTTACTTACCCTCTTCGCTTTTTCTTTCTTATGGCAGCTCTTCCAATCCAGGTAGGAAACTATTTAAGCAAAATTTTGTGGAAATTTGATCCAGAAGTTCAATTCCATACACCAAGCTCGAAGTGTTCATAGACCTTTACTACCAAGCAGGTCGAACGATTTCATAACTAGTCCAAGGAGCAGGAGAAAAAAAAAAAAAAAACAGAGTTACCTCATCAACATGCCGCTTCCCAGGAGTCCATTCTGCTTGCGAGTCCAGAGCACCATCAGCGTCACCATCATCATTCCCAACCTCCTCTATCTCGTCTTCCTCGCTGCCTTCTCCAGCTCCCGAAGAGCTACTTGCACCGCTGCTACCTCTCTCACCAGCATACCCACTGCTGCTCGGACTGGCCGGCGCCTCCACCTCCGAGTTCGCCCTCCTCCACACAACACCGCCATCCTCATCGGCAGTCACGCCAAGAGCTATTATCTCCTCTCGATGGCTGCCGTCCCGGTGACCATTATTCTCGACATTGACAACACCACCAATTGATCCATTTCCAGAATCCTCCCCTTGCTGCTGCCGCTGCTCGGCCACAGATGCTGATACGGATGCTTCATCGGAGCCATCTAGAGTAACCGAAGATTGAAATTGGCTCTCGAGTGGCTGAGGTTTAAGCTTAGGGTTTGGATCGTCGGAGGCGGAGGCCGACGAGGAAGAGCTGGAATCAGAAGACGACATGGATAACAATTATTACTGATAATTTGGCAAGGAGGATAGAGAGATTGGCTCCCCGGCAGTTACAGTGTGTTTTCACGGAAAGTCTAGCAGTGCCTGCGATGGCGGTTTCTCGAGGCTCTCTGCTAACGGACAGACGATAGAGACGGGGTGGAAGAAGACGATCGGCTTGACTCCGAGACCAGTAGTTGGATTCTGGAATTGGAGCTTCCCCGGATCCAGTTCCGGGTTCAGTCGTTTCGGGTCGCCTGGGAAACGACAGCTGGAACGGAACGGGACGCCGTGGACTGTGGAGTGGTTGCGAAATGAAATGGTCCCCAGTTCATGGGCTTCCGTGATGCGGCCCAATTGTGTGAAACGGATTCGGAAGACTACTGGGTATTCGGCCCACTACGTAAGTATGTGCGGTATGATTTGGGAAAGGAGATTAGATCATAGAACAGAAAAAAGGGCCTATGGAGGTCGAAGTTCTGGTCAAAAGGGAAATTGGTTTTTTACACGTGTCAAAAAAAAAACTCCGAAAACAACGTCGGTCGCCGCCTGTCTTCTTTCCGATTGATCGTACCAAAACATCAAAGGGTAAGTACGTACTACGTCTCCCCGTCTCAGGTAGTCTAGTCAAGAAACCGACACGTAGAAGGAACAATCCACGTGGCCATGCAGGCCTGACACGTGTCGATCCACCTCCACCCCACGTGGGGTTCTTGTTCCCGATATTTATCCAAAACAAAAACCCTTATAATCAATCCAAAGAAGCTTCTCCCCAGTTCCTCTCGGCCCTTATTACCAACACTCAAATCTCCACCACCTTCGCAACCGAATTCTGCTTCTCTTCCGATCTCAAAAACAAACCCAAAACCATGACCAACATTTTGTCGATATTCCTTGTGCTGGCCACATTGCTGGCCGCGGAGATCTGGTCCCCACCTCTGCCAGCGGCAACATCGACGTCAGCCGCCACGGAGGCTGAACAGGTTCACCACCGTGAAGAAGACGTGATTGTCAAGGAAGGACACCGAATCGTGGTCGTCGAGACATTCGACGACCACGTCGGCCACCACAACACCAAAATCTCCATCTCCCCATCCAAGGACCAGCCCGGAGGAGACGAAGCCGCCCTGCCCCTCTTCGGCGGCCATGCCCCGGGGGAGCTCATTTGTGATGCTTGGGGGAAATGCACACACAAGGTGGCCAAGGCCTTCGGAGACGCCAAAGACCGAGCCTTCGGCTCGGTCAAGGAGCCAGCCGAAGGAGCCAAGCACGGTGTTTATGAAACCGCACATCAAGCCACCGAGAAGGCCTCCGAGCTGGCCGAAGGAGCCAAACATCGAGTGTCCCAAACCGCGCATCACGCCACCGAGAAGGCCTCCGAGCTGGCCGAAGGAGCCAAACATGGAGTGTCCGAAACCGCGCATCGCGCCACCGAGAAGGCCTCGGAACTTTCTCACGGAGCCAAAGACACGGGTAATTTCACATTTTTACCTCCAATTGGGTCACTTTTTCAATCCAACTATTGTTTTTTTTTTTTTTTTAATGTTGAATCTTACTATTGAAAATTTTCAGTAGGCAGAGCTGCGCATCAAGCCAAGGAAAAGGCTTGGGAGATCGCACATGAAGCCAAGGACACAGGTGGTTTGATTTGATTATGTTCAATTCAAGCTTCCAAATTAAGTAGCACATTTCAAATTCCTCCTCTTTTTTGCTGAAAGTTTTTGCTACAAAATCTCAGTAGCCAGAGCAACACACAACGCCAATGAAAAGGCTTCGGAGCTCGGACAGGAAGCCACGGAGAAGGCGTCCCAGGCCGCCCACGGAGCCAAAGAGACCGTCTCGGATGCCCTCGACAAGGGCAAGGAGACCGCGTCCGAAGCCGCGGCGAAGGCAAGGGAAGCAGCAAAGGGAGTCTATTCCAAAACCAAGGAGACTGCCACCAATTCGGCAGGGGAAGTCAAGGACCTAGGCAAGACGATCGGCAGCGACGTAACGCGTAACGTGTCGGAGGGCATGGTGGATGATACCAGCAGCAAGATGCATAAGGGCGGCGGCGGCAGCGAAATGGGGAGGATCGCGGCGGCCGCCAAGTCGCTGGGCGGGGCGCTGAGCCTGTTGGGTCTGTCGACGGCGTTCGGGACCAGCGTGTGGGTGACGTTCATCTCGAGTTACGTCCTGGCCAATGTGCTGCCGAGGCAGCAGTTCGGAGTTGTGCAGAGCAAAGTGTACCCCGTTTACTTCCAGGCCATGGGCCTGTCCACTGGGCTGGCCCTGTTGGGCCACCTATTGGGCCGGGGGAGTAATTTCGTCTCGGCCAAGTCCGAGATGCTCCAGGCCTTCAATCTCGTTGCCGCCATTGCGCTCGTGGTCGTGAATGGAATGTACATCGAGCCCCTCGCGACTAAGGCGATGTTCGAGAGGATGAGGATCGAGAAGGAGGAAGGGAGGGGGAGAGGGGAGCAGACGCAGCAGCACCAGATGGCGGACGCAGGGCCGGCGGCGGCGGGGGCTGAGCTGGCGGAGGGGGATGCGGAGGAGGAGAAGGAAGAGGAGGAGACGAACTCGAGGCTGTCGAGGTTGAACTCTAGGGTGAAGAGGCTGAACTCGTATTCGTCGTGGCTGAACATACTGACGCTGATGGCGCTGACATGGCATCTCGTGCACTTGGGGCACGCTCTTCATGCGGTCGCGAGCTGAATCTGTAGCAACAAGGCGGGGGGGAAATGGTGTTTCTGCTTCTTTCTTTTTTTTATGTGGGATCGATGGGTTTCTGAATGTAAATAGATGGGTATAGTTTTCCGTTTTTTGTATGTTCATCGTAGAAAATGAAGTACATAGTGGATGTGTTTTCTTTCATTTGCGGTGGTTTAGAGTTTGGAGTTTGGACACAACAAAAAAGCGAACTGTCGGTTGAATCCTCGGCGTGCGTATTTGTCGTTGTTGGGCAATTCTGCACCTACATGATTTTTCTTATGGCAACGTTCATAAGCCCAAAACTGAGTAGACTAGGGAGGGACCGACTCGTAGGACGGAAAGTATTGGCCCATGGGCCATGGCCGACAGGGTGCGCAGCAAAGTCCAAAAGAGTGGGCCCATTATATCAAAGATATGGCAAAATTGGACATGCCAAAAAAGAAATAGATTTTAGCCACAATTTTTACCTAACTCTTAGCTCAAGTTTTTACGAAAAGAGATATTGTCTTTGACTCTTTCTGAAATAAGAAATTTCCTTTTTTTTTACATATTCATGGTCTCAACTCTCAAGTTCAAGTAGTTCGAATTAATTATAAAAGAAAAAACATTTATAGGAAAAAACTAAAGTTCATGTTATATTGAGCTTTTGTCGACCTACAAACTTATCCTCTTTTTTTTTGTTTTGTTTCTTATAGGATATTTTTAGTAGTGGAAAGGAAAGGATGGGAATGGAAGGATAAACATTAATGATGCGGGAAAGTTACGTATAAAATACGTACGAGTATTATACTTCGTCTCTTGGCTAATGTTACGTTTCATAGTACATTAATAGTCATAAATATATAAAATCAATTATTTTTATAAGTAAATAAACATGTAAACAAATAGTAAAGTTATTAATTTATTTTATTAAATATGGATATTAAACGTGTTATACGGGTTTTGATACGTGTTTAATATGGAAACCGTCAAATGAACGGAAACTAATGAAACGGCTTGATAATAATATAGAGCTTCTGTTTGCAAGAACATTTAGATGGGTTAACACGAAATCATTTTGTATGGGTAATGGAGAAAAATACAAATTAGGAAGAGAAAAATGTTTAAAAAAAATGAAAGAAAAAGGAAATGACAACATCATGTCAACACTGTCTCACACGGAAACCCAAAGCCCAAAAGGAGGAGGCCCATGAAGGAATATTAAATCTCCATCAGTGACGCCCAACAAAACGACAGATGGAAACACATACTAAACGACACAAGCCATGGCCCCGCAGATCCGACGGTCCCTATTATTTCCCTTTTTCTCTGTGTTTTTTCCCCTGCAAAAGTAAAAAAAGAAAACGAGAGCGAAATAAAGAAGAAAAGAGAAAAAGAAGCGGTTGTCAAATCTTTCAACGTTTCCCTTGAAGGACAGGACTTTGGCCTTTTAATCCAAATTTTGTTGGTACCTACAAAGTTCATTTCGTGTCTAATTTGGTCCCCAAACATTATCGACGCGCTTTCACAACTACGTATTTTATACCGTAATTTGCAGATTACATGATCTATATGTATCGTTTACGTCTAGTTGTAATCCACAAAATGCTATGGGATGTCTCCGAGTGATGAATTATGTATATACGGGGAAAAAATGATAAGATGCAATCATTACAAGGTAAGAAGATGTAAATATGATGAGTGGGTTGGATGTTCAGATTTATGTTAAATTAATCGAAGGGATAATTAATTAGTTGTGGCATTAATTAGCATGTGGAATCTCAATTATAATTTTTTTTTCGGCAGGTAGCTTCCAATAATATGAAATTGCTCTATGAAACAAATCTAGCGTGGATAAGTAGGGATATGTAACATGTCCACAAGGTAGTTGCACTAGTGGCCATTCAAAATAATAGGAGATCATCAATAAATAATTAGTTTTTTTTTAAACTTTGTTAACCTCGATAGGAAAAATGTTTATTGTCACAATAAAAGACTTATGCCAACACAAACCTTCCTCTTCCTGTTTACCATCTCCAAATAACAAACACAAAAAAATCTGAAGAGTTTTCGCTTCCACGTTTTGTTGGAACTTCAGAATGGACACTTTGTAAACGGATTTCTGCGCACAATATGCTCACCCCCTTAGCGCGATTATGGATTACCGTACTTAGACCATGCTTCAAAGACACATCAGCAACCCTAATGCCATTTAACTACACTTGAAAACCTACTCAACCCCCAAGATTTCACGTGAGAGTTCTGTAATTTCCAAGTCATTTGGCATATTTTGATAAGCTCCCCCAATAAAGTTCTCATCAAAGTTTAATGTTTTTTTCCCCCATATACATTTGCTCTGTTTTCTGCATGCAAAACCCTAATCTTTTATAATAGTTTCTCTCAAGATCCAATATCTAATAAGATTGTTATCGATGTTGCTTAATGAATCAAACCTGCCTGCCCCCCACCATTACAAGTTTACCACTCAAGTTTATTCTCCACCATTAAGAAAGCAAAAGAAGAAAGAAAGCACTTAAAATCTATCCACTTCCACTTAAACATCTTTCTCCTTTTTGGGTTCTGTTCTGAATTGATCTCCTTTTGGTGGGATCTTTTTTTTTTTCTCTCATCAGTCACCCACTTTACTCAATCCAATTAAGTTCAACACTGCCCACTCTGCAAGCATCTTTTGATTAAAAAATGATGTGCCATTCAAAAGCTACTAATTCTGGTCTTTGACATCGCGATCATGTCGGAAGAGAACATCTCATGAACTATATGTTCGAACCTTGCGATTAATAATCAATCAGTGACGAAATTATGATTTAAAAATGAAAGGAGGCTACTTGTAAGAGATCGCGCGACAACTTCTTATTATCTACATACATATTGGAGGGAGGAGGAAAGCGGAGACTAACAACCTTTTCTCCTGACACTTTCTATTGTTTTCGTAATACATACACCATGATCTAAAAACAATTACCGATGAAGTGTTGTAGTGACGTATTCTTCTTTTGGACTACATGTATTTTAACACTGGCCGTCACTCAAAGTAGCAGATTTGTGTTCAATAGCATCAAAGCACTTAATTGAGTCACGATTGAATGTATTTCTAATTTCAAAATTTTGAGTTCGGACGCATTTCCACTACACGAGATCCTGCGGTTTTAAATCCAAAAGGCCAAATCAAACATATTCAAATAAATTGATTGTATCCGAGGGTTAAAGTTACAATGTATGTTAACTTCAATCACTACCCTTATTGTGTATATTATAATGAACAAGATTTACTTGGATTGAAGGGAATTTACATTAGTTTAACATACAAGTTCTTAGTTGGCAGGCGGTGGAGTATTTTATGCATTGTCCAAATCATTTTTAATATATGAATTGCATTATCATCACCCTTCTACGAACACATAATAATAGTTTATGTCATATGCGGTTTAGATTTCCTTGAACAAATCGAACCTTAATATTCTCAATTAGCAAGACAGCCTTATCCCCCACACACACTTCCACTAAGTTCTTAATTACGATTTTTGCTTCCTCTCCCTTATCCTAGGCAGATTTAAGAAAAAGGTTTGGCCAACTAATCTCGTGATTAAACGTGGTACATTTTTTTGAAAATGTAAATCCCTAAAGCAAAGGGATTGATATGCCAATTCTTTTGGTGGATGTTAACGTTATAGCTTCTTTTTTTTTTTTTTTTTTTTTGCCTTTGGCATAGGGCATATGGAGTAATTCAAAGGGAAGAAAGAATAGTCATTTTCTCCATGTAAATACTTCTTCTTCTCCCTTTACCAACCCCTTTACATCAATTCAAAACCCACACCCCACCATTTTCATGGCTTTGCTTGAAGACTTCTCTTTCTCCCAATTCTAGTGCCCAAGTGGGAACAACCATCATCGTGAATAGACATCGCGTCAGATTAAATAATTTGCATTTTTATCCATCAAATACACATATTTATCCTTATCAATGAATCACCAAGAAGTAACAAACATACTCTAATTACATTATAGCAATCCTACGATATCAGTACATACTCGATCGATATCATTAGGCGAACAAACCCTCTAGCCATACCGCCCATCTTCTTCAACTAATTCAACCTCCACACTCAACAAACAAAGAAGACTTCAAGCACAATACTACCATTGACCAAATAGAGAAGCAAAGGTGATGATAATGAGTGGGAAAGCTATTAAATTATAATAACTTGTGTAAAATATTTGGGATGTAATATTAATAATAACGATACAAATAATTGATGAAGTTAGCAGATTGATTAAAAAATCCAATCCCCTTCGTCAATTGGAATTATAAAAAGGCAACAAAATTGAAAGGAAGAAAAAAAAAATACCCCATCTACCGACTACCGGCCTCCTGTCACAATCCCCTCTCTCTATAATACCAACAAAAATACAAAAAGTTGAAAACAATTAAAATGCAAGTTAATAATTATTCCCCCCTCTAATTAGTTCCCAAAAAAAAAAAGAAATGGGAAATGGAAAATTTCAGTCTTGGAACCCAGTTTTCTCCCAAATTGCATTCCGGACCCTACTCAGATCCCTCCCTTTCAAAGTCCTCCCCACGCCTTCGTGGACGGAGAACGACGCGATCCTCGTCCTCGCCATCTGCCTCGCCAGGAACTCGTGCGGCGGCACCCGCACCCCGCCGTCGCCGTCCAATTCCTCGTCCTCCTCGTCGTCGAAGGGATCCCTGCTGCGGCGGTTCTCGCGGTACTCCTCCTTCAGAATCTTCGACCAGTCCGGTATGTTGACCGGCAGCGACGACGCGGCGGACTTCGCCGCCGCCGCCGTTGACTTCTTGTTGATCCTGGACCCGACCTTCCGGAACTCCGGCGAGTCAGGGAGGTGGCTGTGGCGGTCGTAGACGTCGGACTCGTCGAGTTCGAAGTCGTGGTGGTGGTGGCTGTGGAGGTGGTGGTGATGGTGGTTCTGATCGAGGAATCGGTAGTTCTGCCTGGCTAAGTAACTCTTACTGGCCGCCATTGAAATCGGAAAGGAGAAGAAGAAGAAGAAGATTGAGAAGCTGATAAGATCACACACAAGAGTCTGCGGATTGAAAGTTCCAATTCGTTCTAATTTTAGGGATTTAGTTTCTTTCGATTTGGGGATTTTTTTTTTTTTTTGGTTTGGGCTATGGAGTGTTCTTCATTCGGCTTTGTTTCAGGGAAGGCAGCATTTCGAGCTCCTTTTTATAAAGGGTGTGGGGGGTTGCAATAAATGGATAAGATTGGCTGGCTTGCCTTTTAAAAATATTTTTATTTTTCTTCGAATTAAAGTTATGGATTTACTTGCATACCCCTGATGAAAGCGGAACGTACGTGTCTTTTGGATAGTCCACAAACGGAATTTCCCGCCCCCGGTATTGTATAATGTATATATAATATAACCTTCCTGGGATGTGCCGTTTCACCGCGGCGAAAATTACAAGCAGTCGGTCTTCTTCTTCCCTAAGAACTTACGGAGAAAAGGGAAGAACAGAAAAAGGTCGTATATTTATATTTTCTCAAGGTTCGTTTTTATAGTTATTTTAATTAGAAGGATAAAAGGATAACACACTACCATATTAATTTGTAAATGAATGTTATTACGTGTAAATATTGGTTTATTTTGTTTTATTATTAGGATATAAACCGATGTTAGAGAGTGAAATAAATGTAAGATGATCTATTTTTCGCGCACGTATTAGTTCTATATTTTGTACATATGTGTAGTGGAGTCTACCAATGTTAATCAAATATACACAAACATGAAATTGTGATGGAAGATATTTATGCACTTAAATTAAAACTGAGGATGATAAATGCTTGATTTAATAAGTATAGAAAAACCTTAATACACCAACACCATTGACCACTAATACCTTACCCTCAACATCCTAACCCTAAACCCCATTAAAGAAAAAAAAACCCAACCTCGTTTACCCTAACAACCTAAATGTATAACTAACCATAATAGCCTAACCAAATGCCCTAACCTAACCATAAATACCTACCCTCCTTAACCCAAGAAACCAACACATTAAATATCAACAATAAAGAAAAGAGGAATGAACTTACCATTTAGGTTAATAAGTAGATCATATGTAAAATTAAGATAACATATAACCCGAAAATAAAACCTTGCATCAATTGCCATTGCATGGTTGGAATCGTGAGTACAAGAAAAAAAAAAAGAGAAGACGAGGGACAATCAGTTACCAGGACTGATGCCTCGACCATCTTTACGTACCAACATTAGACGAAGAGAGAAATACAGGAGGGGGGGGGGATTTACGAGAAAAAAACATTATCTTTGAGAAAGTAAACTCGGTCTCGTAACAAGTTGAATTCGATCGTAAAATTCGAAAGCGAGATAAATCACGACATATATTTCATTGGTGGGAGTGGAAGGATGATGGAAGAACTTTCATCTAAATTTGCCACGTGGATTCCGCTGCAGCAGTTCCTCGTAACGCAAAAGTAAAATTGTGAAAAAAAACGTTAGTTGCCAGTCGACATATTGCCCTAGAGGGAGGGGTAGTTACGGAAATCTACAAAAAGCTTCCCTCCATTTTAAGTTTTAACCCTGGGACAAAGCCGAGTTTACACGCGTTAAAATTCCTTTAACGACACCGGGTTTTTTGTCGCGACCCGAGGCCCGAAGGCCCAAACAGAAGGCCGGGGAAGGGGTTCCACCTGGGCCTGGGGCCCGGAGGAAAAGGACAAATGCGGTCCCCAATCCCTTCTTTCAACCAACGGCCTGTGATATTGACACGTGTGAAAGTGGCTTACTCATCGGGTAACACGTGGAGACGTCTCCGTTACGCTTATGGGGTTTCGATGGCGAGTGTCACGTGAAGTGGTATGTGTGTGGGACCCACCATCCGACTTGGATCTAGCGCGCACTTGCCAGCTGGACCCTCTCAAATACGACAACGCAAATTTTCATCCACCTGGAATAAAATTACCCACTGATTTATTTACACCGTTTCCCTAGATATTTCAATGTAGGAAAAGTGGAAAACGGTTTGTTGTACAATTTGTACCATGGAAAAAAATTGGTGCAAGTTACATTTGACTTTAAATCTAGAAACTTCTGATTTTGAAGGAGGGACAATGGAAGAGGGGGGGAAAAATATTTGAAGTTAATTATCATATCTGGGAGTGGAAAAATTGCCAAATCACCTTTTCATGTGAGGTGAAAAAAGATAAAAAAGAAAGCCATTCTATATCTTTTTATTCCTCCTTATGTTTGGATTGGACTGCACCAAACCGAGTATAATATGGTTCGATCGTTGGTCTCGGAATTTTATAAATATCGATCGTATAATCTAGTTATTCGCAGTGTGTATCAATCATTGATCAATACTGAATTTCTTGAAAATTTATGATAAAAAAAAAATAAAAGAAACTTATCTTGCCATTCAGTTATGCATAGTATAATAATTGGGAACCTATAATCTCTATTGATTGAAGAAGGGGTGATGTGTCTTATATTCTGGCCAGTAAAAGAATATGGCCAAAGATGGGTGCAGTGCATCTTTTTATTTATTGGTATCTATTTATGAATTTATCTATCTTGTTCAGGTTCCAATCAATCCCATTAAATTAATTACAAATTAAAGCTCCCTTAATTATTTTATTTACAAAAAAGAAAGGACGAGATAGAAGAAACCCGAAAATAGTTCGACAACACATACTAAGTGCGGGAGTGAAATTTATTAATATTTGATGGATAGAACATAAAATTTAAAATTGCAAAATCTATAAAATGCTGGATTTTATTTTTAAGTGTATTGCAGTGTGATACGATCATATCAGAAAGTAATACAATTCATATTAGAAGTGCTAAGAATATAAGCTTTGCAAGCCATGAATTTTTGTATCGTAACTCAGACTTTAATATATTATATATATATATGTTTAATATGGTTCTCCGCGTAGGTAGCTTGGCCACTAATTTTGAATCGAATAAGTCAATAAAAACGACACTTGGTTCAAGGTTCCAACAAAGAGAACACACAGAGAGACGAATTATAAAAACAGGGAATAAGAGTTATTAACTATAATATTACAATTGTCTTTGGCTTTGATGGAACAAGAAAACAACATGTATTTGATAACTTTCGGATATATTCTCGTATGCGTTCATATGATTCGATCAAATAAATTATACGGCAAATTACATCTGGTGAATAACAAATTTCATTCTTTAGTACTATGATTAGTGTCGGTCCAAGAACCTAATTTGATGATTATATACATTTTGAACGTTGTTATGACCTAAACTATATACTATTAAATCGACCGACCCCTATAATAAATAATATACATTGCAAAGGATGTTAGGGAACAAGCACAAAACGAACTATCGATTGAAAATTGAAAACGTACTTAGGATTACTTTAAGAAAATGTATGAAACGCCGCAACATACCAATTGAGTTTTTTCCCAGTGTGAATGACTCACACGAACGCCCGCATGCAAACCAACCCTTTTAAAATTTCGTATAAGAAAGAGATTAGCCGCTCACAAATATATCGATATCGACGCGTATCGTCCCTCTAAATGTGGTTTCGTAATACAACCTCACCGAGTATTATCAACCGCGTTTGGACCAAATACGGTACTGCTTGTCACAAACCCTTACTTTCGTAGATAACATTACCATTTACCACATCAATCCAATAATATGCCACCACAAGCCTAATAATGAACACATCCGCGTCGTCAGAATTGGATGATCTGTGTTTTTGTTTCAGTCGATTGATCGATTGATTGTATAGAGTGCATGTATGCAGCCGATCGATCACTGCAGCAGCAGCAGCAGGAGGAATGGAGACCTGCTCTGCTGCAGAATTTCTGAGGAAAATTCTATGGCAGTAGAGATTTAATTAAGAGAAAAAAAAGAAAAAGGAAGAAGAAACGTAACCCTAAACATTGAATGAACAAAGTGAGGTGGTCTGGGAGTTGGGGAACTTTGGCTCTGTCAAAATGATGAACCCAATGCAAATGCAAAACCCTCTCCCTTTCTTTTGGAGGTCCCAAAAGGAGCCACCGGAGAGAAAGATAAAATAATAATTGGCAACGAAGGAAAAAAAAAAAAGAAGCTACGATTCTTATTGTGGTTCATTGCATTTGTCAAAAGTTTTTCTATATATATATGGATACAAAATAATAATTGTAACAATAATTGTGGATCGGTATCGAGAATCTTATCGTATTCGTCATACATGTTTTATTTTGTTTCTGTTATAAACGCGATGCTACGGATCGGGAAATCGCAGGAATCGACAAAGCAAGAAAACGAAAGCGAGAATCGAAAACACGACACACGATTTACGTGGTTCACTAACACGACGTGTGTTAGCTACGTCCACGGGCGAGAGAGAGAGCCAGTTTCACTATATCGAGGAGATTACAGATTACAGAGGAGTATGAGAAGTATTTATAGTACTTCTCCATGTGGGTCTAAACCTAATCCAATCTGACAAAGGAAACGGTTACAGACCAGGTCCAGAACCCGACCCAAATAACATTGGAATCAAATATAAGTTGGTGGGGATGTTAAACGTGGATATCTAACAATTTATTTACAAGGCTCAAATTCGTATCTACTCTAACTGTTATAAACGCGCTGCTACGGATCATGAGACCCCCGATTACCAGTCGTAGCGGCTGATAGTCCGATTCAAGTCACATCAACAGTTTCTTTTTGGAAGTGGTTGATTTAGTTTACTCCCTCTATAATCTATACAGTGAGCCTTATATTAAACAATTTAGACGAGTAGTTAAAAAAATTCTCGAAATCCTACGATGTAAACTTGTATACGCGCGCGCACCCGATAAACATTCATCGCCGTACCAACTCTAACTTAGTGTTTGGAATAAGATAACTGAAACTGTGCTACCGTGGAATGGGATGAAGTTATGAACAAAGCAGAAAAAAAGAAAACGTTATCTCCTTGATTTCCTCCATCCAATTACGGCATGGCGCAACACTGCCATAGAAAACGACTCAACTCAGAATGACATATTCTTTGGTTTATCCATCCAACGATTGAATTGAAGGCAACACCACCAACCACTACAGTGAGTCGTTTTCAGTTTTTTTCACAAAAGGAATGGCCAATAGTCGCTTATGCAATCCCTTTCAAAGCCTTTGAAAAACTGCTGAATTTCGATATATTACATTGCATATGGCCCTTCCTTCCATCATCAGACTTTGCCCACTATAATTGAAGAAAGGGGTAAAGTTTTGAGGTAATCATGGCCCTATTGTACTGGCTGGAACCCAATCTGCAGTTTTTTTTTGCATTATTTACAATCATGGTGCTTGCCAAAAGCTCTGCATATGATGGAAGGGTTCGTGCTTTTTGGGGATGGACAACTGATGTTTCCAGCTGACAAAAATGCTTGAAATCCGCCGATTCAATTGGGACTTTTATACCAATAGTTTATTTAGGTAATAAACCAATTCGTCCTAATAATTTTGAATGATTTAGAGAGGTCAATGTAAGGATTAACCACTTCTTCACATGTTATGCGTTTGTAGTTCACACAAGTCTGTCATATACCCATCTGTTTTAAAGACAGACAATTAATGTTGGGAGCGATCGATGCATGAATCATCAACAATTTCTTAACACGAATCTTAAAACCCCGCACCCTGATTATTCACCGTCACAAAAATGCGATTTATTCGGTCGATTGCCAATAGCAACTTAATAAACACATTCTTGAAAAGCTTGGGCGCGAAGGTAGGAATCGATTAACTATCGTTCTAACGACGCGCAGGCGAACGAACGCGAGAAATTTACTGATACCGATTGATATCGACCCTTCTTTTTTTTTTTTTTTTTGGTAAGAGTTCTCGGACCGTTGAATTGCTCTTCAACGACATGCATCGAAACGGTCAATAACACTTGCAACATTTACAAAACCAACTGTGTCAACACATCCTGACTAACCCCTACTAGGCTACTTACTACTACTACTGCTGCTGTGACTGTGAGTGGGATTTGTGGCAAAAAGGTGACCTCCAGATGGATCTATCGCCCACTGAACTGAAGTTTCTTACATTTTCGGTGGAGGGTTCATAATCGTGACCATGAATTCCATGATATTAATAATATAGCGAAAGAGACACTGGAGAGTGAGACAGCAAATTCATGCATGAAAAAAGGAAGTGAGGCCCCCAATCGGCCCCGCAGCTTTCATAATCCATATCTATCTATCGTTCGTCTTCGACATTGCAGAAGTTGGGATATCTATTGCCAACTTGCATCCTAATCTCTACTCACTACTAATCCTGTCCCTTGACTGTCGCCAAATCCCACAATCTCAAAAGGCCGGGCATGCAGACGGAGCCATGATCAGACGTTTTTACCTTCCAATGGTGAATTGCTTAATAATGCTAATGCAAATGCAAAGGAGAGCCAAGCCATTATATATTCACATGAGAGGAAATGAGATAATGAAGAGCTAATGAACAACCGAATCGAGCTGTCGGTTTATAACCGAAACCGATAACCGATAAGCTGTTGTCAGTCTCGGTTGTGGTTGACTGATTTTGACCTTTACGCTAACCGAAATCGTCGGTTACAAACCGAAATACTTTTGGTGCACCGCTATAACCGGCGATTCCTCTCCCCCCTCTTCTGCATCGCCAATTCGCCTTACACTCCAGACCTCTCCCTCTCTTCCTTCTACAAACATGTCCCTCTACCTTCCTTTACTTCGACATACCCAACTCTTTCCTTCCCCAGACCTCTCCCTCTCCCTTCCTTCTCGAAACATCTCCCTCTCCCTTCCTCTACCTCGCCATCCCCAACTCCTTCCTTCCTCTAACTCGTCACCCCCCTCGCTCCTACTCCCAATCCAGAGGTCGATTTCGGAGTGGCGATGACCTCCGCCTTGCATGTTTCAAGAGGTAACGGATTCAGATCCACGCCTCTGCCTCTGCCACCAATCAAGAACTCCGACCACGTATGCTCGTCGTCGCTCTTCCTCTGCCTTTGACGACGGATTTAGATCCAAATCCTCCTCCCGACGCTCTCTCCTCTTCCTCCCTCATCTACCTCGATTCGCGGACTCAGATTTGGATTTGACACCCACGTATGCTCGTCGTCGTCCGTCATCTGCCTCCGACGGGTCTCTCTTCTTCCTCTGTCGATGGTTCAAAATTGGGATTTTTCAGTGACATGCATAGCGATGGTGGTGGTCAGAGGTGGTGTGCGTCGGTCTCTGAATAACCGTCGTTTGAAACCGAAACCGACGGTTGCGGTTATCGGCTAACCGATGGTGCCGTCGGTCGCGGTTGCGGTTGCTGATGTTGCCTCTTTCTCGTTGTCGGCTAACCGACTTTGCGGTTCGGTTAAAACCGAAACGCACCGCTAACAGGCCTTCTGACAAGGTTAACGTGAAACTCGTCAAGTTTGAAGGCAATACTGGCAACAGAGTATCGTGGTAGTATTTGTTTGCCACCACGAAATATGTATAGCTACATTGCATCAGAAAACAATGCTCGAATCCTCAAACAAGCAAGCAATAACCAGAGGGAGAAATGAAAAGGAGAAAAATAAAAGCAGCTGCACAAACGTAGAGTAATAATTCTACCTAAATGTTGCTGTTTGTATGGAAAATACACAAGCATAAATGTCTTGAGGAAGGAGTTGGATTCCGAGTTTGCTCAACTTCCAACAAGTAATCTATAGGTATAACAAGAAACAATGAAATCACACCGATACATCTTAAAACCAAATCATCGGTTTTCCTTCTATATCTCTAAAGTCTAAACCATCACACATCACAATCGCACGGATACATCTGGCAGGTAAATCGGAAAGTTTTGGAGCTGTTAAGCAGTCCGGAGAACCACCGACCCGAGAAGAAGGAGCAGCAGACTAGAGCTAAAGGTTCCACAGTGCCAGAACAGGGAACACAGAGAGAACAACTACTGTTCAAACCAAGCCACGGTCAATCTTACTCTTACAGCTTCCTGGTAATACTACTCAAACGATCAAAAGGACCTCATATCATCAATTTTCCTTCTATATCTTAAAGCCATCACACACCACAATCGCACGGATACATCTGGCAGACAATACATATAATAGTGTTGAAGCAATTCAGAGAACTACAGACTCCAGCAGACAGAGCAACAAACTAGAGCTACTGGTTCCATAATGTCAGAACAGAGAACACAAGGAAAACAAGTGCAGTTCAATCCTAGCCAAGAGTAAGATTACACATAACCTCATCCAACCGCCGATCTTATACCTTTCTCACCAGTGACAGACGAATTGAACAGAGCAACAACAGCAAACAATTCAGAGATAGCAACACAGTCCACCGAGCTACTGGGCATATCATGGACCATAATCATGCCGCCACAGTTGAGACACTACCCATAATAAGCAATACAATAACTGATCAAAATGGCTACAGACAAATCATGGGAATTGGTCTAGTAATTGCCTCAACATGTAAACCAACTCAAAAAGCCATTCTCAAATATTCGAAACTACAATTCAGGCAAAACCCATATGTTCGTTCTCTTAGAAAACCGAAGAGGGAAACTATCCAAGACATAGTAGAGTAATAAAACGCTCACAGAATAAACTCTTACTCGAGGGGGACCTCGATTTCGCCATCAGTGATCTCCTGCTGCAAGTCCTTCGGGTCCTTCCCGTCAACCGTGCACCCGACCGAGACACAGGTGCCCAAAATCTCCTTAATCGTGCCGCTGAGATCCTTCGCCATCGACCTGGGGCTCATCACCTTTGCAATCTCAATCACGTCGTCGAGGGAGATGTTGCCATTATGCTTAATGTTTTTGGTCTTCTTCCGGTCCCTCTCTGGCTCCTTGAGGGCCTTGATCACCAGAGCAGCGGCGGACGGGACGACGGTGACCTTCGCCTGACGGTTCTGGACGGTGAGCTTGACTGTGACGCGGAGACCCTTCCAGTCCTTAGCGGTTTCCTTGGCGATGTCTTCTCCGATTTTCTTCGGGGAGAGACCGAGAGGGCCGATCTTGGGAGCGAGGGAACTGGCCGCGCCTACTTCACCGCCGGTGACACGGACGAACACGTCCACGACCTGCGATGGGTCAAACTTTGGAGGCATTGTTCTGCTGCGTTCTCCACTCGCGGCGACGGAGGGAAAGAGAGGAAGAGGATTAGGGTTTTACTGAATAGGAGCGATCGCAGCAGTGGAAATGGGGGAAAATAGCGAAGAATATATACTAGGGTTTTTTTGTTTTTCTCGGGCTGCAAGAGGGAAACAATTGGAGGCCCATAATCAAATATTGGTCGGGCTTGTTGTGTTCAATTTTGGGTGATTTCCTTCTCTTCTAGTAAACATTGGGCCGTATGCAGCCCACCCATGATAGGAAACGAAAACCTAAACCCTCTCTTCAATTTACTCCACAGATTGACCTAACTACTTACTTGGCGTTGGGGGCAATCACAATTGCTCATTTCTAACAAAATTTAGAAACACATAATATAGTTTTGTTACCATCCAACCATTCCTTTATGTAACAAACTTTGTGTTTCCTAAATTTTTGTTTCAAATTATCCCCAAATTTCGTCTATAAACAAGTTTCGTAATTTCTCTTAGTAAATAAAGCATTATTTCTCTAAATAATTTCTTTTTTTCATAAATCGAGAGAAGGGAAAGAAAAGATTTTGTCACTTGCTAGTTCCTATCTCATCAATATCTCTTTCTTCTCTCTTTCTCCATTGGAAAAATCATAGAGAGGAAGAGAGATTCACTCAAACAAAATAATTTTTTGCTCCAACTTAATCAAGTTAAAATGGCAAAAGAGACAATGAGAAGCACGAAAATGCCATTAATGGTTGCACCATCTCTACCTGGCTTTCAATTGAGATTTACTTCTTCCAACAATGGCTCTCCCAAGCTAGAGACGATCAGAGAGGAGAGAGCAGATTACGAGGAAGGCGGAACTAGTTGATTGTTTTCTTGTTATTTTTACTTATTTAATTTTGTGTTCTATATGCTATAGGTAAGGTGTTATGTCTTTCTGAATCCATTTTCCCTTGTTACGAAATGAGATCGAGAGACGTGTATTGAATTGTTGAAGTTGCCTATGCCACTGGACCTTAAAAGAGTCTTCGTGTTGGGCCGGAGTCTGTGGGCTTGGATTGGGAAACTAGCTGATCCGGCCCATACTTAAATCATGGGATTATGTTGTGACTGGTGGTGGTGGTGGGTGGTAGCCGGCATTATATTAAGATAGTACAGGCTGGATAATCAATTTCACAAAAATCAACTTTTTAATCATCATGTTTAATAATTCAAAGTTTCAAACAACTCCTGTCCATATATTTTTTCCCCCCATTTTTCTTTATAATTACAACTTTGGGTTGATTTGATTACAATTTTTTTTTTGGGGTCTATTTGGGAATCTCTTGTTCTCCATGTCCTTCCAAACTTATTTGTGAACTTTCTGTATACAGAGGGCTTAACCCTACTGTGACCTGGAATTAACAATTAATCAAAGCATATTCTTTTCCATTTCTGGGGCAGGTCATGGGAATAATTTGTAGTCACATGGAAGCTGATCATAATCTCTCCTTCTCTGTAATAACAATAATAACTTGGAGGATATTAACACGAAATGGAGGAAGACGAATAAAAGTTGTGTTGGTAAAAAAAAAAATAAAAGGATTTGCAATGATTTTGTTTATGCCTGGTAACCTCCCTCGTACTTCACGCCTCGGATGCTCTCCTTCTCCGCGCGGCCTTCCTTCCTGCACTCACCCAAGCGCCTTGCGGACCTAGTTGGTCCGTTAGCACTCCAACGCTCAAATCAGAAACTACTTTTTAGAGAGAGAAGTGATAGAACGATTCTAGTAAGAGAAGCAAAACTGAGTAAATGAGGTTCACCTACTCGACTATTTATACCTGAGGCGAGATCGACCGGTACACGTCGCTCTCGCCCTGTGTCAGACCCGCCATAAATGCATCGTACACCCCTGGCTCATGCGCCTCGACCATCTGGCACGTTGGTCAGAGGTCGAAGGCGCATGACATCATCTCTTCAGCTTTTCGTACACTTCCGACCGTTGTTCGCTTTTGTCTTACACGCCCTTCGCCAAGGGCCTGGTCCCACCTGTCTCTCATGCTGTCTTCAGCCGCCCAGGCTCAAGTCTGGGCGCCCTTCGGCCCAGTATTCCTGCCCTCATGGGCTTTCTCTGTCCCTTCGGTTGTGCCCGTGCCCCCGGTCCATAATAACTCATTTTGGGCTTTTCCTTTCTGGGCTGGCCCATGCTCGTTCCCCCAACAATTGCCCCCCAGTCAGGCGCCTAACACCCCAAGTTAGGAGCCTGACTGTGTCCCTTCTTTTTCTTCACCCCTACTTGGACCTGCGCCTCCTCGGACCTGCGCCTGCTCCACCATCCGCCTGTGCCCATGTGCGCACGCGTTCCTTTCCTCGTTATTCCTTGCTTATTTATCTATATATATATATAATATATATATACATTTTTTATTCTTTATTATTTATCCATGCTTTTTGCCCGGTTTCCGCCTCTTTTTCCGTGCCCTGCGTCCCTTGCGATTCCACTCTCTTCCCTCCCTCTAATCCGCTCGCGTTTTGAAATTCAAATTTCGAAAATCGGGAGTGGATTGGAGAAGTCTGTTCGCCTCCCCTTCCTCTCTCTCCTTCGCTCGCCCCTCTTCGCCCTATAAATTTCTTTCTTCCCCCTCTCCTTCAACATAATTCACAGATTTCCTCTCTCTAGTTTTCCCTCTTCTCCTTCGCTCGCAACTTTTCCTTCCCCACACGCCTCGCCTCGCTATGGCTTCCTCCCGTCAAATCCCCATCAGCACGAATGCGCCTTCTACCGAGGCGTCTGCCCCTAATCGCGAATCTTCTCCCCCTTCTCCCGAGGCGCCTCCCACTTCCTCTGCACCACCGCAACCCCAGGCGCCCGTTGTTCGCGACGCCACGAATGCCCCTGCAACCCCGGCTACATCGAGTAAGTCTTTCTTCATGCGCCTTCCTTGTTATGCTTGGATCCTTTGCACTCAATTCCTTCAACATGTTTCTCACCGCCAATCATAGGATTCAGGCACCCCCCTTTTTTAGCATAGAGCTAAAGCGCCCCCTACACACTCCGTCACCTTACACCTTGCCCCTTCCTCTTACTCAGGCGCTCCCGTGTCCCAAGATTACATGTTTCGGCCCTGGGACTCGATGTGGCCTCCCGGCTATGCGCCTCGAAACACTTACCTGTTGCCCCTAGAAGAGGCCGGCCCACATCACGCCTCAAAACAACTAGGGGTGCGCCTAGAAAAATTGGTCGTATGCGCGCAACTACCTGCGCCCTGGAGATACATCCATGCGCCTCCCGAGGCGCGGATCGGGTTGTGCGGAGAGGGATGGGTGGGCTTATATCAAGAATTCATCCGATTTGGCCTACGCTTCCCCATCGAGCCCGTCCTTGAGGGCGTCATGGTTGCTTGTGCGTGTCCCCTCGCACGCCTTTCTCCTTCCATTATTTTGTCCACCATTGCCTTCCGCTATCAGTGTCGAAGACACAATGTGCCCCCCACCTTTAGACTTTTCAAACACTTTTTTAAAATGATCAGAAGTGCCAACTGTCTGATCTTACAAAGGCGCAAGTTAGGGTACGGGTTCATCAGCAGCTGCCGGAAGATGGGGCGCTCGTGGTTTGACTCGTTTTTCTTCGTCAAACCTCGTGAGGTGCCGTTCTTCGAGAGCGGGCGCCCTGTGAGTTCGGAGTGGTCGTTGGGGAACCTCTTTGAATTCAACAAAGTGGAGACTCTAAGCCAGGCTGAGCTAGACATGGCGAGGAGTATATCGGCCCACCCCATTGATCTCGATGCCGGGGATGATTACGCTTATCTTCTCGCCGACTTCTACGGCGACGGTACTGACTATGCGCCTTCTCAGAGGCTATGCGTCTCCTCGTCAGCTATGCGCCTTTGATGTATTTGGACTAACTCGTTTCTTTTCTTGGTACAGGGACTGACTTCACCTCGGTGACGAACCTGATAAAGTCAAAGCTCGACCGCCTCCGCAACGCCAACATTGGCCAAGGCGCTCCCGCGTCCCAGGCGCCTCGTCCGGCCAAGACGCATCCTACGCGGCTAAGGGTGAAAAGACCCGCCGCTGAGGGCACTTCTTCAAGGGGGCGCACTGCCTCGCCTTCTCCGGCCGCTCCCGAAGGGGAGGCGGCTGTTCGTGACTCTCCTGCATCGGATCATCAGGCCTCGTCTGCCTCGGCCTCGCCTTCTCTCTCCACGCCTCGGGACACCGGCGGGGTGAGCACGCCTCCCTCGCCTTCCTCTGCTGGTTCTCGCAAAAGAGCGGGCGTCACCTTGCAAGGCCCAGGAAAAAAAGGCAAGTCCGCCGCCGTGCGTGAGCCGGGTTTGCCCCGCAGCTTTGTGGAGCCCTCCATTGGGCCACACACCGGGGAGGTGATTCCTCCATACCTTCAGTCTAGGCGCCCTCTCGTCAAGGTGCCAGTGGACGTGCCCGTCCGGGCGGCCAAAGATGTACCGGCGGCCATGGCCATGGCCAAGGCGCACTATGACGTGATTGAGCATCCGGGTGGCCTGATTTCCGACAAGCCTTGGACGAAGCTGACGAACATGAGCGTCCAGGTAATGAGGCGCATAATACTTCCCTTTACCAATTGAGGGCCTCTTTACTATTTGAATATTTGTGTGCAACTAACTTCTCATATTTCGTTGATGCGCCTCAGATGATGCTCCTCTGCGAGGCCACCACACGTGAGATTGCTTCGATAGCGCGAGAGGGCACAGACGCAGCCATCTCCGCCGAGCGCCTGCAGAAGGACTTGGATGCTTCGAAGTCTGACCTGGATGCCAAGTTGGCGGCTGAGCGCCTCAAGGCACGAACTGAGCTGGAAGGAGAGATCAAGGCCCAGGCCGAGGCGGACAAGGCCGAATGGGAGAAGACCACCCATGAACTCCGAGAAAGGGGCGCTGCGCTCGTTCGGGAGCGGGACGCATTGCTGGACGAGAAGATCGTGCTGCAACAGGCTGTCGATGACCTGGAGGAGGCGCATAAGAAGACCAAGAAGTCTCGGGCGCATTATAAGCGTGAGCTGAAGAAGTCTCAGACCGAGGTGGGGCGCCTGAACCAGGACTTAGCTGACTTTCCCGAATCAGATGCTGGCAAAGATCTCCAAGCCAACGTCGTGATTAGCACTGTTGAGATTCTCCAGGCCAAGTTCCAGGCTGACCATCCAGAGTTGGCCTTTGACAGTATCGCTCTCATCGAGCATGTTGTTAAGGCCATGGAAATCCAGCAGGCAGGCGCCTCGGGTGCTGCTAACGCTCCACCGGAGGGTGATGATGCGCCTGATGGTGGGAGAGGCGGTGTGGCCGCGGAGGCGGAGGAGGATGAGGATGAGGAGGAGATCAGCGCCGAGTAGTTTTTTTTTTTTTTTTTTTTGAACAAGTGTTTTGTTTTCCTCTTTCAGTTAATGAACCAGCAGTTGGCTTTCTGTCATTTTTTCCTCCCAAGGCGCATTACCTTTGCCTTCGGTTTTTGCCGCTAACGCTACCTAAGGCGCATTAGGTGGGCGTGGTTTAGTGATTTCTACTCGTGCCTGGGCGCATTAGGGGGGGCGCTTCACACTTGTATGAGCAGTAATAACTTATGGGGCGCAATTAGAGGGCGCTTCGAGAATTACTTCATAAAAACTACTCATAACATAGGGCGCAATAGGAAGGGCGCTTTTGTAGGTACCACTTAGCAAGCACATGGCGCAATTAAGAGGGCGCTTTTGGAATTACTTGAAAGAAAATCACAGGGCGCAATAGAAAGGGCGCTTTTGTAGGTACCACTTGGCAAACACAGGGCGCAATTAAGAGGGCGCTTTTGGAATTACTTCGATAAGAACTACTCATGAACTTCGTACTTGTCCACAAAAACTACTTACAACTTAGGGCGCAATTGGAAGGGCGCTTTTGGAATTACTTAGATAATTACTTGGATAATTACGGGCGCAACTGGATTGGGGCGCTTCACACACTCGGCCGTCCTGGCTGCCTCCTCCGCAAAATCTGCCCCCTTCTACCCATCCTCGCTACTCGGCCTTACCCCACTAACTCTTCCCCTTCCTGGCGCGCCAATTGTTTATGCCTGGTAACCTCCCTCGCGTACTTCACGCCTCGGATGCTCTCCTTCTCCGCGCGGCCTTCCTTCCTGCACTCACCCAAGCGCCTTGCGGACCTAGTTGGTCCGTTAGCACTCCAACGCTCAAATCAGAAACTACTTTTTAGAGAGAGAAGTGATAGAACGATTCTAGTAAGAGAAGCAAAACTGAGTAAATGAGGTTCACCTACTCGACTATTTATACCTGAGGCGAGATCGACCGGTACACGTCGCTCTCGCCCTGTGTCAGACCCGCCATAAATGCATCGTACACCCCTGGCTCATGCGCCTCGACCATCTGGCACGTTGGTCAGAGGTCGAAGGCGCATGACATCATCTCTTCAGCTTTTCGTACACTTCCGACCGTTGTTCGCTTTTGTCTTACACGCCCTTCGCCAAGGGCCTGGTCCCACCTGTCTCTCATGCTGTCTTCAGCCGCCCAGGCTCAAGTCTGGGCGCCCTTCGGCCCAGTATTCCTGCCCTCATGGGCTTTCTCTGTCCCTTTCGGTTGGGCCCGTGCCCCCGGTCCATAATAACTCATTTTGGGCTTTTCCTTTCTGGGCTGGCCCATGCTCGTTCCCCCAACAGATTTGGATGGGTGAAAATGAAGAATAGGAAAAGGAAAGACAAAGGGAAAAAAAAACCATCTACCAGAGTTTCTAAATTCAGCCAAGTTCATGTAAGAGACAGTGTTCTTGACAACAACAACTCACCTTATTAATATTACTATTAAAGAAATTCATCAAGCCTATAATTTTGGAGGGGATTAGGGTTAGGTATATGTCCAGATAAGTAATCCCCTCTGGCACCATAACCCATCATCAGCCCACCATTATGACCGCCCTAATCAATTCTTAATTATTATCATCCTCCTAATCATAATTCGAACCCATTTGATCAGAACCAAAAAAGATATGCTAATTTATTGGATTAGGGCTACGTAGATGACATTTCCTCCATTAGACTGATGTAGTAGTAGTATTAGCAGTTTCTTGTTTGTTTAATAAGAAACTTTTGTGGTAGAAAAATGGCTTTATAGGACAGCTGCCCCCCTTGGTCTTTTCTTGTCTTTCGAGTTAACTAATCGCAGTAGCCTGAAAACTTGATTTCCAATGCTACTATGAATTGACGGAATTCCATCGACATTGACATTTCCCTTAGGGTGAAGTGAAATCAATGCTACTGTGTGAATTCCAGAAGTTCTCACATCGATTCTTACAGACCTCTCAAACCCGGTCTGACAGTGGAACGAAATTGACGTAAGTATAATTCTACACTTGTTCAGTTGTTTGATTATGAATATGGATGACTACAAAAACGAGAATTAAACATATATAATGTGTGTGTAAAGATCAAAACTTCTAACTGGGTTGTCGTGGACACGTGCACACGTTATTGACGCAAACATACAATATTTTTTTTTTCTTCTCTCCTTATATTTGACATGCCATGCCATGTATGTGATCTTGTAACGTTGTAAATGACTCTAACAAGTGACAATATAATGAGTTCTCTTTTCTCGAACAACAATTGAATCGCTAACATCGCGAGAGATGCTTGGCCACCCCGACATGGTCGACCACCCAAAAAATTCCAGCACTAACCGTTGGAGTTTTACACCATGCTTCGTCCCTACCAAGCACCCAAATTGAAATTATGGTGTCCCTCCAATTCCAAAGAACAGCTCTAAGAGCCGTTGCAGTGGGAGTGGCCCAGCACCGCAATGCAAAAGAAGAAGAAGAAGAAAAAGCATTTCTTAATGTAGTGGTTGATAGTGAAGGAGGAGGAGGAGGAGAAAAGAAATGGGTAATAATATGCAGAATCAAGGCTGTAAAGAACATAAACAATAGCTACATTATCGAATGGTCGGCTAAATTATATTGGTTTTCATTATGTCATCACCCCCGGCCGGGAAGAAACAACAAAAAACAATTACAATCAATATACTTTTGTTTGCCACCGGCCAGTGCAGATCGACAACGATTCGGTTTACAGTACACTGAATCGGAAAAAAAATTCACATTTGATTTACGTCAAACTGAACGGGACGCTTAACTCAATGAAATTCTCGTAAGAGTAAGGTAAACAAGGTTGGAATTTCGACATTTTGGTCCAGTTCTAGTTCTTGCATAACCCTCCCCATATTTCGTCTGGTTCATTTTTCGACTCGGTCGAACCACGGACCGTACCCGATCATATCATGTTCGACCATCGACAAAGATTTATATAATCATAAAATGAAATCACTTGATATTCGCAAGAACTTTGATGCAAGCATTGTAAAACCACACCAGAAAAGTCAACGATAGGATATATTTTTTTACTAAAAATTATTATTTAACCGTGGTTCAACCGCATCATACCACTAGAACCGATAACCGATTTAAGATCTGATACTCGATAGTTCCGATCTGACTAAATGGCAGGGGACAGTTTCTGAAACTTTAATTTATTGTCTGTTTTTCTTTTTCCTCCTCAACTTTTTAAAGTAAAAAATAATTAGGAGGCAAAAAAAATTTAGAGAAGACAACATGACTTTCTCATTAATCATTAATCATTGCTCATCTCCTTCCCCAATCCCACTCTCCATATATACCCCTCTCTTCTCCACTTCCCACTTCAAACCCCAACTTCCACAACCATCTCCTCAACCCCTTCTTTCATCAACCTTACCCTCTCAACCCCCAAAAAACAAACAAAAATGGCGAAAGACGTGGAGGCCGAGCAGCCGGCGGCGCCGGAGTTCTCCGCCAAGGACTACCACGACCCACCGCCGGCACCCTTAATCGACCTCGACGAGCTCACCAAATGGTCCTTCTACCGCGCCCTGATCGCCGAGTTCATCGCTACACTCCTCTTCCTCTACATCACCGTCCTCACCGTCATCGGCTACAAGTCCCAGACCGACCCCTTGACCCACACCGGCGCCGACGCGGCCTGCGGCGGCGTCGGCGTCCTCGGCATCGCCTGGGCCTTCGGCGGCATGATCTTCATCCTCGTCTACTGCACCGCCGGGATCTCCGGGGGCCACATCAACCCGGCCGTCACTTTTGGGCTCTTCCTGGGCCGCAAGGTGTCGCTCTTGCGGGCCGTGGGCTACATGGTGGCCCAGTGCCTCGGTGCCATCTGCGGTTGTGGGCTCGTCAAGGCCTTCCAGAAATCCTACTACACGCGCTACGGCGGTGGGGCCAATGAGCTGGCGGCTGGGTACAATAAAGGGACCGGATTGGGCGCCGAGATTATCGGGACTTTTGTTTTGGTCTACACCGTGTTCTCGGCCACGGATCCTAAGAGAAGCGCCAGAGACTCCCATGTTCCCGTAAGTATTTTGTGACTCGACGATTCTGAGCTTACAGTCATGTCGATAATTCGTGTTATACGATTTTTTTTGATCGATTTGAGTGTGGACTAATGTTAATTTTTTTTTTTGTAATGGAAATGTGAAGGTGTTGGCGCCGCTTCCAATTGGGTTTGCGGTGTTCATGGTCCACCTGGCTACTATTCCAATAACTGGGACAGGGATCAACCCGGCTAGGAGTTTTGGTGCTGCTGTTATCTACAACAAGGACAAGGCATGGGATGATCAGGTTTGTTTTGAGTCTCGTTCATATTTAGCGTTTCGGTTTAAATCGAACCCAATTTCGTAGTCGTGACACTGGATAGAACCGAGTCACATATCTTATGATTTGAGTCGAACCCTGGACGAGATAATCGAATTCGATACTACCCTTTTGCCTATACTTTACTGTGAGTGGGAAATTTTGGGGGGATTAATCAAGTAATTATTGGGGATTTTTGACTGAATGCAGTGGATCTTCTGGGTGGGGCCATTCATTGGAGCAGCCATAGCTGCGTTCTACCACCAGTTCGTGCTGAGAGCAGCAGCAATCAAGGCTCTGGGTTCCTTCAGGAGCAATGCCTGAAGTTGATTTACGTTAATTATCATGAGGGGAAGCATGAAGCTGGTTGAGAAAGAATAAGTTGTCTGCTCTGCTGCAAATTTGAAGAGAGGAGGAAGAAGAAGAGGGCAAGGGAAAGTGTAAATAAAAAAGGGGTGAAAGGAGAAGAGAGATGTGATGTTTCAACAATAGGCTTGAATTCCCTCTATTGCTCTTTTGCTTTCCCTTTGTTTTTACCTTTCTATAATCTGTACTTATTATCTCTTTGCTTTTGTTGTAATTTATCATGTGGAATTGTGGTGGTGGAGGTTTGTTTGTGTGTATTTTCTGGTTGGCTTCTTCCACCTTATCAAATTTCTAGTGAAATGGGTCTTTTCCCCTCTTTATTTATCTATGTTATCTTCTTTCATATGAAATCCTGGAGAAAGGGTAGATGGTTTCGTTTCATTGAGTGGGTTGGAGTGTGCATCGTTGTCTTTACATGAAAAAAAGAGGAAGAAGGTATCATTTGTGTTGAGTGTGGCTAGGAGGTTTGGAGTGATTTCTAAGTGATCTCATTATAATTTGAAAAGTTCTATTTATTTTGATGTAAAAAAATGAGATGGGCTTCATTTGAAGATAATCGAGATGTAAAATTCGACTATTGTATAATTCGATGTAGCCAATCCAACCTACACCACTACGAGTCTACAACAACATTCTATTTGGACATGGAATCCATAACAAACTTTATATATTATATACAATTGATAGATATATTATCTTCTCTAGAAAGTTCAGCTTAAGAGATGTGCTCAAAATGATAAACTAATTGCAAACACACTTTTAAGTTTCTCAATACCTAATCCGAATATTCCATTGAAGATGGGGTATCTTACGAAACACTTTTAATAGAATAAGTGGAGGGATGAGAATAAATCACCATAATAATGCCAAAAATGTAGGGGGGGAAATAAGGAGCATATGCATCATGCATGTCATACTCGAGAGAGGATACCATTCAGTTCGATGCAGAAGCCAACCAATTGAGATAGGATCGGTGTTGATAGCATGTTTGGTTCATATGGTTTTTATTTGATTCATATCATTACTAGCAATAAGATAAAATTTATATATATTCAAATCGATCCAAATATCGATTCGGTATGATTTTTGATCCGTCATGAATCAGATAGTTACCCAACCCTGGTCACATCCAAAACCATAAACGAAAGGGGCATGTCAATTTAATTAATGGGAAGAATTGTGAGTAAACAAATGACTCTTTTTGTTGCCCTAAGCAACATATACTAAACCACAATGAATAAACAAACACTAGAAAGGACCGACAAAGTGACAAATCATTAGCTTTGGACAAAGAAAAATTAGCAACCCTACTACCACAAAAGAATTTAATTAGACTAGCTAGAAAACATAAACGAACAAAAAAAACCTAACCACTAATCTCCCGCATATAGGTGTATAGGAAGTCCACCCCTACAAATTTTACACCATGTTTCCACATCAAACTTAGCCACAAATTATTTAGGGCATTATAATATTTGAAAGGTTAGTTGAGTGAGAGAGCATCCTTATCCACAACTTGGATTAAAGAGCTTAATTAATTATCATAGCCATTAAGTAAACAACTCTTTACATCTCTTTCAATATGCTTAATAGTGATCAAGACCGTTCATTAAGAAAATAGTAATCACGACCGGCTTTATAAAGGAGTTGGTTTAGACGGTGAGGTGGCTGTTTTGTCATGGTGGTTCGAAGAAGAAGAAGAAAAACAACAACATTAGTTTTCAAGGTGGACGGTGTTTTTGGATCTAATAGTGATGGCTTTATTACTGTTCTTTATATTGGTTTTTTAGACACATATATATGGTGAGTTTGCATTTTACTTTGGTACGACGTGTTTTTAGTAAGAAAATGATATATAAATTTAAAAGTAATCGAATTATAAATTGTGATATTATATCACAAGCCCTAACGAGTACTATATACTGCCCTCTAACTCTCTAAATTGTACATTCCCAAGGACAATGACTTAGAATCAATAATCCGCGGTTCTAATTCGTCCAAACACATGCAACGTATCAGATGCGCCATCTAATTAAAGTTTTACGAAGTGGTGTTTAGAAGATTAGGGTTCACTCATTAAGGATTAGAGTATAGAAAATGATATATAAATTTAAAAGTAATCGAATTATAAAATGTGATATTATATAATAAGCCCTAACGAGTACTATATAGTGCCCTCTAACTCTCTAAATTGTACATCCCACTATTAAGAAAATGATATATAAATTTAAGAGTAATCGAATTATAAAATGTGATATTATATCATAAGCCCTAATGAGTACTATATACTGCCCTCTAACTCTCTAAATTGTACATCCTAAGGACAATGACTTAGAATCAATAATCCGTGGTTCTAATTCGTCCAAACACATGCAACGTATCAGATGCGCCATCTAATTAAAGTTTTACGAAGTGGTGTTTAGAAGATTAGAGTTCTCTCATTAAGGATTAGAGTATAGTATCACGCCCCAGAATTCGGTTAATTCAATGTCCAAATAGTATTGTTTTTTACTTAGAGTATGCAATACCCTTAGACTCAACGAACAATAGAAGTTACCAATAGCAAATTTTGAGGTTTCAACTTCAAGTTGAACAAAAATGACGAGGTGAATCAAATATATATTCTCCCATTGGCAAAGACTTGGCCCAATGAAGTTTAATACTCTGTCACAAAATTTACCTCACGATAAACATACTCTAACGAGCATCTTTTTTTTGCGCCAAATCGTGTAAAAGTAAAAGCGTATGAACTTTACAATCTCGATAACGACAATGAGATATTTGATTATAAAATAGTATGTCAGCATCACAACCTTCCTAGGCCAAATAACTTATTTCGACCTAATGATAATTTTCTTTGCATTATCATCTTTGTTATTATTCATTAGCTCTAGGTATAGTGTCTTCTTGATGTATAGTTGCTTTATTTATACTACTCCGCAAAACTCCATGATGGTGCAAGGTTACACAATAAGTTATTTTATTTCCCCTTTTTTATGGGCTCGAAATTCTTCTCTTCTAGTAAGATGACAGATGATGAGATCATTAGCTTAGAGAAAATGTTATATTATTACTAATTAATCCAAAAGGATAAGAGGTGTATAATCAATAATATCTTTTACATCTTTGGCTACTTTAACTATTATTACGTATAATCATTATTAATTATTATGACTCTAATTAAATAATAATTACGACCTTTGATCCAATATATTCATAGAAATAATAATTCCAAATTTTAATAACACCGATTGGGCCATGCGTGATATTACTCATGGGTTTTGCACGTATGGAGCCCAATAATTAAATAACCAGCAATTGCCTTTGCCTTTCCTATCGAGCCCAAAAATGAAAATGGGCCTCCAAGAGGCAAAAGTTGGTGGGGGTAGCAAGGGGATTGAATGAGTGTACACATGATACATGATCACATGGGCCTGGTCTGGCAAGAGATATGGACCAAATGAAGGAGTGATGAGTCCTACAATCCAATAAAGAGGAATTTCCTTGTTCATGAGAATAGAAATTGTCATAATGTTAAGGCCAAATACACTTGTATAGCCAAAACTTTGATGGTTTGGCCAAATATAGCCACTTTTGAGGAAATACCAAAAATAGCCACTTCCATCCAATTGTTTGACGGTGTTAGTTAACGTGCTGACTGGATTAACGGAAAAGCTGACTTGTCAACTTTTTGGTCAATACCAATATGACCTGGAATTAATACAAAAAATAAAAATAAATTATTAAACATTTTTTTTCTATCAGCCCTCTATGTCTTTCTTTCCCCTTCCGATCCCCCAAACCCAGCCGCCGCTCATCTCGCTCTCCCTCTCTCCGTCGAAAACCTTCTATCTCTTCGCTTCCCAATTCCCATTAAATGGCGACTGATATCCCACCGTCATCGTTTCTCCCAAACTTCCTCCCTTCCCGGCCAGTCTTTCCGGGCGTCGCACTAGCGATTGTAGAGACGCAGAGGTGGCCTGGCGGCGTAGCCATGTGAATCGACAACAGAGCAAGGTCAGCGGGTCTTGCAAAATCCCCATCACTTCAGATTGCTCAGACGCAGCCGCCGACCATAAAAAAGGAACAAGAAAGCCAGCATCCCGATCCACAAAGGCGACCGCACAAACGACGTCGTCATCATATTTCACCGATTAGGAAGCGAAGGAGGCGGCGGATCCATGGGAGAGGGACGTGTTAGGCGCCGACGACTCGTCTTCATCTCCATCTCTCTTCGTCTCCGATAGCTGAGCTTCAACAGAGGCGATTTCAATTAAAAGCCCCAAATCAGATGAAAGACCCCTCTATTTGCTCTCTCTCTCTCTTCCCTAGTGCAGATCTCCGATTTTTCCCCAAACACAGCGAACCCCCAACCCCAAAACATGAATCTCTCCCTCCAGAACCGCCAATTCTAGGTTTTGGTCTCGGTCAAGATGACGTCGGCGGTGAAGAGAAACGATTCCCGAATCAGAAGTTTTCGGTTGCTAAACCCACTGGTCAATGATTCTCGAGAGTCGAGACAGAGGTCTATTGATTTGGGGACAGCTCCCTTGCGTTTCAACCGTGAGGAAGAACAGAGCAAATCTACTGATTTGAGAGCCTGGGTAGCAGATCGAGAATGCTATGGTTAGGGGAAATCTCTACTTTTGGATATTGAGTGTTGGATGCTTGCTTTTCTTTCCGCTGGTTGTTGCAGGGAGATGACGGTGGGAGGAGATGTAGAAGACGCAGGCGATGGTGTGAGAGGAGAGAGGATGAGATAATAATTTGTGATTTTTTATATATTTTTAAAATTAAAATATGACATGGCATCTATGTGGCAGGTGTTGGTGAGTTGTCAATGATGTGTCCGGTGAGTTGGCAGCCAGGTAAGCGTTCCGTTAATTTGATTAACGGTGTCATTGACGCCGTCAAACTATTTAACGGAAATGGCTATATTTGTCATCGAACTTTCAAAATCCTGGCTATTTCTGGTATTTCTCCAAAAGTGGCTATATTTGTCACAACCGTCAAAGTTTTGGCTATGCAAGTGAATTTGGCCTAATGTTAATCCATTAAGGGTCATGGATTTGGTACCCAAATCCTAAGTTTGATGGATTTAACATAAGTTAATTGTTTGTTGAAGGGTGCTAAATTCGTGAGTTCCACGGATTTGGTCTTTATTTTTGAACCAAATCTGTGGACCCCACGGACTTGTAAATCCCACATATTGATTTGGGATTTGCAAATCCTTGATGGTTAGTTATTTATTTAACAAATCCATCATCAAATCTATCATGCAAACATTATACTCTTCAAATCCATAATCCAATAAATCCAACATGAATCCCAAGGTTTTTATTGGCCAAAACCCTCATTTTTCAAATCCAACAAGCAAACGACCCCTAAATTATCAAATGGTTGGTTATTTGTTGCATTGTGTGAGTGTTTTGTGTTGAGGGTTAGTCACTATTGTTTGAGGTGAATGTCCTATTAGTATGTAGAAAGATGAAGAGTACTTATCTTGGTTGAACTCGGTTTAGTTCAGGATCTAGTTTATTTATTTCTCGATCATTTAGATATGAAAAAGAAATTAAAAAAATATAAATCAGATTAGAAAAACTCGATACCAATCAAATTATCCATAAATTCAGTAGGATCTGAACTCATGTGAATTTGATCTTATTCGATCTCATATCATCGATTCTTTTGTCTACCCATAATATGATACATATAAACTGTAACATTGAACCCGAGCAATATCGTCAAATAGTAACAAAAACTTGAACCCGATACCATAAAATTGTGTGTATTTTGGTGAGGCCTAATAAAGAAACACCAAAATATGAAACCAAGGGAATTTTTTTTCTTTCAAATAGTGGGGCATGACATGTACTAATGTACCTAGAGAGAAAGAAATTATGACTTGTAATGGATTGGGGAATGTGGGGATGAAGAAGAGAAAAAGGAAAAGACATTGATTTCAGTAGTAGCATGCTTCTATTCCTTCTATCCCATCTCCCTCTCATTGCAATCATGTTGAAAAGCTAGCCCTCTCATGTTGCTTTGCTGCCCCTCTAAGCCAAGCAAACTTTTAACCCAACACACCAACAAATTTCATAACTTTTTGTTATCTCAACAAAGTTTTTACCTTAACTTTTTACAATCTATAGAAAGATACTCCCCTTTAGAACCATGATGATCTTATATTCTTTCTATAAGATGCATACTTAATTGAATCCACCAACTCTTAATAGGCAAACTTAATATAATATGATGTGAATGAAAAGCATATACATAGTGATTGGAAACATGTGTGTTACTTATTAATGAATATTCCTTACTTAATGAAAAAAAGAGGGGTTTCCACATGGTTGTATGATGTGGTTTAGGTTGGTGTACTTGCATTCCAATGCAAGTTTTGATTAATCTACAGTTATGGGTCATGATTTTGCACCAATTATGATGTGTTTCTAGCAATGAGTTCGATTTGTTTGGGTAGTGGGGGAGAGATCTTTCCTTGGATAATGGTTATCCTTTATCTCATGTATGTGTTGGGAACTTGGGTGTCTGAAGAAAGAATAGTAAATTTTAATCTTTGTAGTTTATGTAGGAGTTTAGTAATGAAATTTTTGAAATTGAATTGATTCTTGATGTGATATCTTATCAATTTTCTTGATCCAACAATATCGTGTTCAGACCCTGTAGTCTCCAATATTAACCTTTTAAGTATTGAAGCATAATCTATGTATGTCATCATGACATGTACAAATTTCAAATATGTAAGGTGGCCTTCATTTGAAAGGAAGCATATAAGCATACCATACAACGATCCATCCATCATCTCTCCCACTAACTCGATTATCGGAATGATCCCTATTATTGTCTATTTATCCTCTCCACCCTTTCTCTTATGTGCTTTAGAAGGCACTCAAGGATAATGATGCATCATAAACCATGATTTTGAAAGATTCATCATGCCAAAACTCAAGGGAAAACCAAGTAGTGACTCGACTAGGAAATAATCAATGCAAACCATATTGCTATTATAGTTAGGGTAATGAGAGGCTATCTCCTATGGCCGAAAGTCACTAATTAACCGGCTGATGATGAACTATGATTCACTTAAACCGTATTTACAACTCAAGATAGTCATATTTTACTGGACAACATGTTTAATTTTGATAATTATGATTGTCGACTCAATCATTGTAACACGTGAATCAAGATACGTGACAAGCTCGGTAACTGTGGAACCCCGTCATTTCGAAGAAGCTTCCAGTAAGGAAGAAGAGGGGAAAAAAAGTGTTGTGGTGTATGGGATGTCAAGAAAAGGGAATGATCGATGTTCATTGCTACGACCCATGAGAGGCATATGGCCTTTCTTGGATGCACTTTTCCTAACAAACGATGATGTTACTTGGCCTTTGGAAGAGAGGATTAAACAGTGGAGCTATCACTTCTTCTAGGGCAAAGGAGAGGAATAATATGTCATAATAAGCACATTCATGATTCTGTTCCTTTCTTTTTCAGTCCCATTTACTTCTCCTTTCTTTCATTTCCAGTCACTGAGGAAAAGGAGGTTGATGCAGAGATTTGTAAAAGTTGCTCACATTTCCAATGAAAAATACTGCCTTTATTAATGAAAAAAAGTTAAACCACTTTACATTAATATATTTTTCTAAATTTTATTTATACAAGCAAACAACTCGAAAACACAAACCAGATGTGCAATAAGATCGAGCATCTGGAATCAGCAAGGTGTGAGAGCTTTCATAGCTTGAGATCTGACAATCCAATCGACAAGATAATTAATCGATATGGGGGCACAAACAAATGAGGTTCGTGGAATTCTGAATCTCGTTCACGCAAAGTATCAAATTGTGACGATCCTTAACAATCGTCCGAAATCGAGTGGACGATGGACAGTAGATTTTGAGCCAGAGCAACTCCCTCTCAGAGAAAAAAAAGGGACCCCATATTTTTGCTCCGGCAACCGTTGATAAACGAAGAACGAATTTGAAATCCAACCACATAGATCGATTTCCAAACATATAATAATTACAAAATTTCGAATTTCACGAGATTTTATAATTTGTTTTGTAATCGTGAAACCAAACCCATGATAAAATGCAAAAGGAAGTAACTTTATACACTAAAAACCTCCAAATATGAATCTATAGTGATTGATTCATACTTTAACCCCAAACAACCACATGACTCACTCTGACTCTCCTCCTCCCCCCCCTATAAATTGCCACTACCTCCAAAAACCCTTACCCCAAAACACAAGAAAACTACTTCTTCTTACTCATTCTCCTCCTCCTACCAAAACCATGGCACCACACTCTGCAACCTCCATCCTCATCCTCCTCACCATCTTCATCTCATCCTCTCCAACCTTCATCACCAGAGCCAGAGCACAAGGCAGGGCGCCCCACGGCCTGGCCTACGAGGGCCCCGTCGCCTTCTCCCCATCAGCAGTCGAGTTCTTCCACCCCAACAACAACAACCAGCTCCCCGCCGTCACCAGCGGCCACCCGGAGGCCGCTCAGCTCGCCACCGCCGCCAAGACCAGCACCACCAATCCCGACGAACAGAGCAATGTGGCCAGCTCGAGGTCCGGCCAGAGGAGGAGTGGGCTGGGTGCAGGGGCGATTGCAGGGATCGTGTTTGGAGTTGGGTTTGCTGTGTTCATGGCCATGGGTGCGTTCTATGTGGTGAGGGCTCGTAGGGCCAATTTGAGCAAGGCCAGCAACTCTGTTCAGCCACAGGTTTAGGAGGTTGGGGTTATTAGTAGTTAGAGCATATTGTATGATTAGGTGGTGAGGTTTCATTAGTGTGTTTTTTGTTGTTGTGGTGTTGGTATTAGGAGTGAGTGGGGGAATGGACTTTGGTGCCACAATGTTTGTTATCATCATGATCTACCTACTATTGTAAGCGTGTTCGGATAATTTCGTGTTATTGTTCGTGAAAAAATGGTCGATTCCTGTGCAGAATCTCTGAGCGAGTACAGAATTTTTTTCCGAGAAATAAAGACAATAGTAATCAAATCGCATTTCAATCGGACTCAACTCACAAATTTTACTTTGTTTTTGGAACAAATGTTAAAAAATGCAGATACACCGAGCAAAATCGTTAATTTGATATAATAAACCCTATTCGTTACCGATAGTAACTAAAGAATGTGTCCCTTATTTGTGAGAAATCCTCCGTGTAATTTGCTTTAACAGTAGACACGAGTGATGATTCTAACATTCCAACCCCGTACGAGCAAAGCTATATCACTCTTTTTAAGTGCAATACTCAAACCAATTCAACTCAAGCGTGCATGAAGGGCATAAAAACCAGCTTCAAAATTTTCAGTTGCCTTCACCAAACGGTCACCAAGACTACAGTGGCAACTAGCAAGAAGATATATCCAAAGAAACGGGAACAAAAGGAAGTCATGGCCTGATGGGTTCTAACTTCTAAACTTCACTACATAAGGTCTGAATTTTGGGATAGCTTCGTTGGCAACAAATCTGTAGCTTCACGACAGAGCACTTCTTATCTTCTTATTACCAACGGTTATGGGCTGTAAACATTCTAACTAAAAAACACATTGTCCCCTTTAGTTTTGTAGCTTTCCTTTTCATTCACGGGATTTCCAGGGAGGCAGAGGCCATATATCAACATCATCAAAGTCATCGATTCAGCCACGTATACAGAGTAACAAGCAAGCAAGTTAAGTTTTTGAGTGGTACAGGATCCACACCCATGATAAAATGAGGATTTTCAGGAGACAAAAATTGCACGCATGTTCTTAGAGTGTATCATAAGAGTTGCCAAAAATGATGTATAGAATACCATATCGCAAACTTGTTCAACAATTTTACTCTCTGTGGGAACTAAGGGCGGAAACGAGCGGACCGAATGCCTGGTCCACGGCTTTGTTCCATAGGAGGGCAGACTCGGAACGGAATTGCTTCCCCAGAATCGGCTCCTTCATCTGCAACAAGTGCAAAGCCATGAGGAAACCAAGCCCAGTCTCTCGTGAGTTTCGTGTATAGAGTATATATAAATATATGCGTACATTGCACTTATCGCGGCAATGGATCAAATACTTAGCTGCTCTCAGAGGGTTGCAAATTGATGATGCTAGAGGTAGTTCCAGTGCTAAAAGAGACTCAATCAATCAGCCAAAGAAAGCAACAGGCAGCTCATTATCCTCTCATATCTCTGTCTTTTTCTTACAATGGTTTTGGTTTCAGAGGATGAACATTTTCCATTCATGCCCCTACCTGGGATATATGGTAACTCTATCCAAACCACCACATTGATTCTGCTATCTCTTCAATCACTCAATACTCTCACATGCTATTTCACCTTAACATGCTTAGACATGCTAGAATGCCATCATCCACCACAAGAACGAACCACGACATCGCTCCAATGAGGTCTTACATACAAGGGTTTCGAACCCTTCTCACCTACATTTACCAAATTGCACGATATCTAGCTACCCTTTCCAGATTCAAATGGAACAGAACTACCTAAAGAACCAATAAGAAACCCCTACACATACAAATATACAATGGCTACACCTAGAGAAAGGCATCATCCCTCAGCTGCATTCACATCCAGCTATTATACATTGTTCAGTAATCAGCTAAACCTTGGAAATCACCCCTCAATCTTCTCGTAGCAATTTAACCAACAAGGATCACATTGGATTCTAGCCTTCTAGGGTTACGGGCAGGACAAATGAGAATTAGTTGGAAATAAAGTTGCAAGCTTTACCTGTTTCTCGGCATCGGATGGAGATTGGTAGGCTGAAATTGAGTCGTGGATTCGCCTCCGCTGCTCAAACACCACGAAACCGGTGAAAGCCCCGCCTAATGCGAATCCGAGCAGGCGCTCCTGCAGCAAGGAAAAAAGATACAACTCATCGGCAAAGAATCATGGCATCAAGAGGGTATATAGGCGGAGAAAAGTTGCCGGAGAATTGGTGTTCACCTGAGCGAGAATGCTGAGCATGGTTTCGTCTGCGACGAGATTCCGGCGCGTGGTTGATGGATGGCCTCTCTCGGAGTCTCGGCGTGGAAGGAAATCGGGGGTGGAAGAAGGAAACTTCGGGGCTCCGACTAGTCCGCCTGAAACAACTTTTGACAAAGCTCAGGTTGGAGCACGGCCCGTTGAGTTTTCCACTGTTGTGGGCCGGTATAAGCCCATCTACGACGGGCTTTATCGATTTGTTTTGGATTTGCGCACCTCAATAGCCCAAAAATTGACATATTCCAATTTGGTTCAAATTCATATTAGATCCTCCCTGAGAATTAAATGGAAATCCAAAGAGAAAGAGGATAATGAAAATTTGATTAGTAAGATGTCAGAAACACACTATTGAAGCTACACATAAAGACAAATAATAATCACGGGTTTTAGTGACGTGACAGGTCGTATATATATTTTTTCGGGTTAAAATAGGGCGATTGGATATTTCTGTTAGCCGCATAAGCAAAAAAAAAAAAAAAACTAACGCTATTAATGAAAGGTAAGAGAAAGTGACCAAATTTGAAATATTAAACTGGGGTTAATGACCACGAATGAAATAAAATATTTTTAGTGACAAAACGCAAAACTTTATATTACCAAATTTGCAATTTGCTCCCAAAAGATTAACATTAGGGAGAAATGTGTTTAAGGAAGTACGATAATAATCACTATCATTCTTGCCGAAAACTAATAAACTATACAAGCCATAAACATAAATATAAAAATTCATAATAATATTCTTATTCCAAATTAGATATGAAGAGCCTGGACAAGTTTAAGCATAATATTTAAAACCGATTTTAAACTTTAAGAATATAAAACCCAGAGCAGAAGAAGTTAAGCATGAAGCAGCCCTTTAAACCACATAAAGTCAAATTCGTTTCGCTTCAAGTCACGATATCATACTAATCTGCAACCATTCAGGTACGCTAAATCAACTAAGGTCCAAAATGATATTGCAGTTGAAAACAATTTCAAGTTGAAATCTTCCTTTCTGAGTATGGTGCCATTGTTACACATTCCCAGTTAGTTAAACCTTGCATGAACATAGTAGCATTTTCTACAGTCTATGCACCAAAGCTCTAGAGACAAAGTTAAGAGCCCAAATGAACAAAACCAGAGGACATGTAGCAACACTGGAAGAAGAGAAAGGAGATTAATGGAAGAGACGATGGGACATGTGAATTCAAGGGGCTCCTCCTATCATGTGACTCACTCTCTGTATTTTGACAACAATGGTCCCCCAAATGGAGCTCCTTCTCCATCCATTCTCTGTCTCTTTCCCTTCCAGACACAGAGACAGTGACAAAAGGTTGCAGGGAGGGAACCAAAAATCTCTTTCGTCCAGCAATCTTTGAATACGACCCATCAAACACCACCCCCAAATTCCCTTGCCACCATTATTATCACTAGAAAAAACCCTGTTCATATATAGCTACCCCTCAAAAATAAATGACACTTCCATTCATGAAGATGGGTGTTCTTTCTCTGCCTCTGCATGCGCACGTTAATGAGTTTCTCCCACAACTGTTCCAATCCCAGTTGACGATTTCTTGTGCTTGATGATGGGTAACAGGGGAATCATTGTTATTTTCACCAAAGCTTGTGTCTTTACTAGCACTGTTTGGTTTTCTGCTTGAATGGAGGCATGGAAGGGGTCCTCCTCCCAGTCACAATAGTATGAAATTATCTGTCTAGTAGTGTAGGGGGGTGACATTAAATGTTATGTGTATTCAATTGTGGTTTCATGTGTTGCTTTTCTAGAAAAAATTTAGTTTGCTTAAATGCTTGTACCTGTAAGAGGAAACCCTCCCCCCCACAACCTATCTCAAACTGTTCAATAAGATATATCTAGCTGGTTTATGCATGCAAGCTGTTTGCTTCATTGCCTGAATGAAAAAGGTTGGGTGAGTTTCTGTCTTCTGCAGCAGCTGTCGCAGTTGGATTTTAATGGTACCACTCAGATTTTCTCTCTCTCTCTCTCTCTCTCTCTCTCTCTCACAAGCTACACTTAATGGGGTTTTTGGTTGTTTTCTGGGAAGTTTGGTTTATTCTTACATTTGTATATGTAAGTGACGTGATATATGGAGAGGGGTTGGGGAGGGACTTCTTCACTTGGAACTTTGTGGCAGGGGTGAAAACATGTCCTGTCGTTGTTACTCATTTTGCCTTCTAGTTGAAATTGTTCTGCCTTTGTTGTTTCATGGAATCTAAAATTCCCAGGTTTAGCTGCAAAAGGTCACAAAAGTTATTCACTTTGTCATGCACATGATGTTTGGAATCATTTGTTTGAGCTTTCTGTCGAGCTGAGAGAGAGAGAGAGAGAGAGAGAGAGAGAGGGAAAGAGAGAAATGACCATACGACTGCTTGCTTATCATGGCCTCTAAGGTACTTTTTGTACAAAAGCAGCAGGTTGCAGATGGTTTTATTTAGAAGGCAGTGTCTTGGATTTTGACATTGCTAAAGCAGTGATGCTTTTTCTAAGATTAGGCCTCTCGGTTTTGGAGATCTTTCATGGGAACTAAAGGTTAGCTGTGGTGGGCTGCCTCAGTTCTCAACCAATATATTGGTGTCTGGCAAGACTAATTTTTTCAGGTTTTCGAAAAGTTTGCAGATTCTTTGCTGGGAATCTTTAGGGATTCGCAATTTGGCTTCTTTCTGCCAGATGGAAATTCTTCCGGTCTTTGGAGAAACAAACACTTCCCTTGTCCTCTTCAAACTGGACAGCATTGATATGTGCCTTCCATTAACAGTGTTTACTTTATCTGCTTAGCTGGACTGAGCTGAAATGAAGGAAGGCACTGGAACATGATTCCTTCGTCAGGTTTCCAGCGTGTAAAAAGTTCTCAGTAGCTTTGAATTTCTGCTCAGCCTTTTGTTCCTACCTATTCAGCTGCTCACCAATACTACGTTTGAAAAAATTCACCTTGAAATTTGTGCTACTTGAGTGCTCTCTCTTTCTTTTCAACAGTTCATGGTTTAGCTGTTGCATAAGTTCCATCGTAGTCTTTTGCAAGTTTCAAACTTGATATCCAAGAGGTCTTATTTTCCAACTCCCATGTAGAATCTGAAGAGAATAGGAAAAGGAGAGTATTTGATTGATGCATTCAGTTGTTGCTTGACTTACATCCTTTAAGAAGGTGCTTAGTTGGTATGCGTACAGTAAAAAGATTAAACGGTTTCTTTGTTCTGGGTTGGTGAGTAATAGTCTGAGCTGGTGGAGCACTTTTGAAGAATTTGTTGTTGCAGAGTTTTGAAAAGAGTATACCGATCATTAGAAGCTTTTAGTTCCATGGCTGAAATATGACTAACTGTTGATTGCTGCTTGGTGTGTTATCAATCCATTCTTGCAGCATATTATAATTTGATTTCCTACTTCCATACTTTCCCCAGGATCAGTTCAAGATCCATTGGCCATCTCAAAGTTCAAAGAGTTATGCTATTTGACCATGCATTTGCTCTGGTGGCTACATTTACCACTGCTTTTGATGGTGCAACTCTTACAGCTCTCAAGTACTGTTCGGATAAGGCATGGTTAGAATCTTTTAACTTCTCTTTGAATTCTCCAATTACTGCTTGTCTTAGCCAGATAGATCATATTAGTTGATTTGAGTGACATGCTACAGTTATTTCTTGCTTCTAAACACAGCTCAGTTTATTTTGCTACAGCTGAAACTTCGTTTGCTTGTGAGAGTACCCTTTGCAATAACAAACAGTCCAATGGCTGGATGGAGGGATACCCATGTCTAAGACAATCAGCAAGTCGCAAGCATCGCCAATTTAAAACCCCAGGTGTTTTTCCTTTGTAAGCTCCCTCCCTCTCTTTCCTTACACATTGGCATGTTAGATGTTTAGGTTCAATGGATTTTTACCAAGCATATCATCTTTCCAACAAATAGACTTCAAAGAAACAGAGAAGCTATACCGGCTGCTCTTTCTTGGCTATACCTACTATGTGGATGGAACTCCCCTTTACTTCTTTTTTCTGCATGGACTAGTTAGCATTTACTCGTTGCAAGCAGCCTTTCCCCTTTTCAGTTTTGCATGGTTGATTGTTAGTTTTCCTGCTGCCCTTGAATATATAGGAGAAGGCTTTCTAACTATATGCTGCGTTTTCTGATGTCTGATAGCTTATGTTCCAAAGAGTCAGCCCTGTCTGTTGCAGACTGGTTCAACCAAATTGACACCTGTTTCTTCGCAATCTATTCCCTCAGGCATCCATTTAGGATTACAAGAACGGTTATATTTATTACACACTAAGAGGATAGCAAAGACAGTTGATGGATCCAATGGTGTTCCTACATTAACACCAGTGCAACCATATGATGACACAAAAGCATGGAAAAAGAAAGTTGCAGCCATAGCTGGAGGTGTTGGTGCAGTTCTTCTAGTAATTATCATTGTGGTAATCGTTTACTTGTGCATTAAGAAATTGGCAGCACAAACTTCTGAAAGGGAGTCCTCTGCACAATCTCCAAGTGAGTTTAGCATCATCCCAACATTAAAGTGGCTTGTTCAATTCTCCTTCCTTTTCACTGTTGGACTATGACTTTTCATTTACCATGGCTTGCTTGCTGTATTGATTTTTTGGTTTGAGTTTCATCAATAACCTCTTTCTGTTTTTTTGCATTCAGCAACAGGGTTGGAAATAGTTGGAACTCCCACATATGCTAGTCCTCATCCTCCGGGCACACACTTCCTGAGATTATTGACAATTGAGGAGTTGAAGCTGGCGACACGAAGTTTCAGTGACAGCAATATCATAGGCGAAGGCTTGCTTGGTTTGGTTTACAAAGGGCTGCTTCTTGATGGATCTATTGCTGTCATAAAGAGAAACATATATCATCCGGTTCAGAACTTTGCTAATGAGGTACTTGCAAACCAATAGAAAATTGATGTTTATCACACATAACAGTAAAAGCTCTACATCCTTATATTTCTCCTTATGCCTGCAGGTTAGACACATCGCTTCCGTCCAGAACCAGCATCTTGTAAAGCTTATTGGTTATTGTGAGGATAGGCAGCAACAGTTTCTTGTAACTGAATTCATATCCAATGGAAATGTGGGACAATACCTCTATGGTAATTCTCTCTACCTCTCTCAAAACTGTTATGGTCTCAGTCATACCCATGTTAAGGCTTCTCTGCTTTGGCCTTTCCTTAGATAGTGAAGGTCTGCCTGTTGGGAAATTGGGTATCAAGCGTAGACTGGCCATAGCCTTAGGTGCAGCAAAAGGTATGGCTCAGTAAACCATTCCTAATATTTCCAGCTCTGTGGTCTCCTTTTTTTCTCAAATGTTTAGATCTTTCCTAGTTCCATTTCATTTCTTTTCTTGAATCAGGGCTTCGGTATCTTCACAGTTTGGTCCCTCCTTTCCTGCACATGCATTTCAGAACCAGCAATGTGCTTGTGGATGAATATTTCACTGCTAAGGTATCTGACTATGGAATCTACAAGTGGGTAGCAGAAACTCCGCACCCGGGATCTTCTTCTTCTGTAGATCACTTCCTTGATCCCGAGTACGTGATTGCATTTCCTTCCCGATGTTTCATAAAAAAGGATTGAAACGTTGCTGGCTGTGTTCCCTAATGCATTGCTCTGCATGATTGTTGTCCAGGTTGAATTCGTCGAGGGACTTCTCAGATCTCAGTGATGTCTACAGTTATGGAGTATTCCTACTAGAGCTGATCAGTGGACGTGAAGCACATGGCAAGTATCAATCAAACTCAGACCAGAATCTACTGCTTCAGGTACATCTGCAGATAACTACTCACAGCCAAACACAACTGCATTTTCCTGTGGTTGCTCACAAAGTGTTTTCCTTCTTACAGGCTAGGGATAGCAGCCTCAATGACTTCGTGGACAAGTCGCTCCAAGCTAAGGATCGAACGAAACGAATCATGGTGGATCTGGCATTGATGTGTGTGGATGTCAGCACAAGGAGACCTTCAATGGAGAAGGTTGTCAAAGCGCTTGAATGGATTCGAGGGCGGGAAACTGGGCATGTGGATCATGACTATGGTGAGGAGATTGGAGCTGTAAAACTTGGGAGTGAACTCTTCAAATGACCAGCCTTTATTTATCTCCTGTCTTTCTATGGATTTACATTCAACTGCTAATTAGTGGCATTCTTTATTGGACGTAATATTAGTACCAAAGTTTAAGGACTTCAAGTCATTCATCAACTTGCAGATTGGTTCAGATTGTTTTAATTGTGATTAAAAGTGGTGTTTACTGAATAAAAAAAGGATGGCGGCAATCTATGGATGCTGAATGTGGCTTGAATTCTTCCATTGTTAGTTGCTGTTTGGCAAGCAGCCTAATTAGCCCATTTTCACAAAAATGAAACTTGACAAGCAATACAATGTCAGAACAATAGCATTCATGAGATTAAATGTTTTATTATTATTGACAAGCAATACATGAGATTCCGTGTACGTGCTCGAGTTTGCCGAGCTAAGTGAAAGTTCGAAAAGATAGTAATACAAGAATTTTAGTGCTAAAAAAAAACTAGAAAAACGAATGACCTTCAACGATCAACATTTACCAACCATCATACGAGCTCTCGTCTAGTTAATTGCGAATTAATCTCAATGAACCACCAAACCAAATTCAGCTTAAAACCCTGATGAGCAAAACAAAACCAATATCAAAACGACGCCGTAAAACATTCTCTCCTTCAAACTCCGTGACTAACCTGTCCCCTCCATTTTCTCAAATCTCGATACAGACTATAAACCCTCCGCCATCAATGGGCGCTTAGATCTCAATCAGTCTTCCTTTTCAGTCAGATCTTCTTTCACCAAAAATTCAAGTCAAACGAACTCAACAATGTCGACCCGCTACCTCCTCCTCCTCGCCCTCACCGCCTTCCTCCTCGCCTCCCCTTCCTTCCCCAATCCGGCTTCGGCCTCCTCTACCACCGCCGCCGACGACGACGAGGACCTCAGCTTCCTCGAAGACGACGACGCCGCTGATCACACCGCCGACTCCCACTCCGAGCACTACCCCGATTCCGATCATTTCGATGACGACGAGGACTTTGGGGGCGAAGGAGGCGACTTCGAGAACTACGACGATCTCGACGACGATGCGGCCGATTCCGATCCCGATGCCTACAAGGCTCCCGAGGTCGACGAGAAGGACGTCGTCGTGTTGACCGACGGCAATTTCAGCGATTTCGTGAAGGACCGCAAGTTTGTGCTGGTGGAATTCTACGCTCCCTGGTGCGGCCACTGCCAGTCGCTGGCTCCCGAGTACGCGGCGGCGGCCACGGAGCTGAAGGCGGAGGAGGATGTGGCGCTGGCGAAGGTGGACGCCACGGAGGAGAGCGAGCTGTCTCAGGAGTACGATGTGCAAGGGTTTCCTACTCTCTATTTCTTCGTCGACGGTGTTCGCAAGCCTTACCCTGGCCAGAGGACCAAGTCAGTTCTTCTGATTCCAGTTCTCAGTGCTCTAGATTTTACTAATTATTTGTTGAATTTGGTTGCTGAAGACTGAAAGTTGATGTTTGGATTTGCGATTCGGGTAGGGAGGCTATTGTTACGTGGATTAAGAAGAAGATTGGACCTGGAATCGCCAATATCACCACATTGGATGATGCGGAGCGAATTTTGACTTCCGAGAGCAAGGTCGCCTTGGGTTACCTGAACTCCTTGGTGGTGAGTTAGTTCTTCATTTCCCTGATCTGTGAAAATGATGAAGCATTTAGATTCTTCTGATTGCCCTTGTTTACTGTTCAAAGTGGGGAAAATGTTGAGAACCATGGATTCAATGTTATATAGCTAGGAGTATTGTGTATATTTTTGGAATGGAGATAATGGAATAGTGTTTAATGTGAACCAATGCATTTGAATTCAACGTCAGGGCCCTGAGAGTGAAGAGCTAGCTGCTGCTTCAAGGCTTGAAGATGATGTTAACTTCTATCAAACTGTTAACCCGGATGTCGCAAAGCTTTTCCATCTTGATGCTAAAGCTAAACGTCCTACCTTGGTCATGATTAAGAAGGAGGATGAAAAACTGAGTTATTTTGGTATGTTTTTCTTTAGCTGCTCATCTAAAAGACGACTACTTTAGTGGGGGCAATAATTTCTTAAGGAAAGCTTCTTTTTTGTTTGTTTTATGTAGATGGAAATTTCTCAAGGTCTAGCATAGCCGAGTTCGTATTTGCGAACAAGCTTCCTCTGGTTACCATTTTCACCAGGGAAAATGCTCCAGCAGTTTTCGAGAGTGAAATCAAGAAGCAGGTATGTTGAGCAATTCAATTTGCTTTGATTTCCAATTAGCATCCTATAGGGTTAATCATTGACATCACAACATAAATTTGTTGTTCTCAGCTAATTTTGTTTGCCGCTAAAAATGATACGGAGAAAGCTCTTGCATCATTTCAAGAAGCTGCTAAACTGTTCAAGGGAAAGGTAAGTTGAGACAATCTTCTGTATCTAAATTTTTGCAGTACCTTGGTAATGTACATGTTCTGTCACCATATATTACTGTGTTAAGACGTTATAATTATTGCATTCAGAAGACAATGCAGATTTGTGATTTCCCAAGTGTTTCATAACTTTGAGGGTTGCGCATATGTGTATGTTGCAGCTCATTTTTGTATACGTTGATATGGAAAACGAAGATGTAGGAAAGCCTGTCTCTGACTATTTTGGTATCACAACTTCCCCCAAGGTAAATACATTCCATTCTACTGTCATCCCAAAAGAGTCTCATGAAAAAATTTCTTCTTCTGGTATGCCAACTTTTGGGTTTTGTTTGTATGCTGAACACCATTTATTTCTTATTAGATTATCGGATATACTGGTAATGAAGATACAAAGAAATTCATCTTTGACAAGGAAATTACGGTGGATAATATTAAGGTTTGAACTCTCACGCTCGATATTGAATTTCTGGGGTTTGCTCATATCTATTAGTTGCTCGCTCCTCCCCTGACATAACATGTGCATTTGACAATGAACTCCATAAACTGCACACTGGAATTTCCCTCCCCAGGCTTTTGGACAGGACTTTATTGATGACAAGCTCAAACCATTCTTCAAGTCTGACCCGATTCCAGAAAATGTATGTTGTTTATCTTCTTCCCATATTTCCTCCTTTGTACTATTACAATGTAACTCATGATAATAACTTGTTTTGATGATAATGTTGCCGTAGAATGATGGAGATGTCAAAATTGTGGTTGGGGATAACTTCGATGAAATCGTCTTGGACGAGTCAAAAGATGTTTTCCTTGAGGTATTGCTCCACATATCCAATGCAAATTGTGTACATTATTAGCTTTCAGAACTTCCTTTTGTCCTACGCTGCTTACTGATCAGTGCGCAATCGTAATCATCATGGCACCAGATCTATGCACCTTGGTGTGGTCATTGCCAAGCTTTGGAGCCAACCTACAACAAACTTGCTAAACATTTGCGGGACATCGACTCAATCGTCATAGCCAAGATGGACGGAACAACGAACGAACACCCCAGGGCAAAGGTAATTTCATATTGATCCATCTAGGCTAGAGCAAGTTTCTTATCATCGATCCAGAATGTTTCGAGGACTAAACTTCTGATCGGGTCTTTTATAATCCTTTGCAGTCGGATGGTTTCCCTACACTACTTTTCTTCCCCGCCGGAAACAAGAGCTTCGATCCAGTAAGTTTACTTAAAAACATTTTGCTTCCATTCTTAAATAAACGGTTGCAGACACCATAGGATGGCATGAGAAAACATTTGTGTGGTCATTTGACAGATCACTGTAGACACAGACAGAACAGTGGTAGCATTTTACAAGTTCATCAAGAAACACGCATCGATCCCCTTCAAGCTTCAGAAGCCGGCTACTACAACGAAACCAGCATCCGAATCCGAGAGTGAAGTCCAGGAAACCACCAGCAGCAGCAGCTCAGAAGACGTGAAGGATGAATTGTGAGGAAGTGGAAAACATGTTTCCTTAACTTATGTATCTGTGCCATCAGTTTAGGCTTAAAAGAGGAAGTTTTGGTTTCTCCTTCGGTTAGAGCCTACTTAGAGATTAGCCTGTTGTGTGTTCTTCTCAATCAAGTGCTTCATAGTCTAATGAACGTTTCTATATCTTGGTAAATTTCCCTTTGTGCTGTTAATGAGTCGAGCCGAGCTTTGCCATAGTTCGAGCTCGACTCGTGTTCGTCACGAGCTTTAATATGCAAGCTCGAGCTCGGCTCTTTTATGAAAATAAAAGCTCGAGCTCGACTCGAGCTAGCTCGTCAAATAAGCTTAACGAGACAAAATCGAGTTCCGCTAATAAAATGTTCATGATAGCTCAAGATTGACCTAGAATTGAGTACAAAATTACATTCAAACTTGTAGCAAAGTCTAGCTAAGTAAAACACAATATTTATCCCAATTTAAATGCATAAAATCAATGAATTCTAATCCTTTTTTTATGCCAAACCATTAAATGTGCTTGTTCGCGAGCTTTCGAGCAGAACATGGTATGGCTCGAGCTCGGCTCGTTTAGTTAACAAACTTGTTCGCAAACCGACTCAATTAAAACGAATCGAGTGTCGAACGAGTTTTTCTCGAGTCAAACGCCGAGCCGTTCATGGCTTATTACCAGTTACCACGGCCGTTTCACATCCTGCGACGGAATAGGGATCCTAAATGGTTATGGGGTCAGGTTCAATGAAAGCATCCCACTAAACCGTTGGTCATTTCAAGCTCTCAATCCCCCTTATTTTTTCTTTTTCTTTTTCTTTTTATACATTCCATCACAACGAGAAAACGACGCCGTAGCACACGTTTCTTCACGGTTAAGTTGGGACCTCGACACAGTTTCATTTTCGACTTCCATAATTATCCTCATAATCATTACAATTAATTAATTACCCATCCCATTCGTCCTCTTTCGTTACTCAAACGAAAAAAATGGTTTATTAATAAATTCTGCCAAATCTCAAATCCCCAAATACCTCTCCCTTGAAACTACAGTGTAACCTTTCCCATCCCGTCAATCCAGCGACCACCCTTTTTATCTCTTCTTCCCCGAGCCGAAAGAGGAGAGACGAACCAAAACTTCTCTTCCTTCCTCTTTCTCCTCCCTTTCCACACAGATCTGCAACTTCCGCCGCCATTGAAGGAGAGAGTCAAACTCCTCAAGATCCGCAGCTTCTCCTTCCGCCGCTGCCTTCAACTGCATTTCCCACTCTCCTTCTCCAGATCTGCGAGTTTCAGAAAATGGCGACCAACTCCTTGCTCCTACTCTTCCTCCTCGGCTTCCTCTCGCTCACAGCCACCACCGCACAGTCCCCGAGTCCATCCCCCGCCGCGGACTCCGATTCCAGTTCTCCGTCATCTTCTCCTACTCCGTCTCCCGATTCCGGATCTCCGTCACCATCACCATCTCCAGTTTCCAACTCGCCGCACGTCTCGCCTCCGGCGCCTCCTCCTTCAGATCTGCACACCCCTGCGTCCGCTCCCGCTCCGAGTCCGACTCCCGGCGATGAGAATTCCCCGGCGCCTGCTCCCGTGGAAGCCGTGGACGGGAACAAGAGCGGCAATGCGATGGCGACGGAGGACGGCGAGATCGGGGATTCGTCCGGGATGAGCGGCGGGAAGAAGGCCGGAATCGCGGTGGGGCTGGTGGCGGCCGTCTGCGTCGTCGGGTTCGGCGGGATGGTTTACCGCAAGAGGCAGCAGAATTTGAGGCGGGCGCAGTACGGTTACGCCGCCAGGGCCGAGCTCCTGTGAGTGTATTGAAGAAAAAGAAACCGCAGCTTGGAAACTCCGACGTTCACGGCTCGTAGTTCCACCCTAACCGCCGGTGAATTCGGAATTTCTCCCTCCTTACCGCGGTTAAAAGAAAAAGAAAAAGAAAAAAGATAATATACAGTCTTCTTTAGCAGTGTTAATTTCTCGATTGTTCCTCTGATCTGTTTCATTTGATGGCGATTTGTTTAATCATCATATATGATTAGTATTTTACTTGACGATTGTGATTTGATTGATTGATACTGTATGCTCTATTTTGGTTTTAGGGTTTTGGATTATAATACTGTTCTTCATTGCGATTTGAATTTGGATTCGAGATTATCGATTTCTAGCGATACTGCCATTTTTTGGTCTGATTGATTGATTGATTACTGGTGACTGCAGCGCTCCTTTTTTGTCTTTTCTAATCCTGCCGTTTCGTATGGGCCAGCGGTAGGGTTCAGTATTGTCTTTCTACTGCCAGCTGGGCCCAATCACATACTCCGATTACCATTCCTTTTTGTTCGCTCTCTTGGGCCTGTAAAGTGTACTTTTTGTCTTTCTATGCTGGAGTTACCTAGGCCCAAGCCCAATTAGCTGGCATTCTATGAGTTATTATAAAATTCGTATTAGATGACGAAGAGGAAAACCGTGGGAAAAATCGATTGACCAAACAGGCGAAGAAAACAACGGGGAAAAGTCTACCTTACCGTTGGGCTGAAACTGAACTGGAAAACACGTCGACGATTTCTTTGGTAAAAAAACTGAATTCATTGTATCGGAAGCGAACTATCTTTCTACCTGCGGGGGACTTTCCTACTTCTTTCCGTCGAGTTCCTTTAGCAAACCCAACCGGCGCTCTATATAATATGTGCACCACCGATCCCAAAACCTCCATCCATTCGATCAATCCCCTTCATAGTTCGATTCAAAGTTGTATATGCATTCCTCAATGTCGTCTGCAGGAACCCGGACTCTCGAGTTCACGATCCTCTCCGCGGAGGATCTCCGGATCGACGGGAGGGCCGTCAAGAAGAACGCGTTCGCCGTCGTGCGAACCGACCCGTCGAATTCCGGGTCGACCAGGGCGGATCTCGACGGCGGGAGCTACCCACTCTGGAACGAGAAGGTCGTCGTCGCGATGTCGATGCCGATGACGAAATCGGTGACGGTGGAGGTCCAATGCAGGGTCGGGTCGGGGAACAGAGTGGTCGGAGCGGTGGCCGTGCCGGTTTCCGATTTCATGGGCGGCCTGACGCCGGAGGATTACCTCCATTTTTTGAGCTACCGGTTGCGGGACCCGCGAGGGGTTAGGAATGGAATTGTCAATTTCTCGGTTAGAGTTACCGGCGGCGGCGGAGGTAATTGTTCCGCGGCGGCGAGGAAGAATGTGGTGGCTGAGTCATACGGCGGCTCTTCCACGTACTCTCCTTCATGGGGCGCGCGGTCTTCGTCGTCGTGGGGGTTTCAGGTGGGAGTGCCGGCGGTGGGTGGAAGCCGGAGCAATTACGGTGGCGGCGGAGGAGTAGTCACCGGCGTTCCTGTTTGGGGATCGTCCCGCGGTTGAATTGGCTGTCAGCTAACTTCCGATTTGATTGTGTATAGTAAATACGTTTGTATTGTTTTGAAGGTTGATCTCTGTAATCCTCTAATTAGTTGTTATTATATGCTATATCATCATATTACACTAATTATACAAATTAAAACTGAAAATCCGACACTTTAAGACTAGTTTTTGAGTTGGGTGCACTGAACACACTCATTTGTGTGAGTGCAGCGAAGTAATCACCATATATATGTATAATTATCATGGCTTTACGATGGATTATAAAAAATGTAGCTCAACAAAGAATTTTTTATGTACAAGTAAATATGTATGTGGAGATCGAGATCAATGTTGATTTTTACGAGTCACTTCGTGTGAGGTTTTGTATATCAAGTGAGCTAACATTGTGATTACTAAAGAACACACAAACAATAAACTATTGGTGGCTCCCTTATCGTCTTATATAAGATGCCAAAATCAGAACTTTAGTATGGTGACTTTTAGACGCACAAACAAAGTTTGATAAAACCGTCAATCCCGTTCTTGAAAATGGTCGACTCGATGATAGACTTTATCTTGTTCGATCTGTTATTCATCACCTTTATCAATGTTGGACAGAGTTTGGTTGACTTGAAATGTTTCACTATTGCAACTAGAGATGTTCAAATGATTACCATGGTAATTATGTCGCTTGCTGATGTAACCGTGAGAATCTTAGATGACGAACCATCACCTGCAGCAGCGGAAGCATAATCGAGAGAGTTGCATTTTTATTTTTATTTTTTGAACTTCTTTTGGGGGTGGAATGAGTTGTTGTGAAATTCGGATTCCTCACTTAAGAAATGACGAACGAGAAAACCGTGGGAAAATCCCGATTGACCGACCACACAAGCCCAAGTATAAAACAATGGGGAAAAAGTCCACGGTACCGTTGGGCCTGAAACTGGGCCGCGAAAACACGTCAACGATTTCTTCGGATAAACCAACCTTAATTTGTATCGGAAACGAACTCGGACTTTCCCACTCGTTTCCCCCTGCAGCCTGCAGGTTCCCGCATCTAACCCAACCGGCGCCACCTATATAATACACCACCAATCCCAAAACCTCCATCACAGTGCGATTCAGAGTTTCCATACAAATTCGGATACCAGAATTTTCGCGTTAGTTAGAATTAGAACACTTCCTGCATTCCCCCAATGATGGCGGCAGGAACACGGACTCTCGAGTTCACGATCCTCTCTGCCGAGGACCTCCGGATCGACGGGAGGCCGGTCAGGAAGAACGCGTTCGTTGTGGTTAAAACCGGCCCGTCGAATTCCGGTTCGACCGGGGCGGATCGCCACGGCGGGAGCTACCCGCTCTGGCACGAGAGGGTCGTCGTCGCGATGCCGGTGCCGACGACGAAATCGGTGACGGTGGAGGTTCAATGCAGGGTCGGATCGGGGAACAGAGTGGTCGGATCGGTGGCGGTGCCGGTTTCCGATTTTTTGGGCGGCCTGACGCCGGAGGGTTACCTCAATTTTTTGAGCTACCGGTTGTGGGACCCGCGGTGGGTTAGGAATGGAATCGTCAATTTCTCGGTTAGGGTTGTTGGCGGTGGAGGAGGTGATTGTTCGGAGGCGGCGAGGAAGAAGGTGGGGGCGGAGTCGTACGGCGGTGCTTCATGGGGAGTGCCGGCGGAGGCTGGAGGCCGGAGCAATTACGGTGGCGGCGGCGGATTAGTCACTGGCGTTCCTGTTTGGGGATCGTCCCGCGGTTGAATTGTACCTGTCAGGTTTCTTCCGATTCGATTGTGTTTATATATGTGTGTTTCTACACATGGAGCAAATTCTTATCGAGAGGTTCGAAGTTTGAAATTTTATATTTTGGTGACAATATATGACATTAGTGAATATTATTTTGGTTTAGTTTCCTTCTTCGTTTTAGTGGTTTGTACTTTATATATATGTAGTAATTAGTAGATTGATTGATGATTTTAATTTGTGAATTTCATTTTCGTGTTTGGTTTAATTTCGTTGGATGTGTCTCGAAGAGTGAATAAAAGATATTAGTTTACGAGCTGATAATTTTGTTAAAAGACGAAGCAGGTGCTTCTCTTAAGCAAGTCTTACAAATTGTACTATAATTATATGATGATTATCGTGCGCTCTGCGATGGATTGTCGAAAAATGTAGGTGAAGTAGCGTCGGAAGAGTAAATTTATATCAGGTTAAAGTAAATAAATGTAGAGATCAATGTAATAACTATAGGATTCATCCTCATGACTACCCGTGCTAGAACTAGCAACACTACACGAGGCTCTATTGTCGGGCTTGGTCCAATGGTAATACATTTAGTTTTAAACCTTGAAGATCACATGTTCGAATCTTTTTAGTAGAACAAAACATAGATCACTCTTATATATAAAAAGATATTAGAAGCCGAAATTAGGACTTTGATATGGTGACTTTCAAGTCACCCTGATTTGGATAAAACCGTCGATCTCTTCCATAAAATGATAGACAATTGGACACATTTATGTCGTTGCAGAAAAATTTAACCGCTTCGAAAAATGGTCTATTACTAATGGCAGAACATGATTCCAACACTAGAAAAATATCAGTACATTATAATTATTTTGCTACCAAATAACCTAAGTTGATATCATGAAGAACTATGAATAACTATATACGTCATTATAAAATAAAACTTTTTGGGCAAATCACCCTAGGCAGTAGGCATACCCCTGATTCCTGAAATTAGCAAAACGAATCCTTCTCCAATTCTAGGCCCAAGCCCAAGCCCAATTGGCATTCTATGAGTTGTTGTAAATTCGTGAGTCCGTGACTCGGAGATGAAGAACGGGCTCTGTTTTCAGAACCGGACCGGAGGCTGAACCGGAAAAGTTAGTGGTTTAAGGGTTCTCCGGTTAACTGTTACAAAACCGTTGGTGAACCGTTGATAGAACCGTTAATGATATATAACAAATTTTAAGAATGAAATTTATCATTGACCATAAACAAGTTCAAATTCATATCATCACGAAAATATCTAATAAATCATTCCAACCATCTCAAAAAAAAACCACATTTTTTAATTCAAATTAAAAATTACGGTTCTAGTTGGTAGTAGACAATGTAAAATCGACAATAAGGTTGAGGAAGCATATATAAAATTAATAATTATGATTTGATGGTTTTAGTTTATGTTAAAATATTTTTTTTGTTAAAATAGTGAACCAATGGACTAGCTAAACCGTGTCGGTTCATCTGATTTTATGTTGAACCGTGAAAACCCGTTTGGTCCATCATTAACCGTTCAAACAATGAACCGGACCGCTATCGTAACTGGTTTGACGGTTCTACTGGCCAGACCGTTGATCCGGTTCGGTTCCTATAACAAGGAGAACGGGTAAAAAAATATAAACCGCGGCAAATAAATCCGGCGAATGACCCAAGAAACCAATTGGAAAAGTCAACCGGACCGTTGGGCCGAAACCGAACGGGAAAACACGTCAACGATTTCCTCTTCCCGGGTAAACCTAAATTACAACGGAAAACGAACTCACCCTCGACCTGCACGGTACTTTCCCACTCTCTTCCCCGTCGGGTTCCCGCGTCCGACCCGGCCGGCAACCTATATAACACCCACCAAATACCAAAACCTCCATCCATCATCCCTTCACATTTCAATTCAATTCGCTGTACGGATTCATCAATGGCGCCAGCAGCAGGAACCCGGACCCTCGAATTCACGCTCCTCTCCGCGGAGGACCTCCGCCTCGACGGGCGGCCCGTCAAGAAGAACGCGTTCGCCGTCGTGAGATCCGAATCCGACCCGTCGAATTCCGGGTCGACGAGGGCGGATCTCGACGGCGGGAGCTACCCGCTCTGGAACGAGAGGGTCGTCGTCGCGATCCCATTGTCGAACGGTTCGGTGACGGTGGAAGTGCGATGCCGGGTCGGGTCAGGGAACAGAGTGGTGGGAGCGGTGGCCGTGCCGGTTTCCGATTTCTCGGGGGAATCGACGCCGGAGGATTACCTCCATTTTTTGAGCTACCGGTTGCGGGACCCGAAAGGGGTTAAGAATGGAATCGTCAATTTCTCGGTTAGGGTTATCGGCGGAAGAGGTAATTGTTCCGCGGCGGCGAGGAAGGAGGTGGGGGCGGAGTACGGCGGTTTTTCTACGTACGGTCCTTCCTGGGGCGCGCAGTCGTCGTGGAGATTGCAAGTTGGAGTGCCGGTGGCTGGCGGCCGGAGCAATTACGGTGGCGGCGGAGGTGTAGTTACTGGCGTTCCTGTTTGGGGATCGTCCCGCGCCTGAGTTCCATGTTCATCCTAATCGGCAGCTGATTTCCGATTTGGTTTCTGATGTAAATGTTTTCACCACTTGGTGTAAATACATTGTTAGTGATGGAGTTGATTAGTGATTACTATCTCCATCTACTAGTTCAAAATTGAGAGCATACAACATGCACATTAGTAAGTACGATTATGATTTCTTGCAATGTTTTCTGGTTTATAGTAATTATTGATCGGCATACTTTCTTCGGTTTAATCGATTTGTATTACACTCGATACTAGGGTCGGGCAATGGGCGTGTTGGGTGAATTTTGGTCTAAAATTGACCCACCCACTTACTAGCAGGTTGGAATATATGTGACCCGCAATCCACCCACATACTTATGTGGGTTGGGTTGGGTGGGTGACGGATGTGTGCGGTTGGGTGGCGGGTTAATCCGCAAAAGCAATTTTCCAACTAGCCATTAAGAAAATTGATTAACATTTATAATAAGTTCATAGTAAATTAATATGATTGTATCAATAATTTGTGATTTTGATACAATTAATAATTTATAGTTTGTATCCCAATATTTAATGGATATTAGCAATAATTTGCATGCAATAACAAATAATACTATAATAATAGTGAAAACTATTCTTTATTCTCCACCTTTTGCAGTATATGGTTAGACTGTAGTGCAGTTCGAAAATATGATTAATATTCGATACTATAAGAAACAACATTTTTCCACGTAAAAATAGGATGCGGGTCATACGGGTGACCCGCAATCCACCCACATAAGTGCGGGTGGAAGATTTAACAATCCGCAATCCACCCACATCAATCACCCATTGCATGCGGGTCGGGTTATTTGCGGGTGGATCGATATCAATCCGCGGATTAACCACCTACGTGCCCACCCATGTGGATACTCCATTTTTGCGTCGTTAATTATAACTAACATACTCATATATATTATTACTAGATCACTTTTGGACTTTTGGCAACATATTACTATAAACTCTATCAATAATATTAGTTTGTTAAGAAACAGATGCAAGCACAAGAATGGAAGTCGTCCATACTGATATAAGATTCCAACGTCATTAACAACTGTCCGATGAAGTCATAATACTTTTGTTAAGAAAATGCTGCTGCTTCGTAAAGCAAGTCCAGTGCATTAGAGCACGTATTTACCATACAAAAGAGGGAATAAGTCAACTAAGATTAACAAACAAAAAAGAAGTATTCTGTTAGGTGACGCGAATGAGAAGCACGACCATGACGAAGATGCAAGTCATGGCGAAAAGGAGAAGCCAGGTGAGGCACGAGGTCTTGGAGCTTTGTGAGAAGACTTGTGCAGCCCGGGCATTAGCATGACCTGTGGTAGCCAAGCTTTGCTCGATTGCCTGCTCCGTCGAGTCGAGTACCTGCACTTCCCATCATTTTGCCTGATTAGTGTTTTCAACAAGAATTTTCCAAGCTCGTGGTTACTGAGACTGAAGAAGAGAGCACGCGAACATGGCGAAGGGTACCTTTTCGGCGCCCTGCACCGACTTATGCATCATCAGGCTGCTCTCTTTCAGTTGCCGTGCCAAGACAACCATTTCGTCTGTCAGGTCCTCCTGAAGCTTTCTGTAAGCAGCAGTAGAAATATGCTTTGTTTTCAGTTATATAGACGAGTTGCAGGGAGAGAAGATCTAGACCAGATTGTACCATATGCTTTGTCAATGCTTCAAGCATGGACATAGTGCAATGCCAACTAAAGAAATATTGTTGTAGCTTTATGTTAATAGTAGAGTTTCTCCACGACATTCATGCATTACTGTTGAGGGTTTTGTTACTTCTATTCAGAAGCCACGTCCCAGTTCCATACCAACTGTGAGTCGAATAGCAGTAACTAACCTGTGCTTTTCTATGTGCATGTGAGCTGCAGCATCCAGTTTCACTTGGGCTGTAGATGCATCCCCACGTGCGCTGTCGTGACTTCTGTCTTCAACATTTGAGAGCTGCCTGTTGTTTAAGGTGTGGCGATTCAAGAACAGGACAGATGCAAAGAAGCCGTGCAAATTATAAGTGAAGAGAGAAACGGGAAAAGAACACCAAGTGAGAGCTCATGAGAAAAGATCAATGCTTTGACTCACTTTCTCCTTCTCAAACCAGGGGAAGATGGAAGGTGATTTTCTTCCTCTACAGTATGACTTCCTCTGCTAGAACTAGTAATAGGCTCCGTTGGCGAATTAATATCAGGCTGAAATCAACAACAATGAGTACAACTATTATCAGTATGAAGCACCTCCTCCACAATTCATGCCAATCCTTTTCTTATGTCCATGATATAACTTCCAACATACGATAGCAGGTAATAGAGTTCCTGGGAACAGCCTGTCCATTCTGAAGACCTCAAGATATAGCATTTTTTTGTTTTTCGACATGAGGGGAATAATACTGTGAAGGAGCCAGATTGTACAGTATGCGTGTCAAATGATTTTAAACGGGAACAAATTTCCATCTCCTATTTAACTCACCAATGATGCAGCCGCAAGTTTAGAAGCAATGGCTTCAATTTTGTCTGAATATTCATTCACGTTAACCTTGGACACCCTACACACAAGGAATGACAGAAAGCAAGACTCAGAGATCTCATATACTAGCTCAGAAATAAGAGCATCTGTCACAGGAAAGCTGCAACCTTAATAACAATTCTCGTAACTGGATGGAACCAGGATCAAATCAAGCATCAAATGCGAACCCAATTCAGCAGTGCAAAAGAAGAAGCAACCCGAAAGATCGGACTAATTTATCCTCCTCTCTTTTTTATCACAGCCAGTTTCCTCCGATTGAAAAAGCTCAACTGAAATAGCTGAAGCAACCTTTCTATACTGACCTAGGCAAACCATCTGGAGTTCTTTCTGCACCCAACTTCTCCAATTGTTCTCGTAAACTAGCAACATACTGCAAGAAAGCTACACCATAAGTACCATTTCCTCACACACAAACGCACAATTAGTGAAGAAACCACTCCAGTAACAGATGAAGAAACAATTGGCAATTCGCTTGAGGGTTAGAGAGGCGCATGAGAACAACATACATGCACAAGTTTGGCTTGATTTTGCTGCCGCGGGGCAGCGTCGAGCAGCCTCCTCAAGTCTATCTCGGTTTTACTGATCCCCATTCTCAGTTCCTGGATTGCGATTCAAGCCCGGGGAATCAGTAAAAAGATCTATACTTTAACATCAACAGTACCAAATTCGAGAAAAAGAAAACGAAAGAGAGAACAAGCTAATTAATGCTTAATTCGCTCTGTGAACATCTCACGGCAGGAATCGACAGCATGAAGATCGGCTAGGAATCGGTAGCGGTGACAGCAGCCGAGGAATAATTTCCCTTTTCTGTTCAGATCAACGATCAGTAAATTGAATTGAGGTAAAACAGAGGAAAAACCTTGTGAGAGTTAGGTCTCCAGTAGATAAAAGGGCGTGATCGGCGGCGAGCCTGTGAGAAGACGGCAAAACTGAAAGCCCGGCGGCGGCGGCGGCTTGATTCGGGATATAAAATGTGTTCTCCGACTCCAACTCGTTTTCCTAGTTCCTTCTGTATCTGTAGTAAATAACTAAATTGTGTCTTTCTTACCAGTTGGTACCTGAAGTTTCATCTTAATGAACAATTGGCCACTCCTCCTGATTTTGGGCTAATCTACAAAACCTGTCACTGAACTTTAGGGGTCGTTTGCTTCAAGGATTTGGTACATGGATTTGGTACCAAAAAACCAACTATCAAGGATTTAGGTACAATCCTTTGTTTGCTTGCACCTTTTTTGGAGACCAAATCCGTGGGGCCCACGGATTTTAATGGTCCAAATCCGTGGACCCCACAGACTTATAAATCCCACATGTTGATGTGGGATTTGGAATATGACATAAATCCTTGATGAGATTTTACCCATATACACTCATGCACTTTTAATATTCCAAGGTTGCCCTCAAATTTAACTATTATACATTATAATTAACATTAAATGAATAATATAAATGTTCAATCAATGTGCAAACATGAGTTAGATTTTTTATATCATTTCTTGTGTTCTAGTTTTCTTTGACCTTTTCATGGAACGTGTAATTTTTTGTTCTCCTGATTCCAATATATGTTGTTATATGTCACTTTTGAAAAGGAGGACAAAGAATTGGTAATTGATTATGTTACGTTAAAAGTTAAAACGGAATTTTCTCGTTTATTATTATTGTCCATGTGGCAACATTATGCTTATTAGTATGTATTGTCCTTGTTTTGTGTACATATCATAAACATGTCAAACATATAGAAAATGATAGTAAGGTAATTTTGAAGTTGTGTCCTTGTTTTGTGTACATATTATAAACATGTCAAACGTATAGAAAAGGGCAGTAATGTAATTTTTGAATTCAAGTAGTAAATCCCACACCTTTAAATCCATGATAAAAACATCCTAACAAACAAAGGATTGATACAAATCCATGATGCCTCAAATCCTTGATAAATCCTTGGGTTTTTAAATTACAAAACCCTCATTTTTAAATCCATGAAGCAAACGACCCCTTAATTTCATACAAAATGTTAATTTAACTTCGATTTCTAATAAATTTTCTTATTTGAAGTTCGAAATATTTAATAATATCAATCACTTATTCTTTTCTTCTAAATAAACAGACTTATGGTTTCACATCACTCTCAAAAGAACATCAAAGAAAACTCTGTATTCCTAATCTTCAACCAACTACAAGATAAGATCTTCATAACACATGACCCTACACTTCCAAAAGGCCATTTTTAAATTCAGCTGTTTCTTTCACAACCTTTCTTCTATACTCTAAAATTATAAGAGAGTTCCTCTTTTCATCCCTTGATCATAAGGACAGTCGACAGGTTCTTCCACTGTACATTAAGGACACAATAAAATACCATATCACTAAAGGAACTAAAAAAAGAAAGAGAGAAAAAGAAGCAAGCTGGAGACAGAAACTTTTGAGTCAGTGAAGGAGGTCATGTGAGTTTGTGTTGTTGTTGGCTTCATTCTCTGCAAATTCGTCGCTGATGCTGTTGTTGTCTCTGCTGCTGCTCCCGTCAGAACATTCTTCTCGCTCCGCCCTAACACGTTTGCACCAACACGAGTAGTCGGGGATAGGACCGTCTTCTCCGACAACCCAAGGATGGTTCGATACAGCGTCCAAAGTCAGCCTTTGTTTGGGGTCTATACATGCAATTAACAATTGCATCAGTAAAGGGCAATGGATTATGGAGGATCATAAGCTCAGTTGAAGAGGAGAGCTTGGTGTTCTTTCTCAACTCACCTTTACAAAGAAGCCCTTCGAGTAAGTCCTTTAGCTGAGGATTCATTCTATTCGGCAGCACTAAGGGGTTATGGACGATCTAAAAAGGAAAAGAAACCCAAAACTGTAAGTTAAAACATACTTGTGACGGACGCAGATATGAAAAAAGACAAATTGCTCGCTTGCCTTGTCATATGTGTCCTGCAGTGTTTCTCCAAGAAAAGGGTACTGTCCCAGTATCATGCAGTATAACGTTACTCCAACTGCCCAAGTGTCTGCCAATTTGCCATGGTATGTTAAACCTGTAGGATGTAGCAGCGACAGTTGTTAAAGAATGTTAATATCCTCACTAAACATCATCCAAGTTGCAAACTCTCACCTAGACAGCATTCCGGTGCAGTGAACACCGGGGTCCCAGGAGACCTGCGGAGTTCATCATTATCATCCTGCATTTGTGGTAAAGATGGTATCAATGCCATGTATCCACAAGTGTTGTACTAGCATATAATAAGATTACAGTAGCACAACCACAAATTAAAGGGTAAAAACTGCAAGGCGTAGGAATGCTTCCTGAAAGGTCACAACTTTCTGGAACCAAAATGGAGTTGGCAACAAAAGTAAAGTGATGATAAAACGGGAAACTTATGGAGCCCTTCTGGCCTACAAAACTAACGTTAAAATCGATGCAATGCAATGAAGGGTTCAATTGCACCGTCTCTTAGTAAGTTGGTACTCGGCAAAATTTCAACCATGACCTCAAGTTCGTCCCTACCAGGACCAGACAGAGAAGCTGAATTGGAAAAGCTTCTGATATGGTTTAACAATAAAAAAAACATATTACATTATGATTATCTACCATTTGGTCAATACTACAAGAACACTGTTTGGTAGACAATTTACTGATTGGACATCAATGAATCGATAAATCGCTATAAACTACTTATGCTTACTGATTCGCACAGCTTTCGGAAGTAAAAAAATGACTTCAACCGTGGATAGAGAGTTGCTGATTTACCTCAAATACTTGGCTCACACTAAAATCTCCAATTTTAACTACTCCAGTGCTGGTAACCAATAAGTTATCTGGTTTGATATCACCATGTACTATATTCTGTAATAAGATCAAAATAAGAGAAATTAAACAAAAGTCAAATAACATGCATTCCAAGGTGCAATATTAATGACCTATCGACAAGCTCTGGAGAATCGAGAAATACTAGAGAGGTTGCCCCAAAAAACAAACAATGCAATAGTCATATACGAAGAAGGCAGACAGATTGATGCCCATCCAAAATGTAATAACCATCATATAACCACAATAATATGAGCAAAAATTCAGGCTAAAAGGGTCTTACATGGGCGTGGAGATACATAAGTCCATAAACAATATTTCGCAAATATTTCCTAGTAGTATGTTCACCGATGCCGCCAGGAGGGCCACAGCCTTCCCAGACCCACTTCCCATCAACATATTCAAGAACTGGTACAACAGACCATAGAAATTTCAGCAATGGAAACACGATGAAAAACCATCATTACATTTTATCCAAAACCAGGAGATATGAACAGGTGCACCAAAGATCAGCATGCTGCAATAAGGGAGGGGGGAAGCAAAAAAAGTGAATACCCATGTAGAAGTGATCTGTGTTTGGGTCATCAATCACCTCAATGAGATTGACTATATTGGGATGTTCCAACAGCTTCATGATCAGAACCTGCAAGTAAAAAACAAAGTTAGGACCATTAAAAATTTAGTTTGTCATAACACTGGAAGGCACCTGCCAAAACACTGAAAGGTACCTCTCGAAGAACATCAGACATTGCTGTCTCAGAGGGTGCAACTCGCAGCTTCAAAAGATGAGACTTGTGGAAGGACTGCAATCCAGAAGAAAAGGTATCTAATTTCATGAATAACTGATAATGACATATAAAAGACCACACAATTTCATTCTTTATAAATCATGCACTCCAGTTTGATGTCACTTGGTTAATTAAGAAGAGACCTCAACAGAATTTAGCTAAACAGCATTACAGTATGCTATCTATAGAAAGAAGGTAGCATTAGCAGTATCGTACCTTTATTGCATAGTTCTTTCCATCTATACTGCTTCGGTACAAAACCTGATCCATAAAAGACATCGCATCTTTAGCTTTCCGGCCAACATGTTAAGACCATCTTATTTTAAGATGATGATTTGACATGGACTGTCTGAGATGCACACTTACCACTTTACCATAGCTACCAGCACCAATTTTGCATTCACGAACATACTCATTGATCATTTTATTTCCATTTTCATCCTGAGACAATTTCATAGTAAATGTGCACCGTTTGAGAGAGAATTCTAGATATGAAACAATAGTCTCATTAATGCTAAAGCTAAATTGGAACATCAGAAACAAATCATATGGACATGTAGCTAAGTTTAATACTGCTATAATTTCACATAAACAAAATTTCCACTATCCATTATAGCCTTAAATGGAGGACATCATACAATAAGTAGGTTAGAATTAAACCGATGCAGTATACGGATAAAGGGTAGGCAATCCACTTAGTGACATAAAAAGGAATTAAAAACTTCCTACCCATATCATGAAATCAAGAGCTTTGTTACACTATACTAGCAAGCAGGCTGCTCCATGAAGGGAACACATAAATACATGACAGTGGCACATACTAAGTTATCCTAATTCATACCTCTGAACGAACTAGTGTCCGTGTCTCCTTGACAGGAAATTGCCTGCAAACCATTCCGTTTAGTTCTTTAAATTTTAGTATATCTTCAGACCGATTGGTACAGCATGGCACCATTCCATCATCTCCATATACAGAGCCTGTAATTTCGCCATTGTATGAGCCATTGTCCTCGTCATCAATCTCTTCATCTAACAAAAATTCCTGAGATAGGTTGGGATTGCTCACAGGAACATGCCTCGGTTTTCGCTTGGTTCTCCTTATGAACCCAAAACAGCTACAACAGCCAATTGCTCGAGCAAGAGAATAGCTCTTACGGAACATCGAATCCAGAAACATCTAAGTACTCACATAATTCTCAACAGCAGAAGAAAACCGAGTTCCTAATCCTGAAACCAGAAGAAAACTCAAATGAAACACAGCATACACCAGTATCTCTCTTATCAACCAGCAACCATCACTGAACTCACAGACAGTAGTACCCAGACCAACAAGTTCAGAAGGGATGAAAGAGGGAACAACTTCAAACCTGAAAATTCACACAGGGACGGGAATAGGCAGCTGGCTCGCACGCCTTAATTTGGCTCCTTTATTCCAAAGGGTGCCATTCAGCTAAATGGAATGAAAAGCTTATGATGTTAAAGATGCCAGAATTGCAACCAAACATCCTTGTAGCTCCAGTTTGCTTCTATATGCACTCAATCTCGGAACACCTCAGCACCATCAACACGTTGACCCGTTGCCAGCCCCAAGGAAACAACCAAAATAAGCAAAGCTATCGATCGCCTGAATTCAAATAAGGAACATTAGATTAACAACAAAGCACACTACCATGAGGTCATCGAGCACGAAAAAGAAATTGAAAACTTTGGCGTAACCCCATCAAAAGATAACATCTCTTACGTCTAATGACGCCGACGGCAACGGTTGTAGATATCAGGCAGACAGCCCTTTCGCTTTCCTCCCACTTCAAAAGTAGAAGTTTCTGAGCAATCAAAAAAGATAAACGAAGGAAGAGAACAGTTCGGGAACTGGGAAATTTCCCCCCTCGAGATCCAAGTCGGAATGCCGCAGTGGACAAATAGAAAGAATTCGAGACTTAAGGCAGAAGAAAGGGGGAAACCCTAGGGGTGGAAAATCGAGAGGAAGAAGGTTGATTGGGGTAATAGTGTTTGATCTGCAATTGCGGGGATTTTGGAGGAGCTAGTAGGGTAAAAAGCTGCTGAGACGTAGGTTCGACGGTGAGCGGAATTGGTTTGGTTCCTAGCGTGCGGCAACGGTGAGCGGCGGAGGAGAGCAGAGCCGGGAAGAAAGGGAGGGAAGAAGAAGAAAAAGGGTGGAGAAAAAAAGGGAGAGGCTGTCGATAACGATATTTCGTCTGTTTCCTGTGGGCCTGGTGGGCCTGTTTTGGGTTATGGGCTGCCGCTGTTTTGGTTCCCCCGTTTTAGTCTGTTTTATGTTAAAACTTAACAAACCTGCTATTCGTTTGCTTTCAGTTTTTGCTGTTTATTTCGAGAAATTTTACAATGCTATATAGTATTGGTGCTATAGGTGTTTGCCTTTATGGTACAACTTAAAATTGTACATTTACGTTATGGTACAACTTCATATTGTACCTATACTTTTGGTACAAATTCTTTTATGGTACAATTTGAACTTGTACCTTTATGTGATGATACAACTTCAAGTTGTAAAGTTGTATCATAACACAATGGTACAAATTGCTTTATGGTACAACCTAAACTTATACATTTAATATTATGGTACAATTTTAAGTTGTACATTAAAGCACCAATACTATATAGCATAGTAGAAGTGCTCGTTTATTTCTTGGTTTTCACTTTTGTTTATATCCAAATTCATGAATGAGTTTATTTCTTGGTTTTCACTTTTGTTTATATCCAAATTCATGAATGAGGTTTTCACATTTACGTATTATTCCCTCTCCTCTTCCAAAACCACACACCAATAAATATTTAACGAAAAAGGGGACATCAAGATACAAGATTATACACATTGATCTTCCACTTGTGATAGGAAAGGAGGAAAAAACAGACCAAGACAAGTATTGATCATTCGAGCTGCAGCATCTCTACCTCCAGCCTAATGTTCACAACTCCCTAAACTATACTCCATTCTGCAAAAACTACTTAGTTCTAAAAGCATATATGGTATAAGGAAAGAAAAAAAAAAGAGAGAAGGCCGCCCTACAGTTCTCAAGAGGAATTCCCCCCTCTAGATGGCGTTCTTTGAGAGTTGTTCATATGTTTGCTGCTACCGTAACTGGCTTGGGTAGGAGGGGTGGCTGGTGCGATCTTAGGGTTGTTGAGGTTCTCTAATGTGGCCTTAACCTCGACCATTGGAGGCCGATACTTAGGGTCTGTGTGCAGGCATTGCAGTGCAAGTGCAGCTGCAGCTTGTGCTCCTTTCTTGGAGTACTGCCCGCCTAATCGGGTATCCATGATTCTTAGGACCCGCCTGGTGTCCATCAGGAAAGGCCTCGCCCAGTCCACCAACGTCTCGTCTACCGAACCAACTCTATCGTCGTCCATTGCCCTTCTCCCGGATAGCAACTCCAACAACACCACTCCAAAGCTGTACACATCACTCTTTGGAGTCAAGTGCCCTGATTTGTCATTCCCAGTAGAGTACATAACAGGTTGTTAGATTACATTTATATTACTTCTCTGCATTAACTTATAAGCAAAACCTTCCTAACCTGTAGCTACATATTCTGGTGCAGCATAACCACGAGTTCCCACTACTCTAGTTGAAACATGAGTGTTATCGCCAGTTGGGCCATCGCGGGCTAAGCCAAAGTCAGAGAGCTTAGCATTGAAGTCCTGCAGGAAAGTTTTCCCACCAGTTTGTTCAGTTTACAGAATCAATCATATGGGCAGCAGCATTCACGATTGACCAAGAGTAATATTTTCAAGGGTTGTATGGCGTACCGAATCAAGTAGAATATTTGATGCCTTGAGATCACGATAGATTACATTGGCACTTAATCCGTGTAAGAAGGACAATCCTCTCGCCACATCAAGTGCAATTTGCATCCTTGTAACCCAAGCCATTGGCTGTACACCTTCTGCAGAAAGAAAGAGATATGCTGTTAACATTCTGAAGTATGTCACCAAGAGAAACCAAAAGACAGCATAAATTTTGGATGCTAACAGAGAGAATCATACGTACTTCTAAATAAATGGTTCTCCAAGCTCCCCTTTGGCATAAACTCATAAACTAGCAGCCTATTATCGGATTCAGCACAATAGCCCACCAATTTAACTAGATTCTCATGATAAAGTGTTCCCAGGTAGTGAACTTCAGTCTGCCAAATAGAAACAAAAGGAACAGAAGGAATCAAATCATTTTTACTTAATAAAGATTTTGCAAGGTTAAGAAAAGAAAAGCATGGGGGTGTAGCAGAATACACTTACCAGCCACTCCTTGTGGCCCTGAAAGCTCTCTGTCTTGAGCTTCTTGATTGCCACAACAACTCCAGTTCCCGGTTTAGCAGGTGCGAAAGTGTTCTGATCAATCCACCCTTTAAAGACACAACCAAAACCTCCTTCTCCAAGCAACGTTTCAGACTTGAAGTTCTTGGTGGCATTCCTTAGATCATTGAAGCTGAAAGCCTTGAGACTGCTGGGAACAGATGCATCGAACTTGGATGCTATCAACGACTTGTTGAGGCTTTCCATTGGCACCCGTTTGGAATCGTTATTGGCATCTTGCTTGACATCATCCTGAGACTTTCCGATTTCTGCAATTCCACAATAATGGATACCATGTCAAAAGAACCATTCTTCATATAGGCAAAGTGCGTTCAGTAAGAATTTCAGACCAGGTATAAGAAAGTATCCATTTTTACTTTGTCCACTACTAAAATTACACCCGACTTTTATTGCAGACTGTTTCCATCTTTGAAGAGGCTTCTTATAAAATATACAAAAGTGAGCACTTGCATTAGCAATAAGCCTTCTCAATGATTCTCCAAAGTAAGCAGAAAGTGTAAACCTTTATGATGAGACCAGAAGATTCATTTTGGGAACCTCAAGCTAAAAGTTGCAATTCATCCAAACCATCATGCAGTATTTAATCAAGACACCAGACATGCAAGCATAGGAATCAAACAACAAGCATCCAAACTCACAATTATGGAATTCCAAGTGAACTACTGCAAGAAACCAGCAACAGAGAACTTCAATTCCGCAAACTTCATTCAACTTTCCAAAAAGAAGGAACCAAAGAAAAAGAAAGACCAGGTCTGCACTAACCAGAAGAAGCAAAAGTAATAGAGGAAGCATGAGCCAACTTGGCCGGCTGCATCAAGCAATTCCCCATAAGTGCCTTTTCCCCCCCTTTCCTCCTCAATTGGGTAATGATCTTTAAGCAAATTCAATCCCTACCCATGAAAGCAAATGAAACAAAGATAGCAACTTGAGGGGATGATAATGACAATCTTGCTCTTGCTCCTTCTTGTTGCCCGGTGGGCAGGGGAAAAAATTTGTATTCCAAAGAAACCCTACTTAACTCTAGACTAATGATTTATAGCACAGGAAGTCAAATGAGAAGGAAGACGGAGGGTGCTGTTGTGGATTTGAGGAAGGAAGAGGAGGGACGGACGGAAGAAGAATAAGCTGACAAAATTGGATTGCCAAGCATCTGCCTGCAGCATCAGTCGCTGGCTGGCCGTGGAAAATTAGAATATTCAATGGCTGCCCAAATATTTTACTGTTTCTCTCATTTTTTAAGGGATTATTTCTGGGGTAATACTAATATTAGATTACATTGGCACAGTGTGGTATGGTGATGATGATGATTGATGAATGATGGTAGGGAGAAGACTGAAGAGAGAGAGAGAGAGAGAGAGAGAAAGGGAGGGAAGGCGCAAATGGTGGTCAATAAAGGATGCTTCCCCTTCATCTTCTTCCTCAATTGTTTGTTTGTTTCTTCGTTTGATTAGAATTTCGCTGTCACGAAAGATTGAAAATTTATTGCAATGAAACATTTGAATTTTCTATGCGATGAAAGGGTCTTCCACCCTTCGGGACCCAAAGCCCCCCTCTTCTTGGGCCTGTGATAGGTTTGTTTTTTTTTTTTATTACAAAGATTACCAAACTTTTATTCCACCAAACATCAGGAAGCGATGCTCGAGTTTTTGATCCAATCATCAGGAAGGACGAGAAACTCGGTTACAATCTTTAAAGAAGATCAGAAATGAGATCAAGAATATTAATCCAATCATCAGGAAGCGATGCTCGAGCTTTTGATCGTGCTACCCTATCTGCTCTGACATTAAGTGTTCTGGGCACTTCTTTGATTTTGATGAGAGGGTTAGTCCGAAGGATAGAAACAATCGATCTGATCCATGCTGCACACCTCCATGGCCATCGAGAGCGATCAATTATCCAAAGCTTTCACCAGCACCTGACAGTCGGATTGAACCGTACACTCGGATCCATATTCTTGAGCTAATTTCTCTCCTTCGAGAAGGGCTTAGTTTCTACTTTAATCAGGGTGGAACAAAGAAGATTCCCAGCTATCCCATCACACACTTGTCCATGATGGTTAACAACCACAACACCATAAACATTTGATAGGCTTGTTAGCGGAGAAATTTTGGAGAGTTTGTTTTTCTTTTTGGGAGTTATTGACCGTTGAATATGCTATTGTTGCCCTTTTTTTATATGTCCATTTCCGTTGACCACCAGAGAAGGTAGAATAGAATGCAGAAACTTTCTTCCCTTCCTCTTCTTCCCTTTTGGGTTCAATTTCTATAGAACGTGTAATACTAAATGAAGTTAAGATTACCACAGGAATTCAAAGAAGAAAGCTTTCTCAACATTGTCCAAGAAAAGCTCTCTCCTTTTCTCATACATCTTCCCTCCATCCCCAGGACACACAGATAAGAGAGACATCAAATGATTTGTGTAGCCCTTAAATTTACATCTACACTACAACAACTATAAAAGCCTAAAATAATGATGAAACAACTCTTCTTCCCTCCATCTCTTGATCATTGCTGCTTATTTTATTATTTGCCCCCAAGCGTAGTAGTAGTAGTGTCTTCTATCTTTACTCTTCCTTGGGAGGATCCACCCATCGTCCGTGTTCTTTGATCAGATCAATCAAAGCGTCGGTAGCATGCTCCATCTGTATCGCTCTTCTCACCACATTCTGCAAATGTCAGAATAATAGTTCATTAGCTCAAAATCCAAATCCAGTTAGGATTCAAGAGAAAGGTATAGGATGGAAGTATGAGAGGAGAGAAGTGGTTGGGTGGCTACCTTGCCAACATAAAGGTCAATCTTCCCTGGAGCACCACCAACGTATCCGAAATCTGCATCAGCCATCTCTCCAGGTCCATTCACAATGCAACCCATGATTGCAATCTGTGAAACAAATAAGACTTATTTCAGTTTTGCTGATAATTTGGTCGGCGTTATGAGCAATGAGTAGAAACAGCAGTGGATGCGTACCGAGACACCAGGTAAGTGTGAGGTCTTCTCGCGGATCTCTGCACTTATTTCTTGAAGATCAAACAAGGTTCTACCACAGGATGGGCACGAGACGTACTCCTGAAGAAACCACAAGTTTGGATGTTAAAGTAAAGGAGTAAAAAGGAGTATTTGTTGCCACCTGTTCAATATTGGATTTGGTGTTCAATTGTAAGAGTTGAGATTATTCTTACTGTTTTAGTGTTCCTCATTCTGCAACCTTGTAGTAAGTTGAAGGAAGTGTTCCTCAGGAAATCAAAGTCCTGGTCTGCTGCTTCGACAAGGATACCGTCTCCTAGACCATCTACCAGAAGAGCTCCAGCATTTGCTCCAGCATGGATTACCAAGTCATCTCTACAAATAGAAAATAGATTAATCACCTCAAAGTAGGAAGCTTTATTGTTTATTTGCATATCTTTCGCGACTAACAGCATCAGAAACTTGTCTTTTACCTGTGAACGCCAGATGGAAACTGGATATGGTGAATAACAGGGAAATCCAGAGCATTTACTTGTAGGTACTCAAACAACCTGCAACATCAGTATATAGCAAAGTGTCACAACTCTACTTGAGACCACGCAATACTCTGAACAAGCACGCAGTCAATTGATTCTTCACACTTAATATGAAAATTTACCTTCTTGCTGCCTGAACCCTGCCGACCTTATCTTCTCCATATGGTAGACCATGGAGGATCATTGTGGCATCAACGTCCTTCAAGATTTCCAGTTCATCATAAGGCTCGTCACCCCGAACCGAGATGACCAATCTAGTGCCTGAAATGTAACATTCATCACATCATGTTATCCACTGAATTAGCGAAACCAGGCCATTTTGGGAAAGCTATGTCTTTTTGATGGGGAAAAAAATATTAACCAATCATCAAAGAAAGGGGGAAAGATTGCAATCACCTTCAGGCAAAAGCTTGTATGCACCAGTGGCCAACTCCTTAAGATTGACAAGCACCATTGCATTGGGCAGCGGCTTTGTCAGCTGCTCGGACAATGGGGTAATAACACCCATGCTGATATCTATCAACCTTTTGAGAGCCAAACGCTGTTCAAAAAAGAAAGAATAGAAGATCATGTCAGTTTGATATTTCCAAATAGAAAGAGCAGTAGAAACTCATAATCAGTAATAACAAAGAGATTAGTAGCTTACAGCATCAGTATCGTCCACTGGAGGAAGTTCTCTCAACAAGATCGAGTCAACCGTGGCAAGATCCTGAATAGATAATATTCTTCGTCAGTAAATAGAAATGAATGAGAAACATAGGCTTCAATGAATTTTCCATTGCCATAAATATTAACTAAGAAAATAACCTTGAAAGGCATTCCAACAATGAGCTTTGTTGCGAGCGACTTGTAAAGGAGTTCAGGTGCCTGTAAATTTTTTACAAGTTGCTGAGTGAAACTGGTCCATCAACGTGATAATATCTCTAAAAGGGTTAAAGCTGTTCAGGTGTTACCTTTAACTGGTCAAGGGAAACAGACATTAGAACAGACCCATCACGATGCAGAGCACCTCTGTAATCAACGTCCTCACCCTGTAAGAATATCGGAGAGTCAGAAATGACAAGACAATGCAAAATACAGTACCCAGACTTATGATTGCGTTATGTGTGTGTTTAGATTTGCTACTGACCTCCTTCTGTACTGGCAATTGACCAGTCCGGCGCTGGAACTCGAAGTATCTCCTGTGTTTCTCTTCAAATGGTTCCTGTATTAAAATAGATTCCATTGAGAATCAGTTGCTGAGGTTTTTCATATATGAGCAAGTCTCATATCATATGTGATAGATTCATACCACTCCTTGCTGAAGTTCTGCAGCCTTCATACCAAGGTTAGCCAACCTTTTGCAAGGATCGATCTCCTTCTCTGGTGCTTCTGTTAGTGAAACTCTAATCGTGTCACCCAAACCATCCTGCACATCCAACATACTTAATTAGAGATTCAATGAACTGGAATATCTAGTGGCATACAATACAATACATCAGAAGGCTTGGATTTGGCAATGTACCTGAAGAAGAGTCCCAATTCCAATAGCGGATTTCATCCTTCCATCCTCGCCTTCTCCTGCTTCAGTGACACCTAAATGCAAAGGATAATCCCAACCGAGGGCATTCATTTCAGCGACAAGCCGACGGTATGCCTGGACCATGATAACTGGATTGCTTGCTTTCATGGAAAAGACAAAATTATGGAAATCCAACTTTCTGCATATCCTTGCAAACTCAAATGCAGATTCTACCTGTTAAAAGCAAAGCAAGTAGATTGAGTCTGGACGCCATTTAAGTAACAAAACAAGCGAGATAAGTTCTAGGATGATGATATGTGAAAGAAGGAAAGTCTTACCATTCCCTGAGGGGAATCACCATAGTAGCTCATTATACGATCTGAAAGACTTCCATGGTTTGTCCCGATACGCATGGCTCTACCATACTTCTTACATTTCTCCACCAATGGAGTAAAAACCTGATGCAGAGAAGCCCAACGTGAGAACATAATCATAAGTGAATTAATGCTTACGAATGTAAACTAAGGAGTGAATCTGCTATACAATAATGGATTTTTACCTGCTCAATGTGCTCAAGTTCTTTCTGATAATCATCCTCTGTGTACTCTAGCTGCTCAAACTGAGCACGCCTATCAGCTGCAATCAACCACTCTCTGTTTGATTCAAAATATCCACTAGATATGTAGAAGATTAAGAAAACAAAAATATACACATACCAAAGTTTCCAGGGTTGACGCGAATCTTATCAAAGCATTCTGCTATGCGCAATGCAACAGATGGGGCGAAATGAATATCTGCCACAAGAGGTATGTTGTAACTGCAAAAGAAAAAAGATTAGCAACAAGGTCGTTCCAGAATACTGAGTACCACGCAAAAATAAAGAGCAGATTATCATTTCTTTTCTCAACTCACTTCTTCTGCACAAGAGTGTTCTTGATATCAAAGCAGGCATCTGCTTCTCTCTTCCCTTGAACTGTTATTCTAACGATATCAGCCCCTTGATCGGCAATTTTCATCACCTACCACATAAAAACACGTCAATTATTTTGTAAATCAAATGAATTGGCTCAAAGAATCGGAAGTCTGGAGAAAAGAGGGGAGAAAACACACTTGTTCAACAGTTGCAGCAACATCCTTGGTGTCAGTTGTGGTCATGGTCTGAATCCTAATGGGGTGATCACTTCCAAGCGGCACATTTCCAACCATCACTGTGCTGGTTTTCCTCCTAACAGTCTTGTTTATTGATTCACAGTACTTTTGCCTCGGAACTAGATTAAAACAAACAACCATCAATCACACAACATGAAATCGATTGAACAATCCCTTAGATTAGTTCACGGTTGGCATCTCTTACCAAGCAAAGGACTGCCTTCGGATGCAGGCTGAAGTTCAACAGCAGAGTTTTTGATCATGGAGATCTTTCTCCTACCGGACTTGATCCTCCTGCCATCAGAGATCCTCACAAAGTCCATGTTCTTAGAAAACCCCAATCTTGTGTCCCCAGTCTTGAGGCCAGTAAACGAGGCCGGCACAGCTCCAGTCGCCATTTCCACAGAGCCTTCTTCTCACTCTGTCACATAACAATTAAAACCCAATCATCAGTCAGCTTCCAACACTTGAAAAACACCAGAACCCAAAAATTATGCTGATGAAACGGATTGAAACAAACCAAACCCAGTTGCTTAAAACCGAAAAGAACCGAGCTTTTTACCTCAGGTTAAGAGAATTTGGAGACGGGAAGCCTGGAGAGCGAAAAAGGGAAGAAGGGTGACGAACAGGGTGGGAGTAGTGGTGGTTATGGGAGTTGTGGCGTGTGTCTGGTAATAGCGATGAATGTGAGAGGGGGAAAATTCAGATTGCGAGCATTGTTGTGGGGCTTTCAATTTGGGGTATATATTTGGGGAAGTGAAAGTGAAATGGGAAGTGCTGTTGTGGATTTGAGGAAGGAAGAGGAGGGACGGACGGAAGAAGAAGAAGCTGACAAAATTGGATTGCCAAGCATCTTCCTGCAGCATCAGCCGCTGGCTGGCCGTGGAAAATTAGAATATTCAATGGCTGCCCAAATATTTTACTGTTTCTCTCCTTTTTATTTTTTGGGATTATTTCTGGGTAATACTAATATTAGCTGCACAAATCAATCCGTCAATTTCCAAGCAAGATTTCTGGATATTTAATCCTCGATCCTGTTCTTTTGGGGAACTCATTCTGAGTCGTACAAGATTACAAATGCAATGAATCCACACCTTCCTGTCAAATTATGCTGCAAATTATTTGGCATAAATGGGGAGCACTATAAACCTAAAAATTATGCTACTCCTTCTAGTCGGTCTTACTCTTACTGCTGCAAATTTTAAACAATTTTTGATGGTTTGTTTATTTGGAGACATATCACTCTTATTGTATAGCTATAGGAATTTTTTTTATATAATATAAGAATGTTGATGTCGAGAAAGTATTTGTGGTTATATTCGTCAATGCATGGATATTCATGCACTCTTAAATACTCGTTGGATTGGATTGTGATTTGGAGAAATTCGATCCCATCCCATCCACTGTAATCCCCCATTGTTGCACTCTGAGATACTAAAGGGCAAACTCACTCCGCCACCTTCACCAACCCCTCGTCTCCCAATCGGTTTGACTAGAAACTCGCATGGTTTTAATTAACATACCAAATCATCTAATTATTACATTTAAATTAAACAATTATTATCATCATTACAACACACAATAGTCAAGAAGATAATATAATGTAATATAAGATCTGGTTTTGATTAACCCCATTTCTTATTCAGTATTATATTTTCATTCCCCCTAGAAATTAATCAGGTTATTATTTTGTTAACATACTGTACTATTGAAGTTCTCCCGTTATATTGTATTCAATTTCAAGCCACCAGGTCTCCTATGGCTGCTCCCGCCAGTGACCATTCCTGAATTTGTATACAGCAAGCAAAATAAGATCTGGTTTTGGTTCATTCATGGGTTTTTATATAGTGTGTAATAAAGGGAAATATATTCTTGTCATAACTCATAACCATCATTATAGACAAATTTTGATGAAGCTAGCTTCAAAATTCAACTTCCCAAAATGTGCCACCAGCTGCTGCATCTTGACTGACGGATTGACTAAACTCACCCGTTCGTTGCAGCCGTACACAAAATCAACCTGATGATTTCGGGTCCAATCCGGCATGTGGGTTATTATAATGCTACTACAAACTCAGAACGAGAAACACAAGTCTAACATGGCATGCTACTCAATTCACACATGCAGTATACAATTGCAGCAGCAGTAACATGACCATCCCACAACCTCCCTCTTTGTCAACAGCAACAACAACATGCTACTTTTTCATAATGATATCATGTCTAACAACTAGTGTAGAACTCTCCTCGAAACGGGACCCAATAAGAAGATTTAACGGTTCAAGATCGAATAAACTCGTGATGAAATCAATGATAGATCGGCACCGACTTGAACTTTGACACATGGTTGGTTGCTCTGTACAAAGATGCTTCCTTCCTCCATCAGCCACCATTCGAAAGAGAACAACATGATTGAATCGTAACCAAGATTCTGTACGCGTAAGGAGCCATTGAAACCGGATTTGTGATTTCTGTGTAACTCCCCCATCCCTTCATTGGCTAACAGCTTCATCCTCTACTAAAGAATGTTTTTCGATGATGGCAACTGTCTCTTCCTTTGCGCTGCACAACAATAAAACAATGAAGTGTAGTAATGAATCAGGATGTGCATCGGAGAAACATGCTCAAAACGAGCTATAATTGAGAGACTCTCTTCATTAAAGAGTAAAAAAGGGATGTTTCTTCACCATACACACCTTCCAGGTCTAAGAATCCTGTACTTTCCAGCTCGGGTGAGGTCTACGATCGTTGATCCAGTACGTCCAGATGGAAGCACACCACCATCGTACACAAAGGCACATTCCTGCCACAAGTTCTGAAAATCATTGATGCAAACACTACTTGGCTGGCCACTGAGGTTAGCACTAGTTAGGGCTATCGCTCTTCCCAAACCCCGAGATATCGCCCTGATGAAGTTAGAGTCAGGCACCCGGACACCAATGCTGTCCAGTCCCGGGTTTAGAGACTTTTCAAGCACGCTTAAAGCTCCTGAATGAAAAGGGGTCCCATCAGTATCCCACACCAAAACTGAAGGAAATGAAGAATGGAAGACATTAACCACCAACCTCGACTCAGTATTACAGTGACAGGCCCAGGAAGTAAGGAGTCCAGTAAGCCAGAAGGCAGGTGGTCAGTGACTGCAAACCGCTCTATGTCTGATACATCCCCAACACAGATTGCAAGTGGACTCGTGTGCTTGCGACCTTTGATGTCATAAATCCTATTCACTGCTTCTGAAGAACTGTCATGAAAACAAGTATTTTTGGATCAGCAACGCTTCAACACCAATTAGAGCCTTTCCCTCCAAAGCAGTGATGTGTTCAATTCAAAGAGGACAAGGAAACATGAATTTCCACAATGGAGCGAGCCAATAAAGGCAATCAAATTCAATTCCCTACCCTTCAACTAAACCAAGTTCACAAGACAGCAAATCCCAGTCTAGCAGAAGCGAAGAAGAAACTAGAAGCTTACCAAGCATCACAAGCAAAACCATAGAGAGTATCAGTGGGCAAAGCTATGACCTTGCCGTCTCTGAGAGCTTGAACAGCCTCTTCTGCATAATCTTCCACGGCAGGCCGGACGGCGCCGAGCGAGTTCTCAACTTCAATCACCTCCGCATTACAGCTCTCCAAGCTGCTCAAAGCCATCATCTTTGCGGACCCAGAAACCAATCTCCTTCTCTGGTTCGGATTCCTCAAAATCCCGATTCTGGGTAACCCAGCTGCTGAAACGAAAGTGGAACAAGTGGGAGCCGCGAAATGAGAAACAGAGAAAGCAGTGGAGGAAGTCAAAATGAGGAGAGCTAGAGAGAGAAAGTGGACTGACGATTGTGATTAAAGAGCACCTCTAATTGAAGAGCGGGAAGAAGAGACGACAAGGGGAAGCCTGCCGGCGATTCTCGCCGGAACAATCATGCTCTTTTCCCTGCTCCGCCGCCGCCGCCCTCGATTTGTTCTCCGGACAAGTTGGAGCCCTAGTCTATAGTTTAGCAGTAACCCGCCATGGTTGCTGCTGTGCTGTCTATCCGCGCGGTAATCAGTGCACAGAACGCGCCTAATCCCCCGCTGAGTGACAACTGCAAAGGCCTGGGCTACGTTGGCCCAACTCTTCATAGCCCACGAGATATAATATTTTGTCTCAATCTTAGCCCAAACAAACATTGGGCTCTTGCGAAGGTTACCCGTAGCTATTTTTTGCACTAGGTTTGAACATTTTTTGCGCCAATCCCCCAACTTTCCATACTGAAAGTGTTCTTTCTAATTTTACCAACAACAAAAAAAAAGAAGTTTTCTTTCTAAGATCAAATTTCATTTTGTTCATGATCACGTATTGAAGTAAGGACAATCACATCGTCATTATGTCTCGTTGGAGATGAACGTAATAACGAAGCAACTCTCCAGTGACGTCGTTGATAGTCTGATCCCGAAGCTAGCGTACTACCACTCGAGAGTTGAGAACCACCCTCAATTGTAACCCCCAAGGAAAACAGTAATGCAAAATGAGCAACAGAAGAAATGGGCAAATGTGCCATTCTTTCTTTTGTATTTGCAGCAACATCACATATTGGAAGGCACAAGTTTCAACTTCAATCCAAATGTAATAATTACTACTCACATTGAGAGGTGGACACTCAACTATCCACTCTTCTCACTTCACAACAAACATCATTCTTCCTTTCTTTCTTTCTTTCTTTCTTTCTTTCTTTCTTTCCTCCATCCATTCATTCCTTTTGCTGCCTGCCCTGCTGCAGCAGCAGTCCCCCTACCCCATCATACCAAAATGCCACCTTTGGAGCTGCAATAATCTAATCACTCTATATTGCCAAAAAGAGAGGGGGAAAAGGGAGAAACTTGCTTCTGTCTTCTCATATAACACACTCACAAGCTCTTCCTTTAATCTCTTTTCCCACCACCAGACTTAAAAGGTTTATTTATGGGTTTTCTACATCATTTATTGTATGGCGGTTTCCTTCCCCTGCATCAGCAGTAGTAGCAGCTGCAGGAGGGCCTACTGCAGATGAATTCACGGGTCTTGGAACTCTTCCTGCCATCAGATTGTTTCCAAGCTGTTGTTCTGATCCTCCATTCCGTCGCCATCTTCTTCTCCACCTCATGAACTCGATTATGATCGAACTTCCACTCATAGACACTCCAAACCCAGCAAATGTTGCCAGCAGGATTGACAGCACAGCTTGCACTCCAACCTTATTAGCACCATGAAAAACATAAATAGTTCAGTTGTATTGATGCATACAACTACCTAATCCAACCTTATCTACTGCTGCTTTCTTTGCAAATAGCATGAAGAGAGGTTTGCTTACCAATGAGTAAAAAATGTGAGCAAAGATAACAACCAAAGCAAATTGTATTGACGCATAAACCCAAACGAATTGTCTCTTCACTGCACATAAGAGACACCAGAGGTTAAGGTGAAAGAATCCACAGCAAGATGTTATCCTAGTTTATTTTTCTTTTTCTTCTACTTGTCTTCAATTCCATTAATCTAGTCAAGAATGAATCAAGCCTACCCATTGTTGAAGAGATCATGGACGATAGGAGACCCAACACACAAGAAAATGGAAGGGATAGAGCAATTGCACCAGTTCCCATATTCCCCACCTAGAAATAGAAGACAAGCATATTAGGATAGAGGTGAAAAAAAAACAGCAGAACTTCAATCAAATTGAGGTGGACGAGAACTTTTGTTCTTCCAATTCACTAACCAGAAGCTGCTCCAGGAAACAAAAGTAGGCTAGCATGCTAACAATGACCAGCACTGGTACTTCTTGCCAAACCCTGTTGTGGTACAACTAGTTAGTCTCAACCAAGTGATATGACAAAAACTTAAACTAAACGGAAGCTTTTTTACTTGCCTGTAACCATTGGGATCGCCTAGTTGACCTCTACCTAATCCAGCGATACCATTATGTACACTTTGTATTCGTAACAAGGTAACAGGCAAATTCAGGACTTCTTGCTTGCACACTTCACAAGTCTTGTTCCCCTTAATGCTAAACCATTTGACTGCACATTCTTGGTGTGCCAAAGCCATTTCACCTTTGCAACTGCATTCCATCTTGAGTGTCTCCCCTCCTTCACAGAGTTCCACCAGACAAATTCTACAAACAGCTTCTTCTTCAGGTATATCTTCTCCATCATCATCAATGGTTTCTGAATCCACAAAACTATGAACATAAGTACAAAAGGAAGGAAAATGCAGCATGGTTTAAAAAGGGAGTTCTTTCAGAGAGTGAGAATGTAAATATTTACCAGCAGAAACACTTGGGGAAGATGCATGAGCTGCTAGTATCTCTCCTGATTCTTTCACTCTAGGAGTAGAAGGGATCACACGAAAGAACGAATCCACTCTCCGTATGCTTCCTTCTTTGTTGATGACAGGGACCGAGAGTGATCGAGCAATCTTTCTTGGTGGAGCTTCTCTCTGGATACAGAAATGACTGACCTTAGATGATAATAAGTAGCAAGTTGTAAAATCCAGTCAAGCAACATCAACAAGGAACTTACACTTGGATTGAGAGGGCCACTGACACTTTCACTATGCGGCTGAGAATGTGCAATTGGTGTGACTGGGAGTGACGATGTCCTCTTCATCCTAGGAGTGAAAAGCTTTGTGAGTGACAGTGACCTTGGGATGGAGGGCTTTTCTTGTTGTGGAGTCGCAGCTTCCGGTGGAAGATTATGGGCCGGCGGCTTATCAGCAGCATTCAACATGGCAATCCGAGACTTGAAGCTAAGTTTAGGCAACAGGCTCTTCAGAGAAGACCTCCCCCTGGATGGAGTGGGAGCTGGGGATGCACTAGTGGTGGCTGCTCTTGTATCAGCAGAATTAGGGGTCAAATTGAAATTGACCTTCCTGGGAGTTTGGCTAGGTGTTGGTGGCATCTTAATCACTACACTATCTCCTTGTGGAGTTGTTGGTTCCATTGTTCTTGAAGGTATCTCTAGAAATAGATTTCTCTTCTTCCAGTTTCCATGATTGTTGCCTTCTTCCACAATCCCACTCGAGTCTTCAGTCTGTTTAAGGAACAACAAACAGACCAACTCACTCACTCAATCTCTATATTAAGAAAAGCCAGAGAGCACGATTTAGCAACAAAGGATGAAAAAGCGTGTGGGTTTCAGCAAATTTCCTCAAGGTGTTTTACCACAAATAAACAAATTGGGTTTTGAATGTTTTGATAGCCATAGCCCATATGGCTAAACCATTTCAAAATTCATACCATAAAGGCTAAACAATGAAAAGTGAAGTCCAACGATTTCCAGTAAAAGCAAAACTTATATCACTCTCTTCACTACACGACACCAGATCAGAATTTCAGCAGAAAGCTTAATTTTTTTGGAAGCAGGCTAAATGAATTCCATTCCTCGTCAACAGGGCAAGATCACAAGTGAACAAAAACCATGCTTGGAGAAGAAAAGGAAACATTGAAGATAAAAAAAGGAATCAATTCGACAAACACCTGATGGACAGGAGTACTAGGAGAAGCAGCAGCAGCAGCATCGGATCGGCTAGTACCCACATCACCCTTCATCTCATTCAAGAGCTTCTCCTCCATTTCCATACAAATTCAAACCCAGAAAGGCAAAAAAAGCTTCGATCTTTGTAACCACCCAGCAGCAAACCAAAGCTAACCCCAAAGCAAAGGAAGGACTCAGCCGTTACCCAAAAGCAGAAAGACAGGATAAAGGCAAAGCTTGCTCTTTTCTTCCCTTTTTAACTTGCTAGAGAGGAGAGTTAAATTCTTAGAGCATGGGAGAAGGGAGAAGGGAGAAGAAGGAATAATAATGGTGGGTATCGGATGGGAGAGGGCAAGGAGCAGATTAATGGGATTGGGAGGTTATGATGTGGTCACTATCAGTGGTTTCATCTCCTTTCTTTCTCCAAAATGTCATTAATTGCAAAAGTTGGTGGGAAGCCTGCCCTACTACTACTTCCTTTGATGGCACCTTCCATCCTTTCCCTTCCTTCCATCCTTTCCTTTTTATGTTTGTGTCAATCCTTAATGTTACAACAACTAGTAAGTACTACAGCAGTACTATGAGTCTTCTGCCAAATTCCTTCCACTTGATGACTTGAACATATCATCCAAATTTCTCTTCTTTTCTCATTTCCCTTTAACTAAAGCAAAACTGAAAAGAAAAAGAAGACAGGAAAGTATTTTCAGTTGGGGTCATGCTATATACACAACCCCCTTTCTTAGCCCACATTCCCATCCCTCCCGTCTCTTTCTCGAATTTCGTCACAGCTAGTAGTCGCGTCAACGTAGGCCAATACTGTTCGATCATTTACTCGCCATCTCAACCGTCAGTATCATATGTCGCACAATCCAATGATATGAACCTACACTAAAAGTCTGTAGTAACTGTCTACCATTCTAAAGTAGGCAATTGAGGGGATAAATTAAATTCCTTTTCTCACTTCCATAGCTAAACCAAAACCAACCTTCAGGAATCAATGAAGTATTACTTGGTTTGGTTATGTTGATTATAGTATTATTATGCTGTCTGCTTGACTGTCAGTCTGACTGTCTCTGTTACTTTTACTTTTCCTTGTTTGCAAGAAAAAAGCCATCTCTACAGCGTAGCCTCCACTTCAATTCAAGTCTTTCTTATGCTACTCTACAGTTTACTCTTCCTTTCCTTTCCCCGCCTGAAAATTTCAACGAATTCTGCACTTTTTGAGTCTATGGATTATTATAACCCACGATTAAGAATCCTAACAGAACATGGAATCATCGAATTCGATCCTCTCGCGAGATGTTGATTTAGATATGGTAAGCAAGGTGGTGGTTAATGGTTGGTATTTCTCGTTGGTTAAGGTTGAAGATTAAATATTAATCCTCCTTAATTACCCTTGCACTACCAAAATCGACACACAAAAAAACAATACGCATATACTAAGGTAAAGGTAATATGATCATTCTGTTGTGGTCCATATGTACAACTACCGCATTGGAATCGATGACGAAAATTGTATTGTACGATGGAGTCTAAGTTTACGAAATTATTCGAGTACCATTAGAATTCACAAAAGGGTAAAATTGGATTGCCGTTTATGTTAACTTGTTCATCAATACAAGCCAAGTACGTAGATTCTATTACCATTTGCCCTCCAAAAAGAACAGAGAGGCAATTGGAGAGAGGATTAGATTTGATTCCTCTCTTGACACCAATTAAGAATCAAAGTTAAGTCCAGATGCATGCATGGGAATGGCCTCTAGTTTTCCTAAACCAATTAACCACTTAATGGAAAGTTATAAAAAAAAAAAGATTAGAGATGCAGATAATATAGCCCTAGCTAGATGCTTTGTTGATTGCGACTTTGATTAGAGTTGGTGGGAATTCTTCAGCCAAGGAGATACAACTGATTTTGCCTACTTTAATCTCGGGCTCTCAACTTCACTAATTTGTTTCGTTATTGGGCTAAACTACAAACCACGAAAAAAAAAACATTAAAGAGGAGAAGTGGGTGGCGCATAATTAAATAAAGGCCCTTAAATAAACTTGTCCACAAATTAATCTTAATTGATTTTTTACACAGTTCGAGTTATTGAGATCAAATGGATCATTACATGATATTGTCGGAATCTCGACAACCCCCCAGTTCGCTAAGCGTATGATAATCAGACCTAACAAAAATTTCAAGCTCATATGAGTAGGTTTTCGTTTGAATGACGAGTTAGTAAATGCTATAAGATTCATAAGTAAAACTCTCACTAAATGGTTCTTGACAAATACGTTATACTTATAATTACAACTTTTGCAGCAAACCATTGTTATTTTTATAATTTTGTGCTCATTCTTCAATAAAGTTATGAAATTTAGTTGTTTTAAGGCAGAGAACCCATTTATTCTAAGGATACAAGAAAAATTCATTTAACTTTATGCAATCACAAATCATGTAATGTCACTAGACCATATTTAATTGCCATAATCCAAATTATAATTAGTTGAACTGCAATTTCCCCCACCCAAACTCCAATCAAAGTAAACCATAATGACCACTTCAACTCCTCATTGAACAAACAATTAATCCTTCCCATTTAATCTATTCCCGTAATCACATTTCAATGCCTGACTAATTCTGACTTTGACTTTGACTTCGACTTCATTCATCCATGCACTCTGCCCAACATTCTTAATGACAATCACTCAATCAGTTACATTGTCTTCCCGACACCTTAATTAATTAATTAGTTAGATACGAAATACGATGCCACTCCGACACGTGTTAAACTATTGAATTTTGATACGATTAATCGATTGTGATTATTGGTCACTGAAAATTCCGATTTAGCAACTAATATCTCGAGATCTGGTCTGCAATGAAACTGGATTATCTACATGGTAAATAATCAAAGTCGATTATAATAAATACCCGACGCTTCTTTCGGGACGGAGTAAAAGTTGGCCCTAAAGTAACCTAGTAAAGAAATATCAATCTTCCAAGGAAAAAGATGAGATAACCAAACTCCATCATCAAATATATATAAAAAAAAAGGCATAAAACCAGAAAGTAGAGACAACCCAAAAGAGAAGTGAGAGTAATCATAACAGCAATGAGCGTATTAGTGAAGTTGAGAGAAACAATAATCACAAAAGAGCCGATGTCCTTTTGCTATCATCACAATTCGGGATGGGATTAGGTGCTAACCCTTATAGGGGTTAGCACCGTGATAACTAGCAAAAAACGTTACTAAAAATAACGAAATCACTACGGACTATTATAAAATCAATACAACATCTAAGCTAAATCACTACTAATTCAACTAGTAGTAGTTTTTCCCTTGGTTATAACGGTACTAACTATTGTACAATTAGCACCGTAACTCCTCCCTCACAATTCATATCAAATCATCACCACCACCTTGCCTTCCCTTTTGACAAAACAGACCTGTCTTTCCCTTTTCTCTCTTTCAGTGAGTGAGTGACTGGTTAAAACTTAAAAGTTGGTGCTGGCTGGTAAGGTTAGGTAAGCAGGCTGACTGGTTTTCTCTGTCTGTTACAAAAAAATGGTAGGGATGTTGTTATTACTAAGGTTCTGCTGGTCCTGGACTCAGCTGAAAGACCAGAGACAGTTGAAAGAGGGTAGGTTTGGATGACAGGGCTTCCATTCTGAAGATATGAGATACACAAAGATCCAAGGCCAACCCTGATTGATAGCTTGCGAGATAAGGTAGGTAAAATTAATGGACGTTACCTTGCGAGCCAAGTCTTGGATGAGTGGGCTGGGAAAATCAGGTTTGGTTATTTTCTCGGTCAAACCAACCAGTTTCCCGTCATCAGGATTAGGGTTAGGGTTTTTCCACGATGCAGCCGCCGCCAACGGCCGTTTCCGACGACCGGCTACGCTCACCCCGTCCGGCGGCGCCTCCTTATCTCCTCCGCAGCCGCGAAAGAACAGCCGCCGCAGCCACTTCACATGCTGCAAAACTCGCCGCCGCTTCCGTAACCCATTAGCCCGACCTACGCCGCAAGAGATGCCGAGCAGCCGAAGAACGCCCAAATTCGGATTCCCCCATTAGCGAAATCCCCGACAGTCTCCTCCTCCAAATTCTGCAGCGCCTTCCGAACCCCACGTCGGTTTGCCTCCAAATACAAAATTATATCATGAACGATTTAGAAAGCTAACAAAATTATTTTATAGTATATATTTTTTCTAAATGGACCAACCCTCGACAAACCCCTGGCTACGCCCCTGCATGCAGACCCACGTCTGTTATTCGGCATGACATGTCGGAAAATAATTGACCAGAACCGCACCTTGGGGGTGCGGTTTGTGTGGCAAAACCGCACATTGGGGATGCGTTTTTGTTTTGGAGAAACAAACCGTATCTCCAAGGTGCGGTTTTGCTAGGTCAGACCTAAACCGCACCTCGGCCGCGCGTTTTCCGTAGGAGAGACCTGAAACCGCATCTACAAGATGCGGTTTTGGTCCAGGATTATAAACCGCACCTCTAAGGTGCGGTTTATATATAAAACGCACCTCTAAAAGTGCGGTCCATAAAAAAGGATGCTATTAGTGTAAATTTTTTCGACTGGGTGTTATTTTTGTAATTTGTTTCTTAAAAGGCGCTATTTATAGAAAAATTCAATCTTCCCCCTCCATCTCCCCCATGCAGTTTCCCGTTCCCAGGAGTAGGGTTAGGTTTTCACGATGCAGCCCCCAACATCCATTTCTCTCGATCCCGATCGGCCAGGGGCAGTAACAACGAGCTCAGCCCGTCCGCGTCCGTCTCCTCCTTATCTCCTCCGCAGCTGTCAAAGAGGATTGATAACAGCAGCAGCTAGTTCAAATGCTGGAAAACTTGGTGTTTGCGGAACCAAGCAGGCCGAACTGCGCCGCAAGAGACAGCGGCGAGCAGCTGAAGGACGGGTAGCTAGTTCAAATTCAGATTCCCCCATTAGCGAAATCCCCGACAGTCTCCTCCTCCAAATTCTGCAGCGCCTTTCGAATCCCACGTCGGTTTGCGTGTGCAAATCCGTCTGCAAGCATTGGAACGCCCTCATCTCCAGTCCGAACACCCTCCGCCACTTGATTTCCCGCCAAAAGATCAACCTCACCGACAACGGCGGCGAACGACCTCTGCTGATCTACTTCGACCGCCCCCATACACACGAGTCAATCGTGAGGAGTAATGTTCCTCCAATTTTCCACTCCGACGATATGGCTCACAGTGTTGACCGCCACACGATCCAAGTCATCTCGTGCTGCTACGACTTGCTCCTGTTGGGGAGGATCAGGCCGAAAAACAGGTACCGCAGGAGGTTCATGGTCTGCAATCCGTTTACGAAGCAGTATGTCATACTCCCTCTGGTACCTCGACATCTCACAAAATTCCAAGGATTCTACTTTGGAACTCATCGTCAGCAGTATTCCGAGTGTGAGGCTTCCCTAATTGGATTCGTTTGCGAACCCTGCTATACCGAGGATTTGAGTTGTTCTAGTAGTAGTGATTCTGTTGTGCGGTACAATCTCGAGTTTCGATTTCGGGTAGTGTTCATTTCTACAGGTGAGCATTGTCTTGGAGTGACCACCTTCTCCTCCGAGACATGGGAGTGGACGTTCCGTAGTTTTGGGCGCCATATGACAGTGCATGATGAACTACCGCTCGTACCTTCCACCGCACCCTACATTGGCATCGGCAATGCTTGTTCTACCGCGAAGAACAAGTTGTTCTGGAAGACCTCGGAAGCCAGAGTTGCTGTTTACGATCCTTTCAGCAAGCAGAGTCCACCAAAGATCGATTTGGTTGATTGTTCTCATTTATGGTCGGATGATATTGTCAACAACAATTTCTTGGTTGGAGTTTCCCAGGGATTCTTGCGTGGGATGGTCTTTCCACGCCCAGATAGACCAGACTACAACAAAGAAGGATTCTTTAGCCTCTGGAAGCTGGAAGAGGATCGTGACCTGGTGGGCGGGTACAGATGGAGCTTGGATTATCAGGTGTCGATGCGAGTGCTGTACAACATGATCATCCGACGACATAAGATGAACAAGATAGAAGAAGGCGGAGGAAGGAAGAGGACGAGGAGGAGGAGGATGACGCGGTTAGGGGTGCTGGGGGTGCATCCGACCAGGCCAGAGGTCGTCTATTTCGAGTGTCGCGATTATGCTAAAAAGCATAATCACGACCCTTTCTTCTTCGACTTCAATCATCACTTCAGAGACGATGATGGAGGCACGAAACTGCGTGATGATCGCGTCTATGATCCTATCTATGTCGTCCCCTTCGATGTGCTCAAGCTTGAGGTGGCGGGAGAGATTATACCGATCGCTGAAAGTAATGCGACCCATCTCAAGTTTAAATATTGGGGCAAGGTGGGAAGAGGTGATCCGATGGGCTGGGCTGTATTCCAGCCGTTGATTCCTTTCTGGCCGACTCCTATCCCTGTACCAGGTAAAATATATAGTCGCTGTCTTGTAGTTGTGGTTAATGATAATGTATATTGTTTTTTAAGTATTAATCCCTGTTACTTGATTATGGTGTGAAAGATTTTGCAAACGGATTAATTGAAGAAGAACCAGAGGAGGCTATCAGGGAAGATAGTTGGGTTACTGATATTTGCTTTTACAATCTCTGGTATGAAGTCCTTTTGCCCCATTTTTTGTGTCTTTTTTTTTCCCATTATGTTTGTTGCCATGGATGGATACTAATTCGACACATTTCTACTTCTTTGTTCTGGTTTGTTCAAATCGAAAGGTGACGCAACTACTGGTAAACTTCGATCTAGATGAGGAGCAGCTCAGTGTGTTATGGTTTGTCGTTCAGAAAGCGGAGGAGTATGGCTAGCTTATGACGGTGTTATTTATTGGATTTGTGGACGGGACGTCTGGTGATTCTGATGCTTGTGCATCCATCTTTGCTTCTCTCTGGAAAATGTTCTGTTTAGGCTTACAGTCTCGCCCTTGGTCATTTTGGATTCTGCAGTTTCTTATTCGTCCTGCTAATGTAGTAAACTTTATTTATTTCTTCCGTCTTATGAACACAATCCGCGTTCACATCAACAGAGCTTGGCATGAACACGTTGTTACGTCGTTGGATCCATGTTTTGATAGTTGGAATTCAAGTTACTTGAGAATCATAAAGTAAGCAGGATGTAGTTTAATCACAAAGAGCAACTTCATTGAGAGGAGAAAGAGAGAAAAGCTCCTACGATTGTTTGAGAACCAAGCATAATACATGTATATATAGTTACCTAGCAATTCATGCTCAAGATTTGCATTTACAGCACAGTCAAAAGAGGGTATAAAAGCCCACCTTTCCTTCTTGTTATACACACCCGACGTAACTTCGCCTTGTTGGAGAGTCATCCGAAAACAGAATATGTTCTTTAAACCACAAAGCGAAAAAAGAGAGTGATCTTCAAACTTTACAACTACAATCCCACTGGATTGTTTGCTTGCCTGCAGGGATCGGATCGTAAACCAACCGTTTCCTGGTGTCTCAACTCTCTGGTACGACATCATTCACTTTGATTTCCAGGAGCCGCTCCACCGGTTGCCTGCAGATCGGGCACTTTGTCGTCTGAAACTGCAACACCTTCGCACATCCGCTGCACATGCACTGCCACAACCACCCATACCACAATCAGACACAAGCAGAGAAGACTAGGTGTCTCTATATTTCAAAACAATCCCACAATGTACGTTATATAACGGTTCGGGTTCATTTCCATGTATTCAGTTGTCCAACTAGTAAGCATTCAGGATGTCATTAATAGGCATTTCTCCTAGGGGGTCATTAGTAAACATTTGGGGGTCGATTAGTTAGCATATATACACTTGCAATTAGCAATTAAACAGTAATGTGATGATTGACTACGGCATTACATTAGTAACGATTCCTTATTGGTTAGTAATCATTCAGCAATTTTTGTAACAATCATCTATGGAAGTATTAGTACTGGTTAAATCGTTATGTTAGAAACCATTACGAGGGGTCGATCACTAAACTCTTTCAGCACATGATCAGTAAGCATTGGTAAACAATGATGTAGTACTCGTAATCATTATGTTAGCAAGTACTACGGATCGACTAGCATAGCATGATTAGCAAGCATTCCAGGAGATTATTAACCATTAAGGAGTAAGGAGGGATCAGCAGGCATTTAACAATCTACATTTCTTCCTATTCAAGCAACCAAGCAAAAAACTGCAGGCGTAATGAAAGAACAGAGCAAAAGATGCAATGCCACTTACCATGTGGCGGCAAGGAAGAACGGTGGTGTCTCGAGGTTCCGACAAGCAGATGACACATTCTTTCCCACTCTCATCCCCGCCGGATTCAACTTCCACCGAATTCTCAATCCCATAAATCTCCTGCAACTCGTATCTAGTATTACTCACCCACAGAATCTGCTTCATTACTCGAGCATGGTAACCGTCACCCTTCTCCTTCCAATCGAAGATCGCCAACGTGATCTGCGAATTCCCATTCTTGTTACTAGCTTCCGACCCCTCGGCGGCGGCGGCCGACGGGCAAGCCTCAGCCTTCAGCACTAAAGGGTAGACCCCTTCATCGCTCGCCTTCTTCAGCTGCGCCTCGTCGAATTTCGAGAAATCGATTCCAGTTCCACAAGGTTGCTTGAATTTCTGCCCTAGACCTTGCTCGAACGACATCGTCGCCGGCTTGAACACGTCTTCCCTCGTCGCTACGAGATTGCAGTCCTCGCTCTCCTTCGCAAAGAACACCACCGTGATGCTGAGATTGCAAAATTGATGCAATCAAAATCGGAGAAAGATTTCAAAAGAGGGGGAAAAGAGGAAAATTGAATTCAATTTGCTTGCCTGCAGCGAACGGTGGCGTCGAAGGTGAAAGCGACGAGGAAACTACCGGGATTCTCCTCATCCTCCTCGATCCGAATCGTCTCCTTCTTGACGTTGACGTCGTTCCTGATCGTCACGGCCTTCTGGTGCTCGACGTACGGCGCGGGCGGCGGCGGGAGGGGGCCATAAGGGTAGCGCGGGTAATTTTGCGGGGGCGCCGGCGGCGAGGGGTAATAGCCGTGATGAGATTGAGGAGGAGGATGGTGGTGGTGGTGGTGGGGATAGTAGGGAGGTGGTGGCGGCAAATTAGGGTTGGGGTACTGAGACGGTGCCGCGAAAACGTATTGGCTTGTGGTGACCTGAGGCGGCGGCGGCGGCGGAGGAGGACGGTGGTGGCGATTGGAATGCCGGTGGTGGTGGGAGATGTGGTGGTTGTGGTGCTGGTGGTGGTGTTGCCGCCGGTTGATGCTTCCGGTGTTCCCCATGATCGTCGCTCTTTCCTTTTTCTTGATTTTGGTTCTAAATGGTTTTTTTTTATGCTAACAGAAAAAAGAGGGAAAGAATAACGTTCTCTCTCTCTCCCACTCAACGATTGGAATTTTGCAGCGGAAAATAAATAAATAAATAAATAAAACAAATTAAGACGAATTTATGCTCTTTCTTAAATTTCTTTAATTGATTTGCAAAATGCTCAATTAGACCCTAAACTTCGTCATTTTTATCATATTAGTCCCTAAACCTTATTGTGAATCCATCAAGGTTCCTAAACTAATACAATGGTATATGCATCCGCAGGATGATAAATTTCGACCTGACCAATCATGTCCCATCTAGCGTAGGACCAAACGAGAACAGATCCTCTTACGAACTCGCTATGTTTCCCTCTCTTTCATTCTTGACCCGTTTCATCTAATTTTGATATAACATTAACGCAAATTACTAATAATTTGACTTTTGACACACGATTTTTAAAATCATAATTACTAGAGTCTAGTACGTGTTGTAGTTGACCTATCAAACACCGCCCACCTGGCTATGACATGTCAGCTGCGGTGCCATGTCATCTCCACACGAGTCAGCCCCTAAAATAGAAACTACGAGGTGGGACGTTGCTCGTTTGATCGGAGATGGATATGGGCAAACTTTAACGGTCGTGATTACGGAGACGGGCAGGCCTCGGGAACTGCGTCTCCGGCCACTAAACTGGACGGCAGCTGGTGACACGTGGGGCAACATTTATTATTAAGTGTGGGACGCCTGTCGCCGAAAGTCCGCCGGCCTGCTTCTGGCGATGGTGGTGGTGGTGGTGGTGGTTGCCCACTGCAAGTAGATAAAGAAAAGGGCTCTGTTTTTTTTCTTCTTCAATGAAGTAGATGAGAAGTTAACATCACCGGGAAAAAAAGAAAGTAGATCAAAAAGTTAATAGACCATGTACTTGTATGCCCACATCATCCTGATTGCCGAGCTGCCGACGGTTGGCGAGCCATTTTCTGGGGAAAACGACGCGGCCGCCGGCGGGGCGATTCGGAAGTTTATTAGTCTATGTATGTCACTCATTAAAGCCCGCTAATCCACCACTCTACGAATTCTGAATATGATTAGTGACATCAAGAGAGGTTGTTCGAGTAATTAACAACGAAAATTGAACTCGAAAGTACATCATGTCAACGATGAATCAGAAGTGGGTGAGCTTAAAATGTGAAGTTCCAAATTGGGCGTTTCCCCACCCGCAAAAGCAAAAAGGAAACTAATCATGATTATGGTTAGCCAGCAAAACATGATAATCACCAACAACAACAACAACAAAAGCCAAAGCGGATTCCAATCCAACCCCACGCATCAAAATTGGCCCAATACCCACGATTTTGATTGATGCATTCCAAACAACAGCATATCAATCTCTGCACGAAATCCCATTGATGGCATATGAAACATCACAAAGCAACCCCACTTAATCAGCAAAGCTTTTCCCCTCATTATCGATAAACCAAACTCATCATCTTCCCAGCTAACATAAAAACTTCACATCATGCGGGCTGGCAGTCTCAGCCATTGGATGTACAAGTTAACACACGTACATTCAACGATCGAGGTTGCGTGGTACATGATCCGACGGCAGCATCATGCGTTGATACAAACATGTAAGCCTAAGTGGAATCCAACAGCAACAGCAATAGAACTGTGTAACATAGTTCGACAATCTCATTCCAGTACGAGATGGGAAAAGAGTTGGCCAACAGAAAGACACAAGAAGATGGCGAGAACATGCGTCCTTGAGTTGGACAAGCAATCCAACAACAACGAAAGAACGATGCAAAAGTACCAATCAATATAAGAGAAACTTTGGAGAGGATTGAATCTGTAGCAGTACCAGTAAACCCCTATTGGGTTGCTGCTGGAAAGCAGCAAAGGAAATTTGCAGAATCACGGTTGAGACAACACCACATGTGTTTAGGTACAGACATGGTTATCAATGGAGAGGGAAGGGCGAAGGAAAATGTAGTAAAATGAAAAGAGAACAAAAGAGACATGAGAAGGCCTATTTCTCTTCTTCCCAGTGAACAATTAATTCATTCTAGTTAAAATCAAATAATTGTTGCAGCAGGCCAATCCTGAATCCCACCCAGCCCTCTATTATGCAATGAAAAGAAACTCTTCTTCTATCTTCCCCACTCCCCTCCCCAAAAGTGAGTTGTAAATCACAAATCCTATCAACAACCAACAACAGCACAGTTGTAAACAAACACCCCAACATTCTCCTTCACACCAATTACCTTCCAATCCAAGGTACCATTATTCACCCCAGACTCAGGACGCCACGAGTTGAGAACGATACCTTCACCTTCAGGTCCCCTTTGCCCGCCCACAACCAGCAGCTGCTCGCCACAAGCCTTGAAAGCAAGACCCCAACCGTTGGACAAATCTGCTCTCACCGGAAGCCTCCCCAGGACGTTCCAAGCGTTCTTCTCCTTATCGTATCTCTTCACCATGTTAGTTAGATACTCGACCGCGTACAGCTGGTTATTCACGACTGCGACCAAGGGAGGCGCCTGAGCTGCCTTATTGACATTAGGATACATCCCTTCTATCTTCCTCCATTTTCTGGTCTCTAGGTCATACTCCTCCCCACAAGTCAACGATGCTGTGGGACCCGACATCCCTCCGATCACATAGAACTTGCCGTCCATAAAAAAACCCGAGCAGAGCCTACGTGGCGAGTGCATGTTGGGGAGCATCTCCCATTTGCCTGTAGAGGAGTCATACAGCTCAGCGGATTGCAAGATTTTACCGTTCTTGTCACTACCACCTGCAACAACAGCAAGCGAACCGAAGCTGCCTGACCCGAACAAACAACGGGGTCGGTTCATTCCATCGCACTTGGCCCAGATGCGGCTGACAGAGCTATACTTCCAAATTGCAAAGTCGAACAACTCACGACCGAAAACCAGCAGCTCATTGCCAACTGCCAATGATTCTTTGTCAGCATGGTTGAAACACTCGTCGCAAGGTATCTTTGGAAGTGCCATCCATTTTTGTCTCGTGGGGTCGAATGCCTCCCACCCTCTTGGATCACAAACCAAGTATACCCAGTGCTCAGTGATCCCCAAGTGTTTCCTCAACCCATATAGATACCCGGTCTTGATTAACTTATGAAACCTCTTGTTTATGCATGACAAAGAGGAATGGTCCGATCTGCAGGTGTGTGCTAGACAGTTCAATGCCACGTCGTCGATTAGCCCAGGAAAGAGTGAATCACTTGATCCGAATCTCAATCGACCATCATTCACTCCTTCCCTAATCCTTATTCTTTTAACCCTTTGTTCTTCTTCCCCCTCCATCGATCAAAATAATTTATCTGAAACAAACCTCTCCTGTGTTTCTTTCTTTCTGGTAATGTTAAACAAAATCAAGCAAATCTTCCAAAACAATCGAAACAAAACACCAACAAGTTATCAATCTATGGTACAGCTCTTGAGCAAGCCCCTTCAAAACCCCTGTAAAGAAATCCCCAAGCTTTGCACGCAATCAATTTCCATCTGTCGACTATACCCACCAATTCAATGAATCAATACTGCTCCCACCAATCTGAAACCCAGATTCGATTCCAACGCACACCGAATCAAAAGACTCCATCTTTAATAACGTTTTTCAACCCAGATAACAGCTCATGATTTTGGGAGTATATGTTCAGAGAATATTGAGGAAACAAACCAATCCACCACCGGTTCAGATGAAACAGGAACTCGAGCCCCAATAATGACCCAGCAACCAGTTACCGAGATTCCCCGATAAAATTTCTGTTTCCGACGGAACTGTCACCTGAAAAAAAAACAAAAATCAGCAGAAAACGGTAACCAACATCAGAACCAGAAGCTTTATGCGATTTCTAAAGACACTGGTTCCAATTCAATTAGCAGGGAAAAGAACGATGAGTTACAACAATTCAGATCGATATTTCTCATGCCCGATCCTAATTCTAATCATTTAACACGCTTCCAATCCTCTATCGGGCGCCTCTTATGGATCTCGGCACATAGAAAGACAACATGCTTTGCGATTAAGAGAGAGTCGCAGAGATAAGTTTGGAGGGAAATTTCTGTGACAGTAACGGCAGACAATATGAAAGTATCAGCGTACCAGATCTCGAGCGCTGGATTAGACGAAAACTGGCCGGGAATTTTTCGCCGTCGAACATGTCGCCGGATTCCGGCGGGTATATAGAGAGAGGGAGGGAAAGAGAGAGAGCTGAGCTGAAGGAAACTGATTAAAGAGCAAGGGGAGTTATTAAGAAATAAAACTGAAAACGCGGTGGCGTTTCTTTTGCAATGATGCCCTCCAAGTATTTCAAAATTTCCAGAAAGGTCCGAATTTTATTTCTACTTTCCATTTCTCCCTCCCACCTACTCTTTTTTCTTTCTCGCTCTCTCCAATTTGCCTCATCCAATGGTGGTAATTTCGGCTAAGGCACCTTGAAAATGACATAACGGTACCCATAAAGAAAAAAGATAACATATTGATCAAAAAGATAAAATAAAAATATGGTTCGTCGAAAGAAAGTAACGATTACATGTACTTCACAGGAGTACTCGAATGATGTCTATGTTTCATTCAAGCAAATGAATGCTCCAAAGAGATGTAGATGAGTGGTGGAGCACGAGTTCAGGTGTTTGGTGTACCAGCGACGTGCCAGTAGCATGAATTCGTACCGAGCTTTAGATCTTCGTGGTACCTACCCATGATTGATTGGCTATTAAGTATACGTCCTTTTTGTTTCACCACTTATTTCTCTTGTACAAATAGTTAAGTCGTTTTGTTACATTGTAAATCAAGTTTTTACGTATTTCCAATACCTCTTTGATGAAGATATGTCCATTATACTAGCGAGTAGCGACACATTCGATTTCTTATTTTTTTTTTTCTCACCCATGTCTTAGCTAAAATCTTCTTTCTTACAACTAACATAGTAATATAACTAAGTGTGTGTTCAAAATACGACAGTTTCATGAATCTACCGAACATTGTGTCAGTCTGCGTCGTCATTCTCATTGTTTAACCCAAACCCAAAACCAGCAAAGACTAGAAAACACAAACCCTAAAATCAAAATTCATGCAACTATATATATTTGCACGAATTTGGATATAGCAAAGTTGAATGTTTGTGTTGTGCAATGGAAAATTTCTTTCTTGGTATGTGCTTTAAATGAGAAGAGAGGGAGAGAGAATGGAAATGAATCAATGATGGAGAACAGCTCATAGTAGAGAGACAAACAAAATAGAAGGCCCAACACATCTCCAACTCTCCCCTACTTGTTGTACATATAATCATCACATAAGTGATGAGCAATCGCACACTTTACTAACCCATAAATTTACCCAAAGTTCTCAAACAAACATTTGGAGATGAACGTATTACACCGTGAAAACAAAAAAAGTTGCATCAAAATAATTGCATAAAAACATCATCATTCCATGATATTTGTATATTCGAGGTGTTTTAAATCTTGTTGACGTGATAAATAATTTGCTACGAAGTTTGCACGAAAATACTCCGAAAAGACATCATGATTAAAACTCATGTGATATGGAATTGCTAGCTACTTGATTAGGACAATAGCCGCAGTTCTCTTCCAGTTGCTTGGTGACATTGGTGATAAAAATCAAGTATGGGCAGGCCAGGCAAATAATTCAGCATAGGAAAGAATTTTTTTATTTATTATCATAATATGATAAATAATTATATATTGGCCTATTATTATGTTATTAAGCTGAGCAGCTTGCTTGCATGCATTATTACGTTTGGTGCGGCGGACAGGGGAATAAGTAGTTAGAAACTTCATTTTCTATTTTTTTCACCAATAAATTTCATTTCAATCTAAGCATTATTGCTATAATAAATTAATGGCAAAGCACCAAGCTTTTTATTTATTTATGCCAATACAAATTTGATTGACTGCTTTCAACGCTGAACTTTGAACTCAAAAAAGATTTTGATTTCAAAGCTCGTAACGTTATAACCTTACTTCTTTTTCCTTGGTAAGAGTAAGTGGATCAAGGGCACTTATAACCCTAATCACTAACAGTGACAGTCGTAGAGTCACGTACGTTATTGGCAGGGGAGGTCATAGCTCGTTCAGCTCTCAAAAATTATGTAAATTTTATGATAAATTTGGAAAACAGAGTAGTTGATAATGCTTTAGCAACTAGGGGTGGGCACGTGGGTGGTTAATCCACGGATTGATATCAATCCACCCGCAAATAACCCGACCCGCATGCAATGGGTGATTGATGTGGGTGGATTGCGGATTGTTAAATCTCCCACCCGCACTTATGTGGGTGGATGGTGGGTGGATTGCGGGTCACCCGTATGACCCGCATTATATTTTTTACATGGAAAAATGTTGTTTCTTATAGTATCGAATATTCATCATATTTTCAAATGCACTACAGTCTGACCATATACTGCAAAAGGTGGAGAATAAAGAATAGTTTTGACTACTATTATTGGCTATTGTGTTGTGCAATATCCATTTGCAATGAATATTGGTATGCAAATTATCCATTAAATATTGGGATACAAACTATAAATTATTAATTGTATCAAAATCACAAATTATTGATACAATCTTACTAATGTGCTATGAACTTATTATAAATTTTACTCAATTTTCTTAATGACTAGTTGGAGAATTGCTTTTACAGGTTAACCCGCGACCCAACCGCACCCATCCGCCACCCACCCAACCCAACCCGCATAAGTATGTGGGTGGATTGCGGGTCACATATATTCCAATCCGCTAGTAAACGGGTGGGTCAATTTTAGACCAAAATCCACCCAATCCGCCCATTGCCCACCCCTATTAGCAACTGCGCCAATTCAAATTCTATGAACATATATACTTTTTTAGTCTCCTTTCATTCAAATATCTCGCTCCTCTTATTGAGGATGAGGCGAGATTATACCATTATTTTTACGGTGTATTCTTCATACACCACCTCATAAGTCATAATCGGTCATTATGAGTTATTTCCTCATTTATTAGATAATTTTTTTTTAATTAAATACGCACGGTTATGAAAAAGGGAAGGAAACTGTAATAAAGGTTGAAAAGAATGATCAACGAACTGCACTTCTTCTCCTTCCTTTCACCGCCAGCTCCCACTTTCAGTCCAATCACTTGTTTTAGATTATCATTGTTAAAGATTCTCTTCTTTCTTTCTTTCTTTTTTTTTTTTTTCTGTCGTATTCTCGCCGGCCGTTAAGTCGGGCCGTTGACGCCGCCACTTCAACCCGCTCTCCGTCCACATCTCTCCTACCCAGCTGCTCGACGTCGGTCGCCGTCGATTTCCAAAAAAAAAAAAACTCATTATTATAGTCCATGTGACTCCAATAGTTATTTTTACCTTATTCTTCCTACTGTTAATGGTGATTACTGATTATCTTAATCCAGATTTGGACATCGAACCTCCGGAATGTCGACAATGCGATTTGCTTGTCGTCTTAAATAAAAATGTAATTAATTCGAGGGTAATTGAAGTAATTAAGTTACCGTTTAAAATGACAACAAAAGAAGAAGAAAAAAAGTTAGCTGTCTTATTATCAATGGATTAATACTAAACCAATAGGACCAAAAGAAATGCAGAGCATTGCGCATCACAATTAAATATTATATACACATTGTGGTTAGTGTGCACTAAATTCTTTTTAATATGAATCTGGACATTGTTACTCTCTGTTTTCGACTAGTAACTCCACTATTTACTGATAAACCAGATAATCATCTTATACGTAATTAGAGATGCAACCACGCGAGACAGAAAAAGGATCCATGTATGAATTTTGAAATTGAAAATGAACATGCGATAGATTCAAGAAAATCCATGTCACACGATCACCGTCATTCTATTTCGTATATTTTTCATAAAACGTGTAAAGACTAAAGAGGAAATCCTAGACTTTTTTTTTATGAATAAAACCCTAGATATTTTCACCCTTGGAATTGGATATTTTTTAGAATGGCAATGAAGATCATCAACTTAAGCCGTGAAGCCAATTTTAGCTCTCTCTCTCTCTCTCTCTCAAGGTAGGATAATGGAAAGCCAGATAGAAGACGAAGACAAATGGAAGGGAAGAAAAGGCCGCCGCAGCCGGCAACCAAAGTTTCGCCGTCCTTGCTTTACGACCGTCGGCCGGCTGCGCATGGAATGGAATCGAATGGAAGAAAAGTAAAAAGGAAGAAGAGAGGAAGAGACGTGCACAGTAGTTCTTATCCTCTTCCACTTTTCAGTTGCTTGCTTCTTTCTTTGGTATATTAATATTATTATTCAATACCACAACACACCACTTGCAGTAAACAAAGACTCCTTCTCCTTCCATTACACAAGACTTTCCAAAAGAACACGCCTGGAATAAGAGAACTTCCCTTCACAATTCACGTCTAATTTGGATACATAATAATGTTGAATGAGATGGGCATAAGCAGAATTAGAGAGCCGATGAACAGGTCAAATATTTTGACCTTCATCTTCTTGGTCCATTTCTCTTAAAAGATATTTGGTTGTAAACATTTCTAATACAAGGAAATGCAATTTCAAGTTTGTGTCAAAACCAGAACCAAGTTTCAAATTGCATATGTGAAAACCACTAAACATGTAAATGGGTTGGTAAGTTCAGTCTTCAAAACCTAATTTCTGCTGTTTTGTAAGACTAGGCTGGAGAAACGACTGGATCCATTGTCAGATAATCTCAAGACGACCAAAAGGGTTGCAAAAACATGGATATCTACCTCTTTATTTGAACTTAAAGGAGAGGATAAGAATGCAAGGGGAGAAAAGGGTTACCAAAGGGCAACCCCATTTCAGTGTCATTTCTTCTAAATAAACAGACTTATGGTTTCACATCACTCTCAAAAGAACATCAAAGAACACTCTGTATTCCTAATCTTCAACCAACTACAAGATAAGATCTTCATAACACATGACCCTAAACTTCCAAAGGCCATTTTTAAATTCAGCTGTTTTATTTATTGAATAGATAATTAATAACTTAATTAACACTTCGCAAGAAAAACCATAGCTCAAAAGTTCATGGAATCATAGCTCAATAACTTTATTATTAAAGTCATTATGAAAAGAGTGAGCTTTGGATGATGTTAGGTTACCCTTTCGATATTGATTTTCTAGCTCCGTCTAAATATGCATAGGCGACACCTAAGTATTACCTTACTCCACCCAAGCGTTATGGCTACCTAATTTGTTGCTGAATCCCAAAACGAGTTGTTTTTGTGTTGCCCTAACGCCTAGACATGTCTGATCACAAGGTTAAGTGCGCCTATTTGAACCATGAACCATCGCCAATAGTATAAAATATACAACATATCGTAAGCTACATTCTATCTTGAAATTCCATCACTAACAACAACGTTGTACTCATTAGTTGATTGTCATCGTGGATCATTCTATCCATTAAAGAAGTAAAAAAAGGATTTTTTACTAACTAGCAATGTTGCGGCTTGACATTGTTCAATTGATTGTTGCATTGTCCGACGGGTTTCTGTTCTTGGCCTAGTCATTTGACGCTTTCCAAATGCTTGTTTAACGAGCAACCGTCCCATTTTCATAGTTTAAATTGAAGCAAATGTTAGTTCCATTATTGTTTCTAGTTTTTCCATCGAAAGTGTGTTACATACGAGTTAACATAGAACAATGAAGAAGGATTGACCATAGAGTGTCCAAAATCGACCTTTGTATTTTTAGGAAAACAAAAATAATCATTCGTATGAATTCTAATATTGCATTGCATCTATTTTTCGCGCCACTCCTTCATATATGAATTATGTTATTGAAATTTGTTGATGCAATAATTATGACAGTCAATTCACGATTATATAGTAATTAAAGATGGATAATTTCTAATATTTGTACATAACATGGATAATTACAACTCTCGATGCCTATCTCTACTCCTATTTAATCCCTTATCACACTGATCTTCTACTTTACTTGACCAAAGTGAAATCTTATCAGGTAAATAGTCGAGAATCCATAAATCGAGGATGACAAGAAATATATATCTACCAAAAACATAAGTCAAGTATGAAGAATTTGTACAACGAATTGAATTGCATGACCTGGAAACCTACATGAAGATTATGATTTCAAAAAAATTCATAGTTTAATGACAAGGTATTTTATATTTAAATTGTGTTTTAATTGTTTTATATTGATGAAATTTTGTATTAAATTGAACTTAGACAAATGAATTTTTGATCGGACATTGATATGGTACGATTTTGTAAACAAGCTCATCATGATGCACTCTTATATGGTGTTTAAGCATGCTAACATTAAATGGATAGAAAATCAACAAATCAATTCCTATTTCTGGTAACATTTTGACCATACTGCTTAGTCTTTGCAAAATTAATAAAAAAAGGTGTTGGCGTGGATTGGTTCATGAATTCCCTTTGAAGTGTAAAAGTACTCCAATATTAATATTTATTTAATTAAAATAAAAGTTTATTTAAGATTCTCTTCATGTATTTTTCGTTTCTGTTTTGGATTCCCATGATGATGAGAAAGAAATGGGGAGCACTGGCAGTATGAAGATTTGTCACAGCTGAGATGACTATGCTAGGACTTGGCTCCCTGAGGTTAGTTTTCTCTGTTTCTTTCTTTCTTTCTCTTGCGTTCTTTTTTGTGGATTAGTAACTTTCTTTTTCGAAAATGATTATGTTTTTTTCTTTCTTTCACTTGCGTTCTTTTTCATGGATTAGTAACTTTCTTTTTCGAAAGGACTAATAAGTTATTCGTGTTTTTTTTCTTCTTTTGATCATCGTCTTCCATTCTGTTTCTAGGATGGATGAACAAACCACGGAACGTGTTAAAAGACTTGGATTAGTAACTTTCTTTTTCGAAAATGATTATGTTTTTTTCTTTCTTTCACTTGCGTTCTTTTTCATGGATTAGTAACTTTCTTTTTCGAAAGGACTAATAAGTTATTCGTGTTTTTTTTTCTTCTTTTGATCATCGTCTTCCATTCTGTTTCTAGGATGGATGAACAAACCACGGAACGTGTTAAAAGACTTGGAACTAGAATTGCTTATGTAAGATCGAGGATATGGTGGATGGAGCAGAGACTAATCGACCATGACATCAATCCGAAAGAGAAGGCTCTAATTAATCATAATTTGTCATTGGCGTATAAGCTATATGGGGAAACTTCTGCTGATCTTCTGAAAGAGTAGATGAATTTTCTTGCTACTGTTTACAGTGAGGAGTACACCGGTTCTGATTTCAGTGTCCCTGAGGTTAGTTTTCTTCTCTGTTTCTTTCTTTCACTTGCGTTCTTTTTTTGTGGATTATTAACTTTCTTTTTCGAAAAGGATTAATAAGTTAAATCATAGAAGGCATCTTACAATGAGAAAAATAATTATGCACACCCATGAAACATGAAATGCAACTAAGATTTAATGGATAGAATTGATCTTCAAGAGAAGGCTGTTTTAACAAATTGAATTTTGAGCGAACAAACAAAAGGGAAACTAGAGTATTTTTCATAATGAATTACTTGAGACTACAAATGAGTTTGTCCTAACAAAAGATTAAGATTAAGAAAATGTGTCTCACTAGATTTAGTAATTATTCTTCTTTCAAATTTCAATGATCTTCTTCTAATTATATTTTTATCGATCTCTTATCAAATGAATTGAATTTCCTATGTTTTGGTTTATTTAATACTGAAGGCTATATCCTATATAGACTTCTTAGACTTTATGTTACAACATTATTTGTTGTCATCCAGATTTTGTGCGTTGAGAAGTGTGTGAACAACCAACGGGTGGATAGATCATGAAAAGAAGAATAACTTTATTTTTCTTTTTGTTTAATAGATAAATAATCAAATTAGAGAATTAAAATAAGAGCCTATCATAAAAAAAGGGAACTAAAGACAAATTGAATTTTGAGCGAGCAAACAAAAGGGAAACTAGAGTATTTTTCATAATGAATTACTCGAGACTACAAATGAGTTTGTCCTAACAAAAAATTAAGATTAAGAAAATGTGTCTCACTAGGTTTTTTTCGTTTATTTTAGGATTTGATTGAACTGCTACGATGGATCTCCCAACAAAACCTCATATTGATCTCCTTCAACAGCATGTTGCTGTTGAAGAACTTGTGAAAGCGAATATTGAATGGATGCAAAATAGGCTGGGAGTTTCTGACCTACCTGAGCAGGAAATTCAACACATTACCAGGGAATTACCTCTTGCATTTTTTGAATTAGGTAAACTTACTACTGAATTAATCAAACTCAGGAAGGAGGTGTATGGTAGCTTGGCAGCATTTTCGTATGATATCTCTTCTGGGCCTATGAATAATCTTTGTTCAAGAAAAGCCTCTTGACAATACCGATAGGCGTTGTGTGGTTTCTGTTGATAAAGCTATCAGTACTCTGATGTTTGATCTGACTAAAAGAAAGGTAAAATATGATTTGTATTGTTGTATGTTTGTATTAACTTGTTGTCTATGATTATCTAGGTTTTCTTATTAGTAACTATTCTTATTATGTATATGTAGGGACCAACAATTGGTACCCTTGGACTAGAGACTGTGTCTGACAGTTCTCTTGTCACTAAGTCTGTGCAAGACAAGTCTCTTGACTGTACAGGTAAGGCTGTGGAGGTCTGTGTTCTTGAATCTGTCAATCCAATGGTAAGATATGATTTGTATCACTGTATTTTCTGTTAACTTGTTGTCTATTATTATCTTGGCTTTGCAACTTAGTAACTATTCTGATTGTTTATGTAGGTGCCAATACATCTTACCCTTGGACCAGTGTCTGCGTCCGGCAATACTCTTGTTACTACTTATGTGGAGGACTCTGTTGTTGAAGTTGACAAACCAATGGTAAGATGTGATTTGAATTGTTATAATAATGTTAGATATAGTTATTCTCGTTGATCTATTCAACCGTCACCGCCCTTGTGATCATAGTGTAAACGGCGGTGACAATGTCAGATTAGTCGATTTAGTGTTTTACACTCTTTTATGATTCGGGTTTTCAAGTGTTCTTTCGAATTCGATAATTCTTAGATCTGGTTTCGTTTTAATAATTGTTGATTCTCCATCGGGCGTAGATGTCACTTAATCTATATGCATGATTAGAGGAGTTAATTTTCGGCCTAGGTAGATGTTTTGTTTTTGGTTTGAACGTGTATGTTGGTGTCAAATTAGTTTGATACACGTATTCTCAGCGTTTCCAGCTACTGTTGCATTTATTCAATTATTTTGGTTTTCTTGTTTTTTTCTTCTTCTTTTGATCATCGTCTTCCATTCTATTTTTAGGATGGATGAACAAACCACGGAACGTGTTAAAAGACTCGGAACTAGAATTGCTGATGTAAGATTGAGGATATGGTGGATGGAGTAGAGACTAATCGACCATGACATCAGTGCGAAAGGGAAGACTCTAATTAATCATAATTTGTCATTGCCGTATAAGCTGTATGGGGAAACTTCTATTGATCTTCTGAAGGAGTAGATGAATTTTCTTGCTACTGTTTCCAGTGAGGAGTACACCGGTTCTGATTTCACTGTTCCTGAGGTTAGTTTTCTTCTCTGTTTCTTTCTTTCTTTCTTTCTTTCACTTGCGTTCTTTTTTTGTGGATTATTAACTTTCTTTTTCGAAAAGGATTAATAAGTTAAATCATAGAAGGCATCTTACCGTGAGAAAAAGAATTATGCACACCCATGAAACATGAAATACAACTAAGATTAAATGGAGAGAATTGAGCTTCAAGGGAAGGCTGTTTTAACAAATTGAATTTTGAGCGAGCAAACAAAAGGGAAACTAGAGTATTTTTCATAATGAATTGCTTGAGACTACAAATGAGTTTGTCCTAACAAAAGATTAAGATTAAGAAAATGTGTCTCACTAGATTTAATAGGTAGTCTTCTTTCAAATTTCTACGATCTTCTTCTAATTATATTTTTATCGAACTCTTATCAAATGAATTGAATTTCCTATGTTTTGGTTTATTTAATACTGAAGGCATATATATCATATACAGACTTCCTAGACTTTATGTTACAACATTATTTGTTGTCATCCAGATTGTGTGCGTTGAGAAGTGTGTGAACAACCAACGGGTGAATAGATCATGAAAAGACGAATAATTTTCTTTTTCTTTTTGTTTAATAGATAAATAATCAAATTAGAGAAGTAAAATAAGAGCCTATCATAAAAAAAAAAGGGGAACTAAATACAATTTTTTTTATAGCGGTGAGAGTAAAAAACACGAGTCCAGAAACAATGTCAAAAGGAGCAAAACTGGAACAAAACAAGCAAAGAGAGGCAAAGCAGCACAAGAAGTGATCGCAAAAGCCCAAACAGATGCAACAAGGAAGCTAAGTCCACCGAGAGGCCCCTGCATCCCAACAAGAGCGCAAAGAACGACCAAAATAGCAGAACAACCAGGCACAATCCCAATGAGAAAATAAATGTCAAATAAGGTTTTCTTAAAATTCTTCCTATGTATTCTCTTTCTCTATTGAGTCTTATACATAACATTTTCTTTTTTTTATGGTCTCCTTTTGGTTTTCTCCTGTATTGGGGAATTTTTTATTCCAATTTCCTCAGTAAAAGACTAAAAGTGATTGCTACATTTATTTTTCTTTTGTAAACCAGACTTCCATTTCATTTCACGATAAATTTTAGAACATAATTTTCATTTTCTTCAAAATTTTAGTATGTTCTACAATATATATATTCATTTTTTTCTAAAAACATCTTATTTTTCCTCTTTTCTACTTCAAAGCAAGAAAATATATATGAATATATAGGGCCTATAAACTTCTAAGAACCAACAAATACTAAGTGTATGCACGGGTAAGTTTCCCAAATGGACCCAATGCACGAGTACATATTATTACAACTCTTATGAATATATGACAAATTCATGAACACATGCAATTTAAGTATATATTCTTGAGGGAGCCTAGTAAGAGAATTTTTCACGGTAAATAGGACAGTGAGAAATAAATGCAGAATTTATCATTCCACATTGATATGTACTTGATGGTAGTCAAATACCACCGTTTAGAATTATCTGGTGAACTATTAGGTTAAAATCTGAAAATTGTACTCAAGGAAGTGCCTAATCCAATAAACATTGACTAAGAGACTTCACATATGATGGAGAAACTATAGACATTTGAGTCAATTTAAATACTAAGAACTGGTTTGGTAGTAGATGCTTACGAGAGAGACCATAAGCAAATGATGTAATTAATGTAAATGTTCAAATTTGAAGAAAATTTGATGAAATACAATGTACAATCTAGAAAAATTCTAATTTAAAGACGAATCAAAACTTGGCCGAGCAAATATATCACTAATCTTCAACTTGAAGGTCACAAATTCGAATATGTTCGGTAGTATGTAATAATAAACATAGTCTGTTCTCACCCCTTATAAAAATTATTCAAAAAATTATATTGAGTTTTCTCATTAATGAGCAAAATAAGATTACTTATAATTCCAATAACTATTTTATGAAATTTTTGGCCAAAAGAATATTTTATGAAATAATAAATAAAAATATCCCAGTCAAAGGTTGGGTAAAAAGCTAGCATAAGGTAAATAGTTGACAATCCATAAATCGAGGGTGACAAGAAATATATATCGAGTACATAAGCCAAGTGTGAAGAATTTGTACAATAAATTGAGGTACATGAACATGACCGATAAACCTACTCGAAAAATTACGATATAGAAAATCTTCATTATATCCTTAAAATACTATGAATACAAAAATCCTTATAAAAATCTAAATGAGGGTAAAACTTAGGGTTAATATCTTAGTTTGACCCGAACTATAGACAAACTTTTTACTTTGGTCCGTGGTATCAAAAATTACTATTCTACTCTAGCCTGAACTATGTAACATGCTTCCTTATTTGGTCCGGAGGCGAGTTTGACCGTCAAATTGGACAATCAACCGAGTTGACCGTTAGTCAAAGTTCAGCTCACTTGCCACGTCAGCTAGCAGGGAATAAAAAATTATTTCTTAAAATTTCTGTATTTTGTTTCCTTATAAAAAAATTCAGTATTTTGTTTACTTTCTAATAATAAAAAATTAATATTAAAAAAAATTATATATGACAAATGTCGATCACATCTTCCACACCACCAACAAAAAAAAAATATTGTATGATTAAATAATATTATTTTTTATAAAATTATTTATTATTATTAGAAAGTAGACAAAATACAGAAATTCAAAAAAAATTATTCCCTATTAGCTGACGTGGCAAGTGAGCTGGACCTTGACTAACGGTTAACTCGGTTGACCGTCTAATTTGACGGTCAAACCCGCCTCTGGGCCAAATAAGGAAGTATGATACATAGTTCATTAGTTCAGGTCAGTATGACAATTTCTGCTACCACGGATCAAAGTAGAAAGTTTATCTATAGTTGGGACCAAATTAAGGTATTAATCCTAAAACTTATTAAACAATAAACCTAATACCAAACAATGAGGATCTATCCGGTTAAATATACTAGTGTTGGTTAAACCGAACCTATCAATCAATAAAAGATTTGAGTTTTGACTTCAACCGTCGGGACGTTTTTTTTACCATCCTCCTAATATTGACAACTCTTTCCTCGGTGGTTAATTCCCCCCCAAATTTACCACAGCGTGACACGTGTCAACCGAAGCAGCGACTGCCCGAGTCGACCTAACTAAACTGAACTCAGATCGACTTCATTTCCCGTCCGGTAATCATTTCCAACGCCCCCTCCTCACCTTCTCTCGCCTCCGCCGCACTCCTGCCGGCCGGCTCTCCGATGGAAGCCTCGCAATCCAGTTCCAACCCTTCCTCCTCCGCGGCGACTCCGGCACCGAACCCCAACCGCAACAGCAATTCCATTCTGTCGTCGGCGCCCGTTTGGCCCACCATCGACGGCCCTCTGGGCCTGACGGAGGAAGAATCGCTGAGCTACGCCCGCCGCTTCTACGGCTTCGGCTACGCGCTCCTGCCGTGGCTGTGGGCCGTGAATTGCTTCTACTTCTGGCCCGTCCTCCGCCACTCCCGTTCGTTCCCCGTCATTCGCCCCTGTAATTTCTCCTCCCCTTTTTCTCTCCGTTTAACAAGATTGATTTGGTTGATCTGAAAAATTCGTGATCTTGGGAATCTTGGTTAGCCGTATTTTGGTCGATTTTCGTTTGGGTTTGAATCAAAAGTGTAGCTTTAGTGTAGAATGCAATGCAAAAGGTGGGATCTTTACGAACAATTCTATGCTATGAAGCCGATTCGTGGTGGTTGGAAATTGGATGAGATTAACCAATCAATTGAAGTTGGAATTTGGTTTTTGGGATCGTTGTATTAGTCATTCAAGATGGAAAATGGTTATGATTGTGATTTGCTTGCATTATTCCGCTGAATCAAGAATTCCCACATCCAAACGACCCTTATCTGTTCTTTCCATGGTGGTTTCAAGTCCCACTGAATCTTGTTCCTGAGTCAAAAAAGCCAAATGCTCGTTTACTTTTTGCACTCTCCATCACTACTAAACCACACTCTTGAGCTTCTTCTGCTTTGGACGATCTGTTGGCATATGAAGCATGACTGGTTTTTGTTTCATGTTTCTGCAGATGTGATGAAATCGGCTGTTGGGTTCTCAGTATTCACAAGTCTCCTCTGCTCGTGGGCATTGACATTTGCCATCGGTGGAGAACAGCTCTTCGGTCCGGTGTGGGATAAGCTAGTAATGTACAATCTTGCTGATAGGTTAGGGCTGACTGGTTGGATCTAGAAATTCAGTTGGTACGCAGACACACTCTCTCTGTGTGTGCTGCCTTTCTCCCATTGTGGGAAATTCCTTCTCAATGTGCCCCATTTCCCCCATTTCAGTTCTTCCCATGATGTCGATCCACATTCCTGTTTCATGACACTGGTTAAGTTGATCATCAAAACCAATTGATGATATGTTGTATCATACAACTCTTGATAAGGATTACACACAATGGGAAGCTGATGTGCGACTGTGTGTACCATTATTCCCTGAACCTGGATTTGTTTCTGGCTTCTTAGTCATCTATGTTGTACTAGTTGAGTCGTGCTTTTCGCCTTTCGTACTGGTGCAGCTCCATGGAGACTGCCTGAGTTGTGGGAATTACTGAAATGAGTTTGTGCTTATAAGCATGTAGGTCCTCTTATACTGCCTGAATCTGGGTTTGTTTCTTACTTCTTTGTCATCCATGGCGCACTAGTTCAGTCGAGCTTTTCGTGTTTCGTTGCAGCTCTTTGGAGACTGCCTTAGTTGTGGGAACTGCTGAGATGAGTTTGTACTGATAGCGATAGGCATGTAGAGATCCTATTAGGTTGTTGGAGCTATCACACATGATCTTCGTCTGAAAAATCCCTGATGAAGGACTACTGATATGAGCTTGCTACACGTTGGATTATAAAAGAGTCAAACCATATAGTTTTATGCCTCTCACTTGGAGGTTGTGATTCTAAAACAGAGGGATTTGAGGAATGTGTTGATTTGGAGAGAGTGGTTTTTATAAATTAGTTCGTTTAAAGAATGTGTGGTATGGAAGGCAGGAAAAGAAACATTATTTGAAGCAAGTTATTTCAAATCTCTCATGAAAAGTAAGATTAGATTTACGATACTTTCATTTTGAAGGATTTTGATTTTCAATTCTTGTTGAATGGATTTTGATTTTCAATTCTTGTTGAATTGGAGTAAGATTTTGATTTTCTCACTTTGGAGGATTTTAAGAATCAACACTCAAGTCCTTGTATGATAGAGGTTCTATATGATTACTTAACTAACCACAGATGGTACAACTGGCATGCGAATAATTAGAAACGATTGTAACTCTTGTTTCACCATTTAAATACACTAGCCTATAGCCCGGCCCTTTGGCCGCATTTGTTTAATGAAATGGAGTTACAATATCTATAATGATAGTACGAGAAATGAGTTTTGTTTTATATTATCATAAGATTGTTGCAATTTTGCAATTCGTTGAAGACGAACATGTAATATGAATGAACATTCATAATAAGTTAGAAATACATTTGAAGATTAGCTAATCACAATAAAAAATACTTACATGAAATTTTACTAATCACAAATCTAATCTAGTTGAGTATTACGACAAATAACATGCAAGTCCAAAATAAGAAAACTCAATACATTGTCTCATTGTTCATGACATGGTACTCAATTCAACAAAGGCAAAAATAATTTCACCAACACAAGTTCACAATAACCAAATGCATCGTTCCAGGGACCGACTGTGACCATGACTTCAAATGTCTGTTCTCCAAGCATGTTCAGAAGGGCCATATAGTCAGCATTGACAACATCTGCATGACTGAATACAGATTCAACAATCGTTCGTAACTGTGATGACGGGAAGACGATGTCAACACCAATGAATTCGTCCTCAATTGTGAGGTGGACGAAATGGATTCTGGATGCAGGGGACCAGGACGTCGTCAAATTCGTTACACGTCCGGATAACAAAAAAGAGGTGCCCTAATGTAAACACAGAAACGAATATTGTCAAAGCAAATCGATAAAATGCAGCATGCCACAAAAGGCGTACGATTAAAAAGAAATTTATTTGTTTAGTTACCTGATTTTCGACATCCACTTGCAACATAATGAGATCGATGGTGTCGGCACGCTCACAAATTTCAAGAGCATCATCATATTGCAGATTAGCAATAAAACCATGGGGAAGCCTATATATTGGACTGTAAGTTTTGGCATTAAGTAGTGAAAAAGAATCGAAATTACATGATGTAGTATTTGTTGGATGCATGAGCAGTACTTACTGATTGAATTGAGGCAGGCTCGCCATATTGAATGCAATTCGCACGGTCAATGGAACCGAAGTGTTTTGTATGGGAAGTAGTAAACGAAAATTGTAACATGAGAGAAAGTGGTATCTCCATTATATAAAGGAGAGAAAGTGATTCTACACACGTGATTTACTTGGCCGCATGCAGTGGAGTACGTGTGTCTGTGGAAAGTGGGATAATGGGGGAGTGGAGAAGGATTTGTGGCCTCGTGGGGGAGTGGAGAAGGTTGGCCATTTAGAGTTCAAGAGGCGGGTGTGTCACGGAACTCACGACCCACCTTCTTTTTTTTTTTTTTTTGAGGGGAACGGCCCACCTTCTTAAAATCAAACATGCGCCTTCCTTTTATTTTGTTGCAATTAAAAATTCAAAAACAAAAGAAGGTAAGTACAGAATAAAATATAAAGAGAAGAAAAATCAGTTCACTTTTTCCAAAAAAGACCTAGCAGCCGCCCAAATTATGCTTTTTCAGTTTTAATAATTCTCACTTTATTCTTTTATCTCTAATAAGTGAAACAATAATTGTAAAAAAAAAATAATTGTTAAGTCTACCAAGTAAGTCAACACCGGTTTATGATCGATTTTTAATATCGATTAACCACCGGTTATTTGATAAACCTTGTACCCTTTACTAATCCGGATCGATGTCCGGTTCCGTTTTAACAACATTGCTAATTGCGACTGTGTCAACAATTCTTGTCCAAAATTGCCTCTCAAAGTTGCTAATTATTATTTGATGCGCCAACCCGGCCGGCCCACACCACCACTAATTAACATGAAATGAAAATCATAATGAATGTATTTAATAAAGAAATAATGGCTTGGAATGCGGCAGCCTTCACCTCATAGAAGATCCAAAAAAATCGGATACTGGGCAGTAGAGGAGGTGGGGGAGTGGAGAAGGATCCGCCCAAGGTAGTGTAGGTTGGCCTTTTTTTTTTATGGGAACAGGTTGGCCATTTAGTTTCAACTAATCCGGCTGGGCATTCCCTCTCTAACTATATTTTATTTAACTGAACCATGCTTGGGTTGTTTTGTGGGCTGGGTTGTGGTGTTTGGTGTGTTTGGGTTTTTTCTGGGTTGGGTTACCGTGGGTGTTGGGGTGGGCTTTGGAGTTTTTCTCTTGTGTTTTTTTCTGATTTATGTATTTGTGGGTGAGTTTTCATTTTGTGTTTTGGGTGGGCTCAACTTTACGATTTGTTTAGACTTCTATCTTTCAAGGATCATGGTCCAACTCTTTATTATTTTCCGATTTCATAATGAAATCAGGTTTCTAAAAAAAAAAAAAAACTGAACCATGCTTAAAGTATCACTAATTAATTAATCTCGAGTCACTACTGAATGAATTTAAATCCTTTTATATAGGTTAATTTATAAAATAATTATTGTAGGTAAATGAGAAGAAAATCTCGCAAATCAAGTGTGATAATAGTTAAATTCTCCATAAGCAAAGTGATATCATAATTAATGTAATTAATAAAAAATTATTTCATTTTTCATTTTGTGAATGTAATAGTTAAAAGTTGATGATATTTGTTAGATTGTAACTAAATTCTGCAAAAATATGTTTCTTATACAAATAATTCACATTGGATCATAACCAGGACTAAAAAAATAATCAAGTGCATAACACAAACCAGACAATATTTCCTGGTTCATATGCGCATACGTTCTGACAGCCTATCTGCTTAACTACCATCTTGTAAAACAGCAGCAAACCAATCCAAATACATAAGTGATTCTCCATTATAAACAAAGTTGAGGAAATCAATTACAGCTAATCTCTTGCACACTGGGTGTTTTAAAACAAAACCATGAAACTAAAAGGCTAAGCTCCAACAATCTTATCATCACAAATAACAGTAAAAAAGTACGGTGGAGGTAGTAAATAGAGCCGAATGATGAGAAATGCCTAGCCAACCACTTCCTATTAAATGTTTGAGTGTAGTTGATATTTAGGAACACAGACCAGGAATCCATTAAAAGCACTCCATCCTTAAAAGGCAGCAGAGAACATCTTCAGCAAAACCAAATCACAGTGACGGACCATGCAGTTCCACGCGCCAACTTCAATGACAAACTGGTAATACTTCAAATCAATGCAGTTGAGAATGGCGATGATGTTAGTGTCCCAATCGATATTTGTCTCCGCAACCACATCACCAACAATGCGTCTAAGGTTGACAGAGGGAAACACAACTTCCAGCTCCTCAGTTACATCATTGATGGTGAAATGCACAACACTGACCATAGAGTGCGCCAAAGTTGAAATTCCAATGGCTTTTAGTTTTCCTGTCAAGATGTATACCGTCCCCTAAAACAGACACATGGGTTATTGATGACGAAAATGAAGCAAATGTTGAATTGGGTAATGACTGTGTTTTAAAAAAATAGGTGTTTAGTTGAGTTTGAGTGACTTACCGTACTATACAGACTTAACTTTATCATATTAAGATATGGAACCGTGGTGTGCTCAGATATGTCGAGAGCTTCCTCGTATAGCAATGGTCCAACAATATAGTTAGATCCAAATTGGGGTCCATCTTCCCTGATAATAAATTAACCAGAATTACCACTATCAACAGATACCACACACATTAGAATTTAAAGTTTCAAAAATAGAGGTTTATGAAGCTTACTGGTTTAACAAAGGATGCAAGTGAGGACAATGGATGTTGAGATACATTTTAGTTGCTCGTGAGGAAGGAAACGAATAACCTCCTAATATCCATTTAACAATAAAACCACAAACACATGAGTAAATAAAATTACAGTGATAAGAACTGTTATTAATTTACAAAACATGATGACCAGAATTGAAGTGATACAGCTTATCTTATTAACATGTATCTTCAAACAACGTTTTACTGTTCCAAATGAGTAAACAAAAATTTAATTAATTGTGCTAATTGGATAATAAAATTATGTTTTGTGAAAGACTCCGTATTCTGAACCTAGTCATTGTGAAAAGAAACAAAGGGCAGCATCTACTCCGTCACGAAAAATGTTACCATTCTCAAGGACATGATAACCAATGCATACGAATTAGCTACTCAATCGACTTTGCTTTTGTAATAGAAATCTAAACTCCGGCTCCAAAACTATGAACAACACCAAAACACATACGATATTAAAGAAATAAATAAAGATTCAACAATCTAGAATAGCCTAATTTGTAAGACTTGCTACAAAATTTAGCAAACAACAACCTTGGTGTTCAAAAGGCAAGCCCCTCCTATGAACCTTCTGTTTCAAAATATGATGTCTTCTCTTACGGGCGACTTGGGATAGTATTCGCCGAAGTTGAGAGAGTTGGAATTGTAAGGCGGCTTCTTCTGCAGAATTTAAATATAAAACCATGTATTACTCATTGAATAGATGAACTAATTAGAAAAATTAAAACACAGATAACACACCTCTCTCAAATGCTTCTTCCTCTTCAGCAGATAAAACACAGCGTTGGTACTGATCTTCAGGATGAATAAACACTGCTCGACGTTTCCCTAAACAAATGAGATTCAAGGGAAAATATTAATGTCAGTTTGCATTGAAGCAGTTGCGTGCTAAACAATGACACTCACATGGTACAGACGATCGATAAATCTGTGGTTGGGTAGATGGGATGACATTTGCACTATCCATATTAAATTTTCCAATAACCTGGTGCAATCTGAAATAGAGGTCGTGGTAAATGATGCACCCGTTCCAGTAAATTTTGCAGCTGCCATTCATATAAATTAATTAATTGTTACAACAGAAGTTGAACTCCTCACCAATTATAAGTTTGTGCGAGTTAATGACACATACAACACACTACACAAACATAACAGTCGAAGAAAAATATAACTATATAAGGCATAATTTAAATTGATGAACAAAACACATATAACAGAATGGCTTCCAAGCTTGGGGATGCAAAGGAAGAGCGAGAAGGACAACAATGTAAACCATAATTTAAATTGATGTGGCAGAGTGTTAAGCGGGAAAAACGACCCGGAAAACGACCCGGACGAAGTACCTGGCTGCCGCCGCCGAACGTCTCTTTCTTTCCTCTTCTTTCTCTGCGGCCCGGAAAAACTCAGCTCAAAATCGGCAGTCGGCTGCTCTCTGGAAGACAGTCTAAGCGAAGTGGAATTTAAAGTAAGCAGCTTTGTTACTTTCAAGAGAAAGGAAAAAATCAAAAATCCCCTTTTGATCTCTAGAGAATCCAATCAACAGAATGAAGCGAGGAAGGTAAGAGAGAATAAAGAAAATGGAATGAACCAAAGGTAAGGGAGACTAATCTTTGCGACCGAATCCCTGGAAAAAAAAACCCAGAACCCGAATCCCTAAAACTTAAAAGCAGCGACAACAACAAACAGAAATCTGAAAGAGGAAGAATAACTTACGGCAAAACCAATACCGATCTAACGCTTAGAGAACGGAAATCAAAGGTAGATGCAAGCACATAAAAGAACCAGATGATTGAGTCAAGGTTTGGTTTTCTGAAGGCCAAGAAACTTATTCGAATAAGGTGAAAGAGTGGAAGGAAGGGAAATCGGAAATAAAAAATACAAATTAATACAAATTAAATGAGAACGTGGGTATGGAAGGAGAAAAAAGTGGGTAGTGGAGAGTTTTTTTATACAAATTAAATGAGAACGTGGGCCTGGAAGGAGAAAAAAGTGGGTAGTGGAGAGTTTTTTGGTTCTGAAATCAGGCGGGACTCCTTTTTTTCCCGCTTAACACTGACACATCAGCTTCCTAAAATCACTCTATGGGCAGGAAATTTTGAATGGGGGTGCAGTTTTACTTTTCAGCTATAAATTATACTGTTGATTGATGCATTTTAAAGAGTGTATGCATTATTTAAATCATCAACCTTGTAAAATCACAATCTTCAAATAAAACAAAAAAATTAGGACGCGATTAGTGAAAATCAGAGATACAAAGAGAAATGTAAAATGGGGAAAATTTGAGGAGATGAAGATCCACGAGCCCAATTATAACTTATGGACTATGGCCCAAGCATAAAGAAGCAAGAACCAAATAGCCAAAGGCCGAAGCAGTCCAAGTGTTCTGTCGTGAGATCGAAGAAAACTCGCTTTCTTCTACTTCTTCTTCTGCCCTCGTATAGTCGTATGCACAGTTGCTCACGAAGAAAGTAGACCGAAGAAAGCTTTCGTCTTTCGATATCAGAATTCGAGCTGAAATCCGCAACGACGAACAAGGATGAGTAGCATCGGCACCGGTTATGATCTCTCCGTCACGACTTTCTCCCCCGACGGCCGCGTTTTCCAGATCGAATACGCCGCCAAGGCCGTCGACAACAGCGGGTAAGCTGTCCTGTACACCTCCCCGTCTTCTACTTTACGTTCCTTTGTGTGCTGAGAAATTTTGACGGAAGGGAAGAAAGATGGGATGGGTGGGGGAATTGGAGAACGCCCATTCTTCTCGGCGGCTTCAGATTGCGAGCCTTCGCTCCTCCCAGTCTAGCTTTAGGGTTTTTTTGCTTCAGGAGTTTGGGGTTGTGCTGATGTGAATTTGTTGTTGAATTGGGCAGGACTGTTGTCGGACTCAAGTGCAAAGATGGCATTGTTATGGTAAATGCGCACTTCTTTCAATTTGGCCCTCGCTTTCTGTAGTTATTCAATTTTGGTGGCGTTGGTTCAGTGCTTTTCACTAGAATTTGATGGGCTTATACTGTTTCCTTTGTGTTGTTTCGAAATTTAGGGTGTGGAGAAGCTCATAGCTTCTAAGATGATGTTGCCCGGTTCCAATAGAAGGATCCATTCAGTTCATAGGCATACTGGAATGGTACTCCTCTTTCATCCCTCTCACTTTCACTTTGATGGATCTCAAACCTTTCAACTCTCTTGGCTTATGTGATTGCCCAATGAACTTGTTGATATTTTCCCCCGCATTGCTATCTTGACTGCTGATTAATGATGTCCCCCCGGTTGTCATGGATGAAGTTAAACTTGGTAGGTCGCCTCTTTTATTTCCTCTCATGGGCAGTAGTTAATCGATCCTAAGATGTCATCCGGACATTCCTTTGGTAAGAAGTTTTATGAAAGATTAGCAATCTCTTGGACTTCAATTGTAGGTGAGGAAGTGGTCGCCTTACTGCAAAATTAAGGGAGAAGTGGTTAAAGGTTAATTGTTTTGTTAAGAGACTGTTAGTTTGTAGTCATATGTAGTAAGTAATGATTTTTCCATCAGAAGTGCATTCTGTCAAGCATCAAGTATGCTCCATCTGATATTTCATGTGCAGTTTTTATGACTTCAACTCTCACTTGCTATCTCAACAAACTGCTTATGCCGGTACTTATTTTTTCTCTTCCATATCAGGCTGTGGCTGGCTTAGCTGCTGATGGTAGACAGATTGTTGCACGAGGAAAGTCCGAGGCAACCAATTATGACAAGTTTGTTATCTACTTCTGCCCTTCCTTGTAGTTTCAAATGCTGTTTTTATTCTTATATCTACTAGGTTGCTAACAGAGGAATGAAAAGTGTGATATCTGGTAGTTATTCCCGTTCATTACTGAGTTCATTACTGGCGAATAGAGCAAATCCCCGTGTAGTGATTTTGACGCCTCTTTGTACAAATGTGGACAAGGATTGTTAGTTGTATAATTTGGTCAAGTATGACTGTCTTTTCTCTTTTGAATAAGCCTGCCCCTTGTTCTTTTCCTTCTGATACATGTATGCTTTCAATGTGCTCTGGTTTATGCACACGAGTATTTTGGTAGACTGTGAGTTTTTCTAATAGATTATCTGCTATCATCAAAATGGCTGCTTTGCTTGTTCTTACAATGCTTGCTATTTAAAATTCAGAGTGATACAAGTGCTAAGGATGTGGCCACTCTGTTCTCATGTTGCAGTACCTATGGTGAACTGATCCCTGTCAAAGAACTTGCTGAACGTGTTGCTAGCTATGTGCACCTATGTACTCTCTATTGGTGGCTTAGGTAAGAACTGATCCTTTGCTTCTGTATAAATGGATGCACTTTGTTGTCTTAGTACGTAGTTTCCTTGGAAGTGCTTGAAAGGAATAGGAAAGGAAAAAATTTTATATACATTTTTCGCATTGCAGGCCCTTCGGTTGTGGTGTCATTCTTGGTGGTTATGACAGAGATGGACCACAGTTGTACATGATTGAACCCTCTGGAATATCTTATGTAAGTAACCTTTTCTTACCTGCCTGGAGTTGCTTTATTTCAAACTTGATGAAGCTTCACTCTGGTTATTACTTGGATTTCACAAACTGCTGCTGTTTGGAATGCTTACAGTAATTCTGATTCTCGCCTTTGTAGAGGTATTTTGGTGCTGCAATTGGAAAGGGCAAGCAGGCAGCTAAAACGTAAGTCTTTTTGCTTTTGCATTTCAATAGTTAGTGTGGTGCATAGTATTGCTAATTGCACCAATTGAAGGTGTCATGTACATAATGATTTTGATATTTGTTCATCTTGGCAATGATGCAATGGATGGTGCAGGGAAATCGAGAAGTTAAAGCTTTCAGAAATGACATGCCGTGAAGGGGTTCTTGAAGTAGCCAAAATGTGAGGTTTTGTTGCATTGAATTCATTTAGTGGACTTCTTTGGCGAGTTTGGAGTCTTTTACTAATGACTCAAGTCTCAATACCTTCAAGTGGTTCCAACCTTGACATTCTTTCCTGGCGTTTTGCATGGTTTATCATCCAATTAAAATTCCTTGATATCTGCCTACAGCCATTCCTGATTTTCCCAGGAACTTTGAAATTTCTTCATTCCCATCTCTTATCTGAAAAGTAAAGATCAGTTATGTGATTTAATGTTATGCAGCATTTACAAGGTACATGATGAAGCAAAGGATAAGGCCTTCGAACTCGAACTGAGCTGGGTTTGTGACGAGTCAAACAGATTACATCAGAAGGTATTTCTCATGCTCATGAATCCTTATTTTTTTACCAGAGGTTCTCTATCTCTTCAATTCTGAGTAATGAAGAAACCTCAGGGTATAGAATAAATTGCTTGATAGCCCATGAATCTGGAAACATAAAGGAAATGCATGGCTGTATGTGTTTTTTTGTGTATGCTGCTGGCTGATGCTTGTATGCGATGCCAATTTTACTTTGGTATTCAGGTTCCAGATCAGCTACTAGAGGAGGCCAAGTCTGCTGCTAGGACTGCACTTGAAGAAATGGATGCTGATTAAACACCCGTTGACATCGGTTAAAGGATCATTGGGAAATCAATCAGGGCAACCCCGAATCGTCATTGTCCAGATTCCACCATGATTTCCCTTGTCGAAAAGCAACTGAAATCCTTTAGTGGCCTCCTGAGGCAGTTAGTCCATTTAAGCTATGTTTACTTCAGTACATGACCTGCGAACTTATATCACTTGATCCTTTCTTCCTGAGCAACTTGAATTTAGTTAAACATTGTGGCTGCTTCTTTGAAAGGAAGGGATCCTATGTAAGAGCTCTTAGTTGGCTGGATAGTCTCATTGAAATGGTTTTACAGCTTGCATCTACTGCATCAATCTCCTGCTAGATCATTGCAAAACTGACTGTGATGGAGCTTGCTAAGTTAAGTCTTTCCGAATGCGAGGCTTTGATGGTTCCAATTGTCAGATGAACCTTCTGTCGAAGGATCATGGTCGGAACAACTTGGTGTCTCAACTCTATGATCGTCGTTGCTACGGTCTTGGACTTCGAGACGCCTGCCTCATAATGTCTCTTAACTATATCTTACTTCAAGAGGTAAGGATGTCACCGAAACGCTTTCCTCC